TGAAATTTGCTTCTATGCCGGTCGATATCCGATGGCGGATGAATGTGGTGGTACCTTTCAATAGCTTTGAGTGACCATGACGTCGCCGGGGGAAGGGGAGTTTTGCGACCGGGCTGCAGTCGGGGAAGCATGCAGCCATTGATTGGATGCCCTCTCTGATCGGGGTTTATGTTTTCTCCCTCGGGGACCATGTGGGTTCCCCGATCCCTTCCAGATGCCCGGCTGGGCTGTCCCCTCGAATTGTCTGTTTGGGGTTTAGGGTAGATTCAACCGCTCCTTCCCCCCTCTTTGTCTGACTAGGATCCACCGGGCAACTAAGCACGACTCACTCCGGAGTAAATACATACACTACTGTAATTCTGCACTAGCTCACTACGTATCTGTAGAGTAATTTAATCTCCTACCATACCAAGTCAATATAGTCATGTATTCACTACCTCATTCCCTTCCACTTGCACCCCCGTCTTCTAATGCAGAATCGGATTATGCAGGGACAAGCGCTGCACAACAGTCTGTTACTCTTCCCCTCATTGTTTGTGGACAAGAATGCCTGTCAACCTGTGTAGATCGTAAACCTCGACGTAACCATGATGATTGATAAACGACTATGGAGGGTTGATAAAGAAGGGAAGGTGGCACTAACATCATCCCTTCTACCAAATGCGTAGCTACGCATGCAAGGATGATAAGTCGTACGTGGTGGATACGTGATTGACGTCTCCTCTTCTTGTGCTGTAGAGGATGGATTCATTCCTCAACTCCTCCCCCTCCCTCGAGCACATGCATTGCCTAGTCTGAATAGGCTTCCTTCGTACAACCACGACCACCACTCCCCACCTCCTCTGGCAGCACTAAGTTCACGGGCTAGGGAGGGTTGGATAGTAGACCCGCGATAGCCTGCTTCTCGATTCTCAAATGCCGCGGTGCAGCTGGCCGTCGAGAGGAAGTTGCTGCTCCATTCCAAGTGGTGACTGTGTGTCTGGGCCAGTGCAGATAGATGTGATGCGACGGCACTATTGCCTCGGTTGGAGACCTGATGCCTACAGGTCTTTATACTTTCAATGGTGTCGCAAGTCTGACAAATTCTCAGATTGCTAATTGCTGAGTAGCTAATGATTCAGTTCCCGATAACTATTCAACTTTCAAGCCTATATCCCTTTCTACGTCGCGCTCTCTGCGGCCACCCACGCCAACATAGAGAGACAGGGAGGAATCGTGTACGGGACCAACTGTTCCATTAACGAATTGACACCGTACGCCCTTAATCCCGAACCAGACCTCATTCATAACGGATGTTCCGCTGTCAAGGAAGTTTATTCTCCCTGTGCTCGAGCCAGTGTCCGGGCTAGGGCAAAGAGGGAGAAGAAGCATACCGGAACAGGGCACCTGCAGCCTGGGTTCGGGATTCTAGGCCCAAGAGTGGTTCTGGCGACGGGGATCAAGGACAATCAACGTCTCTCCGGGGAGGAGAAGTGGTCCCCTCACCGTCTTCGGAGTTCAGTTTGACTTGCGATATGCTTCTCTGGCCCTGTTCAGTCAACATCGATAATCGACCGGGCTAGTGGCTGGATGTGGGCTCTACAGTTCTCCCTCCTTTGCTTATTTCTTCTCGTCTTGCTTTTTTTTCCCTTCAATTCTTCTTTTTCCTTTCAATTGTTTGTCTGTAGTTGTATGCTCTTTTCAACCATACCGGGTGAGTTCAGCCTTTTGGGTCCAGCCAGACGGGAACGAACAATCCACTCCCAACTTAATAATCAACCTAATCTACCCGGATTTTAAACCCCCCAAAAGAAAAAAACTCAATCGAGTGAATCTCGACCCGATGCTAAGGTAAAGGGCATGGGCGTCCCGTCCGTGACTTGTCCTTAGCACCAATGAGCTCGGGAGCTTCATAGCCTCCTCTTTCCTCCCTCTCCCGATAGACGGAAAGAGGCTGCAGATCCTTGGAAATCTTTCTATGGCCAATAGTTTGAATCCTTCCACTACTATATCTGACCGACACTGGAGCATACGTATTTTTGTTCTGGCAACGATCACATTACACCAACAGCAGGATGATTTGCTCTTACCAGCTGATTGTTGCTCACACACTCTAATCTAGCCCCAGTTCATGATAACTGTGTCTATGTACATCCCCAGATATCCGTCTATGAATATCAAGCAAATTGGGGTCCATCCTCTTCCCAAAACAAAACTCTGAGACTAGCAGGTCTTGTATTGATTGATTTGTCGCACCACTCCCCGACGGGGCTTGGGGAGCCGTGTCCCCAACTGCTAACCCACTGAACACTAATAATAAACATATTTTCTCTCAGATTTGTTACCCGAAGGACGGAGACAAGCTTGTCGGCGAGTCAATCCGCACGAAAGAACCCACCCGATCTCCTCCCAACGACCACCAACAGGAGATGTCAAAATAAATGAAGAGAGGGTCCTTCGCCCCTCCCTCCTTCTTCCATCAAGCACAAGCCGTGCGCGTACGAGCGCCCTATTCATCACTGATCAGGCTCTAGTACACCCATGCATTGACTACTACTTTTTCCCAATCTCCCCCGCCGCCCCCCCTCTAATCCCCATTCCCCATCGCAAATCGTGGATCACATTAGACTGGGTCTATAGTGGCTACGTTTAAGGAACTGAATCTCCACAGTCCAGACCGGAACCCCCCTTCTCTCTCATCGACTCCGTCTCCGCCATGTTCTCGTCGCAGATCCGACGAATCCTCTTTCAATGAGCTCTTCTGCTCCGCCGTCAGCCCCTGTCATTCTTTATCGTCTTCAAACAGTCTAGCGGTTTCCGAAAATACCGTCTCGATCCCCACGAGGACAGCACAGAAGGACGAGGAGGGTGCAGCGGTACGACAGCAGCGTTTAAGAGGAAGGGGAAGGATGGATTGGGGTTTAGTGGATAAATACTTGTACATGCAGTAGAATGGCCCGTCAAATGGCCCGTCAAGCGCTGACGGATATCTGGTGAGCGATTTGCCATCGGAGGATTTCCCATCAATGATGGATGGATAGGCACTACACAGACCATGTTAGAGTGGTCTGTCTATCTCTCTGGATAAATACGTACGTATCGTGCTACGGCAAAGTATGTGGAGGATGGATGGATGAGAAGGTTGAAGAGGCGAGAGACGAAAACGAAGGGAGGGGGGGTTTATACTCTGCCGAGACTCCCAATGTGGAAGGAACTCACCAGGTCACCAGGCTCCCTGCCTCGTTAGCGACCATCTCCGTTTTTCTTTTGGGGTAAAAGAGTATGTTCCATGTTTCCGCTGCTTACGAACCAGGTGTGTATGGCCACCTACTACTGTACTGTACGCAGAGACGACTTATGTAGTCTAGTCAGGATGGATTGGAGGCGGGAAGGATGATGATTGATGTCTGGATTGTGCTGCATGAACCAAGGCGAGGGAGAGCGGTTATCCGGATGCTGCTTGCTACATCCTCGCCAAAACCTGATCATGCAGATAGAAAGAGGGGCAAGTTAGTTAGTATCACGCTGAGCATGCTACCAGTGTTGTGATACTGATGGAGTGCTGCTGCTGCAGCAGTAGTTCATGGTACTTTTTCCTATCCTTGGCTAGTCAAACGTGAGGTCCATCACATCACCTCTATTCATGAAATCAAGCAATCTAAATCTTCCTTTGAGTCGAGGACGCCAATTGAATGATCTCGATTCCGCTTGGAATCGTTTATCTCGATGACTCAGTACCATACAGTATAGCTCCGATGATGGTGGGAAGAAAAGGATCCATTGAATCATGCATGCGCAATCCATTTGCGGCTGGGCTGAGAGCCCTGCAATTGTTCTTTCTTTTCTTGCTATGCATCGTTCAGTGACTGCTGAAGATACAGACTAAGTACCTGATAGGGTAAAAAGGAATGTGGCTGTGGCTCAGCTCAGGCCTCTGGCTTCGATCTTGTGGCTGTAATGTCTTCTCTTTTTCTTTTTCTTTTTCTTTTTCTTTTTTTTTTTTTCTTTCTCTTTTTTCGACTTTTGCCTCTCAAGATGTGCTGTACGGAGTTTTTTATATTCTGTTCCGAGCATTCAGCTTTACTTGGTATTTTGCTCGCCTTGCTCCGCATGTGTCTTCCCATGCAGGCATTTCCCCCATCATTTGCCACATCTTAGCAGGCATCTCTCAGTCAGATCAGCTCTGTTTGCTTCAGCGACAACTGCGCTTATCTGGGAAGAAATCCCTTTTTAGCCTTCGATAGTGTGCTTCGCCAGGGCGAATCATACCTTAATTCGTCTGCAATGCAGAGACACACGCTAGTTATAGTCAAGAAACACCAAAACCGGATGTCTGGACTTCTTGTATCAAGAGATTACCCAATCTCTCGACCACCAAAGCACCCAACCAGCAAAAGTATGCTAGCCGGGTGGTTCTACTGTGAGGTAATCATCATTGACGGAAATACAGTACAAGCCCATATCCTACATCTTCGGGCTTTGGGTACTTACTGGAAGCGGGGACGGAGTACATCTCAATACATACTCCGTCGCATAATTCGAGTCCGCTAGGCTATAGCCTACAGTAGCACCGGTTACTGTCGAGTATAAGATTCCCCGCGCTTAATTATGCTGCCTCGGGCTACATCAACGTATTCTGGAGGCAAGGACGCTCTTTCCTGCTTGCGTTCTTGTGTCGCCCCTCCTCGTGGAGCTCATCTCTCTCCCTAGGTCCATGTCTTTGCTTCGCATGCAGTTTGTAAATACACAATTATATATTATTCTCAATTAGATTATGTCATTTTTTCTTCGAGGTTGCCATCTCTTCTGTTCCCAGGTTAGACGTCTACCCTGAAACCCAATATGCTTTAAGGATCTCATTATATCAGTATATTAAGGAAAGAAGAACAAGTGATGACTATACAGCAAGATGACTTGCTTACTGTTACCCAAGGTACTAACCTATATCGATTTTTATAGTGAGATTATTTCCATAAGTATATACGTATCGAGCAGGAGGACTGTCGAATATCGACCCCTCTGCAACTTCTAATTCCCCATCACAACCGATAATCGCGGTCACGCCACGCCACTTCAGTCTTTCGCCATAACGAGCTTTCTAGAATTGATGCTAGAGACTTACCAAAAGTCCTTTTCTTTTCCCTGGAAGATACCAAGTCCGATGTCTATTGGATGACTGTGTTGCATACTATATCTAATTCGGGGACACCCAGCGTTCTGGCTCATCGTCTGAAGCTGCATATACAGCCAGAGTCTCTGGCGATTCTACCCCAGTCAAGCTTGGGCGCCGCCTATACTCGAATAAAAACGGGCATTGTCTCAATGGGACAAGCCACCTCGACGTCGCGTCCTCCTTGGTAGACCTGATCGCGCTTCTCATCCCACAGCTTCCACGACGCTCCAGCCGGTAGATAGGCCGTGATCGTCCTCTGTTCGGGCTGCAGCACGGGCACCACCAGATACTTTGAGCCGAAAAGGTACTGCGTCTCGCATTCCCAAGCGCGGGAGTCGTCGGGGAACTCATAGAACAGGGTCCGCATCACTGGGGTCCCCTTCTCGTGCGCTTCCTTCATCAAGCTCCGGGTGTAGTCCCGCAGCTCCTCGCGAATGTTGATGTACTTCCGGCAAATCTTGTAGACCTCCTCCCCGTACGACCAGATCTCATTATCGGCGCCGGATGCGGTGGGCTGGCCCTCCGGCTTGGGTTCGCGGTCGCCGTGCAGCCGCATCACCGGACAGAACGCCCCCCACTGGAACCACCTGGTGAAGAGCTCTCGGAACGCCGGATCGTCGGGGTTGCCGCCGTGGAAGCCCCCGATGTCGGTCGTCCACCAGGGAATTCCTGCAAGGCCCATGTTCAGGCCCGCCGCCAGCTGGTTGCGGAAGGTGGGCCACGACGAGGCGATGTCCCCGCTCCAGACCAGGGCGCCGTACTTCTGGCTGCCGGCCCAGGCGCAGCGGAGGAGGTTGACGATGTTTGTCTGCCCCTGGGCCTGCATGCCCTCGTAGAAGCCCCGCGCGTATTCCTTAGGAAAGATGTTTCCAATCTGCAGATTGCTGCCCGCGTGGTAGCGATAGATGTCAAAGTCGTAAATGCCGTACTCGGGTTCCGCCTCGTCGAGCCAGAAGACCTTGATACCCTTGTCGTAGTAGTGCTGCTTGGCCTTGTTCCAGACGAAAGCGCGAGCCGCGGGGTTCGTCGCGTCAAAGTGCGTGATGTCAGCATCGCATTGCATGGCGACCCGCAACCCGCGGTCATGGCGGATGAGAAGACCGTGTTCGAGCATCTCGGGATAATTCTCGGATGCAGTCTCGACTGTCGGCCAGATGGAGACCATGACTTCCACATTCATATCCTTGAGCTCCTTGATCATTGTGTCTGAATGTGCGTTAATGCTGTTGACCACTTGATGCCAAGTGTGTTTTCGAGCTCTTCCTGGGGGGAAGCATACCTGGATCAGGCCAGAACTTGGGGTCAAATTTCCATTCTCCCTGGTGTGGCCAGTGGAAGAAGTCCACTACAATGAGGTCCAGTGGGACCTGTCGGCGTTTATACTCGCGCGCCACATTCAAGATTTGTTCCTGGTTCCAGTATCGTAGCTTGCATTGCCAGAACCCGAGTCCGTATTCCGGCATCATCGGGACACAGCCCGTCACCCCACTGTAAGCCTCTTCGATTTCCGCGGGACTATCACCCGCAATAACCCAGTAGTCGAGCGCTTTCGTGGAGTACGCTTCAAAGCTCATTATGTTGGTGCCCAGCACGGCTCGCCCGATACCAGGGTTATTCCACAAGAATCCGTATCCGAGCGAGGAAAGCGCAAAAGGTACGCTGGCTTGAGAGTTGCGGTGGGCCAATTCGAGGTCCGAGCCTTTGAGATTGAGTGACGGCTGCTGGTACTGACCCATGCCGAATATCTTTTCTCGAGGGTCTAGCGACTCGAGCCGCATTGTGAGGTGGAAATCGCCCCCTAAAATGGGCCGTAGCTCTCGCGCCTCAATCTCCAAGGCACTGCATTTCGGGTCCTTTGGATCCCGGCGATGACGGGCATACTCCTCGAGAAGTTTGTTGCCCTTGTGGTCGAAGATGGTTATCTTGCCGCGTTTGGAGACAGTTGCTCTGATCTTACCATTGACGATGCTTGCTTCCTCCGTCTCCGAGATTGTAATGGTCGCTCTCGGGGACTGGACCTCTAAAGACAGTGCCCAGTCTTCAGTAGGCATGGATGCAAGCTTCGTGGCCCTGATACGGAAGGCATTCTCGCTCCACGGTTCTATCCAGAGAACATGATCATCGAATCGAAAGACGAGTTTATTCTCTTCGGCGTAAAGCATGGTAAGTATCACAGCGCGATCTGGTCAGGTCTCGCTTGAAGACCCGGGGAACGAAAGAATGAAGGATTGTCCTTGAGCGAAATCACAGTATGAGTCGATGTTTCCGGTAGCGGGGTGGCAGACTTTAACATACCGCAATCACAGCTGCAAATTCCCCATAATAGCCGGGATATTGAAGTGACGCCGTGCCTCTCAGGCATGGCCCAATTGAAAAGCTCGCACAACGTATTCCGCGGTGGCCGCATCGTTGCATTGAGTGTCACCAGGATTGTCATTGGTATATCGAGGACTCTTCCATTGTTGCTGGATGCAAATCTTTCGTTGTGGAGAGAGTCTGGATGAAGCCATATGAATCCGTGTGCGGTGCCGATTGGCTTGAAAGAGGGGAAATAGCCTAAATATGGGCGTTTGTAAGAGACATGGCAGACGAGAAGCGGGGAAGGCTGTAGCTACACGTATGGAGTAGCTAATACGGATAATGACTTTCACTACCTCCCTCTCGTCCAATATCGTGCTGCTTCAGTTCTTCGTATGAAACAAAGCAGCTTTCGTGTTGTGTCTTAGACCTTTCATACCTTGTTTCACACGTTGCTGCAGTCTAGATTATCGAGTAGTCACCCTAGGCTTTTGTGCAAGAAGAACACTGCGAAAAATGATTTCCGTCGATATAAGACCAATATCCACGTCTTGAGCCGTCAGCTTGCATGTGTCAGAGTTGATCTTATCTTGGAGAGGGAATGGCCGTTGAGAGTTGAAATTAGCAGTAGACCTTATTCTGGGTCATATCTTAAATGTATACGCAATGACGAGGTTTTGTTATATTTGCATTGATAGTCTCAAGGATTTGGTTGAACTTGATCAGTAAGTTGGGAACTATCCAACAGCTTACTTTGTAAAAGAGACTGGCACTAAGTGAGAGGAAATTAGTAAGTATGGCTTTGAAGGCTATGCTTTATGCCATTCTTAGCATGCATCAATCGCCTCTTCACAGTTATACTCAATACCTCTAGCATATAATGCTTTGAAATGAGGCATTCCAGGCACACCGAATAAGGACTACATGCATCACCCCGGTCTGGCTGATGCTAGTGAAGTCGATGCTATGTATAGAGACTATATTCAGTATCAAGGAAAGGTCTGTGTTCATTGGGCCTGGGACTAGGTCCAGAAAGAGCCGTACTACAGTCGGTATCGAAGCAGAGTGGCGTATTTGCTGCTGTCATTGAAACGAAAGTAAAAGACATGAGGAGTACAGAGTCAACTTCAGCCCATTGAGTACGGATGGCTGCGGCGCAGCTCCGCCGACAGATTCCCCGGGCGGTGTGGAGGTCAACTTCATGTCGGCCTCAGTTTGCGACCAATTTGACTTCCTCTTTGCTCGTATTCATTCCACTTTACTTCCCCTAAATTGGTTATTGCAACGAGGGAGATTAGCTTTATACTTCCTCAAATAATACGAATTATCTTGCACGTCTGCCATCGCCCCCTTGCTGAAGGTCGCCATTGCGCAACACCTTCCTCTGCATAACGCCCAAGTCCCCAACAGTACACCCACTTCCGACACCATTATGGCCTCCATGGACATTGATATGGACATTGATCTCGGGCCCCTCCCAGACGATGATCACATTGAGATTGTAAGCCCAGTTGTCCTCGTTGGTCGATAGTCGTTGCGAGTCTCATTGGTCCTAACACCCTTCGACGTTCGCAGGAACAAACAGCTGCAACACCTACCACCGACGAAGCCGCCGATGCCCTTTCTTCGGACGCACAATACGAAAAGGTCCACATACGCGGTGTTGACGAACTGACGACTGATGATATCAAGCGATTTGCCCACGAAAACTTCGCCCTCGAGGATCCAAGCCGTGTCGAGTGGATCGATGACACATCCGCAAATCTGCTGTACTCATCGCCAGAGGTCGGCCTCCAGGCACTGGCAGCACTCACACAACCAAATGAAGAGGAGGATGTGACTCAATACCCCGCGTTGCGTCTACGGTCGGCTAAGCTCCTCTCTTCGCACCCTGATTCCGTGCTCCAGGTCAGAGCAGCTGTTAAGACGGATCGTAAAAAGCCACGTGCGCACGAAGCCAGTCGATTCTATCTCATGCACCCTGAGCATGACCCTCGAGAGCGCCTACGACGCGAGCTTGCGGAGAGACGTCAACACGGCAGTGGGGACAGCAGCGATGGCGACTACAGGCGGCGGAGATTTGATGGTCGGGAACTGCGGCGACGTAGGGACCGCGACGCCGACGATAGTTTCAGCGCTAATATGTATGATGACGCGGGCGTTGACAGCGCCGATCGCTCTGAACCATCTCGGGGACGTGGCAGACGAGAACCTAGGGATCTGTTCCCAGAGGACGAAGGAGGCCCTTCGGGACGTCTGCGCAACCGCAGTGCTTCACCGGGCCGCGATACATTGATGGAAGATGGATACGTGGAGACGGATCGCTCTAGCTCTCGTCGGAAGTTCCGTGAGCGCTCGCCGCCGCCCAGCCGTCGCAACGAGGGCCGGGAGCTCTTTCCCTCTTCAAAGGCCGGAAATAGCGACTCGCACGCGCGAGAGCTTTTCCCACACAAGACAGTTAAAGAGCTATTTCCAAGCAAGCATAGCAACCATCGCCGGTCCGATGCGATAGATGCTGCAGACGAGACGGCAGATCTGTTCGCTCGAAGGGTCTCCGTGCCCTTAGTCGATGGAGCGCAGGACTTGCAGCCTCGGCGGAGAAACAAGGACATTGAGCTCTTCCCTGAGAGCTCCGATTCGAGCGGGCTCAACATTCGCGGGGCTGCTGGCCAGGGGCGGGACCAGGGGATGTCTATTCGCGGTGTAGCAGGAGGCATGTCAATTAAGGGACGGGGAGCATCTGTCCGGGAGCTTTTCCCGTCCAAGTTTAATACCAACGCCGGCAAGGAGCTGTTTTCGGACAAGATTGAAGGGCGAGGGGGTCCTCGCCGGAGGGCGGAGGATATGTTCAGCTGAGGCATTCTGCATTTCGCACTAGAAAATACCCCTGCAAGGAAAGGATGCCTTTTTGCATCTCCGTTTTGTAGTATCATTACATTCTAGTCTTATCAAGTTATCCTTCCATGGCGAGTCTCAATTCGCAAACAATGACAAATCCCAGCTTTGATAGCAATCATTCATCACTTCTAATCCTATGTTTGGCAATGCGTGTGTGAAATTACGAAAGCATCTATGCGCAAAGAGCGCAATCATGTAGATGTCAAAGTACTGATGCTGTCATTGCAATGATAGAAGGCTCTAACTAGCCGTGTGGATGACTTATGTCAGAAAATATATTGCCCCTCACGCTTGACCCTGCCCCACATTCCCTCAAACACAGCAATGGAAACACAATGCCTCTCGAAGCGCGAAGCTCATCGTTGGCGAGCGAGCTTGTAGCTCGCTTTTTGCGCACGCACAATTACACGGAAACACTCGATGTCTTTCTCCGTGAGGCAGGATTGCCGGCCACCGCGGGGCAGTCCCGCAGGGGGGAGGATGACTCCTGGACCATCGAAGGCGTGCTCGCCGAGAAACGAGCGTTCGACAAGAGCGTGAACTTTGAACGGTACAATGAAAGCGACAAAGAGAAGGATTTCTGGAGTGAACCAGGCACCGTACCCTTAATCCCGCACTCGAGCAAGAACAGAGATGTTAATGCATAATGTATAGCACCGTCCAGCCCCACGGTAATCCAGACGCCAACATCGTCCAATCTGCTGTGCTGCTCTGTAGAAAGATGGCAACATGGCGATGAGAGCGAGCAGCAGCCCGAGGCCCTCCTCGTTGCCACGGGCGCAGATAAACAGCTTCATCTCTTCGAGACCTCTACGGGGAATGAGCTCGTACGGTCCTCCTCCACATCCGAGTCACCCATCCTGTCCTACACCCTGATCCGACAGGGCAAATTAGTGTTCCTGACCAACATGTCGGGCCAGCTGCTCCTCCAGCGCGGGAGCAACGTCGTCGACCGCAGGAAAGACCATGCCAAATACGCAGTCAAAGTGGTCGCTCACGAGGCAGACGAGGCAGTCTGGATCGCTACCGCCGGCTGGGACGCGAAGGTCTTTGTCTATCGGCTCCGCAGCAGCCTGTTGAATGGTGACAGCCCCGTAACCATCGGCGAGCCGGTCGCGCAGATCTCTCTGCCGACGAACCCGGAGTCGATAGTCTTCGTCCGCCACGTTGACACCCAGGAGCTCCTGCTTCTCGTCTCGCGCAGGGACTCGACGTATATCTACTACTACCAGGTGGAGTCACGAGTATCCACCACTACAGACACCCCGCCACAGCAGAGTAGGGAGTGTGTCCTTCTCGCTCAACAGAACTTGGCCCCTCACTCGAACGCCTGGGTCGCTTTCTCTCCTGCGTGCATGGCCCTCAGTCCGCATGACCCCGGCCTGATTGCAATCGCGACTTCGACGCTGCCGCACATGAAGGTCATGATCGTGCGGCTACTGTTCCCTGCGACGGAGACTCAGAGTGTCGATGTTGCGGGCGCAGGGGCCCCGGAGACGCAGGCCACGCAAGCGCTTGCAGCGCTGTCGCTGCAGAATCGGGAAGATGCTGCGATCATGGTTCAGGCGAACACTTTCGCGCCGCAGACGGCGTATTCGACCCCGCAGATTGTGTGGCGCCCGGATGGCTCGGGCGTCTGGGTCAACGGGGATGATGGAGTTATCAGGGGATTGGAGGCAAAATCGGGGAGGCTTGTCTCGGTCTTGAAGGAAGGCCACGAGCCGGGCTGTAAGATCAGGGCCATCTGGGCGGGGTGGGTTGAGCTTCCAGGGTCCAAAGGTGAAGTTGCCAGGGAGGAGTGGCTGGTTAGTGGGGGGTTCGATAAGAGGCTTGTGGTCTGGAAAATAGTGTAGTCGCTGCATTCTACACTTCTGTGAAGTGATTGAATGGCCCATATCAGGTTTGAAAATACACATTTAACAAGAAACATATGATGATGCAAGTTTCAATTCTTTGACTGTAGCTCTACATTAGTCTACTGGGCATGTAACACTCCGTCTAAGCACCCTAGAGCCATGGAGAACAAAGGCAAAGGGTGATTAATAATCGGGAGGGCATGGGATCTTCTCTCGGCACGTTATAAAATCCTTCAGCAAGCGCGCATGGGAAAATAAGCACGAAGCTGTACACACATATGCCTGCCCTCTGACTCCAGTTTCGGGCTTGGATGATTCAAAGCCAACCGGTGCGAGATTTGCTACCCACTGCCATGTGAGCCAGCAGGAAAAAGCAACAGTAGAACTGAGAACACTTTGTAACTTCCATGTATACCCGCAGAACCAGTCAATTTTCCCTCGTTATGTGACAACCATTTCGGAAAACATGTAGCCGAGGCGAAGACCAGTCTGGGCCTAAATCCGACAAGACAAGACGATCCCACTCATGCTGCGCGGAGACGTGGTGGGAAGAAGAAAGATCAACCAACTCAAATCGCTTTCATTTCTTTTTAAAACGTTTCTATATTAGTTGATTTATGCGACCTCGCGCTTGCCCTCCTTGCGCTCCTTCTGTTCGAATTGTTAGCTGGCTGACTTGAGATCGGAGGCCGATGAAGCATTTGAAAGGAAGCATATGCGAAAACCGAGAGGTTCGTCAGGTCAACGTACCAGGGCCTTGGCGGTACCGTGAAGAGCGTGTCTGTGGTTGCGGCGGAACTTGGGGTCAACACCCTTGAGGGAAGGGTAACGGTTGGTCTTGGGCTTCTTGATACTGTTGCGGCGAAGGATCGACATGGTCAGCGTCTTGCATTCTTGATTTCCCACTCAAATGATCTCATGGATATGGTGACGATGGCAGTGCTGTGCCTTGTTGGATGCAAAGCGCATGTTTCCCACATGGAAACACTCCTCCAACTCGCGTTGTATCCAACATAGCATAGCGACCACCCCGCCCTCATTCCATTCGTACATCGTAGATCGTGATTCCTTCAGGACTTCTTTCGGCAGGGATTCGAGGGTACGCACCCGTTACGGTGAGCCTTCTGGCTGTTGTGGTGCTGAGACGCGTTCTTGGACTCTGTGTAAAAATCCTGTCAGTGACTTCATCACGCTTGCCGAATATTCCCGCGAAGCATAGGAAACAGCCCCAAAGAGGCTCCTGGCTTTTTTCACGAATTGTGCATATTTCGGCGAACAAAATTTCACATAGCAGGAGGATGTACATACTCGCCATCTTGTCGGATTTGTCGCAACTGGGAGACGGTTGACGAGGAGTTGGCGGGTGAGGTTATCCTGAACTGAGCGGAAGGCCAGAGTCCCCAAAGCAGGTTCGGCTAGGGCTGGTTTTCAGTGTGGGATTTCGCTTACCGAGCACGGCTAGCGTCGCGGCCTCAGCTATTTACTTCCTGATATCTTCACTGCTTGACTCTTCCCCAGATGAAGGGAGCGATACCTGAACAATTTACATTACGCATTGCACTTAATTCTGACGTCTCTCTATCGTTTGAATTGAGATAGCGATAGAAAATTAGCTGGGGTAAACGTTGCTGCGCTATAGGATCGTTAGGTACCTAAGGCATCAGACTCCGTGATCGATGATTAACGAGATATCGTGACATAGTTATACAAGCTCATCTTTTGTAAGACTCAATTCTAATACCCATATTACAGAGAGAGATCACGAGGTGACAACTCTTGAGATGAGCTGGGAGTTAGAGACAATTCGTGGTTGATCGCTTTACGATGACATCGGTCGGTGACTGACCTGAGACGCCACAGAAGCATTGTCTCAGTGGCTAAGCAATGGCCGACATAACATCACGTGATGATATAGACAAGATCTCGCATCATACTAAATCTTGGCTTGCGCTCATATTGGTAGCTTGGTAGATAGTCCGTTTGAACAATTATGCTGAAAATGCAAATCACTACCATGCCCGCAGCAGGTAGTCAATAACAGGGTGTTCTTACGCCTTTGCGACTGGAACGTTACTTGATGCTCGCTGTTCACAGATGGATTTGTGGAAAACACAAAATGACAAAGAAGATATATGTGGATAGTATCGAAGTATGCTATGACCGGATAGATAGTATCAGTAGCGTTCTCGTTGTAGTTGGTGACCACATTTGACCACGGCGTTTGGAGTAACATACTTGGTAAATGGTTCTTTGCCGGTTGTTGTCGCGCGGCACAGCACGTGACCGAAAGAGCCGCTAGGGAACAACCGGCATCCGACTTCGACCTTTGCAACTCTCAACTCAGGTTCAAGAGGGATACTATTACCACCACCTCCATTCCGTCCATTGCAAGATGAGCTCCCTTCGCTTCGCTCGCTCTGCTCTCAGGGCTCGTCCCTCTGCTTTCCGCGTTCCTCTTCAGCGCAGAGGTTACGCCGAGGCTGTCAACGACAAGATCAAGCTTTCGTTGACCCTTCCTCACCAGGTACGTTTCCGACCCTATTGAGCAATCCTCTGCGTTCGCCATGATGTTCAGTGACTGATATGTTACTTTCGCATAGACTATCTTCAAGTCTACCGGCGTGTACGTGGCCTTTTGACCCTTCCATGCATCGAGCAATTGGACGATTCTCTTTCGACCTTGACCGCCCCCGTACTTACGAATCTTTCCATTCAGTGTCCAGGTCAACATCCCCGCTGAGTCCGGAGAGATGGGTGTCCTCGCCAACCACGTTCCCTCCATCGAGCAGCTCAAGCCCGGTCTCGTTGAGGTCGTCGAGGAGGGTGGTGCCAGCAAGAAGTTCTTCCGTACGTCCGATTATGCCCCGGCGAACAAACCGGCGTCATCTCTACCCCAAATATACCTTATTGGATGGCGCTTGTCACACCTCTCAGATCTGGCTGACTCATCGTTTTCTTGTACAGTTTCCGGTGGCTTTGCCGTTGTCCAGCCCGACTCTCAGCTGAGCATCAACGCCGTCGAGGGTTTCCCCCTTGAGGACTTCAGCGTTGAGGTAGGTTCTCCCCGCACTGGAACTTCTTGCAATAGGATAGCTCATGTAATATCCTCCCGATACTAGGCTGTCCGTTCCCAGATCGCCGAGGCTCAGAAGATCGCCAGCGGCAGCGGCAGCGAGCAGGATATTGCCGAGGCTAAGATCGAGCTTGAGGTAGGTCAAGTCCGCTTCTCTGTATTGTGAGATTGTCTACTAACGCTGTGACCAGGTTCTGGAGACCCTCCAGGCACACCTTAAATAGATACCTGATGTACATATCCAGTCGCGACTTCCAACCTGACCCTGTAGAATTAAGCAAATTCTCCTGAGATGTTGTTTTGCCAAAGCCTTTGCCAAGGCCTTGTCTGACATTAGTTCCACTGACAAATGCTACTAACCAGCCCGGATGAGTTACAGCGGGCGGTTCCCACGCCGCTCTTTCCTAATCTAGGTGCTGAATGGTAGAACAGCTGAATAGCCACCCACTCTTTCTGCCTTCCGTGAATCCTGACCTCTTCCCCTCTCGCTTCTTTCGCCAAAGCACCGTCTGGCGACCTATCAAGGAACTTCTAAGTGCGCAGGCTTGCAGAAAATCCGTTCATGATGGCCCAGCAGTCGGTGGTGCCTGGCTCAAGCTCTGCGGTCAAAGATGCCGAGCTCGGCAGCCACAAACATTCCAACGTCCTGCCGCTTATCTCGGACCTGATGTCTATGAAAACCACTCAATCATCTCCCGATCGTGACATATCCAGTGGACTGGAAAACCGCCCCGTGCCCGCAGCTTTGCAGAGAAATGACTCCCGTGATACCGATACGTTTCAGATTTTTCCTATGGAGGTTGACAATCACAATCCTCCAATCACGGCACACAGCACATTTGAGCGGGGAACCGGCCCTGAAATCCAACGTGGCTCATCGATTCCGATACCCGGGTCAATCCAGGAGGATGTATCATGCGACATTGGAAGCGGACAGTCCACGAAGTTGACTTCGAACGAGCTCACTGTGAGCGCGCTGCATGATATGCTTTCTGCCTCTAGCCTTACTGGAAGTGCCAGCCAAGAGTCCGTTCACAAGCCTCCGAAGCCCCCAAAGCCGGCTTTCCTATCCGAGCTACAAGTTTTTACTTCCCCTGCGTCTGAGAAAGTCCCCGTCATGGATTCCGGAACGACACGTCAGAAAAGAAACGTAATAGGCGCAGATCCTCCATTCATCGCACCACGGGAGGGACAAAGGTTTTCTTTGCGTCTGTTCAACCTATCATCGACGGGACGATATCAGGGACATGAAGCACCGAAGCAAATCCAGAAGCCCTGGACCAGTCATAGTTCCTCGTCGTCGCGGTTACTTTCGCGCCCTATACAATATCCGAAATCGACAGCCTACGCCTTGAATGAAATTTCAAAACGGCCATTGCCGGCACCTTTTCCGATGGTAGATGAACCGTTTTTCCAGCATGACACTGAATCATTCGGTCTCAACGTGAGCGACACTACTCAGCTTCCTGCTTCTGACGCATTTCGCCAGAATCAGCCACAGGGAGAACGTTCGTTTGGCCACTTTCTGAACACGCATATATGCAAGCCCCTCCAAACGACATGGCTACGGATCAAGGAGAATGAGTGTGCTATTGTCAGCTTATTGATAGGACAGCGATCCGAGCAGCATCTCTTATCTCAGTCGAAATCATGCTCGTTCCATGTGCATGTCAATTGGCCAATCGCACAACCATTTGCTAGAGATCGTGGTCGTCTCAAGGATGCCTTTGTCCCTTCCTCCATGTCTACGGCACACCTCCTCAGGGTTGACATCATTGTTCCACTTTTTCTTCTGCGCATGATTTGGTCATTGAAGGCCGCACTCCTCAAGGTCGTAAGGTCTGCAGCTCTCTGTGCACTTATTGATCCGCTTCAGGCTCTCCTTCATTTCTTCGTCATGGTCCTACTTTTTCTATTAGAGACAGCCGGTGTTAATGTATTTATACAACCCAGGGAGGCCCATAGTGTCTGAAGTCCTAGTGGTATAAGACGCACGTGCAGCTGACCAAATGGCCCAGCATAAAGCCGTGGCCACCAAGGAGCTTTACTCGCCGGGAGGAGGGGGGGCCCGGCACATCAAGAGCACATTGGGAGCTGGCTACTTGAAATGTTTCTATCATAGCATGTGATTGTTGTGTACTTCCTTACACAAATGATGAACCCAAGGCCACAAGTCTAGAAAAGGGTGGTGACATGATCATATCTAGTCCAATCACTGGTCACTTCCGTGTCATTGAGGAAAGAATGGTAGCCTTGATCCTTACTACAACGACATCCAATATCCCCTCTATGCCGGCCTCATCACAAGTTGAAAGTAATATGATTCAAATGACCTTATGTTCAGCCTTCGTGACGCGTGAGACCAGAAACCTCCGACGCATCTAGAAACAGTTGTAACTCTGTATTTCAGGAGAAGTCTCCCCAGGCCTGAATCACTATGGCCGTGTTCGGAGTAGGTGTGTCGACGAATCCCGATATGGGGTCTCTTTTAGTCTGAGGAGACTCGATTCTTCGTCCAATCTGAACAAGGTGGTCTCGCGCTCAGGCTACTATCCCGCTTATTGAAAGGAGGTAAACCTGCCCTATCCTTCGTCCTGTTTCCTGACAACCGAGCAAGTCCGGTAATTTTCGGCCAGTCAACTCGCATAGCCGGCGCGGCGACTGCCTTTGAACTTCTAGTTGTATGTACGGGCTGTAATGTCCCTCAATCTTTCCCTTGTGGTTCGATTATGCCGCTGTGTTGACTGCGCCCAGTGGCTGCATCACAAAGCACCTGCTCAAAGTATCTATTTTGTTCTGCTTTGATGCATTGCGTCAGCCTCCAACCAAGCAACCGCTGCGGCCTTGAACGTGATGGACTACCAAAGAAACCCTTTACAGGGGTCATCATCATAAGTTAATACATTATGATTACCAAACTTTCAGCATTACACTCACATTTGACCAAGATCGAATATTTCGACCGGCCGAGCCACGTACGTGCGTGCGTTCATTACTGTAATCACAAAAGCAACAGCACCCATCACAATAACCAGATGAGGGGCCCGGACACACAAAAAAATCATGTACATCAAATTATCAAGATCAACATCAACAATGAAGAGCTAGTAAAACTGACAAACAGAGATATAACCTTACCACATGAGATCGTCAGAGTCATATCGTTGCTATACAAAAAGAAAAAGAAAAACAAGAATCAAGTGTGCCCATTTTATCAGGTGAATTCAACGCCTTGCTGTCGCTCTTGACGGGCTCGAGCTCGTTCCGCACGTCTTCGACGTCGATTGCTTGCGTATTCGCTGGCTTCGGTTCCGGTAAATGTTCCAGTGCCAGGTGATGTGATACTGGCTGCGCCGTATGGGTGACTGGAAGGTACAGGGGGCGGGGGCGGAGGGGGCAAGTTGCTCGCATTTGGCGGAGGCGCATAGTAGGTTGCAGGAATACTAGCTGATGGAGCCGCCGATGTCCCGAGACCAGCCGCCGCCGCGGCTTGCTCTCGTTGCATTTGCTCCTGCTGTTGGCGCTCCAATTCTTCGACACGACGCCACCGATCGTAGGAGCCCCCTTCGTTTCCGGATAAGGAGCTTGCACTGCCGGCTCGGCGACGCGAATTCCTTCTTTCTCGACGCCTTGCTTCCCGGCTAGCGGCAGCTTCTTCGTCGGTCAACCTCCTGAGCGTGACGTGGCGGCCATCGTTGTGCATTTTCAATTTGACAGATACAGGAGGGGAGTCGACATGATCGTCACGACGCCGGCTTCTGCTGCGGTGGCGGTGGCCAGAGGAGGCAGCTGCGCCCAAAGCAGCCCCAGTCGCTACACCAGCTGCCAGGTTGCCTGAATCGTGTCGAGGAGGTGGTGGAGCAGGCGCTTCCGATACCACATCGTGTGGGACTGGAGGAGCAGATGCTGGAGGCAGGTCTGAGCGTGCTCTATCAACCGCCCCAGATGCCATAGGCACAGCAGAAAGAACGGAATCTCCATGCGATGGACGGCGTAGCGGGCGAGTCAACTCCGTCGAGAGATCAGTGGCAGTGAACGACTCTGGTCTTCCTCGCGGGTAGTAGGCTTCTCCGGGGTACCGTCGCCCACTATTTGCGCGAGTCAACCTCTCGTCTTCCATCTCGCGACGACGCAAGTCTTCTAATCGGCGCTGCTCATCATTCGCTTTGTTCCGACGGGAGAACAGACCCTTCAGTGCAGCGAAGGCCCCGGCACCTAGAACCGCATTTCGAAGTGTATGTGATGGTCTCCGTTCGGGTCGCTCAGATAGGTACGTGCTGTCGTAGTAGTATGATGAACCTGGGCTCTGAGGGCGACTTGCAGGCCTGCCTGGGGGTCTACTCCCTGGTCGGCTTGGCGGTTGACTGGGAGGGCGATTTAAAGGAGTGCGCTGCGTTGGCTCCAGCCGACTTAAGCTTTCTTCCGTCATACTATCACTTCGTGCATGAGCACGGCTATAACGACCAGACTCTGTATCATCGTCCCGATCGCGCTTCCTGTCAAGAAACTTCTTCACAAGCCAGGCACCACCACCGATAGCTCCCAATTTGAGCATAGTGTCTTCCCAGCGTCCCCGGCGTCGTCCTTCATCGGAGAACTTTTCTTCTGGGTAAACCGCGTGCGGATCCTCATATTCATATTCCTTGTCCCGAGAGCGTCTTCTGAAAAGTGAGCCCAATCCCGAGCCTGCTGCGCCCGCCCCTGCCATAGGACCTAGAACACCAGGGGGTCGTCCATCGTGACCAGAAGGCCCGGACACATAGCTACGACGAGCTTCAAAATCGCCCTCCATATGGTAGCCCTCAGTATCGTATAGGTAGGACAATACAAACCATGTTGCTAGAAGCGCAAAGGCGGCGATGGCGTATAGAATAAAAAGTACTTTAGGTGAGCCGTAAAGAGTGAGACCGAGTGGTATTTGCACAATCCCTAAGATCGCTAATGCGCGGCCAATCCATCGATGTATCTAGCAACTGATCAGTATTGATGCAGGCACTCATAGAAGCCATGTTCACTTACGACAAGCTTCAAAGGCACATGAAAGCGCCTCTTGTTCCTCTCAAACTTGTGAACTAGCCACCCCCATAAGACTTGAAAACACACCAAAACGTAGATTGCAAGGCCGATTCCATGATGCGGATTGGTCAAACTACGTCTGGGACCGACAGCGAACCAGCCGAATACAAATACAACGGTGCTCAACATCACCGTCAATACTTGGCACCAGACGTGCAATTTGAATGCCCAGTATGGGTTCCATCGCGAGTAATATCGAACGATCAAGATTGAGATGGGAACAAGGCCGAGAAATACGATCGTAGCGATGACCCCGTGGACGACAATGAGAGTATGGTATTCGGGCATATCTTTGAATCTGTTCCCCATTCCTAAGGTCAATTGTAAGACAGCTGAGCCAATCCTAAGGTCACTGACTTGGACCTACCATTGTATCGCATTGTGTCAAAATTGATACCCATCAGATTGGGCAGCAGAAATGTATCGCGCTCCGAGTCCCATGTTCCATCCCCAACATGGAGCGTATTCGAAGAATACGTACTGCTCCCTGGAGCCGTGAGACCTGAATCCGCCGCCATTGTTCTATAGAAGAGTCGCTTCTCCTATGATGTCAGGCCGAAATCGATGCTGGCTCTTCAAATGGCGAGATTAGATGTTGTGGAATGTCGGAACTACCGAAGGAGATCTATCGAGATCCCCCACACCGAGGAATGCACCATGCGCCGACGGAGAAAGACTGGAATTGACTTTAATCGCTAATTTGTCCTCCAGTCGGTGGACAAGCTGTCGGGGGAAAACGCGTGGCTTGAGGAATCTCTTAGGGAGATATGACGAAGGACTGCCCAGCTCTGTCTGTGCGTGCAACAAGCGCAAGCGGTGAGTGGCAGCACTAATCGGGATAAATACAGCTAGAGAGAGTCGTCAAAAGGGCAGAGAACCACGAGTCAAAACTATGACAAGGGCCAGAATCAGGAACGAAGAGAAATGAACAATGGAGGTGGGGGGGGGGGAAAGGAGAGTGTGAGAACAGGGAGGGAGAACAAGAACGAGTCTAGTCAAACGCGGTCGAGATGCAATGCAGGCAGGGTAAGTTACCAGTTACTAACCAAGTGGACTGGGTTGCTTACCGCTAAGTTTACGGATGGCTGGGGATGCGATGCGATCGCGGCTCATACTCCGTTACGGCAGGCACTGGGCAGTGGGCACCACCGACTCGAGCAACAACTGTTTTCTATCTTGGGTTTAGCGCGCCAGCGCATATCCCGGACAACCATTGCTGACTCAGTGGCCCTCGACCCCTTCTGCCGGCACGGACCGCCTGCGCATTCCATCGATCGCGTGCTATCTCTCGTCTTTAGTTATCCATCTTATCGCGCCCGCTCTTGGATCATCAAGTGATCCACCCCTCCCAGCGAAGATAAAAGACATGATGTCTCTTCCCCGTGTCTGATTCCCTGAATCTTCGTTTCTTCTATCTATGGCTGTTTGAACGGTGCATAGTTCGGAGACTATGGCCTCTCAACTCGAAATATTCGTCAAAGCTCTCTCCCGGTAAGTGTTCTCCTTATCGATGCAGGGGTCGACCGCCCTCAGTCAAATGTCACTAACACTTTGGAACATAGCCTTTTGGGCTGGATCTAGTATGTCCTTGAGCCCACCTCCGAATTTGGAGAGGAGTTACCTCTGTCAGGTTCTATCAAATCCCTATTCAGTGGCTTATTGATTGGCGTAGCACGCTTTGCTGGTCCGCATCGTTCTATCCCCAACCGCTCAACAACTTTCGGCGACGTTCAACCACAGGTCTAGCTATTGACTTCCCTACGATAAACGTTCTGGGATTCGTTTGTTATACGATTTATACATCTGCTTTCCTTTGGTCTCCGGTCATTCGCCATCAATATGCTGCCCGTCACCCTCTCGCGCAAGACGCCACGGTGCGCTTTAATGACTTCGCTTTTGCCATCCACGCTGTCATTCTCAGCGTCATATATTACTCCCAGTTCTGGCCCTTCATCTGGGGCTTCAAAGTCTCTCGGTACCAACGGGTCAGTAAACCTGTCGCCGGTCTTTTCTGGGGCTCTATCGTCGGCGTGGGTGTCGTCATTGTGATTGTTCTTGTCAAGAGCCCCAACGGAGGACTTGATCCGTTTTCGTGGGCATGGATCGATGTTGTGAGCAATCCTGAAATATTGCAATCCACTTTCATCTGGCCAGTATGGACATGACTAACTCCGCCAGATTTATGCCATTTCATATGTGAAGTTGATAATCACTATCGTGAAATACGTACCTCAAGCGTGGGTGAACTACAAGCGCAAGTCCACATATGGCTGGAGTATTGAAGGGATTCTCTTCGACTTTTCTGGCGGTGTTCTGTCTCTAGCGCAGCTGATAATGGACTCCAGCTTTCAAGGTGATTGGAGTGGCATCACTGGAAATCCCGCCAAGTTCCTATTATCCAATGTGACCATTTTCTTCGACGTCATCTTTATCGTGCAGCACTACATCCTTTACAAGGATGCAAATGACAAAAACAATAAGGGCCAGGACGCGAACGATAGAACGCCGCTGTTGTCTCAGACCAACGATCTGCCGTGAGCTACCAGTGTCTGTGTATGAGACACGAGGATTGGATTAATTCATTTTGCTTTTTTCTGGACCTTCGCGTTGCGAGTATCTGCCTGTATCGGTTGCAATTTGCTTTGTTTGTCTCGCCTCGGGTTTGCGTGCGATAATATCACAGCCGAGGCTGGAGATCTTCTTGGATTTTGTACACAACACTAGAATTTCCGTCGCAGCAGATGGCGGAGAAGCCGTTCTCCTGAGCACCGAGTAGTTGAAAGCATCTTTCGCGACCGAGGTGGCCAAGAGATGACTCAACTGCTGGTCCTCGGAAATGGATAGAATATTATTTTTGGAATTGTGTTTCACTTCAGGGTATGGCACATACATCATCTCGATGTAACATGACCTTGACACACCTACGCACGCATACACGCTCCAACCGCAGAGATCTGCAGGCCGATCAGGGCCAGCCTGGGGGGTTGGATGCAGTGAAAGCAATACCATGCATAGTAGCGACGGTGCCGACACCGCTCTTTATCAGCCTTCGGCGCTGACTGCAATCCTTTGATGCGGCTACCCTTCCACAATCCCGCCAATCTGGGGATCGCCACGCTGCGGAATCTGGCAACATGGCATGAACTTCCATGCTGCAGCAGGGATGTCCTCCTTGAGGCTTATGGTCCATCTGGCGGTAAGCAGAAGAGATCTGCATCTCAGCCATCTTCAATAGCGCCTACTTGATTGCCCGTTCCGATTAGTTGAGATGTGCCAGCCTTGCAAGCGTGGGGGGCCTAAACATACCGACAGCCATTCATGTCAGCCTGTCGGCCTCGTCCCACCCGCAACGGCGAGAGGAATCGTGCAGAACCATGACTCGAATTCTCGCATATTTGTTCTCCAATTTTGGTTTTCATTTTGTGATACGTCCTCTATGTCCCCTTTTCTTCGTGATTTCTTTTCCTTCCCGCTATTTTCGACTGGAATTTCAGAGCCCGCAGCGCTCCGGCCCTGAGGCTGAGACTCTGGCCCGGACAAGGATTCTTCGACGACACGCGAATACCGCATGCATATTATGCTGCATGCTAAACTGCCGCGCAAATATAGCCTTGGCCTGTGAAGTAATATTATAATCCAAGCTATCTTGTCAGCAGAGGACCGCGTTGTAGTAGTTACTGGGTTGGAAATTGGCGTAGATTTCGAGCCATGCTTCAACAGCATAGTGAATTCCTGACTCTGACAATGCATACGGATCCTTCTGATTCGTGCACTGTGGCTGATTTCATTTGATTGCTATGCACCTCAGCCCTATCAGGTAACCAATCTTGAGCCATGACGGTCAATATTTATGTCTGCACAAGGGGTGAAGATCTGCTTTGAAAAGAACAAATGAGACAATGCCCAGAAAACAATAGTCCGAGTTCCTAGTCTGGGATGCTCTTGGCTGGTATCTGAAATTCTTGCCCTTGGTGTTATCTATGCATACTCCAACCAAAGATGTCATACGGACTTTACCGGCTGGCACTTTGAAGTCAGCTGCGATTCTGGAATTCAAACGCAGTGGAATGACCGATTACATCATGCACCTTGCAATGCTCCCCGCTTTACATCAACCCCATGGATATGATTTATATTAATCACGAGTTTCAAAGCTAGTGTGAATGCTGCTGACGGCGTCAACGTCTGGCGAAGCCAATGACACAGTGGTATCAAACTTCAAGAGTGGATTTATTAAGCAGAGACTCGGAATGACTCCCGCTCAGCTAACCGGATTGACCGTCAGCTCTCGACACATGCATAGCCACATCTGACATCCAGAACCGTTCCTTCGAGATCAGTAGTATGTCCAGAAAGACCGTGATTTATATTGATCTGCAACATCCTCCATAGGCAACTCGAAAGAAGCTAGACGATGAAGAAGCACTGACCAGAATCTTGAGCCTGATGATACTGATTGTTAATTATCCTGCACGAGGATCACACTCATTGATGAGAGAGGAACGTGTCCATGGAAGAGGGTACAGATGTAAGTGAGAAATTCCATTCGTGGAGAATCAGGCCTGACACCCATATTTAGCACGAGTCAGCCTACAATAGAGTGTCTGCTAGTTCAGAGCCTTCCATGATGACTTCACGAACTATGACTGACAACCGGGTGCTGCTTGTCCCCGGCTCCTTCGTCCCAAGTACCATGTCATTGCAAATGCAGCCGCACCTTCTTCCAGCGGCAACCTTCCACGAGGCCTCTCTGTCAGCCATTCATGGGGTGCCTGGAAACCTGGGATATACGCTCAACCAACCCCACGGCAGAAATCCGGGAATGGACGCTGTCTTCTTCCAGCAAGGACCTTACATGCAACCTTTCTTGGGCCAAAACCTGTCGTCTTCCACCCAGCATAATATGCCACTGTCAGCACATTCGTTAGCAAGCACATCTAGTCAAGCTTACCATGTGCGCCCGGGAGGTTGGTCGACGCAGGTGCAGACGCGACTACAGGCACATACACCAACCCCAGAACCGAACGCAGCAGTCGAGTATCACTTCACAACGCCTCATCAGCACCAGCCAACATTATCCCAGCAGCAACTGACCCCCGTATCCACCTCAACGGCCGACTTTGACCTCGACCTGGATCTCGATCTTGATCTGGATTTCGACCTTGACGAGCCTCCATCTCATCCTCAAACACACCTTCCACACCCTCTCCCACATGACAACGCCGCCGCTACGGTCTCATCAATCTCATCCTCACCACCGCGCTCCGAACACCCTTCCAACAGCCACCATCCTCATCGCGACCTTACAAACTACGGCATCCCGAACCCCGATGGAACATGGCGCTGCGCTTTCCCAGGGTGCTCTTCACAAGCCCTTTTCCGTCGTGGCTGCGACCTCCGCAAACACTACAATCGACACCGCAAGCACCTCTTTTGTCGCTACGAGGGTTGCCCACAGGCCGTGCGGGGTGGATTCTCGAGCAAAAAGGACCGAGATCGACACGAAGCCAAACATAACCCCGAGATTCCATGCGAATGGGAAGGGTGCCGCCGGGTCTTCAGTCGAATGGACAACATGAAGGATCATGTTAAAAGGATTCACAAGAGGCGAGACACCTGAGAAGCTCTCTTTCGCCCCCGCCTTTCGCCCTCCTCTCTCGGTCACCCATATCCTGCAAGGGAGGGCGGCAAATTCTCGAACAAACCCTCTCGCCCCCATGGGACGAATCCTCTGGGGGGAACGGACTGGTCAGCTACACCTACATAACTACATACGTTCTGCTACAAAGTATGTACGTAGTGTTGTGCTCCTTTCCCCTTCCGCTGACGAAAAAAAGATATTTTTTTGTTCTCAGCCTCATCCCATGACTCGACCAAAGAGGAAGGAAGACGTATGGCCCCGGGTTTGGCTTGCGTGCTTGCAGGACTTGGCTTACCAGTCATCATTAGCCTAACCCGCGCACCTCCCCCATTCGTCTCACCCACCTTTGCAAAAAGGTGTGGTAAGCTAATCAATAGGTATTTATCATCATCATCATCATCATCATCATCATCATCACCATCATCGCCCTCGCTTTTGGTCGCAGGAAGGATCAATGCTCGCAAACTCCGATCCAACTTACCATCCATGGAACCAGGAAACAACAACTGGCTTCCACACAGACCTTCGGAGGATTACCGGTGCACAATGCACGGGCAATACAGCATCCACTCCACTAACATTATCAACACTTCGCCTTCTAGATTTATACCCCGTCTCTTAACACATGAAGTCACACCCCATGATTACCTTGATACCATCCACTCCAGACAAGTCCACTAAATCCCACTATGCGGTCGCTCTGCTCCACACAATCTGAAAGGTCACTGCAGGTCAGTGAGGGCATTCCGGAACATCTGATTCACTCGTGTACTCTATCCACTTACCATTCTTCCACATCCTTGCCCGCAAGACCTATAGGAATTTGTTCCTCTCTCTGTGCCCTCTGTTTATCTACCTCCTCCTCCTCCTTTTCACCTTTCTTCTTCATCTGGAATGTTATCTATTGGGATATCACTTTTTCTCCTTTTTTTTTTCTTTCCCCTCTCCTGTTTTTCTTACTGCATTGCCGAGGCTAGCTGGCTGGCTGCGCAGATGAAAATTCGAAAATGCGATATGGGGAATCTGTTCAAAACAATCACGAAGAGTTAGAAAAAAGAAGAGACCTCAATAGAGAACTCTTAAGATCAAAAAAAGAAGAAAAAAAAATTAATCCCCGCCTCTCGTTTTTCTTCATTGGGTGCCAATACTTTTCCTTCCATGCCTCTGGTATCTGATGCGCACCCATTAAGGATTAGCAGGGTTTAAAATTCAAATTCATTGAAGGAAGCCGCTTATCGACCTTCGATCAACGCCAGAGCTCCTATATGTATATGTAAGGGGATAATTTACGGTAGATGGACTGCAAACTGTTTAAAAAAAGGCGTAGAAGAGAAATCAGGCACAGCAGAGGAACGAAGATGAGGTTTGAAGAGAAAGGTCTCGAAAAGACAGCAAGGAAAAAGAGGTATCCGGCAAGCTTGGCACAAAAAAAAAAAATAAGAAAACGCCGAAGAGTCCAAAAAAGTCTTGTACAAAAGAAAAATATTGCGCGAAGGTATTCAGCAACGGACGAGGATAGGCAGTATATGCAAAGCAACGACTTTGAACGAATGGCTTGGAGCAAACGAGTCAAGGGGAAAAATGATGGCAGAGAATCAAAAGCGGCTCTAAGAACATTTGGTATCACTGAAAGAAGAGTATCAAGAAGACGGACGGGACGAGCTCATAATGCATGTGCAGTATACAAGAATCGGAGAATCGGATGGCGGGCCATGGGCAAGAGTGGCTGCGTGATTCTCAGCATGACTTATGAAGTATCAGGCTCGTGTTTGGGAAAGCCACTTTTCTGAGGACTAAATCAACGCGCTCACTCTCGCTAATGCAATATCATATGAATAGTAAACCTGCACTTATGTGGGGAGTCCTTCATAATAATCATGAAGAGGAACGCTCATTGGGGGTTGGTGCGGCGGCGCCGACCGCGGTTGCTTCCTTCCGGCCTCTGAGCCAGGACCTGCCTGAGGGCCGGGTCATCCTTATTCTTATCAACATGATGGACTCGGACATGCCTGTTGGAAGTATGTGAGTCGCAAACTCAGACTGCCCTCTCTTAGAGATAAAGCTTACCGTTGAAGGTTATCCGGTCGAGGATACTTATGTTGCTGATCGGGACAGAAAGGGCAGACGTAACCGGGAGAGTTATGGACAAGGCCATGTCGGATCATCTCGTTCTTTCTCTTGAAGCCCTTGCCGCCTGGCCCACGAGGACAGCCTTCTATGGGGCAAAAATGAGGACGGTCTTGGGAGTGGACGTTCGCGTGAGAACTGCAGAGTCGTTGAGTCTGTGGTCTCGAATCGAAAGGGGTCAAATAGGCGCTTACTTGAGTAGATATTGAGTCTGGAATGGAGGTGCCGTGCATCCAGGATGACGACATTTATAGGTTCCAGCTGTTACAGGTCCGTTAGTGTGCGCAGGAGGGTTAAACTGTCGATCGCAGGTTCCTGTGGGCGTCTGATCCGTAGGAGTAGGATAGCTTGTCGCCGGGCTTTTGACCGTGGAGGGCGCCACTTCATATGGGGAAGCCAGATAAGGTATCTCTTTTACTCTCCAGTACGGTGATTGTGAAGCAGGAGATGGCATGGTTGACAATTCCTTTGAGCTTGCAGGAGACAGATGTGAATATGGGCTGGGCGGCACTTGAGGGGGGGGTCCAAATTGTCCCATCCGCTGGTGATCCCAAAGGGTGTCCGCCCTCGAAACTGGAGACGAAGCTTGTACTGGAGGCAAAGTGTACGAAGTTGAGCTATTGATGCGTACGGCAGGATTCGGCGGTACATCTGAGACTGCTGCTAGTGCAGTTTGAAGAGAAGGAAGACTATGGTCCACAGCATTGCCCGTCAATGTCGAGTGAAGCGCCGGCAGAACCTGGCCTGGAGATGTCGCAGGATTGAAGAACAGCAGATTTTTTAGGCGGGTGTCAGAATCATGTTGCTCAATATGCTTCCTCTGGGGTGGAGGAGGATCCGACAGTAATGACGAGATATTGGCAGGCGTATGCTGCTGTTCTTGTTTAGGAGAAGGTTGCTCTGGAGACTGGTTGGGCTCTTTTGGCGTTGATCCAAACTGGACGTTCTCCCTGGGATCCTCCTTGAACAGATCGAGCGCTTGTTTGGCTGCATCCACAGCTTTTAAGTTGTCTGAGTCCGTAGATTTGAATTGATCCGGCGGCAAAGCATTCTCGAACTTAGACTTGAGTTTAGTAATCTTATCATGGGATTCCTCCGAGTCTGCCTCATGGGAGAAGCCCTGAGTATATTCGAAGTTGGCTATATCAGGTCGATTAGGCTCTAGATGTCTGATCAGCACCGAGTTGCCCTCGAGTGTTCTGGGCTTGGGAGATTCCGGCAGGCGCTTACGGGAACTGCCCGAAAACGGCGCCACGTCGTCTACAGCATGTTTAGGATCGTCTCCCTCAGGCGGCGGTTTCCCGAACGGCGGAGGCGAATCCTTGAGTGAGTAATCGACCCGGGTGACTTTCAGCCCGGGAGAACCGGGCATTTCATCGGGATCGTATGATTCTGTCATGAAGGCGGTGGTTTGAGGCGCATCAGGTGCGCCAGCCTATTGCTTGTCGGCGGTTTCTTGTGCTCCACGCCGCGTGAGAGGATGCGATCACACGGCAGAAGCAGTGGGATCCAGGTCTTTAATCTCTGCAGCGGGCACAGCAGGCCAGTCGTGCTGTGGGGCTCAGAATGCACTGTCATCTGATTAGTATGTGCGCGGGTACAGCCCAAGCAAAATGGCGTGTATGACACGAAAGATGCAGCTGACAGAAAGATGAGACGAGCAAATCGCAGTAGCTATAGCCCCATGAATCAGGACCTGAGCATGGCCCAGCGAGAAGGATTGGAACAGTCCAAGGTTGAGATGGAAACAAACAGCGAGGCAATGAACAGGCAAGGTTAGAGGATCGGACCAATGGGTTAAGATCCGATCTGTAGCACTTCGGGAAAACACCACATTTGGACCCGTTGCAGTGAGTGTGGGGTGCAGATCTAGCAAAAGACAGCCAGGAGATGTGGAAGGCAAATAAAGAGAAGAGAAACAGAATGGAGACCAAGGATATAGAAGGCAGGATTGTCATGTTTTCACATGACAGCAAGGGTCCTCCTCCCTGCTAATATACATCTTACATGTATATATCTGTTGGCTGTGTGATAGAGGATGGTGGGACGAGGAGAACAAAGAGGAGAGAGAAAACGGGGCAGGTGTAATTATTCTTTGCTTACCTGCTGCTGTCACGGAACCCAAGTCGGGTAGCCTCAGGAACCAAGCGATGAGGCTCAAGCGGAAGTCAATCAACCGCACGTCGAAATCCACTCCGCAGAAAGGCTGCACTGCACTGTGCGCATAGATGAAACAATCGGTTGCCCACACCAGGATGAGAAGCCGTGGGAACAGACTTCTGGAGAGAACCTGGATCGTCTCCCAGTCGGAAGGACAGTCGTTTGGTTCAGTGAAGCAAGAGCGGGGGATGACGATAAGAAAAGGTCACAATGTCACTTCTGGCCCGGCAAAAGATGGAAGTAGAAGAGAAGCAGGTAAGCGAGCATCAGGTCATGGGAGGAAAATCATCGTCTAACGGCGCCAGGAGTAAGCGACGGCAACAGCGGGACTTGTGGTGATAGCAGTAGCCGTAGTAGATGTAGTAAGATTGTCCATAAGCAATGGAGAATAGCAGCAGCAGCAGCAGCAGCAGTAGCAGAATGAAACCAGGGCTAGAATGTAAAGGATTAACACAAAAGAAACGAAGCACAAGGTAAGGTAACTAAAGTCAGAACAATGGTGGGCCGGCAGTAATTAAGACACGATGGAATAGTGTCCGATAAAGCTAATAGTTCGAGCCAACGGGATTATGACGCGCTTGGCAGAACCCGAAAAAGAAGCAATGAGAAAAATAAAAAAAATATATAGCAATAATGATGAAACCGAAAGAATAAAATAAAATTGGATAAGATAGAAAAGGATAAAGAAAAAAAAGGTTCAGGTCAGGGTACGGCCGAGCGGTCAGGAAACCAAAAGCAGCAACAGGAGCGTGGGAAATGGCAGAATTGAAAGGAAGGATCCGGTTAGAAGCAGGAGAAAGAATTGGGAGGGAGAGAAGGGGAAGAAGGACGACAAGAATGGGAAAATCCACACAATAGCGGATGGATGGATGGATGGATGATGATGAGTGGATGGAATTGGAATGGAGACGGAGATGGAGATGTGGATAATGGGGATGGAGATGGGATGGAATAGAGACGGAGAGAACTGTAGACTAAACTCACCTCTGAACTACCTAACCTAAGTCCTAACCTAACCACCTTCTTACCTTACCTCAGTCCACACAAAAAAGCCGTGGTACTCGGAGTGGGATTGAGGAGAAGAAGAACCGTAGGAAAACCCGCGGACTGAAAGGTCGATCCACAGACAGCCCGGGCTGGAAAAGACAGACAGACGCGGTGGAGAACAATCAGAACAGACAGCCGACAGGACAGGTTTCTGGCTTGGACACTACTACTAGTAGCATCAAGATGGAGAAGAGAAAAAAAAAAAAATTATCAGCTTACGAAGAGAGCAGGAAACTCGAAGTGATACTCTCTCTTCCCTGCCTTTTTCTTCTCGTATTTACCAGTTATTCCCTTCCCAGCTACCATTCCAGTTCCGATTATTATTGACCGTCAATGGTCCTCTTTCTATCTTTCTGCCTGGCTGGGCTGGCTGATTCTGTACTGACCTAGACTCCGTCTCTGGTACATCCCCTGTCTCTTTTGAGATCTGATTGAGTGACTTGGTGGGTAAGGTTCTCGCAAGAAAGTTTGACTGCCAGTCATGAGAATCATACCCGAGAACACTGATTTCCTGAAAACAATGTCCTAGATTCACCTTGAAAGTCTTCACCAGCATCTAAAGGGAAGGGGGCAAGAGGGAGGTCCTGAAGAAGACGTTGAGCGAGTGACTGATTGAACGCTGACTCCCAGACGCGCCACTGCAGCAGGCAAACAGAGGCAGGTGGGGTGAGTCCCTCGCCCCTCTCTCTCACACAACAAGAGGCGGACATTCGTTCACCAATATTTAGTTAATACTCCGTAAGTTAGTAATACCGTTAGTTAGTTACATGCTGCTGTTACTACCTATGAATGAACCACCATGTGGTTATCACCTTGCAGATCTATGCTAGCCTTGAACGCTCTCTTCATTTCTTTCTTTTGACCTTGATCGAGCACGCAACGAAAATAACATAAAGTCAAAACAGCAAGAAGAAAGAAGAATAATGCCACGTCCACGAGGCTGATCCAGCCAGCCTAAACCGAATAGAGGCTCCACATAAATGAGGCTCTCTGCATGAGACTCAATGATTGGTAGTCATTGGCGGGCACAGGTGAAGAGGCTGAATTGTTCATCTGCACAGAACCGTCGTAGAACTTGGCGGCGAGGGGAAAAGGTGTGTTTGACTTACCGCCGCTGCTCTCCAGGCTGACGCCGCCGCTGCCACTTGCTTGCGCTTCACAGACTTCTTTCACGCAGCTCGATCGTCGCAAATCGAGGAGATTCTCGATCGATCTCCTTCCCTCCCTTCTAGTAGTTATTGAGTATATCTAGCCACGCACGCGCATAGTTGGTTTCAATTGATCGACATCACCGTCATTTCTCGTTGTACTCCGTACAGTACCTCAGGCGATGGAGGGGCTCGCTTGCCGTGCAGTCGATTGATTAATGGTGATGATGATGGCTGACCGCCTCGGAACGAATCTCAGTCGATTTCGCAACCTCCACTTGGCCCTACTGGAGAAAATCCTTCTGGCTCGGTAACACGGACGGCACGGCATAGCTTTTTAGGTATACAGTCATCCACTGATCCCTTCATCATGCACAGGGATGTTCATCAATTTTTTACGAAGAACAGGGTTTTGAGGCAGCAGCCTTTGGGACCCGGCGATGAAAACAAACAGTCGCGACCGCACTTGCGAACAGGTCACATTGAGGACGAACGAGCAATCTTCAAGAAGAATAGTAATGAGGTTGATGATGATGCAACAAGAGAGTTCAAATCAGAAATCATGATTTCCGTACGGACATGATTGACCAGGTAGTAAATAGATTGATTGAGGTCCAGTAGTGATTGTTAGTGGCCGCTAACGAGCTGAGCCGAATCTGACTGCCCCCGTCCTTCGAACCTGACCAGTAGCCGCCGGCAGGATTGAGCATACTACAGAGTCCCGAGTACAAAGAGGAATATGGTAAGGGTTGAGGCTAGGGGAAAGAAGGAATAATAATCATTATCATCAAGTCCGCTGTGTCCCACTTCTACCACTCCCTGTTTCTTCCGGTTCTCCCCCCAGTTACATCGCATGGCCATCTCATCATCGTTCAAGAACTAAACCCATCACTGACAACAATGTCAGTGGAATTCGTATTCTGGACGGTTGGCGATTGCAGACTTGACCTCTTCGGCATTGGTTTTTCGACCCGTTGAGTCCCAGAACCATGAATCGGAATGGGTCTGGGGGGTTTGGGCGGGAAACGGTTATCTACACCAGAGCCTTTAACTAACCCCGTGTAGGAAAAGTCCTTGGACCGGACCTGAGTTAAGGTAGTGATGATTATAACTAGCCAGTGGCTAGCCACTCGACTAAAAGTTACTCTTCCCCTCTTTCGGCTCAACCAGAGACCTAATTGTCCCTTCGACGCTTGGCTTTCTGGAGTTCAATTCCGGAAGGGCAGGGAAGAATCGCAAGGGAAGGAAAGAAGAAGCAAAGAAGAAATAACCAAGACCGCCCAATATAAGAAAAAAAAAAAGGACAAGAAGCATGCTTGATGCCCATCCGTACCCCCTTGTTCGCATCCAATCCTTGCTCTGATATGCAGCCAATCCTCTATCCCTAATTAGGCAGGTCTTCGGAGACTGGCTGAGCCTGTAACTTAGTGACAAACTTACAGGAAGTTAACTATGTGTTGTGGACTGACTGACAAAACTACAGAGTACGGTGTAGTACTACAAACAACTAGGGAGTAAGTACAATTCTCTAGTGGTTCTTGCGCCTTTCTCAACCTCCTCAGTTCCTCCCCTCCTCTTCTTACCACCCCCCCTCCCCCTCCTTAGCCTAGAAGTGCTAGTGCTAGTTCCGTGGCTAAGACCCGGAGTAATTCAGGCGTGGTCACTCTGGTCAGACTTTCAACTGTCACTCTGCAGATGATCGGGTTGTAGCCAGCCCCCGGCCCCACGCGCCTTTTCTTCTTCCTTATGCCCCTCTCTTCCCCCTCCCCACCTCGTTGTCAGTGCACCGAATGATCGAGGCTCGTTTCACAACAGGCCATAAGGAAGAAGGAAAGGCGGTAAAAGCTCTCTCTTGATGCGGCTACTGCTACCTAGTCTGCTACCGCTACTCCCACTACCGGCCTGCAGATTCCGACTCCAGCGACCAGCAACTGAGGATTAACAGCGGATCACTTCGTGCTGGGGTCCATTTATTCATCTGCAGGGCTGACCAGATAGCGCACCTACATTAACGTCTCCGAATCCACTTTACATGACGACACTGCCCTTCGATGAGGATTTTCTGAAGCTCTTCGATTGTGATGATTTCCAGTGCTCGGAGGTGGGGGAGGGGGGGGGAACGGGTTGCTTATTTGATTAAGCCTGTTCATCCCGTTCCAGATATAGTGGGAAGACACTCATTACTCCATCTATCTTGATAATGTACCCGACAATCTGCCAGCACAGCATTCTGCTCCACGCTAGGAGGACTACCTCGCCCAAGGAAAAAGTACCGTGCCCATGATACATAGTTGTTTCTTGAGGGGGCTTACGGCGGCACTCACTTGCTTCCTGCACAACCATCTTTGCCTGGCTGCTCCAGTTAGGAGTCTCTCGCCGTCGAATTGTGGGACATTGACTATGGGCACTCAAGTACCACCTTCCCAGATACTTAGTTACATAAATCTCTCTATCATGTCAACCCAGCCAACCAATCCATAGAGCGAAAGTCATCATGCTCGAGTCACGGCCCACGAGCAGGTAACTCTCAAATGGGCACAGATCAACTCCAGAATGGTTACTCTGCACGACGGAAACCATGAAGAAGCCAACTTGTCCTCAAGAACAAGAGAAACACCAACCAAAGGAAATGCCCCGATTCAAGGGTTCTAAATCTCCTGAGAAGCCGAGTAAACCCCCAGAGAAAGGAACAACATGAAAGAAACAAGGAAACAGAAGGTCTTGCAAAGATGCGACATGTCATCCGATGAAATCGACCGGATAGGGACTAGAGGCGGCCCGCGCCGAAGCAAACTGACGGTTCAGTTCACCAATGCGCGGATGGATCATCGGCGGTACTTATAATTTCCAGGTAACTACTATGTGTGTATGTATGTGTGTGTATGTGGCCTTAGCCCTGTTTATTATTGTTGTTATAGGCAGTAAGCAGCACACAAACAAAAATTAAAAACATGCTCGCATGCAACTGAGAGGGAGATACTTCACTTATATTAGTTATTCAGAATCAGTATCAATCGTCAAAAGGCCAAGACAGCCGCCGCAATCTGTGCATCATAATGGTCCTGGTCGTCAACGGGTTCCTACCACCAACAAATGAATGTACTGTAACACTTCACACCTCGACCCCCCTTCGTCTGCATCACCCAATTTGATCGACATCAAGACGGCAAAAGAAGGGAGCTAGAAAACTTTAGGAAATTAAGGGAGGAAATGCCAGTTATATCGAAGGCGGGCGGATTACGGTTTGCCAACTAAATTTCAACGGTTGTCTCTCTCTCTCTCTCCGCGCCCACCAAAACCTCTCACCTCTCCTCACCTAAGACAAAACTCCCACGTCGAGAAGGAAAGTAATAATATGGCTCGGTTCAACCTCTTCTTTAATATCCTATCCGGCCCCTAGACTAGCCGACTAACCTTAACCAGCTAGTCAAAGGATTCAGATCCCGTGTATATCCACTGTACATACGACGGGCGACGGTGGAAGTATGATAAAACAAGCAGAGTTATTCCTCGGACAACATCCCTCACCTTGCCCTAAATCCCTTTAAACTTCCCGAATCTTTCGGGAAGGAATTCGAACTGTTTACTGTAGTACTAAACCACGATGGTCCCGAGTATTGTACAATGTACACAACTCCCGCTGCTTGTTGAACAGCAAAATGATACAAGTATAGTGGCTGCTGTCAAGCGTCAATGCTTGAGACTTCGCCGTTGACCGGCGACACGGTGTCGATGGTGGTATAGTGAGCTTTCTAATCTTGATTTGTTTGTTTAGTCGGTGCGGAGAGGAGGTTGGGTACTCATGGTTAACTAGTAGTAATAGATGAGTACAGTGCGTTTGAAGTAGAGTTGGCATGTTGCCCCGTGATACATGCTACGGGCCTACTGCTTCCATAGACCATTAGCTAGTAGGTACCTATGGGCGGCGGTATGGGGGCGATTCATTGCCAGATAGAGCAAGGATAGATAGCTATCTAGTAAGAGTAAGCTGCAGTGGTGCAGTGGGTATTCAAATACTAGTTAAGAGTTACTTAGTACCTAGTACGTAATGTCTTAGCTTGAAAGGCACAGGCTGCTCCACCTAATATATGGATGTCAGATCTGCCACCCTGTACCTTTCGGTTTCCTGTACTTACGTAGTCTCCTAGGAGAATAGTGATCACATCGTGCGGGGGTGAATGGAGTGACGAGCGAATAGAAAGATACTTAACGTGTATATACTCGGAATTTTAGTTGATGGTACTTTGATTTTGAGGCCCGGTTTCCCACTCCACGAGCCACTGACGTTCGTTCGGGAGGTGAATCCTGCCGAGGCCCTCCCACAGCATGGACCACGCAGCGAATAAAAGAGAACAAAAGTAGTCAGAACCCAGAACAGGGAGTGCACCTCTTGATTCATGATGGTGTGTAGGGTGTGTATGCTATCGCAGCTCCTACCTCAAAGAGAAGCTGCAATCGCGAAAGCGGGGCAAATTTATAATTGAAGCTCCAATGTGTACCGATACTGAACTGTACAATTGTGTCTCGATTGTGTGTCGCAACGCAGTCAGGGCCTCCGTTCGCATGGTACAGTCATGTGTACAGTTAAGCACACTGATTCCGGCGCTCCTCGGCGTTTTGAGAGGGGGTAGGACCTCGGATCCAAGCTGAGGCTGCTCAAAAGACGGAGACCCTAAGTGCATTAGCTCACAGGGAGCCGCACCCAATTATTTGCCTCAACCAGGGACCTCATGCGTTGGTGCCGGCCTCTTTGCTGACTTTTCGCATTTGGTCACCCAAAGAGGCGTACGCTCGTTGCTGGCCCGGGTGCTGTTCCCTGCTAAGTAAGCGCATATACGAGGAAATCCGGCGTCATCCGCTTCAATCTCACGCTCTTATTCTACCTACAGCTAATCTTACTATCCCATCCCACTCACTAATCGACTAGCTCAACTAGTAAGTTCGCTTGGCTTCCCTATAGGAACAAGAAAAACCCACGGGGAGAAATTAAGAAAAACGGAGGGAAAATGTAAAAGAGATCAAATAATATAGTTTGACCGTGCACTCTGAGGCTACTGCTGCCCACACTATTCATTGGCACTAGCGTGCATGCTGACTGACGCACTGACATTGGATTCTTTTGTTTATGCTCTTCTCAAGCGTGCACACGTACAAGTGCATCTGCTCTTCGAGATGTCACAGCCCGTCCCCGGCTCGCTGGATTCGACGAGGCATCTTGCATGAGAGAGGTCTCCATGAGTCTAAAGATCGTGAACTGCATGAGTACGAGACATGGATCACAACATTACGCCAGTTCATCATAATGCACTTATTTTTCGATGATGTCCCGCTATATATTCTGAATGTCAAGGAGCAGGCGAGTGAAGAGGGCTGAATGGGCAGAAATCACGCTTTCAAAATTTGGCCCGTTGTTGCAGCTGTTCTTGCACCTGCTTGACTCGCTCCCACGCCTTCATGGCAAATGGATTGGTGTTCCTCGCGTATTCAACAGCGCGAGCACTACTGGCCTGCCGAAGTGCAAATCGGGCCTTGATGCCCTGCATAATGACAGAGCTTCGCCATGAAAAGAACGCATCTCCCCATGGAATGTCGGGTGTAGGGTCATAGCCGGACACCTCCTGGTACCATTGGACACATTCAGCTCGCGTGGGCAACCCAGGGACCACGTTGGGCTTGAACTGGTCTGTCTTATGATCCGTTCCTTCCAGGAAGTATGGGCTAGTCAGATTACAAAGGTCTGACAGCGGATGCCCCACCGTGGCCATTTCCCAGTCCAATATGCCGATGACACGAGGCTCGGATTTATGGAAAATCATATTATCAATCTTGTAGTCCCCGTGCACGAGCGTGCCCCTATCCTGGGGCTGGGTGACCTTATTGGAAAAGAAACGCACCATGTCCATGAAGTGAGGCAGTTCTCCGACCGGTTCCTTGGTCTCCACATCCACCGCTTGGGCCTGGGCGCGAGACACTGCAGTAAATGTAGCAATCTGACGATCATAGTAGCCCGACGGCTTTCCGAACTGTTCCAGACCAACCAGCTCGGGAATGATTCGATGAAATCTGGCTAGTGTCCGGACCGCATCCTGCCATCTACATTATCTTAGCTCGAGGGACCTACTAGCGAAGGGAGGGAAACCCTGCAGGCCTCTGAGCGACTAGCAACAAGGCGATAACATACAGTGCAGTCCTTTCGGCGGGGTCAATGCCGGGCATAGCAGGATCAGTGAAGTGGCGACCATCCAGGAACTCCATGATATAGAAAGGTGTGCCGATCACAGCGTTATCTTCGCACAGGCAGTAGGCCTTGGGTACGGGCACGTCCGTATGTTCCAGAGCATGAATGATCTTGTATTCACGCTCGACCTTGTGCGCCGTCTTGGAAAGCAGCTTGCCTGGGGGCTTCTTGCGCAGGACATACTTGCTGCCGTCGGCGGTTGTGAGCTGGTAGGTAGGATTGGATTGTCCAAAACCGAACTGACCGAGGGATCAGTAAAACAAGTTTTCATGATCGGTGCTGTGAGCTAGTCAGGAAATTCGCTACCTGCTTCACATCTACTGGTGTTTTGATCTCCGGAACATTCTGCTCGAGGTAGCGTTCCAAGGAGGGAACGTCAATCGGTTGACGCACGGCTCCAGCCATAGCCCGACGGTCTAAATGGATGGAGGTGATGAAGATACAATGGACGATGCAGTTAGCTCACAATTTGGCCCTGTCAGTTAGAACGCTGGGTAGTCGTGAGCTGAAAATATGTAACATGCTTGACAGGGCGAGCAGTCGGTGGTGGTTTATAAGGCACAGGTACAGGTCAATTCCAGCCGAGGCTAAGCAGCGCACCGCATTCCATAGGACATGATTTGCGGGGCGTCGGCTTAACCTTCAAGGTTGGAGGCGGAGGGAGAGCCAGCCGCGGGTACAACCCTTTTTGTCATGCAATCAAACAGTGCAAACTGATATCCGTTGAGTAAGAAAAAGCAGAGGCAGAACATAGCACTTAACGCGCTCGTCGCGCCAGACGCGTTCCCGCCATGAAAGCTCCCCTCACCCTCGCATTTCGTCGCTTGTCTCGACAGATCGCATTTTTTCCTTCTACTCTTCCTCCTCAGAGAATCACTGGAGGAAGCAATAATTCTAGCCACTTCTTCTCAACATCAATTCCTACATCATCTACACCAACCCTTAAGATAATGACCAAGGAGACCACCCCTCCTCTCCCCACCGAATCCACCGCTACTACTACGACCGCAACATCTAACCACGAACCTCCCTCCGCTCCCTCCTCCCCGCTCGCCAAACGCACAAAATCCAACACCACCGACGAACAAAGCCAGCAACAACAACCTCAATCCCAACAGACATCAACAATGGGCTCCACCGCTAATCCACTCCCCACCCTCCTCGTCCAAAAGCTCACCCCCTCGGGTCGCGCTCCGACGCGCGGCTCTGCCTTCGCTGCCGGCTACGATCTTTACAGTGCCAAGGATACTGTCATCCCCTCCAAGGGCAAGGCCCTCGTAGACACAGGTATTGCCATTGCGGTACCTGAAGGAACCTGTAGGTGTTGACTTCAACGTTTCGTGTCTCGGACGCAAATATTCCCTCTTCCCGCCTCGGTTGTCCGCAGTCAGACCAAACTCGGTCAAGCGAGGCTTTGACTATAAGCGTATCCAGACTAACCGCATGAATCATGTACTCTCTAGATGGCCGCATCGCTCCCCGCAGCGGTCTCGCTTCGAAGCACTTCATTGACACCGGCGCGGGTGTCATCGACGCTGACTACCGTGGTGAGGTAAAGGTGTTGCTTTTCAACTTCTCGGACGTGGATTTCGAGATCAAGGAGGGTGACCGGGTGGCACAGTTGGTATTGGAGAGGGTGAGCAAACCCTATTTTACCCAAATGATCTGTCGAAAGGAGGAGAAGATGGAGAATCAGTTGGATTGAGAGATCTCAACAAATGAGCTAACGCAATGCTTTGTTTCTGCGCAGATCTACACACCTGAGGTGACTGTTGTGGAGAAGCTGGAGGAGAGTGTTCGTGGAGCTGGTGGGTTCGGCAGTACTGGTACGAACTGAATGACAACAAACATGAAATTGATGTGATGATGAGTGCAGGGGCAGAAAAAAGAACTCTTGATATACCTGTGCATATTTGGAACATAGAAAATAGCGAACCAAGAAGAGTTTCAAGAGTAGATCTTGGTGGAAATATATTATCCGCAATTTTGCGACTTTTAGTTTACATCATCCCTTCCGCTTTCATTAACAAGACAACCTCGAAATAGCGGTCTACTGCATACAGTCCCCGAGTTTCTATTCCGTCAATGCTGGACAATATCTATAATCCATCTATGCAAGCCCCATCGGTGAATATGGAAGAAGTTCTTATCACCGGAATTGTGATGGTAGATCATCTTTACTCCATTCCTGGGCTGGGAACTCTACCGTGGGCTCGCGTAGTAATTGTACATGGCGCACTACTCGGACCTCCGCGGCTTTGCTCTCACGCAGGTGCTCTTGTTTTCGCCTCTCTTCTTCACTAAAAACTTCCCCATTGGAAATGACTGCCGCCTGCAGCTCTGCGTTGCGCGCCTCCATAGTCTTCTCGAGGATACAGTGCATACTGGCGAGGACCTTGACAGTCGACTGTGCCAATGGCAAAGCGGTAGCGGAAACATCATCTGGCGAGACCCAAGACTTGGTGGTGCGAAGGGCGGGGTCAGCAGCAAAGACAGCCTCGCGGAGCCGTGCCACCGTCAGGGCAGCAAACATGTCCCCCGTCCCGCTAAAATAGCAGTCTAATGCAGGGACGTCCACGCGAAAAAGACGCGGGGAGCCATCAGAGCGGGTGGTAGAGCCGATCACAGTGAGAGTGTTTGCGGATGGTCGAGTGGATGCCGGTGACGAATCTTGTGAGAGATTGGAAATCTGGACGGATGTGATGATAACGTGGGGAACTTTGTAGGTAGCGTGAATGGCGGTGATGGCTTCTGCGAGAGTGCTGAGAGAGGTGATCTTGACACCGGATAAGACCCTGTTCGTGGACATTAGGCCACTGCTCCTATAAATGGCACACTAAGGAAGAAAGCTCACTCAGCTTCGAATTGGTTCGGTAAAATTAAGTCTGCGTGATGGATCATTCTCTTGTATGCAGGAACAACATCATTGTTGACATAAAGTCGACCTTGGTCACCCATGACCGGGTCCAGGACTGCGCACAATTAGATGATTTTCCCAGGGGAAGGCTGACCTAGCTTACCCCAGAAAAAAGAGCCTGGCTTTTTCGCCGCCTTGCGCTGCAAATCTATACCGATAGCTCCAACAGCCTCCACTGCGGCCGCGCTGGGGGCATAGCCCGACAGCATAACGTCAAAGTCGGTGAGATGGCTTTGTGTCAGGCCTTCGTACAGCGTGGTAATCTCTTCGGCAGTGGCTCTTGTCCCCTTGAATTGCCTGTACCCCGTGTGGTTACCTGGACACCGGATCAGTCTTGTGCTCGGATGATGCCATGAGACAATAGGAACAACTGACTGAAGTGCACTGTATTCAACGCGGCAACATCACAGCCCAGGAGCTGCATGACCACACTCGCCATTTTATTGCCAACATATCTGTCTATTCAGTCAGCCTTGAGCTATGTGGCGACAAGTACCATGATCAGAGTGCATATAGAGGGCAGGCTTGGAAGTGGGAGTCATTATCAATTGTTCCCCGCGGTAATATGACACATACCCATAGACAACCTAGTCAGGCTGGGTCAGCTGACTGTCCGAGGGTCCTAGGAAAAAGGTGGGAGACATTGAACATCACATACATGGCTAGCGACTGCGAGGACCCGCGTTTCAGGAACAAAGAGATCTGCGACCATGATGGAAATGAAGGAGAACCGGTGGAGGAGGGGTAGGGGACTGTTCAACAAGGTTCGGTTTTCGGACGATGGAGATGTATCATGGTGAAGAGATCCGCTCTGGCACTGGGTCGCGCGATAAGCGACCTCGGAGCGGCGGAGGTCCCTCCTCATTGCCGCCGTAGCGATTGGTTCCTGAGGCCGACCTGGAGCCCGTGCCAACCACGGCTAATCTTGCCCGCCTTCTAATCTTTCCCCCTTCAATTTCCACTTAACCTTGGAAACGAACTCCGAGCTCTGACAGAAACCTCGATCAGTTGAACCAAGCTCTCACTTCGCTGCTCTGTCAGTGCATTGCTGAAATTCTTGTCTATTGGACGAATTCTATGATGAGTTGATGTCAAGCTAGCTTTGGCCCCCCACCATCTCTGAAGCCATGCAGGCAATAGCAGTCAGCAGAGGGGAGGATGTACATGTACTTTATGGTACAGTACATTCATGAACACTTTTCTCTTTCCACCAACCCTTTTTCAATTGCTGGACAGGAGATACTGAATTCCTAAATAGTGTTGTCCGCTTTCCAACCTTCTGTCAGACCATCTCTGCCAGTGAAAACCATGCCGTCGCACTGACTCGGCATGGTCCAATGAGACCCGCAGCTAAGAATAACCCTCGACCGGTCCAGACTATTCTCTTGTCCTCTGGGTCCTCTGGAATTCGGCTCTCTCTCCCACTGCAGGAAAGACGGTATCTGCACGCTGCAATAGCCCTTCAACCCGTCCCGGTGATGGTGGCTTTGATGCCAGGCACGCCGTCTCCTCTTGTCGCGGCAGCCACACGCACGCAGTCCACACACACCCCTGGCTGCCATTGATCCATCCCCGTCTCTTTCTTTTCTTCCCAGTCTCTCTCTTTCACATCAATATTTTACCATTGTGCTCAGATCCAAGTGCGGCAGACCTACCTCTCCAGGGTCTACTGCAGTATGGTTTAAAGAAATCACCTACCTGCCGCTCTCCGCATATTCCCCGGCAAACCACTGACTTTCTCCTTGCTCCGCGCGTCCAGTGTGTCTCTATACTCGGAGTCCGCCCAGCCATCTCAGAAATCAAGACCATGTTTTCTCGATGACCACCGCACGTTCTGTACTTTACCTTCTGGTGCTACTTGACTTATTTCTCACGATTTGATTTGTGCCAGTCAATAGCAAAATTATTCCCCGAAACTGGGCGCCCATTCAGGGTTGCGACGCTCGCTTTTTCATCTAATATAATCAATCAATATGGGATTTCAATCTAACCTGGCCCAATGGTCACGACGACGCATTGACATGCATTCGGGTTACCGCTTATCGCAACCGACACTGCTCCCTTTATTTATCCTATGGAGTTCCTTCGTTATCTCAACGATCTTGTCGGCAGATGATCCACTCTTTCCAACCATTTCCCCAGCATCGTCATTAGATTCCAGCACCGCCTCCGTTGATGGAGTGAGTTTCCGTGACATACTGCCTGGTGGACAACTTCCCGGACAAACGCAGCATGTTAGCCGAGAAACCGTCACCGTCAGTCTCCGCGACATAGCCGGTCTTTCAATCCTTGTTGCGGACGATGAGAACTCTGCCATCTCTCGGCAAGAGAAGACTCACCTTCTGTCTCGAGCATCCTCCGATTTGGACTCCTTTCCCACTGCTTTCGATACCAGCCTCACTAACAATTTTACGACCACTACCTGCCCCAAGTTTTTCGAGTCTTTCCTTTCTAATTCCACCATCACCGCCTGTCATGCCGTTTCCATGCTCCTCCGCGATTCCAGCTCGTTCTTCCACGTTCTCACGTCCGATACACTGACCTCGGAACTCCTGGACACTGCATGCGCTTCTAATGTCACTGACTGCGCGTCTATCTTCTCTGCGCTCGCAGTTGAGCTTCTCACCGAAGATGTTTGCGGCAAGGACTATTCTGCCGGCAACCCTCTTGTTACGAATGCGTACACCGACATGATCACCTATGAGCCACTTTACCGGGCCACATGTCTTCAATCACCGGCGACCAACAATTACTGCTTCGTGGATGCGATCAGTGATACCAATAATTCTGCTGACTATGATGTGTATTTCATGGCTTATGGAAGCACCATAGCTGCCTCTCCATCGCCCGCCTGCAATAAATGCCTCCAGGCTACATTAGCTCTCTTTGCAACCTGGGCCGAGGTTGACGGACAGCCTCTTGTCAACTCCTATATTCCTTCTGCAGAGGCCATCAATTCTGACTGTGGTGAGAGCTTTGCCAATGTTAATATTACTGTCGGTTCTAAGAAGGCTAGCTCCGGCTCTGGTTTCATGGCTCCACTGCCGCATTGGTCATCTTGGGGCCTCGTTATGTTCAGTCTATGTTTAGCCTCTCTGCTGGCGTTGTAGGTCGTATAATGCAAGCGGGGGACAACGTCTCTGGCATTACTGTTTCCTCTTTCTTCTCGGCTCCCAGCTCGGCTTGTTGGTGGTCGTTCCCCCCCCCCCCCCCCTTTTCCAGTGCTCGAAATACGGCTTCGGATGATGACAACGATTACTAGAATCCACATTTCATATTCGGGCAGACCCCATCTATTCGCCTCGTTTATTCTACTCCTGCTTCATACAGCTACCTTGATTGGAGCTATTCCTTCTATTCCTTGTGTCATATAGCCACTTTAATGTTTATACCTAATCTCAATACTCGCTTCTATATCTGCGGCCATTAAAATAATACAGGTGCAGCACGAAGAAATCTTGGACCTTGTTGAATGGTTCAGCTCAACACAAGGAACAGTGAGACAGGGTAGACGGCTGGTGCATCAAGCAAGTAGACAAGGATGTGTCATATCTTTGGAAGCTGCTTCAAGGCTGCTTGATGACTGCGGTCAGAGTATGTCAACCTCTAGATTCAGCAGCGAGACCCTTCAAGAGACAAGGAGTTTTATGCACGGGCGATCCCCACGGTGGGGAACCCGAAAATGGATCCGATCGGTTCTGTCCAGGACGGCAACTTTTTTACCTCCGTTGCGGTGCAAGAGGGCCTGAGGCCGCTGCAACTGCTGCATCTAAAGATAGTAGATTGGCAACAACTAGCAAGCCAGACAGTAGATGTCTAAAAAGACCAGTGCCGAACAAATTGAGGTATAGCATAGCATAAGCAGAAGTTTCCTGCGCCCCTCTTCACACAAAGTCTCCCAAGGCGGTACCGGGCCGACTCACCGCCTGGTCTTGTTTGTTTGGGGTGAGTGCCCTATTTGGGAAAGTGTTGCATCACCCCGGGCGCTACCTACTCATCTCTACATACCATATTGAACTGCATTGACCTGAACCCAACCGTACCGGCCTTCATTTTCTTGCTGATAACTGCAGTTCCGGTCAGATTCAATCCTGCGGACTGTCGCCCGGACTGGATCCATTTCAGTCGCCTTGAATTTTTCCGTCATGGTAGGTGTCCATGCTCAACGCAACCTCCATCCCAATCTCCCGCTTATCGGACACCCTCTTAGGTCACCTCCAATGCGCCTTTTCGGCCATCGCCGCTGTCTTTCGGTTCGCCTCGAGCTTCCCCGTTTCGACGTCCATCCACCTCGAATTCACCTCCGCAAGCGCGGCCCAGCACTCCCGGCAGCTCGCCCGGTCGCGGATACACGCCGGTGACGTCCCCCAGCAAACTCAAGGAATCCTACACAGTCACAGACGAGGATGAAGTTCACTTATCGCCTGCTCAAGATCGCAGCCCTGTCCCTCAACCGCGCACGACACGCGAGGTGCCTCTGTCGCCGACGCGGGGGGCTACCTCCCCAGACACAATGATGGCGACGAAGGCGACTCATATGATGGCGGCCTCATCGGATGCAGCCGCTCGCCTCTCACCAGCCCAGTTGCGAGAAATACGCGAGGCGTTCCAGGTTCTGGACCGAGACAATGACGGCTTTGTTGACAAGGATGATGTGGCCGATGTCTTGGTAAACATCGGTAAGTAGCTTTCATGACTTCCGCTTTCATAGCATGGCTGACAAGCATCCATGTGAAGGTCAAGATGCATCCGCACTCTCACAATTCTTCCCGCCCGGAGGACGCTCTACTATCAATTTCCCTACCTTCCTCAATACTCTCTCACAATTACTGGCCCCATTGTCGACCCAGCAGGAACTTCTGAATGCCCTGGCGGCTTTTGATGAGGATGACAGCGGGCAGATCGACGTAGAGGAACTGCGCGACGCTCTCATGCATACCGTCCCCGAGGACGGAGATCAATCTCTGACCGACCGGGAGATCCGTGAGGTGCTGAATGGATTCACAGGCCGTCGGGCATTTGGGGGCAAGGGCGCACGAGGGCCCGGAGGGGGCAAGCGTGGTGAAGTATTCCGGTATCAAGAATTTGTTAGTGGCCTGGTGGGTGGAACAGAGACGAACCAATCGACACGACGCGATGCCTGATTTTTTTTTTTTTTTTTTTTTTCCTTCTCCATTCTTTGCTCTTGTCTTGTGTGTGCCTCTTCTTTTTCCATTTCTCTGGCTAATGGCGTACGGAGACACGAAGCATGAGATTTACAGCAGACAGAGGCTCTGGTAGCCATGCAGTTTGGCCTAGTTGAGTTGTAGATTAGACGAGATGATAGTGAATGTGCATGATTTGCGTGAGGATGAATAGAGAAATCAGTTTGAATTGATGGGGTCTCCACCTCGGCCCGAATTTAGGTTCTCATCGTTAAGTCAGGCTGGCACGAGAAGCTGTCAATCAAGGGGGGGGGAAGAGGAGAGATGCTCATTTACTCAGTAAAATTAAAGTTGGCATGCGAGGGCCAGCCATCTCGTGCAATCCATAACTATTGATTTAAATTTAAATTAATCACTATTTAATTGAGAGAATATGGGGGGGGGGGGGGAAGTGTGGATGGATCTACGGAGGTACAGTAGTAGTAACAGTAGTTCAGGGAAACTAAAAGACTAGTTCCCAGTCAGTGGAATCTCGCCAAGTCTTTTGACTCGAATTGACTGTACTCGGAGTAGTCACTCATGTTAACTAAAGTTATTCTCTACCAGAAAATTACTTGCGTTCAGTTCCAACAACAATCCGGACTCTCCCCATACACCACCAGCACCACCACCATCTTTCTTCAGCTTTTACCTTCTTTCATCTTCAACACTAACAACCTGCATTCTCCTCATTCCTTCCTTCCTTCCTTCCTGCCTTCGTTTCCCCCTCCCCCTCTCCAGCCTCTTCCCTGGTTTGTTCATTCTGACCAGGAAGATGGTTTCATGTGTTGGCTGCCCTCCCAATAATCGTCCTTGCTGATCCTCCTCCTCCTCCTCCTGCTGCTCCTCGACTTCCTCGGCCGGCCGACCCCCCCTAATCATGTCGCCCTCCCCTACTTCTTCATCTCTCTCCCCCTCCGCTCCTCCTCCTCCTCGCTCCTCTACACGACCTTTCTCGCCGTCTTCCTCATCTGCTGTCGTCCCCCAGCCAACCCAAGCTCAATTAAACCTCGCTGCTTTGGCCGGGTCCCCATCGTCACCGCGGACCATGCGAGGCTTGCGCAAGTTCAAGTCTCATCAGATCCTCTCCTCTCATCCGCCACCGCCTTCCTCCTCGTCCTCCGGGCGCCGCTCGGCCGGCGCGGAGGAGCTCACCGCGCCCGGACCCCAGCTCGATTCCCCCGTGCGGCTTCGCAGCACGCATCGCCGTGCACGTTCCAACAGTGATACTTCCTCCCGCGAGCCACCCGTTATCACCGCGCAGCGACGACCAGGTAGAAAAACTGGGTCTGGTTTCGGAGTCAAGCGGTCAGTGCTCGAGTCGCTTTTGCGCGATGGTCCGCAACATGGAAACATTCGAGAAGGTCTAGAAGAACTGCGTTATCTTGTCCTCTCGACGCGCGTTGAAGCAGACGCCGATGGCATGGTAGGATCTATCTTTTATGCATTGTGACTTGCGTGTACGAGTCGCCTTGAGAAGAAGCATGTCAGCTAACCATATAAATGTGTGTTAAGTCTACCTATCGTGTTTATCTCTGGCTCGTGCTCCTCGATACGCCGCCCGTATCGACCGACGAATACCTCTCACTGATCCACCGAGGCCGGTCCCCCGCTTACGCTAAGATTCGCAATGATACCTTTCGCACCTTGGCCACCGATCCTCTCTTCAAGCGGCGCGTCACGGAGGCCAGTCTAATACGACTTCTAAACGCCGTTGCTTGGAAGCTTCACGATGCGAAGAACAAGCGTCACCACCGTCCGCGGCTCTCGACCGGCCGACGGCGCGAGATGGAGCTCCTTATCCATACATCCCCAAGCATAGCGGAAGAGCCTTCCCCCATCACCAGCACACCCGGGAGTGTGATGAGCAATAGTACCGGCAGCGCTTTTGGCAGTCCTGGAATTACAAACGAGTCCGCCATTTACGTGCAGGGAATGAATGTGCTATGTGCACCATTCCTCTACGCCGCCCGCAGTGAAGTGGAAGCTTTCGCCTTATTTTACTCATTCACCCTTCGGGAATGCCCGGGCTACATCCGAGGAGCCATGGACGGTGTTCACAGAGGCCTGCGGCTTGTCGATCGATGTCTAGAGATTGTTGAGCCCAAATTAGCCGCCTATCTCTTCTCCAAGGGTCTACAGGCGGAACTGTATGCATTCCCCTCTGTGTTGACCCTGTGTGCGTGCACGCCACCTCTCCCAGAGGTACTGCACCTGTGGGACTTTCTATTCGCCTATGGGCCACATCTGAATATTCTTTGCATCGTTGCGCAATTGATCCGAATGCGGGATATGATCCTCGAAAGTCCAAGGTATGTGTGTTGGCCAGGACCTCATCATTACATCACCACCACATGCCTCCCTTGCCTGACAAAGACCCATCGAGCTAATTCCCATTGCCCACATGACAGTCCCAATAAAATCCTCCGATCCTTCCCTCCACTCGACGCCAAGGAGATCATCGCCTTGACCGTCCTGCTGGTTCGCAAGATTCCCGAACCGCTTTACGCCGAACTAATCGACCACGCTAAATAAAGCCCCTGCGCTTTTCCAGCTTTCTTTTCGTTGCCCTGCTCAGGACCAAGCAATACGAACCGGGACCACATCCTTCCCAATGGGTCCTGTCACAGACTCATGGGCCGATGCATTGGCTACCACCCTCCCCCTACCCCCCACTCCCCACCCTTTCTCTCCCCATTCCCACTGGAATGTCCACGATGCCTCTTTGAAGTCAATCCCACCCCACTCAACTTGACCAAACACATATGATACCTACTGCCATGAGTTCCGACGAAATGCCATGATGATTGCCTATTTGCTTGCTTGCTTGCCTTCTGTTTCTTAAACTTCCACCTGCATTCTTAAGGAATTGATGGGGAGAATCAACCTTTTCCCGTCTGTACTTCTATTATCGCCTTAACCAATTTCTCTGCTTGCCTACTGCATCGCTTATTTTGACTCCCTCCCCGCCACCCTTGGATGTCTCTTATCCTGTTTTCACGGCATGCATTCACGATAAAATTGGACTTGCCTGATCGATGCTGACTTACATGTATTGTACGTTTCTCAATTTGGTGACGGTAATTTGTGGTGTTGGCATTGGATTTTGTGATACAATTTGCCTTTCTGATTTGATTTGACTGACTGATGGACTGATGACGCCGCCGCCCCCATGATGAATGCTTTGATGAACTGGGGATCGATGATACTTTGTTTTCCTTGATGATGATGATTCTTATGATGGTGATATGAGGCTTCGCCCACTTCTCCCGGTGGGTGGAAGATCCAGAAAACGATATTTCTGTGTTGATAGTTCTCTTTTGATTGATTTTGGCCCGCCCTCCCTACTGCTGAGGGCCTCAGAGATAATCAACCTCCTCCCCGCAGGATTAGATTTGATAGATGCCACATGCATTTTTGGATGAGATGAAGTAATGAACCTGGAATGAGTGCAATTGTTCTGCCATGAACCGATCGATGATACTGTACTTTTTTCCTCTAGCAAACACTCACCCGTCCACAATATCCTCTTTGACTACTCCAAAATAAGCAGCAGATTCCCAAATCCCAATACAAAAGCGCCTGCAAGAACCACACCCTCCGTTATCCTCATCCCTTACCCTATCTAGTCGCCTCTCTACCTATTCCTTTGGTGAAAGGACATGGAAAAAGGAAATAAACACAAGACTTAACATAAACATGCATCAACTTACATGCAACTGACGTAGGAAGTCACACTCCCAACGCCCCTCAACTGTGCAAGTGGTGAAAAGAACCCCAGAGATTGTCAATGCAGAAGGTTGAATCACATTGACAAGTTGGCTGGGGGTGGAAGGTCGCACGCTAGAAGATACCGGGCAATCGGGTAGCTTTGTCCCCTGTCTGTCCGGAAACTCTCCGGTACTAGGTCGCAAGGCCATTGCGTCCGGTTCCGGACCCATTGACAACCAGCGGGCCATGACACCGGTCGGCAGCCTGTTTCGCAGCCGTGGAAGTAGAGGAAGAGGACGGTGACGACGGGGGAAAGACCTCCCTTGGGGTTGGGGTTGTGGCTGCTGTTGGAGCCTCCTCATTACAGGATACTCGTCCGGAGCCTCCTCCTTCTCCCTCTGCGCCTGGACGACAGTGATCTCTGGGTATGATGGCTGGGATAGTGAGATCATTCTCGTTTTGCGGTCGAGGAACATGGCAGTTGCTGATGATACTGGTAGCGGGCGTGAGGGTAGGGTTAGCGGGAGTCGTCTGGGTTTCAGTGATGAGATGAGCAGCAAGGCCCGCGGGAAGATTGGGAGCCATATGAGGCACCACACCCCGGTCCATCTTCACGCGGATCCTGGCCCCCAGGAAGGTGCAGCCGCTGTAGAGGGCGATGGTGCGTTTGGCCTCCTCGGCAGACTGGAGCCGCACCCGCGCGTAGCCCTTGCAGCGCCCGGTCTCCCTGTCCAATGGCACCTCACAGTACTCGACCGTGACCCCCGAGTTTTGGAGGAAGTCACGGAGCGCTAGGGTACTCGTTGCTGGGCTTAGATTTTGCACGAAGACCGTGCGACGGGGGGAGGAGCGTGGATTGGCGTCTGCGGCGTTGCTAGGTTGGTGGTTGTAAGCCTGTGCGGAGAAGCTTGGGTTGTCAGGGTATCGATAATTGTAGACCGACTTGCGAGGAAAAAGATTTCGTCGTCCGGTTGGCCCAAATCGCGTGCTCATGGGGCTGTCGAGGAAGGGCTGGACGGCGGGCAAGGGGTAGTTGGGGAGGATGGGCATGGTGAGGGCATCACCGAAGGCATGGCGAAGCGGGGCGGAAGACTGTGGTATGGTGGAAATGGCGTGTTGGGTGATGGAATCGGTGAACATAGGCAGGTAGGGCTGGTGCTGGTGCGGTATGCTCATGAGATCTATCACCGGGCCATACTCCAAGTTCTGATACGCTGGACTGGAAGCGATAATGGGTCTGTTGCGTGTTAGTGCGAACGCTCAAGTCGAACCACGGCCTTCCTGGCTATTTTCACCTACTCAGGAGATATGGGGGACGGGGGAATGGCCATGTTCTGCGTGACCCTCGGCGGCGTGGAATAGCCCGCAACATAAGTAGCAGGAATTACGCACGTGGGACTCTTGGTAGGGCCAGCGACAGGGCGTGTAGGGGAGCTGGTTCGAGCCAGTGTCACCACAAGGCTTTGGCCCTCCCAGCCATTCGTCGATAGTCTCTCTATAAGTACACCGCATCAATCACTGCACGTTCATCAGACCGTCATGCGGCTCTGGTCTCAACGAGGGGAGGCTCAACTACGCACGATATGTTCGCCATGCTTCGTCTTCGTTCTTGACAATGATCTGGCCCAGCCCGGTTGGAAACCCGTGTTGATCATCGTACACTATGGCCTGTCGGATGTGTAGCGCTGTCTGGCGGACCAGGTCTTTGAGCTCTTGCCAACGACAATGCGCGGGAATCTAGTTTCCAGGGAAGATAAGCAAGATACAAACACAGCAAGCACGGTCAAGGGAACCTACCCCTTGAAGAAACAGGACAAACTCTTCATCTGACCTTCCCTGCTTCGCCGTTCGCCCCTTGTCGCGCGCTGATGTAGGTGCAGGCATGATCTCGTACTGTCGTCGCGACCAAGGCTCTGGGACAACTTCCGGCGGGAGAAGTTATATATAGATCGAGCTTCGGTACCTAGTGGACCAGTCACACGGGACTGCTGCCTTGGGTTGGCCCCCAGAGGGACTCCGTTCGGAACTCAACGGGCGATGTGACAATAGAGTTAAGCTTCGTTGATCCTGAAGTTGTGATCAGTGATCAGTGATCAATACTAAGTCAGAGCTGACCGGTAGTCTTGTGATAGAAAATGAATGATGAAAGTGTCCAGAGCAAGTCTGCTAAGCTAGAGAGAAGCTCCGGTCGCACAGATGAACGAGTCAAATCGGACTGCTTAAGATGTCCCGATCCGCAGCGGAGCGATCCAGCTGAGATGACTGCACCGTCGTGGGATTTAAAGCGATACGAGCAGAGAACCGGAGCAGGGTCGATCGATTGTCTACATGGAGGATGTCCCACCCTCCGGAGACAGCTGAGGCGTTGAGAATGAGACTGACGCAGAAGTAACCACCTTCGGCAGATTCGAGGTGCGAATGAGACAGCAGAATCAGGAAGGGGGGCAGAAAGAGGGAGAGAGCAACAGTGACAGTAAAAACAGCAGCAGCAGCAATAGATCACTAGTGTGAGGGAGAACTAAAAATACTATGGGAGATGGAGATGCATGGAGCTCGGAAGTGAGCAGGTCAGATCCGCCCAACAAGGAATAAACGAGAGCCCGGGATGCATCCGCTGACGAATGAAGGAGGCTGGGTCTTCTCCGATTTTTCTGACCATCAGAGACCGAAATGTCTGTTGTACTTCCTGGAAGGAGTATGTATGTGGATAGGCTGAAGGCGGAAGAGGGGGAGATGTGTCAGGTTTGGAGAAGGATGATTACTTCGAGGGGGTGGGAGGAATGATATGTCATGCATGATCTACTGTGATAGATAGAGATATCTCAAAAAAAAAAAACAAGTCATGTAAGAAAAGTTGTCATTAGAATCAACCATTGACGAAAGTGGAGAACATATGCTGCGTGAATAAGTGGAATATAAGACTGGAATTCATTTATGCAATTATCTTCTTTTTGTTCCTTGATTGCTGCCATATGTACAGTACATCTATCGAGTTCCCCATAAGTTAATATCATTAACATTTGGACTTACACCGCCAGATCTCAGGGCAGCAGCCACCGACAGCAGACAGCAGACAGCTCCGCATGGTCTGGTCTCCTGGCCGATTGCATTGGAGAGTCTTCGCCAAAGGGCAAGACAAGAATCTCATGCTCCAACCAATTAACTTCTTGAAACTAGGATGGTCGTTTTGGAAATCGACACAAAGCCACTTAGGAGTCACCGCACCTTTGCTTTTTCTCTTTTCCCTATATTTTTTAATTCTCTGTACACCCTATTGTCTAGTTTGTTCACTCGCCTACTCTGGATTGCACACCAGAAAGAGATAACCTCAGCCTTGACTGAGGAGGTGGAGCTGGCCGTGACACATCTCATGTCTGATACGGTATTATTAGTCTCTGGCAAACGAGCACTCGTTCAGTGGCTGTGTCCTCGAATCATTTTGGTTGTCTTGGCTACTCGTTGACGTTTCTTCTACTTGATTGAGACTGTTGTCCATCGATGGGTGAAAAGGCCATACGAGAACTAGTCAGCGGCCATACTAGCTTCACTTCAACTTACTGTGACTTGCTGCCGAGACAGGAAAATCAACAACACATGGTTGAACAGCGACCAGCCGCCACGGGACGGAAAGTTGCAATCAGAGGATAGATCGCAGTTGGGCTGTCCTTGTAGGACCCCAGGTCGCCCCTTGGCTCAGTGCGAGGACGATCGAAGAATCAGGATGACACTGGATAGTGGGTAGCGAGCGACCTGCATCTGAAGGATCATATTGTTCGATCCTCCCACTTGTCGCCCGAGCCACTCTGAAATTGTGTACGGAGTAGTTCCCGATGCATCATTCCCCTAGGGCCCGACTTCGCCACTTCGGACACCGCCGGATACATCTCACGACGGTCGCACTGCAGGGGTCTTGAGCCTGACAGCTCGGGATGTGATCTGGATACACCGAATGCTCGGGCGGCAGACGCCTCTTTTTCAGGTCCGTCGTCGCTGAATTGAAAGCGGACCTAACGAGGTGATACCCCTAAAGAGGTGGAATCGGAGAGAGTGGAGAGTGGACAGCTGAAATACCGTACTCCGTATGTACACACCTAAGTCGATGGTTTAGATTGGGCGCGGAACGATTGAGGCCTTGATAGGGGGATCTTCGTCTTCAGGGAAGACAAGCAGAGAATGAAATAGACTCACATGAGCTTTGTGGTGCAGCAGTCAGATCGCAGGATTAGCCAAGAGGCTGCCATCCGTGGCGACTTGCGACTAAATGCCAGCCTACTTAAATAGACTTGCAATCCCAGCCTAGATCATTATGCTGGAGTCATCGGTCATCGATTAGGATAGCCGATAGATAGGTCAATTCACCAACGAGACCGAGAGCTCAGAATGACTGGAGCGAATCTCGCCCACCTCACTTCTGGGAGAAATCGATAGTTGAGCGATCGATCGATAGGCAAGATCCGCTCCCAGGCTCCTTTGCTCCACGGGTCCCGTAGTTCTGGTAAGATCTTCCGCTAACAGAGCAATCGATCGTCTAAAGACAACGGGAGGAGACGCTATTAGCTTATTTCAACTTGAGCGGGTTCGCGATCTATCGTTCGCTGCTTCTTCGACCCTCAGTAAGTGCCGTCGAGGTATTGTACATATTCCAAAATGGGTTGTGCAGAGAGCCAGGGTCCTGTCGCCCCCCAGTCGCATGGACCAAGCTTTTGATGGTGTCACGGTTTCACCTCGGACTGGATTCTCCCCTTGGACCTTCAGACCACTGTGCGACAGAATCCGCCAGAAAAGAAATAAGAAAACATCGACGAATAGCTTCGTAGATTTGTGGAGAGGATAAAACTGATTGAGTTACCAATTCAGGCAACCCTGCTGGATTCTTTCATGAGAGCCTAGTGTTTCGAATGGAGCGACCAAGGTGAGAAGTGTGCTGTACCAATCGAGAAGGTCGGGCAAGACTCCAGGTAGTAGCTCAGAGGCATCCATGAGAATCTGACATTTCCGCGTTCCTGAGAGCACATGGCAGATCATACTTTGTGTCCGTCGTGCAGATAGATGAATTCTACTACCACCGCTGCATGTACTCCGGAATACATTAAGTTACAATTGGTTCCGACCATGCTACTCAAACTTTCTATAGACTATGATCGTCACGGATCAAATACCCACCACTCTCCCTCCATCCTTTCGCTTCATTCCCCTTTTGCCCAATTGCCTGATCGGACAAGTTGACAGCCTGCCCAAGTGGAACCATGGCAGGCACAGAGAGAGAGACGAACGATGAAACCACGGCGTCCTTACTGCGTAGAACGCCGACCCACTGATCAGCAGAGAGACAGAGAAAAGTAGAGCCTCGTACTCCGTAGACTAATCGGCCAAATGGCGTGAGCGCTGAAGAGATTTTCATTTTCAACCGTCAAAGCTCCGCTGCATTGGATTATTACGTATTATATTTCGGTTATCTTCGAGGTTTGTGCGATTAACCTTTCGGACTATCTGATACTGTGTTATGGGAGATAGTAAATAGAGCTCAACGACATCCTTTCCAACTCAACTGAGAACCAATCAGCAAAGCTAAGCGATATGAGCTAGCGAGTAGACGCATTACGTAGCTGTGTTTTCTCGCTAGGCAGAGTTTCCCCTCGCTGTAAGGGGCTGAGAGGGCGGGGGAGGAGCTTCTGTAGCTCGTTGGAAGTGCTCCGTAGTACGGAGCATATGCGGAGAAAACATGACGCCTAAAATATAGCTAGGAAGAGAGGGGTGAGAGGGGTAGAGATTGAGGGACAAAGGAAGAAAATAGAAAAAGAAAGAGTCACGCTATTGCCGCACTAAACTTCACCAAGACAACAGCAGCAGCAGCAGCAGCAGCAGCAACAATAGTACAATTTCGCGCACTCGCGCAGCACAACAACCAAAAAATAAACGCCTCTTACGCGCCCCTGGCAAGCCGGACATGGCGTGTTTGGCAACATGAACTTTGGTAGAAGGGGACCTTGCAAAACAAAACCAAAAAGCTCTCTTATCCTACTCGGGGAAGGTGGAAGGAAGAATGGCAGACTAAAAGCCACTACTAAAATTAAGCCCAACCAAACCGAGTCCAGTAAGTCGCGGTATTGTGATAGGCCACTAGATGAATACAGATGACTAGTCTTGCCTTAGCTGGATTAGCTTGAGAAGCGGACACAGAGTAGTGGGATAAATGCTGTAGCTAAATCGTACTAATGGAATGACGATGGAGGCGGGAACATCATTTCGTGTGTGAGTGAAGAGGAGGAGAGACAGCGCTAGTCAATTCCTGGGGGGGGGAATCCAGCAGGCTCGGGGCATGTGCGGATGCTGCTGCTGCTGCTGCTGCTGCGGAAGCAGGCAAGAGTGTCTGGCATGTTGCGGGTTGATTTGGTGGACCTGGTGTAGACTGGTGGGTATGGTTTAGTGTTTTGGCAGAGCGGGGAAGGGAGAGAGAGGGAAGACTACCACAGTGAATGGAAAAAAGAAAGCAGACGACAACTGCGAGTATCACACACATCCCACCTTTAGAAGATCTGCACGGACTACGAGCAGGCTGCAAGTATGGAGACAAAGGGGGTGTTCAGTGACTATGCAGCCAGGTATACGTAATTGTCATCCTGTCCGGGGTGATTGTTGACTTCTCTACCCCATATCGCGGGGGCGGTGGTTGAAGGATCACAGACAGGGAACGTTGGCATGCGACTGCAGGTATCAACAGAGAGTACGGAGTACCTCTCCTGATCTATTCGTGACAATACCAAATTACCGACTACGTACCAGATTCAGTGGAGATCGGCGCTTATCAGCACAAGGTTGAAAACAGCACCTCATGGTCTACGGCAGTAATCGGTTGTAGCAATGTTGATTCCACAAAATTTATTGAACTTGTAGGCATTTGAGATAGTGCATATGTACAGAGTAGGCTATTGGCACATGCGAAAAATCGAGGGAAGAAAGATAAAAAAAGGGAAGTCAAAGTAGCTAATGCACTCGGTCGCAAAAAGCCCCGCGGGCCTAAACCTTGAAGCTGCGGAATGGAACAAACACAACGAATTCTTGGAACATAGGGATTCTGATACTACATGCCAGGGCCGAGGGTTTCAATAGTAACGATGTTCAGACAAGACTCCAGAATGCACTTCCTCGATCTTACGCAAGAATCGCGAGTGAATAATCGTGCATATTTCTTCCTCCATGTAGTGGAGGTGTAGCAATTGAGAGAGAAGGACCGAGAATTCGTCATTTTTCATGGTCAATAGCCTTATTTGGTAGAGCCGAGTGTTGGATGAGGCGCGTGAGCAAGCAAGCTCTTCCATGCCATTGATGCCATTCATGTGTAATTCGTCGCAACGGGCGCAGGCCACCCAAAGTGGTCTAGGGATATGTTTCTCAACAATCGAGTTCCACCGAGGCACGTCCATGCCGATGAACGGTGATAGATGATCTAGGCCGCACAGCGGCGGTTCCGAATGGTATCGTTGGAGCGAGGGTTCGGATACAGTTGAGTCAATCATTTGGAAATTCAGCGATGATAACGTCGACCTTGTGTCCCAGTACTGAGTCGGGTACAGACGGTTAGAGTAGGCGACGAAAGGTCTGTTCAGGTTGATATTGTCCGGTACATCCGCGGGAAAATCACGAGCGGGAGTTTATCAAATCCACTGTTCAACGTATGAAGCCAACCATGGACGCACATCGGCTGCAGTAGTAGGAGTTCATGCCGAAACGAACCACCCCGGGGGAGGATTCGTTCTCGAGGCTCATAGAGCGCTGACATCGCGAGCAGCGGACAATGTCGAAATTCATAGAGCTGGGGCTGGTAGGAGAAGTAACAACCCCTTTAGGAGTTCCAGTGGGTGGGTGTTGGACTCGAACAGAGGACGAACTCATTTTCTCCGACCGGGAGTGACGGCCCTGTGCCGATACAGTTAAGGGGAGAAACTCAACCAGTCGTTTCTGGAACAGTGAGCAAAGATAAAGCGGAAGGGCGGATAATAGATGAGTTCGACTAAGTGGCTGTGCCGGCTGACTGTCAAATAGAATAGCGAAAATCAAATGTAAACGATGCGCAAGAGTGGATGATGGTAGGAGGAAATCGCGAACTCCGATGCTTTTCTCTCCGTGAATCTCTAGGCAGCAGTAACCGACCACAAAGATGAGGCCAAAGCAGTTGCTGGTGGTTCCGATAGATAGCAGGTGATGGTGGTAGTTGTAGTAGTAGGTGTGACTCGCAATGGTTTCAGGTTGCGGAACGGGTAGGTATAAAATAAGAGTGATTGAGGTGACGATCAAGAGAGGAGAGATCAAAAAGGAGGTTCGGGGCTTGAATTCCAGCTGGACTGTAACTGCTGGAACTATCTCTATATGACAAAGCCTAGCGCCAAAGAAAGAAAGAAAGAGAGTCCTCACTCCTCAGGGTCAGATCGATCTCCACTTCTTTCGCTCCGTAATTGCACCGGTCTGGTTTAGCGGGAGCAAAATAGTACGTGGTAGTAATTTATAGTGACTGCCTCTGGTAAAATGGTAAAAACCGAAATTCGAAATTCGGGGTCGGGAAAATTAAAATCGAATGATAAGCCAGGGATTAGGATGTGCAAAGCTGTTGAAATTAGATGATAACCACAGCCTGGTCCACAACAACAATAACAACAGTGACAATAACAATAACAATAACGAGGCTAACAAGTCGGAACCCGCATAAGGAGTAAGGCAGCTGATGGTCGAGCAGCTGCACGGAATGTGGGTATCGGGTTTCAGACTTGGTGATGTCTACTGTGTCAGTCAACCAGAGGAGGAAACAATTAGGATTGTTTTCTTGGGCAAGGCAGCTGCTCGAGTCCTATTTCAATGCATCAATCAATGTAGGGGTGGTGGTGATGGAATGATGCGTTTAATGATTAATGCTTCAATTGCTTGGGCCGGAGAAGCGGCAGCCGACTCTCATGACTTTCAAGTGGTTGGCTGGTTTTCCTGCCGAGTCTAAACGGTCAATCTAATTTATAGAGTGGTTTTGACTTGGTTTTCTGATTGGTTGTTCATGGATATGAACGAACCGATGATGCGAGAGATTTCCAGTTCTTTGGAGTAAATACTAACTGTACTTCTCCTCCTGTGGCATCATCGCCTCACCTCGTTCTCAGCTACTTGATCTGATTGTTTGACCACCCCTGTTGCTCTGAAGCGCATCGCACTGATATTGACATTTGAGTCTCAGTTGGCTTCATACTATCCAAGCCTATTAATCTCAGGCGTTCATGAAGATGATGGAGTTGACCTTTGCAGTAGGTATCATCTTGCTCCTCCCCCCCTCCCTCCCCTCTTCCCCCAGTCATAAATTACGACTACTTACGTAGTGCCTCCCATCCTGATCTCAACTGCAGAAAGCCACAATAACACTCTTGCAGTTAATCGAGGCTTGATTAGATGCGTTCACAGCCCCTTCTGCCCTCCTTCCTCCCCTCTCTATGGAGGATTATAAGACTAATGCCTGCATCCGGTTTGTCCTGCTGCAATGACACATAGGGTCATGTCGTCATGACGAGCGCTGAAAGGGTGCAAGATGGGGCCGATCACTAGAATGGTATGGTTCAGACTCGGGATCTGTCATCCTTTCTCTGACCGTTCAGGGACTGAGCACTCGTGGCCTGGTACTGTCAGTGGTTCGACCTATGAGGGTAGTATATCTGACAATCAATCTGTATCGGCTCCCGTCTGCTGGGAGACTCCACCCGTTCCGTTCCATTCCTTCCATCCATTCCACCTGCTGTTTTTTTTTTGGCTGTCGAGGGGCGGCGTACTATTGAAATTATGGACCAGAAACCATTAGCCGGACGGAGTAGGTGGCCCCGCTTGCCTCTCATCTCTTGGAGTCTTGAGGGAACTGTGTTTCTCCCCCCCCTTGAATACTGAGTAATAATTCAGTTCCAATGGCTGCTCTGCCTGCCTGTCATCGAGCAATGGAACCTAAGATAGTCATCAAAACTCAGGCTCGCCCGCCCAGCCAATCTTGTTACCTGGTAGTGCATCCAGGCGGTAAATCCCGCATCGATGACTACGACGACTGATAACTTACACAGTAGAACCACCCTTCAAGATTATCGGAATTGTACTAATCAAATGGTAGCCATTCCTATTGGCAAAAAAGTGTCAAGCTCATGAATTGGAATACTCCGGCACTTGCCCTCGACTTCCACATGCCTATGAATTTAGGTCGTGTTGCCGGCAGTAAGTAATGCTGCTGTGAGATTCTCTTCGCCCACTACAGCACTTGGGCTCGTGCGTGAGAGCGACGGCGGTATTGCATGCCGCTCCAAGCCTCTTGAGTCGTGAGGCGGCCTGTTGGGATGGACTCCACTTCGAGTGTTTCAGCGGTTTCTGTCAGACTCGAACATGAGGGAGACGGTTGATCTTGCTCCCGTCGCCCAATTCGTCGGGTTCCATTCTTTTGCTGCTATCAACCCATAATCTCCTTCATTTGACTGCCTGACATCTACTTCTCCATTCTGTTAGCGCCTTGTAAATGTAGAATGATGAATCTAAGGTCCTGTCTTTAGGCAGGAACCAAGTCAGCAGTCAAGCCACTGCACTGCATCCTCATCCAGCTTTTTATCCCTCCTCTAGACAGAACACACCGTCATCGATTTCCCACGGAACTCAATTCCGTTATTCTCTGCACCATCGGTCTCATCGCCGCTGCACCCCGGGGCCACTAATTCTAACCCTCATCCACTGCCCTTGGTACACTCCAATTTTTACCGGGAGTGGATTGTGAACCCGTGTAGAAGAAAAGAGAGCGAAGCGTTCTGGCTGTGGTTGGCAAGCCATTTTTCACTACGTACTCGCTAGTAAATCAGTTGGGAGACTCTTATTTGTGAGAGTGGAGAAGGGAGGGAAGCGAAGCGAAAAATCACGGACATGTAGACTCTTTAGAGACATTTTGCATGCAGCTCAATTGAGGATAAGTTGCTGCCGCGCGTGCGATATTAGGAAGAAGACGAGATATTGGACCTACAGTACGGAGTACTAGTTATGTTGCAGCCCTTCTCTTCCCTAAACCGACTAAAGTGAGGCATTTTCCTAGTCTCCGAACCCGCTGCCAATCCTATGATTCCAGTTTAGTGTCAAACACCTCGCCTTTGAAGCCTCAAACACCAACACTCCGGCACTCCTAGATTGCGGTAACGGGAATCTTGGCCGTTCCAGGCAATTGGGGAATTTCAGTTTCCTCACGACGAATACAGCTTTTCACGTAAGGGATAACTACTTGCTACTCTTATCCCCGACATTGCTTCCTACCAGGTTTTTTGTTCCGACCATTGCATTAATACCGGTATGTCGCAGTATGTCCTACCCATGGAGAGGCTAAATTAACTTGTGATTCAATATGGCACTGAGACCTTCTGAGCTGCAACATACGCCCTAGCTCACGCATTACAGTTGCCTGTGCGCTGAGACCTTCGCCTTTCTTTCTTACATGGCTAAAAGGACAGCCTAAAGAGTCGAAAGACAGCTACACACACTGCCAGAAATGGGAACGTCTGCCATGGCACTTGTGCGAGATATGCGCCATCTGCAGAGTGGTTGCACGCGTTGAAAGCGATGGCTGAGGGTGACACTGGCATTAACAAATCCCCATCTTCAGTCTATCTTCAGCGGCGCTCTGCTGGCGCAGGGACCTCAACCTAACCCGCACAACCCAGATCGCTAGACTAGAATCAGTCATCAGGTGCGAAGACCATTGACCAAGACTTAATCTCAGGCATCTGCATGATGTTGTAATGCCGCGCTCGGTCTTCACTAAATCACCACAACGGGTGATTCAAGCAAATCTTGCTTATTCTTATTGGCACTCAACAGAGATGCTAGAGAGGCCGCTAATCCGATCGTGGCGGAAATCGCTATTAAAGCTACTCGAGTAACTAGCAGATGGCCATCAGTATCCTAAGCCTGTCAGAACCGAGCGGGGGAGAGGGGGAACGCTGCAGTGTACAGGCAGGCGGAGCGTTACGCTGACATCATTTCACATGCTTGTCAATTTGAAGTGTGTTCATCGATCGACGCGGATCCCGGCGGGTTTCCCTCAATCAATCAAGGTCTATTTCCCTGCTCCAACACAATAAGAGAGAGGGAGAGGGAAGGTGGAGAAGGCGGACAAAAGAGTAATAAAAACTACTGACAGTTCCTGCCCAACGTTGTTCGACACGGCAAGTAGAAAAGAAATAAGATGAGGCCGTTCGTTCCGGACTTCTGTCCTTATCAGCAGGCCTTACTTTACGCAGTACGGTTGGTTGGGGAAAGGGAAACTACCAGGGATGATGGAATGTTTCCATCCAATCTCTACGAAACCGTTGGATATGGCAACGACGACGTCATATAGTTGAATGCTTCCTTCTCATCACCATCACCATCACCATCACCATGCGGTAAGCATCATGAATCGGTGGGGTGAGTGACTGGAATGAATAGAATAATTCTGCACTGAGTTATCAACCTTTCATCTGTTCCTCCAGCTCTTTGCTACTACGTGGCTTCCTCTTTACCCGCCCGTGTGTGATTCTTGCTTTTTCGGCAGGAACGGAGCAATTCAACAGTAACGAACTGGCTACTGTACTAGTACTACTAACCCAAATCCATCCTTCCCTTTGCCCCGCCACCCCGCCCTGAACCTGTTGACCGAAAACTACCACCACCTCAGGATCTCTCACTAATCATACTTTTACTGTTTCTCCTCTTCACCCTCTTCCTACACCACCAGTCTCCATACAAACTACAAGCTGTCTTTCACAATGGCTGGTTCGGCGCCCAACCTCTACAGCTTCGCAAACACCGATGCTTTGGCCCAGCAACTGCGGCCTTACGTCCTCCGCATCCAGAACTCGGCTTTAAGTCGTCACAGCACCTTCCGGGTCGCCGTCTCTGGTGGTTCCTTGCCGAAGGTGTTGGCACAATCTCTCCTCGCGCCTGGAGATGGTTCCGAGGAGGATACTGCTCAGTTCTCCAAGTGGCAGATCTTCTTCGCCGATGAACGCGCCGTACCCCTTGATCACGAGGATAGCAACTACCGTTTGTTGAAGGATGAATTGCTCGATAAGATCCCAGCGGAGCTTGGCGCTCCAACCGTGCATACGATCGACCCAGCTCATGTCAATGACGAAGACCCCCAGGAGCTGGCCGACTTGTACCAGGAAGAGCTCATGCGCTCATTTGCCGCCAAAGACAGCGTGAAGCTGCCCGTGTTCGATCTTATCCTCTTGGGATGCGGTCCTGATGGTCACACATGCAGTCTTTTCCCTGGACACGAGCTCCTCCGAGAAAAGGATGCTTGGACCGCAGCTATCAGCGATTCTCCCAAGCCTCCTCCGAAGCGCATCACCCTGACTTTGCCCGTGGTTACGCACGCTCTAAACATCGCATTCGTCGCCACTGGAGGCGGAAAGAAGGATATCATGAAGCAGATCTTTGATGCTGAAGAAGGAAGAGACCTGCCGTCTTCCTTGGTCAACCAGGGTGGTGGTGAGAAAGTCAGCTGGTTCACTGACCATGCGGCCCTTGAAGGTGTTGCCTTCCCCAGACGTGGCAGTTTGTAGGCGATGACCGCATATCTGTCTGACCACCTCCATCGAACCAGAGATGTAGGTGCAGGTAATGAGCAAGATTGTGAAAACATCGCGGCTACAGCAAGCTTATGTCATGGATGCGCTTATGACCGGTGTCTGAGATACTCCTGCGCTTTTTGTTGGGCATGGATGAATGAAATACTTGGGACTGGAATTGAGTGAGCGTTGTCGCTGAGACTGGATGAGTTGTCCCGCCTTTCTGATTCTCTGATTTCTGCGGATTTCCCCTTTAGACTTACGGAAAAGTTTGTTTGTTATCCTGTGGATATCGCAGACCGCTTCCCAATGAATGGACTAATTTCATAATCACGTGGAAGAGCACCAGTGCTCAACAGCCGAGCTCTGAACCCCGTATAGGCATCTTCTGAAGGGACTGGACGTCCAAGTTTATAAGAAGATAGCAATTATAGGTACAGGTACGACGAATTTTTTGTAGTGGTTGCGTAGCCAAGCACTAACTATACGTACTTCGCTGTCTACTTACCGAGCCAAGCCAATCTTCCACTGTTTATGCGGAATCTTCACCGCAGCTGCCCCCGTCCCGAATTGCCGCCTCCTGATAAACTCAGACCTCCACCCCATCAGCGACTTTGCGCAAGCACTAACTATTTACATTGGTAATGAGAAGGGGCTATGTCCTGCCAACGAAACCCAATCCTGACTACATTCTGTCTTTCAATCAATTCAGCGCCCGCAAATGTCCTGAAACCCCATCGAAATGCCAATTCCAACGCGCTCCATTTCCCTACGTGAGCCCCGTACCAGTAAGGTTAGTTGCATCAACCAGCCACGCATGGCATCCCCCTTAATTGCATTTCCTTTAAGTGGCCGGAGTAACCTCGAAGAATCAGTGCCATTGCCCTCCTCCCTTTTGTCTCTTCCGCCCTACTATTCCCCAAGATGCTGACACAAAGCTATTCAGCCATTGACCACCGGGCGCTCCACTACAACCAAGTCTATCCCTTCGACGACTTCGACGGCGGTCAGCGGCAAATCCTCTCACCCCTACCCCGGAAATGAGAACGTCTCAACAAGAAACAAGAGCCTTCTTCCGGTCCGTGACGATGGTCGCTCTGCCCTATCCTCTCGTATCCAACAGTCAGTGGAGACCCGCCCGTCTCAGCGCCTGATCAAGACCACGGAATGGGGACCCCAACAGCAAGACGAGCCCTCTACACGTGAAGCGACCGGGGCAAGTCGTCGCCAGAGCCTCATTCGTCCTAGTCCGCTCAAACCTACTGGACCTGTGAAGCCAGCCGCTAGGCTAACGACTCCCAAACAGGCCACTTTTGCAATTGGCCCATCGTCACCAACCAAGCAAGAATCAGACCCTAGGCAGGATGCACGGCCCTTGTCTCCCAAGAAATCAGATTTGCCTCTACCTTCGCTACGACCCAGTCGATCCGCTTCGCTACGACAGCCAGTCAAGACGAGCTTGAGCGCGCCGCCCGCCAGTCGGGGCCACGCGCGCCATCGCAGCCAGGGAGTTACGCCTAATGTTAGTCGGTTTATGGGAAAACTGGAGCCTCAATCCCCGGTCAGGACGACTCCGATTCGTCCGAAGGCCCAGATTGCATCCCAACCGCAAGCTTTGCAGTCGAAAAAGTCGGTCAATCTAGCCTCAAAGCACGCGACTGCCTGCGCCTCCGAGAATGGGGATACAAGAACATCGTCCTGGCCCGAGCTTTCGACTCTGCAAATAGAGCTCTTACATCTAAGCCTCATACACTCCTCAACGCTCCAACAGAAGAGTTCTTGGACAGCCGATGCCGCAGTTCAACTCCGGATCGACTACAATTCCGTGGCCAGTGATTACCGTGTTGCCCTCGCTGTTGATCAAGGTTATCAGAGCAGTCTCAATGGACAGGCACTGCATTGCTGGTTTCGAAATTCCAATGAGCACAATGGCCCCAGGGGCTTTGCAGCGCAGGTTAAGGTCCTTTCACAAGTGGCAGAAGATATGTACTCGATGGCGGATAGTCTGGAAGGGCGGTACACGGTCGTCGTGCGGGAGTTTGAAGAGTGGTTTCAGCAGGTGCAAGAGATTCAGCACCATCGGTTACATCAGGGGTTAGGGATGCCCCAGGACGTTTTCATTGAGTCCTCGGACCGTGCTTGGAAAGAAGAAGTGTCGGCTTTATCTACGCGACTGGATTATTGCTCGCGGCAACTGCAAAGCCTAGATATCCTGGGCTATGGAGAGCTCGAGCAACTGGACAGCTCTGCGCTGTTCCGCATGACCAGAAACCTCGAAGAGATGGTGAACCTGATGACTGAGGAGCTACAAGCGATTCGTAAGATTGAAGGCGAAGTCGTAAGAGCGGAACGGGCATATGTTGGTCAACTGGCTCGGCAGCTGAGCGACACGCCACCGCCAAAACAACGACTGGGACTCTGGAAACAGGCTTCCATGCAATCATGATGAATCATCCATGGACGGTTTTCCCTTTCTGATGGCAAATCTCTTGCAACTATGGCTGACTGAGCAAGAGCGCAATAATCAACTCTGTCCTCAAGCAAGCAATCTGGAAATATTGTACCGGATTTCGAGAAGGAGTGATTTGCCGTAAGCGTTGCTAGGTCATGTATACTCCGTACATCTGGCGGAACAGAATGGGGTGTGGGGGGGTTAACCAGCGATGCATCATGGGGTCATCAAGGGACGAAAACCGGTTCTGACATGCTCCCAGCCGCTTATTGGAAGGGGTTGGCTCATTTTTTACACTAGGTAGCCCTGTTCAATGGCTGCCTTGCGTCGCAAGCGATCGGGCAACCCCCTTCCAGGACTTTCTGCATAAACCGACCCGGCTGTCAAAAGGGCCTATTGCGATTCTAGAAGGTAGGCATTGCTACACTTGGAACCTTGATTTTGGCCAAGGCTAACCCGGGACCTAGTCACTAGTCCTTCTCAAACTTTTTTTCCTGTAGTCATCTCTCTTCCTCTGATCTACCTCTGCCCTGCTTACCGAGTTTTGGCCTCAAAGACGCAAAACATGGAGGTCGTGCCCCAATCAACACATTTCCGGCTCGATATCAGTTATTCATCCACCGATGATGATGAGTGTTTCGTGCGCTGGCGAGCCACTGGGCGATTCTTGTGTGCCCTGGTGGTTGGCCTGTACCACCCTGCGGTCATGTTTCACCGCTGGGATTCCGACAGTAGCGTACAGATAGACCTTGGCTTTCTTGAGCCGGATCCCCTTTGGCGGACCGGAAAGGCCTGTCAGAAAAAGGAGGAAACAATTCGGCAAGACTGCACTGCTTCATTCGTGTTCCTTGCACCTGAGCCAAAAAGCAGAGGTCAAGTGCAGCTGAGCGAACGATATCCACTATGAACCACTTGTTGAGCTGTCAAGCCGACAATCGTCTCCACCTTGTCCCAGAGAATTTACTGAGACGGGTTGCAAAAACTGGGAAGTGGGAAGAGGGGAATAGCAATGGATCCGGTTTTTTTCTCCCCTGACCGGGAAGGCTATTGACCTGGGAGGCCGCGCGATACTACCCGTCGTCTCTTTCACTAGGCTTTAAGACAATCTAGAACTTTTTTTTTTGCCCTCTTATTCTCAGCAAGAGAAATCCATTCCCCTGAAATGTCAAATGAGAGCAGGTGGACACTGGACCCATGAACAAGCATGAGATAGGACAGAAGATACTGTACAGTTATGAACGCTGCGTGCGCTACTCTAGTTGATCACGGAGTCTGTGCTCCAGTGGATGATTGCTTTGCTCACTGCTATTCGAGCTTGGTCATTGGCTTGGAAAATGAGCGAAGATGAACGAACAATCCGACTTCAACACAGCTGCTGGCCTGGAAAAGAGGAACCTCACCGCGTCCAAGCGGGAGGATTGCAATGGGGAAAGTAGCCAGTCACGATTGGGTGAGCCGAGAGGGGATGATGGGTTAGATATGAGGTTTATATAGAGTGGATTTTGCTTGTTGGCTTTCGGCTTTGCCAACCGACTAACTGACCCAACTTTTTCTGGGGGAGTGTAACAGTGACTAAGCAACGTGGGTAGTTATTTTTTCGTCATTCCAGTCGAAAACTTTTGGTAGGGGTAGTTCAGTCCTTTTTTTTAAAATTTTCTTTTCTTTCTTTTCCTTTTTTTTTTTTTTATTTTTTTTTTTGGCCCCTTCCTATTTACTTCGTGATTTGGCTGGCATAGCAGAGCTAGTGTCAAGCTTAAGTCGAGCGAGAGCAGTCAACTGTCTTTCCTCGCATTAGGGCGATATCCACTCTCCCCTTGGCCGTGTAACCACCCTACTCGCAGTCGCAAATAGTCACTTCAATGCAGCAGTAGGTAACTAAAATGATTTCCCATAGCTCAGAGAAGAATCGGCAGTGACCCTCTTCAATGGGGTCCGCACTGGGCTTAGAAATGTTTTTACATCTCTCTGCCCGTGAGATCTCGTGTCACTGCTTGTTTGCTTTGCTTGCTTGCTCGCTTACTGACTTTGCTGCCCATCTCGCATTCCCTCTGTCTCCTACCCTCATGCACCGCCCAGCAAACCATTTGTTTGAAAGATTCCCGCCATATGCAGATTCTCTTCTCCTGGTGGTCAAGTCATGAACAGTAGATGGGAGAGGGGAAGGGGGATCGCGGGTCTGCTCAGATCGGTGACCTTCCTCCTTTAGGTATGGTAAGCATTTGACTGACGATGGTTGTTAGTGAGAAAGAGGCTGTAGACCGAGTCCCGACTCCCCAGGCCTAGTCTAGTGAAGAGGCTGTAAGTTATTGTACGGAATAGTGGTCACTCACTTAATTCCTTATTCAGTGAATTTCCTCTTCTCAGTCACCCAATGACAAGAAAATGAAGGGGGGCGAACCAGCCAAGCTGAATAACAAGCCGTCATTAATATGACACTGCAATAATAGATTAGTACCCATTGATTGCCTCTGCCTGTACGCAAGTATGTTGTGTATCCGGTAGTTATGTCTCATGTGCTAACATTACTACTGCTACTACGGAGTACTAGTATGTAAGTACCTACTCATACTACGGTTACTGTCTGCCACCTGTGGTTCTGGACCCAATGGATCTTTGGTTCCTTCTTTTGTGCATGTCCTTTGCCTTTTTTCCCTTTATCGACTTTCTAATTCTTCCCCTTTTAGTACCTCTTGCTGCTGTCTCAGTCGGCTTGGCTACTGTATCCCGTCATGTTCGACTTCTTCGTCATCGCTCTATCCTCTTCTACCTTGTTCCCCTTCCTCCTCCTTCAACTTACCACCTGACACTAACGACTAGTATCAACCGCACCCACCACACCATATACCTACATTTCACTCCTCCTCCACTCGTTTCCCTTTTTAGCTTGAAATCACCTTAGGTATTTTTTTTTTTCCGTGTTGGAAGAGATCGGGTGCACCGTCCGAAATCTGGTCAGGTCCTCCCTCTCACAGTCTCTCTCATATACCCAAACCATCTGGACCCCATCCGTCCGTCTTGCACACTCTGGTTGTCTCTTCTCTTTCCTACTCTTACTTCTTTCGCCCCTTCACTCGACTCAACTCGACTTGACGTTGCCTGGACGGTGACCCTCGGGAACACTCTCAACTGCAGCAATCTGTCTTGCCAGGTGTGGAGGGCTTGCAGACTGGTCGACAATTATCTATCTATCACCGGACACCAGAGGGATCTCCGCGGGCTGTGTTCAACTTTTACTTCTTATGTCTGATCTCGCCTCACGCCGGGATTAGCGACTGAGAGCTTTGCATCGCCGTTTTTTCTGTGCGAACGAACCCCCATCTGACGTCATTGAAGCTGCAGTGGTTCAAACTCCTTTCACGCCTCTTCCACCAGCCCCTCCACTCGCCCACACACCCTCCCCCCTTCTTTCACATTCCCGCTGCGCGCAATGATCCACTCTGGCTCGGTAATCATACCGTCTGACACCTGGTAATCGTCTGGTAAGGCCATCCGCCCACCGCACCAAACCCACCCCTCCCGGCTGCTACCTCCTCCACAATGAAGGAGTCCCTCTACGATCGTATCTGGCGTCGAGAATCCGGGGAATTGTCCCGGCTTGCCAGTATTCAGGGCCTTTATGGCGCTTCAGAATGGGTAAAGGAGCTCGACATTGTGAACGAACTCGGGGGTCATTCTGGCTGTGTCAATGCCTTGAGGTATGTATGACTGTCTGTTTATGACCGGTAATCTCCGTATTCCCCTTACCATCGTACTCCTAGTCTAATGCACCATGACGTTCCCGGTCTCTAACACAGAACAGTTGGTCGCGGTCTGGCCGCCTGCTGGCTTCGGGTTCGGATGATCAGCATCTAAACATCTACGCCTATCAACCCGACTCCTCAGCTGCTCCCTTTACGTTGAATACCACCATCGACACTGGTCACACCGCCAATATCTTCTCCGTCAAGTTTATGCCACATTCCAATGATCGAACCCTGGTCTCGTGTGCCGGTGACTCCCAGGTCCGTGTCTTTGACATCGAGTATTCTAGTAGCAATGGGCACCTGGATGGAAATTCGAATGCTCTGTCCTCGGCGAGAGGTCGGCGTTTTCACAACTTCTTCAATACGTCCCATTATCTGAGCCCGCGAACCACTAATGCGAAAGTGTATCGTAGCCATGCAGACCGCGTCAAGCGCATCGTCACGGAGTCGTCTCCGCATCTCTTCCTGACCTGCTCGGAGGACGGAGAGGTCCGCCAGTGGGATTTGCGACAACCCTCCTCGGCCTACCCCAAGCCATTGGGAGGTCAGGGCTACATGGCGTTTCGATCGGGTCAGGCCCACGATGACTCCAATGTGCCCCCTCCGCTGATCTCGTACAAAAAGTACCGCCTGGACCTCAACACCATTTCATGCTCACCAAGTCAACCCCACTATATCGCACTGGGTGGCGCTCATCTTCACTGTTTCCTCCACGATCGGCGCATGTTGGGTCGTGATCTTATCGCAGAGAGAGGAGGCTCAAATGCTTCCTTTGGGAGTAGTAGCCAAGGAGGGGACATATTGGACGATGCGACAAGATGCGTCCGCCGATTTGCGCCTAATGGACAGGATCGAATGAAGACCCGGGACGATGGCCACATCACAGCCTGCAAGATCAGCGATGCAAACCCGAATGAGATGGTGGTCAGCTGGTCAGGTGACCACATCTATAGCTTTGACCTCATTCGCAGCCCGGACGCAAGAGAAGTTATTTCGCGACAAACATCTGTGCGAGAAACACCGGCACCAAGAAAACGTCGCGGCAGCAAAGACCGCAAGCGAAAGCGACATCCCGGCACGTCCATGTCATCCGAATCGAGTGGTATCCAGCCTTCTTCGCGACGTCGTCCCAGAGACTGCCAGGATGAAGGAGAGCTGGCCTTTCGCGTGCGCTACGGTAACGGGGAGTCGGAAGATATTCCTCTTCCATCATTGACGCAGCGTCGCGCTGATGTTCCGGGAGATCTGCTTGAACAATCGAGAATGACAGTGCTCAGTGACGCTCAGAGGCTGAGCATGCGTATTGCCAAAGAGCTGGTCAAGCTGCGCAAGGCTCTATTCTCGCTTGACATGCCGGCGCGTGAAGAGCTCGAATCGGCTAATGCAGCAGATTTGGCGCCGTTTGGCGAGTCCTTTTCCCAGGCATTGACCCATGCGGCCATTTGTCTCCCGCAGATGAGTGAAGTCATACGCACGTGGGGCTATCCACTTAATCCATCTCCGGATATGGTTCGTTTTCAGCAAACCCTGCGCCGCAATCGTGAGTCCGCTTGGAGCTTTGTCCAAGCTGCAGGTACGATAGCTCGAGCTCTGGGTGGCGAGATTCAAGACACACCTGGGGACGTAGACAGAGAAATGGAGCAGTTTCAGCAGATAACGCCACTGAAAGTCGAACATGCGCTTGATCGCAAGGAACAGTTCGGTTATGACTTTATCAAAGCTATAATACTATACATTGAAGGGGGCCGAGAAGCCATGCTGTCAGGCTTCAAGCGTGGTCCTGTTCGTCGCGACCCAGTCAATCGTTTTCCCATCCCCGAGACCGCAGACGATCGTGCGATTGAATCAGTCCTTATTCCTTATCTGCAGCGCCTGGCAGGAGAGGCTCCAGTGGTGAATGTTGATGCATCTAGGTTCGAGCACGACGAGGCCCGCATTCTATTTTCGACTCAACGGGAAGCTGTTGCTGCGTTTGCAGCTATGATCAGGATCCCCGCCAGATCTTCGGCTGACAGCGGATCATCCGATGGTGCTATACACAATGGGGCCGCCCACAATGGGAGTTCTACAGGGCCACATTTGCATAGCCACGACTTATTTCAGCTTACGCAATTCTGGATGTTGAGAGTGGCTCGCGGTATACTAATGGAAAGCGGGACCGGTGTCAACTATGCTTTTGTTAATAGAGCCTTCGGTGGCTTCCGTACCACGATCACGCCTGGCTCTGAATCGGATATCGATCCTGAGAGATCACAAAACGACTTGGAGACCAATATAGAAGAGGAACCTATTCGCGACGTACGTTTGAAAGTACTACGAGGGTCGCAACGCACCCGAGAAGCATTCGATGACGGTACCAGCGAAGCAACGGAGTCGGAGACTTCGTTGATTGGTGTACCGTATTTTCCCGGGTGGATGGACATGGATAGTGGAACCGAGAACGAGTCGGGGGAGGATGAAGAGGATGGGTTTGGCGACGAACGGGACGATGATGATGATGAAAACGGGGACGACGAGGACGACGATGAGGGGAACAACGACGAGTATGAACTGGACCTTGAGAGTCTGGCGAGCGACAGCGACGACTCTGAGGCTGAGGATCGTATGTTCAGGGAATATGGGCTTCACCCTAGACAAAGAGAGTATGTGCATCTGGATGTATCTTGTTCCCCGCATACTCGCGTTTACCGCGGTCACTGCAACGTCAAGACAGTCAAAGATGTCAATTTTTACGGACTGGATGATGAATATGTCGTGAGTGGAAGTGACTCTGGTCATATCTTCATCTGGGATCGGAAAACATGCCAGCTAGTTAATATTCTCGAGGGTGACAGTGAAGTCGTCAATGTTGTCCAGGGTAAGCTTGAACAAAACTCGCACTTCTCAAGCGCAGGAACTGACAGTCTTTTTGCAGGACATCCTTATGAACCCACTATAGCCGCTTCTGGGATTGACAATACGATCAAGATTTTTTCGCCGGACCGCCGTGCTCAAGATGATGCTCGCCGTGGAATTAATATCTTGGACCCTGATAACCCAGCCAATACGCTTGGACCTCATGTGAGAGGGATTGGGGGTCTGAGCAGTCGGAAACGCTTGCATGACAGTTATCGAATCATGAATCAGAACGATGTTGATCGACAAGGCGGGATGAGTGAGGCGTCGATCACCGTACGTGCAGCCCCTCGTGTTGGTATTTACCATGCTAATGTTCATGCAGAGGCATATGCTGGCGCGTCTTGCTACCACCTTACGGGATCAGCATTACAATGTAGAGGCTGGTGGAAGTGGGGAGCATGCCACCCTGGTCTTGGACGAAAATAGCTGTCATGTAAGTTAAGACTGAGTGGGTCGGATCGGACAATGGCTGATGCTTATATTCCTGCAGGTCATGTGAATTGGTGGAATTGAATAAAGCCAATATATACCATGTCGCACATGGTGACCGAATCGGTTACCATCTCGATGAACTCTTCCCGCTTGACTGATCCTTGTCCTTCCTTCCCAACTTCGATTCCCAAATCGTTATTTTCCTTGGTTTATAGCTAGCTCATTGTGGTTATCCAGCCTATTACAGCCTATTCCTTGGCTACGACTATTCTTACGATATTCAACACTTTTCGGGTGAGAAAAGCATTTTGAACACTGAAAATTCATGCCAGATTCTTCAAAACACTGATTGAATTCGAAGTAAAAGTCGTAGTATGTACAGTACATAAGTTTGTTCTGATATGTAGACGAGATCATGAGCCTATCTCCACGTGATCGGATTTGTATCGCTTCCCCGCATTTTCCGTCCCCCGATCTAAAATTTTCCCCCTTCGCCTCGATAGAACGACCGCTTCAAAAATACCGCGACAGTTGAAGATGATGCAAGCTCTGCAGGAACGAGCGGAAGTTACGCGGCGGCTGTACGAAGATCCTCACAATCCGCACCTTTACTACGAGCGAGGCCTCGCGCATGAGAAATTGGGGTTCCCCGACCTAGCGTCGGCCGATGCGTACCGGGCACTATCTCTCCTCGACTCGGTCATCGACCCGGATGGCTGCGAGTTCCACGCTCGACGCCGGTTACAAGGATCTGTTGAGGGTACTGAGCCCGAGGTTCACGATGAAGCTAGCGATGACAGCAGTGACGACGAGGACCAGTTCTCTCCACTAACGCAGTCCGAATACGATACCCTCATTCATCCCGTTTACGCCTTATTAGTTCGCACGCTCGTCAGCTGTGGTTGCTTCCGTGACGCATATGAATTTTGTACCCAGGCATTGAACCTTAGTAGCGACGGTAACACCACTTCCTCCGATCGCGAAGCTTACTCCACTTTAAAAGCACAACTATCCATCCTGCAGCGGGAGTTCGCCCGGCGACGCAACCTCTCTTCGCCGACCACAGCTATCGTAATCGACGACCCCAGCGCCCTGCCAGCGCAGGGATATGCGCGCCGCATACTCTACCCCTGGAATACGCACGAACCAGACCGCAAAGCCCCTGATACTTTGGACCTTCTGAACGAGAAATTACGGACAGTGGCGCCTAAGTGCGAGGTCCGGGCTGTGGCCTTGCCGGCTCTCCACTCGACTACAGCCACTAAACCCATTACCACCAACACATCCTCCGCCGAACAACAACAACAAGAAAAAGAAGAAGATGAACAAGGAGAAGGGGAAGGGCAAGTAAGCATCCAACTCGGCCTTTTTGCCAAGGAAGATATCCTCCCTGGCGAGACCATCCTTCGCGAAACCTCGCTTCTGACGGCTACCAACCGCCTCCACGACGACCTGTGCGACGCCTGCAACGCCCCGCTCCCCGAGCTGTCGGCCAACGACCCGCCCGTCGCGTGCGCCAACGGCTGCGACGACACGATCTTCTGCTCGCAGGCGTGCCACGACTTAGCGCAGCGCGTGTACCACGGCGCCGTGTGCGGGCTGATGGAGAACCTCGAATCCATCGGCAAAGACATTCCCGACCCCAAAGACAAGGCGGACTATCTGTACCTGCTGCTCCTGGGACGGGCGCTGGCCATGGCCGCCACGCAGGAGGTACATCCCTTGGAGCTGGATGAGATCAAGTACATCTGGGGGGATTTCGTAGACTACCAACCCCCTACACCGGCGCCGTCGGATCATAATGCTGACGCCGATGCCGGCAAGATGGGAGGCGGAGGCGGCACCCTCCCCTTCTCCTTCCAGCTCAACATCCTCCAACCTATGCGCCTCCTGGAGGAGATGGAGATCGACCCTTACGCCAACCTCCGCCATTACGACACCTGGGTGTTGAACACCCTGTACGCCAAGTTCCGGGGCACCGCCTCCGGCCGCCTCTCCTCCTGGGATGGCGGGCCCGAGCTGTGCGCAGTCCACCCGCTGTGGTGTTTGGCAAACCACTCGTGCGACCCGAATGTGCGCTGGGAGTGGGGCGGCGAGATCACCTTCGTGGCACGGGCCGAGGACGAGAGAGCTGTCTGGAGTAACCCCTCCGGGGATTCGTTGGATCGGACGCCCGAGTCTAGGCGCGTGGCCGCAGGAATCAAGAAGGACGAGGAGATCTTGAACCATTACTGTGATATCGGACTCGGGGTCAAGGATCGCAGGGAGTGGGCCTGCGGCGCGTTGGGCGGGTTCTGTCTGTGTGAGCGGTGCCGGTTTGAGGCCGGGGAGATGTGATCTACCTTTCCATCTTGGAATAGATAGTCTTACGATTGCGGGGTGAGAGTGTGCTTCCTGGGTTCGGCTGGTGTGTGGGTTAGACTGTGATGCGACTGATAGAGCTTTGTTTGAAATACCCCCTTGGTGTTGGTACAAAGAATTATGTATATCATAGAAATATAGGTACATATAACTTGGTGGGAAAAGAGAGTGGATTGATAGCTCTACTTCAAACTGGCGCTCTTCGTTTGATTTGCACATACAGGTAGCTACAGCATTTATTAGTGGGTTCTTGACCATAGATCGAATAGCAAATTCAGGAAATTTGTCTTTTCAAGCGCTTCCAAACTAGATTACATTTCAAAGAAACCCCGAATTACGGTATGTCCTTTCCCATGCGGCCCCGAGCTAACCCACAAGCATGACAATAGATTGCATTCACTTCCCTCTCTACCCGCTTTCACTGTTTGATACACTAGTCACGGCCTCGGCGCGGCGGGGTCCGTGAAGGCGATGCGCGGGGGCGCACGGGAGATGGTGATCTCGAGTCCGAATACCGTTTGCGTCCTTCTGTCCGCGGTGGTGCTGGCGATCGGGACCCGCTAGCATCGCAACCACGACGAACAGGCGACACAGACCGGGTTCGTGAGCGAGACCGCGATACGCTCCTGGCAACCCGCCTGCGGGGAGGAGAAGGCGATCGCGAGTCGGAGTACCGGCGGCCTCCGTGGCGGGTAGGTGGCGGGGTTACGGACCGCGAGGGTGATCTGGTGTAGTTGCGGTCTCGACGAGGCGGAGCGGCACCGCCCTGTTTACGAGGTGGCGTGACCGAGCGGGAGAAAGAGCGTGGTCGTCGGGTCGGATAGGGGCTCACGCTTCGGCTAGGAGAGCGGGAATCGTAGGAGCGATCGCGTGCCCGGCGGGGAGGGGTTGTCCGCGACACGGACGAGCGCTTCCGGGGGGCCAGAGATCGGGATCGGGATCGACTATATGAAACTGAACGCTCGCGGTTCTTGGACACTGGCGATCGAGACCGCGACGGCGTGTAGCTGTAGCTTCTGCGGGACGAGCCCGACACAGACCGGCTGTAGGAGCGGCCTCGACTCACAGAGCGTCTGCGTCCGCGGCCCGGCGAAGGGGAACGGGAGTAGGAGTAAGAGCGGGAGCGCGAGCGAGAGCGAGGAGTGCAAGTCGAGCAGCTGGTGGGATGCGATGAGACAGAGTCTGCGTCTGATTCGTCGCCTCCGTCGCGTTGAGGCAGAGCGGGCACTGTGGGCTTGGGGAGGTTCTTCAAGTGCTCGCGCATGTCTTCCGTCAAAATACCCATACCGATACTGGTAAAGTAGTTGATCGAGAATCGAGTGTTGCGTGGATTGTCCATTGGGAAGAGACCCTCAAAGCTGGGACGCAGAATCTCGTCTCTCATACGCTCTTGCAGCTTAGGCAACCCCATATGCTCTGCCAAATCCTGAAACAAGATCTTGACAAAGATACGGCTGCTGGACGTCGTTTCCTCTTCATTCATGTGAATGATAGACAACACATGCCACCCAATCGCATCAGTACTGATCATATGGCCGAAGAAGCGGGCGATGTTGCGCAGTCGGTTGGTCTCGTAACGATGGATCGTGTCGTAGTATTTAGCAAACGAGGTTTCAAAGAGGTCGGACCAGAAACGGTTGATCTTGGCGAATCTCTCACCAATAAAGCCGTAGAATTTGGAATAAGTGCGTTCCTGGGAGCAGCACTCGATAACCATCGACGGCAATTCGGACTCTAGGCCCGTTGGTAGATTGATCTTCATGAGCTTGTGGCAACACTCCTCGAAATCTATGCTGGACATGATCGTCAGATAGATCGTTCTTCGGAGGTTGACAAGGTCTGCATTGGTTTGATCTTTGATGTCCATCTTCCGCTCTTCTTCTGACTCCTCATCCGAGCTTTCCTCGGATTCGTCCTCGTCATCGTCCTCGTCGTCGCTGCCCTCTCCCAGAATGTCCGCTTTCAGCTTCTTGTAGGCTTCTTCGTGCTCCTCCCACTGGGCATCGTACTTGAATATGTTCAGTCCATCCTGCGTATCGATCTCGTCGTCGAGACCGACCTGGTGGGTGATTTGATCTTCCTCCTCAATGAGATCTAATTCTTCCTTAATCGCTGGATTTTCTTTGTATCTATCCTTGCGAACCTGGAACAACACCTCAATCATATACTGGACACGCTTATCGATATCCGCCTCGTGAAGGATGTTGCGAAATTGATCGAACACCGCCAAAGCAATGGGCCCGCTCATCTCCTCCAAGTGCTGACCAACTTCCCGTGTGAGTCCGACTGCAATCTCAACACTGTCATCCGTGGGCTTGTGGAGTAAGAGAAGGAGGATCTGGGCAGCGAGCATCTCGTGGGCAACTTGCTGGTTGCACAGATGGGCGATGAAGGTGGTGGAAGATATGCAGACGGCTTTGTCGTTCCGTTTGAAGGCCTTTCGAAATTGTACGATCAGCCGATTGAGCAGGAGCTCTCCTACCTGCGGCAGCTTGGTGTTGACGATAGCTGCCATAGCAGCGTAGATGGGCGTAAAGGGCAAACTGGCTGCCTGAGCCTTCATGATGCTCCTGCAGAACAGACCGCGGCCACGAACCAAGTTCTCGCCGAATAGCTCCGGAACGATGTGCTTGATGTTGGAAACGTTGACCTTGTTGATAAGACCGTTGATTGACTTCTTCAGCGCCTCCCACGCCATCCGCTGATATTCCTTACTGGTCTTGTCGGTGATCTGCGCCTGCAGGGCACGAAGTCGAGCAGGAGGAATGTAGGTACCGCCAGACCGCATGTTCAGTAACTTCTCATATTCGGCTTTGGCGGCCGCCTGTTTCTCCTCTTCCGTCATCGGCTTTCTGGCGGCCGCTTCTTGTTTTTCATGCTGTCGGACGCGCTCCGCTAGTTGGCGTTCTCGTTCGATGGCGCGCTTCGGATCAATACGCGGCGCCTCGAGGCTGCCGTCGTGCGAATCACCTGGTGGCGAAGGGCGACGGTTTGGCGAAGGAGATCGCGAGGGAGGAGAGCGTTTCCGAGATGCTGAAGCTTGCGGAGAGTACGAGGTGCCTGGAGGCGGAGTCGGTACTCGCACCGCAGACTGTAACACAACGGGATCCGTCATTCTTCCTTCGCGGTCGAGTTACAGGATTGACCTGACAAAAAACCGTTGGGTGAGACCCGCGAAATAGCACGACGTTTGTCGGAGCTCTCGTTAACGGGCGGCGGCGGCGAAAGAAGGGAAGTCTTAGCGCGGCGACAGGTTGCCGTCACGTGAGAGCGATTTAGGAGCCAGGCTGGCGCCCGGCCCGCGGGTTGTCTCTGCCGTGGGCGATTGGGAGGAAGCTATCTTTAACTTTCCGTCATCCTTTTCGGTTCTCTCGATCTGACCTGAACACGTTGCAACGTCAGAATTGATCTTCATTATGGTATGTGATACAGTCCATTCTCTCTGGGTATCTTGTGAGATGCTAACTACCTCTTCCGTCACAGCTGGGCACTCTTGTCGGATCCGCCATGCTTTTGGTCGCGACCGCGATCTTCCTCTACTATACCACCTGGACTCTGTTGATGGTATGCTGCTTCCAACACCATGCCTCTGTCCTTTCCTAACTATCTGATAGCCCTTCGTTGATCCCGGTCACCCTCTCCACGACCTTTTCCCTCCGCGCGTGTGGGCTATTCGCATCCCCGTCTTCCTCACTCTCCTGGGTTCCGCGGTGGTCGGCACCTTCATAGGCATTGTGATGATCAACAGCAACAAGAAGAAGGCTGCCAAGGCGCAGGCAGCTGCCGCCAAGAAGAAGACTTGAGACTTCATGTCGTGGGACTGGAGACTACGTGGCAGGAATTGCGATTCAATTGTACTGTACTTTTATTCCTTGTAATGTTGGCATTACAATTTCGACGTGACCTTTCAACTTCGAACCCGCACCCAATAGCAGGCCTCAAGACCAGCTACTTTTGGCTAAAACTGTAATCAAATTCTATGTCTCAAATGCAGGCTATCCACAAGTTGGGTGGGAAGGACTAGTCGATCAACTCGATTCTGGGCAAGAAGGCATGCATTACTGAAAGTAGTTATCTAATTTTCTTTCTGCTATGGGGTTGTCACTTTTCAAGCTTGGGGCTTTGGTTATCTTATGACCCAATGCACTGGTCCAACACTCGGGGCTCAAACAAATCATAAAACTCACTTACGACTGTACAGTACGGAGTACGAAAGGAGTGGATCCAAGGAGACAAATATCACGTGCTCGAAGCTGGGGTTACATTAACGATGCTGACTTAGTTACTGTTCGTTGATTACAGAACGTCAATAAGGACAACGATAGGATGCGGTCTGCATTTGCTGAAGTAGACTTTCGAGGCGTTAGAAACAATCGCCAGCGATATACGGATGCTCCTGGTCGGACGCAACCTTCCTGGTCTAGAACAGAGATATTCACACTACTCTGCAAGGTAGGCCTAGATCTGATCGATGGGCTAGGGCTGTAGAATGTCCTACTTAGAGCATAAGCATAAGTACCAGATGAAGCGAGGCAACCAAAGTCCCGCACTGATGAAACATGCTTAGCTCGATGAGCTTATGCTCTGTTACTGGTCTCATGGATTACTTGTAACATGAGTCTCGCATTGTAACCTATCACCCGTACATTATGCAGTATCGCATGTAATACTGACTCCGCAGTATCTCAGAAATGGGCAGGCTGGTTATGATAGCGCAGCATGATGTGCGAGTTAACACTAAGTTGAATGGCCAATTACCGCTTAGTGTGTCTAGATACAGTCTGCAGTGCAGTGCTCCGTAAACAATATACACTTAGAGGAAGTGTTCCTCGTTGAAATCATACTGAAAGAACTGATGGAGAATTAGTTGAGGACAAGGTAGCCTACCCCGTGGTGTTTCTCATTCGCAGATATTGCTTCATCTTACGTATCACGGAAACAAAAGCCCCTCACGTCAGGTAGACATATTGTCGAAATTGAGCTATCACGGACGAACCAGGCTGGTTTATGAACGCGAATCTCCATTTCAATGGTAAACAAGCGAGCTGCAGAGCCGGGTGCGTTGTCACTTTCGCGGTCGAGATCCCAGTGAAAGTGCAATCGTTTATCTGACCTTTGATCGAAACGAGTTACTTAGTACACGAAACTGCAGAACGCAGTGTTTCAGAAGGACTATGGTAATTTTTCAAATAACTAATATGAGCCATTGAGAATACAGGACCCAGATGTTTCTTCCGGCTTTGTAACAAATATCCATTGTGCACGCCCTCATAAAGCATGGAACGACCTTTCAGAGAATACCATGGACACTGGATACTTCCCAATGTCGATGCCAATGACTGGAAGAAATGCCGTCAGATGATTCGCTTCCAGTTACTAAGCCGGAGAATGAATGATTCGAGGCGGAAGGAATGCTGCCCGAGACAGTCTGGCAACAAGATGGCATCATTCTCGAGTGATAACACTTTGTCCTCAAATCGAAGTAGATTCCGGGTTCCCTGTCAGCTCAGCTGCATTCCTCAGGTCCCCTGCAAGCCAACCGCGTGGTGATTGAAGTTGTACCGATGACGAACTGTGCGATCATTCGATGGAAAGAGTTCCTTGGATACGGCAGGTCACCGGTGAGGCACTGCTTGCTGAATTCCCAGGGATTCAGAAGATACCCACCGAAACAGGGGGACAGGGTCATGTTGACTCCTGGAAAGTATGGGGGGGGGTTTGCTGGGGGGGGGGAGTCTCTACTCAGTATTCCGAGATAACATGAATGGCTGATACCGGGGGAATGAGTAGCCACCACGTAAGATTCCAGTCACAGCCCTGTGAGGGATGGAGGAGGGGAGAGGGACGTGCCAATGACCGGTGGGGGCCTTGCAGATGATGGCAGTGCAGCTGAAGCCGGGGGACCCCGTGACTCTGGGCCTCTGGAGAGAGTAGACAGACAACCCGTCCGCCTTTCTCCCAAGCCTCCTGGCCGGGCAATGCTCTTCATCTTGAATACAGCCGAAGTTGGGAATCCCATGGGACCTGGTTCATTGCAAGGCAGGTAAGGACTGTTCCAGTCCATCCATGGTCAACAACACATGCCCAGGTGGTGATGGCTCTTTGGCCGCTGTCCTTTGCCATCAGTCACGTGATAGAGGGGGACCCGCTCTTCGGCGCATCGGGCTCGCGACGTTTGTCGGGTTTGCATAGGGGAGCTGGGCACTGCACTTATTACCCCTCATGCGGGCGTTTCATTAGAAGGCGGAACACTGGAGGACCACTGGAGTCCGATCCGTGTACGGAGTAATTGTGTATTTCTTGGTTGTCCTGCTTCATACCCGGTACCGTGAGAGAAAAGGCAAGAGGGAAAATTATACTCGTATTGTACGGTCATTGCAGATCATCGGCTAACCACAAAGAGAACCTGATGGAGGCAGACCGACAACTCTTGAGCGGTAGTCAGATAGTATGGGGTACCGAGTCGAGAGTACCTTCGTGACCATTACCAGCTTGCGTCATGTTATGACCGTCATACCTAATCATTCAATAGTACTCAAGTAGGTACACCAATGATCATTTGTTCTGCGTCATGTGGTTGAGTCGATTGGGAAACCTTACGGACGAACTGAACTGCAACAACTACCTACCTCGACTACCGTACGTACTAACTTAGTTAACTTTACTGATAGGAGATAAGTTACTAACCCGTATGGAGATGTCATCCATACTATGAGTAGTGCTCCTGACCCTGACCCGGTTCCCCTCCCCCTCCTTTCCCTCCTTTCCCAACTTTTGTTCCCTCCAAAACGATAACATTTTTCTATTCTTCCTCGATCTACCCATACTGTGACTTTATTGCTATCTGTCTATCTCTTTGCTAGGTTCCATATTTGACAACTACTTTATTCTTGCTCTTGGACGGCTTCAGCTGTGCTGCCGAACTGTCCTATATCTCATCAATCTACTGGCGTATCAGCGAACGGGTCCCCGCTCTAGATACGTCTGTTGCTGGTCGCGGCCTGTTGTTGCAGCTGCGACAACTCGACACGCTTCCTACGCGTCTTCGGCCTCTAATACCCTTGCGGCCTGTTCAAATTAGTTGTAAGAAGACTCCTCGAGCGTCTGCACATCCTCGTCTAGCGGATGAGTCATGCTGATAACCCTTTGTTGATCTCAGTGTTGCCTCCGAAGATCCAGCTCCACCAATTCTCGATCCGGCCTGGGCGCGACCTTCGTTGCAGGTCAACCATATTGTCAGATCCGTTCTCAGACCTTACTAAGGTCTCTGAGAGCGGTCACCTCCTGGGAAATCTACTGCCTCAGAGCAGGCAGCCTCTCCATTTGAATGCCACCGGCAGCTTCGGACGATTTGTTTCGCCAGCAGAGCCGGTCCCCAGGTGACACCAATTCATTTCCCGAGGATAGTACTCGTTCAAATCTGGAGCATGAACTTGGGGGAAAGAGTAAGAAGAAAGGGAAAAGCGGATCTAAGGCCAAGGCTAAAGCGGCGAAAGCAGCGGCTAAGTCCTCGCCAGGCGACTTGTAAGTCTGACACGCCCCGTATCATCGGATATAAGTCGTTCTATCACATGGATTGAAGCTAATGAAGGACAACTATGTGACCTACTCCACAGAGAGGAACTCTCACCACCTCTGCTGGCAGAGCCGTCGTCCTGTCCGAATCCTACAATAGAGCCTCCGACTAGTCACAACATCGTTTCCCCAGTACTCGACTCCTTGGACTCGCTGGGAGACACCCCTGAAAATGATGTCACTTACCGAACGGATACTTGGACCAAATCCATTCCGTTCGGCAAGAGTCCTCCAAATGACGTGACAGATGGTGAATTCGCTAGCGGTTCGCCATTTGGGTTTCTCACGAATCACGATAAAGGTGGTTTTAGCAATCCCTCGTCGGCATCACCTTCTAGCAGGACAAGACCTTTGAGTTATGGACACAGATACTCTACTAGTAATACGTCCAGGCAACAGTCCGCAGATCGACAAAAGAGCAACTCTGTCAGCAGTCCATTCAACAACCAGATACCCTTGCCCCATCTGCCGCAAGCCCACTTTTATGGCGCACCCGATATCGACTTACCTATATCATCTGCACAAAGTAGGCCCACTAGTGATGGCGGCTACTCTTTCTGTGCATTTGACACAATCTTAAGCCCGTGGTTTAAGACCTCCAGGATAGGAAGCAACGTTCTCCTTGTCGGTACAGACGGTGCTCTAGATGTTCTCACTATAGAAGATCAGAAGATCCGTTTGGTGGGAAAGCTGACAGGCCTGACTGGTCGGGTGATCGAGGCTAAGTTATTAACCAGTACCTCGGCGGATGACCCTAAGTCTGCATCCAGACCACATATCGCTATCATTACACATGGTCTTTGTTCTTTTGCCGATGATGAGGGCCACGCCTCCTCGATAGGATCCGAAACCAACGAGATTCCAGCTGGCCGACCGTCAATGACTGGTGGTCGGATCAACAAAGACGAGGTGAAATACTACCAAACACGGGCTGATGTTTATTCTCTGAGAAATGGGGAGCATATCACGACGCTTCTAACGACACCACCAGTTCAGTGCTTGGGCAGTATCCCGGGAATGCCGTCTTTGGCCCCGCCACCTGCCGGCAATTTGAAGCTCTATGCTAGTGGCAGTTACGTCGTGGTGGCGTCTGGGTCAAGTGGAGAAGTGTATGTGTACGGCATTGGCAGCTATAATTGCCTTGGGAAACTGTGGACGAGTATTCAGTCGAAGGAATCTCGACGATATTCAACCTCCTCTAACTCCACTGATCCGGATGGTTCACAGTCCGATTCACCTCACGGGCCTCCGAACCATGACAATCCGATCATCTCTCTTAAAGGGAGGTGGTTGGCCCTTGTTCCGCCATCTGCCACGTACAGAGCGTCCCTTCGCGCAACTGTTCCTGCAATGCTCCTACAAGGAAAGACTGTTGGAATCGAGACTCGTAGTCCACCGTCGCGACCAGCAATTACTTGCGCTACTGACGTCGGCGAAGGCGAAAGCTTTATTGGCAAAGTCGCAAGAGGCGTGACACAAGAGCTCATGCGCGGTGCTCGCTGGATGGGTGATCAAGGAATGCAAGCTTGGAACAATTACTGGAACAAGGACCAGGCACAAGGTGTCCCAGCACGTCGTTCACCAAACCTAATGGACTTCTCACCACAGGGCTACAACATCTTCCCTCCAACCCATTCTCAGGAAACTCAGACTGCATCTCCTGCTGAGCCGGATCTGGTTTCGGTGATGGATCTGCAAAGACTAGAAGAGGGTCCAGAGACCAAGAGCGCGTTGTTCGGTTCCATGACCACGTTCCAGGTGCCGAATGGCTGTAGCTTCCTTTCCTTTTCTCCTAACGGCTTGATGTTGCTTACGGTGAGCAAGAAGGGTGATGTACAGTATGTCTGGGATCTTCTGCAGGCGAAATATTGCCGCGCAGGGGCTTTTCTATCCGACGACCCTACAACTGCACATCCGAGCGTGCGGCAAGTTGCGAGGTTCTCACGCTTGACAGCATCTCGGATTATCGACGTGGTATGGTGTCCGCCATCTGGTGACAAGCTCGCTATCATCACCAGTAAACCCACAGTGCATGTGTTCGACCTGCCACGATCCGCTTTTCAATGGCCCCCTTTCCGCCGAGCTAAACCACAGCCTACCAAGGCCCCTATCAATGATCTTCAAGCCGAGGAACTGAATGACCGGGCGGCTACCGTGAATCCTTTGTCGGCAGCCTTCAAAATAGTCGGGGGTAAGACACAGCCCATCCTTGCAGCAGTGAGGGGTCGTGCACCATCCACTGGTGCAGCCTTCAACTCAATGAGCGGATTTACGATCCCTTCTACTGCAGGTGTTAGTGGAAAGGCCGTTGCTGCCGGTCTCAGCAAATCAATGGGTGCTGCCGCCACCGGCACGGTCAAAACAGTCAAAACATTTCGGCATGGTGGTGAGCACCGCCTGCACCTGTCCGGACTTTCCCGTGACCCAGTTGCGTCTCGTGTAACTTGGGTAACCAGTAAGGGCCTGCCCTCTCTGGGGCTATTGGATGGAGGGTTCTTTCGCCTATATCGAATCAAACGTTCCGTGTCTGCCAACAGGAACCGGCAGTTGCAGTCGGTGATCGGGGACAAGGAATTGGAATTTCGACTCCCTCCGAACCTGCAGACACCTTGCGGTCCTTTAACCGTTGGAAGCCTAGGTGCGGAAACTAATGTTTGGGCTACCCTGGCTCTACCCTCCTCCACAGCCCGTCTCCCCGCATCGTCAAAGCTCAAGTCTCAGCCTCTCTCGCAGGCAGAAATTGAGACAAACACGCCATACCAGCCATTTCACACTGATCAGAGGGTAAACCTTTTCGTGTATTCGGAAACGAATGACACTGGATTATCGGTCCCGAATGGTCAGTGGGTCTTTGGCGGTTCCATGCCGACGTCCAAGCTTCATGTGCGTCCTTTCAGCTCCCACAGTGAAGATGATGAGGATGATTTACTGCGCGAGCAGCACCAGGGCTTTGGCGGAGAAATGGAGAACTTAATCAGCCTCGGAAATAGCACCGGAAACATCGAGGAAGTGGTCATCACAACTCGTCGTAAGAAAAAGTCAACTTCGGCCTTGACCTCTGGAAGTGGAGTCGACGATGGATTTTTTGAGGACGATTGTGAGGTTTTGGATTTTGCGCGAGACCGGGTTTGAGATAGCTATGGCTATACATTTGAGGTTTCGGAGCGCGACTTCGAGAAATGACTAATCTTCAAATAGCTAGACATTACATTGGAATTGGCGTTGGCGTGCTTGGGATTTCGATTTCCACTCTTCCACACTTTTGACGTCACTCATTGCATATTATCCTTTAGCATCATCACAAACGTCTACACCAGAATTCCACTCAGGGAAGTTCAACATCATGGACCGTTGATCTTAGTCAGACTCTGATTCATCGCTTCCATCTGAGCGCTTACTCCTACTGTCCCGGCATTGTCTGCTTCTCCCGCGAGGTATTGGTGCACTCTGGGCTTTGTTTCATATTCCACACTGTACTTCCAATCAGATAGATAAGGGCTGTGCTCGGCCATTAACTCATGACATGTATATTTCAAGGTTGCAAATGGCAATGACTTTGACGTTGCAAATCACCCAAGTATCTACAAATAAAGATGGAAGTAGTAGCGACGTATCTCATCTTCCCCGGGACTTAGATGACGTAAAACTTTGGCATAATAGTATCAGGATTCGCACTGTGATTCTATCTAGATATAGACCCATGCTAGCTTATATTAAGGAAATGAGTGAGAATGGGAATTGGATGGGCATTAGTGGTCTTGTTGTGGTCCTCTTTGCTCTTTGCAGTCGAAACAAGGTTTTGGTGATGCAGAAAGTTGTTATCTCTGTGAGTTGATAAAGATAGAGCCGGTTGACAAAAATCTGGTCGCGGTGGGTAGACCAGTCTGCGTTGATACTGTGGTTGACCGGGGACTCGTGGAAATGACAAACCTTAGCTTGGTTGGTTAATCATTCGCGGGTACCTGACAAATGCGGGGGAAGATCGTGGGGAGCGATGTACTGTACCTATGCTGAGTGGCAGTAGTTTCACGGCAGTGGAGTCGAGTTGCCCTGTAGACCCATTCGTGATCGACATGGACTAAACTGAGTGCTCCGTACGACGAACTGCACTTACCAACGTCATGTCAGAATGCGGCCATCACTTGTCACGAATGAAATGCATTTGTTACCAAAGATCCACGCCTGGTCTTACACTCGAAGGAAGCGCGCTCCTCGCATAGAATGAGGATGGGACTATGGCAGGAGGTACAGAACTTCTTCATTCATTTCATGAGATTGCGAGTTGACGATTTCCTTAGCCGAAGACCTCCTTACTGGTCGTGTCTGGCGGTGGGAAATAATCTTTTTGTAACAATAAAGAGACTTGATGGAAATCCTGGCATCAAGAAAGAGAGGATTTCCGGGCAAGGAAGATAGAGCAAGCTGTGAGAGTGATATGATTGTATACAATAATACTATGCTGCCAGAGAAAGCGCGTTGTGGGTAGTATTAGTGACAGACAGTTAACGTAGTAGTGATTATAACAACATCCATGTTCACTGACTGGAAGCATGGAAAGAAACAAAGCGCATGATGAAAACAAAGAAAGCAATAGCTGCGTGTGATATCCCATTAATGTTTGTTTAGTTTGACTCGTGGTTCCCTTCCTGCCGCCCTCATTCCATTCAATTTCCCATATGTACTGAGACAAGCTGAGTGTGCTTTGCGTTGTTGGTGGGTTCGTGCTTCTGTTGTGGCTGAGATGTAGAAAGACTCAGTAAACCCCCTACAGAGTGCGAAGCCGCTAGTTGCATAATTGACTGAGATTTACAGAGCCCAGGCGGCGAGGACGAAGCCGAGAAGTCCGACAGTGGAGACGCCCATCTTCAGCTGAGTGATCGCGGCCGAGTTAGAGGTCTCGCTCGAACTGGCACCGGTGCTGGTAGAGGTGCTGGTCGAGTCGGAGGAGCCAGACTTGGAGGAGCCAGACTCTGAAAAAGGAATGAGATTAGTGTCATGATTTTAGACAAGGGGTGAACACCAAGACTGGGGAGAAAGCAGGATTGAGGTAAATAACTTACTGCTGGAGCCAGTGGAGGAGCTGCTGCTGCCGCTGCCAGTGGTGGTGGTACCATCGTTAGAGCTGGCAGTGCTGGCGGAAGAACCGGCGGTAGCAGTGGCGCTGGACCAGAAATAACTGCTCACGCAGCGGCTCTGGCAGCTGGCGTAGGCGTTAGTGTCGCTGGTAGAGCCGTTACCCTGAGGGCAGGCAGCAACGCAGCTGGTGGTGTCGTTGGCCTGAGAGTCGTTGGGGCAGGGAACATTGTAGCACTTGGCAATACAGCAGATGTCACTGGAGGCGCCTGAACAATGAATTAGAATGTGGCAATTTTGTCTAGGCAGCCTTTTGGAAGCAAACGGAAGGATATGAGCTCGATGAATACGTACAGGACTCAGCGCACTTGGCCTGAGCGGAGAGACTGGCAGTCGCACTGGCAGCGCTGGAAGTAGAAGTAGAAGTGGAGGTAGAGTCCTGGGCCACAGCGAGCACCAGGAGAGAAGAGAGAGCGAGAGCGCTGTTGAACTTCATCTTGGTTGTGGATATGATATGAGTGATGTAAAGACAGACTTTGTATTACTTTTTGTAGGCTCGAAAGAAGCGAGTAACGAGCGAGCGCAAAGTATGAAAAGCGAAAGACTGTTGAGGAGGAAATGGAAGAGGAAGAAGAAGGAGAGAGAGAGAGAGAGAGAGAGAGAGAGAGAGAGAGAAGAAGAAGAAAGAAGTAGTTCGTAGTTGGTAGAAAAAGTAGGCAAACAATAAAAAAAGAACAAAAACAGTGGCGGGAAATTGAATTTAGTGCCTGTTAAGTCACTTCCTATTAATCCAGTCACTTTCTGTACCACAGTAAAGGAGTGATTAGCGGGGTTTCAGCCAGTGGTTGGTCCTCTCTGTATCCAGTGGCACGACTCGTCTTGCAACAACTTCTTGGTTAAGATGCGCTGTTCGGCCTCACCCGACGGGCTGACGGACGGAATGACTGATTCACTAACTCACTGATCGACTGAACTGAATAGCCTAACCCTCACCCTTACATTAGTGGCAATTAAGACGGCCCCATGCTTGATTGCTTTTGCTTCTCTTTTCCTGAGTCTCTAACTTACCCTTCCTAATTCTACAAGATCTGATCACTGACCAAACTTGTTGATATTTCGATAGATGGATAGTTTCAGTGACGGAAGTGGCCCAAACTCGCCAACAAATCGAAAAGAGTCACAGGCTCCACTTCGAGTCTACTTCTCCCTCAGAATCCCCTAGACTTGCTTGAAGGAGACAATTTTCCGGGCCAGCGCAAAGGGTGGACAGACCCTTGGAAAATCTGGGGACTCCAAGCCAGCTCCAAGGAGGGATCGGCCAAAAATAACCCTGGAGTGGCACTACCCTCGCTATTAGTCTGACTTTAGCCCTCCTTAGTCTCCCTCTTCGTCCAGCCATTGCTGAAAGCTCTTATCCGCCTCTTCGCTGGCTTGCTCCACTCACAGAGGGAAGACTGAGCGCTGATGAGTTCAGCTCCTCGCTTGGCCGGCTGAGAGCAATAAGCGCATTGCTCGTGGCAGTCACGGTGGCAGTGAGTGAAGGTCATGCGGAAGAGGTCTGTCAAATCTCCCTGGAGTGCAGTAGCCTGCAGGACCCCCTCCTGCACAGTGCAGAGATCCTAATAATAACCCTTCCGTATCTTGTACACTACGGAGGACCTGCTTGGGAAATGAGAGGGCGCTTGCTCGGAATCATCAATGTGATTTAAGTTCCGTGGCTGCAACACTATTACCCCAACTCCCCCAGCTTGACTGGAGTTGCCTTTCCTCAATCCCGACAAAATAATGAACCCGGTGTTACACCACAGTCTTCAATTCATGACTTATCCCCTAGGAATGACGCCCACAGAAACATCATATATTCGTCGGTCTGTGTTCTCAAGTCGTGTGGCAATACCGTATGTACGGCACTTCGTTGCAAGATGAGCTAGCCCTTCGAGAGTCGCGAGGCATCATATTGTTTGCCCCCATTATGGCTCGAGCTTTGTACACATTCATATTATTTCTCTATCGCTTGGCAACAATAACGGTCAAGAACCAATTTGCCCTATCGGCTATGTTGGTTCAGTGTGGCCCAGAGTACTTAGAGTTATGAGTATGACTGTGAAGACTCGGACTGTTCAATAGAAAACTAAACTATGTTTTAACACTTAGTAGTTAGTGGTAATTGCTTGTGCCGAAGCTGTCCTGGACTGTGCGCCCGGTCAAATTCCACAACATGGTGGACATGTAAATGCATTCGCACCATACGAGTTCGGCTTGTCTCTATTTGAAAGTACTATAAGCCACAATCTCATGAGTGAGGGCTCATAAATCGTTATATTTGTTGTTTGATGCTGACTTCGCCTGTAGGACTTCTGCGCAAAATCGATGCTGAGCCTAGAGGACGTGAGGCTATACCTGATCAGGAAGTTATGGACTTCAGATGATTAAGCAGGCATGTGATTGGGATCCGACGCGTCGCGTTATGAAATGGCCAGTTCGAAGCAGCGGCGGAAAACTCAGCGAACCACGTTGGGTTCGACATGTCTGGCCTGGAAGGGGACTCTTCTGACTACTTTGACAATGATCTCGGGGATTTTATTGTTGTTGATGACTCTGATGCTGCGGCCACCTCGACCGATCGGGGATCTCCCTGGCCAGCCAAGCGCCGTCGCCTAAAGGCTGACAAGCAAACCTCATCACGTCGAAAGATCCAAAATGACCGACATAACACTCGGGAGAGCTCGGATATTGCTAGCGAAGAGTGGGATGAGGAATTACAGTCCCCATATCAAACGTCGCATTACTTCGATGGTGCTCCGGAGCCCGATGCGCAATCCAAGTATAAATTGTTCGTCCCGAAGAACAGAAATGTCCAGGAAAACATCTTTGTCACCCAACTCACGCAACCTCAATCACCTCCGGAAATGATTCGGGGCCCACGCTGGAAGAAGCCGGCCTCAGAATTTACCCCTCTGGCCGTCAGTCCGGCAACACGCGCAGTCAATGGAAGTGGCGATGGTAATAGGACAAATGACGATTTTGACGATGATGACGCACTCAAAGCGGCCATTGAGGCTTCATTGCAATCCTTCGAAGACGAAAATTCTAACAAGTGTCAAGCCCAACCTCCGAATAACCCTCAGCCTCCGTCATTTGTTAGCACTTCAAGCGAACATTCTGCCGAAGCTATGGATGTCCCAGAAGACTTTCTGAATGACATACCTGACGACGCTTTCGACTCAGACTTGTCATTATCTCCCTCTCCTCCAACCCACAGTCGACCAGTCTCAATGACTTTTACGCAGAGTGCAAATCGTCCACTGGGAGTTCGTCAGACAACTCTATTTGACATGACAGCTCGGAGCCCAGCAAATCAGCCTCCACGTGGTGAGCAGTATATTTCACCACCTGAGAAGGTCGAACGTCCAACACAGCATAGATTGAACCAGGGAGCAATGGATACTTGGATCTATCCCACCAATTTGGGGAAGACGAGAGATTACCAGTTCAATATCGCCCAGCAAGGATTATTCCATAACCTGCTCGTTGCGTTGCCCACGGGTCTAGGTAAAACATTCATCGCAGCCACCGTCATGCTAAATTGGTTTAGATGGACCCAAGATGCTCAGATAATCTTCGTTGCGCCCACAAAGCCGCTGGTCGCTCAACAGATCGATGCATGCTTCCATATTGCAGGAATTCCACGATCCCAGACCACTATGCTAACAGGCGAAGCTGCCCCTGGCATTCGAGCCGAGGAATGGAAGGCTAAACGCGTGTTCTTTATGACCCCCCAGACCTTAATCAATGACTTAAAGACCGGGATCGCAGACCCTAAGCGCATCGTTTTGCTCGTTGTAGACGAGGCCCATCGCGCGACAGGCGGCTATGCCTACGTCGAAGTCGTCAAGTTTCTTCGACGCTACAACCAGAGCTTTCGTGTCCTCGCATTGACTGCAACTCCTGGCTCGACGGTAGAGGCTGTCCAGGCAGTGATCGACGGGTTGGATATTTCCCGGGTCGAAATTCGCACAGAACAGTCCCTTGACATCCGGGAATATGTTCACGCGAAGGACATTGAAGTGCAAACCTTCCAGAATTCGGAGGAAATGGTCCTGTGTATGGACCTATTGACCCGGACACTTCAACCATTGGTTGACCAGCTTCGAAGTCTGAATGCTTACTGGGGCCGTGATCCTATGGGCCTCACTGCGTTTGGCTTGACTAAAGCGAGACAACAATGGATGATGTCAGACGTTGGCCGAAATGCACACTTTGGATTGAAGGGCAAAGTAAATGCTATCTTCAGCGTTCTTGCTAGCCTTGCCCATGGAATTGACCTTCTCAAATATCACGGGATAACTCCATTCTACCGCCACCTTGCACACTTCCAATCCAACACCGACGGACAGAAGGGGGGAAAATATCAGCGACAAGTTGTTCAAGATGAAAGTTTCAAGAAATTAATGAACCACCTGCAACCATGGACCAAAAACCCGGAGTTCATCGGCCACCCAAAACTGGAATACTTGAAGCAGGTTGTCCTTAATCATTTCATGGACGCTGGTGAGGGTGCGGGTACCGGCAAAGACAAGGGGAAAGCGGCAACAAGAGTCATGATCTTCGTGCATTTTCGAGACAGTGCAGAAGAGGTGACACGGGTCCTCAGCAGGTATGAGCCGATGATCCGACCCCATGTTTTCGTTGGGCAGAGTAGCGCCAAGGGCTCGGAAGGTATGAACCAGAAAACCCAGTTGGACATTGTGCAGAAATTCAAAAGTGGCACATACAACACGATTGTTGCAACTTCAATCGGTGAGGAAGGTCTTGATATCGGTGAAGTCGATCTGATTGTGTGTTACGACTCGTCCGCGTCACCGATTCGCATGCTTCAACGTATGGGCCGTACCGGTCGTAAGCGAGCGGGTAACATCGTGCTACTTCTTATGCAAGGCAAGGAAGAAGAATCATATATTAAGGCAAAGGATAATTACGAGAAGATGCAACAAATGATAGCCAGTGGTACTAGATTCGCCTTCCATGAAGACCAATCCCCTCGCATCCTTCCCCTGGGCGTCCGACCCACAGCTAACAAGCGGGCGATTGAAATACCTGCGGAGAACACCGTGCGAGAGCTGCCCGAGCCTAAGCGAAGAGGCCGTGCTCCCAAGAGACCGCCCAAGAAGTTTCACATGCCGGATAATGTGGAAACAGGCTTTACAAAAGCGTCCAGTTTGGCTGAAGGCGGTAAACGTAGGGGGTCGAAGAAGAGCAGAGCTCGCACGCCGACTCCGGAGCCAGTCGAAATCCCGGCGCTCGAAGATGTCTTACTTACATCAGCGCAGCAAACCGAGCTCAGTATTCATTATGGCAAGGCAGGTCAGGCCCATGCGCCGTCGATTTTCAATCCCAGGACTGACGCTTTTCCGCGCCTCCAACTCACCCCTCGGCCCATCAAAGCAGTACAGCATGGGTCTCTGACTCGTCGGATGATTGGGGCTTTGCAGAAAATGGACCGAGTCTCTGCAGACTGTGAGCAGCAGTACAGGCGTGTCTTGGCGGTAAGCCTAGAGGAACCTCAGGATACTATTAGCACCACATGCAGCAGTGAAAGGCTTGACAAACGATCACAACGCAAGGTGTCTGATTTTGGTCTCCCCGTTAAACGCAGGAAAAATGGGGAAGGGATTGGTCCCGATGGGCAGCCGAGAACTCCAGGGAATCAGGTCTCGACTGTGGCGAAAACAGCAGACGACTCATTATTTTGTTCACAGATGACGGATGACATAGGTGAAGACTTCCCTGACATGTCAACTCTTTTGGATAGAGCGTTGAGAAAAAGTGGCGGAGTCATCAATTTGTCATGAGTGATGATAGGGATGGCTGATACGGTCTTTTCCATTTGATTAGAAGTCCAGTTCCATAGGACGTTAATTTCGGCAGGATATACCCCTCTATTGGTATAAAATGATCATATCACTTTCTTGTCTGGACGCAACGTATTTGACTAGTAGATCAGAAGTGGAGGCTTTTGAGTTAGACCAAAGATAAATCTGAAAGCTGGTTCGAACAGCATCAGCGCGAAGTGGGTAAAGGGTGTGGAAGAACGTACGTCAATACGTGCTTCGCGGGGTATAAACGGTTGTGGTGTCGTGTTCTGGACGAGTGTTGAATAAGGTCCTCTCAAGGCGGCTGAAGACCGTCCGGTAGCTAATATCACTGAGTGTTAGAGACCGTCTGAGCTCACAAATACGTCTCAGTGCGATCACGAGCTTGTGGTGACGTTGATGGAGACTTCTCTCAGTGCGGTGCTCTAGGTGCAATTCAGGTAGAATCCACACCTTTCTCTGGCCAGAACTCTCAGATATATAGTGGCACTGCTTTGTATTGCACTTCCTAGAGAGTTAATTGTGGGAGCTAGGCTCAAGCGGAGCTAATTTGAGCATTGCTTCCCAGAAGTTCCTATATTTGAAAGGCATGTATCGTTATGTTAGGAGGTTGTTGTATACTCCGTTGATAAGGGGAGGGGAAGCCTTAATCGACCCACTTTCTCTGAACCAGCTATGTACACCGCTTACAGTAATCCGCTGTCCAGCCCCCGGGCCGAAGAGGAAGGTAATACGGAGTACGAAAGTAAACAGCAACCTAAACACAGCAGCATTTATCCTCACCAACTCCTCATAAACATGGCTGACGCGCAATACGATAGTGCGCTGTAAGTATGCATCGTTCAGGCTCCTTTCTTAACATTTCAGCTCTTCCCTCCCATAACCCCCCATCGGCAAAGACCAACCCCTCGCCGTGCAACCCCGCTTGCAGCATCCCGCTAACAACCATCGTGCTGCTTCCAGGGATCTCCTCCGGCGCCTCAACCCCCGCGACACCAAGCAGAATCTGCAGGCCATTACCACCATTGTTCCCGACCTGACTGAGGATCTTTTGTCTTCTGTAGATCAACCGTTGGAAGTCCGCCGCTGCCCCAAGACGAACCGGGATTACCTGCTCTGCGACTACAATCGCGATGGCGATAGCTACCGGTCACCCTGGAGCAATGAATTCGACCCTCCGCTCGATGACGGAACCGTGCCTAGTGAGCGGGTGAGAAAGCTTGAGGTCGCTGCCAACGAGGCCTTTGATGTGTACCGGGAGCTTTACTACGAGGGCGGCGTGGGGAGCGTCTACTTCTGGGATCTGGACGACGGGTTCGCGGGTGTCATTCTCTTAAAGAAAGGTGTGTTGTACTCCGTTTATCCATGCTACTTGGCAAGCCAGAGGCTTGCTAGGGCTTGGCAGCACGAAGTGGCATGTGATGGTTGTGTTTTTGGTGCTAATGCGACGTGGTTCGATTACAGGAGTAACCCCTGGTGCGAAGAGCGCAGGCGAGTGGGACAGCATCCACGTCTTCGAGGCCACCGATCGGGCTCGCATGTCTCACTACAAATTGACCAGTACGGTCATTCTTCACCTGGCGAATGAGTCCGAAGCGCTGGGAGAGATGGACCTCAGCGGGAACATGACCCGCCAGGTGGAGGTCGATCTACCTGTTGAGTCAGACGCAAGCCACGTTGCAAATGTTGGTCGGCTTGTGGAGGATATGGAGTTGAAGATGAGGAACCTGCTGCGTATGTTTTCCGCACCTTTCACCGGTAGGAGCATTCCTGCTTGTACAGGATAACGGCTAACTCAAGATCCTTGTAGAGGAGGTATACTTCGGCAAGGCTAAGGATGTTGTGGGTGAACTGCGTAGTAAGCTGCTCTGCTGTGAAGAAAGCACGATACGATCTTACTGACATGTTGCAGGTCTTTCGTCCTTGACTGAGGCGAACAAGGAGCGGGCTAATCACGCTGAGATGATCAGATCCATGCAGCGGTGATGTAAATGTTTACCTGGGTTTTGTAAGAGCGAAAGAATGTTTCTATCTGTCGTCATTTAGACGTTTGACCGTTTATCCTGCGAGTTTGCTGTTCACTGGATTGTATGTAGTCTAAGGCTCCTGGGGATCCGATTATAACTTAAATATGGCTCTCTATTGTGTTTATTCTTTCGTTGTAGAGGTCTTACGTTAGTTCGGTCATGCCAAAGTAACTGTCTTGCAATTTCAAAAGAATTGCATATATAAGCTTGGGTATCATAAATTCGTGTCTTTCCAGCAAGCCATCGTCCGCTCGATGGCCACCGACATTTCTCCCACCATCGACACCACTATGCAATAGTCAATCGGTCGATCATGTTTGAGCTCAGGTACGCAAGTATTCCTTCTTCCAACTGCTCTCTCAATCCACATCCATGTCCTCCCGTTCATCCTCCGGCTTCGCTTCCTGCCCCGCAAGTGCTGACGAAGGCTTGTGCAGGGTGAGCTGCTCGGCAAATTCCCTTGCTGCAGCCCACAGCTCCGCCTCCTTGTCCTTTCCGACTGTGTCCTTCCGGCTGTTGAGCCAACTAATGTCCAATGGGTTCGACGAGGCTGCCGCAGCTGCCGCAGCGGCTCCCGCCAACTCGCCTGTTCGGGGGTTTGTCGCCGTCGCCGCCGTCTCCGGCGCAAGAATTCCAGCTTCCTCAAACGCGTACACCTGTCGTCGCAGACGGACATCAATAGATGAGAGAAGGGCAAAGTACTGCGATGTTGCTTCTTTGAATCGTGTCTTGTGGGAGGCTAAGGAATTGTCCTCTTGAGGGGAATCGGTAGTTCGGGTGTTGGTGAGAGCTTGAATTGCCAGGCCGGCGGAGTGAATGAGTTTAGCGACATCCTTCATACAGCTTGAATTAGTGATGTTTCAGTCTAATGTGAGACATATGGCAGTAAAGGATTTGAATCCCATCTGAAGGTGTGATGCGCATGTCCATTGACGGGAAGCTTGAGCTTCTTGAGATGGCATCTAGCTCACCTTGTCAATCTCGTTGAGCTGCCGTATGCGGTCTGCTGAAGTAAAGACTTGATCTGGAGACTTGGAACTATTTCCTGTCTCGGCCATGATGTTGTAGACAGAATGATGCACGAGTGAGGTCGCAGTAAACCATTATTAAAGAGTGATCGTCTCATGGATGGCTCAGTCATCCATTGGAAGAGCGTATCATCACGTGATAACACACGGCCAGCCACACACTAGTACATACAAGGGATAGCGTCCTTGAGCTTGCGGACTTCGCAAAACCTCCGGATTGAATCGCATCTCGAACCGCGTTCCCCCCCGTCCGCGTGTCGGTTTTCCTTCCTCTCTTTGCTGCTTCTGTGAGCGTCATCGCTTATTATTCTTCCCCTGTCCTGGACCTCCTTCTCCAGCCAACAGGAAGGAGTTATTTGCCCCGTCAAATTACCCTGTCCACCGTTCAGCAGCCATGTCTGCGCCAGGCGGGGCCCCGAGCCCAGCTCCGCGAAGTGGAAGTATGGGGCCCGGTCCAGGTGGGATGTCGATGCCTCCTCAGCAACCCATGACCAACACCGGCCCTGTGACGCCTGGTCCACCTGCTCCACCGCCGCCGCCGCCGGGGGGGCCTATGTCGCAGCAGAATCTCAATCAAATAGTATGTTTACATCTCCCGTTTCTGGGGTGTTGTGCTTCCGTGCTGCGGGAGATGATTCGTGCGGAGGAGGGGTTGATATGCGGGTCCAGGCATGTCATTGTGCACTTGCAGATGTCGCAGCAATGAAGATGTCTTGAAGCCGCTAAAGCTTGCTCGCTGTTTGGGTGCGGCTTTTGTTTGGGCGCAGAGGGGCCAGAGTCATTGGTGAACGCATGGCTCTGGATGTCTTTTGAGCTTCAGGCATTGCTGCCCCCTCGACAGCGAAAGCTCCTGTTGTCCTGCCACAGCCGTCATTGCATTTGAAACACGGGTCGTGCTTGGTGCTTCGTCGATTACTAATGACAACGAATGAAAAACAGGTCATTGATTACTTAGCCAAGAAAGGCTATAGTCGCACAGAGGCTATGCTGCGCATAGAGTCGGCGCATCAAGAGATCGATGGCCGGCCGCCTATGCCCCCTCTTGGAGAAGATGCGCGTCCAAAGTATCGACTTGGATTCGGTGAGTTCGTCTCATATATTATGGATAGTCCTCGGCGGCTAATATTGTCACAGATTTGCTCAAGGTCTGGGTTGAGGACAATTTGGATCTGTACAAGGTTTGCCCATCATATCAGGACCTGTAATCGGGTAATACTTACGTTGTTGAACAGCCTGAGCTCAGGCGTGTGCTATGGCCGCTCTTTGTCTACACGTTTATCAACATGGTGTCCTCATTCAAGCCTCAAGAGGCGAAACAATTTTTTGATATGAACAAGAACCTCTTCTTGCCGGAACACACAGAAGACGTCCGCGCACTCGAGCCTATCAGTCTCCCCGAACATGTTCAGGACAACGCTACCGCCAAGCTGTATAGAACAAACAAGTACCGCTTGGTTCTGAGCAATCCGGCGTTTTCCAACCTCATGCAGTTCCTAGAGAGCAAGCAGAAAGAAGGTGGATCTGATATGACGGCGATCCTCAGCAGTTACTGTACCATCATCACGAAAGAGCGCACTTCTGACGACCGATTCAGCTTCGCCGCAATGCTCGGTCAAAGTGATGGCACACAAACCTTTCCCAGCGAAGATGAGGGTATTCCTGGTCACCACCCCGGATCCGCCTATACCGGGGATAATCCAAACATGGCCGGGACTTTGCCAAGACTGAAACTGGGAAAGCTACCACTTGAGTCGACGCTGGAGACTGATGTACGGGGCGAGCTCGCGGACGAGGATGCCAAGCACCCTCCCGGCCCAGGGCAAAATACTCTGATACAAGAGTTCGAGCAGATGATCAAGAAAGAGGACGACGAAGAAGCCCCTACTCGCGCTGATATTCCGTATCCCCCGTCGACCGCCCGAGATGTCGCAATCGAGGTCCAGAAGGTCAAAGAGAACCGCGACAGGTTTAGGATAGAAGGCAGGACCGGAGGAGTCGGGCCTGCCGTCAGCGTCTGCATGTTTACATTTCACAATACTTACGACGGGTGAGTAATTATCATCATTGTACTTGTTATGACTGTTCCTGGCTGACTTCTTACAGCGTCAACTGCCTGGATTTTTCTGATGACCTCATGCTCGTCGCAGCTGGTATGCAAGAGTCTTATATTCGGGTCTGGAGCATGGATGGCAAGAAGATTCAATCGACCTACGACAATGTGGATGATGTCCCATCAAACTCTCGTCGTCTGATTGGCCATGCTGGACCAGTCTATTCTGTGGCATTTGCGCCTTCCATCACACGTGCCGACAATGCTATTGCGCCGACCAACGCCCGTTGGTTGCTCTCTTCCTCAGCCGACAAAACAATCCGTCTCTGGTCCTTGGATCTTTGGCAATGCATGGTAGTATACAAGGGCCATGACCAACCTGTTTGGGATCTTCAATGGGGCCCCTTCGGCCACTATTTCGTGTCTGGTGGCCATGATAAGACAGCTCGCCTGTGGGTCACAGACCACATCCGCCAACAACGTATCTTTGTCGGACACGACCAGGATGTTGACTGCGTCTGCTTCCACCCCAACTCGGCATATATCTTTACTGGCAGCTCTGATCACACGGTACGCATGTGGGCCGTGACTACGGGCAACGCTGTTCGTATGTTCACCGGCCACACAGGGAACATCACAGCTCTCTCATGTAGCCGCGACGGAAAGCTTCTCGCATCAGCCGATGACCATGGATCGATTCTTCTTTGGGATCTAGCCCCAGGACGACTTCTCAAGCGCATGCGCGGCCATGGCAAGGGTGGCATTTGGTCGCTCAGCTGGAGTGTTGAATCCAATATCCTAGTGTCTGGCGGTGCTGACGGTACGGTTCGTGTCTGGGACGTTGCTGGTCCTGCGCAAGATCCGTCGCATGGTCGGGTTGTTGGCGAGGGTGGTGCAGGGACCAAAGTCGATGGCGGCAATCCCCCTGCGGCCAGCGCGCAAGCCTCCAGCTCCGTCGGACCCGGTATGGGCAGTAAGAAGAAGGGCAAGGACGTGGTGGTCACGCCTGATCAGATCAGTGCGTTCCCGACGAAGAAGAGCCCTGTATACAAGGTCAAGTTCACAAATATGAACTTGATCATCGCTGGAGGTGCTTATCTTCCTTGAGAGAGGGCGACGGAGGGGATGGGTGGAGTGGATTGCATGCACAGTGGCGCCAGATACCCGTTTCTCTTTTCTTTTCTGTTTCTTATATCATCACCTTCTTTTGCTCTTCCGTCGAGATGATCTGTCTCCTCCCGGCTTGCATTGCCATACGTGTTCGTTAGTGAATTGGTTGGATGAATTGGGCGGCGTCCTGGATGGGAAATGCGAACAGATGGCCGGCGGCTTTTGGTGTTTATTTGGCAGAATGCATTTTCTTTCTTGAAGTTTGGTTGAGAACTTGCGGAAAGGGAAACAATTACCTCGAGATATTACAGGATTCATTGTATCTGTACTCCTTTTTTTCCACGGCCATGTCGCACGTACACTCGTACACATATCGATAGAATGTTCAAGGCATATATAGTCTAGCACTGAAAAACCTTCACACCCTCTTCATGCTCCCAGCCGCAAAGCCCATCCCCACCCCATCTCCCTTCTTCATGGCCGCCTGGGCCTGCAGGTCGGCCACCTTCGGCGGCAGCACCAACGCACTTCGATCATTCCTCTTGTAGAAGTCCACCAGGATCTGCGCCGTCTTTGCCGGCTGGTCCTCCTGAATGAAATGACCCGCTTCCGGAAGAACCTGCAATTGGTATTTGCCTAAGGCCCGTATCAGTTTAAGGGTAAGTTCTAAGACTTGTTGAATCCCAGCCCAAACCCTCGATCGCAATCTTACATCATCGCAACGGGGAGGACCCGGAAGGCGAAGGCAAAGGGAGACTGAGGGCATTTCACCTTGCATTTGTCCAATCATCAACTCCTTATCCAGTCGATCGGTGCCCGCCAACAAGAGTAGTTTGCCGCCGCGCGCATCGAGGAACTTCCGGCTCAGGCCAATGAACCAATTCTCCCAGAACGGTTTGGTCGCGGACAGATTGGTGCGCCAGATCCAGGGTTTGGTGGGGTCTGTGGGCGGGGATTGTTCGTAGAGCAGCGAAGGAACGGAGATACGGGCGGAGGTTTTGTTGCGGATTGTACGGGAGCGGGTGCTTGTAATTGGGTTTAGCCATCCCCGGTGGATTGGTTTCAGGAGTTTCATAGATGGTGACAATTGAAAGTGGAAGAGGGCTTTGACTCACTGCCATTCTATGCCGGATGCGATGGAAGGGAAGCGGGAGGGGCGGGTTAGGAGGTATGTTTCCATGCTTTGGAGGGCATCCATCGCGGAGCCTGGGTTTGAGGGGGTCAGATTGTTAGTTTCATTTCCTTTGTACACCCTTTTACCTGCTTTGGGAGGAAGAACAGAAGTAGTGAGTGAGGCATTCGTAAGGAACGTTTACGTACCCTCTACAACATCGAGGACCGCATAGGCCAACACTTTGGACCCCAAGTCGCCTGACTTGGCGACGTCGGTGATCACAGCTCCTCCTAGACTGTGTCCAACGAGAACCAAATCCGGAAGCTGGTCCCATCCCATCTTGCGCTGGGTCTCGCGGACCACAAAAACGAGATCCCGATTGAGCGTCTCAAGGCTGAGATCAAGAGCCGATGAGTCTTCTTGGGCGGCTGGTTCGTCGGCCTTCCCCTCGTTGGTGCAGGTCGTCACCTCTGTGCTACCGTGGTGACGAGCATCGAGAGATAGAATGCCTGCTTTGGGGAGGAGCTTGCGGATCTCCTCGGCGCACGCAGCGAAAGAAAGCCCTGAGGAACCGGCACCGTGGTGCATGACGAAGAGCGGACCGCCGGAGTCGGCAGGGGGCGTGAGATAGACATGGTGGGTGATGCGAGTCTTGGTGCTGGAGTCGACCTGGGTGAGATGTAGGTCTTGAGTGAAGAAGTCGGTCCAGCTCAGGCTTGTTTGGGAGGATCTGAAGAGGTGTCAATTCTGTGTCCGAATGCTGCCTTTGTGGGGATGATGAGGGCATGAGTATATGCTTACCCGCGACCGCCGTTGGGTCTGGCAAATAGATTTCGGCTAGGAGAAGGAATGATGGTGCCAGTGGATGATGCTGAAGAATACTCCTCATCGTGGCTGGACTCTCCCTGTTCCTCGTTGAGTGAATACATGGGAGAGGATGGAGACGCGGACAGGGCGTCAGGGGGGGTCCGGCGCGAAAGCTTGTTGGCCAATTTGGATTTGGCAAAGGACTTCTGCAATTCGCTCATGAAGATGACTGAGTTTGTATCGGGGGGTGTGCCTTTGTTGGGATTGTTATTTTTTTGTCAAGGCTCGACTAAGTAAGACCAGGATATATTGCCCAGCAGCAACTGACGGCAGAGTGGATCATGCGGTGGAGTGGATTGTGGAGAGGTCGAGCGGCCGGCAAAAGGCAGAAAAGTTGTGGGTGGAGATAGGCGCACGTTGATAATTCCGAGCTATTGTTCTACTTAGATTAATTGACTCGGGGTCATTGGTATTGTTCTGATGCATCAAATGATCCCTGGTAGTTGCATTGCCAAAGAAGCCACTGCCAGCGAGCACCGGCGGGGTCACTGCACGTATCAATTCACTCTGTTTCAAGTATTTCCCGGTGGAGACTAACTATATCGGTTCGAATAATATACTGTGTGGCAAAGAATCGATCTGATCTGATCTGATCTGATCCGAGATACTCGTAGAATGTTATTAATGTAGTCAATTACACTTGCTCATTACTCCAATTGACTCGAGACAAGGAGATGAAGGATCACCTGATTGTCTCTTCTCCCCCGCCTTTGCTTAATCTCACCATCATCTCTTCCATCTTCTCTCACAAATCGTCCGATCTCTCTCTCTCTCTCGCCCTCGTTTGCATTCTCTTCCACTGCAACGATAATACACAGTAGTTCCCTCGACCAGGGATCAGCTTTGTTAGAGGTAGCGGTGAGAACTGGCATGAACTCTGCATGACGTCAGAAGGTGGCATGGCTTCTGGAGGAAAATCACGGGATTTTTCCCCATTGTTCCCTGTGACGTCAAGCTATCGAGATGCCACGATCTTCATTGCCTTCCCTTGCCTGCCATGCATCAATTTCCTACATCTTTCAATCGCTTCTTGATCACTCTTCTTTTCCACATTTCATCCGTGGACGTGAATATAACCCCTCTTGTCCCCCATTAAGTTAGTCACAGCGGAACCTGACCCTGAGCGGCTCACTATATCGCCATGCCTTCACTCAAACTTGGGCGGAATGATGATGCCCATAGTCAGGAGAGGGTAGACAATGAAGGAGACGACACGCACCATCCAGAACCCACAGAACGCTCGCGACTTTTGCCGCGCGATCCTCCAGCCTATCTGAGTCCGGATGACCCTGCTGTGAGTGTCCATTTCACTTGATTTAGTAACCCATAATGAGCCAATGCAGTAGAGGGTTTTGCTCATAGTAGCCAATTCCAGGTCTCCCCGTACAACCTCTGGAGCATCCGTGCGCTTCGCGGCTTATCCTCGCTCTTCCTGGCCCTGAGCTTCATATGGTGGACCTTCCTTCTTGTCTCTTTGTTCGTCAGTCCTCCCATGATGCACAGTCGCGGGTCTGGCTTCTTCAGCTTCGCCTATACAACCCTCACCACTGGTTACCTTGTTATCAGCCTGCTTTTTTTCGCTGTACCGTCCAAGCCGATGACTATCTGGGGTATCATCATTGGGGTATTTCTCTGCATCGACATGATTCTCACCCTGGCGGTACCTCGCATTCGAGTCGAAGAGGGCTGGGTAGGTGTTGCCTCCGTGGTGTGGGCCACCTTCATCGCCCTTTACAGCATCTTCCAGAATCGAGCTGTAGAATGGGGTAAGCGCGAAGAGGAGGAACGTCTCACAGGCCGTCCTGAGAGCCGCCGCCCTCTGCGCGAATGGATCGCTGTCCTGCTTCAGACAATCTTCATGGCTATTTTTGGGATCGTTTCTATCCTCTTTACTGCTACGCTGATTTTGCGCGCCCGCGACGCCTCTCTCGCTGCGCCAGGCAAGAGATATCTTGTCAATAGCAACAACTACGAAGTCCACCTCCACTGTGTTGGCAGCCCGAACGCAACAACCCAATACCTCAACGACGTCCCCACTGTCCTTATCGAGGGTGGTGAAGGTCCGGTCGAGCATACTCTCCAACCATTCATTGATAATGCTTACCAAAGCGGTCTGGTCCCTCGCTACTGCTACTGGGATCGCCCAGGCTTTGCCTGGTCTGACAACGCACCCTCCCCCTTCTCTGCTGGCATGGCCGCCGACGCCCTCTCTGAGGCGCTCGCCCTGGCGGGCGAAGAGGGACCCTGGGTTCTTGTCTCCGCCGGTGCCGGTGGAATCTACAGTCGCATTTTCGCCAGCCGACACCTGATCGAGGTAACCGGCATCCTGCTCATCGATACCGCTCATGAAGACTATCTTCCCAAGCTCGGCTCACCCGGTCGCGGCTTTGGCCTCTGGCTCCAAGGGGTGCTCTCGCCGCTAGGCCTCGACCGCATCGCCGGCGCTCTGTTCAAGGGCCGCACCCGCGAGGACCGCGTCTACGGCCGCAGTGCCTACCAGACAGGCAAATACATCAAGGCCAAGCTCCAAGAAAATCTTGTCGCCAAGTCTATGACCGCCTCAGAAGTCCAGACCGCCCGTCATATTCAGATGTCTGAAACGCCGTTGGTTGTCGTCAGCTCGGGTGTGGAGGTCCGGAGGAGCCACAAATGGGCGCAGACGCAGGAGGACTTGACCAAAATCACCAAGAACTTGAAGAACTGGGATATAGTCAGCGGGGCACCGCACGAGGTGTGGAAGACGGTCGAGGGAAGAAGACTACTTGAGAAGAGACTGGGTGAGCTGCTTGAGACAGAGTCGAGGGAATTTTAATTCCAACGCTCACTTCTACCGGCCTTAATCCCTTTTCTACCATCTCGCATGTTTCCATGGAGGCAGGGCTTCTCAGTTCTCACGTTCTCTCGCAAAGGTGTGTATCCGTCAATACTTTTTTTTTTTTTCCCTCGATACTGGCTCCTTCTCGATATTACGTTCTTGCATTTGTTGCAGTCTCACAAATTGGGCCATCATGATCTTACGACACAACTTCTTGACATTCTTATGCTGTATGATATCTTTTAATTTGCGATAATGGAAAATCATCTGCGGTGGTGCCTTTTGTTTTTCTCTGCTGGTTTGAATCACTGAATCCAAGAAATATCGAAAGGGAATCCATCGGAAATACGCGTTGTGATTTCCCCGCCTTTGTCATAAGAAGTTCGAGTTTTAGCGGGTTTGCATCGCAGCTTCCCAAGAAATTTATTGTGACCAGCTTTCCAGATCAATCGTACTTGTGTAATTAGTTCTTACTACGTCGAGCTCCCCCCTGTAGAGGATTGCCGGCTATGCTAGGTAGGTATGCCATGACTGTTATGGAAGACGAGCGTATGTCGATGGAGCTGAACGTTGTGTTGCTTGGAATCATATTCTAGAGGCGGAGCATTATATCACGCAACCCGAGGCACCCCTCCGGTCTATCACCTAATATAATACAACCCAAAATACCCGAGCCGATCCGTCCCTCAGCTTGGCCATTCCTCGTCCTTTCCTGCCCTCGAAGCCGATCAACCCAAACCAAATGGGATCAATACCGAACAGCGCGCGGATGCTGAAGGTTGGTTGCGTTGCAGATTTTACTCTACAAACCAGACGTTTTCGAAACAGATTGGAGAGAACGAGGGCACAATCGGGAGCGTGTCGAGCGGAAGGAGGGAAAGCAGCACCAGGCACAGCGGATACATACTGCGGTGAGACCGAAGTTGAAAGGCATCATCTCCGTTCGACATCGAAACCAGAACCAATCGCTCATTCTAGGCTAGCTCCCTTAAACCTCTTAGCAAGCTGTTCACTTTCTGATTTGGGAGAGGCGGATCGGGAGGATGCAGAAGCAGAGGGAAAGGGGCGTCGTCCGGCTTTTCTCATGGGGAGAAGGAGCTCAGATCCAGCTGGTTGTGAAGAAGATGACGATGATGGAGGCAGTGTGGCCGTGCTCAGCCAGGGGCGCTTGGGGGGCCGCTCACCACTTTCCTGAAGAATTGTAACCAGTGTCGCCCAGCCGGGGGTGTTGATCAGCTGCATACCATCAGCGGGGTTGCGGGACGTTGCGACGCGGCAGAGAAGGGTTTCTTCGTCCTAGGATAGGAATGCCAGGTTAGCATAAAGTTGAAATCGCCACCATATTTTGAGGTAAGATGAATATAGTAGCAGGCCATACTTTGCTGAAGGTGGATAGGTTGTGCAAGAAGCACAGCAGGTGGAAATCTGACACGGAACGGATTGCCTTCTCTGGATCGCCATGCGAGACCAATTTCTTCGCAACGTCGCGCAACTCTTGGCTTTCGCCGATGATCTCCCGGTTCTCGATGGGAAATGTGCTGTCAGTGAAAAGCGGGGAGGATTCAGTCGGGAAACCATGTGTCAAGGTGACAAGGAGATATTCCACAGGGAAGCTCGGCTTGGCATTCTGCTGGGCACTAACGCCGTATTCGTTGATCTTGCGGTAGAAGACTTCGGGGATGTATCGGGATTTGTTCTGTTCGTCGTCGTCCTCGGACTGAACCAGCATCACAGACGGCTCAGCGGACGGCTCAACGATGTCAGCGCGGACCATTTCAACGGCAGCGACGGATGCCTGATATGCGCTAACGGTGATCGCTCCTTCTTCGTCTCCACTAAGGACACAGGTGACGAAGTTGGATCCAAAACGGCCTGTCCGGCTCCATTTCGTTGCCTTAGGGTGTTGCGCTTGTAGGCGTGCTGCGAAAGCAATTTCGAGAGATGATAGGTAATAGGAATCAATGTGCCGCTTGCAAACCACTGAGCCGTCCCCAGCGCCTGCGTCAAGCAAGTCCGTGAAAATCACGCCAATTTTCTCCATACCACAGAGCCGCGCCACCTCATCAACCTCCTTCTCGTTAGGCCAATCGTGGAGCGTGACTCCGTCGACCTCATCTACCTGTGGCGGCTCGTAGATTGCCTGCACCACAGCCTTGACACCCAGCGGGACTTCCGCGTATTCTTCATACGTCCCGTATAAGAATCCCAAGCGCTGCGCCCCGGATTTACGCCAGAAATTGAGCAACGAATTGACAAGTTCAGAGTGGGCGAATTCCACATGGTCGACCATGCGGAACTCTTGCGGCTGTAGACTAATGGCACTTGGCTGACACTTGGTGCAAATGCCCTCCGGCCATTGGGGGTGTCCGGACGGACAGTCTCGTCTGACGCGATAATAGGGTTCGTTGAGTGGAGGCATGAAAGAGCTCTTCAGCTCGGCTTTATTGGTGGAAGCATTGAGTTTTCGTAGGTATGAGTGGAAGGAGAGATGCTTTATCTTCTTCTCAGCAAGGTATTTGGGGTCGTATGGTTCAAGTGGCATGCAATAGTCACACATGCCCTTGGGACCATGGCGGCACATTTTCATATCGCGGGGCCTATGAATCTTGCCATCCTTCTTATCCAGTGCATTGTCGAGCGGCGATTGTTGTACCACATCCCATGGGTTCTTTATCACTGTGGTTGGGGAAGTCGGTGGAGGCGGGCGGAATGTGACGGTATCGTTCTGGGGAACAGGTGCTCCGTTTAGGCGACGTGATGATTCGGGGATGGCAGAGGAACCGTTAATCGCGCCATTTTGCTGTCCTTGTGTCTCATTGTACCCAAGGAAAAGCTTGTCTCCGTGTCTGATTAATTCCAGCGGAGGAGCGGTTAGCCGCTGCACTCGGTAGTCGAGTCTAGCTAACGTGCTGCACAGGTATTCGATGCGAACTCACTTGAGACCAACTCGTTCGATCGCCACCCCACTAAGGGTGTTCAGCAGCCTTTCTTCGCCACCAGTACCTATGGGCTTGTTGGAGAGAACGATAGATGCGGGGTCTGTCTTGGGAGGCAGATGCTCGATTATCTAGGGCGGGTTCGAGTTAGTCCCTTGATTCTTATGATATCAGTCTCCGACTGGACTCTTCACCTTCTCCTGCAGAGCGGGAAACAGATCTTGAGGGCTGACTGTCAGCCGAAACTGGCCGTTGCGGCTCTCGAACCTCAAAATGACCGACCGGGAGGCCATGATGGCGGAAGAGGAGCTGGGGGAGAGAAATGAGACGATTTAGGATATAGCGTTATTGGTTTCACAGATTTTCAATTTCACGGCTTCATCGTATTCATAAGGTCATGTTAGAGGTGTGCGGGAAAAAAGACCGAGGCTGGAGATTGAGCGGAGAGAAAGAGGACGATAGTCGGAGAATGAATGAGAGCTCTCCAGCGGGCGAAGAAGAAGGCAGCGAAGCTCTATCGTCATCGGCTGCCGGAACCAACCTGCTGCCCCTCACCGCTTTGACCATGTTTTCCTCAGTGAATGTACATACACAAGTAGTCCGTAGTTATGCTACGTTCCAACTTAACAGCCAATGCCTTGCATTCACAGTAACTAAATTATTTTATCATTCATTCTATATGTTGATCGACGTCTGTGTATCACGCATATTATGTACTTATGGACCCTTCGGGCAAAAACCAACGCCTTACCAACCGAAACAGAAACAAAAGCAAGCCAGTTAAAGAAAACAAGACCGGTCAGCATTTTCAAGCAAAAGTTTCCCTACTGGATGATACACTTCTTGGGCAAGCCACAAGGTCCCTCCTTGCTCTTCTCCTCCCGGGTTGCTGCTCCCTGGGTGCTTTGTTCATTCTTTGCGGGGGGAGGCGCGGGCTTCTCCGTCTCGGTTTTCTGCTGTGGCTGTGATTGAGCGGCAGCAGGCGACTCCGACTGGGTCTGCTCGCTACCATGTAGTCAAGCGAAGTTGTGCTTGGCGACGTGCTCGTAGAAGGCCTTGCCCTGAGCCTCAGCAACCTCGAGCTCGAGAGCGGAAGGCTGGCGAGATCCGTCGGGGCCCTAGATGGGGAGATTAGTGGATGTACAGGAATTTATGCACGCTATGTAGGACTTTGGTAACTTACGGCGAAAGTGCCGGCACCCCAGGCGCTGCCACCGTGAACCTCGTTGAGGTTGGACAGCTGGCCGAAGACGGTCTTGAAGCCGAGAGGAACATAGATGAAACCGTGATGAGCGAGGGTGCTCATGGAAGCAAGAGCCGTGGACTCCTGACCACCACCCTGAGTACCGGTGGAGACGAAGAGACCGGCATACTTGCCCCAGTAGCCACCAGTGGCCCAAATTCCACCGGTCTTGTCCCAGAAAGTCTTCCACTGGGCAGGGAAGTTACCGTAGCGAGTGGGGATACCGAAGAGGACAGCATCGTACTCAAGAAGAGTCTGTGGCTCAACGAGGGGGTAGCTAGACTTGGGAGGAGCGTGCATCTTGGCCAGAACTTCCTCGGGGAGAGTCTCAGCAACCCTAAATTAGGTAGTTGTGTTAGCCGCTGACTACACGATCGATTGTTCAGCATAGAACTTACTGGTAGATGTCGGCGGAACCGCCAGCGGCCTCAATACCCTTCTTCTCGGCCTCGGCCAACTTGAGGATGTGGCCGTACATCGAGTACTGCATAGTCAAGTGTCAGCGACCATCTCTTCCAGAGCGAAGTGTCAACAAACAGGACGAGACGAGGGCCATGCCATTGAGAATGAAGGGAACACATACGAAGACGATAGCAACCTTGGGAGCCATGGTGACTGGTGGAGTATGAATTGGGTTCTGAAAGGATGGCAGAAAACGGTCTTTGGAGGAATCTAGGTCTGAGAAACAGAGGGAAGCAGTGGAAAGGGGGGCAAGAGCAGGCGCAATTATTATATGTCGAGGATGGTAATCCCCTCTTCCATTATGTTGAATGGTAGTAATTCGCCATTCCAGTCCAGTGTGAATTGTTGCTTTGGCAAGCATCCGTAATCAATGACAGACCCTGAGCCCGATGGTTATTGATTGGTGTAGAACAGATATAGTGGGGTGAGTGGAGCTGAAGAGAGCAAAAGCAGCCACTCACCAACTGCAGAGCCATCTTACGGGACGGTGACAAATCGCGTCTAGATTCCGTCTGCGCACCACCCGGTGGAGTTGTGTTGAATGCCCGTATTGTTAATCTGTTAATCAGCCATTAGTGTTACTCCAGTCTGGATTTCCTGCACCCATATCCCTTTTCGGGATACGCAGGAGGTGAGGAGGTACTATGAGTAGGTACTCAGTAGTACTATTTTTTTGAATGCCTTGCTGCAAGTCACAGCACTACAACATTACCCAACCGATAAGGCCGCTGAGCGCAGTTTCTCATCCGAAAGTCCAGAGTGTGATGCCAAGCGGGTTTGGCCGGATGTCGGTGTTTCATGATCGCGGGCGTCAAGGTTGCCTGGGGATAGAGCCAGGAGACGAAGGCGACCATAACGGAACAGCAAACGAGCCTTTAAGCCTGAGGCAGACATTGGTGGACATGAGCCGGTGGGGAAATGGCGAGCCCTGCCAGATTCATTCCCACGTTCCTAAAGCCGGAGCTGTTGCGCTAGTTACTCCTCACTTCGGATCACCACCGACGCCGAAAAGATGGGTCTTGACTGAAGGCCGATCCTCCGCTACGGGGTTGCATCAGCTCGTACAGATCCAGCTCCACCTTCTTGCCATTTTCAAAACGCAAAGCCGAAAAGGACATGGGGGTAGGTTGGGATTGTCTATCCAGCGCTGCGGGCGGAACGTGAAAGGATCATCATAGACCTTCTCAACGTGGGCCATGGCCCACTGGTTTAGCACCAGCATCGCCCGCCTCTCTGGCAGCACGTAGCCGTTGTACTCGATATCTCTGTTTATGGCGCGTGGCGCCCCCAGCGGCGAGAAGGCGTCCCACCGTAGCGCCTCATAGACGAACGCCATTACCCCGAGAATGCGGTCTCTGTGCTCCCAGTCCGGGCGCCGGTTGGCATCCCCCACCGCGACGATCTCCCGCTGCAGGCGGTGCATCTCTCCGGGATGGAAGATGGCCGCCAGCACCGCTCCTTTCTAATCAGAACCATACACGCTCGAAGCATCCGGCTATCAGCTGGATTCGCAGGCGACCTGGTCTTCCAACTCTAACCAACTGGGATGTAGCAAATCAGGCAAACTAGCCGCAAGTAAGGCTACCATCGCCTGCCAGTTCCAGAGCATATTGATCGTTCAGCCACCGTTAGAAGAGACACCTCTGGCTAGGGAGAATACGTTGCCGTTGATGAAGCTGGACGAGACCGGATCTTGGAAGCATAAGTCAGACGCCAGCTTCAGCATTTAAGCCTTGAGTCTCGTCTGTGAGCATAGCGCTGACTATCCAAAACCGACGGCCTATTTCGACCGAAATATCCTATTTTTACATCTCAGTGCATTGGGAGAGCGGGCGGCCCACGAATTCTGCTCATTGAGCGAAGTTACACGCCGGGGCCTAGGCGGGAAGGAGTCCGGAGCGCCCTCGTCCCTATTCAACACCTGTCTATCGGCTGAGCAGCCGCTTACCGATCAGACAGGGCCTATGGATGGTTTCTTCAGGGTATTGGAAGCCGTTGATGAAGCTGAGGTAAGATTGATCTCCATCCCTGTAATCGGACTGACTTGCTAAACTACGTTAGGGCCGCCAGTATGACATGATTGTCGTTGTCACCATGGTGCTTTCTGACTGGATTGAGGCTCATCTGATGTTCTGGGATAGCTTCTGCGGTGCCGCGCGTGCTATTGACCTTGGACAGGTTTTGGCTTGGGCAGTCAAGCGGATTATAGTGCTGATGGGTTGGAGGTTGGTGCGTGGCACATGAGTGAACGATCATCATGGCAGCTTGAGTGGAAAAATTAAGGACTTTCCTAAGGGTTGAAGATTATTGTTGGACTTTGTTAATTGACTACGATGAACTTATGATACATCCTGTGAATTCATTTCGGGCCCCCGAGGTGTTAGTATCTATGCCAAGGATCATTTGACAAGCGGAGAAGACCCGTTGTATTTTTCCAGGTAACATGAAATGTCACGTGCGAAACAGTATCTGGTCGAGTCAAGACGAATATCATCAGATTTCATGTGTCCACGCCACTGCGCATGAAGAGCGGCAGCGTTAGACCTTCGCTCGGTCCAGCACGCAGTCAGCCCATCAGCAAATCTTATTTGCAAGCTAATCTTTGCCTCTTCATATTCGCATAGTATTATACATACATGTGATGCGCGCTTTGCGTAAGCCACATCAAACCATAAACAAAAAACACAGCTGGGTATCTTCAATCTCACACATTCGATCCTGCATTAATTGCTCTAGCCACCACGCCCACGGCCGCGGAACCGGCCCCGCATAAAACCTCCACCGCGACCTCGTTCATTGCGCCATTCACGCTCCCGTTCCTTCTCCTTCTCCTGTTCTTCGCGTATTAAAGCCCGTTCGCGCTCCAGATCCTCCTCTGTCTTCTCCACGCGCATCGTGGGGCGCGGCAGGTTCTCCACCCACCGGGGGTGCGCATCCGTGCAGTTTTTCCCCTCCGGACAGAATCCTGCCAAGTAGAACGGACAGAGCCGGCGGCGCACATGGCGTTTGGCGCACAGCGGGCCCAGCTCGCAGAAGCCCCGATCGTAGTGTTCACACGGCGGCAGCCGGGCTTCCTCCCGGACGTGTTGGTAGAGGCAATCATCGCCGTTCGGACAGTAGCCGGAGCGCGAGAAGGACTGGCATTCCGGCATGCGCCGCAGGTTGTATTCGTGGAGGTACTCGCACTTAATTCCCTTCTTGCAGAGGCCCTTGAGGAAGTGTTTGCAGACGAGCGATCCGTGGGTTGTGGAAGGTGCCACGCCCGAGGCGGTTGTCATTGAGGTGGTCATGCGTGAAGGCGTCGGGTGTCGGTCTGGGCAGGCAGGCCCCAGCGGACAGTGGCCCTCGTGGAAAGCCTTGCATTCGGGAACGTCGCTGGCTAGGCCGAAGCCGTAGCCACTGCGGAGGAATGAGATGAAGGAGAATTCATCGAAGTTGGGATCCCGAGGGGTATTTGGGTTCAGGATGCGCGAGGCGACGTAGCCGACGTCTGTCACCATGGTAATGAGCTTGAGAGGAAAGATGGGGAGAGCTGTCGTTGGCCAAGCAATTCGTGTAGAAGACTGGTTTGAGTGACCGCGTTTTTTTATTGATGTAAGGAAGAGCAATCCAGGCCAGCTGAAACGTTGCTGCTTTGAACAGTGAGCCAGGAGTTGTTAGGAGGAATGAAGCAGCAACAAAGGCAAGACTGAGATCGGCTCCAGTTCCGAAGCGGCAGTAATCTAGAGGGATAGGCGGTGGCGAAAGGTGGCCGTCCGATGAGTCAGCAGCTGTGCGGTGGAACCAGATCGAAGTCAAAATAAATGGCAAAGAGATTGTCATGGCTTTCTTTCCCTCTGCCTGGGGAGCATCTGCCGTGTCTTCCCCGGAGAAGCGTCGGGCTGTGCCCCTGCATATGACGAGCATCAGCATTGTTGACGCATCCAGCATCATATGGCTCGCTACCTTGAACCTACAGGCTTCCTTCAAGACCGGAGAATCATCTGGGTTTGGAATCCGGGGTAGAATCAGAAACAAATGTTGTGTTTCTCCCTTGTCCCTTTCGTATTCCAAAGGCCTTCCATCCACTCCGTGCAACCACGCTGGTCGCTGACCAGAATACGTCGTCTTTCACGCTAAGACAGCCCATGTCACCTCTCGTCTCACCCCTTCTACAATGCCTTGGGTAGAATAATGGCTCTTCGGATTGCCCGTTCCTCCCTTTGTGGCTGTATAACCTCCACGACAGTCAGCATTTTTACCCTGCGCAAGGATCACCCCTACAGAACAAAGGCGACGGTGGCTTTCGTAGAGCAGGGGTCAGGCCCGATCACCTATAATCAAAAGTAAAAAAAGTAAAACATGGATGCACTTCCCCACGAACTCGATCTTCCGGTCTGGTCCGGAACGACCGATCGAAGAGTCGTCTGTACGGAGTACGGAGTCGAGGGAGGGATGGATGGTTGAGCGGCGGCCCATGTCGCCCGAGGGGCACTAATATTGCCTCACATCTGCAATGCTGATTCGCCGTCGGGGCTCAGTAATCGTCGATCTTTTTCTCATGGCTGCATGGAATAAGTCGCATTTTTTGTCATTGATCCACCCAGCATCGAAGTACTGGCACCAGGCCGGAGGGTGAAGGAGCCCAAATCTCTCTCAAAACAGGGCGTCGAAGGACAGAGTACTGAAGATATTTTACGGAGCCATTATCTTGCTGGAGGGAAATCGAAGCCTCGAAGGCAGCCAATGAGCCGCACCATGGCTTAAGTAGGTCGTTCGACCTGGAACTGCCATAGGCTAAGGAGGGGGAGCAGCCAGACGTTCGGACCGTGTCTGGGGCTGGTCATGATCGGACGAGCCAACACGAAGTGTGAACGACAGAATTGCAACTGGGGCCTGAAACTTTGCTTGTCTGCCTGGATGGGCCGTGCGTGAGATGACTTTTTAGTTCACTTCTGGGTATAATCAGCATCATAATGGGGGGCCGGTGGGTGGTTTTTGTCGGCCGCAATATGTATTAGCAGGCAAGCCCTAGAAATAGGTCCCCCGAGCCCCCAAGTTGTTACTAGTAATTATCGGTCGTAAGAATGGATTCGCAGACCGGGCAAGACACGATTGGGAAGGTCAAGTGCCGAAAGTCTTCTTTTCTCTTTCCTTAAAACGGCAGAACTACTGCGGTTGCCTTGTTTAGGAGATTCTGTACTTCTGTCGCTACGCTTCGCTCGGTCTTGCTATCTGACTCTGACCCTTTTTCCCGTCTGTCTTATTCCTGCCCACGTCCAGTGCGGGATTTGATCCTCCAGAATACTTTTTGAATATGGCAGCAGGGGAATAGAAGCCAAGCAATCCATCCAACCCTGCCAACCTGTTCAGATAGACAACGAAAGAACTAGAAAAGCAACGCGAAGCTCCACAAACCATCGTCTCACCGGCCTCTCGCTGCCCATTTTCGACACACGTGACGCCATCCTCATTGAGTCGATTCGTCCTCATCCTCTGCCATCGCTCTCTTGAATTGCTCTATCCGTCTTTTCAACGAGTAAGCGGGGTGCAGTCATCTGTCTGGGCTTGTCAAGCTCGTCATCTTTCTTTTTGCGACCTCTTTGCTCTCTGCGGGCCCTCACCTCGATATGATCTCCAATTCCGCACTATTCCCGCACTGGCGGCGCAAAGCAGTCGAACGCTCGAGCAGCAGCTCTTACGAAGTGCCCTTCTATTTGAATGCAGCCTACTATCCGAATTGGCGCATCTACCAGAATCAGTCCCCTTCGTCGCTACGACTGGGATTCGTCTCCCACATCTTCTATGCATTTGCCTGGTACTAGTCTACCCAACTCCCTCATTTGACCCTCTGGGATGGCAATGCCTGTGCCGGATGTTAACCAATCTCTTATTTCTTTCGGTAGGGTCAAAGAAGATGGTACCGTCTATGTGAGTCTGTTGTTATCATCTCCACGGGTTTGACTGACTCAATCCAGTTGAGCGACGAATGGGCCGACACACAGATGCCTGTGGACGGCACAACCGGCTGTCTCCGGGCTTTCGCGCAGCTGAAACCAAAGTATCCCAAACTAAAACTCATTCTCTCCATTGGCGGGGCCGGCAAAGGAAGCGAGAATTTCGCCCGCGTGGCTTGCAGTCATTCGTGTATGGAGACTTTTGGGCGGACCGCACGAGCACTGGTGGACGAGTATGGTCTCGATGGTATCGATGGTATGTCACTTTCGAGTGCACTCGCCTCATTTTCTTCCATTGCAGTCGCTAACACGATCTCGAAGTGGACTGGGAGCATCCTTCCGATGCCCACCAAGGCGCCGACTATGTGCGCCTCCTCTCCCAGATCCGCAAGTTTCTCCCGACCCCACGCTACCTCGTAACCTCGGCCCTCCCCGCCTCGCCCTGGTTCTTGCGACATATTGATATCTTCAAGGCCCAAACTTATCTGGACCTCCTGAACATCATGACCTACGATTTTACGGGACCCTGGACGTCAGAAACTGGCCACCACGCCCAGCTAACGATCCCTCAAAATACCCAACCCAACTCCAGCAATATCCTGTCCTGTCAGTCCAGTATCTCATATATCCTGACCAATCATTCTATAAATCCCAAAAAGCTTCTGCTGGGAATTCCAGTCTATGGTCGGTCCTTCTTGGGCTGTTCCGGTCCAGGCCAGCCATACACGGGCTGTGGTGGCGAAGACGGGATCTTCGATTACTGTGATCTCCCTCGACCTAGTGCGAGGGAAGTAGTCGACGAGGAAGCCGGCGCGGCATATTGTGTTGGCGGAACTGATGGCGGGTTTGTCACGTATGACACGCCGCGGACGGTGCAGATGAAGGCAAAGTTTGTGACCAGAATGAAGCTGGGGGGGTTGTTCTACTGGCATATCGGTGGGGATAAGAAGGGAGGCAAGGGGAAGAGCTTGATAGAAGTCGGATACGAGAGTCTGCATGATATGTGAAATTATCTTTGCATTTCAAAGAGAGACTCGAGCACGGACACACATTTCATGTATGATTTATAGCATATCGTGTGGTATGAGCGAGAAGCTGGCGAGCATTATTCTTGCCCAAGGGAATCCTGGTAGAAATCTGGTGGCAGGTGGCTTTGCTACAATGATTTATGCTCTAAGCCATAGCATTCTACTAGGATTTTATCCCCTCAGGCCTGGTACTACATCAAGCATGGCCTGGAGTCTATCTAGTAGTCTCCTACGAATCTCCAGCGACTGCCATAGACCCATATGATGTATCATTCATAGCGATCACCGTCCAATCCATCTTCTTGGCCCGTCTTCCACACACCACATCACAAATTGGATGATGACCAATGTGACAAGCAACATAGCTGAGGTATGCACATGTCATACTCAGAATGAGCAAAGGGGACTTGCCGCTCGGGGAGATCCAGCAAGGCGACGAACACTAACCACAAAACGGAGGATATTCAGCAAGCAGTAAGTGCTACTTAGCTCCAGGTTAACAACTTAGCTTCCTCCTAGAGCTTATTTATTTGTCACTTCCGTGTTCCGTACGTGACGTTTGCCTTCAATTCCAGAGAGTGATTCACTACGGAGGCGGATGGAGCATAAGATGGGGTTCTAGGCGCGCACAGTCCCCACAATCCGATTGATCATGGACTGACAGCATGGGACACTACTGTTATGGTAGCACCCGCCGTCCAAAACCAGGTTCACAGGAATCGGGGTCGGGGAGGATGGCGAGCTGATCCACACAAGCGAGCTTAAGGTTTGTAGATATTTTGGGCTGTCAACCCCCGTGGTGGTGGCGGAATTGGAACCGGACATTGAAGCTAGATGGCGACAGACCCACACGGTCAGCCGGCGTGTAAGTCATAGGTGCCGTGTAAGTCATAGGATTGCTGGACGGAAAGTGTGGACTGCTATTAGTATCAGAAAACATGTCTCCGTTTCAGCCTCATATCAGTCGAGCTTATTATATAGTGACTTCGCATAATATCCATACCAATCGTCAGCCCTCGTCAGGGAACAACATATCACCAAGAAAAATCATTAATTTAACATATACAGAATCACCTTTGAGAGCAAGATAGATAACCTTCAGTCTCAACTTTTCAACCTACCTCTCCACACCAAGGAACAACTTTATCCTAAAGAACGCTTCCCAACGCCTTCGTGACGTTTAGCTCTACGCTAATCTTATTGGCAGCCAGAGCTTCAGAGAAGTACGGCAGTTCCTCGCCGTTGTAGACAGTCGAGTTACCGACAATGTCGACAGGGAGCATTAAGGTGGGATAGCTGCCCAGCATGCCCGCCACGGTGAGAGTGCTTACATTAGCCGCCATGGGAAGGGTATTGTTGCCTGGGTAGATGGTGAGGTCGGTGAGGTAGGATTTGCCGATGGCAGTGCCGTTAACGGAAAGGTCAAGGGTGACATTGCCCTGGTAGAGGTATCAGTTTAAATAAACCTTGGAAGTGGCATGATGATATGAAATTGGAGTCCCGACCATTGTGAGAGTGAATGGAGATGGGTTGGGGATGTAGACCGTCCCCTTGCCATTGTTGCCACTTGTCGCCGAAGTTGAGATAGAAAGGTCGACTAGCTCGAAGCCTTCGAGTTTGTTGAGACCTTTTGAGTGTAAGCCACCACTGCCTTGAAGCGAGGGGCTAATGCTTTACCTTTGATGGATGTTGTCTTGTTGTAGGTGATCTTCGTCTCGGGCAGGCTTCCCTCCTTCAGATCAGCCTTACCATAGACATTCATCTGAATTTCCTCGTTGAGCAAGACCGCCTTGCAGAATTCGGCGAAAGCCGTCGTGTCGGTAATGTTCACGTCCTGATCAACATCGACCTCCACGCCGTCATGTGCCTTGAACTTGGGAATCTGCACCGTGATAAAGGGAGCTCCACCCAGAAGACTGATGGCCGCACCGAACGAGTAAATGTTTGGCTTGAAAGCGCTGTCAGATCCGATGACCTGCGTTTCTCGCAGGTGGAAAGAATTCGGCGTTGGGTCACTGATCGCCATGCTGGTGATATTCAAGGTTGATTCGTTGATATCATGCTGGGCGATGTGGGGATATCCAACGTAGATTCTGATTCAATCATGTCAGTATTCTGCTGTATGTTTATCAATGTATGGGCAGGGAACGACATACACCGGCAGCACCACCACTAGAACTACCACGATGAAGATGATGAGGTGCACCCACCACCATCGTTTGTAATGGGCTGCAACGCGACGGCCAAAACTGGGCTTGGCTGCGGCGGTGGCCGGCACAGTGCCGGTCTCAATGACATGGGGCTTGCTGTCACTAGCCATGCTGATATGGTGCTGTTCGTGTCTGGCTAGTTCGCTGATTATGGAATGATGTCTGTGTGACACAAGCGGCGGATTTCACCTCCAAGCAATATGATAAAGCCCGACCCGAGAAATGCGAGCTGAGGTAGGGAGATATTCCTTTGGAGTTGCACAGCGGCAGCGTCTGCCAGTCTTTCAAAAGCAAAGATCGATACAACTGCTGCAAGATCAGTCTCAGCCGCAACGGCACAGGAGCAGCTTTTATCGGGGATGGATCTGGAATGATGCGGTACATACCCTCAACTTCCAGTCAAGTGACACGCAGGGGCAGCGGGAGATTAAAGTTGAACAAAAAACCACGGAACCCACGAGGACAATTCAAAAGTCTCAAGGGATGACAGCCAGAAACTGAATTGGAATTAAGACCACACAAAACATCCAGCGGTTCTTTTCCCCCCTAAGTACTCCGTACCCCGACAACAAGTCTGGGTTTCGGAGGATGCTGCGCGATCTTCACATGTTGTAGACAACAGTAATACATCCGACCAGAATGGAAGGCCGCGGGTCTTCTTCAGGCGGAGCCATGCTAAGACTATGCAGCTGGCGGCGCCGCTACCAATTAGTTGGATGTAACAGTGCAACAAGCGAGCCAGCAGGAACACTCCCTGTGCCGAACTTAGAGTATCTTCCGTCGATCGAGATAGGCTCGAATGGAGGTTTGTTCGCCACGCGCTCGCCGCACAAGCTTACAATGAATATATGTGCGGATGCAATTCTCGACCTGCAGCTTCTAGCAATAGGGATGAACCGAGGGTGAGATAGCAATCTCTGAACTTCGATCCAGTCGGAGGAAGGAAGCGATTCGGGAGGAGGGGAAGAAAGAGGGGGAAACAACCACAAACAACCAAAAAGGCCAGTCGGGGTAAGACTAAAAGTGAGCCTAAGGTTGGGCGGGGGGGGGGGGAGCACGGGGACTGCAAGTCTGGAAGACCCAATTTCCCCCGGACGATCAGGGCTTGCTTGCTGGGGGTGCTTGCTGGGGGTGTGGACCTTTGCTGGAGCCAACTGTGGTGGGACAGATTCGCCGGAGCGATGCAACTAAAACTGCTAGAGGAAATTCAGCTGTATCCTAATTAATCAATAGAAATGACAATCCCAGGACAATCCTTGGAGTAGTGTGACTGCTTTCGGCCACAGCTCCGATGGCCCAGGCGCTCTGCAACCAATGATGACCAGACTTGAAGTCTAGGGATGGCCCGGAGTGTCTTGGAATCCCCGGAAAGTCATGCAGTGAATATCACCAATCAGATGAATGAGAGATATATTGACGAGTGGGAGACAGACATGAATTGGTAGATGTCTGAAGTATGATGATGATGATGATGATGATGATGATGATGATGATAATGATGAATGAAAGAATGAAATGGAGGGGGCGGGGGAAGAAGGAAAAGTCGAAGGGAGGGAAACTGGAAAGAATGTACGGAGTAAGCGGGCATGCGGATGACCCCGCCCGAGTTCCCCTTCCCGCCATCCACCGTTACGGCATTAACTACTAGTATTTAACTTTTAGGTAGTGACTCAGTCCAGGCCAGCCCTTCCCATGACCGCCCATTACTTTCAAACTTTTCCCACCCGGTTCGTCCAACCCAAAGATTTTCTCATTTGAGTTGTCGTCGCCATGTGTGTGTCTATGTGTGTGTGTGTATGTGTGTCTCATGCTAGTACAAAACCCCATTTCTCAGTCGAGGTCCCAAAATGTTGCCTCGAAGGTGGTTTCATATTTCTCTGCAGTCCCCAGTTTGAATTTGAAACCACGGCCACAGCCCTACTCAGCCAAGATAGGCACTATTCTCAGATGTTAATTTAAAACACGGGGCCAAGCAGGGACCATGCGCACCCATGGCAGATGAACTGTTGGAGACATCCAATGCAATAAGATTATCGTTTCACCAGCTTTGACGTTGGCCGATAACGCTCACTCAACTATTTGAGGCATATAAACAGGGTTGTGTGGAGAAAAAAAAATATCGGAAAAGTTAACAGGGTCGAACGAAAGTGGAAACCAGAAGGTTTCAAAGCCGGGGTCAGTCAGACAAAAGAGAGTCACGAATTGAACATCACACAGTGATTAGGGGCTAATGATGGGTATCCAAGAAACGAATTGCGATGCCCGCAAATTGGTTCAGAGGGCCAATGCAGCAGATCGATCTCTGGGCCAGAATTCGGAGCAGCTGGCAAGGCCTGCTCAAAGATAGAAAAGACTTGGTGAAACGAAGAGAGGACAATGACCCACAATCATGGCCTTTGAAAAGCAGAAGACCGAGTCGATAATCATCCTTTGCGAGTCGCAAGTAAACATCGACACCGGGAAAAAGACGATCGAGCCATGAAAAGAATTGAGAAAGGAAATGAATCGAGACGGCAGAAAGGAGTGAAAGGTAACCTCACAGGGTCAATGTCGGGAAAGGCAAAGTAGATACTCGAAAGAAAGAAACGGGAGAAAAGTGGAATATGTAACGAAGAAGATGGAGTGACATGCCGAGGTAAACAGGTGCAATGATGCAACATGTGAGCTGGGAAGATAGGACATAGCTTTTTTTGCTTTGCTAAAGGAGGCTTGCATAGCGAGCACATAGAGGCAGCAGGAAGTCAGGCCTCGGTAGCGACGGATTTCTTCCGGTGAAAGAGGCTGCGAGTGCGAGATTTGCTGCGATTCTTCTTGTCAGGAGTACTACCGGATCGCTGACTGCGGCCACGACCACGAGAACTGGCATTATGGTTGTCGTCTGACAGATATTTGTCCTTGTATATCCTGAAAGTATGAATAGTCAGCTAAATCGTTCGCTACCCATAAGGACAGTCTATAGACGTACCAGCTGTTGCCAACCATGTTAATCCCCTTAGCTTCCGCTTGGCGATAGAACTTCGCGGCCTTCTTCAAGTCTTTCTTACAGCCGATACCTTCTGCGTAACAGAACCCGGCCTCTGCGAGCGCGTCCCCGTCACCCCACTGACCCGCAATCTCGAAGCAACGTAAGGCCAGGGATTTGTCCTGCTCTATACCCCACCCGTTCAGATGACTCACACCGAGCTCATAGATGCTGAGAGCAAATTGAGCGCGATAAGCCTTCTGGAGCTCTCTCATACGCACAGGGATGGACGGGTTAGAGTCGTCCATGAGCTCTAGTCCCACGGAGTCTACAGCCTTGCGCAACCACCGTACACCCTCTTGCTGATTCGGTCGCATTCCCCAACCATGACGGCAAGCTAATGCATAGAGCAGCATCCCCGTAGGATGATTCTGCTTTGCCGCAATACGAAGGTGATACGTGGATTCATTGAGAGATCCTTTCTCGTGGCACTCAATACCTCTGGTCACGTGTTCGTCTGCCGTGATGGGGGCCGAAGTCGTGTGTGTTCTGGCCGTCTGCGGGCGCAGAGTGGATTCAGAGCCAGCAGAAGACGTAGCATCGGCATTGTCATTTCTGGACGTTTCGGATTCTGTCTGCGTCGGTGGTGCAGGTTTGCTCACTGCTGGTTCAGATGGTGCAGCTTCTGCTGTAGCAGACTCGGTGGATGTCCGCCTTGGAGGTATTGGGCCATCACTGGGCAAGAGAGAACTCGCTTGTGGTAGTGGTGGCTCAGGTGTCAATAGTCTCCGAGACGAACTGGGCGACTCGCGGATAGATCGCGACTTGGAAGTCACAGACTCTTTACCTGATGGTGATGGAGATGGAGTCCGCCGAGACTCAGAAGGTTCCGCAGCCGCCTGGCGATCAGGACTCTCAAACAGCGGTTCTTGCCATTCAAAATGAGGAGTCTGCAGGCCCGAGAAGACAACCGAGTCGCGACAGACAGCGCGTCCCCGAGGCAAAGCGTACTTGGTGTGGATATAAGACGAAACAGCCGAGGATGGATCCTCGTGTGGGTGTAAAGCCAAATCCGCTGGAGATGGCACCCTGATAGGACTGGGCTTGTGTCCACGATTGATAGTGCTTTGTATCCCTTCAGATGAGCACACCGGTCCGGGGGCCGAGAGACTCGTGCCAGATCGACTCAAGGGCCGAGAGAAATTATACGACGGGCGGGACAATCCGTAGTTGGACGTTTCTGAGCTCATAGACGGAGACCGAGGATGTGAGCGGATCTGGGCATTAGACATGGGCGAGTAAGGCATAGACATTGCGCTACTGGAGGACATTTTCCGTGGCTTTGAGAACGTCGAGCCTGCAGCTGAGCTGCTGTAATCATCATCTGAGCTCTCGAAGTGACCACCTCGGGAACTGCTCGGTGGCCGCGAGAGAGGAGAGGCAGGCGGGGCCAACCCACGCGACGGAATATTCAAGTGAGAAGCTGAATCGGTGGACGAAGTTCTAGATGGGGGCATCAGCACAACCCCTGCCGGAGGCGTAGGACCCTCAGAGGGGGCACGAGAAGGAGCAACAGAATAAAAGCGACGGGGCCCTTCGGGGGCACTGTAGGCAGAGATGTTGTCCGGAGACTCGGAGCGTGGCGGAACGAAGACATCGACGGTCAATTCTTGTCGCGGAGTAGTATTATCGTCTATTTCTTCCTCCATCTTCTCGTGTTCAACTTCTTGCGCCTCTAGTTCTTTCGATTCTGCACTTGACAGGTGTGAGATGGCACTGAGCCGTGGATGCTCGGACTGTGGGCGGAACTTAGGCTCCTCCACCTCCGGGTTCATCTTCTGCGTTGGCCGTCTCGATAACTCATGGCGCTTTCCTCCGCGAGCATCACTGGTAGACGCCGATCGGAAATAGCCTGGTCGAGGTTGCGAAAGAGAGCGTGCCACACTGGATGGAGGCAATCGGCTCATTCGACGGTTTCTCCGGGCAGATTCCTCCAACTGGCGGGCTAAAAGGCGGCCCTGGGCGGCAAAGGCGTCGAGCGGGGAGAGCGCGGGAGGGATTTCACCATCGTAATGCTCAATGCGCGGGGAGGGCGCCCCGCTGCGGAGGGTATCATGGGAAGGGGAGCGAATCTCACCGAATCTAGGCCGGAGGGCCATGCCTGTACCTAGAGTTCGTCCACTTGCTGCGATTACAGAGCTCTGCTCATCCAAAATTCACCACAAGAGCTCGGTTTCCCACTAGCGAGCCAATCAGGTCCATTAATTGAAGATCTCTTATTGAGAATCTGACAAAAGTTTGGACCAAATCGCGAAAGCGCAGTAATACCACAATGAGTCTTGAAATTTTGGGGCGAGCGACAGGAAGCTGATGATAATCTGTAAAGAATCGAGCTGGATGCGTGCGGAGCGAGACAGATTGTGGGCGGCAGGCGGACGACACAAAGCGACACAAAGGAATGACAGCCCCGTGGGGTGGAACGGAATTCGGAGCAAGAGGGATCAGTCGGCGGCGATAGGAGACAGATGCGAAAGGGTAGTTTCAAGCGACGAGGCCTGGATTCGAACGACAGAGAACCGAGACGGGAGGAGAGGAGGGGAGTGCTAATTATTCGGCAGCGGCGATGGTGGTGGCGGTGACAATTAGTGAGGGAGGCTGTCTATTGGAATTGATGAAGTGGTAGACAGTGGTATGTCGTAGTAACTAATGTCAAGACAGAGAGATAGATTCTAAGGTAGCATTGTGGTTGAGAGGGGAGGATAATGATCAGACAAAAGCAACAACGACAATACAGAAAGGTAGCGAGAAGAGTAAGAGGAGAAAAAAGGACGAGGAGGAGAATCGAAAGAAAGATGGACTGCCAGACTAGTTTGGGGGAGGGAGTGGCAGAGGTTACTACTACTACTAACTCTGTTACGCCCCGACGATCGCCAAACCAGAACCGGTGTTCTGGGCAGTCTCCACGCTTCCTGCTGCTGCCACTGCCCGTAACGTCATTACAGCTTGCAGTGCTGCAGGTCTGCAGTCTGCAGGGGCCGGCCCCGTTTCAGGGGGAACAATTACTGTAACTACCAACAACATTGACTGTGCGAGTAAGTTTACAACCTACAAAGTAAGTCAAAGAAGTTACCTTCCTAGTAATTGGGTAGTTGATAGTTGGGTAGTTAACTAAGGTAACTCACTAACTCAACTAATGAAAGAAGATGACAGCTTCTCTTCCAACTTTAGTTTCCCCCCCCCCCTTCCCCTCTCCCTCTCCCCTCCTCTCACCCTTACGTTATGGACTGGGCTACTCTCTGCTTGGCAGATGCATGGGTCCGAAGAGCCAAAGATGAGCTTTACCAGATTGGTTGTGTTGGTGGGGCTGCAGAGATATAAACCACCCTGTTGTCTTCAGCTGCCCTAGAGGGGCACACGGCAGACACAATACGGAGTAAGTTCCAATGAGTCTTTCAATGCACCTAGTAACATGTCAATGGTAGTTGACTGGTGGATTTACCTTCCTCTCCCCTCGCTCTCCCTCTCCATTTTCCCCGCCCGAATCAGTCAGAACTCAGGGGTGACTGATGGCTGTCGCATTATTGCTCGGTTTATTGGAGGGCGCTCGGGGAAATCCCCAGCTTCTAGAAGCGATGGGTCGAACTTGGAAACTCGGCCAGTGTCGCGGTGTCTTGTTGCTACGCATCACTACTGGTTGATAGTCGGATTCACCCTTGGGAGGCGACTGCACGGTGGAGTCCGAACCAGACTTTTGAGTTAATCCATTTTACTATTTATAATTCGATCATCTTTGATTCTTCCCCCCTCCCCTCTCACCCCTGCCGGGTTTTGTATTCCCCGGTTGGTCGCGATGGCAGCTCGAGTCTATTTGGATTAATATGCTGAGTGAGCTGCCATGGGTGGTGGTTGACATTACTGCATCTCTGCTGCATGCATGGTTTCTTAGCCCAGACCATAATCACTACTGTTATCACAGTCATTCGAATAGGCAGGAATCACAGTAAGGGAGACAGCGGGATTGCTCTTAGGGCCATTTTGGCACTTTTACTCAATCAAGTGCGACTTTTAAGGTAATGTAACTACGTAGCCTTTAACTGTTGACGGACGCCCCCTTTAGAACAGGAGCTTCATGGAATCCCAGCCATTGCAGGCACTCCCAGTGTCGTTCATAAGGTATAATTAAGTTAGACCTTGAATGAGCAATACTATGTACCTTTCTATTCCTCAAAGGTTTGCTTTCCTTTGGCAACCCACCCTTTCAGACTCACTCTGTCAAGCATAAAAAAATTCTTTCGGAGATCATGTTTCGTTGTGCCGAATTAGTCAATAATGTTAAGATCTTATTGCCTGATTAATTAAGTTGTCCCCGGTCTAGATTGCTTTTTTTGTTGGGTGGCCCGAAACCAGGCACCCTCGCACTATGATAGGCTGCACTTCGGCCGGAAATCGAGGCGCCGGGGGAAAATCCATTCGAGGGCAACATGACTTGGATGAGTGGCCAAATGAGTAAGTATTTGATACTGGACTGGAATCCACGAGTCGCACAGTGCTCACTCTTTCTGTTGCCATCGGCATCACGAACCAGGAGCCACTGCAGGGTGGTCGGTGACTGTGCAGTGTGCACCAACACCACCAAGGGGGATGAGGTGAGAGCTGCCTCGCAAACATGAGACACAACAAGACCCCCTCGACCCCCACTGTTCATCATTTCATCTGAACGACAGCCGTTGGAATGCTGGAGGAGGGCGGAGACACACACCACTGCAGGTGCTTGGCGGTCTGTCACTGTCAGTCAACTCATGCCCTAGATGCCCACCTACCTACCAGGTACTTCTATACCACCTGCGCGTCCAGACTCAATCATTGTGTTGGTCAGCGCAAGAAGAGAGAAAAAGAGAAGAGCAAAAGAGCGAATCAAGAACGGTCAACTGGGCTCAAATTAGTGAATTTTAGTGGGAGAAGCGAACGCGGTTCTTCATCTCCAGCGGAGACAATGATTCTCCATTCCATCCAATCAGCGTCCATCGAAGCCCGCTCTCCGCAGAAGCTTAGGCGTTAGCAGCACGAGGTTGATAAAGACAATTGAACAACTAACTCAAGGAAAGGAAAAGAGTCCCGACTCGGTCTAAGACAATGGAGAGATCCAGCTATGATTGCGGCTGGCGCGAGACGAAAATCTCTGCGGTTCAGGCTTTAGACAAGGATTACCGACCTTTCCTGATACCAACACCTAAGCTTCTTCCCTCCAAGACCGCTGTGCGGGGGGACTGACTCGAAGCTCAGCAACAAGCCTAGAAACAGAAGACGGCAGGCGAAAGTTCCATAATGAGTCGATTTCGTAACAAGTCCATCTACAGCCTCTTAGGCGTCGACTCCTCCCTTGACCACAAGCACGTCTACGAGACATCCTGGCTGCTGCCCCCGCTGGCTCTTGCGTGTCTGCGCGGCCTCATCGCTCTATACATCTTCACCACCATCTTCACCATCTGGGGCTGGTATGGCACGCACGGAGAAAGCTACGCGATCGGCGAGACCTTCAGCTACTTCACCTGGCTGACCTACTGGGGCATCGGCTTCTACATGCTCACCTCCGCCACCCACACAGCCTGCTACGCTCTGACGGGTCGCTCGATGCTCTTCGACCGCTGGCCGCGGGCCCTGCGCGCCCTCCACGGCCTGTTCTACACCACCATCACCACGTATCCATTCCTCGTCACCGTCGTCTTCTGGGGCATCCTCTACTCCCCTCCGTGGTATACCACCGTCGAGCCTGCTTGGCAAAATGTAAGTGCCAACCCTTACACTATCACAAAACGAGAGCAAGAAAGCCATTCTTTGTCCCCGCCCCGAACCCGAACATAAAGAACTATACGAGGATCAGTTGATACCCCGCCACCATCAACACCACTACTAACACAAATGGACATAAACCTTAGATCTCCCAACACGGCCTAAACTCCTTCTACGCCCTGCTGGAGATCATTCTCACTACCACTAACCCTCACCCTTTCCTCAGCTTGGCAGTCCTCATCTTCCTTCTCCTTCTCTACGTCTCTCTGGCCTACCTCACCTATCACACGGAGGGCTTCTACACCTACAGTTTTTTGGATACCGGCGCGCATGGTGAACACAGTGGGAAAGTCGCTGGTTACTGCTTCGCAATCCTCGCGGCGATTTTGGTGTTCTTTTTCCTGTCGTGGGGGGCTATTTGGTTACGCCGCTGGTTGACGCACGGGAAAGTGAAGCGATCGTTACGCGACTCGGGAAAGCTGGCCGAGGGCGAGCCGGAGGTGATGGAGTTTCCTACTCTGCGAGTCTAAGGGAGAGATGTTGACATGATTGTGCTGGGAACAGATTGAAGGACTGATGTGAGAAAGGTGGGGAGGGGTCCGCTGTAATATGATGTTTACTTTGATCACTACTTTCGGGATTATGCGTCCAAGCTGGAGTTTCAACTGCGTTCATGGCTTCGTTATTCGATGCGCGATTTCGGATTCAAATGAAATGGGTTGAGTTGAGTAGTGTTTTTCGGTAGATCCAGAGCATATCCCTGTTTTTTTGGCCAGGTCTAGGCGAGGCAAGGAAAACTATATCCCAATCATAGATTCTGCACCAGAAACTGATGGGCGCTACTACACCCGCTCCCAGCCGCTCGTCTCACTATTACTCCCCGCACTAGCGGAACTCTCCCTCGGCGATGATGATGAAGAAGAAGTCGCGTGCTGCTGCGGCTGAAAGTGACAAGGATAGTGCTGCTGCTTCGACCTCAATCCCAGCATCCAGCCAACCAATCCAGAGGGTACCCACTCCCCAATTATACTATACGCTCTTGCGCCCCTTCCGGCGTAAATGACAGACTTCTTGCTGCCTCGGCGGCCGAACACATCCTTCGTCGGCACCTCCAGCGCATCCTGCACCGCGTTATGCAGGGTGCGCGCCGACGATCCCCGGATGAGACTCGGGCCTGCGGGTGCCGCAGGCCGTGCTTCAATGCTGTTCAGATACTGAGACGCATACAGCGAGCGCTGCTGGACGCTCCAGCCCAGCACCTCCGTGCCGGCAATATGGCTCTGCGGAGTCCGGTAGGACGGACCAAGGTCGATGTTTCCGAGCTTTAGCTCGACGACATGGATGTTCGGATGGAACGTCAACTCGCGGCGGAGGGAGGTAGCGAATCCGGATAGCGCGCGAGTGGTTGCGACTTCGGGCCCGCTGAACGGAGCGGAGAGGGACGAGGAGATTGTGGGGTAGGCGATGATGATGGTGCTGTGGTTATTGCGGACGTTAAGGAGGGGGAGGAACAGTTGCGCGGTAAGGATAGGGGAGAGGAGACGTGTGTTGATTGTGTCGACCCAGGTGGAGGGCGGAATTGTTGCGACAGGGCCGCTAGTATAGGTGGGTGAGGGGACCAGGATAAGTCCACTGAGCTGGCAGGTGTGAGGTTGAAGGCCGGCGACCGGTGATTGTGGTTGGGTGATAAGCGTGTGGATTTCGCTCAGGGAGGGGTGAATGCCAGACGGGCTGGAGGGAGTCTGTGAGCGTGATGCTGGTATTAGTATAGGCTGGTGGGTAACTGTGAAGGTAGTGTTTCGCTCTTACGGTAGAGAGATCAAGCCAGAGGGACCGGATGTCTTCGCGGCTTTCGCCTCTGATAATCTGTTCTTCGTTGCTAGCGGATACGGTCACATAGACAATGTATCCTCGACGTTCGAGATCGGAGGCGATCGCTCGAGTCATCGGTTCGTGCGCCGATCCCGCAACAACTGTTGCGACGAGTTAGACCTTTGAACAACGGATCGGATGAGTTCTGATCCAAGCATACCCACGATTTCTTTGCGAGCGCCATTCCCGGCCCTCCTTGCTCGCCGCCGTTTACGATTCAGCTTTTTGTTACTAAGGTATAGGACGCAGGTGGTTCCGACGAAGGCGAGAATGGCCGCACTCCATGCGCGATTATGCAGAACCCATCCATGCGCGCGATCAACCAAAGACTGCGATACAGCCGGGCTCGGTCGATATCTGGGCGAGGGGCGAACCGTTGAAGGGAGCCAGGTCTGGTCGGAGAGGGTGTCGCGAATTACGTTCGCGGCGTGATCGACTTGGCGATCGATAGAATCGGCGACCTGATGAGAATATCGCCTTACGTCATGCGGGATCCAAGCCAACTACAACAACGAAACATGTTAGTGCGTGGTGGGCATGCGAGTAGAAAGAAGACAGCTCACGTAGTCGAAAAAGAACTGGTCGTCACTAGTCATGGTGATGGTTGTCCGCTGCGCTCAGACACGGCAGTCGCTGATGGAGGAAGGATGGGGTGGTGGATGAAAAGATCGAGCAATAAACTTGGGATCCCCCCGACTTATCGGCGGGCCGGTCACATGAGCGTCTTCGTTCTATGGATAAGTCATTGTCAATCCATCACTTGAGCGATAGCCCTCGTTAATCTATAAGCGAATGTGATGCCATCTTGGAAGATCTACTTGATATTGATGCTTTATCCTATTCAAGATCATGCTCAGGGTGTAAAGGTTTGCTCCGGTGTCACCATAATCCAGAAATATGTTTGCCATGATCGCACTAATACTCAATCATTCAAACGACACGTGCCACTTTTGTCAAGGTCAAATCAGCAGTAGTAGCATAGTAATTGCATTCAAAACACTCAAGGCTCTTGACACTGGCAGTCTAGATTCAAGGAAGATATGCGCAGCACTGCGAGATCCAGTCCTATTCTAGAACGTGCTTCGGGGCCTTCTCAAACATTCGGATCGTATCCTCTAGCCGCTTCTCAAACTCCTGCATCTCATGGCTATCTTGATCGTCGCCCATGTTGCTCTCCTGCTCGTCTTCATTGTCCTCATCGTCACGTCCACTCAGCAGTTGCAAATCGACTACATCCCTGCCTCCACCGCGTACTCGGCTTACCGACATGATATCGCGATAAAGTCCCATCGACGTTGGCAGCGTGACATCTTCCAAACCCTTGCTATCTAGCTTGATGAACCTCGCATCCAACAATCGAAACTGTGCTGCCCAGACGTGTTGGTCTTCGACTTCCATTGTCACTTCCCAGGATGTGCCTTGGCCCAGCTTCACCGAACCGCCTACAGGCACACTGGATAGTGCTCCAATGACCGTCGATGAGATGCCTACCGAGACTTGATTTGACTGGCTTTGCGACACAAGTGTGCGGGTACCTTCTAAAATGTAGAGACCTGTGAGAAGCCAAATTTTTGGGCGGCGCGCGAACTTGAAATTGAGAAGATAGGAGCTGCGGGCTGCGGAGAGCCACAGTTTGAGCTTCTGTTGCGCCTGTGGATTGTTGAGAACTGAAGTAAGCAGGAAGGATTCTGGACTATAGATATCTTGTGAGTCCGAGATACACCTGCCGCATCTGGAGTAGATTCACTTACTCTTTTAGGATGATTCGTCTCCCTTTTCTTGCGGTAACTATCCGCTCGAATTCTTTATCATAGGCTAGACGAAGATCGACTATGTCGCCTCCGCTAAGGCCAACACCAGGAGATCTGCGAGAGGCACCGCGAAAGACGGCATTCGCAAAATCACTTGCATAGGCATGTTCCTGCAGTGCTTCGTCGCTTTGCATATAATCAGTCAGTGCTTTAAGGAGCTTAGATTCAGGGTCTCAGACCTGAGCAGATCGTGTGTATAATGACGTGCTGCCAGAGGCTGCCAATACTTCTCTAACACCAGGGATCCAAGCGTCAAGGCTTCTGGCTTCTCACCCACTCCATAAAGGTAAAAGGAAGAGTCATCACTCGCTGCCATGATAGGAAAAGGAATGAAAGTTGACTTTTGAAGACCGATGTATGTATAACACGAGTCACTTTTAAAAATCTCCTGCGCACAAGCAAAGTCAGATAAAAGCCCAGTGGAGCTCACAAGGCCTTGACATGTTCTTGACACTGACAGGAGATAGCGGCCCGCGCGGGGCTGCCTTCGGTGCGGCTGAGAGATCCATGAGGCCCATTCCTGCCAAATTGAGTAATCCCTGGCGAGGGCCGGGGGCAATCAACCTCCTCCTCGCGAGTCAGCTGCTGATCTCAATCACCCATCTATATCTATCTACCCGACATAATTCATCGAAGAGAGCCCATGTAGACCCGCCAGTCAACGCAGTCAGCATGGAATTCAACCACTTTATCAGCCTCTGTGGTCGGTCGCTTTTTACCGAGGAGTATCGCGGTGACCTAGACGCTGCTTGGGAGGCATTGCAGCAGGCCAAGTCAAGTGTCTCTCCGGCTGAGCCAGAGCCCCATGCAGAGTACCTGCGATGCTTGATCATTTACTCCATTCTAACAGGCAAGATACAAGATGCCCAGGAAAGCTTGAACGCCTTGTATGAGCTCCTGGGTCGAGTGTCTTCTGAATGGGGCTTGCGTTATACCAATTACCAGCTATTATGTGATTACTATAGGCGCTACCCCCCTTTGCTTCACTTCTTCCACGAGCGAGGAAGACCTATCAACCTAGTCATTCTCAGTGACATTATTGGACCACAGGCCATCATGTCGAAGTTCACGGAGAATTTTCAGCGATACTTCCCCACTGGAAGTTCTCAGGATCAAGTCACCTGTCAAATTCTAGGCGCGGTGCAATGGCTCCCCATGCAAGTAAGGACCCTGGTGGCTACATATCACCCGTCGTTTCCTACTACTGCTCCTCCAGACCATTCGAAGACTGTGGACTGGGATGCCGTCATTCCAGAAAATGCCAAGTTCTTGATCAAGTACCGAGAACTGGCAAGATCCCATGGTGCAACAACCATCGCTAACTATTTGTCCCGTCTGATCGTTGAATTCCACCTTGCCTGCCAACACCCAAACCAGGTATCCGCCTTGACGGACTTATACAGAGACTATGAGAGCCTGGAAGACCTGATTGGAATGGCCAACTGCAAGCTTATGGAGGGGGACAATCTTCTAAGTCCTCCATTTGCAAGTCCAATGTCTCTGAATATGGTACTGGTGGAGGCTTCCAGCGCAGTAGGGCCAGATACTCTTTGGGATCCTGTCGATTTCAATCTCAAGTTTGAACATACATCACAAGCAAAGGACTGTTACGAGTCCGCGTTGAGTCTGTTTCGGAATGGGGACTGCAAGAGAGGTCAGGCTGCCATACTGCTCAGACAGGCCTGCTGCTTGCACAACGAGATACGATACCTATGCAGAGCCGGAAAATGTAGCGACGAATTATTTAATGAGGCTGAAGAGAAATTATGTCAAGCACACGGTCTTTTCGGTCGAGACGAGGTCAGTACTCGTATGGTCGAGGCGCATCAAATCCTTCTCAGCATATCGAGAGGAGTGCCAGCTAAGATCAAGGTCATGGCGCAAAGGATAGGGGAGTGGGGAATCGAGGCTAGAAACGAGCAGGTTGCACATGCACTTGGACTACTAATGATGCGCTTTGCTCATCATGAGTGGAGTCGATTCGGCAACTTAGATACTGCTACTCTTGCTTGGGAGTGTGCATCTGAGGTGTTCAATGCTCTTCAAGATGTGATCCCGGAGTTTCAGACTTTGATGTCTCGAGCAGTGGCCTATCACGAGATGTTCAACGGTCCAGCAGTGAAGATAATCGCTTCCAAGGCTCTAAACATGGTAGATTCTGTCATCGATGCATACAACCGAATTTTGAATGATGCACCTGATACGCCTATGGGCTTGCTTGATCGAAAAACCTTGCTTGCAAGTAAGTTCAATACACTTTGGACGTTTGAGACCAACATCGTTCAGATATTCCTTCGCTTGGAGGAACTTGAGCTCCTTGATGATTGGCAGAAAAAACTCCTTACTATCATCGAGGGGGACGAAAGTTTCCAGCATTTCATCGGGGCCATCGAACAGAGAAATGATGCCAGGAAATTACTTCCGGACTTGGGCTATTCCCAAGACAGGCTAAAAGGGTTGTGGAAGGAAACCATGGCTCATCATGCAGTAAGGCTCAAATATGCTTCGGCCGACATAAGACGTCGTCAATATTTGGCGGAAGGGAACATTGATGAAGCCAACAAGGTTCTTCGCTGCTTCGTAAATGATGCCGAAAAGATGGAGCGGGTGTACACGCGAGACCTTTACCGCATATTGGCTTGTGAGAACAGTGGGGACAGAGCCAAAGCCCGGTCTATATTGGACGACATCAATGATGACATGCTTTTTGGAGGGACCTTGGAAGGTTTTCTCCAGGGAAAGGCCCTGAAAACTCGCTTTCCCGCTATCGCCGAGAATGCTCTAATATTCACAATATACGGAAATGACATGGACAGGGCCTTGAAAATTGTCAACTTGATCAGAAAAATAGATGCAGATTTCTTCGACTGGTCATTCGAGCATATTTACAATTACTCTTATCGAATTGGGAACTATGGCTCAATCTTGCTCGGTAACAATTACCCCCAAGAAGCGTTTCACCAATTGCTTGAGGCACGCCGATTAATTGAGATTCGGCGCACCCACACGACTGACATCGACTCCCGAATCGGTAACTCAATGTCTAGGTGGCTTTATGATGTATTTCTGGATCTAGCGCGTTCTTGTCTTCGTTGTGAAGAGGCAGATGTTCCGCTGGCCGTGTTGTCTCGGTACGAGCACGGGCATCCTGGGAAAATCTCGTGGCCGGAACATGCCTTGCTTTTTCTGGAAGAGAGTAGAGCTCGCGTCGTGCTTGACTCTTTAAAAGATGAGTTGACTAGCGGGAGAGAAACAGACACAAGACTGACCCTGCTTTCGGAAGCCATATATAAGCAACGAGCTTTAAGAATGCTGCTTGCCCTGGACCATCCAAGCCCCGAGCAAGAGGAAGAAATCTCCCAGCTCCAAAAAGAGATTGACGAGCTAAAATACCATGAGCTTCCTCCTGCAACCACACAGTTTATCGTTGCCACAAACTCCACGGTTGAGCCCCGGTTACTATACGGGAATATCGACGACGATGCAGTGGTGCTAGAGGCCACCTTTGGTATTCGAGGCTTTGTGGCATTCGCAATCACTAGAGATGGTATTCAAAATGTCCATTATGGAGGTGCATCCACCGTTGATATGCAGAAGCCTGCTATGCGTTTTATGCAGGTCATGAGAGAATTGAGCGGGTACCATGGAGAAGAAGAAGACAAGCGCAAACGGATTCTCAGCGAGCTGTCTGCGGAGATCTCGTCGGTACTCGTAACGCCGTTCGCAGCCATAGTCAGACAAAAAGCACATGTCATATTCTCGATATCAGAGCCTTTCACAGCATTTCCTTTCTCTGCCCTTCTCTTCGATGGCAAACCCTTGATTGCACATGCATCAGTATCACAAATCCCAAGCCTGACAGTTTTGCACTATGTTTCCCAGCGGCGAAGTGCCTCGCGAAGTCCGGCACCCACAGTAACTGTCTTCGCGAAGTCACCTGTCGGAACTTCGACCCCTAAAACAAGAGCTGGAGACGAGGCAGATCTCCACATGGCAGGCATCGAGGCAGTCAATATCGCGCGGATGTTCTCGACCTGGCCGGTTGAAGCGTCGGGCCTCTCGCGAAAGAGATTTCGCGAGTATATCAAGGGCACATCGTCCGTCCTTCACATCGGAACTCACGGTGATGTGAACCGGAAGAACCCTCTGATGTCTTCCATCTCTATTGGGGAAGACTTCCGCGTTTTGGATCTATCCGAGCTACAGAGTAATGCAAATCTCATAGTTTTTGCAGCATGTCTGAGTGGACTCGGCAAGGCAACCCTTGGGAGCGAGTTCCTGGGTTTCTCCCACGTCGTGCTCGGCACTGGATGTCAGGCATTTATGGGTACGCTGTGGAAGGTCAGCGACTTTGGGTCCATGCTGCTGATGACTACCTTCTATCGGAATCTTAAAGAAAAAAGGCACTTATCTTTAGCCGAGGCGCTGAGAGACGCACAGACGGAGCTTTTATGCTTTGACAGCGAAAAGGCGAGCCGATTTCTGGATAATCTGCTAGAGTCATGGACCTCAGAAACCGCCGGTGAGAACTGTCCTGCTGAGTTCGTGCCCGATGCGGAGTTTTTCCTTTTCACGTCGAAAATGATCTTGGACGAGCTAGACTGGTCGAGTCCGTTCTTTTGGGCACCCTTTATGCTGATGGGCTACGGGGGACATCATCTGTCCTTCCAGGGGACTCTTTGAAAATGTGTTTGCCTATCCTTGGCATATAGACCGATCTCAGGAAGCGATAACATAAATCGAGCTGTTATGATGAGCTCGGGGTATAGAGAATAATAATTTCAGGAATCAAGAATGAAAATGCGTCCTGGCCTGGGAATAGAAGAATCACCAGAGAGCTACTATAAACCAGACTACCATGCCTGCGAAACTTAGCACAGCATAAGACTACTGAAAGAAACGGGATTGCTATCTTCTATCCTATAAAAGCCTCATTCCGGACCACAAATGACATATTTGTTTGAGACCCATCCAATAACGAAGATAAAAAAGCTAAAGCAGTCAAGCAGATATCTGCTATCTCTGAAACTCTCCAACATTCTCTCAAGTTGCAAGTTTCCTTTATATCTCCTTAGATATGTAGCAGCTTCATCAATCTCTGTAGAGCATTCTGTCTCCACAATCTGGCAACCAGCTTGTACAGAGTCTTTACTCCTCATGGGCCACCGCTGCAGGAGACTCCTCGCCTTCATCCTCATCCTCGGAGGTCTCTTCCACCTTCTTGGCAGCTCTCTTATGCTTCTTACGAGGAGTACTAGCTCCATGCTTAGCGCCAGCTCGTTTCTGGCTTGTCTGAAAGCTGATTCCACTTCCGCTTTTGCGGACTCGCTCCAGGTGTCTCTGGATGACTTTGGGGGAGGGCTTGTCATTTCCGGCTACGACTTGATGAGGATTTCGCACAGTCAAGCGACGAGAGGGGCTCTGGCTTACGCCATGCTTTGGAGATCTTGTCGACATTGAGAATGACATTCTGGGTCTCGAAGATGACCTTCCAGAGCTGATTGTGAAGATGGCTAATCCTCTCCTTATTGTGGTGGTATAGTAAGGGGTTAAATAACCCTGGTTAAGATGAGAGATGTGTACAACCAACCATGTATATATGCGTAGAGTATTAGTATATTAGATATTATACCATGCTTATATCAGTCAAGAATTCTTATTAGGTGCTAAAACTATTCTTTAGTTAACATTAGTATTAATCTCTTTTCTGTGGCTGGCGGAGTGGAGAGTTTTGAGTACGTTACTAATTGGTCCCCAAAAGCAAAATGTTCTTTATGTCTCTTAGATTTGGTCTGTATGTCTGGTAAGTAGATCTCTTCTATGGATTTGACTATACTAATCCTATCAGATTCTTGTGTCTATAGCCCTGCGATTAAAGGATCATGCGGATAAACTGATAAGGAGCAACAGGGTCCGAGCTGCTGCTGAGGGAGAGTATAACTAAAGCTGATTAGAGGAATATATGCTAGATCTGAATTTAGGAAAAAATGTAAATTAGTATCTGATCCTCTAAAATAGCGCATCCAGAAGAAAGACTTGAGGAGATGAGACTTAGTATTACTCTCTTCATTTCTTCTTGTATTAGTTCTGAGTTATCTAGAATATTGTCGAGAAAGGTGTTAGTAACAGGATTATCTATACTATATATAGATGGAGATGTAGACGGGCATAGGCAGCGGAATGAGGATTATGAAGGGAGTGCGGCTGCGGAGAGGTCTTAGAGTACAGAGAACAGGATATTACTAATAGTCTAATAATAATCTTCTATGGGCTTTTCTTCCAAATCCTATTCTAATGGTGGTACTGTATAGGGCGGTGGTGCAGATGATCATTATTAAAGGTTATCTGCGGCAGATGTAAGAGGTATCTTGAGGGATACTGATAACAATATAGTTATAGGGAGTACCTAGGGCTGTAAGGAGCGGCGGGGATAACTTTGGAGTAATAGATAGTAGATTAGCTCCTATAGTTCTTTGGTGATTCTAAAAAAAGAGCTGAACAGTATCCAAGATTAATAGGTAAGTCAGAACTTAGCTGACAGAAAAGCAATAGTTCAGAAAGAAGCTCAAGGGAGAGCTCGAGCACGGTTGGCAAGTGTGACCATTCCAGATACATACTAACTAGTGCAATACAAGCTGTCAGCCAATGAGATTATGGGATGCTTCGAATCAGGACGGCGAGCTAAGATCCATCCTTGCTAGAGGCCACGACCATACTGCGTAGAAGGGCAAACAAAGCCTTTGGCAAAAGCTTGGTGAAGAAGACAGAATACCTGCATATAATCGTACACCTCAGACGCCGTAGTGGATCATAATTTAGCACCAAGGAGTAAGTGTCTGCTTGCAACGCGGACCGTTTCCGCCTGTAGCTGATCCTCGTCGATTTCATAGTTCGGTGTGATATCCGGAGCCATTCAGGCCGGGTAATGTGTGGCCTCGCCAGTTACCATAATCTCCGGCCTTTCGACCCTACCAAGGGTCTTGAGCGAGCCACAAGTCCTAATCTCCAGAGTCTTGGGTGCGACAACATTCATTCCTGGAGTAAGATCGTCCGAAATGGAGATCCAGTGGAAGCGGGAAATATTAATAACTCCATGGGAAATAACGTATCCGTATTCCGGGTCGATATACTCCATCCAGGCTCTGACTATCCTCGGGGCGGTCAAATCTCCAGGGTCAAGTGTTGCCGGCTCGAGAGAGATTATCCACTGGGGTTCCAACGAGCGACGCGTACGTCAAATTGTTCTCCTCGAGGCATTGCCGTCCAGCCACCATCGGTGTTTAGATTCTCGATCATCGGGAAGCGCACGTTACCCCAAAACCCTGGTTCCGGGTACCCAGGAGCTCGGCCGCCATAATAGTGGCACTGATGGGGCTTCACCACCAGGTGGGAAGCTTCCGCTACACCCTCGGCGTTACCAAACCCATATGAACCAAAGGTGTTCACTGTGGTCAGGTTGACTGAGCTAGTAAGGGAGTTTGCCTCGATAGAAATGACTCTGAGAGAGGCCTGACTACCCATTGGCGACAGAGACCATAAGATAACTGTTAAAACAGTCAAGAAATTGAGTATACCAAGCCTAATCTGTGTCATCAATGCACCAGAGATACTCTGGCTACCGAGACATTGCTGTAACAGTCCAACTGTCGCCCCGCAGGATCTGCTCACCGCGTTCCACACCAAACGCAGCGTCGGCCCTACTGCTGTTTCAGACCTTCCGGCCGCTGCTCCAGGCGGCCCCGGCACCCAAGTGGGTGTTGATCTCCAGCAACAGCACCTCACCCGCGTCGATGGAGGCGATGAGCTCCTTCATTATTCCTGTGTATAGGGTGTCGAAGATCGCTTTGAACTGGCTGATCCAGCAAGTTTGCCTCCGCACTGCTGAGAATGAACAGTTCGGGTGAGGGCTTGACTGACCAATTTTCTTGTTTTTTAGTGTTCTACAACTACAGTCAAGACTTTCCAGTTGTCTTGATACTTTACCCTGGGTTTGTCTCCAACCATAATTTCGGCCCGGGTGACCGATGGAAATCACCTCTCTCTGGGATCTGAGACCAACAACGGCGGCAGGCATGTCCAGACTGATTTAGATAATTAAATTACACGGCAAGTGGGTTTGGAAAAGGTCCCACGATAGTAACTGATAGTACGACTAGTATTATACGCGTGGTGAGTGTCTTTGAGATTGTTCTGTCAATCATTGTGCTGATCGGATTGAACGCGATGGTCGATTGAACCAGGCAATACGGGAGACGAGCTCGGAAAATCTATCGATGATTTGCAGGACAAAAAGATCCCGTGGTAGAAGAGCATAAGGCAGAACGAACGCCAGAAAACAATGAGTGAGGAAAATGCAAGTAAGGAATGTAAACTATGCGCTGTTGCCCTTAAGGATGTCTTTCACCTTAGTAAACGCCAGTTCACCCATCGGTTCCTTCCACAGTTGCTTGCGAATCTTCTCGCTCTTGGGCTTATACAAGATGGGCGCCGAGCTAAAGATATTAGTCAGCCAATAATCTACGTGAATTAAGAGAAACAGGACTAAATTACTTATATTATAAGTTTACTGTTCTTGATGAACTGTCTGTGACTTTCAAATCTATGATTAACAGTACCATTGGTGAGAATATAGATACTATTAATAGGCTTTCGAATAAGAATAGTCTTTATAATACTAAAGATAGAACTAATAAATATACTGTAGTACTTGTAGACAAGACCCGTTGATGCGCGAGATGCCTGCGGGGAGGGGTGGTGGACGTCGGTCTTGCTCAAGGTGTTGGCGCGACTTATATAGATCTGAACTGGATCTATTGATAATGATAATAGATAGGGAGATGTACTTGGTAAGTTTATAGATAAAAAACTAGCTTAGAAGATTAGAGATAGTATAGTAGTTCTTAAAGAAGAGAGTCTTATTATTGAAGTTAGCTAGAAGAGAATAAGTATTCTACTTCTTGAACTTTGCTTATGAAGAAGTATTAGAGCTGATAATAGTAATATAGCTAGATTATTGTAAAGTATTTCTTACCTATAGTATAGAGATAAAAAGAAGAGTTAGTAGTATAGTAGAGAGGAAATTAATCTAGATCAACTTTTTATAGTTTTTAAAGATATTAAGTATAAAGACTTACTTCAAGATCTCTAGATCATTAACTACTATATCTAGCTGGTTGATTGTCTAGGTATACTTAATAAAGACTAGAATTTACTTATAGCTGATTAAGTCTAGTGGCTATATCTTTATCCTAACTTTACTATTATTACTCTACTGTCTGCAGTACTAGTTTAGCAGCTGCTACTAAGTCTTCTTTTTCTTGGCTATACTATAGACTATAATAATTAGTTGGCTTAGTCTTAGCTTCAATAGCTGCTTACTATACTTTAAGCTGAGTTTGGTATTAATTCTGGTAATAATGATAGTCTACTCTATAAGATTAATCTTCTGGCGCGAGGTAGTAGATAATTTATTGAAGAGTTAGTATTTTTAAGAAATATTTCCTATATTATTATCTTTTTAATAGTAGCTGAAGTGAAGTTTGATATGATAAGACTAACTGAAAGAATTCTTGTATAGAAGTATATCAATATAAATAGAGTCTTTCTCTCTAAGCTGAATGGAATAAAAGGAGAGAGAATATAATGTAGTCAAGTATAAGTCTAGTAATATAATAGGGAGATATCGTCGATATAAACTGGTAAGCCCCGAACCACGGCCGGAGTTAAGATGGACAAACACTGTTTATCTTCTACTCTCCAGCTTTATCATTAGGCTGTCATACTGTCGAGTACACCTATATTGTAATATAGGCAGATGACCATGCAGTAGTTGTTGCTTAGGCTAAGTAGTATCATAGAACATAAGCCAGTCACTCTAGTACTTGACGCCCGCCACCCGCTCAGGATGTGGGCGAGGCCGAAATTGGGTGGATGTAGATTTACAGACTGACGTCTGTATATATGATGTTACATAGTCTACGTGCGATTGCGCAGTGCTTCCATAGAACAAATTCTAATAAAAAAATCGTAAGGCTTGGCCATATGACCTGGCAACACCTTATGAGTTTAATAGTGAGAGGCACCCAGGTACATATCTTTTGGTTCTATGCCTGTAGATAGAGTATCATTTATGGGTAGTCTATGGGCCACCTGATAGTCCACACTAGCTAAGTCTTGTGATGGGGATTGATATCAGTATAGGCGTTCCTTGTGATATGAGGTATTGCGAGGACTGTGAGGATATGAGTCCTTACATGATCCTAGGATTTGATACTAGTCTAGTATTAATGAAGTAATAGATTTATGGGTCTTTCTAATTCAGTAGCATCTAAATAACGTGTTCAAGAGCAAGGAGGGAAGCCTTGGGATAGATATATATAAATATATGCAGTTGGAGGAATACCAAGATGTATGGCCTCAGATTGTTATACTTATATATGTCTGCGCCTCCCTTTAGCAGCATGATCTCCACTAGAACTGAGTCTCCCCGGAGGCTGGCCAGGTGCAGCGGGTCTTTCCCGTGTGATCTCCGATATTCGGGTTTGCTTCAGCACGCACCAATTCCTCCACGATCGCTACATGGCCTCGCTCGGTGGCTGCGGCGAGAGCCGTCTGGCCCTGCATATTCTGGAAGTCCACCAGCCGCGTCACCACGGAGCAGGTCCCACTGACCCGGATCCAGCGGAATAGGATGATACGCGTTGAAGAAGCCGTGGGGGTCGTACTTCCGCTTGAGGGCCGATAGCCGAGCCTACCAAACAGGGTTGTAGCTGTACACCGCGGCTAGCAGCTCGTCAGTATTAGTATGTTAAATCTAGATGTAGAAATACTAGTTATCCTAAGATAATTGAGACAGCAAAACTGTTATAGGTCCTCGTAGCCCAGTAGTCGACTACAGCTGAGATAGTTATTCTTCTGGATCATCTAGATGAAAGTATTAGTACCCAGCTGGCTATAGTATAGGTATACAGTATAGCCGTCAGGAAAGGTGTCGATAGCGCAGTGGCTGGTGGTTTCTAAGAGGAGAAAAGAGGTATTAGTAGCCGAATACTTGCGCAGGAACTGACTGTAGAAGGCATATACTTCATTCATCGCATCGACGTCAAAGGCAGTAGGGCTGCTGGTGGTGTAGAGGTTTTGATACTGGTCCGTGGAAGGACTGTACTGAAAGCAGGGCCGATGGAATGATGCGGAGAAGCTGCAAGCCCAAATGATAGAGAGATCCAAGATATCGCTAGGAGCCGAGCATCCTAATACTCTAACAAGTATGAACAACCTGGTATTTATATATTGGAATCAGGAACAATAGGATAAAGCGGAGAAGCTGTAAGTATAAGTGATAGATATAAGAGTAACAGTACTAGGTATAAGCACTTCAATACTTTGACAAGTAAAAACAATCTGATGATAGTATACTAGAGTCAACACCGACAGAATTGATCTAAAGCGGAAAGGGAAACTCGCTTGATTTCCGCAGCAATCCAGTTCAATAGTTCAGCACAAGAGTAAGTTATATTCACTAGAGGAATAGGGTAAAACAGCCAGTGAGCAACACAGGTCAAATACTACCTCAGGCTCTGTAGAATTGTATTCAATCAACACTTGCGGCCATTATTCATCTCAAGATCATCTGCAGGGAGCGACTAGGTAGTAGGCGGGTTCAAGAGAGTAGACGCGAGCACAACCATTGAGCGTCGGGTTTCTCCCTTGCCAACTCCACCACATCTCTTGCGCGGTGGCAATTTGATCATCAGTCTCATCCCAGTTTACATACAAACAGATGCTGGGTTGGTGGTTACATCTAACTTATGTCTACAACAGGACAGCAGATACACGTGACGGCTTGCGGCCTGAGTGCCTGAGGGTACCGGGCGATTAGCAATCACTCACTGCCAGTTGCCTTTTCCTCACCATGCATGGCATGCATGATTGTTCGATTATCTTTCTTTTTGTCTCGTCTGTTACTATTATTCCTTTAATTGCTAATCTGATTTCGGGTTTTTTGTTCTTTCCTTCCATCTTCTGATATCCTCTCTATCTTGTTCGTCCTTACGGCTGCTCTGGTTATTCGATTCCTTGTGGCGGAAGTAGGAGCCCTCGCCTGCTGAGAGAGTCTTCAGTATATAAGTACTTCGTTCACCTTAACCTCACCAGCACATCTTTCTTTCACTCGGTCGACCACTACATTTAACAGATAACTTGGCTTAGCTCTACGTCGTGGATACACTTATTCATCTGACTGTCAAGCACATTTGCCACCATGCGCGAATATGATCCGCTAATCTCTGAATACCGCCATGACAAGAAGCGGCCCCGGTCTTCTGAAGCACTCCTCATACTACAGAGGGTCGCTTCCTTAGTCAAGCCTATCATGCGACGACGACAGTGGAAGGTCGGTACTCTTGCGGAGATGTACCCGGGAGAACGGTACCTTCTCGGTCTCAATTACGATGCTGGCCGAAAGATCTGCTTACGACTTCGTCATTCTTCTGATGAGCGACAGTTTCTCGCTTTCGACGATATTGTCGATACCATGCTTCATGAGTGAGTCTCCAATTTACCATCTGAATTGACTACGAACCTGGTGGCTAACCTATATCTTAGACTCTGTCACATTGTGCATGGACCACATCATCAGAAATTCCATGCTCTTTGGAACCAGCTCCGAGACGAGCATCTGGAGCTTATTATGAAAGGCTACACAGGCGAAGGCTTCCTTTCCAAGGGCCATCGCTTGGGCGGCAGCCGAATTCCCGTGGAGGAAGCTCGTCGACGAGCCCGAGCCGCCGCGGAACAAAGACGGGCTCTTTCGGCCGGCTCCGGACAGCGAGTGGGTGGTGCCTCCGTAGCGCGTGGTACAGACATGCGTCAAGTCATTGCAGATGCAGCACAGAGACGCCGTGACATACTAAATGGCTGTGCCTCGGGCGCCGACAACAGCGCCGAGCTGGCGGAGGAGGCATCCCGCAATGGCTTCCGAACCCAAGCAGAGGAGGATGATGCGAACGAGCGAGCGATCATGGAGGCTGTCATTGATTTGATTGAGCAGGAGGAGCGGGAGAAGTATGGACCTTCGTACATCCCTCCAAGTCAACAGAATCCTGCCGGTCCTCGTTCTATGCCATCCCCACCCCTGGTCCCAGAGACCAACAGGCCGGGTGCGTCGTCACATCCGCAGAATTCAGATGACTTGATATTAGACGATACCTCATATGATAAGCCATGGTCTTGTCCAACATGCACGCTCGACAATCCTGCCGAGTTTCTCTGCTGCGATGCCTGTGCGTCGGAGCGGCCACGGCCGTCGACAGATATATCAGTATCCGCCTCCATCATATCAGAGCCGCCAAAAACAACAGCTAAGAGCAGAAGTCATAAGCGAACGATCAGCCAGTCTATCTCGCAAGGTACCTCCAAGAGCACGACCCGAGCCAAGGAGTCCCCGGCCACGCCCATGCAGCCACAGAAGGCGAGCAAAAGGCGAATGGGACGGACGTGCCAAGCTTGCGGCTCATTCATGGAGATAGAATGGGTGTCTTGCTCTAACTGTAGTACGTCGAAGCAGGAATCGTGAATTGGGCGGTAGCTTTCAGGATCCGCTCAGCATGGGCGTTGGTGTCACTGTGAGGCTTAGTCTGGGTGCGATACCAGGACTAGCATTCGCAATCGAGATTCTATGGGAGAAATGATGTTGATTTCATGTCATGAAGTTGTTTCAATTCGCCCATAAGTCATCTCGTAGAAATGTTATCCGTGATTGAACATGGCTTGACTGAGTCGACTCAGAGCGCGGACTCCTGATTCCAACGACATTTGCTAAATGTTACAACAAGCGCAAATCTCACTATCTCTCATACCCCTAGCTAAATGAGGTGGCACGAATGCAGTAAGCCCATACATCCAACATACAAGATTCAAGCGAGAGCTGACTAACACCTGACTCATCAGGCTTCCCACCGAGCCAATCCCCACTTTCGGCTCAACCATTCCGCCGAGCCATCCACTCTCCACCACTGCGCTAATAATTTCTGCAACTTCATTTTCCCCTTTCCTGTCATTTTACTGTTTTTCCTCAACATCACAAAAGCTCCCACTCAGCTTGACCATTCATGCTTGGTCTTGGGTTTTAGGATCTCAACTACACTCATAATCTCCTCGCCAAACTAACTAATCAGGTATGCATACATCCAGCACTTCAATCTTTTCCTTTCAACCCCCTCCCCCGGAAGAAATGAGACAAAAACAACGCAATCCAAACGCCCACCACAACCATAAGAGACAAGAGAGAGAGAGAGAGAGAGAGAGAGAGAGAGAGAGCAAGAAGAAGAAGAGCAAGAAACACCTACATGATGAGAGCTTTGCAATCAAGAACCGGTATATTAGGAAGAGCCGGAAGAGGTATGACAGGAAGCCAGAGTTGTTTCACTGTCGTCGATGCTTATAATGGTTCTGCTGAGTGGTGTTTTCTTTCTTCTTTCCTGCTTCTTCTCTCTCTCTCTTTTTCCTCTTGATCATGAATCTGTGGACAAGGGCAAATGGATTGATGGGATCGGGCTGCGTGTTTGAGTCTGGGCTCTCGGGGTTGTGAGCATTTTCTCTCTTGCCCTCGATTGGGCTTGCAGAGCTTGTGCTGTTGATGCGTGCTTCGTGGTTGAGATCGTTGCTGACTCGATTACATAGAATTCTTCGAAGTATGCAAATTAGTGCGCTGTGTAATGCTGTGTTAGCCTAGATTTATGGTACAATGAGAAATGAAAACTGTGTTATCTTCACGATGGGTCTTTTTTCACGTCTTCAGTAGATCGTATTGAATTTACAAAGGGGTCTAAACCTATCATAACCTTCCGGATATAGAACTTTTCATGCGTAACCCAAAAAAAGAAAACACTCGACCAAGCAACGATTCTGAACGCCAAACAAATGCATGGTTACAGACACAAACCCCCGAGTAGAGCGCTTTCAAGCAATGCTGATGAACTGCCGCTTCTTCCCCGTGCCCGTCGTCCTTTCTTGCTCCTCGTAGGCTTCCTCATCAATATAATCCTTGGTGCTCTGTTCTTGAATCTGCTGGCCGACAAACTGCAGCGCGGAAATATTGAAACCCATCTCATCCTTTTGACGGGCCAGCACCCGACGCAGAGAGGCACGGATGCCATCGAGCATCGGCCGCATCATCTTGCTCGCAATGATCTGGCGGTGGTGCGTCTTGAGAATGAAGAAGAGTACACGGCAAGTCAGTGGTATGTTCCACTCGCGACTGGCCCAGATGTTGAGGAACGTGAACAAAGCCGGAATCTTCGAGAATGGCAAAACCAGCAGAGCATCCTGCAGAGCAGCAGCAGGAATCTTCTGGACGACATTTAGAAGATGCCTCTCGGCAGAAACGTCTCCCAATGCCATGTACAAAGGGTTGCGTTTAGGGGGTGCTGCGTTAGGCTGCCTCGCTTTGACGGCACGCCAATCGCGCATGACCACCAAATCTTCCATTCCCAAATCCAGGGCTTCGATAATCTTTTCTCCTGCCATGAGCGTGGCAGTCGTTTGCTTGCCAGCATCGACGGCTTCGGCCTTCTCTCCATCCTCTCCTTCGTCCTCCTTTTGGAGGGAAGCCATGAGGGAATTATCATACATCTCTTCGAGTTCCTTTTCGCGCTCTTCTTCCAGGAACAACTGCTCGTCGGTTTGCTCCCAGGTGCGAATGCTTTTGTCATGACTGGCAGTGACAATGAACTCTCCAGAGTGGCTGATAGCCAATGCCCAAATTTCCCCATGGTGTCCAGCCAGCTTTTGGATGTGTTCAAATTTGTCACCGTCCCAGTACTTGATCGAACGGTCTTTGCTAGCACTGAAAAAGTTGTGGCCATTTCCTTCCTTGTTGTTCGGAACAAATGCGACGGCCATAACACTGTCCTCGTGTGCCAGGAATGACTTATGACAATCACCGAAATCCAGACCCCACACGCGAACAGTCTTATCGGCGGAGCATGTGACGATCAGCTTACTATCCCACGATATGTCCATGCTGAGGACTGGAAGTTTGTGGCCGTAAAGATTGAGGAAAAGCTTGAGTGAATCAACGAAGAACACCTTGACAGTGTTGTCTAGCAAAGCAACAGCCAGCAATCGAGCATCAGGTGAGAAGCGAACGTTGAGGATGTCGTCGGCAACCTTCAAGGTCCTTGTGTGTACCAGCTTGAGTCGTGGCGTAGTTCTTCTCGTTCCAGGGATGTCTTCTTGAACGACCTGGAAGTTCCAGAACTTGGCTGTCTTGTCGGCACTACCACTGACCAGAGATTTGCCATCCGGGTGGACCTGTAGGGACCAAACCGGTCCGTCATGGGCCTTGATCGTATCGAGAAGAGTCGAGGAGGCAATGTCAAAAATCTCAAGCTGACCGTCTTTGTTTCCCACAACGACAATCTTGTCTCCAGGAAGAAAGGCCGAACAGAGTGAGTAACCACATTCGAGGGTACGCAGACAGCTCTGAGTGCGAACATTCCAAATCTTGAGACTGCCGTTGGACGCAGATGCCAGCATGCGATCGTCAGAACTCAATGCGACGGACCGGATATCAGTGCGGTGACCTGGAATATCAACTGCCAAGTTTCGAGTGTACTCCGACTCGTCCTCATCTTTGTTCTTCTTGTTGGCGGTCACCACGATGTAGGACTCAATCTGGTTGTTCGTAGTAGCGGCCAGTAGCTGCAGGTTACCACTTGACTTGGTCTTGATCCAGTCGAAGGACCGGACCTTACCTCCAGTGCGAACAATGGTATGAGACACGAAAACTTCGGAAACTGGGGCAGGCGCTGCATCGTCAGGCTTCTTGTTGTCAATATCGGCGACGGCACCTTCCTTGTCTGCAGCACGCTGCGCATCCTTCTCCTTTCTCCTCTTGCGCTTCCTGGCCAAGCTCTTTTGCACTTCGACCTGTGAGCGAATCCGCCAGATCTCGACTGCCTTCTCCGATCCGTGGATACCGATATAGTCCAACCGAGGATGGAAGCTGATACCGATCGTGCGATCTTTGCCCGTGCGATAGAATGTACCTCTGTCGTTCAAAATCTTCTGACCTTCAGATCCGGCCTTCTCCTTCGAGATTTCAATCATAGCGCTTTCGTCAATTGACCAGACCTTGAGCTCTCCGTCATTGCCAGCGGTAATGCAACCACTTCCGTCGGGCGAAAGACCCAAACTCCAGCATTCGCCGTTTGACTGAGCCACGTGGGTCTCGATACAGTGCTGCGAAGCCAAATCCCACACCTTAATCAGTGCATCCTTGCCTGTTGACAGCAGAAATCCCGCATGGTCACTGAGCCCGGCGGCGTTGAGTAATTCGGTGGAGGGTGTGAGGATGTTCAAGGAGGTGATTTGATCGGTATGCCCCCGCATTTTGAAAAGTCCAACTTCTGCGATTAAGTCCCACAGGATGATATCTGTATCTTTCGAGCCGCTTGCCAGACGGACTCCAGCGCTATCGAAGGCGAGTTGGGTGATGGCGGACTTGTGGCCATTAAAAGAGATGATCACAGATTCAGTTCGAGAATCCCAGAGACGAATGCTTCCATCTTCATAACTGAAGCGAAAAAGGTAAGCAAGGTGGACATAGGACCGTCGTACAAAAATCTTGGAGGATACTTACCCGACCGCGAAAATATCCTCGTCCGTCTTGCTATGCGTGATCACTGTAACTTGTGCTTTACAAGCCGGATCGTGCCACCTGCCAAGCAACTCTCCCTTCTTGACATCCCAGCAGAGAACCTCTTCACTCGCACCGACGATGGCTCTTCCAGAGCCCGTCCGACGCGCAGTTCCTAGGCTATCTTCATCGCGGGCCCAGATCGCATTCGAGGAACCGGATGCGATGAGCCCAAAAGTCTTCGAATGCTCGAATTTTCTGTCCAAGTTAGTCAAGAATGATTTCCTGGTATCTTAGTATGAGCGGGAACAGTAATCCTTACAGATATGACTTCACCATCTTTAGGTGTTCGTCTCTGGAAAATTTTTGGAGATCGGAGAATAAATGCTATCGATAGGCACAAATGGCGGCCGTGGCTACGGAGAGCGAGAGCGACCACTCGGAGCCTCCCCACCGCCTGCCCCGTTCCCCAAGCATCGTCAACGTAATTACCCCCTCGTGGCAGTGAACCATTGTTTAAGGTCCAGATCAACAAGGACTTCAGACGAGGATATTGACTGACTTGCGACCGATATCAGCCTAATTTGAATGTGCCAGTCATCATGCTTTTGCTAGATTACCACAACGTCCTCATCCACTCTCTCCTGACGGAGCGGTTCTCTGGGTACAGCTTCCCTTTCCCCCGCCCCCTCCGGCATACACCAGGCTCCCAGCTAACGGAACCCATGATTCTTTCGGTAGATCCACCCCCGTGTCAATTGATCAAGTTGTCTCCGACTTCGACGGCGTGACCTTCCATTTGTCTACTCCTGAATCCAAGACCAAAATCCTCATCTCCATTCAAGTCAAGTGCTTCCGAGAGCTCGTGCAATATGGTGCCCAACAAGTGCTGGAAAGGGAATACGGCCCCTATATCGTCGATCCGGAACCTGGCTATGATTTCTCCGTCTTGATCGACTTGGAGAACCTTCCAGCTGAACAGGAAGAAAAGCATAATCTCATCATGCGACTGGCTCTAATGAAGCGGAACGCAATGGCCGCTCCTTTCGAAAGAGCATTCGATGAATTCGCAAAGCTATCGGAGGAGGCGTCCAGATACACCACAGAATCAGCCCCGCAGGGCGTTAAGGAAGGAGGAGAAGTTATGGCAATCCACTACCGCGAAGAAGAGGCGATCTACATCAAGGCCAGTCACGACCGAGTCACGGTCATCTTCAGCACTGTCTTCCGAGAGGAAACGGATCGCATTTTTGGCAAGGTCTTCTTGCAGGAGTTTGTGGATGCCAGACGCCGTGTTCTGACGCTGCAGAACGCTCCTCAAGTGCTTTTCCGCAACGATCCACCTCTCGAGTTGGCTGGAGTCCCTGGTCTGCAGAACGTCAACGACGGCACGCTGAGCTACGTCACCTTTGGTAGGAAATGCTCCGTGATTCTTAGTATCTCTCTTGAGAGACACCTGCTAATTAGGATTAGTGCTTTTTCCTCGTCATTTGACTCCTCAGAGACGATACGAAAACATTTCTCACATCCAGATCTTCCGTGATTATTTCCACTACCACATCAAAGCCTCCAAGGTAGCTCATGTTAGCTTCCAGCCATAACATCAGTCACTAACTTCTCACTAAGGCATACATTCACACTCGGATGCGCAAGAGGACTGCAGACTTCCTTCAAGGTAAGCCTCAATATCTGCTTGGTATAGCTGCGTTCATGACATTGATCTATGATAGTACTCAACCGGGCGAGACCCGAGAACGAGGAGCGGGAGAGAAAGACGGCCAGTGGCCGTACTTTCAGGGTGCAGGGGTAGAACAGCGGGTTTCTCATTTTTTTTTGTATAGAATATTGTAGTTCGGCGGAAGGGAGCGTGGAGAGAATGCATACTTGCATGCGCCAAATTTGTTTGCTCCTCAACTGTAAAGCTTGATTCGTATCACCTTCTCACTTCTTTCTCTTACTTATCTGAATTTGTTCTTGTTCGAGACCTGTTGCTGATGGATGCCTGGGCCTAGAAGCAGTCTCATTGGACACTAATCAGCAGCGTGCGCAGGATAGGTTGTGATATGCAGGGGGGTGGTTGACAGGAGTTAATGCCAGATGATCTGTCATCTCCCAACTAAGGGAGCAGTGCCCCTCACTGGGCTAGACAAAGAGGTCACATACAATATTGTAGACCTAGTACCTAGTAATTAATGCTATTTGCCTGATTTGGCTAATCTTAGACATCCCTGCCACATTGTCCATGTGAGCTCTGCGACCTTTCTCTTATTGAAGGCAAGATTATTATGGTAATGGAAGCGACCAGATCAGCAATCCAGTCATCGGCCGAAACGAACCGACGTGACCCCGCTGACGTACCTCCAAGGCTGCAACGGGTTCCCGCCATAAGCAGCCCCGGCTTCCCACCAAAGCACCCAAAAAGAATTCAACTGCGCTATCGCTGCGGCGTTGCATCGTTAGACTAGACTAGTTCGTATGCGAGATATCACCGTCGATGGTCAATGCTTCTAGTTGAATGGTCATTGGGCTCGATAGCGCGGATTATCATCAAGGGAATTTGTGTCACTTGCTGCTGTCACTTCGAGTTGGAATCAGAATTGCCTCCTCCACAAGTTCCTTGCTACCTGTTGTTTAAACGGCATCGCAGGGCAAGCTAATGTCTGAGCTACCGCACCACTCTTCCAATGGGAGAATCGCAGTCATAGCTGAGGGTGATAAAGATAAGAGTCCGTGCTGTCTGTCATCCAATGTTCGCGGGAGATCTATGAGTGCGAATTGTACAGTACTGAAGAAGAGTAGTGTCGCAGTACTGTCTAGCTCAGCTTCAAGTTAACTTACGGCAATCTTGTATTGCTCTCTTATACAATTCCCGACTTTTTCATGCATCTGCATTTGTGTCCACTGCCCAGAAAGATAAGAAAGGGTTTCCTGCTAATAACTAATCGACTTAAGCGAGTTGTGAGGCTCCGTAGCTCCCAGCATGCTGTTGTGTCACCTGATTGCACCATTCGTCCCAGTGTATTGTTTATACCCGGCGGCTTTGTTTAGGCTTCGATATTGCAGCAGCCGACCTGCAAGGATAGCTGTGGTAAGCAATAGGCCCTGTCATGATGAGCATGCAATGGTTGCAACCATTTATTCTTTGTCTGGGGAGAGTCTGAAGTCTGGACACGTTGAGAAAAGCCCATGGAGCGGAAACGTACGCTAGGAATTGCAAACCGGGGCGGTCGGAATTGCATTGATGTAGAGGTGAATTGTCGTTGGCGTTAACTTTTAGTGCCAATAGCAACTGACTCGCCGTTGGTGTTGGTTTCTCTCGGCTACCCACAGAGCCCGAAAAAGTCCTCCTTTAGCCTGCAAATAAAGCTCCGTCGCTGCACTGGTTCCGGACCGGTTCATGCCAAGGGCTGAGCCTTCTCATAAGCTCAATATTGCATTGTCCCAATGAGGACGACGCGATGAGGCCACTTGATTCAGATGGTGCAGCTCGGAAGAAAAATCCCCACCTGCATGTTATGACCCCCCTTGTGATTTAGTTAGGGGACCTCCGCAGTTCTCCCTCCTAATTGTCACTATCTCGTCCTTGCATCTTCTCTCGCCCACATTCTCGTTGGGGATCCCCGTCTTGTCTTCTTGTTTCATGCAAGTCACTGATACCACAGCCCCAGTTATCGTCCTTATCAAGTCCTAGTAGACGTCCAACCCCCCTTCCTCGTGGATTGCGAAACGTAGCGGATGCGGGTATATACAAACTTGCGACAATCTTGTACCTCTACTGTTTGACAGGTATAACGCGTCAGTCTCGGCTTCGGCAAGGATCTCAGCTCATCGATTCAACACCATAAGACCCAAGTCATGCTGGGGACCATCACTTTTAAGGTCGAAGACCGACACCGCTGAATTTGCACCATTTCCCACAGCAAGCTGCAGACAGCTGGAGCAAGCCCAAATGTCCGATAGGATAAGCTCTCTGCCGTTGGAGATCGTCCTCCACATTCTCTCGTACCTTCCTTTCAAGTCATTGCTAGCCTTTGGGGAGACTTGTCATACCAACTTCGAGTCACATACTCTGTGCCTCAGTTGTCTACGGCTCGGTGTCTTTGAGAAGCGCTCCCATGCAGCTATCTCCTTACTTCGAGCTGGATGGTTGACGCCAGAGCAGATGCTAGCCGGTCCGGTTGATAAAGTTCGGGGCGATACTTATAAGATATCTATCATTCAACCGACTGCGGGCCAGACAGCCCCGCCTTTAATTTGCAAAACCCCGTTGAGGACCAAGGACATCATGGACCACAAGAAACGAATACGAGTTGCACAGGAGGCAGGCCGGCCTCATGAGCATACAGTCCGCGAACAGAACAGAATCTTCGCGCAGGTGGTCAACCGATATGGCCAAGGGCTGCGCAAACTCGAATTCATGGCATATGACCTTGACAATACTGGCGCAACGGCTCTAGCCACTAACTGTCAATATATACTGACTCATCTTGCGCTACGGTTCGATCATTCACACATTCGTGATGGGTCCATGCGACCAGGTGCTTGGTCGAGTCCCGCGCCGGGGGGCACCGCGTGGAACTCTCTGATTGGTATCGGGCAACTCAAGCATATGGGTCCCTGCGCCTTGCAGAGCTTAGTTCTGGAGCGAGCAGGTATCACTCCTTGGCAATTGATGATGTTGGTCAAGCGAAATCCGAGATTGAAAGTACTGAAGTTGAGGACGTGCCGTGGCGTTCAACAAGAGTTTCTGGATTGGCTAGGTGGTATTGAAAGTGAGCTCGATGAGTCAAATATGGACGATGACAACCCAGCCCCAGGCGCGAAGTTGGAAGTACTCTGGCTAGAGAATTGTCATAATATACTCTTATATCCTGTTGAGTATCCTTATTTGCCCGATGGGGTCTGCGACCTGGGTCTTGAGTGGGTGAGGCGGTTGAACAGCTTACAGGTGAGCATCGATATTTCAGATTATTCATGCAAGCAAGCTAATAACTCCCCCTCTCATGTTAAGTCGCTTTCATTTAGTGAAAGTAGCAACCTGCCTCCCGAGTTCATCAAAAGAGCAAATGACACGTTATGGCGGATCCCGGAGGTGATCCTACCCTTCACATCAAATGGGGAAAAGGCTCTCATCGAAGTTGATCCACTGTCTACATAGCTTGACACCTATCTTTATCTCTATCATATCATTTTGGCGTACTGGTCAATGTCGATATAGCTCTCTGGCTGTTTATGGGTTTAGGAGACTGGCTTTTCCATGTTTCAGACTAGAATATTCACCTCTTGTTCAACTTCTCTTCTGTGCTTTGCCTCAAAACAGGAAAGCCATGGACAGTGAATTCTAGACTGCAAGATTTACGCGTAAAGTTCGATGCTGAGATGTGCCAGGAAAACCAGCAGGCACACTCGCGACTGGAACCCCGCCTGTACCTTCTCTGTTTCAGTTCATGCACACAAGAACATCACCACAGCTACCTCTATCTTTCATCGATATCGTGTCCATATGATTGCATTCACCTCACTTTACCTTACCTTAGACCTATGACAGTTCTTCGTGTCTTTGATAACTACTGCTAAGCTTCTCATCTCTCCTGATCACTTACTAGTGATATCTCGCCATCCTTTCTCGTTACACTCCTCTCAAATCAGCTACTCAAGTGAACACTAGGTCGCATCGATCCGTTCAGATGGGGGGCGCCCATAGATCCGCGTCGCAACTGTGGGCATCAGCCAGGCGTAGGCTTTTTGCGCGTGCTGATGATGACGACTCGCACTTCTTGAAATTGGATCCCAACTGTTATACTTATCAAGAGTCTGTTGACTCGACACTGTTTGGAGGCCAGCAGGATGGGTTTTACAAGTACTCCCAGGAGTTAGTTCAGAAGAATGGAGAGGAGAATTACAAGAGACTTGCGGAAGAGATGGCCTTGCGCTCGTCAGGCAGTACTGCGGTCTCCTACGCATCAGCTGTAAGTTGCATCGTGGTGACTGCGCGGCTTGTGAACGCACACAACTGCTTTCTCGCCCGAAGACATGTTGGTTGACTGAAGCTTTTTGCAGCAAATGGTTCCGATCGAGCGTCCTGCACTTCCTTATGCGATCGGGTCTCCTGACTGGAATCTTGTCAATGGCGTGGTCAGATACATGGATTCACCTGGCAATGAGGACTATACAGAGTGGATACAGAGTGTGATAAATGTCTTCAAGAATGTCTACGCCATTGCCAAATTTGTCGTTGTGGTGTTCCACTTCTACAATGTTGACGTGCGTGAACGACACCACTTAGCTTCTTGATTTTTCTGATGCGAACATGGCTAATTGAAGCGTTCTCGTGGTAGTTGGACGATAACGAAGGCCTGTTGGGCCACATTCGGCGAGCAGAGGAGCTCGCGACGTCCAACAGTATCAAAGAGCTTGTCAGAGCTGTGGAGACTCTTTACTACGCCTTGTATGCAAGGCTGATCATGGAGATTGCAAACGCCGAGCTATGCTCCTATTTTGACCTCGGGATCCCTCGCATCACGACCAAGGATGACTTCATGCTTCCTGAGCAGCATAGAACAATGGAAATATTGTTATGCTGCAAGGAGTTTCTTGACAGTCCATCCATTTGCCTAAGTTTCAGCAAGGATCACCTGCGTCAACACCAAGCTGGTATCGTTCGTCGTGCGGTAGACAAGCTGAGGGCGACTGGCTTCTCACTTGACGACCTAGTTGGATATCGTCGTCACACCTTGGCGTTACTTAAAAGCAAGCAATCAGAATTCCGCCAAAAGTGGGACGGCCCGGGCCTCACATTTCAAATGCCTCCGAGGGAAGTGCTCGCTGTCGGGTCGGAAAAGTACCTGTCGTTCGCGCCCAGGGATGCAATTCGCATCAAGGTTCCGCAGCCACGTCTGCCTTTCGCAGACGAGAAGTCGGTCGATCCAGTGGAGTGGGAACGTGAGAATATCTCTGCACACCGTCAGGCAGTGCTGGCCATACTGGAAAGCCGAGTGATAGGGGAGATCCGACGTACAGACGATCGACGCGAACTGATCGAATATGCCCGTGAAAGAAGATGTACCTGCAGATCACCTTGTAGCTGTGCAAAGGCTTGTACCATGAATCCGGAGCGGGTTTGTCCTTGTGCTGGTTGGAACTTGACCATCATGATGCTACAGAGTGGGCTATTTGCTCAGTACAAGCTCGGCGCCCGATGCACCATGTTCGCCAAGAGTCTCTTCGAGTCGATCTCGACGATCAGAGACGACAAGGATCTCTGCTATCTGGCAGTTGGGATCAAAGGTGGGCTGACAATGATCGCAGACGAGATCCAGAAGCTTCGAGCGGCATCTGGCTGCTAGCAATGCCTTTTGAGGAGAGTCTTCGGTCCTGGTAGTCTGTTCATGTTGTTCTTGCTTTCGCGCACTTCGCTACGATTGATGATTTATGACGTGATGATCTAATGAACCGGAGAGCAGCCCATGTGCGCGCAAAGAAGATGCACAGCAAACAGTGAGGCAAGTGGTATCATGCAGAAGAAGAACGTCCTTGGCCAGACAGAGACTATTGTGCGTATGGGCTCACTCAGGTACTGTACATCATTTGCAGATCGACAGTGATATTGCACATAGTCCTTAAAAAATTGAAGTCGATCATGAGACTTAGCCAATAGTAACCTCTAATTGCCTGAAGGCTCAGGCAGCAAGCAGTCAGGTGGTGAGGTGGGCGGCTGAGTCAAGCGAATTTTCTTACTCGACGGGAATTGATTGACGTTGATTGACTGACTGAGTGACTTTGGGGGGGAAGTGAAGGAAACTGACCTGGAAACCGTAAAAGTGAGAAATTCTGGATTTCCCGGACCCTTGCGGTGTCTCAATTCAGACAATAAGTCAAACCCCTTCCTGAAGAGAGTTAAAGAAAAATAGAAAAAAATTTTTCCCTTCTGTCGGTCTACTCCTAAACAACAAAGAAGGCAGCCAGTCAAATCGAAATTCAAATTCTCCTTGATTAGCGGGCATGGTGCCCAAGTCGTTTGCTAGCTCAGTTGTGTGCTCCTCTTCTTCCTTCTCCCAAATCCCCTCATCTCCTCATTATCCCACATTTCCGTCAGCCTTAAGACGCAACCCACAGTGGAGCGCGCACCCCAGGGTCTCATCAACAACGTGGGTGCGGCGATATCGCGCCGTATGGCCATCCTACGGCATCACGACGCCGGTCCCGGATCTTAATCCACATTTCCCCATCTCGCAATCTCCGTATTGCTTCCAGACGGGCTATGCCCTTTGCGCCAAACGCGCGCCGCGGCCCTTCCCCCCACCGTTCCTCTCTCCCCCGTCATCTTCCTTTTCCGATCCCCTGACCACCCACTATCTCAGTCAGGATAAGAGATTATCCGTTCGGGGTGATCTAGTCCGAGGCCTGAACAATGGCGACGATGCCGTTCTAGTCGCCGATAATTATCTGGCTGTCAATGATGGGGTCGGAGCATGGGCTACCAAGCCGCAGGGCCATGCAGCGTAGGTGTTTCGCTCCGGAACCTTGTCCCCCATCCCCACGCAATTTCCCTTGGTCCCTTAGGATTATCCCGTACAGGGAACATCCTACTCTGCTTGAAATTCTTTATTGCCTGCATTGCTGACCATTTCCTCATTGGGTATTTACCTACATACAGTCTTTGGGCCAGACTACTCCTTCACTTCTGGGCGCTGGAGATCGAACGTATCTCCAATACGAGTACGCAACTCGATCCTATCGGCTACCTACAACGGGCCTACGAGGAAACGATCCAAGCAACCAGCTCCCAGGGCCAGTGGCTGGGCACGACCACCTCGGTCACCGCACTGCTGCATTGCACGCGCGACCATGCAGGCAACACGAACCCGCTGCTGTATGTGACCTGTCTCGGCGACTGCAAGATCTATGTCATCCGGCCACGCGAGAAAACGATCCTCTTCCGGACGCAGGAGCAATGGCACTGGTTCGACTGTCCCATGCAGCTGGGCACGAACAGCGTCGACACCCCGAAGAAGGATGCGGTGCTCAGCAAGATTGCGGTGCAAGAGGGGGATATCGTGCTGGCGGTCTCGGATGGCGTCGTCGACAATCTCTGGGAGCATGAGATCCTGACCCTCGTCCTCGAGAGCCTCGACAAGTGGCATCAGGGGCGCCATGACAATAAGGAACTTGAGTGGGCGCCGCCGGAAGTGCTGGCCCACGAGCAGATGGTCTACGTCGCTAGGGAATTGCTTCGAGCTACGTTGGAGATTGCCCAGGATCCGTTCGCGGAGAGTCCGTACATGGAGAAGGCAATCGACGAGGGACTTGCTATTCAGGGGGGTAAGTTCGCTTCTTTCGCAGGGGGGCTGTGGCCTTGTGCGGTGGGTAAACTAACCGTGGTACAGGGAAAATGGACGATATCAGCGTCGTGGTTGGGGCATGCAGGAAGAGAAAGCATTGAGTCTGATTTAGCATCAAGTTATTTTGCATACAGGAACTACGGATCGTCGACTGCGATAGGCGTGGCTAATATTTCGGGATTCACATGGGGGTTGTCATGCATGACTGCGCCGTCTGTGCATGCGGTCCCTTGTCAACGGGACAGAACGGCGTCTAGTTATGCCCCGGCAACCCTTGGCGTTTTATGGGTGTCTGTATATGGCCTACAGGCCGGTGTATATATTGCATGGTGATGGACATTGATACCATTTGTTGTTCAGTTCGAAAGAGACAGCGAGGCAGTTATCGTCTACTCGCTCTTCTGAATATTTCTTCTCGGATTCAGCTCAATAGACTATATGACACTTAATCTATGTGTTTACTCCATGCGCGAGAGTGTCTGCGGGACTGTGGATACTGATCTTATACTTTACAACAGTCGTCATGAACAACATTTGCAGCCAGTATTTGGCTATACCGTGCCATATCACGGAAGGGAAGCTATTGCTAAATTATTGCTACATACATGCCATATTGAGATTTAGACATGCTTGATCAAGATACTTGAAGTCATCTTGAGTCGTTTATGACTCGAAGCTGATAACTATAACATAAGCAAATGGGGGAAGCACAGACCGCATCATCCACACTCTCCGCCCGGCAGAAACACCGGCAGAAAAAAAGTTTCGGACATCATCAAAGCAAGCCGCAGCGGAAACATCAACGTCTGCTCCCTGCAAAACTAATTTTATCACACCTCGTTCGGCCAATTTAGCATCGCCAAGATGAGGGCCAAGCGTTCCAAGAAGTACCGCAAGTTGATGCACCAGTATGAGCTCACATTCGGATTCCGCGAGCCATACCAAGTTCTGGGTAAGTACTAGTTGCAACCTCACCAGCGAGGGCCTGATAAGAGACCCGGGCCCCGCCTCCGAGCCAAAAGGGAACGAACGACCCGGTCTGCTGACAATTGTGCTTGACCAGTGGACTCGAATTTTCTGCGTGCGGTGCACAGCTTCAAGATGGAGTTGATTCCGGCGCTGGAGCGCACATTGCAAGGGAAGGTGAAGCCGCGTAAGTTCTCCGAAGGAAATCCCCACTCAGTTCTGCCATTGCCAACTTACAATATACGATACTATTATACTGTTGTGGTGAGCCTGTAACTGACTTCATTGACTGCTGCGTCAAAGTCCTCACAAAATGCTCCCTCGCTGCTGTAATGGCCAACCAACCCCTCCACCCCCGAACCAACAACCCGATGCGTCCTCATTTCCTGCCTCCTCCGACAGAAGTGCCTCTTCGTCACTGCTCACACAACGAGGACTCGACCCCGATCGACGAAGTCGAGTGTCTCCTCTCGCTGCTGTCGCCGACGGCGGACGTGAAGAAGAACAAGGAGCACTACATCCTCGCGACGGCGGACGCGCCGGCCGCGGCGGAGAAAGAGAAGGAGCGGGCGGCGGTCGCAGCGGGGAGGAAGCGCAAGCGCGGGACCGACAACGAGGCGGAGACCGCGATCCGAAAGTCGAGGGAGCTGCGCCAAGGCGCGCGCTCCATCCCCGGTGTGCCGATTGTGTATGTGAAGCGATCGGTGATGGTGCTGGAGCCAATGAGCGCGCCGTCGGAGGATATTCGTGACGGCGTCGAGCAGGGGAAGTTCCGCGCCGGCTTGAGTGAGGAGGCGAGGAAGAAGGCGGAAGCCAAGGCTGCGGCTGCGGCGGGGGCGGCGGCGTCTGGGGAGACCAAGAACAGCAGCAGCAAGAAGCCGGGGATGAAGAAGGCCAAGGGCCCGAATCCGCTGAGTATGAAAAAGCCGAAAAAACGCGCTGCTGGGGACGGTGGCGCGGCGGATGCGCCTCGGCCTAAGCGGAAAGAAGCTGACGCCGGTGGGCCGGAGGGAGGCAATTCAGAGGAGGGGGCTGATGGTGATGCGGCCGTACCCAAGGCGAAGCGCAGACGTCGTCATCACAACAAGGGTGCTAAGCAGGATGGCGCCGAGGCCGGCGAGTCCGCTGCTACGGCCGCGGAGACGGGCGATGCTATGGAGGATTAATTCTGCTTTTAATCCTGGCTTTTGCTTCTTCTGATTTGTTCTTGTTACTCGAAAGTATGGCGTTCGGCTGGTACGAAAGAGAAAAAAGTGTGTTAATATGTGTATGAGCAGTGAGTTGTATATCCAATCTTCATATCGCAAAACCATGATACTTGCGAGGTATCTTCCGCGAAATCAACCCGAGAAGTGTAGATCTCAGCAAGTCTGTCACAAGTGAGACAATAAACAAAACCGCCCCCAAGTCCCCAACGCCAATCCCAGATGCAATTGTGTGTGTGTTTTATAATACATATTCCTGCACTCCTAAAGGCACCACCTCCCCAACCACCATCATCACTATCATGATAATGGTCACCCAGCACAGTTCTCCAGACAAGACCATGCGTGCCATACCTCACACCACCCTGCCCAAACGCCTACTTCCCCTCAGCAGCGGCGGCGGCACCAACCTCCGGACCCGCCGCCAGCGCCTTCTCGTCCGCCCAGATTTTCTCAATCCGGCGGCGGTTCTCGCGCGCCTGGTCACGGTTCTTCTTTGCGCGCATATACCGCTGCTCCGACAGACACTTGTTGACGTCGCGCTTGATGTCGTTGCAGTTGCCCAGCGCCTTGTGCAGGAATCCCTTCGCGTGGCATTCGTCCAATGCGGTCATGATTTCCTCGCAGTCTGTTTAGAGAGTGGGTATTAGTAGGGGTGAGGGTTTGAGGATTGAAATTCCGGTTGCGCAGAGCAGCGAGGACGTACTGATGTTGTCGGGGGTGTGAAGGTGGGAATGCATTTTGGAAAACGGGTAGGTGGGTGGTTTATATGGCTTTGATCGGATAGGTGTGTTTGATTTGGTCTGGGAGAAATATTGTGCGTAAGAGAGTATGAGGGAGATCAGCTGAGAAAATGTAAGCCGAAGAATCTCGCTTGTGATCCTTCAATTTCAAATTGAAGCCAGTCTCCGATCCAGCTGAGGGCCCCGGCCGGCCAGCGCCGGGATTTGATACCAAGGCGGTGAAAACTGCGGCTTGGAGAGTAGAACTCAAGGGGAGGGGGGAGGAGGGGAAAGTGATTCTGCCGGGCGGGGAGATCGAGTAAAAGAAAATTTAGAGTTGATTTGGGAGCATCGCTTTTTTTCTCCCCTGGGGCTTTCCTTACGGGTTTTTTTTGTTGTTATCTCTTTCTAGAATTTGGGACTCTTGTGGAGAGGTTCTTCATCACTTAATCTTTTTATATTCAACTCTGGGTATATAGCCAAGTCTTGAAGAAGTTTTTCCTGTGCTGGCCCAATACGCGCGGAGAATTTCTTATCTATCTCCGTCCGCTTTTTTTTTCTACATTCTCCCTTTGATCTCATTCTAAACGACAAGAGTCTGGTAGAAGGGAGAAAAAGGTCCCTCCACATTCAATATGTCGTCAATGATTACTACGGCTTCGTGGGTGCGACAAGGTGTCGCAGCCCAGTTCCCCACGAAATATGAAATCAACGAGGAGGAGATGGATCGCATATCGAAGCTAGCTAAGATGCAGCTCGAGGAAGCGCAGGGCGATCTGAAGGCTGCGCAGGAGGATGAGGCTATGGAGGAGGATCACAAGGATGATGCGATGGAGGCCGATGAGAAGCCCGCGGAGGAGTCGGAGAAGAAGAATGTTACCGAGTAAGTTTCTGGCAACTCGGCTTTCGTCGCGATGCTTCAATGCCGGTCCGGGTTGTGGATTGAAGGCTAATGTTTGGTTTGTTCTTGCAGTGATGACGACCTGAAAGAGTACGATCTCGAGCACTACGACAGTGATGAGGTGGATGAGGATGGCGAGAAGATCACCATGTTCGGCAATGTCAAGTCGCTGGCTTATCACCAACCGAACGAGGAAGATCCGTACCTGGTCATGCCGCCGGAGGAGGAAGATGAGGAAAGAGAGGAGCTGCAGATTATGCCGACGGACAATCTTTTGCTGGCTGGTAAGGTGGAGGATGAGGTCGCTCATCTCGAGGTTTACGTCTACGAGGACGCCGCCGATAATCTCTATGTGCACCACGATATCATGCTGCCCGCCATCCCTCTGGCGGTGGAGTGGCTCGACATCCCCGTGGGCAAGGCCACTGAGGGCCGGACTACAGGTAACTTCGTCGCGGTCGGAACGATGGAACCGGATATTGAGATCTGGGACCTCGACATCGTCGACTGCATGTATCCCAATGCCATTCTGGGCCAGGGTGCTGCTGACGCCGAGGGCAAGAAGTCCAAGAAGAAGAAGCCCAAGGCGAATGACGAGTACCACATTGATGCCGTGTTGGCCTTGGCCGCCAACCGCCAACACCGCAACCTGCTAGCTTCCGGCTCGGCGGACCGCACGGTGAAGTTGTGGGACCTGCAAACCACCAAGTGCGCCAAGTCTTACTCTCACCACACCGACAAGGTCTGCTCGCTGAACTGGCACCCCACTGAATCTACGATCCTCTTGACCGGTAGTTACGACCGGACCGTGGTGGCCGCAGATATGAGAGCCCCCGACTCCAAGGCTCGCTGGGGCGTGGACACGGATGTCGAGAACGTGCGCTGGGACATTCACGACCCCAACTTCTTCTACGTGACGACGGACGGCGGTATGGTTTACCGCTACGATGTGCGCAACATCCCCGCCACACCCAAGGAGTCGAAGCCCGTGTGGTCGCTGCAGGCGCACGACTCTTCCGTGTCGGCATTCGATATCAACCCAGCGATTCCTGGTTTCCTTGTCACTGGATCCACGGACAAGCAGGTGAAGCTCTGGAATGTCGAGGACAACAAGCCCAGCATGGTCGTTTCGCGCAAATTGGAGGTGGGCAAGGTCTTCTCAACGTCTTTTGCACCGGATGCCGACGTGAGTTTCCGCCTGGCCGTGGCCGGCAGCAAGGGCGTGGTCCAGATCTGGGATACCTCCACCAACGCGGCCGTGCGTCGCGCATTCGTGTCGCGCATGCCGTCCTTGGAAGGTGAGGTGAAGGAGCGCATGGTGGGCATGCAGCCCGATCAGGATGAATCAGACGATGATGCTGGACAGGAGGTTGGCGCTGGGCACGGTGGTGATGGCTGGGAGTCGATGGATGAGGATTAAGAGAGAGAAAAGAAGTAGTGTGAGGACGAATGTGGAGACAATGATGTCGACCCAAAAAAATTCACGAGGATATCTAGATAGCTTTTTTTTTTCTTACTTTTCTCCTGTACTGCGATTGACGTCTCTTTTCCCTTTCATACATCTATCTTATTGACCTGCAATGAAAACGTCACGATACCCCTTCAACTTGAACTACTAAAGATGAACCCAGCCTTGAGAACCACGGAAGGGACGGTGCTTTTGGCCCCGACTGGCAATGATCGGCCGTTTGACTTACCGGAAACAGACATTGTGTAGTGCCTCAGGTGAATACCAATCACATGGCGTGCCTGACCTGGCTCTTCCTCGGATTGATTGATTCAGCAAAAGTTAGACAGGCGGCAGGCACTGTTGACTTGTCTTTCGCTCGGTGGTACGGAGTTAGTCCGGTGACGCCCTCGAAGGACTGAAAGACTACCGAGTACAGAGAGACCGCTTTATTGGGACTTAACAATATGATGCAGACTTGCAGAGGTCTCGAGCCATCAGATGCATACAGTATACGCTAGTTATACTGCACCTTCTGGGAGTGGAAAAGGATACCCGCACTAAGAAAAAGCACAGGTCAACTGAGAATCAATCTAAATGTAATTAAGTTGGTTCAGGAGTGGAGACGCTGGGAATCTCAAACATGCAGTCCCGTGTGGTTCTCGCCGAGTTGTGTCATACTCCGTATACGAAGAGTAAGCGCGATCGCATCCTCATGCGGTGGACCACCGAATCTACCGGATTGTCAAAATCATTCATTCGGTCAGGGGCTGACCCTGGCAGACAACATGAGCAGTGCAACCAGCATCGAAACAGTTGGTGCATGCAGGGTAAGGAAACAAGCAACGTCATGCGGTCGGCCCTCCGTCACAGACTCAGAGCAGGTGAGACGGCAGTTTGTTTCATCCCCACCGCTCAGGGCACATGGCGGCTTTCAGGAGGCCCGCCGCCATGCCTTTTCTGGTCCGGAGCCCGAGTAAGCGGGCTGGCCTCATGTCTTCCCATCGTCCCTTAGGCGACGTGATACTCCCGTACACTAATGCACCATTCAAATGCTCGTGGTTTCCTTTGTTTGACAATTGACAAAGTTCTGTCTGAGTATTTGTCCTAGCATCCCTTTGGATCTAGCTCCAGTTGGCCTTGATGTGGCATCTAGGGTTTGCCAGGGTCTCGATCCCCTAGGTGCCTGAATTAGTGCGTGAAAGCATGGCTCTGAGACTGCATGGGCGCTTTTATCTACCTATGTCATGCTGAGAAGTCGAGTGCACCCACCTTCGATGCCCCATGTATCATTGGCCACCGGACGTAGCACCTTTGCCGTGGCCGATTTGGTACTGTGGGATATCAAAGGTCGAGACTATTCGATCTATGCAGCAAATCGCAGCGCACGACTAGCCGCGCCTGACTTGCCTGCTCTGCCCGTCGGAGTACCGGAGCGAAAAGAGACGAGTACTTGGTTACAGAGCGCAAGGCCCAATTCTTAGGCTTTTAGTACCGTTGTTGGCTTGATCAAATATATTGGAACAAGAACCGGTGGTTCGATTGAACCAGAATCTGATCGTTTTCCAAAAGAGAGACACGAACTGTTGGAGAGGCAAATTCTTTCTTTCTGGAAGCTCCATTGTTTTTTCCTATGCGACCCTGTCCAGCGCCACTTTAAGAGCCGAACCACGGGTGGACAAAGGACATTACAAGCAAGCAACCGAACCTTACTGGGCCGGAGGTTTGACGCAGGGCTTCATTCCATCCACGGGTCCATCCACCGATTTGACCTCCCGAACAGCCCAGACACTGTATTTTGTGGGTTGGGTGGAGATTGGAAGCGCTGCGGAGTCAGTGGGAGTAGAGCAAAGAAGCAAAAGAGAAAGAAAACGATGAGGAGAGACTGGAAGATCTTCCCCCTCTCCAACAGCGAAGGTTACTAGTTGACTAGTGACTTGTGAGTGACTGGACTCGACTTTTGCCTCTCTTTGCCTTCCTTCCCGTCCGGTCTCGTTTTCTGTCCTCCCTCTTTCTCCTCTTTTCTTTTCCTTCCCCTCTTCTTCTTCTTCCTTCCTCCATTCCTCCCTGGGGGATATTGGCCGTTCCTTTCTCGTACTTCCATTCTTACTTACATCCTCGATCAGAGCATCCTGGATCCCTTTCCTTTCCTTTCCTTTCCTTTCCTTCCCTTCCTTCCTTGCCTTCTCGTACCCTTCAGGGCTTTTTTAATTATCTCTTCTCCGTGGCGCGTCCTGGTTGTCCGCCCTGATCTTCTCGGTGCCTTTCGGTGCTCCTGCAGCTGCAGCGACTCGTTTCCCCCCCCCTTGAGTCGTGCATGCACTCCATCTGTTCCGAACACTCCATCACCCTCCAACCAACGGGTTTCTTCTTTTCTGCTGTGCACGAATTACACTGGAAGAAAATCCACAAATTTACCAAAGGGAACCGTCCCTCTGCTCATTCGACTCGGTCTTGTTTTAAGAATTTCAGTAGCGCTCAGTCGTATCTGATAACGGACATTCCGGCGATCGATCTTCCATTCCTTCTTGGTTTCCGCCACCCCGCGGTCATCCGTCACTCATTCCGGGTCTATTTCGCTCAAAGCGACTGGCACTTTCGCAAACGAAACGACTCGAAGAACAGCCTCTAAAAATAGGAGACTAAGTTTCAAGAGTACGCCTATACCGGCTTACCGAAAGTAGCAGACAGCACACAAACAAATAGATCGACTGATCCAGTGCGAAGATCCGTCCTTATCAGCAAAGGTCGACTATCCGCCCGCTTGTTGTATAGATTTTCAAAAACGCCAGCATGTCGACTCTTACCAGGGCTTTCACGAAGCGCAGCAAGCGTCCTGAGGTTTCTGCGCCGATGCCGTACCGCGAGGGACATACCAAGTTCAGTGCAGGCACTATCAACCGAGGCAAGATCTCTGCGCCCGTGGAGTTGTTGTCGACCACGAATATGCTTGCCTACAATGCTCCGGACCTTCACTCTGCGACCTCGTCCTCAACGTCCTCAATCCAGTCGCCTGATGATTCGGACATCTCCTTCACGCAGCGAAGCTTTGGGTCGCCTGTTACGACCCCTGGCGAGTCTCCCATCGATGCCGATCCCGCTCCTCTTCCTGCTTACTTTCCCAAGCGCTCAGCAACTGTAAGTAGCCATACGACGCCTCGTTCATCGACATCCACTGCGTCTTCAGCTGAGGCACCTCTGGTCCCCAAACGTGCCCTTTCTCACACAAAGCGCTCGCATCAAGAGCTGGCCCGCAAGCGCTCTGTATCTCGGCTTTCTCCTCCTCCATTGAATTCGATACGCAGCACGCCTGCTGCCCGACAAGGTTCCGAGGCCTACCACATGGAGCCCCACCCTTTCAGCAAAGAGCTTGAACAGGTGAATGAGGTCGCAGAGGAGTTCGGTGGTACGCGCGTGCTCGATGAAGAGGAGCTAATTCTGCGAGACAAGGGACTGAGAAAGTTCACTGTTGATGAGTATCTGGTGGAAATCGAAGACCTCTATGGGAGCATCTTTGATGACCGACTAGGGCCAATTGCATCTGGCACTTGGCTTTGAGCAGTTGACGTTCCCCTTCTGTCCCTTGACGTTTCTGTTTTTGACTATCCTGTGGGACGATGTTTCCTCATGGGTACTGGATTATCCCTCCCGAATTTTTTACAAAGCAGGCGCTGGCCTGTATAACGACCCACTCGTATTCACTCTTTTAATGTCTTGTTCTTTAATTGCCCCTTGAACCTTACATCTGCTATATACCACGGGAGGATTGTGACTGTCTATTCCTCATCTTTGTTTCTCTGTGTCTTTATGGAAAGTTGCTGCCATGTGATAACATTACGTGTATGTGTGATAGAGCTGCCGCCGGCTTGTGCTATCAAACACGGCCATGATTTCTTTCTTTGTTGATCGAAGAATTCGGCATTGATAGTTTGTTTTTAGTCTGAGTAAATTTGCCTATAGCTGCAATAGAGACCCAGTTCATGTGCAGAAAGCGTCAAGATGTAGATCATGTTCGGAACCAGATAGTAGCTGGACAATCGGCCGCAAACACTCATTCTCAGGGTATGACCCGAACAGGCAACGCCTCAGGCGCGAGGGTCACGCGCTAGTCACGGGGTCGCGGCCTCAGGCTCCACATCAGCCCCACACCAAAAAATTTCACGCTGTGTTTCTTGTACGGCTTCTCCGCCTTGCGTTCAAGTTCCCATCTTTCCCCTTCCCTCACCTCTTCCAGCCCGTCCCCTTTCTATCAAAGTCTCCCTGCGCCCGCATCCCACAGATTTCTCTCTCTGACGTTGTGTGTGTGTGTGTGTGTGTGTGTGTGTGTGTGTCTTTCAATGGATGAATCCAGGTGCTCATTACCTTAAATCACCTACTTTGTCTTTGGGCTGCAGCAACGCTCAAGGTTCAACGAGCGACTTGCTTCGGCTGTGTCGTGTGCATCGTGTTGCAGTCCACCTTCTGACCTGTCGACAGTCCCCCGTCTGTCAATTTCCCCGCTCTGGACAAGGCTTAATTTCTGCGTCCTGAATGGAACTGGATTGATCGCTGCGCCAGCTCCCTTCCGTTAATCCTTCCATAGAAATATCAGTTCGGTCATGGTGGGAACCATTGCCACCGCCTCACGCAGGCCGTTGACCAATTCTTCTAAGATGCTCGCTAAAGCATCACCCGTTCCCATATTGAAAACACCCAAACGCGAAAACTCGGTGATTGGCATCAAGCGCAGGATGGAGGACGACGATCTCTCCTTGTCCCCGTCCTCGTCGCTGACGTCCGAAACTGAACTCAATCCCAGCCCTCGCAAGCGAGCTAGAGTCAAGTTTGAACCGGAGGTGGAAATGCGGGAACTTCCGTACTATGAAAAGGCGCCCGAACCGGAGACAAAACCAGAAAAGAGTGCCTCGGTCGTTCGTGAAGAGGTGCGCAGGGCCATCCAACGACATGTCTCTGGCACCGACAGTGAGGCGTACGATCGGATCAAGGAGCTTTTTTCGGTGGACCCACGGCGACCGGATGAGGACCACATGCTTCTATCTGATGTACCTACCCCCACATCTCTGAGATATCATTTGATGGGTCTTTCGTCAAACGTTGCCGCGCTAGATCGCAGTTGCAACGGGCTCGTCCAGGCTGTGCTGAATAGTGTGTGGCTCGGCCGAGATGAGTCTTATATCAAGCTGTATATACGCTTCCTTGGTAATCTTGCTGCCGCCCAGGGCATTTATCTGGGACCAGTGCTCAGAATGCTGGTTAACTACATGGGCGAACTTCCCAAGGATACAGGCAAGGTGCCGGGCTATGTTCCCGTGCCTGCGTCGGAGATCTACATGCGGGTCCATATGGCTCTACGCTATGTCATGCAATTGATCCCTTCTGGCAGCGGATCGCTATCTCCTATCCTGTCTATGCAATTTCCCTTCGATGGCGATTCTGCGAAAGCCAATATCGCCTACACGAGCAACCTGCTGAAAATCAGCAGCTATACCCCAGAGCTGCAGGCCGACATCCTGGCTTTGATCACAGAAAAAGTCGTCAAGATCGACGTTCAGATCCAGGTAGACCTGGAGGAAATCGAAGACGAAGTAGGCGAAGATGTCTTGCGTGGCGTCTCGCCAGAGGCTATCATAGCCGATGATGACAACGATGATGATGATAATGCCTCCGTCCTTAGTGATGATACTGTGGATGACGACTCTCAGCGTGTCAAGAACGTCAGAGATAATATTCTTAAGCTGGACGGCATGATTGATTTGTTGTTCGAATACTACGCACCAGCTTTCACGTCCGGCAGCTTTCAAGACAAGGAGAATGCCCTTGAGCTTTTGCTTAGCCACTTTCAGACCATTATTCTTCCCAATCACCGCTCCCGTCACACACAATTCCTCCTCTTCCACTACTCCCAGACATCCCCGGAACTCGCTGAGCGCTTCGCTTCTACCTGCATTCATACCATGACAAACCGGAGGCAGCCAGCGATTTTGCGCCAGTCTGCTGTGGCCTATTTGGCCAGCCTTGTCGCCCGTGGCGCCCACATCTCTGGCGAAATGGCGCGGGATGTGTTCGACCTGTTAGGTGCGGAACTGACTAGCTTCCGTAACGAATTTGAAGACACGTGCCGGGGACCTGACCCCCGACGATATGGTCTTTTCTACTCGATCTCACAGGCATTACTGTATATCTTCTGTTTCCGCTGGCGGGATCTTACGACGGCGGCAATTGAAGGTGACACGCCGGAGCAAGTTGAAGAATTGGAACCAGAAGACATCATCTTCCCTCCCTCAGTCAAAGAGGTCCTCCGTCAGACCATCTATTCGAAGCTCAACCCGCTCAAGGTGTGCTCGCCTGCGATTGTGACACAATTTGCCCGGATGTCTCAGCATTTCAACTTGATGTATGTCTACAGCATTCTGGAGACGAACAAACGCGTGCGGATTTCGACATATCGCAGTTTGTCTGCTATGGCGGATCCGCGCTTTCACCAGGTGGAGCGAGAAATTCGCGCGGGAGACGACGTCGGCTATCAGGCAGACTCTTACTTTCCGTTCGATCCGTACCAACTACCTCGCAGCCGCCGCTGGTTGGAGGGTGACTATGTCGAGTGGCGGGGTATCCCGGGCTTGGATAAGAATGATGACGATGAGGACGACAGTGACGCGGATGACGACGAGGATGTATCCGACGACGACCTCAGCGTCGGGACGGAAACTGATGACGATATGTAATGGACGAACAAAAGTGGTTATCTGGTGGGTGGAGGACAAAAAAAGCAAAACTGCTGATTCTGTGTTTCTTGTGCTTGGCGAGCCCAATACCCTTTCGCTCTGAGATGTTTTCCGTTCTTTCATATTCTTTCCTGTTCAGCTTTACTTTTCCGTTCCAGCCAGCCACCTGAGAATCTGTGTTCGCAAATGTTTTTTGTTCTTTCTTTCTTTGTTTTTTTTTTTACAAATGCATAGAGATATTTGTGTGCGTCATATCTCTTGTGATTTTCTGTCCGTCTTTGGAGTTCTACGACAGAAAATGTCATTTGGCAATGATTTTGGTATCGATGTACATACCGTATGTCTTAGGCCATTCGTTGACATCGTCGAACTGAGTGATACATGGAGTGTGATTATGGCGTCCAGTTGGTATCAAAGATGTAGCTGTCGACCGGCTTCGATCAGTGCGAATTAGCATGAATAATTTGAGAATGACAACAATCAATAATTCCTACTCAAATCTTATGTCCTAGTTTGGCATCCACCTTGCTTGTACCGCCGAGAAGTCTGTGTAGAGTGGAAGCGAGGGGAGCCTCAGGTATCAGCATACCAAATCAAGTCGTTTGGATCCCCCAGTAAATGGCCGTCCGACAGAGCTGACTAGCACGAGAAGCAGCGGAATGGAAGGATTGCTCGCGTCATCTGATCTTTGGGACATATGTTTTGATTGAGGCAAATTTTGTATCAATTGCCCGGTTAGCTCAATGGCTAGAGCGTCCGACTTTTAATCGGAAGGTTGCGAGTTCGACCCTCGCATCGGGCGATTTGCTTTTTGCTCCCCTCCAGTCATTTACGTTTCCCGGAAGATGCGGGTTGGGTAGTCCGCTCTGGGAAGCGTCTCACTACCTGTTCATCAAGCTCTTGATTGCCCAGAGCTTTTGGCTTCTACTTCTCACTTTCTACAAGTACTCTCTCTGTACTTCACTCCCTCGTGGAGACACATGAGTAATTTCTCAAGATGCGAACGGTATTTCCTTCGCGGAGTAAAGGTCTATTGTTGCACAAATGCTAAGGACGGTGACTTCTCGTAGCTCTTTCCTAGTCTGTACCCACCCGCGGATGATGGATGCACTGGCCCTGTTTTCACCCTCTCAGCACGCACACCATTATCTGCTAGTACTTTTGCTGCTCTTTATTCCTGGTGAGAATGAGTAATTCAAGCACGGCCTGATTATCAACCAACGCCCCGTTGGCACAATTGGTCAGCGCGTGAGACTTTTAATCTCAAGGTTGTGAGTTCGAGCCTCACACGGGGCGTATGCCTTTTTTTGTAGTCACTTTTTCTGGTCCGGTTGTATTTTATCTCTTTTTACCCCCCGAAGTCAGTCAGTCACTCACTCAAGCATTGCAAGGTTGCCCGCCGCGTCTCCCATGGGCGTGCCTATCTGAGGTGGTGGTATGTCTACTTAGTAATGATGCTTAATCTATCATGCAACGTAGTAAACATACAATGATGGCAATATCCTGCTCCGGAGCTTGTGTATATGCAGAACGCTGCCTGCCTACTGAACAGCGGCCCGACGTATGGCCAAAACTCGGTTTCCCTCGCGGAGAAAGGATGCAAAGCTTGTTCAGTCACAATTTGCTAAAACTCAAGGATCCAAGCACGTTTTGATGTTGACGCAGTTCGGCCTTCTCTTTTGCATCTCTAGCGTCGCCCCGCTTGACCTGTCTTTCCAGATAGTGTGCATCTAGCTACTTACTTGAAGGCAGCCATCCGGTGCTTATCTTCAACCATGCCCGATTGGCACAATTGGTCAGCGCGTGAGACTTTTAATCTCAAGGTTACGAGTTCGAGCCTCGTATCGGGCGGGTTTCTTTTGTTTTGGACAATTTTTTTGTTTGATTCGGGTCGCTTGATGATCGTGCATTTGACGGCGTACAGTATATGCATTTTCGAATGATTCAGTGGAGGGGGAGGCGAGTTAGATTATGGAGGGATGTGGATGTGGATGGAATAGGGTGGGTATGGGTAATATCGACGTCGTCGTACTCTTTTGCTACACTATCGGCCGGCTCTGGTTTATTTAAATTTCACAAGTCGAAATCTCTACTTCAAGGAGCAGTCAAGAAATGAAGTCCTTTGATTACTGCGCGCATTAACATAAAATACGAGTCAGATAATCATGTCCATTGCCCTCTCTTATCTGCAGTGCCTACTCATCGACAAGTTAAATTGCCGAGCCTGCAAGCTTTTGAGTCGAAGACTTGAAAGCACAAGCACGATCCCATGAACATAAATGACGTCTGGACGGGACAACCGCAACTGCCCCTCAGACACGATAGAGGTAGAAACACAGACCGGGATATACACACTCAGCGAGACCCGATGGCTGAAACTATGACGAAAAGTGAGCCGGTGTGTGCTGCTGCTGCCACAGTGACACAAGCGAGCCATCTCCGCTGCACATGTTGGCAAGTCTAGTGAAGATCAGGGTGCTGGGTGATCCACGAGCCACGGAGAGTAAGCTGCTATGTTTGATGTGTGTTCATGGAATACTGAATGCTGAGCATGCTAACTGGCACAGAGTTCGAGGTAATCATTGAAAAATCTCATGCCGTTCCTCTGGTGGAAGTCCGAACACGCAGTCTTCAGAACTTCAACTCGCACAGTTTTGGGACGAGTGAAGTAGTCTGTGGCCGATGCGTGCCCGATCTGACGATCAGAGTGTGCGCGATATAGACCCGGAACTGACTTGCAGTCTTCAGCTGTTCCTTCTTCTCACGGCTCCAATGTCCTATCTAGAGAAGTCCTCTATTGTTTCCCAGAACGGGTTGACCTGAACGGCCAGTGAAACATGTGATGGCATTGCGTATCTCCCATAAGCCCACGGATTCTTCACCTCCTTTCTCCATTCATCAGCGGCGATAGCACCCAAGTGACTCGTAGGTAAGACCTTTACCGAGAAGGAAATGTGCAAGACGTAAATTGCGAGACACGAAGTCAACGCAGCGTTGAACGATTTGAAAACCAGTACGGTACATCGAATATCATGGTGATACATAGAATATTCTTGTGGACGTCGAGAAATCGACAGTCAATAAGCCTGAAATTAGTCATCGATGATGGTTATTTACCAGTGGCGACCGAGGCTCTTTGAACTCCCATATTTGCTTAATATGCACGCTTGGCGTCTCACACGATAGGTGAATTAAACCACTAGGAAACGAGGGAAAGACTCACGATGCAGCCCCACAGACGCAAGATTCAAACCACAAGCTTCTATTGCCTGCCTCCTCCCCTACAAATGAAGATGAGGGCAGCACCCGACGACAACCACCTGTCCTGGAAGCAGATATTTCCCGTGCAGCAGTACACGTTCAGTATCGAAACCGAAAGCCCTAGGTGTCTGCCATCTTCCCTTATAGGGTCAAGAGTGTATTGTGCCCCTCACACGCTCCCAAATTATGTAGGGACAACGACAGCACCTAATGACAACAGCGTGATGTGATATGTTGCCATCCTGGGCCGGACTTCTGTCTGGTCCCAGATAAAAATACCCAACGTAAAGTGTAACTGGAGGAATGATTAACATATTGTTCCTCGCGAGTAAATCCGTGGAATGGAAGCTTACCTCTCGTGCCGTTTATCCTACCACTGGAGTGCCAGGCCAACCGACAAAAGCAGAAGGCCAACAGACGAGCTTTCTGCTTTTGAGGATTGGGGTAACTGAATTCAAAAAAGGGGTCGAGAGCATTGAACTGATCTAGCTGAGGGGAAGCTGGGGCCTGTCAAGCGACCCGCGATGCGAGGTAATCCGATGCTGCAGTATCATGGCGCGAGTCATGATACTGGACTTGTGGATTGAGGAAGCTGCCTGTTGGGGACGTTTTTTTCTCTTTTTGTGTTGCATGAATTCAAGAAAAAGAAGAGATAGACCAACAGATACCCATGGCCATGATGATCAAGAAGAGGAGAGGAAAGGAAGGAAGCTGGAGAGAAGGAGAAAGAGAGATATGAGGTGTAGCGAGGGAGGAAAGTTGGGGGTGTTGTGGTGAGCAAGGAATAAGTAACACCCACTTAGGGGAATGGCAGTTCCTCTGGCTTGAAGCACATAAGGCACTGAAAGAGAGCCACGGGTGCTATTGGAGAGTCAGTGAAAGGACACAATGGTGCGACAACCATATCGAGTCATTAATGTCCTACTACCTACATCTCTGCTTCCTCACACTGCCCCTACGACCTAAATATCCTTTGAACGACTCGATATGGGTGACACGTCTCATACTCTTCACCTGCAGGTGAGGCACAGAAGTCAATGAACGGAAGCATATGAAGCTCGCACCAAACCTTATCCCCAATAGCAGTCTACGTACGTGTCCTCCCTACTCCATCTTCATTGCTGCCAGCATCATCACCACGCTGCTGTAGTGCGGCCACTTCAAGGCACCACAGGTGAAGGCCTGCTGTGAATAGTAGTAGTCTACGAAGTGGAAACGGGGGCCTAGTAGCGACCTCCCAATCCATGTCACAATCCTAGTACACCAATTGATAATAGTTGAATACTAGGTAGGTTATGAATATCAGCAACCATTACTAACTACTGTTACTAACAATATTGTCAACAACCGTTGGAACTATTAGCGCATGTAATAAATAGTACTTGTCAACTTCATACAGAATGATATAAAGCGATAGTTTACTTCTAATTTGGCTCATAGATACATCTAGTTACTAGTATAGTTAAGAATATATCAACAAGTGTTATAGGTAGCAAGTCTTGTCATTTATAGTTGCCAACGGTTGCCGGCCGTTGCCGGTACTAGCTGTTTATAGTTTTGATCAGATACTCTGCTGGACAGGAACAAGTTTTAGACTTCTAGAGAACTCTAGAAGCTTATCATCAACTGTTTGCAACCTTCAAAAATCTGTTTAAAAACCATCTCCTACTGGTTTGTGAATCACTGCTACACCCCTGTCTTCTACAAAATGTAGTCTACCCGACCATCTTGAATTCGTCGTCAATCCGTCCACTTTGGTCCCATATGGCGTGACCGGCTCAGCTGGCACATTTAGTTCGTGGACATCCTCACGTAGCTCGTTGTTCGACGCCGGTACGTACAATATGTGCCTCATGTGGGAATGGCCAGGGTGACAGTTCTGAGGGCGGTGTTTGCAAGGCAGACGAGGTCGATAATGGAGCATATGAAGGTGCAGACCGAGTTTCAGAACTGGTAGGAAAGAAGGCAGGGGACACTACCCGGGGATGCAGAGCTGCTGGTATTGAAAACTACTTGAATCGCGTTATGCTGAATGATGGTAGAGGAGACTAAGTGTCGGGGGACCCACACGCACAATGGAAATATATGAACGAGATTGCGAAACCTGTCCGCCCACCTTGACTATCGGAAGATGATTAATATTCGATATATACAAAGGTCCAGTGGACCATGCCTTTGCACTGCAGCAGGACATATTTATATGCATAGGAAAATCAACTTCAAGTGACGCCGGGGCCCAATGCCTGCCCAGAACTCAAATATTCCACCCCATTAAAAAGTAGACAACAAACGCTTCCAAAAGAATACAAACCCGCTCATCGCTAAAGGGAAAGGCAATTGGTCTCGGAGTCAAGTTGTGGTCTGCGCATGCGTGAGTGTATACGGATACGACGTTTGGGTTCTTGTTTACTCTACACTTCGTCTTGTCGTTCGCTACGAATCAAAGATACGTTTCATGGCGGCGCAGGCCTCCTGGTAGAGGACATCCACCCGCAGTTGATCTCGGAACGGATTGGGCGACTTGTCCCACCCATGCACGACCCCTTCGATCATCATCGCGCGCACATGCTTCTGGATGTTCTGCAGCCGGCGCACGAACGCCTGACCCTCTTTGAGCAGCATGTCCCATTCGCAGATATAGAGAAAGATGTCGTGCGGCAGCGCGTCGTGGAGGATCTCATCCGAGGCGCGTACGGGCGAGGCGTAGGGCGAGCGACGGTCGGCGTGGTCGGGGAGGTAGGCCTCATCGAAAAGGTCCGTGAAGAAGGCCGGGAGGGTCTTGCTAGGCATAATGCTCATGGCGCGGCGATGGTCGCGGGACTCCTCAAAGTCGAGGATTGGGTACCAGCAGTAGAGGGCGACGATGTTAATCTCGGTGGAGGCGGACTGCACGAGGTGTTGGGAGGAGTCGGTGGGGATCACATGCGAATAGGAGGAAGTGTTGGAGTCCTGTTGGCTCAGCAGACCCCGAAGACGGAGCGGGACGGTGACCGCTAAGTTGCCGCCAGCCGAGAAGCCGCTGAGCGCGATGCGGGAGACGTCGAGACCCAGTTCCGTAGCGTGGGCGGCCAGATACTGCAAAGCGCGCACCCCGTCGTCCACAGCCGCGGGAAACGGATGTTCGGGGGCACGGCGATAGCCCACGCTGACGACGACAGCGCCCACGTCCGACAGGATGCATTGCGCCCATCGGCTGTCGTCGGTGGCGTGGCCCAGGGTGAACCCGCCGCCATGGAAGTTGACGACTACCGGAAGACGACGGCCCTCTTTTTTAGCGGCCTGATAGTCCTTGGGGCAGTAGAAATGAAGATGCACGCGCGCAGATTTTGGATCGGAGTCAGACGAGGGAAAGGAACGGCGAAAGGTTGGACGAGAAGGACGTGGGGGCAGCACATCATGGATGAACATGCCAATGCGCATGAGGAAACGCCAGAAGATGGCCTGGACATACAACCACCGGCGGGACGTGTGAGCCATAATCCAATCATGCACGGGGAACAATAAAGTTATGGGGAAACAGGCTGAAGAAATATACCCCAGCAAAAATCAAGTGGACGAGAGGCAGAGACAGGGCGAGGTAAAGAGAGAGCGTGTGGGTAAGAGAGAGAATGGAGGTGGGTGGGTGAGAATGGGAAGAATGGAGGGTGATCAGTTGATGCCAAGCATGGGGCGTGTGTGCAATGCAGGAATGGCAGCGATTAGATGATTAGATGATACGAACAGGTAGAAACTAGAAACTACAAGGATAAAATAAAGTCACAGGTCACATGCATACTTCCCAGTACAGCATACGTACAGTACCAGTACACTCACTGTCCTCTGCATTTGGGAGGTGAAGTAATGGGCAAGGAGCACCACAGTCTTGGATCACATCATAGCGTGAGATAATTCCGGTTTTTGACATGGGGTAATTGCTGCAGTTTGGGGCTGAGGAAGAGGTAAAACACAGGAGGGAAAAAGCACACAGTACTTCCGTACACAGTCTTCCGTAGTTGACTCCAAACGGGTAAAAAATCGCCGTTCTTTCATCATTCCCATATGACATCATCTGTTGTAGTTTCAATCGCTGCTTGTGTTCGGCCTCGGCCTCCGACGTTGATTTTATCCCCTCAACTGTCTGTGAATTGTGGCTCGTGTTCCCTTCTTGTCATTTGCTTATTTTCCCTTGTTTTATTCATAGCTTGCTTGCTTCAAGGTTGCTGGCTGATTTTCCTTCTTCAATTCTTCTGCTCCACCCGTGGTTCTCCCGAAAGTGATTCGCATTTCACAAGGAGGAGGATTTATAAACCTGGTGAAGCGCCTGGACTCTGGTTGGGCCCCGATTTCTTCCCTCACCGTGTCAGATCCCATCCGTCCCTTTCCACTCGTATCCTGCCCCTCCTCCTATATAACCGGCCGTGTTATCTTCCTCCGCGACCCCTCCCTCTGTTTCTCTCAATCTTACTTTTTCCTTTCATCGAAGCATCTTGCACAATTCCCCTTCACTAAGCACTATATCCCCCCTCCCCTCTGGGAGCACACTTACCCCTCAATCATGTCAATCAAACGGGCTCTCTCAAAAATCAAAACATCCAGAACCTCCAGTGGAGATGATGGTAACAGTTCCCCCTCTGTTTCCCTCTCCCCCCGTCGCAGCATCTTCAGTAACATTCTGCGCGATCGCGACTATGTTTCATCCTCCGATGACGTCTCGGATGACTCCTCCGCGACGGGGGGCATGAGCAAAAACCAACAGAAGCGCCTCGCTCGCAAGCAGCGTAAAGAGAGTTCGCGTCTCAGTGAGGATCGTCACTCCGAGGAGTCAGACATGCGCCACAAGGAAGAGATTGCTACTGCTGCTCGCGAAGAGTCCGCCGAGATGAAGGCTCGCTACGGCGAATTACCCCTCATGCAATCCCGTACCCGCACCAATGAGAAGCGGACCGGCTTTGGTGAGATCAATACTTCTCTTGTGGGCCAGGAGGTCTACTTCACGGCCCGTCTGCACATCATCCGTCGCATGAGCGCAAAACTGGTTTTCCTGGTCTTCCGCCAGCAGCTATTCACCTTCCAGGGCGTTCTGCATGATGAGCCAGGAGTGGTTTCTCTGGCAATGGTTCACTGGGCGGAGCATCTTCGCTTGGGCAGCATCGTACGGGTCCGGGGCGTGATTCAGGCGCCCCAGGTCCCCGTCTTGGGCTGTACCATTCACGACGTCGAGGTTGCTATCAAGGAGCTGCATCTCGTTGTGCGTCGCGAGGAGCCTGTTCCATTCAGTGTGTACGAGGCTGAGATCCAGACTGCTGAGGAAGAGCGCGTGGAGGGTCGTCGCAGCCGCATCCCCGAAAGAACCCGTCTCCTCAACCGTCTCCTTGACCTGCGGACCCCCACTTCGCAGTCCATTTTCCGGATCCAATCCGCTATCGGGAACCTCTTCCGGACCGCCCTGGACGAACAGGGCTTCATCGAGATCCACACCCCCAAGCTGCAAGGTTCTGCCACGGAGTCTGGCGCCAGTGTATTTCATGTTCAATACTTTGGTCGGGATGCATTCCTGGCACAGAGCCCGCAATTGGCCAAGCAAATGGCCATCGCGGCTGACTTCGGTCGAGTCTATGAGATCGGTGCCGTGTTCCGTGCGGAGAACTCCAATACCCATCGCCACTTGACCGAGTACACAGGGCTCGACATAGAGATGGCCATTGAGGAGCACTACCATGAGATGCTCGATGTGCTGGACGCGGTCATCAAGAACATTCTAGAAGGTGTTTACCGTCGCTACCGTCGTGAAGTTGACACCATCAAGCACCAGTTCCCGTCTGACGATGTTGTCTGGCTGGAGAAGACCCCAATCCTCCGATTCGCCGATGGCATAAAGATGTTGAATGACTCGGGATGGCGCGATGAAGACGGCAATCCACTGCCTGAAGACGAGGATCTGAGTACTCGCGATGAGATCCGCCTGGGTGAACTAGTCAAGGAAAAGTACGGCACCGACTACTACATCCTCGACAAATTCCCTGTGAATGCCCGTCCCTTCTACACCATGCCTGATCCCGACGATAGCCGGTATACCAACTCCTTCGATATTTTCGTCCGTGGCCAGGAAATTGTCTCTGGTGGACAGCGTATCCACGATCCGCACATGCTGGAGGAGAACATGAAACGTGTGGGCATCAACCCAGATACAATGGAAGAATATATGGAGGGCTTCCGCTGGGGAGCGCCTCCTCACGCGGGTGCTGGTGTGGGTCTCGAACGGCTGCTGATGTTGCTGTTGAAGCTGGGCAATATCCGGTTGGCGTCGCTCTTCCACCGCGATCCCCGTAGCTTCCCCGCAAAGCCACCTGTGATGCAGCTCCGTCACCCTGAATCATCTACGATTGAACCCCCTTGGGTGCGCGACAAGAAGAGCAACGTCGCGGAGAACGAAAGCGAGCTGCAGCCCCTCGAGCACCTGGTTGCGAACTACGGTGACGCTACTTCCACTTCTTGGTATGACGAACGCTTCAAGATCTGGCGTGACATGGCCACTGGTGCGGCCGTTGCCTATGTCGTGAGCACCAGCAACTATGTGATCATTCCTGGAAACCCTCTGTGCGACACCCGCCAATACCGTCAAGTCATTATTCAGTTCCTGCAATGGCTGCGGCGCGAAACCAAGTACAAGCCCGTCTGGCTGCTTTGCTCTCCTGAGGTCGAAGACGTGCTGGGTGAGCGTCTTGGCTGGCGCACCTTGTCTTGCATTGCTGAGGAGCGTGTGGATCCATCGCGCAACATGGCTGTCGCGGATGGCGAAATTGCGCGCAAGATCCGGCGTGCAGAGAATGAAGAAGTGAAGGTGGTGGCTCTTAAGAACGGAGAAATGGTGTCGGATGAGGTGCGCGAGAAGATCGACCAGCGCATTCAGGACTGGCTGAACAACCGCAAGGGCACCCAGGTGCACCTGTCAGAAATTCGCCCCTGGCGTGACCCTGAGCACCGCTGGTATTTCTATGCTGTGGACAAGTCGGGCACCATTTGCGCCTTTGTGGCACTGGCCACTCTCGCACCTGTGCACGGCATGCAGATCAAGTATAGTTTCGATTTCCCGGGCGCACCCAATGGAGTCATCGAGTATATCGTCACGCAGGCGATCCAGACGGCTGCTGCCGCCGGTGTCAAGTCTTTGACTTTCGGTGCTGGCGCTATGGCCACTCTTACGCCGGGCCACAACCTGAAGGGTCCCAAGATCAAGATGCTGCAGCACACTTATGACACGATCGCCAAGCAGTTCGGACTGGTGCGCAAGAGCGAGTTCCGAGCCAAGCTGGGTGCTGAGGACGATCCGCTGTACATCGCCTATCCCCCACATGGCATGGGCACGAAGGGTATGCGGGCCGTGCTTCATTTCTTCGAGGATTAGATTTTCTTCTAGAGAAAACTTGACAAGATACACATGGATATGACACTTAGAGAGAATACTCTACTTGATCTTACTGCCTCCGAAGATGGTTCGTCAGTTCTGGGTTGTTGCTGCTACTGCCTTTTCATTATTCCCCCTTCTGTTTTGGTACTTGATTGCTCGATTTCCCCCCTCTGATACCGTCTTTCGTTTCGATCTAGCTGATGATACATAATTTCGCTGTCAAAATAGACGCACCCCCATGCCATGATTGAATGATTTAATGTTACTATGCCTGCCCCTTTGCGATATGTATGTTACCCCGATAACCAAGAACATAACCCCGCATTGTTTCACAATGAAATCACCTTCGATTAGAACTATTCACTCCCAAAGTCGCACATTCGACGCTATCGTAGAGAATCATAACCATCCATATGTACAGTACATCGGTCTATATATCAGGGTCGGCACTATGGAAATTGAGACTACTGCGTTTTCTTGCCCTCCGTACCCTCAGTCTCCTCCTGCTCTTGCTCCTGCTCCTCAGAAGCAATCGTATCCACCACCCGCCCCAGCTCCGCAGTCACCCACCTGCCCACCAGGACCGCCAACCCAGCCACCACGACCACCCACCCGGCGGTAGGCACCAGACTCCGCGGGAACACGTTCCCAAGGTACGGATCCAGAATCACATCCACCACGACGGGGGGCACGTTCTTCATGAGCTCCGCATCCGTGGTGAAGTAATCCGCCGCAGCGCGCACCCGCAGGAACAGCACCGAGTCCGAAATTGGCGCTGTGTCCTCGACGAAGCTACTGCTCCCGGTGCCGCCGCCCATGGTGGTAGATCGGCGCCTAGACAGCAGACCTCCTGCTTTGCTGGGTTGAAAGGGCTTCTTCTTGTGCTTGTGGCGACGGACTTGCTCGAGGTCGGAGAGGAGCGCGAGGTCCTCCTCCTCGTCGAGGTGGTGGTGTTGTTGGTGGGCGAGGCGGGCGGTCGAGTAGGTGGTTATTGAGCCTAGAAGGTCAGGCGTTTCGAGGGCGTGAGGAAGGGTGTAGGTTGCCAGGTGGAAGGACGTTGGTTGCTATTTGTTCTGTGTCAGCTCACTGGGGAGTCCGGTGGATTGGGTTGATTTGATGTGTGAGCTTTTCCCTTGTGCTTGTGCAAGTGGGAGGGGGAAGATAACTTACCGTAGCTAGCCAGCAGATGCGGACTTCATAGCGTTTACCGGGGACCAGGTGTTCGAGGAAGAACCATGAGTCTGTGCCGGGAGAGTCGGCGTCGGGGAAGGAGACATTGAGTTTCGTGCGGTGGTGCGAGTGCGAGGGGGAGAGACGTGGAAGGCCTAAGTCGTCGTTGGGGGGCGCGAGGGTTGGTATGAGAGTGGGAGAGGGGGCGAGAAAGATGGTCTTTTCGACGTTGGCGGTGGTGAGGCGGGTGAAGAAGAGGAGGGTGGTGAGGAGGAGAATGAGGAGGTGCATTGTGGTTTTGTTTTGTGGTGTTTGTTCTTTCAGATGGGCATTCTTGAGCTCCTAGTATGAATATGTCAAGGTCGGACTTGTCTACAGCTTGTCAGGTCTGGTGGAGTATAGTGCTGTACGCGCAAGTACCTACATCACTGTAGCAGCAGCTCAGTGACTGCTACTGGAGCTGTTCGGGAGCTTTGTTGCAGCTTCGATGGTCGTATATGGAGCGATTGTGCGATAGACGTGAAGTAGAAGGTGGAAAGGTTGGATCCAGAGTCAAGTCATGCTGGGCAAATGGCGAATTCTTCGCTAATGGACCCCAGGAAGCCCACTGGCGATCATCGTCATGGCGAACCCTCGATTGAGTGGTTCACACTTGAGATCCGATGATGCTGGATCGGCCATGCCGTCACAGATCACGTGAGAGAATCTGGGCGCTGAGTCAGCCAGCTGACCGCTAGGTGGTCACGGGTGGGCAACAGCCAATCAGCGGCAGTTAATGGCAACGCGACCCAACGGACGGAAGAACCACGCCGACTGCGTTGGGTTGACAGCGCATTCAAAGACCACAACAAATCGAGTCGACACCGATCAATCCATTCCGGGTCTCTTTGACCATAATTCAGGTTCAGCAATCGTGATAGTGAGTCGTCCTTATTTCCCCAGGACTAGTTTGTTAGTCGTGCCTCCCCTCCCTCCACCCACCCCCCTCCATCCCTTAAACTCCTTACTCTTTAAAACTCCCTTTTCCTTTTCTCCCTCCTTTTTCCAAAACTCCCCTCCCCTCCCCTCCCCACAAACTTGTATTTTCCACCTGTTTTCCTTTTGGTGGTGTGGCCCTTTTAGGTGCTGACTCTCGAACCCCTGAAACGTCCGTACAGATCGTCGTCCTTGGGTATTTTAATTTTTCCCTCTGTCCACATTCCACACCCACCTTTCTTATCCCTCCTCCCGCCATTTGAAACTCTCCAATTCAACTCGACACGATGAGAGAAGTTATTAGTTTGAACGGTATGTCGTCTCTCACCATTTTACCCACCACTCCCCCGCCCTTTCTCTCATCTGGGGGATCTACCTGGCGTGTTTGACTAATGTTTTGGTTCTCCCCTCACAGTCGGTCAGGCTGGTTGCCAGATCGCCAACTCCTGCTGGGAGGTATGCTAGCTACACCACGGAAGAGATTAATTCCTCTTCTTCCCGTGTCTCTTTGAATCCTTCATGGACATTCTCCATCGACAAGTGATGATGGGTCCTTGAAAGGCCAAAAGAACAGCTGAACTGACTGCATTGACCATTTAGTTGTACTGTCTCGAGCACGGTATCCAGGTACGTGAAGATCATCCAAAAACACGTCGACTTCGAAAAATTTTCGCGTGATATTTGCAATTCTTGAGCTGGATTTCACTGACAAGCTGTTTTTTTGCCACTAGGCCGATGGTTACCTGACCGAGGAGCGCAAGCAGGCTGAGCCCGATCACGGCTTCAGCACTTTCTTCTCCGAGACTGGTACGCTTTCCTTCTCAATGCAGATACTCTGTCACCAGGAGAGGAACTAACAGCTTATGGCAACTCAGGCCAGGGCAAGTATGTCCCTCGCACCATCTACGCCGATCTCGAGCCCAATGTCGTCGACGAGGTCCGCACCGGTACCTACCGCAGTCTCTTCCACCCTGAGAACATGATCACTGGCAAGGAGGATGCTTCCAACAACTACGCCCGTGGTCACTACACTGTCGGTAAGGAGATGATCGACCAGGTCCTTGACAAGGTCCGCCGCGTGGCCGACAACTGTGCCGGTCTCCAGGGTTTCCTGGTCTTCCACTCCTTCGGTGGTGGTACGGGTTCCGGTTTCGGTGCTCTCCTGATGGAGCGCCTCTCCGTTGACTACGGCAAGAAGTCCAAGCTCGAGTTCTGCGTCTACCCTGCTCCCCAGAACGCCACCTCGGTTGTTGAGCCTTACAACTCAATCCTGACCACCCACACCACCCTTGAGCACTCCGACTGCAGCTTCATGGTCGACAACGAGGCCATCTACGATATCTGCCGCCGTAACCTCGGCATTGAGCGTCCTAGCTACGAGAACCTCAACCGCCTGATCGCCCAGGTTGTCTCCTCCATCACCGCCTCCCTGCGTTTCGATGGTTCCCTCAACGTCGACCTGAACGAGTTCCAGACCAACCTGGTCCCCTACCCTCGTATCCACTTCCCTCTCGTCGCCTACGCCCCTGTCATCTCTGCTGACAAGGCCTCGCACGAGTCCAACTCGGTCAACGAGATCACCATGTCTTGTTTCGAGCCTAATAACCAGATGGTCAAGTGTGACCCCCGCAACGGCAAGTACATGGCCACCTGCTTGCTCTACCGTGGTGATGTTGTGCCCAAGGAGACCCACGCCGCTGTTGCCACCCTCAAGACCAAGCGCACCATTCAGTTCGTCGACTGGTGCCCTACTGGTTTCAAGATTGGTATCTGCTACCAGCCTCCCCAGCAGGTCCCCAACGGCGATCTTGCTCCCCTCAAGCGCGCTGTGTAAGTTTTTCTGAATTTCTACCTCTGAGATAAAGGTTGCTGATGATCATTCTTCAGCTGCATGCTGTCCAACACCACTGCCATCTCCGAGGCCTGGTCCGCTCTCGACCACAAGTTCGACCTCATGTACTCCAAGCGTGCCTTCGTCCACTGGTACGTTGGTGAGGGTATGGAGGAGGGTGAGTTCTCCGAGGCCCGTGAGGACCTGGCTGCCCTTGAGCGCGATTACGAGGAGGTTGCTAGCGACTCTCTGGAGGAGGAGGTTGAGGCCGAGTACTAAGTCTGACGACACTTTCCTTGGCCGGAGCCTCGAGGATGGTCCGACGGGGCAGCCTGCTTGGATGCCGGGGCTGGCCCTGATTGTTTCCGCGGTGATCCGTTGGGGACAGAAAGTTGGCCCGGAAAAGACCCGACGAGCGGCGGGACTCTGGCTGTGCGTACAGATACAATAGGAGAGACGAGATTGGCTTAGTACAGACTATGTTTTCTTTTGTCTGATATATTTTTAATATCCCTGAAGCAGCGATGAAATTTACCCGCTCGTTCCAATGAAAGCCAGAGAGATTGTAATATTAACGTTGGCCTCGCTCTAAAAAAAAAGTCTTGTTCTGTTTATTTCTTCGATACTCAATTGGCTGTTGGAAAAGGTGGTTCATAACTAGCAGTGATGGAGTAGTACAGTTGTAGTTGTAGCTGCCCGTTAGTATAGAGGACTGACGTCGGGCCAGGCTGCCGACTGACCGCCCGCCCGCACAGGCCAACCATCGCCAAGCGGCACTTTCAGCTTCGCAGGGACTACGGAGTACGACGTAGTACATAGTGAGAGAGGAAGTTGACAGCAATTACGCAGCTTGCAACAACTTTCCTCCCTCTTTCCTCCCCCACTCCCTCCCTACTGCTACTACCATTCTTCATCCCCTTCTCTTTTCAACTGCATCTGAACACTAAGAACTTAATTAATTCATCAATCTCCTGTCTTGTAACCTGCGGTACTAAATCATCTTGTATTGCGTTCACCCCTTTTAGTTCGAGCTGCTACCGCCTTGGCCATCCAGCAGGCCCCGTCGGTAGTCCTCCACCAACACCACCGCCCCCCCTCTTACCTTAGTAACTTGTCCACCTTCTCTTACCTGCCTCTCTCTCACTTTTGGTGCCAATCCCACCACTTCCCCTCAACCATTCCCCTTCTTCCATACTGTGGCGCATAGTGTTGGATTATCTCAGAAAGGGAGGTTTGCTCCTCCTGAGCTATACCCATCATGGCTGACAACGGTGAGTTGCTTTCTCCATCCAGCTCCCTTCCACTCCCCGGAGCTCTCAGGAGACGACGGCCCAACCCGGTCGGTCGGCATGACCCTAATCATGCAGCGGAAACTGACGGGTCACCAGCAGCACGCCACCCCAATCTCAACCTCACCCCCGAAGAGAAGCGCGTCTTCTACCAGCTCTTCCAGGCTGCTGATACCACTAACCTGGGCGTCATCACTGGCGAAGTCGCAGTACCTTTTTTCGAAAAGACCCAATTGGCTCCGGAAACCCTCGGCTTGGTAGGTCACTGCTCACGACCCGCCTACCGCTGCCCTGCATATAACTGTAACCTCGCTAATGCAGATACCCTCTCAAACTCCAGATATGGCAGATCGCGGATAAGGAGAACCGGGGTCTATTGACTCCCTCCGGCTTTGGTGTTGTTCTGCGCTTGATCGGTCACGCTCAAGCGGGTCGCGCACCGACAGAGGAGCTGGCTTACCAGCGTGAGTGTTGCCCGCGATTTCCGCGGGACCCTGTTTGACCTACGCAGATGGATTACAACAAGTACAATACTGACTGCGTTCGCGCTCTCTAGCCGGTCCACTGCCGCAATTCGACGGCATTTCCGTCGATGCCGCGCCCGCTCCGCCTACTCCGCGCGAGGCAGGCACCACCAGCCCAACCCCCGCGGCCGGTGGTCCTATTCGTGTCCCTCCTTTAAACCCCGAGGACGTTAACAAATTCCTATCCTTGTTCGAAAAATCAGACGTCGCTAGGGCCGGCGTCCTCTCAGGTATGCAACTTCTCTCACATAGAGACAAGCTCAACGCACTCGAACGAGCTTCGCTTACACAAAGGCGCAATTCGCAGGGGATACGGCCAAACAAATCTTCGAGCGTGCGCGGTTGCCGAACGAAATCCTCGGCCGCATATGGAACCTGGCAGACGTGAGGCAACAGGGCGCTCTTGATGCGACAGAATTCGTCATCGCCATGCACCTTCTCACCTCATACAAATCAGGTGCAATGAGGGGAATCCCACAGACATTGCCTCCGGGTCTGTATGACGCAGCTTCGCGAAGAGGCTCGATCCGCTCATCGGTTGGCTCACGTCAGGGGTTGGACGTACCCCCTGTTCCTGCCATCCCAAAACAGTTCACAGGGCCGCAGCGGACTCAAAGCCCGATCAACCGGCCGTTCAGTTCGCCTCTTGCGGCTCAGTCTACTGGCGGGGATTGGATGATCTCACCCCAAGAGAAAGCCATGTTTGACAATATCTTTGCGACTGTCGACACCGCCAAAGTAGGGTCTGTAAGTGGTGACCAGGCCGTTGCGTTCTTCATGGGAGCGCAATTGCCAGAGGAGACACTTGCCCAAATCTGGGATCTTGCAGATATCGATGCCGACGGACGGTTAACAAAGGATGAGTTTGCCGTGGCTATGTACCTGGTCCGACAACAGCGGACAGGCAAGAATCCGCTGCCGCAAACCTTGCCCCCAGCTCTGATTCCTCCCAGCATGCGCCGTCCTGGATCTGCCCACGTTGCTCCACCAGTTGCTGCACCCGCACAAGTGCCCGCTCCAGCTCCCGCCCCTGTCCCCAAATCCGCAGCGGATGACTTGTTCGGTCTAGACGCCTTCACGGCACCAGCACCGCCTATTGCTCCTTCCCAGAGACCACAATCAACGGGTGGTTCGAACGCAGCATTCCAGACACCCAGCTCTCCTGGATCTCGAACATCCCCTCCAACGGCCTCCTCGACGTTCAAGCCGTTTGTGCCCACGTCTACGTTTGGCCAAAGCTTGCAGCCGCAGATGACTGGTGCCTCCGCCGGCGCACCACCAACGATCCGGTCACCACCACCCCCTGCTGATGATCTGTTGGGCGACAACGACCCGGAGGAGTCCAAGAAGTTGACGCAGGAGACTACAGAGCTGGCCAATTTGTCTAATCAGATTGGATCATTGGCCAATGAAATGCAGAATGTTCAGTCGAAGCGAACCTCAGCCGAGCGTGATCTTTCCCAGACTTCCCAGCAGAAGCGTGACTTCGAGGCTCGCCTCGCTCAGGCTAGGGCAATGTACGAGCAGGAAGTCAAGAACTTCAAGGCTCTTGAGGAGCGCTTGAATGCCTCGAGAGCCGAAACAAGCAAACTGCAACAGGAGTATGCTCTTCTGGAGGGAAGCCGGCAGGATCTACAGAATCAATACAACCAGGTATCGGCTGCTCTGGCAGCGGATCAGCAAGAAAATGCCAACTTGAAGGAGAAGATCCGGGAAGCAAACGCTGCAGTTGCTCAGCTCAAGCCTGCCCTAGACAAGGCACGTTCGAATGCGCGTCAGCAGAAAGGTTTGGTAGCAATCAACAAGAAGCAGCTTGCAACCGTGGAAGGTGAGAGGGATAAAATAAAAGAGGAGATTGATACCCTCTCGCAGGAACAGTCGCGAGCACCCGAGGAGGGTGTAGCTGCTGCAAGCGAAGCTGCTGCTGTCATGAGCCCCGCTGAGTCAACGATGAGCCAGAACACAAATCCGTTTTTCAAGCGCACGCCCACTGGCTCCAGCGAGAACAATGCACTGTCACCTCAGATCTCGAATGACCAACAGCGTGCATTCGACAGCCTCTTTGGTACCTCCTTCGTGTCTCCGACTACAGCTGCAACTCCGCCACCGCCCGTGTCATTCCGGGCTGAGTCGCAGCCGACCTCGGGCATTCCCACCCCGTCGGTTTCTCTGCCCCCTTCTGTAGGTACTGCTGCATTTGAACCGCCTGCGCTTTCTCAATCGAGGCAGCTCACTCCAAATGTGCTGCCCTTCGGCGAAGATCACTCAGTGACCTCTTCCACGAGGGTCTCGCCACCTGGTAGTAGGTTCGGTGGTTTTGACACAGCCAGCGAAGCGGCAGGTCCTACCCCAACAGAACCCACGAAATCAGTGCCTTCGCCATTTGACGAAATTGAGGAGCCCAAGGAACGCTTCCCTGAATTGTCTGACATCGCTGATCACACCCCCGCAAGTGCTGATTCAGCTACGTCTGATGAGAACGCTGGAGAAAAGAAGGATCTGAGTTTCGATGAGCTGTTTGGTGGACCAGCACATAAGCGCTCTCAGTCTCAGAAGGAGCATGATTTTGAAGAGGCCTTCGCTGCCATGAAGCATGGTCCTGGATCAAATAAGACCAACGGTGCAGCACCCGTTTCCCAGTCGGAGTTCCCTCCGATTCGCGAGCTCGATGATGGAGACGAAAGCTCAGACAGCGAAGCACCGATGGGCTTCGAGGACGATTTTGCTCCCGCTTTTCCCCCTCAGAGCCAGATAGGAGGAGAGCCTAAGCCCGACGCTCTTGAAACCCCCCAGCTGGCGGCTTTCCCTCCACCGGGCGCTGCTACCACTCCGAGTGAGCCACCAGCTGCGGAGGCTCAGCGTAGCCCTCCAAATTACGAGGATAGTGTGGGAAAGCAAGAACCAGGAAGTGTCCCCCCTGAGTTTAACGGACTATTGCCAAGTCGCGAAGACCCAACAACTGCTGCTGATGCCCCTCACTCAGTAGAGTCAAGCACCGGGGCCCCGATTATTGGAGGTGAGCCCCAGCGAGATACTCGTGAGGAAGCCAAGGCCGCTCCCCAGGAAGCCAAGCCCAACGCTCCTGATTTTGAGGCTGCGTTCGCAGGACTCAATTTGGCCCCTGCAAAGGAGGCAGAGGACGACGAGGACGACTTTGAGACCGTGGAGAATAAGGATAACATGGACTTCGATTTCTCCTTCGACAACCCGACCCAGAAGGCGCCACAAAACGCCGCTACCTCTTCGGATTTCTTTGATTTCAACAAGAATGCCACTGCCTCGTCTCCCGGGTTCGCGGCTACTTCTCCTGACACCAACGCCCAAGCACAAACGCACAATTGGGAAGAGCTCTTCGCTCCTCTTGATAATGCCAACACATCAGCGGGTGGAGCCAACGGCTCTACAAACGCCAATGACAATGCTCAAGCCGGCAAGCCACCAGGATGGGCTCTTCAGACCGGCACCGAGGATGACCAGATTCTTCAACGCTTGACCAACATGGGATTTCCCCGCGAAGAATCTCTCGCCGCTCTCGAAAAGTTTGACTATAACATTGACAAGGTACGCTATTGCTTGCCCCAAACTAGTTTGTTACCAGTGGTACTAACACGAACTCTTTCTCTCACGCAGGCAGTCGACCACTTGACCTCCAAAGCCTAATATCCCATTTACATCCAGAACCGGATCCTTCATAGTGCACATAGTCCCTTGTCCTTAGCCTTCCATTCGCTTCACTTCTTCATTTCCTTACTTCTCTGTCACGTCATAACCTTTCAATCTTCCTCAATCTTCTCCTTCATTCGTCATGTCCCCACGTCTTGCCCCTTTTCGTCCTGCATCATACGTACACTTGCTGATATGTATCTGTATATCGTCTTTCTTTCTCGGTGGCACTTTCCTCTCGTACCAACCTGTTCCTCCACGACCTACCTTATTATCTAGTCTTACCATTACCGTCACCGTGTAATCTAGGAATACCTATTTGCTCGCTGATTTCCCTCTAATAAAGAAGGTGAAAGTGAACCAATCATAGTGCCCTAGCTTCTGCAAAGGCTCTTAGAATTGAATCCAGGTCAGGATCGTGGGCATCGTAATATGAATTTTCATGATTTTTCATGATCGCTCTGATAGACGAAATACATCGTGCCTATCTCTCACTTGGGATGTCTAGTGATAGGAAATGTCTTGGTCAAAGACATGATGCACACAAAAACACAGAAGGAAATTCAGCATGCCTGTTGGTTGCATCGAAGCCGTCCTAGGCCGACCTAGTTATCACTTCGTATAAAGTCTAACCATCGAGACACAAGCTTTATGGATAAAGTCAAACACCACGGGTAGCCTGTCCACTCTCCATACTGGTCAACGAGCTCTTTTCATGCTGGGAAGACACGCGTTGCAACGCAACAACTGGGTCGATTAGCTTTGCCAGAACAAGACACGAAGAAGAGGGATGTACGTACGGAAATCTTCGAGCGAGCGCTGTTTGTCCATGCTTCGGGGGCTCTTGCCGTGCATTATATTGTCGAAGCTCTTCGAGCCTTGAAGCAGGTAGTACAACCCTCCCATGATACAGAACATACCAAATGAAAAGATCCAGATCCGGACAATGGTAGGGGCAGAGGTCTGCCCACCGACAAACCAGCCGAAGGCACAGAAGCACGTAGCGACGGTGTCCACGGCTGCGATAGCGCCTATCAGTTTCCAGGACGGCCACCCAGAAGACCAAAAGGCACCATTGGCGCGCGTGATGAATATGAGCCAGTTTTCGGTCAATGAAATCTCCAAGAATAGAACCTCGTCTCGCTTGCCGTAATTCTGCATGATGCCTCCATTCTCGCCGGATGCTAAGATGGTGGTGAGTGTGACCCATGTGCCGATGGCAAGGACAATCCCAAGCAGCACCGACATTCCCCATAATTTAGGGAGGTTCCATTTCACCGGCGTGCTGGAAAAAGGAGCTTTGTCGTAGGCGATGGCCAAAGTTGCAATATCAGCGAAGATAGCAATGAAAACCACCAGTTGCAAATTCAGACTTTCATTGCGGATGGCAATCCAAAGCCCTAAGAAGATTTCAAGATGCAACGAGAGAGCGATACGATAAACAACGTACGCATACATGCGGTGGAAAATCTGCCGAGAAGTTTTCACAGCGTCAATGATAGCGGACAGACCTGGGGCGAGAAACACGATATCAGCGGCAGACCGAGCAGCATCTGATGATCCTTCAACAGCGATCCCAGTGTCAGCTTTCTTCAGAGATGGAGCATCGTTGACGCCATCGCCCGTCATGGCTACCAGGTATCCGCGCTGCTGCAGGATATCCACAACATTGTACTTGTGCTCTGGAAAAACTTCTGCGAAACCATCGGCGGCTTCGACAAAATCATACACCTCGGAGCCAGGCATTGTTCCCCCTCCACCCAAACCAAGGCGCTCGGCATTGTACACATTTGTGCCTAGCCCCAGCTGGCGCGAGGTTTCACGAGCAATGCCAACCGCATCTCCTGTGAGCATTTTGATTGAGAGCCCTAGAGTCTGAGCTTCGCTGATGGTTTTTGCAGTGTCGTGTCTTGGAGGATCGGAACACGGCATTATACCTAGAATCTCCCATTCACCCTCACCACGTTTTCGAGCCACACCAAGAGATCGAAAGCCGCGCGTCGCAAACTCTGCGACCTTGTTCTTGTACGCGATGTCGATCTCCTCAGGGATGTCATGGTCTTGCTGGACGGTCCTCAGCACAAACAGAGGAGACCCTTTCACACAAGTGATGCGTTCCCCTAGGGCTGACTGTACTACTGCTTTGACTTTCTTCGAGACTGGATCAAACGGAGAGAACTCGATAACTTTGTACTGTGTAAGCTTTGCTTTTGCACCAGGGTACTGAGATAGCGCTCGGAAAAATGCTCTGTCTATTGCATCCATGCCCTTCTTCGTCCTGGATGCGGCCAGGCAGGCCGTCAGCATTAAGTCTTCAGCACTCACACCAGGCACAGTAAAGGGCTCCATCAAAGACAGCTTATTTTTGGTCAAGGTGCCGGTTTTGTCTGAGCAGAGTATCTCAACGCCAGCGAGAGATTCAATGGCCGACAGTCTCTGAACGATCGCTCTTTTTTTTGCCAGATATGCCGCTCCGACTGCCATTGTGGTGGTGACAACTGCAGGGAGGCCTACCGGTACGCCAATCATTGTGACGGCTAGGGTGAATTCGAGAATGGTGGTCGTATTGTTTGACCGATAGAAGGAGGATATCCAAACGATGATAAGAGTGATAATAACAAGGACAAGTAAGATGGTACTTATCCCATGAAGGACCTCAGTGAAATGGCCTGTTCCAGAGGCAGAGGCATTGACTAAGGCTGCAGCATGCCCCACGGAGGTTGAATCACCGGTAGCCGTGATAAGAATTCGAGCATGACCTCGTTTGATAGTGGAGGACGCATAACATGTATCACCCGTATGCTTGTCGACAGCTAGGGACTCTCCGGTGATTGATGATTGATCGACTTGTATAGCAGAATTTGTCATGATTCGGCCGTCCGCCGGAACGATCGTGCCCTTTCTTCCATTAGCCAATAACGCTTCATGATGCTTAGGGAAACTGGCTATTGAGATACCTCTTCTATCTTCACAATGTCACCTGGAACAAGTTGGGCCGCATCGAGCTCAGAGAGGGCACCATCGCGCAGTACTAAAGCTTTTAGAGCCAATGTCTTCTTCAGCTCTTTTACGATGGAACCCGCTTGATATTCCTGTATGAATCCGACAGAGGCGTTCAACAGGAGAAGACCGCAGATAACCCCCAAATCGACCCAGTCGTGGAGATAGGCAGCTAATAACGCGGCTGCCTGCAGTTCGTCACATATTCAGCGGCTGTTGCTCGAGAGTCTACATGAGTGGCACATACCTCCATAACGAACTGAACAGGACCAACGAAGAACCACAGGAACTTCAAGACTAGATTCTCCTTCCCCTCCTTCATCTCGTTGAGCCCGAACTTCTTTCGTCGTAGAAGTGCTTCATTCGTACTGAGGCCGATATTCGAGTCTGTGTGAAGCAACTCGTCTGACACCGGATGTCGACCGATGGTGTGGGTTGACTCTAGCGTTCGAAGGTCAGCGAAGCCATCGACAGATTCCAGTTCCTCGATCAGAGTATCGATATCCTTCTCTTCTTCCTCCTCTTCATCATTCTCGATGGCTTCCTCGGTCGACGCTTTTGAGTTTGGCTTCTCCTCGACAACTTCATGCTTTTCATCAGTATCATTCGGTTGGTCCGCGGAGGAAGTGTTCACCAAAGTGATCACCGATCGGCGCAGCTTCAGCAGCGTGAAAGCCATGGATTTGTAGACCAAGGGAAGTGGGTAAGATGATCCTGGATAAAAGTTATAGTATCGCTTGTGTCGATGATAATAGAGTCCAGAGATTAAAGTTGGGAGAAGTCATGGAGCCATGAAAAGGAGACAAGCTGCTTGTCGCTGGCTAACCCGTGGAGAAGGCGAGACTTCCCAAAAAGGAAAGAAGAGTGTATACTGCCTCATCAGCCAATGAAAAATGGAGGAGTTTATGACATAATCACGGACACCCGAAACGTCATGAAGGAATGGAATTCAATGCAATTCCAGCATTCATTCATCCACACCTTGTCACTTCCACTGCGCCATGCTCGCAGCTCATCAGTCTTGTTCTATGCTTTAGCAAGTTGCATGATTTACTCATCTGCACTCCGCTGACCGAGAGTCAACGTATCCTTCTTCTCTCACAGTTTCCACAATTCCGACCAGCCTGACTACCTAGCGAGGTTGGGGCTGGTTGCTCGAGCACGCGGCACATGACCCTGCCGCGATCCAACCAGATATACTTAGCACTGCTCGACTATCCCTACTAAGATACACAACCCTCTTATGTTATGCATGACATCTCTGCTTCATTACGCATTTCGCACAATTAAGTCTTCTTTTTCAACCAGTCATGGCGAGAGAGATTCCCGGTTTCTATTATGGTACATACATGGCGCCCGTCACTTGTGTGTTTCAATAAAATGATTGACCATGAATCTAGACCCAGAGAAGAAGAAGTACTTCAAGATCCAGGCCAGCCATACGGCGGCTCCAGGAGCTCAGTACACGAAAGACTCGGTCAAGCGCAAACGCGCTGACCACGAGGTTGTGAAATAGGGCTCGAGGTCGCTCGCTGCATGATTGCTAACCTTGTGACTAGGAACGTCGACGAAAGGTTCAACAGATCAAGAGGGAGGCGAAAGAGAAGATCAAGAGGGCGAACTTGCTATCTCACCCCCTCCTTGATGTACAAACCGAGATCGGAGGCTTGCGGTTGCCCACCACTATTCGTCAAGAACGAGGCGCACGTGCCTACACCAGCCAGCTTCGAAGGAACCAGCTCCATCAGTTTGAAGCCTGGCCCGACGAATATAGCATCAAGCATGTGTTGCGCAACAAGCGCTCAGGAATCTTGATTGCAAGTAAGTTCTTTGTCAATGAACAACCTGCTACATTGCACCGAATAAGCTATTAACGGACGCACAGGTGGTCATCGCGGCGGTGAATCGTCAGTGTCGTAAGCGCTTATTCATGTCCTTTGAGGTCGTGTATCCGGCAAGCTAACAGCCGCATAAGGGTGTGCTTCCCGGATTGCGACCAGAACAAATGGACTTACAATCGGACAATGGAACGTGTTCTGTTCAAGGAACCGTATAGGGTAAATATCTAAGCATGATCCCTCGGCTTTTTGCACGGGTGAATTGTCACTAAACGTGCTTTATAGCTTTCTTCAATCTCCTTGAGTCACACAGGATACCTGCTGTAAGAACGAGTCTCGTCCGCCCCTGCATCCTGCCAGGAGATTGACCAGACCAGTTCAACGATGGACAGCGGTCCCGGAGGCGACTCTTTTCTGGCACCTCGAATGTTGCCAGACCCGGATGAAGAAGGGGACTATCGATGGCCCCCTTCCTGTACGTGGTTCCTTATGATTCTACTGGAATCAAGTGTTAATACGGTTTACCTTTAGTCCTCCAACCAATTCGCATCCGCACTGCAGCATCTTTGTGGTGTTCTTCCGCTTGTCCGGTCGGGAACACTCCGCTGTTTGCCGTCGGAGCATCGGACGGCCTGTATACGCTGGAAGGCTACGGCGCTTACTGGGCCTTGTCGAAAAAGCCATTCTCCGATGATGCCAACGCGGGCAAACCAATTCTTCAACGACGCATCGGCACTTCTCATGCCCTTGTAACCAGCGTCGAGTGGTTGTCCTCCGACGTGATCGCGGCCGGCCTCAAGGACTCCTCCGTATTCCTTCATGATCTCAGGAGCGGAGGGACCGCGACACGACTCCAACATCCACATGCCGTTACAAAGATACGCAGAGTAGATCCATACCGGATGGTCGTGGCCGGAATCAACTCTGTGAGAACATTTCATAGCCCCGTCAAGAATAAAGCTGACCCTCAAAAAGCTCCAGATGTACGACATTCGCTTTCCGCCCAACGGCCTACAACCCAAGCCGCAACCGAACAGCAAGAAACACACATCCACTAGACCCTATCTCACCTTCCAAGACTTCAAGCCTCAAGTCATACCAGATTTCGACATTAGTCTGGAACTTGGGCTTCTAGCCAGCGGTAAGTTGCATGCCCTAGACAACTCATAGGACAAACACCACACTAAGACCTCTTAACTCAGCTACTGACACGGGCAAAATCCAACTCTTCTCTCTGCGCAACGGGGAGCAAATCTCTTCTCCTCTGTCGAATTACCAGTACAAAGACCCTATTGCCTCAGTCTGCTTCGAACCCGGAGATGCTCCATTGCACGGGCCTCAGACACCGAGCCTACTTGTCTGTGCTCAAGCCACAGTCGATGAATGGATATGGTGAAAGGAACGAACCGATGAGCTTGATATGAAGTCTATGCACCAAACGCCTGTATGATGCCCGGGATACGCGTGTGGAAGGGTTACATGAGTCAAAGCAAGCAAAGAACAAGCCATCCAGAAGCAAAGAAAAAAAGTCTAGTCCAAACCACCTGCCAACCATTCTCCCACCTCAACGCCCACCGTCTTCGCCAATTCTCCGATCCAATCCCCGGAAACGTTCACACACCATTTCTCTCCTGTATCCGATGTGGTATTCCCACTACTCAACCCACCAGACCCTAACCCAACACGACCCTCGCGACCCGCCGCAGGCACCACCAGCCGTAGCCGCCGCAATGTAGCCAACTCGGCATAGATCGCATCAGATACTGCAGCCATCCGAATCGGATTGGCGGGGGGATTAGGGTCGATCGCATGATAGATGGCGACCAGGCGCTCCAAGGGAAATGGGCGCGCGGTAAGGATGGTTGAGGGGCCTGTGATGCTACCGCCACCACCAACAGCTGAGGTCGTGGCGGACGTGGTGGCAAAGGCCGACTCTAGCGTCGATTTGGTGATTTTCGTCTTGGTGCGTTTGCCCTTCTTTCTACCGCCCGGGATCGACGGATCCGCCGACGAGGCAGCCTCCTCCAGCTGGGCCCGCGAGAGCAGCTTCAGCCGGCGCCGGTGATGCGCGCGTTTATTCCGTGCGGATAGAGATGACGACGAGAACTTGGAAAAGAAAATAGTATCCAGCCGCTGCGGCGTGTGCGAGGCGAGATAGGCTGAGGTTAGGATCAAGGTGGGGAAGTATGGTAAGGAAGGTAGCGGAGAGGGGGCTGATTTCGGCTTGTTGGAGGTAGAGGCGGAGACAACTGCCCGGCCCTTCGTGGTCACAGCAGGCAACTCCGTATCATCTTCTTCCGTGACAATGTGATGCACCAGCAAGGCCGCCCCTTGATGCCGGAAGAGCGCCCGGTTTTTGACCAGCAACCGAGTAAAGTCCCACTCCCCTGTGCCGCCGAGCGGTGTCTCGCCCGTCGTGATGGGCGCCACGAATCGCGGCCAGAGCTTCTCGCAGATTGATCGGAAGGAAGGGATGGAGCTGGCTGTCGGTCCCACCAGGGAGTCGTAGACGGCCGATACGAAATGCGGGTATATGGTGGACGCGGCCGCATCCGACAGGCCAATGGAGGCGGTAGCCGGTGGCGGTCCGCTGTTTAAGATGATGGTCGTGGCTTCACTACGCGTGTAGGGTGGGAAACTGATATGCGGGACGCCGGCGGAATGTAGAAAGAGGGGTCGCGGAGTAGTGCTGAGGATTAGGACGACGCATAGCGAAGGAATCTAGTATGTCGAAGGAAGTAAATAGTTGTCAGTACTGCAATTCACTGCGCAACAAAAAGAGCAAAGAAAAAAATGAATTCCTAACCCGTCCCCGTTCATAAAAGATAAACAAAACATAGCGCAAAGAGCAAGAGCTTGACATACCACCTCCCCCAATCTAGCCAGCGCAGCCAGTAACGTAGGCGGAGCCTCTCTCTGTTTATCGATGCCATCGAGAACGAGCACGAATTTGTCTGTTGTAGAGCGCTTGTGCTGCTCGGCCGGCGGATTCGAAGCAGACGATGCTGCAGAGGAAAGACACTCATTCAGCAGCACGGCGAGCGTACTAACGTGTTCGCACCGCCCCTTGCCGTACTTCTCCCACGCGTCGCGTTTGCCCAGCGCCCCGAGGGTAGCCCACAGAATCTTGGTGAGTAAGTGGCGGCCGGTGATGCACTCGGGACTGCGGACGAGAGCATGCGGGACGTCGAGGGCGGCCAGCACATTGCGGACGATGGTGGTCTTGCAGGTAGCGGAGATACCGTGAACGACAATAGTGGAGGGGCTTGAGACCTTGACCTATAGACGCATGCCGTGCGAGTTCACTATGTTAGCCAGGAAGAGACGAATAGGTGGAGCGAAAGAAAAGGATGCCCCGAGAGGGAGGGAGGGAGGTTTATCGGGGACAATCGTTTCGCGGGCGTACATCGAGTAGGCTAGCGAGTTGGCGGATTTGGAGCTCGCGACAAGGCCATTGTTTGCTGATCGATTGAGCAATCTCGGAGGGAAGCATCAGGGAATCGAGCACTCGCACCCTGAAAGGTGTGTATGTGAGTTGGGTCAGGATACGCAGCTTTGACTCGACAGGAACTGACTGGATTGGGGGCAGAGGGCACTCCGGCGATAAGGTAAATCAAATGGCAAGCCTCGGGGGATCTTCGCCGGGGAAGAGACGCAAATCACACGGTGTCACGTGCCGACTCCCCCTCCCCCCCCCCCCCGGGGTGGCCCGGGGCTCCTCCACTCTGCTGTCAACTACGTCTTTAGTGATCAGTTTAGTGATCCGGAAAGAATCTTTACAAAAGACTTTCTAGTTATTCGCATGGCAAAGCTCTCTGTAGCAAGGCTCTCTGATTGATAGACTATGAGTACATCTATGGAACTGTTTCCGATGTTTCAAGGCGCCGGACATAGAAATCAGTGGTCGTAAACCCCCAAATCCCACTTGCAGCCAGAATATTCGGCAAAATGCCAGATGAGTAGACCTGTCGGGCAACAGAGTGTGGCCCGATGATGACCACCGCTCAAAACATTCCCAGGTTAGTCAACAAGAAACGGCTGCAAGCCATATCTGCAGGCACCAACATACCGGAGTCCAGGTAGACGACAAAATGAAACGAAAAATACATAAGGCCGTATGAGTGATAAAAAGAAAACAGGACGAGCAAAATTGGTAAAATAAAATCATGGGGAAGTAAAAGCACATTGGGGGAATATCGAAAGAAAGCACAGGGCGTGAGACATCAATCCGTCCCCTTCAAAGACTAGAAGCTCAATAGTCTGTTGGTAAGGGATCGGACGGCAACATGGTAAAAGACATTGTTCGAAAACTTCTCGTCGAGGGACGTCGCAAAGGTAAGCTCTGGTAGCGTCGAAAAAAATACAGGATATCAAGTGCGATAAAATGCATTTATCAATGGTTTACATCTTTCCGCCAAGAATGGTCCAGATATGCAGTGCATCTCGCATGAAATGAGGTCTTGTCGTATGGTATCAGTATCCTAATCTTTCAATTTGCTGGCGATATCAGTGTGGCCGTGATTCATGAAGATCGTGTCATCGTCTCAATATGAGTACAGTTCAGTGAACATAGGACTGGCGTCTCAAAGTGCGATATCGCAGCTCAATAGTTGGCGAACACTGGATTCTGAGTGTTGTGATTGCTGCTGGGCTGCTGAATTGCCGAAGCGAAGAGGCCGGGCTTGTCGCCAGCTCCGCCTGAACCTTGGTGCGAGGCTGCAACGGAGGAGCCAGCACCGTAGACATATGTCTGATTCCCAAAATGTGAGCCGGCATTAGAGATAGGGAACGGGTTGTGTTGGTACAGGAATGATTTCTGCGTTGGACTTTGCATAGGGCCAGGAAGTTGGGCAGAGTTCATCTCGTTTGGTGTGACCTGGCCACTGGTGGTAGCGCTTCCCCTTCCAGAGCCGTCCGAAGCCAGCATTTTGCCGGCAATGCGACGACCATGCGGGGTTTGACGAATTGATGGTAGGATAGGCCGGATGGACTCAACAATGCGTGTACGTGTGTCAGCATCTGCGAAGTCCATGGCTGTTTGTACGACGTAATTGGCGAAGGAGTCCCGCAGCATCTTCTCGAGTTCCGCACCTGCCAGCATCTCATCAATCAGCTGACGTCTGATTTGGATGTCAGCAGTACGTAAGCACTTTTCAATGACATTCGAGCTGAACTTCTGCTTGGACAAGGCAGGAATGTTGCCACGGAAAGTCTGACACAGAGGCTCGGTGAAGTGAGGCTCTGCGAGGTCCAGAATGTACTGCACAACGTAATTTCCGAATGGGTCCTGAACAAGCGCAAATGCGTTGGACGTGATCTGAGCAATGAGACGTGCCCTCTGCTCGCCGGAGGCGTGATCGATACAGCGCTGCAAGACACAGCATCCATGCCGATGAGTCCCAACGACCACACAATTGGCACCAACAGCATCGTAAATGAACTGAGCATCTTCTGCAGAGAGACGGTTCAGGCACTTCTGAATAACATGGTTTCCATTGAGGTCCTGCACCAACTCTACCACCTGATCTTTCAAAGCATGAATCACAGTCTGAGTTTGCTCCGGAGTCGAGATAAATTCGATCATTTTCTGCAGAGCTCGCGTACCGTGCTGGTTCAACGCGATTTTCACTAGCTGGTGTGCAGCATTGTTGATTAGAGCCGTGCGCTGCTCATCATTTGAATACTCCAGCAGTTTTTGGCACAAGTAATTTCCAAACGGATCTGACAAGACAAGGGGACGATGTTAGCATTGAGAACGAATCAATATCGTTAACCTGTACGAACCTGTCATAAGCTCAACAACATGCATGTGAGTCTCATCGAAAATCATCTGAACATGTTCCGGGCTACGCTCTTCCAGCTTCCTCTGCAAGTACCTACACCCGTGCTGGTCTTTACAAAGGCTATACAACTCGCCCTGATAATGTTCAAGCGGGAAGTTGGTGAAACGAGACAATTGGGCAGTATCCGCATCACCACTCCGACGAGTGCTGGCTCCCTTGGCTGGGGCTTCCCCAGGACGAAAATGTCCGTAAGCGGCGGGATAGCCACTAAAGGGGGCCGCGGGATTGTACGCCTGAAGCTGCGCAGGAGCACCCATGAAAGCTTGAATACCGTAACCGTAGAAAGGCGGCTGGAAGGGAGTCAGTGTAGTGGGCGCAGCCATGTTAACACCTCCGGCTCCAGTGGTGAGCTGGGGACCGAAGGGGGCAGCACTGGCTTGAAGAGTCGTCTGCTGAGATCGGGTGCTCTGAAGTTTGGCCTCCTCGTGTTCGGGTGACTCCTTAGAAAGGCGACTGGCAGGACCAGCGCCCGGGATTCGCCCGAGATTGGTATTGTGTTGCTGAAAATGCTCAGCATGAGTCTTGGGAGGGGTGATAGCTGGGTTGAAGGCATCGCCTTTGACTGTGGGGAGGTCGTTCGTCGAGTAAGAGGACTGTAGCGATGTAGGTCGGTTAGAAATTGTGGCAGACATGCTTTCGTTATTGCCGTCAGTGCTGTAGATAATATTAGCCTCAAGCGAGTGGCTGGCGGCGTGACGTGCAGGAGTGGTCGAGTGAGCATGGTTCTCGTCCGTCCCAAGCTGTTCTAGGCGGAACATGTTCAGTGCATTCTGAGGCATGCTCTGGTGCGAAGTACGATGACGGCTGTGAGAGTTCCAGGTCTCAGGATTCGGGGTACGCGAATTTGCCAAGTCTAAGGCATCTGAGTTCGCGGATAACTGAGTTCGGTCAGAACAGAATCGTGAGATGCTTCAGGAAGACTTACCAAGCCTGAGTCGTCACGTCGTGAGAGCGTGGGAAACTTATCGTCTGGGTCCGTCAATTTGAGATAGCTCCTGATATCGGGCGTTGGGATTCGATCCTCGTCCTTCAACATGGATCGGTCGTCTTCGCTGTGAAATAAGTACTTTGCAGCGTTGAAAGATTCAAGACCGGATGACCGATCGAAAGATGTCATATTAGGGCGAATCTGGGAGCCTAACCCAGATGAAGGCATGGAATACCGGTGAATGCTGGTTAATGTCATTGTCAGTTGATATCGCTTCTGAAGTATGAAAAGAGAAAGGGTGAAAGAGATATTGAGATGAATATGAGAGTACAGTGAATGGAAACAGTGGTGATTGTTCACAGTGGTCTGAATCAAATCACTTTGAGGCAAAAGTGAATGGTTCGTGTTACTTGCTTGTGGAAGAGTTTCCTCAACTATTCCAATTCACCCCTCCAGGTAGATGCCTTGATAAAGCAATTGGATATTTGAGAACGATCAAGACAGTGCCTATCTGGAATGAAATGACAGGTGAAACTTACGATGGCCCAGGACGAAAAGGTGATGCAGGCTCCTGGCTGAAGTCTTCCTTCTCAGAATTTCTTCGAGAGCCAGGCACGGAGTGAACAGAGAACCGATTTGTGGGAGTCTGTGCAGAGCTATGGTTCACTTGGCTCTGGGGAGTCGTCACTTGAGATGGCGCAAATACGTTAAAGAAGCCGGGAGACGAAGTGACGCTGGAAGTTGAGAATCGAGTCGGGCGGGTAAAGCCAGGGAGGTTGCTGTCATGGTATTCCGGCGGCGTCGTCGGCTCACTGACGGGCCCAGACAGACCAGCTTTGGCGAGGTCCTTGGCGAGTTGATCCATCTCCAGCTTCTCTTTCTCGTGTTGCATGTCTAAGAGTTTCATGTCTTCCTCGAATCGCCGTCTCTGCTCTCGCATATATTCGATATGCTGACGCTTTTTCTCAAACTGCAGTCAATCAGCAACAGTGCATCTTTAGACGCCGAGAACCCGACAACATAGCGATAAGCACGCCCATAACACAGGAACACAATGACCGGGCTGGTCTTATTGTACATGATAGTGGAGATCGCGGTGCTCTTCCTGGTAGGTACAAAATGAATAGTCCGCTGCATGAATGAATGGGTACATGACTGTGAACCACATAGAAGCCGCTATGACAACTGAATGACCATTCTGCAGAGCAAGAACAAAGTCTTTGCTCGAAAGCGTATGGCACATTGCAATGTTGCTCACCAATCACAGTACCAAAGCCGTTTGGTCTATTCTGACTGCATAAGGGCAAAACACAAGGTCGCGACAAGGGTACTCAGGAGAGAAATGCTAGACTCACCGATGTGAGGAGATCTAGAGGGTCCTGCGCCTGTGCACTCCCACCAACACCATTTATATAATTCCATGAGGACAATTTGCTCGAATCTGTCGTGAAGCGGCGTTGAAGATTGGCGCGGACGTCCCCCGATGGGCGCGAGAATGCCGAAACGAAGTTCGAATGGGTCGGAGAAAGCGCATTATAGCCAGGGAACGGTGAATCAGAAGGAGGGGATCGTGGAGACGGAAATCGCAGCTCGTCGAGGCGTTCACTAAGTCCGTTTTTGAAAGCCATGGTCGGCAGGCAGCTTGGGACGAGAGTCACTGGGCTAATAAGCATTCAGGGGCCAAGGTCAGTCAGTGAACAGGCTGTAACATGATAGAAGCGGAGGGTGATGCGGGTTCCAGAGCCGTCAATATCGGCCTGCAATCGCAAGGACAGTAAAGAGGAAGGCTGAGATTAAAGCACGAAAGCCAGGGAGTCAGGGAGCAATGGTTGGTAGGCGGTGTACCCCGTGAGATAACGAGCTCTGTAGGGAGCAAGGGGACGGGGAGGGGCTGAGGGGTGGTTTGGCGGAGCAGATCTCGGAAATGAACAGCGACTCACACACAATGAACGCCTCGAGAGTTTATTTTTCTCAGGTACAAAAAGAGACTTTGAAGCCACTACTTGTGCAAGCACGCAAGTAAGGACAGATTCGATAAGGGGAGGGGGGGCAGGGAAGTGGTGGTAGAAGGCAGGTCGCACCCCTAATGATGCGTTCGTCGACAGTGCGGAGATCTTGGTCAATAGCGGTTGGTGGTGAATCACAAGCGTTTTGGGCGATGGAGTCACCACTGCTTAGCCCTGCGCTGTCTTTGTTTTTCTTTGCCTGTTTTTTTCCTCCGCCGAAAGTGGAGAATTGATGAAGAGCAGCGTGGACAAGCAGGTAGTAGAACGAACGAACGAGGGTAGGAGAAAACCAAGAGAAGAAAGAATGCAGAAATAAGAATAGTAGTTGAAGAATAGAGATAGATTGTTGTACAGGAGGTGGTCAGGTACACGAGAAGGGGAGGGGAAGAAGGCGGGCGGGCGCTGACTGACTACTGAGGAGGGAGGGGGAGGAGGAGCCCAGGCGAGGCGTGGGCGGCTGGGAAAACAAGCGGGGGTCCGAATGGTGGCCACTGCTGTGTCTCCGTCTGCGATCGGGTTCCCTTTTGCCTCCTTTAGATCTAGGAAAATAAGAAAATCAAAATTCAAGAATTGTCTGTAGATATACGAAGTACGAAGTACGGAGTACTCTGATTGACTTCTAAAGACCTTTAATGATCTCTCCTCTCCAGTATCACTGCTGCTGCTGCTGTTAAGTGACTGTTACTTGTTGTTTCTATGTACCTCCCTTCTTATCGGGCCCCCAACTTAAATTGCATCATAATCATCATTATCGCCCCTTTCCTCGAAACGATTTGCTCTCGCCTGTTTCTTGAATCTGAATCTATTGCACGGCTGTCGAGAGCATCTCTTCTGGTTCCAGCAGATGGTGCACCTTCACGTTGAAGATAATCTCCCCGAGGGCTAATACGCCGCCCATCCCTGCAATGATTGTTAATGACTACTGGGTAATCTAATAAACCCCTCCGCCAGCCGGTGAGCTGTCGTCTCCAAACGACCACCCTCCGGGTCGATCATTTGCTTTTTAGACAGATCATGAATCAATCGCTTCTTCGCGGCCAACGATTGGACCTTACTAGGTCAATAGCCATACTACTGCACGACTTCGTTGGGATTAGGGTGGCCAGTGGCCACTACTCAAGATTTAGCTAGTAATCTATAATTAATGCTCCATAATCCATCATCTCCTGGCTACACCTTTTCGCACGGCATGATATCAGTTTTGCCGCTTGAGACAACTGTAGATGCTGACTTGAAAGCCATCCTCTGACTCAGCGATCTTTAAGACTGCTCTCCATCTGAACCAGCGAACTGTGCAGAGGTTGAAGGGGAATCAGTAATCGCGGGAATGACTCTCTGGTGACAATGGGGCTCATTATTGATCTCCTCCTCCCTGCTAAAATTCGGTGCAAGGGGGAGGGGCGGAGAGGGGGGGGAGGGGGGGTGGTGGGTAACTCTGCTGGGTGTGCTGGTCGAGAGCGTGGCCTCTGCAAGTGTTCTTGCATCAAGTGGAGACCAGCCAGGTTGATTACAATGAAAGAATGTGACGGCGGATTGCGCCCTGGCCACCGCACGTACAGTTCCTGGGCCAAAGCATCCTATCAGGCACCCTAGTCTACTCTGGTTTCCTCCTATAGTTAGTACATTGGACTACCTACTACAGCGTAGGGCCCTCATAAGTACAGAGCGCTGTTCATAGTACCTCATGATCCTGCTGTGATGAACGACGAGTGATATTTTTTAAGTGCTTAAAGCGGCTGCGGTGTCAGTTACAGCCTTTTTGCTTAGTCTACAGGGGTGTCAAGCATACGGAATTGACCTTATTTTGTTTTTGCGGCCCTCCAGGACCATGACTGTACATGTAGTAAGACGGAGGCGGTCCTTTGGATCAGACCCCGTCTGAGGATACTCAGCTCTAAACTAGCGCATGGGATCTACGTTGTGGAATATCACACGGATCATAGTCAAGGTTTCAAGCTGTCAGAGGTCTTTTCAGGCTTGTTTATTGGAATTTCAATCCAAGTGCCACCTTTCCTTTGTCTTGTTCATGATGACTTACTTCGACCCCGTAGCCGGACTCCCCTCTTCTCCTCCAAAGGAATATTAGGGTTCTGGCCAGGTACTGGTAATCTTGAATCGATAGCTGGTACCAGGGTTCATTGCCGGATCTGCATCAGTATGAATGCGACAGTCAATGGTGCGGTCAGCCTGAATCCATGGATCAAGCAAAATCACGGCCCATTGAACGCGGAGGGGAAAAGGGGAGGGAATGCGCGTGGCGTGTAGTGTAAGCGTGTCGTAGACGTTGAAGCCAAAATTCCACAGACTCATCGCCCTGTGGTTCTTCTTGGGGTCGTAATTTTGCCATGTCAGGTTGAGTGAGTGGCTGTCAGCGATTGATTGGTGCAGCAGAGGAGAAGCGGTGTACGACTTCTCCGCCTCCTTCCATCGCATCCAGTCTTTTACATGATTGTCTGAGACTAGTTACCGGTAGACTTACTTCTCTTCCTGACGTTTTGACCGCCGCCTGTCATTCTTCCATTTGTCATGACTCTTCATTGATAAACCACAGAAGTGAAGGATTGGGGTGACTCCCCAGTTCTGGCAGACAATGTGGGGTACCTACTATTCGACTGGCTTCGCGAAGCACGAGTCTACACACCTAGTCACCGAAAGGGCCAGCCACTCTTCCACAAAATAGAAATAGAGTACTTGCGCTACAGCTTGCCTACCCGATTAGACTACCTGTACATCATTCGCTTGAAGATTGAATTTGACTTCGTTAGGTATAATCAGGTACCTACTCTCATCGCATTGTTAGGTAGGCACTATACCATCGCCGCCATAATTTGCCATACTCAGGCTTCCTCGAGTATCTAATCGAAAGCCTCCATTTATCCTGTTGGGAATTCAGAATGCTAGTCTACATTGGTCTCAGAAATAACTTTACCATGCACGTTTTGTTCGGCCATCTGCTTTTCCATTCGCTTCAGCCCTCGGCCGACCTGTCACCGCACGCACAAGTTTTTATGTATGTACTATGAAGTATGCACAAGGACGGTTTCATGAAGAAGAACTACATCACCCCCATCAGTTGTTTCAGATCGTTCAAGTCCTGCAATACGACTGGCTAGCGTCATCATGAGTGGTTAGATGTCCGCTGCATCGGGCTGATCATGTCTGGCACGATTCATTGCCTCATACCTTGTTCGAGCAGGCGCTGGGACTCTAGATACACGTGATGATGGAAGCATCTCACATTTAGATGATCTGTATCATGCGTCGCATTCCATCTCTTCGACAAATGGGGGTTGGTTTTTTCTTCCTTTTTATTTTCTCTTTTTTTCCTTTCTTTGGTTTCCGAAGTGCCACGCCGGCACGAGGGGCTTTTTCCGCCAACTGCAACTGATCGTTATCAAACAAGATTATCTCCGAAAGGGAGGGAGTCGACTGCCAGGTGGCGAGTCACCCCTCTCTCTCCCCTACTTCCAAATTGCGGTCAAGACAGGCCCACCGCCATAAACGACTTTATCACTCATTTGCCGCCTCCGCCTTACCCTTCAACCGACTTCATGATCTAGTTCTGATGTCGTGCGTTGCGTCCGACGTCAAATGTGCGCGAATCGCGCCTTCCCGTTAACTTATGTTTGGTGCCGACAAGCAGAGGCCGCACTTATACCTACTACAATCCTATTTTCTCTGAAGTTGGCAGTGTTTATGCCCAACCCCGCACATTATGTAGACGAGAGACCAGACAGTGATTGCCACTGGGCTCTCGGAAAGCTCCTCGATATGTTACGTCCATTGCGGTCATTGCTGATGAGCAGTCGAATGACCTTAAGGACGACTCCCAGTCTCTTGTCTGTGGAGGATACAGGCTGAACCGTTTCCCCCTTCTTGGAAAACCTCCTGGTTGAAAAGCAGGGCTGACGTGTCCAGACATCCATGATCATGAATGTGAGTACACTTGTTCAAAAAAAGAGAGTTGCGAGTATCATGAGCTCGGTGAAACCGACCTAAATAGAATCATGGTGTTCAGACGTTGTTTATACATGAAGGGTGTCCGCTCGCCTATCACTCGAGATGTCCCATCGGTTATCTTCGACCTAAACAAAAGAGCCTAAGTCTTTTGGCCCACGGCAATGTACCGACTTCCTTGTGAGGGCGGTAGTGCATTCTTCGGTTCTTGGAGCCCTTGTTCGGTTCTTCGTGCCAGCCCAATCCCCGAAAGTATCTCTGCTTTTAATAAGCCTCCTTCAACTCATATCCATATCAAACCCACCTCGATCGAAGCCAGGAAAATCCTCTAGTATCATCTACAGCCAGATGTTCCCGCCCGCCAGAGCCGTGTAAACGGCGACTACGAATACCGGTAAAGTCCTCCGTGACGATGGATCGAGAACGGTCAATCAACGGTTCTAGGAAATAACGCTCGGGCAATTGCACATGGAGCCTGGGTGTAGCCCAGAATTCTCGAAGTCTGGTCAAACATCATTCCGAGCCCAAGCGGATGCAGATCACCCATTAATCCTTCTTGACTTGTTCTCGGACATCCCAGCGGACATGCTCGTAGTTGCGCATACGCTATAGCTACATTTTGAGACAATGACTTTCAGGGTTCATGATAATAAGAAAGAGGCAAGAACCATGAGGTTCACTGGTACTCTGAGAGCCTGCCTCAATATTGACTACAAGCATGTAGAAATGTTTCGCTTCGGTGCTCTTTCTCTCTTGCAGCCATTGACCAAACCTGGCTCGGCAGCACCGGCGAGTTTTGAAGTAGTTTGAGCCTGCTGTACTGCTGCAGCTCGGGACACGAGACTGGGTCTTGATTAGGTGACATCCTTCCGGGGCCGGGGGAAGGATGCTTGCTGCAATGCGTATTGGCGCCTTGGGCGAATCTTAGAGTATGAATTACCCATCAACATGGTAATCTCTGGCTCAAGAGAAGATGAAGGCGAGCGCAAATTATGGTCATAGTAGTCTAGTATTGCCATCAGCCTTAGGTACTGGCCTGAGCGCGATTTTCATTGATCCCCCTCCTCCCTGATCTTCAATACGGGCTTGCTTTCTCGGGAGCAAGCTTTCACGAATGACAGAGAGACCACTTCTACCAGCAAGCGCCTGTACATGAAGCCTCAGAAATGAAATAGATCTCAGTTGTATAGACCGAGCTGTGTAGATGAACACGCCAGATTCCAAGCCTTTTTCGAAGTTAAAGTATGTGCCACCTTTATGGAATATTGGCATGGAGCGCGCCGGCAATCTCTCTCTGGACATGCTCCTTGACGTCTCAATCTAGACTTTCAGAGTGCGCTTTCCGGTCAATCAGTTCCCTCAATTAGTGATGCAAAGTAGAAAGATTATTCTTGAATATGACTTTTCTCCCTGTGAGTCTCAAGGAGCGACGTGACAGGGATAGAAGACATGCATGCATCAACGGAAGTAGTCCCATGAAAGCGTTCCCAGTTCATGCATTGACCTGTATGTCCTCTCGTGTACGTACAGATCAGCCCTAAATGAAATGATAATCTAAGCTGCGACACTGTCTGATCTCTGGTCAACCGACTCAGCAGATTTGCCTTCAGCCAAAGTCATGCATTAGGTCAGATTCGCCAATGAATACAGTTGAGGGAATAGGTGTAGTAAAAGAAGGTCGGTCTGGTCCCTGAGTCTCTACGCCTCTTAAACTCTTCAGATAGTGCAGGTTGATTCGATCTTACCAGTAGAGTTTATGGTTTTCCAACCTGATACGTTAGACACCTCCAGATAGTACTTGTGACCTGAACACCAGTCGACGGAGAAGTGTGCGTGCTAATATCATCAACCCAGTCTATCATAAGGATGAAACAGGCCCGAAAGTACTCATGTTCACATATTATCGATGGGTAAAAGAACTGTCAGGAGTCGGCAGATTTACATGGTGTGTCCGATTCAGTTGCCTTATGGTCCTATTTGCTGTCCCAGCTTTCCCAGCATTCAGGGTCAGGAGCTTTCAAACTCATCCTTGTGTCATGAACAGGCTACGAAGTCACCCGTGTCAAATTTGTGGTTCGATTTCGATCATGCAACACGGACCAGAGCAGCTAGCTACTTGTTAGAGGGCGGGCAGAGTACACAAAGAAAAATTTGAATGGGGAACGGGGCAGGACTCAAGGGCCTTACGTGCTGTGAGCTTGGCTGTACACCTCGAAGCTCTCGGAGCTTTGACAAGCAGGCGTATCTTGGGCGATCTTGTCAATTGATCACTCGAAACCGGGGCGGAGGCCAGTTTCCTTGACCACGTCCTTTCTATGTCCTATTCAGATCGTCACCAGTCCGCCTTGTCCCGAGCACACTGGGAACGTTAGTGTAGTAGATTGAGGCACTGGTCTATGCTGTCAAGAGAAGCTCCCCTGACCCTCATAGTTATCTTCAAGGGATCGGGATGTTTGTCGCTTGGCCTCGAATGATGATCCATGTGTGCCGTCTCAAATATAGGAAAGCTAAACTGACCGACTGGCCTAGTGGTTACGGCGCTCGTCTTACAATTTAACATTGATTTCACGAGAGATCGCAGGTTCGATCCCTGCGTCGGTCAAAAGTTAATCATTTTTGGTCCTTCGCATCATGGTTCCCCTCAAGGTGCAAAATCATTGCTTACCAGGCAGGGGTCGTTCGTTGGCCCGTGAGGGTGTGGGCGTATTTTTCTCCAGGCGATGTCCATTGAACAAGAGATCCTTCGAACCTTGATACTTCCATGACTCTGTCGAGTCTCGACAATTGCCTACCGCCTACATCTTGAAGCCACATTAAGCCGGTTGGCTTCAGATACTCGAGCAATGCATGCATCAGAACAATTACGTCTAACAGCAACGAGGTCATAAAACCTCCTGGAGAAGGTGTCGATGGCAAGGCATCTCTGAAAGACTAGGCGAGTTTCATGTCTATCAAGTTTGGCCAATATCTCAGACAATTTTTCAGGACCAGCACACAAAGGGGCAAAGCAGTGATGCGGAGCGTTATTGCAATGCAGCTGATCGACAATTTCGCTTCCTAGCATCATATGCAGTGTTAATTGCAAATGTTTGATACCCAGCAAGAGTAGACTATGTATTAAGTAAATCGAAGGATGGTGGGGGTGGGTCTGTCGGATCGATCCATTGCCGGCAGTGGAACCAAGTAGTAGTCCCTTTCCCCTCTCCTTTATTATTCGTCTTATGCCTGGAGTCCACTTTCTCCTCTCATGATCTCTATATGACAGCCTACCCAAATCGCACCACTAACTTTGATCCCCTCACAGCGGTTCCTACATTACTTCTGGATAAGTTTGACTTGCCCTGAAGCCATGAAGCTCCTCCAGAAACCTCCACGATATGTCACAGCTAGTATATTGTGTTCCTGCGGTGGCTTATTATTCGGGTATGTATCGACCTCCGGCCTTTGACGACAGTGATCATGCACTTTTGAACTAATTTTGAAACCTCCAGGATGGATACTGGGATTATTGGCCCCGTGACAGTCATGGAGAGTTTTACGTCACGGTTCGGAAGCCAATCTGCAGTGATTCACGGGCTGATCGTGTCCTCTATCCTTATTCCGGCCGCCATATCTTCATTTCTTGCCGGCTACCTCGCAGACAAACTGGGAAGACCCAAAGGCATCAGTATCGGCGCCTTGATATTCGGAGTTGGAGCGGGACTTGAGGCAGCAGCTGTTCACATTGGCATGTTCGTAGTAGGACGATGCATCGAAGGCATAGGAGAGGGCTTGTATCTAGGCACTCTAGTAGTGTAAGCCTTCTCCCATTTCTGGTCTACACAAAATAGGCTCTCTCACACTGCATAGGTACATCTGCGAGATCTCGCCACCCGACGTTAGAGGAGCTCTGACCACCGGCCCTCAGCTTCTCATCACACTGGGTTTGGTAGTGGGATTCTTTACGTGTTATGGAACTGCTCGCCTGGAATCTTCATTCTCGTGGCGTACTCCATTCTTGGTGTTGGCGTGTCTGGCATTCGCATTCTCGATAGCTTCTTATCTTTGGCTGGTTCCATCGCCGCGATGGCTGACCATTCACGGCCGTCGGGCAGAAGCTACTGCCACTTGGGACTACCTGGGAGTAAGCCAGGCGGAACGCGAGAAGGCAGAAATCGAGCAAGACAGGGTGCTTGTTACTGAAGTATCAAGCATCACCAGCAGAGAACGGATCCCGTCGGTTTCGCAGGCTCAAACCAAGTCAGTCAAGGACAAGATCTTCGATCTCTTTTCCAAAGACGTTCGGACACGAACCATTCTGGCTGTCTTCCTTATGGGAATGCAACAGCTCAGTGGAATTGATGGTGTTCTTTATGTAGGTGTCCCTTCAGCAATCCGTAATGACTGTGACACTCATAGCCTTGTCTTACGCAGTATGCTCCTCTACTATTTGAGCAGGCAGGGCTTGCATCTTCATCCGCAAGTTTCTTCGCGTCCGGCGTCTCTGCAATCGTCATCTTTGCTGTCACCATTCCCGCGCTTATCTGGGCCGACAAATGGGGCCGTCGACGTAGTATCATTTACGGCGGCATCGGCCTTAGCATCACGATGCTCTTAATAGGAGCTCTGTATGCAGGCAAGGCTGTTCAGAGCTCGACCGGAGCAGGACGATGGGTAGTTATTGTCAGCATTTACATCTTTGCTGTAATTTTCTCATTGAGCTGGGCTGTCGGCATTAAGATTTATGCAGCAGAGATACAGCCACAAAGAACTCGCGCATCAGCAACGAGCTTAGCACATGGAAGCAACTGGGCCGCAAATTTCCTGGTAGCACTTGCTACACCAGTGTTGCTCGCAAGAAGCAGTTTTGGTGCTTATTTCCTCTTTGCAGGATGCACCCTTATCACGACATTTGTCTGCGCAGTCATGATGCCGGAGACCAAGGGCAAATCGTTGGATGAAATTGAGGAGGCGTTCAAGTCTAAGGCAGTGGGCTCCCGGTCTTTCCTGAATGTGCTTCGTCCGATCACCCGTTCAAGTCCTTGATGAAGCATGCTTATGACAAAATCTTCGTGGTCGCATGAAACAGGGGTTGGCCCGTGCACATGGTTGGGACTGGCGTGACTGAGGTCTGAGACAGATCCAAATGGTGGAGCACATTTCCTGCATTGGCCCGATAAGATAGACAAACAGGCGGGGCCGAGGAACATTCTACTTTGGGGTTGGCGTGAGCATTTGTAAGCTGTAAATGCTCTAACCATATGTGGATAGCTCCATATTACATAACCAAATCTTTTTGCCGAATGGAAAATAGTTCGGATCATCCCCTCGCTGATAAAGAAGAAATTGTGCCGTCAGTCTAGAATGCCGTGACGTCCGCTCGTCACCACACCTGATCGACGTGCAATAAAACTTGCAAAGTTTGATCAGCAATGCCTCCTCGCAGGAGAGCGCCGATTTCTGCGGCCAATTTGCGGTCCACGCAACCTGGAGAGGTGAGTCGGAGTCAAAAAGATTTCCGCGCTTCCCCGCCGCCATAACTAATTTTATGCGACGACTTCTCAGGCTGCTACGTCTTCCAGACCAGGAACCACCGATGCTTCAAGACGCAGACGTCCCTCTCAGTCTAAGCCTGCGCTACCGACCGAAGAGACGGCTCCTATTGTTGAGGATCAGCCGCAGGAGTTTGTTGAGGATCATTCTCATACCTCGTACCGCCACCGAGATCCTTTCGACGCTCTCCTCGAACCATTCTACTATAATAAGGGCCTCACGGATCCGATAAACACCGCGAAGGATAAGTGGAACCTGCTGCCGGCATTTCTCAAAGTCAAAGGATTGGTGAAGCAGCACATCGACTCATACAACTACCTGGTCGAAGTTCAATTGAAGAAGATCGTCGAATCCAGCTCCACTATCCGCAGCGACGTTGACCACAACTTCTACATCAAGTTCACCAACATCTACCTGGGATTCCCTCGACGTGCAGACGAGCCGCAAGATGTCCGGGCCGATTTTTCGGAGTCTACTGTGGCCCCGCACGAATGTCGTCTTCGTGATACCACCTATGCGGCGCCTATTCAGGTCGACTTCGAGTATGTTCGTGGTCGCCAAAGGGTTATGAGGAAGGGTGTGGCTATCGGAAGGATGCCGGTCATGCTCCGGAGCTCAAAGTGTGCGTTGGCGAACAAAACCCCTGCGGAGATGTCCGTCTTGAACGAGTGCCCTCTCGACCCTGGTGGTTACTTCATTGTCAACGGTACCGAGAAGGTCATTCTCGTTCAGGAACAGTTGAGCAAGAACAGAATCATCGTTGAAACGGATCCGAAAAAAGAAATCGTTCAGGCTTCCGTGACTAGGTAAGACTTGACCACTTCACTTGGCTCCTTTGTTCGGGGGACTAAACACTGATATTTATCTCTCTCAGTTCATCCAACGAGCGTAAATCGAAGAGTTATATCGTTCTGAAGAAGGACAAACTCTACGTTAAACACAACGTACTCAGCGAGGATATTCCCATTGTGATTCTGCTGAAGGCCATGGGTATCCATACCGATAAGGAGATGCTCTTGCTCGTCGCCGGTGTCGATAAGGTCTATCAAGAGGATTTTGCCATCAACTTCGAAGAGGCTATCAGACTCGGTATTTATACTCAGCAACAGGCACTCGATTGGATCGGCGCACGCATCAAGATTAACCGCAAACAATCGACGTATCGCCGCACTCACGTTCAAGAGGCTGTGGAGGCCATCGCATCCGTCATTATTTCTCACATTGAAGTCAAAAACATGGATTTCCGACCCAAGGCCATCTATGTTGCTCACATGGCGCGTCGTGTTCTGATGGCCAAGAACGATGCAACTCTGGTTGATGACCGTGACTATCTGGGAAACAAACGACTGGAACTGGCTGGCCAGCTGTTGGCCCTGCTCTTTGAAGACTTGTTCAAGAAGTTTTGCTTCGACATCAAGATGAATATCGACAAAGTGCTGAACAAGCGTAACCGCGCGGAGGCTTTTGACGCCTATAGCGTGATAACGATGCACAGCAACCACATCACCCAGGGGATGACCCGGGCCATTTCTACAGGAAACTGGAGTCTTAAACGTTTCCGCATGGAGCGTGCAGGTGTCACGCATGTGCTTAGTCGGTTGAGTTACCTCGCAGCCCTGGGTATGATGACGCGTATCAGCAGTCAGTTCGAGAAGACCAGAAAAGTCAGTGGTCCCAGAGCACTGCAACCATCGAACTTCGGTATGCTTTGCCCAGCAGATACCCCCGAAGGTGAAGCCTGTGGTCTTGTCAAGAACCTGGCGCTCATGACCCACATCACCACAAATGACGAAGAGGGTCCTATCCGGAATTTGATCTTCATGCTAGGTGCTGAAGACATCTCAACTGTCGGTGGTAAGGAGCTATACGGCCCGGGCTGTTACACAATCTCGATCAATGGTACACCCATGGCGCTCACACGAAGACCGAAATCCTTCCTCAATGCCTTTAGAAGACTCCGTCGAATGGGTCGGATCTCTGAATTCGTCAGCATCTACATAAACCATCACCAATGTGCTGTTCATGTAGCAACCGATGACGGAAGGATTTGCCGACCGCTTGTCATTGTTGACAATGGAAAATCTCGCGTGAAGGCCCACCACCTCGAGAAGCTGCGGGATGGAACCATGGCTTTCGACGACTTCCTGGCTCAAGGATTGGTGGAATACCTTGACGTAAACGAGGAGAATGATTCCTTGATTGCTATCTATGAGAAGGATATTACCGAGACAACGACTCACCTGGAAATTGAACCGTTCACTGTTCTTGGGGCTGTCGCCGGTCTGATTCCCTATCCTCATCACAACCAATCGCCCCGTAACACCTATCAGTGTGCTATGGGTAAACAAGCAATTGGTGCGATTGCTTCGAATCAGTTCTTGCGGATCGATTCTATTCTATATCTCATGGTCTACCCACAGAAGCCGATGGTGAAGTCTCGTACGATCGAGTTGGTCAAGTATGATCAACTCCCCGCTGGACAGAATGCAACTGTTGCAGTCATGAGTTATTCCGGATACGATATTGAGGATGCCCTTGTCTTGAATAAGGGATCTGTGGATCGTGGATTTGGAAGGTGTCAAGTGTTCAAGAAGTACGTCACCAATTTGAAGAGTTACTCGAACGGGACCAAGGACCGCTTGAGTGGCCCGCAGTACGAGAACGATGCGCCAATCCGAAAGCATGCTCTTCTCGAAAGCGACGGTCTGGCTGCTGTGGGTGAGCAGGTCAACGCCGGTGAAGTGTACATCAACAAGTCTACGCCCGACCAATCGATGTCCTCTGGGTTCGCTAGTTCTGACCCTGGCCGGCCCGTTTCTTATATGCCAACGCCCATGACCTACAAGCTTCCTGATCCTGCTTACATCGACAAGGTCATGATCTCCGTGACCGAGAATGAGAACCAGCTGGTCAAGGTTCTGACTCGCCAGACGCGTCGCCCCGAAGTCGGTGATAAGTTCTCCTCCCGTCACGGACAAAAGGGTGTCGTGGGTATCATTGCCGACCAAGCCGATATGCCCTTCACGGACCAAGGAATCAATCCGGACATCATCATGAATCCCCACGGTTTTCCTTCTCGAATGACCGTTGGCAAGATGTTGGAGCTTGTTGCGGGTAAAGCCGGTGTACTAGCCGGCCACCACGGCTACGGTACATGCTTCGGTGGCACTCCGGTTCAAGAGGCCTCGCAAATCCTGATCGACCACGGCTTCAGTTATGGCGGTAAAGACTACCTCACTTCGGGTATCACAGGCGAGGCTCTGCCTTTCTATGTCTTCACTGGACCCATCTACTACCAGAAACTCAAGCACATGGTCCAGGACAAGATGCACTCCCGTGCTCGCGGACCGCGAGCCATCCTCACGCGCCAGCCAACGGAGGGTCGTTCTCGGGACGGTGGTCTCCGTCTCGGTGAGATGGAGCGCGATTGTCTGATCGCGTACGGTACCAGTCAGCTGCTGCTGGAGCGACTGATGATCTCATCCGATCGACACGAGATAGATGTGTGTGAGCAGTGTGGTTTTATGGGCTACTTGAACTGGTGTCAACGGTGCAAGTCCTCCCGGAGTGTTGTGAAAATGGCCATTCCATACGCCGCCAAGCTACTCATCCAGGAACTGATGAGTATGAATGTGACCGCGCGTTTGAAGCTTGAGGATGAATTTCCCGAGATGAAGGGCCGGTAAATTCGATGCATAATATCGACACCGCAAGCACTTCTTACCTGTCTTGGTGTTTTTGAGGGTGGTCGGTTGAAAAAAGTCCCGGTTATTTGAGTAAAAACAGAGGGCGTTTTAAAGCAACATTGAAAGGAGCTAGCTCCCCTTCCTTATCTGAGAAAGGGGGAGGGAGGGTTTTTTGTATGTACATAACGTTTTGCATTGCATAGCGCTCGGCGATGCGGTCGACTTTCGAATAGGACAAAACAGTTTTCTCCCTGCTAAACACTGCCCATATACTTCTTGACCACCCCCCAATACCGTTCCGGATCGGCCTTCGAATGCGACACATGCCCCGAGCCCTCGAACTTGACCGTCTCCACTTCCCAGCCTCGTCCCTCCACCTCCTCGGCATGGCTCTCCACATCTCGAGCAGCGACCACCTGATCCTCCTCCGAATACAGATAACACCGCCGAGGCGCCGCGCCCGCCGCAGCATCCCCCGATGAAGCCGAAGAAGAGGAACTGCTTCCCCGCACCACCAAGCCCGCATCAAACGTCCCGCGCCGCCCAACCATCACACCGTCCGCGCGCGGCACCACCCGCGCCAACAGCATCATCCACGCGGTCAACGCGGCGAGGACCAGGGTGCCCAGCGCACGCACCAGCGGGTTGGCGGGTAAGCCGACGGACAGCGCGCGCATGCCGCCGCGGAACGTCGACGTGCCCGGCGCGCTGTCGTACAGCATGGCCTCAACGCCGGAGAGGGAGCGGCCGCCCGTGGCAGCCTTATAGGCTTCGAGCAGGTTAGTGACAGCGAAGGTACCGCCGTTGGAGAACATATGAATAAAGATCCGCGGCGGGTTCGTGCCGTTGCTGCGGTCGATGGCGGCGCGGAGGGCGGCGACGGCGGGTTGGAGGCGCGCGTGCTGTGTGCGCGGGCTGAAGTGGATGAGGAAGTCAAGGGATTTCGAGAGGGTGTAGATGATGGTCGCGGTGGGGTAGAGGGTTAGATAGGTGGTGAGGTATTTGGAGAGAGTGCGCGGGTAGGCGTTCATCCAGAAGGCGAGGATGATGATTTTGTTGTCGGTGGTGGTGGTGGAGAGCTCGGGCCGGTGGATGTAGACGGTTGGGGAGAGTTTGGTGAAGGCTTTGAGGGCGTTGCTTGTGCTGGCGGTGGTGGTAGAGGATGAGAAGGCCATTCTTGCGGTTGCGCTATTAACAGGTATTAGGGTGTTCAGTTGTGTTTGGTAACAAACTGGGAGGGTTTGACGGTGGAAGGGCGAGGCTGTGGATTATTTATGTATGCGCTGGACGCGGATTGTTTGAACCCACAACAAAAAAGGCAGTGACCGAAAAATTCCTCGTTACATATGCAAGTATATATCAGTGAATATAATCGCAGACTAACATCAAAACGAAAATAGTGCAAGTTACGCTCGGCTGTACATTCGTCTAGGCCATTCTAGCAGTCCGAACTTAGCCCATAGACATTACTACTGCGGTAGAATCGTCAGCCAGGCCCACATACATGAATGACTATGAAGTTTTCACATAACGGTGGTGCTAAGTAATCACCGATCAGCATGGTCCGAATACGTTCTGTTCCTGTCCTGTAGGAGACTGACCGCATGGCTCCCTTTGACTTGGTATCGGAAGCGAAAAAGCAAACCTCGATCATGATTGGTACTAAAGCTAAAACCTGTTAAACGCCAGTCCTCGCTATGCTCTAAATCCGTCCTGCTTTTGTCCCGCGCCGCTGTCAATCACTCATGAGTTTGTCGTTCAATCCCAGCAAAGTGCCGAACCTAGGAGCTGATACGAGGGCTTGTGTCTCAATGCCCGTGATACATCCCCGGACTCGCGATGCCCCGTAGAAATGTTGGCTTGGCCTTGCTAACTAGGCGTGGCGGAGCCACTGGTGTCCTTCTTCTTCCCCCTCAGAGTTTGCCCTGAGCCCTGGAATCGGGGTTTATCTCCTTCAACCACCTGCCCGCTCTCATCGCGCTTCTTCACAGGCTTGATTGCATACCCGAAGAAAAGCTGATTCGGAGGCAGTCGAAGAGGCTGCGGTCCATTGGTTCTCCTCACCGGGACAGGATGCTGAGGGTTGGTGGCGCCAGGCGCAGGCGTGGACGGTTTGGGCGTCGGGGTTTTACTGCCCTTCTTAGCGTTCAGGCGCTGTCCACCGACTAGGAAGTTCGATGACACAGCTCGTGCCCCGGTAGCGGCGTCTGTCGACTCGGGTGCGATGGCAGCATAGTTTATCGACTGGGCCATGGTTCCATGCGGATGTAGCAGACCTCCGGACGGTAGCTTCCCGCTCACTCCGCTGCGAGGCGTACTGGTTCCACTGGGACGCTGCGGCTCCTCGTAGCCTACCGGAGGCGCGAAGTCGACTTCTAGGTCGGTTTCTAGGACTGAAATAGCGTTGCTTTTGGTGGAGGGCTTGGTTTCCAAAACAGCCATCTCGTAAACCTGGTCATTGTAGCCGAATGTAAAGACATCACCCTTGGTCAAACACGAGAAGTTGCGGAAGGCATTCTCCAACACGGCCTTGGGATCACTGATATCAAGGAAACTGGTTGACTGGGCCTGCAATTTAATGAATTGGCCCGGCGGGAGATCGGTGGACTTGACCTGGACTAGGTCGCCAGGCTCCAAAAGAAGCGTTTGCATTAACTATGGCGTGACTTGTTAGCCTGGCAATCATGCATAACTCGATACAAATTCTTACCCAGAATGGCAAATATATCTTCCCCTCCTCCGCGATGAATTCTAAAACACCCGCATGAGTCATTCTTTCTCTGGCACCATTGTGAAGCTCGAACAACATCGGGTACGTGATATGAAGACGAGTCAGCTTGTCCAAGGCGCTAGGCGGCATGATGACCTTGCCGCCGTGGTTAACGTTTTCTCTCTCGGGCCCGGGCATCATCGCAACAGGGTAGCATCGATAGTATTCATCGAAACGACGGGCTGCTCCATGACGAAGCATACTTGAACCGAGAACTCCCTCCATCGGGTCATCCTCCCAGTAGCCAGACCGAAACTGGTTTCCTATTAGCATGGGATACTTGAGGTGACTGGGGGAGCAAGAGCGGGGAACTCACCATGACGAACGCGAGCTAGCTGTAGGGTATTATGCGAAGCTGCGTGAACCGAAACTGTGGAAGGGGAAGCTCAGAGAAGCTACCTCATAGAATTTCCAGCCTAGAGTAACAAGCAAAGAGAGAGGAGTCAAAGAGTAGCGAGGTGTGACGAACAGAGCTCGAGGAGTTGAGAAGAGAGAGAGACGGACGGAGGTTCAGGTATGTACGTCCGGCCGATCAGAGCAGATCGCCTGCGGTGACGCAAATGGCGGCTCCGCGTGGATTTTCCGACCCGACCCCGGACAGCGCAGAAGCAGCTTCAAAGTGAAGAGTACCTCTCCTCGACCCGATCCTCACACTGATCTTTATCCATCTGTGACCTGACAGGCCTGCGCCAAGTCCGTGACTCATCCACACCTACCTATGTCAGCCTCCCAGCCCCGCCCCAAGCGGGCAGGTGAAGAGTTCACCCGCACACACCATGAGGACGAAGACGGCTCATCAACCAAGAAGCCACGCTTTGACCTTCGAAACCCTTCTGCTCTCGCCCCTGATGCCCTAGAAGAGGATGCAGTATTAGATGCCGATGAGATCGGACGCCGCGGGCAGCAAGTCCGCCGCAAAGCCGTCAACTTGGACGGTTACGACTCCGACAGTGAAAACGAGGGCTTTTCGGCGCGCATTGAAGCTAGATCTAAAGCAGCACAAAAGAAGCATGATGCCGACGAGGACGACATGTTTGCCGAGCTGCAGGAGGACTTTGGGGCAGAAGAAATCGATGCGGACGAAGCCATGCGCAAAAACAAAAAGAACGTTCGGTTTCTTCGAGACGATGAAATTGAAGGACAGGTCGCCTCTTCCAAGAGCGGTGGGACAGTCCACGCAGATTTCACCAAAGGTGCCGACGCAATTGACAATGAGGAGGACGAAAGCGAAAGTGAGGTTGGAGACGAAGAGCGCGCTAGACCCGACGAGGAGCTGGACGAGGAGCTAGGTGCTGGTGCAAAGAAGAAGCACGCACCACTACTAGATGCCTTCAACATGCGCACCGAACAAGAAGAAGGTCGTTTTGATGATCAAGGAAACTATGTCCGAAAGGCAGCGGACCCTGATGCGATCTACGATACGTGGCTGCAGGGAGTGTCTAAGAAGGACATTCGACGCGCCAAAGAAGCTGCAGACAAGCGAGAGGAAGAGCGTAAAGAGAAAGAGCGTAAAGACGACAGTGTGCTCACCGCGGACGCTCTTAAGACTTTGATCGCCCATCTGGAACGAGGGGAGACGATCTTGGAGGCTCTTGCGAGAATAGGGAAGGGTGCCCAGAAGAAGCAAAAATGGCAGACCAATCGCAATAAGAACCGCAAGAAACAGAGTGAAGCTGCAAATGAGGATGCGGAGATGACCGAAGACGATCCAAAGGAAGTGGCCAGAAAACAAGCCATCGAGGAGATTACTGGTGCTGCCGATATCCTGATGACTAGAGGGCAGGCAGAAATCTATGACACTGAACGCGAGATGCTCACAAGGCAGTACCGACGCGAGACGGGTGAGGATTGGGTCGATCCTCCGTCTGCGGACGCCAAACCTGAGCAAGAATCGCCTGCCATGTGGGAATTCCGGTGGTCTGATGCCCGCGACGGTGGGATTATACATGGTGCATACGACGGTCCTACCATGGAGTCCTGGAGAAATGCAGGTTACTTTGGAGAAGGGGTTGAATTTCGCCGAAGGGATGCCGATGGTCAGTGGAACAGCGCAGCTACGTTTGTATGAGGTTGGCTTAATCTTTCCATGTCCTGAGTTGAAATATTGTATATGTAAATTAGCATCGGCGGATACCCTGAGCCTTGGGAATATTAATCTCATTATTATCATTCGAGCCTAGGCTAGGCTCACTTTTGACTTGGTACTGACCTTATAATCAACGTGCCCATAGCGCAGCTAACATCTGAAAAAGCGCCAGTAATATCATACATCAAACATTTTGTGCGAAACACAGAAAAACTGACCAAGTCACATAGACGGGGTATTAGCTCACTTGAGCTTCAGCACCGATTCCGTTATGCGACATGCGATGACTGAAAAAAATATCCGTGCACGACCGTCTTTGCATAACTCCAAAACTTCCTGATGAAACGAGCTTTATGACAGTTCCATGGCATCACCATTCGTGGCAGCCGTGAAGCTCACTGCACCTTGATCGCCGATGAATCGTTGCTCATACGCGTTCACAAACTTGACACTCCGAGCAGGGTCGTAGAACAGGCGGTAGCTGCGCTGGACATCATCAATGCTGACTTCCTTTGCCTTGCGCTTCTGGCTAAGCAAATGGGAAGTGGTAATTATGTTGCTGGCGTATCGCAGATTTGATTCTTGACCGATCTTCGTCAAAAGCGCCAGAGCATCAGGCGAGAGGTCAATCTCTTCTTCTTGTGCTCTGATGGCCAGAATCTGTCTGATCTCGTCCGCAGAGTAAGGTTGTGTGCTAACAATGACCACTCGGTCAAGGAAATCGAGAGGCAATCCGTGCGGAGAGCTGTAGGTAGTTCCGCGAATCTTGGAATGGCCACGGTTGCTGGCCATGATGACAATGGGAGCCAGCTCAGCCTCCAGAGCGCGGTTGATGTATGAGAAACATTCGATGTCCAGCATGTGTACCTCATCAATGAACAAGACACCGGGGATGATCTCAGCCTTGCCTTCCTCCTTCCACTCAGCTACCTTGGTATTGATTTGATCTCTGACCTCGCTCCGGATCTCGCCCGTGTCACCAGAGAACAAAGCCAAGAAACCCTGTGAGCGCGAGTTAATGACATCGATCTCGTGCAGGCTGACAGTGTGCACAATCTCCTTGCGAACCTGAAGCTCGCCCTCAGGACATTGTACAAATTTCGTGTCAGCCCCCATGGCATCGTAATCCCGGGAGCGCGCATAAGAGCGTCCTAGCTTGGTGATCTTGCCAGACGACTTGTCGATAGAGATGATATCTCCTGCCATCACTCTCTCCTTGGTCATGGAGTCAATCATCTTCGTTCCCATGTCATAGATCGTCTCCATATCCGTTGTCTTGATTGTGAGTTTTCCTTGTTTGTTTCCCTGAACAAGTCAGTATTCAGCTTTTACGTATAGCAATTGCTTTGAATGAGGTCAAAGGTATTCTAAGTGAGGTCTACTTACGCCGGTGACACTTCTGTCGATCTGAATCTCCACAACCTCACCCTCAATGATTTCACTTTCCTCCTTGATGCGGACCCCGATAGACTTCCGGAACGCTTGCGTGAGAGCCTCCGTCTTGGACATCTCCATCGAAAAGATTTCGGACGACGCAAGCATAGTGAAAGGGACATCTGATCCGAGAGATTGGGCCATACCCATGGCGATTGCCGTTTTACCCGTGCTAGGAGGCCCTGCGATCAACACAGCTCGACCAGCAATTTTACCTTCCTTCACCATCTGCAGGATAACAGCGGCAGCCTTCCGAGCCTTTTCCTGGCCCACAAGGCCCTGAGAAGAGGCTCTGGGTTGCAAAGAGTCGAGATCAACACCGAGGCCCCGAATGTGCGAGTGGGCAGCAATGAGGTTCAGACCCCGAAGCTCCTTGGTCTCCGCGACGGTAGAAATTGGCTAACGGCAGTCAGCATCAAGAGAAAAATGGAATGAGAATGATGCTCCGGCCAACTCACAGCAGCCATAGCAACTATTTGAGTACTTGGGTACTCTTCTTGTGGACAAAAGAATACAAATCAAGTCAATTCGATATAGCAGCCAAAAGCTGGTCTGCAGGCGTTGCGGAAATGCAGACTTGAATTGGGAAGAGTTGCGCTGGGCAGAATCGGCCAGGCTCTAAGGATACCGCCTGTAACACCGCCCGGCAGAAATGTCGTTCGCTCCGGGTGCCTGGGGAGCCTTGGGCTGCTTGACCGCAAAGTGATGGCGCATCCATTAGGATGCGCCTGCATTTCCACTGTTGACTGGGTCAGTCTCGACGGCTTTTGCGCGTCGCTTCTGTTACTCGTTGCCCCTGCCTTGTTGATCTGTTTGTATCGTCTCTATGACAACTGGTCTACCAGGCAGCAGGATCCATGAATGTAAGCAAGTATCTTATTCTGGCTTTTATCTATACAGCTTCCCTCAATTTTTGATATACATGCACCTTCAATGGTCGCTCTTCCCGCACCCAAATTTATCCAAATGACCTCAATTAGAATTATGTATGGTCTCTGATTTAATGGACTCATTCTTACGTCTTCCCAGTAAGATAGACAAATTGCCATGGATCCAGAGACCACCACGCGCGACCCCCGCCTGGCTCGTCCTTTCAGACCAGCTCCTGCTCGCACATCATCCGGCAACCATCATCGACTCGGTAGACAACAGTTGAGCATTCCTTCTCCCACCGACATAAATAATTCCAATCCCGATCAGTTGATTCGCGGTGTCTCTGATCTCGTTCAAGCCGCGGTACTAGCTGCCAACAGCCAATCGGAGAGAGAACGATTGCAGAAAAGAAAGGATGCCACTACGTTACTAGCCACGAAAGCCAAGGGCTTTACGAGCTTTCCATCGACTGCAGCTTTCTTCCAAAAGTCTCTGGCCGAAGAGGACACGGAGTTAAGACGCGTTGACGAAGCGCTGAAAAGGCATGCGGCTAATTATAAACAGCTCGAAAATGCTTTGCGGCTTACACTTGCCTCATCTATTTGCGATAGCAGTAAGTCTGAGAATACAGCCGCCTTACAGCGTGAGGTTGAGGGGACCAGGAGCGATCTGAGCAGCGCCAATTGCGAGATAGTCAATTTGCGTGACAATAATGTGACACTGGAGCACAAAGTGAAAGAAATCCAAGATCGTGTGACTCGGACGGAGAGTGCTTTTTCGGATCATGCCAGCACACTGACGAGACATGCAAGGAATAATGCAGAAACAAGTGAGCGCGTTGCGCAACTCAGCTCAGCCTTGGACAGGAAAACTGGTTCCTCGCCCATGCAAGACCGAATCGAGAAACTAGTTTCATCGATCTCGGGTATGGGGAGTCAATTGGAGGCCCTCCAGGCCAGCAATCACCGGAAAACAGAAGAATACTGGGGCTTGCTGGAAAATGTGCGTCAAGATTTTGCCAACAAGCTTGACTCACTCTCAGATCAACTGACATCCTATGATCCTCGTCTGAGTTCAGTGGAAAGCAGGCTTGGAGAGGTCTCAACGTCTACCAAGTCCCTTCGCTCTGATTCTATGGTTCGATCCGAGTTGGATGAGCTAAAAAGTCAACTAAAGAAGCTCCAGGGTTCCTCCGATTTCCATAGCCTTACTCATCGGATAGAGCAACTCCAGGTATTACAGGCGATGAAAGATGACCTCATGATGTCTGAAATGGAGGAGCTCAAGAGCAATATAGAACAAAGCACCAAGGAGATCGTGACGCTTAAGACTGAGAACAAACAGGTTAGTGAAGCGCTTAAGACTGTTCTGAGTCGAGACAATTTAGACTCGAAAGAGCAAAAGCAAATCACAGCACTAGAAGCAACACTGCATACAGCACAACAAACCCTGGAGAGCGTTCGAGTAGGGCTACACTCACTTGAGATGCGCTACAACAACCTGTCCACAGGACCTCTCGTTAAGAGTATGGCACAAGTCATGCAGGAGATGTACCCCAACGCAGCACAGTTGATTGACAGGGTGAAACTGCTTACGAGTCAATTCGAGCAACGACTTTCGCAAGTGAATGCAAGGCTAGAAAGCCTGGAACGAACACCTGGCCAATCAGACAATATCCAACAATCACATAATCACCTGGCTCAGCAGGTTCAAAATCTGCTCACTCGACACGATGCTTTGGCGCAATCATTGATGCCTTTGCGCGATTCCAATGGACGAATGTCAAATACGGGTATATCACTAAATGAACTCAAAGAGGTCCAATCCAAGGTCACAGAACTTGCTTCGACAATCAGCACCTACATAGACTCAAGGAAGACCCAAGATGATTTCCTGATCGAGAAAATGGCAGAAGAACGAGTTTCTCTCAGATCCCAGACCCAGACTCTGACCAATGAACTCGTGAATTTGAGTCTACAGGTTACTGAGATCCAGGAGAATTTCAAGGCAGATATTAAAAGGTTAAAGGGTTGTCCTGCTGAGATACAAACTCATCAGTATCGACTTCGCCAGCTTGAGAATGTCACGGCAACCAGATGGGATGATTTGGAGGCCAAGGTCAAAAGACTCGAAGAGTCTGCGAATCAATTCCTTCCGAGTCAAGGAGGTTCCGAATCTGCGTCTCAGTCGCAACTTCCTGCCGCCAACACAGTAGCCCTGGGGCGGGAAAAGAAGCAACCTCGTATATTGGCACTTTCTGACCACGAAAGAGGAAGCCAGTCGTGCGCGAGCTCTCCTGTTTCCTTCTCTTCACAAGTCGGGTTGGAGTCAACACCCAATCCAGAGAGCAAGAAGGGGCTGAAGAAAGGCCCGAAAAAACGCAAGCGTCAGGCCGAGGAGCCTATCGTTGTCGAATAGATTGCAAGCATCTATGACACAACGGCATCTAAGTCCTGTACCATCAGGATTTAACGATGGCTTTCAGTGAATAAGCCTTCATGAATTTCACGAGCGCAGCCTCAACCGGTTACTTCTGTATCTCTCTTCTTTTCTTTTCTCTTGTTTTGGAGACCTGCTTAAAGCGAAGATTGTTTCCTCCTTCTGTAACTAATTCTAGCCCCACTGAAACCACAGCTGGGAAATCTCTGTTTGAAATCTCCTGCATGCACAGGACAAAAACAGTCGGTGGCCGTACACACAGTGCATGCGCAGGCGGCAGGCAGACCTCCTCAGGGTAGTCCCTGCTCGGGCTTTTCTTTATTCCATGGTGACTGGAACAAATTCTCTCCAGCAGAAATGAAAGAGAACTCTTCTTGTAGCACCAAGTCAATGGAAGCCTCGAATATTTCATACCTGCGTCTTACTGAGCGCATAGAGCTATCATAGCTTGTTTATGATCTACTGGCAAGTCACGAAAATAAACTTTCTGGAAACTTGCAAACCAGGCTGCGATTGCCCCGGGCAAGGTCTGCTAATCATCTGTTCCTCTGCTTTACAGCCGCAGCCCTGGGATTCAATGACATCTGAATCTCCATGGCTGCTCCTGTATATGATCCACACTGGCAAATAATTATACCTGAATCGGTTCTCTCAGCTGCATGCATGCACGAAGCACGCCAGTTTGGCGATATCCCAATCGAGTCATCCCACACCCCACACCCCACGCCCCACACCCCACGCTGACTCAGCATGTCACCCACAAAATGCAAGGCATAGCAGAAATAGTCTCTGTAGGTATGCAGCACTCCATTTGGCAGATCTAGACGGCAACTGGCGAATTACGCCACAAACTGGCAAATGGGACCGCCGACTGAAGGCCAGGAAATGCAAGAGGCAGCAACAAAGAGTTCTTTTTCTCTTTTAGCTGGGCTATCATCATATACCAGCTGGCAGCAGATGATATGATAGCTATCTCTCACACTCCTCTTGTAAAACCCACGGATACAAAACTGCCATGTACTCGCGTCCCGCACATTCAAGGAGGCAAACGGCAGGCAGGAGGGGGGTTGAGAATACATCCGGCGGAAGAGCTTAAACCGTCTGTCGGCAACTGGCAACCAGTCCGCCGCGTGCGACGGAGATGCCTGAGCTCATGGCCTCAGGCGATCAACATCGGCATGACATATGGAGTACTGCAGCATCACACAATCTCTCACTACCGTTCGATATCATATGATACAGTTAGTACTTCGGAACCTCACCTGTAGAGGAAACGATCTCTCAAAGACAAAAGAAAAAGATCAACCCCAGTTGAACCGTTGCCGGAAATTCTTCCCGGTTCAAGCCAATTGACTAACAGTGAACCCGGGATGACGCTGGTCGGGCAGCCGGTCCGGCGCTAAGATGTAAGCGTGGCCTGACTTGGACGGACTTCGTTTTCGCTTTGCCGATGTGGTTTGATATCGCTTGAGGTCGGCGGGAAAAGCTCCTAAGGAGCACTCCTGACGGGGATGCGCTGTCCGGCATTACCCAAGGGAAACAGTTTGATAGGCACTACGGAGTATTATACTCTCTAAAAGCTGCAAAATGCCGGCTTGGTCCCAGAAATTCTTCTATAAGGCCCCGGGATAAAGTCTTTTCTCTCTCTTTCCTTTTCTTCTCTCCTTCCTCTTCTCTTTGGTTTTCTTTTACCCGGTTGGCACGTGTATATCGTTAATCTATGAAATAACTTCAAGATTTTTATTCTTCTCTTTATTCTTAAGAGGGATAAATTTGTTTTTCGTTATGATGATCCTGTTGTGAATTCATTTATACCTCGCTACCTTTCTATGCTCTATATACAGAATTCCGCAGATCCGGCAGTCACGAGGATTGGGCCCTCCATGATCCGGTCTATATCTAACCTTCTAACTTCTAACTTCTAACTTCTAGTTGGTCCAATTTATGCCATCGAGTGTTATATTCGGTGCAATTCACGAAATGGGTGAGTCGATTATTCCTCGACTGCCGGACGCCAGTATCGTCCTCGCCAGTGAACGAGGGCTATTGGGATGAAACTTACACCCATGATGAGGGCGGCGCATACTCCAGCACTGGCGGCAATTCCAACATTCTCGAACATTGATGGGAACCTGAGCAGCCTTCATTAGCATTTGCGCAGTGCGAAAGATAGTCCTGAACATGCGACTCACCAAAACGGACCCAAGAAACCCCAGATCTGACGGACGAACGTGATAAACACTCCGATGCTTGCTGCCTCCTTGTGATAACAGTCCACCGCATATGTGATGAGCACAGTGGTTACAATCTGGTTGCCGCCGGCACAGATAGCAATGCCAATAACAGGTCGGATATTCCAGTGGCCCTCCTTTGATTGTTCAGTGCAAACCAGGAAAACAACAAGGCCCACGATGGAGCAGAGAAAGCCAATATAACTAAGCCAAAGGCGGTGCTCAGGCTGAGGCCTGCGGTGGATCTTCTTTTCGCGCAGTCTCATCCAGCGATCAGACAGAAGACCTCCCAGCTGTTCACCGATGAGGGAGCCGATGATTGGACCAAGAAATTGGAGACCCAACTGTTCGGCGTTGAGATCAAACTTGGTCTGCAGTAGAGACGGCACTTCGACCGTTGTCATGACGTTACTCAAACAGAAGACCATGGCGTACGCGGCTGCTGGAATGGCAACGCAAGGATGCGTGAACATTCCCAGCGGTCTGATAAAGTCCCATGGCGACAAAGGTGTGGGATCGATCCGCCGCAGCTGAACATATTCTCGCACCCATGCGGGCTTTCTAGTGTCATAATCACCACCAACATACCGGGTTTCGGGGCCGAAGAAAAGGTACAAGACAAATTGACCTCCGTTGATCTATGCGATGCAAAATCGAAATTGGTCAGCCACCAGCCGATCGTCTCCATGGTTTCTATATCAGTGATGAAGGACTTACTATGGCCAAGATCCAGTAAATCCACTGATAACTCAACCGATACGTGACGAAGCCAAAGATGAACGGTCCGCTTGGAACTCCCAGAGTCACCAATAGTGTCCAGATTCCCAGATACCGGGCGCGATCCTTCTTGAATGTTGTCTCCATCACTACAGCACTTCCGATGGCTTCCGGGGCGGTTAGCTGGCCCGAATCTCCCGCAACAGAGCGATAGTCCTGAAGCTTACCTGACGCTGGAGAGATAAAAAATGCCTGCAGGGCACGACAAACTGCAAGGGACGAATAACTGGTGCTTTCAGCACACCCTACATTGCAAACAAGACTGCAGATTAGGGAGAGCAAGAAGACAGGGCGACGGCCCCATCGGTTCGACAACGGCTTCCAGATCAAAGGCGCCACACCCAGGACTGCAATTTGAATGGAAGTCATGTAACTTGCATCGTTGACAGAAACGTCGTATTTGGTTGCAATTCTGAAAATCTTTTAGTAATACGACTCACTTTCGGCCTGTATGATACTTACGTCTCATAGGCGGGAATGATGCCTGCAGCAGCAAAAGTTCCCATACACGCATGAAATGCAACCAGAAGAAGGTTGACTATTTTCTGCAGGACAAGTCCGCCATTAGCCCATAAGCTCCTCATAGTCAAGAGCGCGTCGATCGCTGGAAGTCACCAACCTTCCATGACGGCCAGTTATAAGGGTCTGCAGGATCCATGCTGGGCATGGGATCGAGTTCCAAAGTGCCATGGCGTTCGAGCAGATAATCACGATGGGCTTTGGAAAGACGTGATGCTGCAATATCGGCATACGTTGAAGGAATACCGGATTCCGTGCTTTCTACAAAGTCGACATCCTCTTTGATGGGTGTCTCGGGCTCAACAGCTGTTCGAGACGGCTGCATCTCGAGTGACCCGGCCATCTCGGTGAGAAAGACCCTTGATCGAAGGCAGAAGCTAGGAGAGAAGTTCCAATATGGATTGTGCAAACTACCTGTCACTGGCGTCTTGATAATCCTCCCGGACGAGAGAAGAGTGGGTGGCAAGTGATTGTGTTTAGAGAATGAAGATGCTGAAGAATCACTGAGGCTTACAAGGTGTAAGCCAGAATTCAGAGGGTTATGCAGACCATTTCACGGAACACTGTCAAGGGAAAGAGATCCAGAGCGAGACTCCACGCAGTCTTGGGAGTCCAACCTATCGCTGGGGTCTGCAAATCTCCTCTCCGGGGCAAAGCCAACCGAATGACGAGTCCTGCTTACCACTGGGGCAAGGCTTGGGGGATTTGCGGAGGCGATTCCACAAAATGGTGAATCGCGGTAACGACAATGGGTGACTCGGTCTGTCAGGATGAATAGTGCGGCACAAATCATTGGCTGGACCGATCGCTATCAGGTCCCAGAGCATAACCGAAGACCCGACTCCGGGTTTTCCGCAGAACCCCAACCCAGCACTCCAAGGTCTTTCTCCAGCAAAGGACCCGTTAGGTCATACCGAGACGGGATAAGTTCTTTGGAGTGGATGCCGACTTGAGGTGGGAGGAGCCATGGCGAGCGGCATAACTTGCCCTTCTGGTCTCGGTTATTCTTTCTTCGGGTCCGCGTTCTGTTTCCACCGTGAATACTCCGCAATTGTGATCCATTTCAGCTGCGAATCAGAATTGGAAGTCCGACTTGACCCTGTGCGATGATGAGGATGATGATGATGACGATGACGATGATCATGTTGATAGTGCTGGAGGTGATTATGGTGATGTGATCAACCTCGAAGGCAGTGCTGGGAGACAAATCGGTCCCGGAAGGCCTCCTGAGAGGAGATTGTGGGGAGTGTGTGGTACCTGCCAGTTCGGCCGGAGGAGAACTCCACGCACCCATGCAGCAGCATCTCAGCGTCGATGTAAGGGGGAAAGCGCCTGCTACAGCCTAGGCTCGATTCCTAGTTCCCATCAGCCTCGCCCTGGCTAGTCTAGTCGACGGACTAGTTGACTAGCCAGTCAGTAAATGAACAATGGACCTTTACTCCGTATCGCAGTCCCAGGCACTCTGGCAGGGACTGGAGAATGCGAGCAAAACTTGGGAAAGTATGGAGAAGACAAATCTGGCGTCTGGAGTTAGCCGATGACTAGTCCGTACCATCACTGTCCATCGGTAATTGAAGACGGGACTGTTTCTCAGGCAAATCGGCTGTGGTTTGGAGGAGGTTTGCCGTACAATACCGTAAGAGGCATGTACTGCACATACAGTCTCTTCCGAGTTTCCCACGTGCTTTTCTCAATTGGGGTTAGTCTGGGTTGCCACTCAAGGTCTTCTGCCCCACACTTTTTTCGTTTCCCTCTCCGCCTCCCCGAACATTCTGCTTCTCCACGATCACTATTGATGGTCTATTCTTCGTCATACTGTCGTTGACTCGTCGTTGTGGAAGGCTGGCCCTTCGACTATCTTAGTCTCAATATTGCTGCTGCCTACGGAGTACTTACTCAATTGTGGGTGCAGGTGTGTGTGTGATACATCATACAACATATCTTGTGATTACTTGGGCTGCGCTTGGCTGCTTCCTTGAAGCAACACTTCGTCCACATCTCCCCACGGCCACCATGCCACAAACCACTTCCACATCCACACCTTCGCCCACGGCTACCACACCGACAACTAAGACTTTGGTCTGTCGTGTTTGTGAGAAGGGCTTCTCCAAGGCTGAACATTTGAGGGTAATTCCTCCCTAGAATTGCAGACTATTAAGTTCTTTTGTAGTGGATTGAACATAGCTAATCCTAGCATGTAGAGGCACGAACGATGTCGTAAGCACCCCGGATCCGAGCTCAGTTCCTCGTAAGGTGTGGCATCATGTATGCCTATTGGTCGTCACTTGCAACATGTCTATCACAGCACTTCACACAAAGCAGTGATTGTATCCCAATCTGTACTAATATCCGCGGTTTGAAGATACTGGATCGAAGCCTTTCATCTGCAAAGAATGCCGGCGTCCTTTCGCCCGCCAAGATGCCCTTACTCGACATGAAAAGCTACACGTCCGCGCTGCGATCACCAAGCAGGCTCAATTACATCAATCCGCCGTCCATGTGCCTCCGCAGGCGCCGCCTCTAGATCCTTTAGCCTGGGATACCACTCGAGCCACCGCGCCGGGGGTGGTTTCATCGTCGACGCCCAACAATGCATGGGAGACTTCGCAGGCGGAACAGCATCCCAGCTTGCAACATGCTGCCTCTGACCTCGACTTCACCCTGATATGGCCTGATTCTGAGAATCTGTTCCAAAGTATCATGGCGTGTGATACGACTGATCAGTGGCAGATGCCACTTGGTGCCCTGCCTTTTCCACCTGTAGTGCAGGATGTCAACGGGATGAACTTCGGCTCGCCAGATTCCTTTGACGATAGGGGCTCGTCCATAGGCGCCATTCCCTCGGGTGGTAGCCACCAGGCCGTGCGAGATGTTACTGAAATGGTCACGAGCTCGGTGAGGACTTCTGGCCTTCATGTTGATCACAAACTAACCGGTACGAATTGGACTTCCAGTCATCAAGCGTGACGGCTGCTATCAAAGCGACCTCCATAACATCGGTTTTCTTAGACGAGTGCCTTCACATGTTCTTTGTGCGATTCATACCTACCTTTCCAATCTTGCACCGAGCAACCTTCGTCTTTCGTGAATGCACACACCCTCTACTACTCAATGCTATGGCGCTTGGTTCCCTGTATCTGGGTCCCAAAGATTCCGTAGCAAAAGGAGAGGCGCTATGGCGCCTAGCCCATACTGCTATTGCTACTTCTGTAAGCTGTGCTTTCGCTTCAGCGAGGAGGGGATGCTGATGAGGCTATAGTGGCAGTCTCTAATCACGCATCGTGGGCCATATGATGCTTGCACAGGAGTGCAACTCTTAATTACAGCTCTTTTGGGACAAATATATGGCGCTTTGTCCAAGGTATGTAGCCTCACCGGCTCTTCGTAGTATCATATTTTTGACTAACTCTGGCTAGAATCGAGTCATCCGTACCACAAGCCAGGTATTTCGCCCACTCGGTTTCTTCTGGGCAAGACATTGTGGAATGCTAGACTGCGAGCCTTTTTCATTAGAGAGCGTGCCATTCCCCAGCGCACCGAGCAGTGAGAAAGAAAATAAGTGGCGAACATGGGCAGCCAGGGAAATTCAGCAACGTGCATTGCTTGCTTACCACATCTTAGACGGCCTGGTCGCGCAGATGTCCGGAGATGGTGCTTCTACACGGCACGTCGCCAATCCACTAATTCTCCCGAGCAGCGAAGCTGCGTTCGATGCCGGTAATGTCGACGAGTGGATTGCTACAATGAGATCTCAAAGATCAGAGCAGCCTTCGTTTCGGCTAGTCTTCCGCTCACTCTTTCCGCCCATCGGCAATTTTCGCCCACTGGATTATCAGTTTTCCGCTTTCGCCTTACGAGTAGTTCTGGAGGGATTGCAGTCCTTGGTTTCGGATACTGATGAAAGCGACCTGGCAGCCGTCGGTGTTCCTGACCGCTCAGACGTTCGCAGGGCGCTGGCCCAGGTGCATGAGACCATTACCATGAGCATTCATCTTTCAGCTCCGGAAAGACTTGAAGTTCTTCTTCGATGGCACACGATATGTCTGGACACGATGATCAACTCCACTATCCTCTGCAGACATGTATGCTCTCGTTACGAAATCACACAGCATGTCTCTGGCGGCTCTCGAACAATCCGACCGGGATTCGATATGGTCAAATGGGTCAATACTGAAGATGCCCGTCGTGCATTGTTACATGCCATTGCTATCCAGGATATCGTTGAGCAGTTGCCGAGAGGGCGTGCTCATGTTATCCACATGCCAAGCTCCTTGTTCTCTGCAACAACGATCTATGTTGTTTTCTCGCTCGCCGGCGTAACCAATATCCACCTCCCACGTACTATCGTTTGGCAGGACGCATTGCTCTCGCGGGCTGACCTCAACCTTGGATGTGACAGTATTCGCCCCTCGACTGGATCAGAAACTCGCCGCTTCGTTGAAGAAGGTCGGACAGACTCTCCTCCAGGGATGGGTGCAGTGCGCAATCTGCTATATGAAATGAATTCATTGCAGAAATTGTTTCGCTGCTTATTTTCTCAGTGGGGTATTGCCCACGACATGGAGGAGATCATCGACCATTGGATTACTCTCTGCCATTAGATTCCTTCTGTCGCGAGTTCGCACTGACTTTGCGACCATCTACTTGCCATCCTGCGCAGTGATCTCAACGAATTGGTGTCTAGACATCTTTCAACATTGATTGCAGCGACAGGCTACCCCGATTAGTACTGATTGCGTCTCTCAGTCACCTTTAAAGGTCACACTGTGGCGTCGGTTCAGCAATCTCCCGCAACTACGCCGCTTTCACTGTTACCAAGGCGGAAATTGAGAGCGCCGACGGAGCATTGGCCTTGTGGCTACTTGATATTGGACTTGCCATTTCTCCCGCCAGTTAGCCAAGGTCAGTCGTTATGAAGAGGCGAACAGTAGTCTGTCTAGGCTTCAACAGAACGGCACACCCTCCAAACCTCTAGAAATTGCCGAATAGGAAAGATCGCCACTGTCCTTGTGGCTGAACGAGCAGCACCACGGGGCTGGCGCAAGTTTGTGCGGAATGGCATGTCATATCCAAGAATAAAGGCCGGGGTCACTGCCCAGGCCTAGGAGCCAACGAACAGAGTCATTATTCTAACATCTCTTGCTTCTATTGAAAGGGCCAAGTAGACTGCCCATCATCGCGCGGCCCCCGCCCTCACTTTCAATACTTGGGATCGCTCAGCAAAATCGGACCCAAGCCATCGCATGGGAAGCCGGAATATCCGAACTTGGATGTTATGATTCAGGAGCTTCGCAAGAAGGTTGATGGTAGGCTTGAGGTTTGGGCCTATGGGGCCAGAAACAGTGCGGACACTCTAGAAGTACGCGGAATGGCTTTGCAGCCCTTACAACTCAATTACAAAATGAAGAGACAACTCGAAAGCGACCATCTAGTCAAATCAAACCAAAACAAGCCACATCGTATTACCTCATTGTGATCAGTCTATGAATGAGTATGCAAGCTATGCTATATATGCATTTGGAATCAACAACCACAAAAAATGCCAAGAGATTTTGAGCCATGATGAAAACGTCGAGTATGATCGTAAAAACAAAAAAAAAAAAAAAAACAATGCTGAGGCTGAAGGAAATGGGTATCTCTAGGCAATTTGATGCTCATGAGAACAGATGGAAGGTAACAACAATGAACAATGCGAAAGGGTCAAAAAAATAATGTCAGAGACAGAGAGCCACCCATGTGAAGCGCAGACGAAGCAGAGAAGATGAGAAAATAAAGCATGCTGAAACGTCGATAAGGCAACAAGACAAAACAAGATCAGGTATAGACATAAAAAAAAGCCTCATATCACTCAATCATCATGAAGGTATATATGCACGGGGTGTCGTATGTGTCTCGATGTTTCAATCGATATTAATTTGTGGTTGCACGCTCTGCGGCAGAAGCCTTATCGATGCGCAACAACGCTCTGGCGACGGACATGCCCACGTCTTTGAAGAGATCGTTGATAATCAACTCGCAAGCTCCCGGAAATCCCGGGGGCTTGGTCTCCTGCCGTCCCGTCCCCGGGGCTAGTCGGTCGATAATCTTTCCGAAGGTGAATTCGATACATTCCTCAATCATCTTCATTTTGTGGCGGAAGACCAAGAGGGACTTGTCCACAGACCCACCAAGGGCCGTGTTAAGAGCGGCAGCACTGCTATCGGGATACGGACGGAGACGTTGCGTAGGACGGTCGCAGAGAGCCTCTTCATCGGCATCGCGTTGTCTCTTGAGAGGATTTTTATCCACAGACGAGTGGTGGACGGCCAAGGGCGATGGCCGTGAGGCCAATCCCTGAGAGGAGGAATTGGTTCTCTCCTCGGCCATCCGCTGGACCGTTGCTTGACCGATGCGGTCCCCGACCCCCAAAAGTGCTCGATATCCCTGCTGCGGGGTGGTGTCTCTACTGAGTGGCCGGGCGAAGGCGGCAAAGACATCACTCCGTGGCCGAACCGGGGCGGCTACCTTCGGCTCTTCACCCCATATCGCCATCTGCTCCATCTCCTCCGGGGGTGGGAGATTCCTCAGCCAAGTGTAGACCCGGTTCATAGTGACCACAATGTCGTGCTCAGGAAGGGTGATCCGCGTAGCCGGTTGAGCCGTCGTGGTTTCCTTGTGCACTGGTGCAGCAGTAGCAGCAGCAGCGGGAGCAACGAGCTTGGGCTTGGTCCTCACTTCCTCGGCCTGACAACGGTTGTGGGCGTACTTTGCTCGGTCGATGTCGCCAATCCAGTGATTCAGAAGACCGAGAACTTCCTTGGGAATATCGACGGTCGCATGGGAGCGACCTTGTCGGAAGGCATCGAAGTAGGCGGAGCGTTTAGCGACGTAGGTATAGATGCGACGGCGACATGATTGCCACGAGTAGCGACGGCCGGTTCGCATCTCCAGGGTATTGGCGATTTTGATCCAGAAACTCTTTGGGTAGGCGTGGGCATCGTAATCATCCATGGAGGCGGCACATAATTTGACGAGACATATTTGCTCGGGGATGGTGAGTTGTTTGCCGCGACCGGGGTGGGTGGGTTCGATAGGCAGAATGGGTTTGTCGACTGAGGTAGATTGCGAAAGGGACTGTGAGGGAGAGTCTTTATCCATAATTAGAGCAGTGGCATTCGCAGCAGCGGTGGTAGTGGTGGTTGTCGTGGTGGGAGTGATGGTATTGATGATAGGGAGAGTGATGGGGTCGGGCTTGATCATAGCGAGGGTCGACTGCGAGGGGTTGATTTGAGATTGCGGTGTGCTTCTTCCCCATAAGGAGTGATCGGGCCGCACGGGGTTAAGGACCGAAGTTCCGGAATACTCCATCTCGGAAGAATCCCAATTCCCTTGAGAGAAAACACACGATCTTACAGAATTTAGGGATGGAGACAGATAAGCCCCTGGATCGTGGGGGAAGGGAGGGGAAGAAAGTGAAAAGAAAGGGTGGATGGGAAGAAGGATGGGATGATGTTGAGAGAAAAGAGGGAGAAAAGGGAAAATAAAAATCAGGAGATTTTGCTGAAATGAAATGGCCGGAAATAAGAAAAGAGTTAATGCCTGAACAGCCCAGCAGCAACTGATAAAACTACGGATTTACTGAGAGGCAAAAGACGAGAAGCAGCAGCGACCGCAGCAGCCAAAAGCCGAGCGGCGAAAACCGCGCCGCGTCCGCGTCAGCGCACGTGATCGGCGGTCGGCGCAAATTGGGTCGAAATCAACCGATCTTCTCAGCGACAACCATTTATAATGACAATGTCTGTCGTTGTAACCATTGCAGTGCATCGCTCTGCCTGTCTGTCTCAACCACTCAGACTTACACAGAATGCCACAGAGTATGGACTTAACCGCCTGATCGGGGGAGGACCGGCCCCCACTCCTCCAGAAACGCTTCATGCATGACAACTGAAGTCCCGTCCTACGCCGAGTACTACTGTACATACAGGCCACACATCACACATCATAAGTTATCCCCATTATCGTTGTCTCGGCTGCACGCTGGCCGGCCTTTGCCTTCACATTGCCATCTCCTTCTTTATCCATGAGCCTCGGCTCGCTAAGAACAAAAAACAAATCGCCCCGCCCTTTACCTTTCTAAGGTCTCAAGAGATGATCTCCCGCATTTAGTATTTCCAGCCCAGAATTCGAATCGACCCCCGATCTGCATTCCATGGATCATGGTTGGGCAATGCTATTGCTGGCCACTCGTCCAGCCCGTTCGGTGGAATCCCGGGAACATTCAAAAAGTGTCAATGCTTGGTCTGGCACTGACTGGTTCTTTCACCTGAGTCTAGTGTCGTCATTGCAAATTCCATCCGTGTTAGTCGCCCATGGCTGCTTCAACTCCATCCCACGAACTCCAGCTCCTACAGGTGTAGGCTTTGACATGAGGTGCGGAGTGGGCAACGCTCTCGAAGACCGTGGACACTCTGAGTTGCTACCCACCCCTCGCTACCCCAGAAAGGTCAGGGTTTCTATTTGAACCACGTTTAGTCCAGAGTTCGGCTCCAAACAGCCCAGGGCGATCGTCTTTCTTTCTAACACAAACGCGTACGTACGCACTGCTTCCCTGCACCCGCAGGATCATCAAGAGTAGCAACAACCTCGTATAATGCACGAGAAATTAAATCTGCCTTCATGAAGCCCATGATGCCACCGCAAGTTGAAGTCAGTATGCTGGAGGTAGTGTCATCCGTAGCGCCTGTACGAGGGACGCAAGGTCAGTTCACCGTGACAATCACCCGAGACTGGTGCACTCAACAGTATGTCTGTCCGACTGCCGTCGAGCGCCTCAACCTCCCCCGCTTAGTTGAGTTGACCCGAAACAGTTCTGTTTTGGGAGGATTCTCCGCCGCCGTTATGCTTTCCGCTGGCCGGAAATTCCTCAACCAGGAGCTGGGCGAAGGTCGATATCCCGACCCGGTGCACGCCTTCGTACAATTCCTCCGGGAAGTCTATCCGGGCGAGTCCACGATCACCTGTGACTTGCTACGAAAGTCGTCACGACAATGTGTCGTCACGGTTGAGTTGAAACGTGCTGCTGCTGCTTCGGGGTCCTTTCAAAGAGACTCGGGCACAACCACCACCCTTGGCGTTTTCACCTATGCCAATCTCTCCAGGGAGCAAGGCCTTACCCAAGAGCCCTATCCCTTGCCACCAGCAAGAACAACACTGACCAGACCATCGTTTCCCAACCGCCAAACCGAATGCATCGCAATTGACGACCCTGTCGTCGACGCCACACCCGTAACTCGGAAGATGCACTGGGTTGCGCCCCGCTCCGCCACCGGACTCTGGGGCCACCGTCTGGGGGGACACAATCGCGAAGTATGGCTTTCCTTCCGCGACGGCACCAGGATCTCGGACATATTACATCTAGCATATCTATCAGACCTGGTGAGTCTCACTTCCCTTGAGCAACTTTCTGTCCTCCCTGCCCGGACAATCTTGTACCCCAACTTCCACGGTTCCCAACCCACAAATCCCGATTCACGATCATGCAACCCCTTCAAACCTCGAAAGACGATCACAATAAACAAGAAAAATCTTCTAGCCGCTCCACCCTCCAGCCACCCATATCCCCGACTTCTATGCCAAGCACGCCATTTCCACCTTGTGTCTGTCGATCGAGTTCAAGCGACGGCCCGATCCGTCCACGGAATGGGTTCTGATCCGTTCCACCTCGTATCAAGTCGCACGCGGTCGCTACGACGTGAGCCTGCAGATCTATGATGAGTCCGAGACCCTCCTTGCGTTGAGTCAGCATGTGGTTTTTACGGCGCATCTGAAGCCGGCTAGGGCGGCAGGGAGATTATAAGGGTGACGTCGTTTGCTTTGCAAGTAGGGCGATAGTGGGACTGGGTTTGGTTAGTGGGTGTGAGTGCGTGCTGTAGGTCCAGCTATGAAATACTAAAGGTGAGGACGCTGTGAAGCTATAATTCCTGGAGCAGGAGTCTTTATGCATCACCGTTTTACAGTCTTCTACTATGCCTGGTACATACGCTATCCGTCCATTTTTCACGCGCGTATATCACGTCTAGCGATAGTCGTAGTACTGTATGTACTTTCTTGCTCTTGCTCATTTCTCGAGCCCAAAAAATGAGAAGGGAAAGCTGCATCTGAGCGAGCATAAATATACCAGCCATCAAGTCAAAGCATGAGTAGGTAGGGTTCAGGGTTCAGGGCTCAGGGCTAGGGTTGATATCGATGCCCCCCCACTCCTTAGGACTTCATGCTGTGAAGGGAGAATGTACTGCACTTTTCCGGATCCCAAAATCACAAGTTAGATTGGAGTTCATACATTAGTGTCATTGACTGTGCATACGAAAGGAGAATGTCTGAGCTTTACGAAGGCCCGCGCGCGGCAGCATGTATCATCTTGCTCCGGAGCTCGGATGCATGACAAGCGCAATGTGATCTATCGACTCCAGGAAAGTGGCCATGGTATGGCAGCTGTAGCCACTCGCCGATTCAGCCACACAAAATCGCCACTCCTTCTCTCGGAAGTTCTCAGAGGATTGGAGAACACAGAGACCGAAATGTTTATGTGGAAATGCAAGGATTTAGAAACAACAGTGAACAAATCCCACCCGAAGAAAAAAGCGTTACATATGCCATAGAGATTCAAATGACATCCCCACCAATATAAGAACCAGAAGAAACTTTGTCCATTAGATGATCGAATCCGATAAGATTGCCGTGTAGGTGTTGCGACATATCGTCCATCGTATGATAGTTTAGGTAACTCAGACCAACACCTGCGGAAGACGGAAGCCCTGCCTCAAAGCCAGCGGAGATAGATGGCAGGTCCGGCACAATGGTCTTTCGTGCATTCTTCTCCAACCGCGGGTTAAGCTGTCTCGGGGCCGCAAGCGCAGAACCACCGACCGGAGAGTCCACGATTATCACATCTTTCGATTCCGCGACCGGGGTTGCCAGCCCGGAGTGCACCACCACCTCGTTACTCTCGCGCTTGAACTTGAATTGTTCCTCTTCGCTGCCATCTTCCACAAAGATTGCCTGTACGAGGCTCTCACCGCGGATAGCACTAGCCCTGCTACCGTTATTCATGGGCCTGGTTGGGGTTTTCTGTGTGGAGACGGTGCGGCCATCTTTCCTGGATGATGAGGCTGACTGGCCGGCTTTGCTGACCCCGTTGCGAGGTCCTCGTGGGGTTCGCGGTGTCGACGAGCCGGACAAGCTATTGCGGCCCCGAAATTCGGTGAGACTGATGCCTCTGGCTTCGACTTCACCGCGTAGCTCGTCTGCCATCTTCCGCCAGCGGCGGAACCGGCCCTCGATAGAGTCGTAGCTTGCACCTTGCCCGAAGGCTATGGCCATGGCTCGATAGTCAAGCTGCATCAATTCGTTAGGATGTAGTCTTGTGGCTGAGAGGGGATGCTTGAAGGCCGGGGTGGGGTATTAGACTGTACATACCTTAAGGCCAGGATGTGCCACGATGAGCGATGCAATGAGCCGATCGGTAGACTCGGGTGCCTTCCAATTGACCATCTTGTTCAAGAAGAAGGAGAGAAGACGATGCTGTATTTCGGGTCTTAAGACCACTTGGGTACAATGTCTGTTGCGAAGCACAGCACAACACAGAAGAGCGTAGGAGATGTGAGACACTGCAAATCGAGGTTCTGACCAGAGAAACCAGAACAACAATAATGCTGTATTTATTGACAGCGCAAAACCAAGAATCCAGATGCACCTGGACCAGAACACAAGGACGTCAACAGATCTTCCCAGAAATAGAGAAGGGGTCATAAAAAGTCTCTCAAGTTTGTACTAAAAGTCCTGTTGAGATACGGGTTGCGATAGGTAGCAATCCTTGTCTGCTGGCGCTTTCTGTTTGTCGGGGAACCGCGGACAGGCAAGGAATGTACGATGTTGTGTTGCAGCGTAAGTCCGGCACAATTTGACCTGTAGAATTTGTCTGGCTCACAGAGAATAAAGATAAGCGTCCAAGAGTCTGGATCAGGGTGATGGCGTGCTGTACCTTGTTGAATGGGATGTATACCAGAAGACGAGTCACTTTGGAAAGACGCAGGATGCCGGTCGGAGGGAAAGCCCAAACAGCGGCTGCAGGCAAGTGGATTCCTGCAGCACGGCTCGAGATGGAGGAACAGATCAAAAGGCAGTAACATGTCTCAAATGGCTGCAGAGCCACCAGTCAACCAGGAGATTGGAGGAAACATCGCCGATCGTGATGCCAACAGTGGGGATGGAGGATGTTGAGAGCCGAGTTGTAAAGTTAATGAATGAAGCGAGTGTTACCTTTGAACACTGACAAGTCTACTGTACCGAAACAGGTCTTCTCACCGAGCGAGGCTGGCAAATTTCACTAAAAGCAACATTAGTTCAGTGCTAGAATTTTCACTGATACTGTATAGTCAACACTTTAAAGCAAAGAATCATCCTGACTGGGTCTTCATTTCTCTTTGATTATACTTGGTATTCCCTTCACTCTCTTCTCTTACTCTTCCCATACCACATTTGATTACCAGTCTCCTCCTACCCTCTCTATCTACAATCCTCTATCATCTAATCCAGTCTTCAACTCTCAAACACCAACATGCGTTGGACACCTGAGGCTGATCAACTAGTATGGCCCTCCCCAACTCCGTTAACCCAATCCCAAATCCGAACACTCACAGAAACGCACAGCTTCTCCTCAAGATACTCGAGACGCACAACCTCTCCGTCAACTCCAAAAAGGTTGCTGAAGCATGGCGTAGGTCCCTCCATCCCTATGCTCACATATGAATCTGATTCTCACCCTATCGCCAGCCGTTTCCGCAAATCAACAAGGCCCAACACCTCGAGCTATCAGCGAGAGACTGGTCAAGATCCGCAACATGGCCGGAACTTCCTTCAGCATCAGCAAGGGAAGCGACAGCAACACGACCCCTACTGCCACACCGCGCAAGTCCCGCAAGAGCGCCCCCTCCACGCCCAGCTCAGCCAAGCGCAAGCACGATGCTGTTAAAGCCGAGTCCATCCCCCCCGAGTCCGTGACTAAAAGTGAGATCGACGGCCCCGTAAAGATGGAAGTCGAAACCACTCCCTTTGGCATCGACAATACCCTCGACTCTACCCCGACAAGGAAGACACCTCTCGCAGTAGGAGCGGCGAATCAACTGTATGCGGGTCATCCTCTGTATGTGGTTAATGGGCCAGCTGCTCCTGTTCCTGTCGACCAGAACAGCCCGTCCAAGCGAGTGCGCAAGCAGACTTCTGCGGCTCCGGGAATGATCGATTGGACAGGCTATGACGGTGATGAGAAGGAGGTTGAGACCGAGAGTTCGGCCTCGGAGTACTGCCCGGATCCTGAAATGGTTGTCGCAACGCCTCGTCGTATGATGATGAATTACATCTAGATAGGTTCGCCGGTGTTTCGTAGCCATTGACAAGTCCGCCATCACTGGTGAGTCACCTGGGCTGTCGACAAGTACATGGCCGACATTTGCTACCACACCACTGGCTGCAAGCGTGCAAAGGCCTACGCCCTCGTCACCGCTACGGCCAAGCAGTCTTTCGTCGGTTAGACCACTGCTCTCGTCCAGGGTGCCAAGGACCAGGGTCACTTCAAGGTCGTTATGGCCAACATCGGTACCTCCCTCCTAGTTCTTGTGATGATCTGGATTCTCGCTGCCTGAATCGTGGAGAGGTTGTTGTGCCTTTGTCTTGCTTCCTAGATTTGTTGTATTAACCGTGCATCCATCGAGATTGTTGTACACTGGCGTTTTCGTTTACGGTTTCTTCGCCCGATAATGGGATGAAATGAATTCTTATCTGCAGCGTGATCACAGTTTCCAGCAGTAGCAGTATGTGTATCAAGTAGAATAGATTTCTTAGAGCTTCGCAACGAGTTGGAATAAATTCCCAGGACGCAAGAGTCCACTTCAATACATCTCGTCTTTCGATCTTCGACACCACCGTAACAACAACCGGAATCCACATCCTCATGGTGAGATAAGTAATTGAAGAACCAGATCTAGTCACATCAGCTCGGCAATCAGAACACAACGAACGACTCGATCCATTAAACTCCCTTGTCAATAACAACACCAATCATGTTTCCCTCCTTAGTGTGAGCACCCAGACCATAATCGTCTTCTGCCTCTGCTGACTCGGGCATAGCCGTCTTGGCGCGGCCTCTCTTCTTCGGAGTCACGGGCACTTCGAGATCAGCACCGTCCACCTTGCGAGGTCTTCCCCTCTTGCGCTTCTCAGAAGTAGGAGTCCCATTGACAGCTGAGTTCTGGGCACCAGAGGTACCCTTAGTGGGAGTTGAAGGAACAGCTGGATATCCATCGGCAGTCTCTCTCGAATTGGCACGTTCCTTCAAAATCCGAAAACGATGCTGGACCGCATAGGCGGTGCACTCTAAGATGTATTGCAATACGGATGGTTAGCTGGGGCTTTCATAAAGGGAAAAAGGTGCTCGAAGAACAGGATCCAGTGGGGGTGCGAGAAACTATTTGAGACATACCAGGGCCCAGGTACTGAGCAATACGTTCGTAGTCGGGCTTGAGGTTGCCGCTGGTCTTCATGAGGGCGAGAAGCAGCTTTATTATCCTTGCTGTTAGCTATGTTGTTGCTGCCAAACAGAGAAGGGAGGAAGAAGGGCATACCTTGGCATCTGCCGTGTCGTTCCAGTTCATTGGCATCTTGAAGACAAGCTTTGAGCTGATGTTTATGAGGTACTATATGTGTGGAAGTCAAGGGATGTGGTCGAGACGATAGTTGTGTATGGTACTTGTAAGGGCAAGAGGAAGAGACGAAAGTCTTAGAGGAGAGGAAGAGAAGGGGAAAGTAAAAGAAGAGGAAGATGAGCAAAAAGATATAGTAAGTAAAAAGAAAGAGATCAGGCCTAGGTATGATTCACTTAACAGCCAAGTACAGTGAGGTCTTACTACCTAGCAACCAACACATCAACAGTAAGGCTTTCTGGTTACCTTACAGAGAGTACCTAGAGCAACACACTAATTCAGTTCCATTATAACACAAACCTATAACGTGTTGTTGAATGCTTATCTTCCTGCTTCATTGAACAGATGCAAGAGAAGGCTTCACAACGCATCACCGCAAAGCTAGGTAGATTTCTCTATTAAATTCATCAAGGTGATTCTGTACGGACTGCATAGACAACATCGGCCAGATAGCCTACTGTACAGATTGATAAGCTATCATCAATTCATCTAATGTACTTTCTGAGTAACTTGCCACTTAGTCTCGATTAACGCATCTATTTCATCTGCTGCGGCTTCTCCTCATTTGGAAGACCTCAGTGAGAGACAAGTACTTGAACCTATAACGCGAGAAGTGCATACCATTCCGACTGTTCTCCCTAAACTAGCCTTTGACTCTGATGTCAGACGGCATTGGATGCACTTCGGGCTGTCCTACCGAAAAGGCGGCAATTATATGCAATGGTCAAAGCCAATTAGCATTCTGACAAATTGGTAGGTTACGCTTCTGTACCGGGAGGTCGTTTTTCTATCTAATATGGTGCTCCGAGACTTACCAAACCTGAATTCTGATACCTTTGGTGGTTGATTCCATGTTCTCAGAGTACGACCATCGGCGTGTCCGGAGACATCTCACGTATGGCAACCTAGCTCCTGAGCTAAATTGCATGCATAGGCTTTTGGCCGTAAACAGCGACACTATCCCCTCGAAACAGACCGTGAGAGAGAATTACTAGACTTGGCAAAGTATGAATGAATGCACAACTCGCGTCGACTTACACCTCGAAGTAAGCATGCACATCTGGATCACGGAGACCCTGCGCATTTGGGCTAAGAAAACCTGTACCTCTGCAAATTTCCACTTAAGTGTTTGAGAATACTGTAAGCATCCACCAAGCCGTATCCTTCAGTAGCACGCAAAAAGACAACCACAAACCTGAACAGTCGGAAATGGAGCAGACACCAGCATGTAATGAGAATCAATTACACTTACCTTCATGACTCGGGTGAGCAATGCCATAGCCCAGCCCTCAATACCGTGCTCGCAATGCACCTGATTCCACGTTCCTAGACTTTTAAGTTTCTTGTCTATGCTCCAAAGGCCAACCGGCAGTTTGAACCGGCGCTCGACTACATTATGGAAGCTTGCGTTTCGCATGTAACCAGCAGCAAATTCAGCAATGCGGAAAGTCTTCCCTAGCTTCTCGCTGGCCTCAATCATCGTCTTTGACCAGATCTTCAGCACATGATCGTCTGGCAAAGTACCATCATCTAACCGAAATTGTATGGACATCTCCAGTTGTTCAAAAAATCCTCCAGGACGCAGATGCCTGAACTGTGGTCAATGGTGGTGTTATTTTGGAGCGTTCCTAGGAGAACATGGGGGATGGGATAGGCCTACTTCAGAGCTTTGCGATAGAATTGAGACCAGTCTGCTATTGCTCCGTACAGAGTACGAGTGTGAATATAATCAGAATGACTTTTGGGATAGATCCAGTACTCACATGCATCGTCAATCACGAACTGCAGATTTGGGGGCACGAAGCTTGGTTGAATGAGTGAGAGATCTGTACCGATAACCTCGGCATAAGGATGCTCATCCGCAAAGTCACTAAAACAGCCAGCACTGTTAGATTTCTCAACCCACTCGGTCTGCTTCGACACGTACATTGCTTAAATACCAGTGCCGGTGCCTACATAAAGCACTCTCTAGGTCATTGTAAAGTCAGCACATGTTATCAAGCTGAAGATGATCCCCTAAGACGCACTCAACGTACCTAGATGTCGTTGCCGATTGGCGGCAAATATAGCCTGTCATCCAGAAGCAATGCAAACATGTGGTGGCTGTCGGTAGTGTCAGCTTGGAAAAACAGGTTAAAGCTATACTGCACACGCAATATCCAGTTGCGTATTCTGTTTATCGTCATTCGGAGCCCTTGCGAGATATAGAGCCTTATGGCAACCAAAAGAAGTGGAATATCTATATTGCGCACCAGTACGCCCCACCTTTATAAGCATAATATCATCGTCCGTTCTCATAGCGATACGATATGATCTCGGAATCTAACAAGAAGTATCACTCACTCTATAAGAGATTAACACTCGTCGATTATACAAGATTATATATATTAGTACCTAAACAGCTACATACAATTCCTCGGTATAGTCTAAGAACTCGTCATCGGACACCTGTCATGAGCCGAGATAAGCATAGAGACTTTTGTGACTACAAGCAGCCGAAATACTAGGCTTGTAGTAGCCAGGTTTTGGACACATACTGAGTCACAAGTCACGTCGTGATGACTCTCGCCAGGGAAGGCCGTCTGGACCATGGCATGTGGCACAGCGAACGGAAGTGGACCGACCCGCTGTAGGAGGTCCACGGCAGCATATACCTCGTGGATTGGGGGAGAACAAACCATTGCTGAGGCTTGAATCAAGTAGTAGTCGTGCAAGAGGGATGAAGTACCGGAAGCCAAGGCCAATGTCTATCCCGGAGTTAGTTTGCCTTGATCAAGTTGTGAACTCGGGGTCCGCCCCCCCTGTGGCGCTTGGTCCATCCATTTTAGTTATGGCTCGTTTCTTGGAGACCGGACAGTAACTGTGCTGCAGTTGTCTCGGGGATCCTTTCGGCCGCCAAAATGCCACCAAGCATCCGCTTCATGGTTGTGAATGGTCAATGGTCTCGGCTAAGGTGCGACTGGCCCCGTAAGTTCGACGTAGCGGATATCCCGTGCGTCTGGTAGGGGATTTGAAGCAACCCATGATTCGAGGCAGTGGAAAGCATCGTACAGTATGCGAAAAATGAATAGATCCATTTTGCTACTAGTAGACAAGGCTTTTGAGAACTAGTGGGATGGAATGAAGATCATTGGGGAGATGGGAATGCAAGGTGTTTTTCGGTGTGAGTGAGGGGTGGTTTTCTTGTTCTTTCCACACAAAGTTTGGTAAGGTACTTTTGCCCGGCTTCCAACTGCCTCGATCAATCCACCAACCAATATATGAGTTCCAATTCGGCGCGGATAACAAATCCTGAGTTCTCCACAGAAGCTCGAGACGATCATGTTCCATAAATGGGGCATTACATGGCTAACCAAGGTACTGCATCAGAGATCGCTAGCAATCTGATCTATAAGACACTATATTTCTTCTTTCTTCCAACCAGACGACCCAAATACGTAGACCTATCTCACTTCGGTAAACTTCCCTCGTCATTGCCGGTCATAGGTGCAAAAAGTGGTCATGATAGCACCACATGCAGATGAACAATCAATCGCACTTCAAATCGACATAATGGTGCCAATAATCAGTGAAAAAGCGTGTTATCTGCCGCTACCGTATCCTAGGATTCTCCATTCACAAATTTCAACGGACGTGGATTGCCCCAGGTATCACAAGGCAGAAAGCGCCATGACCCAGAATGCTTTCCAGAGAACAGGTAGTGAACGAACCATGCAGACAGCGGTGGCATGGTAGGCCACTGATTACCTCCTTCGAAGGTGATGTCGCGGAGTCCAAGCACCATGGGAGGCACCACATGCTGTGTCGAGGATGATCAGCGTGGAACTAGGATAAGAGAGATAGAAAGTGGGGGAAACTTTTAAAGAACAGGATGGAAGACAGGAAGAAAGAAACAGCTTGGAAATACCTTGTCTTGCTTGCCTGCCTCCGCCTCGCATTCCTTATAGACTTTCAGCAACGCGTTTCCCTCATAAGGTTCCATAGAAAGTAGACTCGTAATTTCATCACTGAGATGCTGGCGGAAGCTGGGAGCCAGCTGCTCGATCAACTGCCGGACTACAGATGCGCGGTAGTCTACAGGCTGTGTGTTATTACTGTATTCCAGAAGCTGCTTCAGCAAAGGCTGGAAGGTGTGGTGTTGTTTCACGTTGCCCTCGAGGAAGCCAGGAATCGCAATAACGCTTTCGAATCCTGGAAACATCTTCTCCTCTTCGAGGACATGATGATGTGATACCCAGCTTGCCCACGCATGTACGAGGAAGAGAAAGTCGGATATTTCCTGGGGATTTTCGATGGACGAGGCCTGAAGATAGATACTGTTCAGTCCCCGGAGCATGCTGTTGTGGGCAAAAGCCATCTCATTTGCGATGTAGACGGCAGCATGTTCCGACTAATGGTGCTCATTAGCACGAAACCAATAGTTCTGGGGAGAGCAGAAGATGCTCACAACATCACGAGTCTTTGAAGGTGTCGCGATCAGGGGCCAGGGCCCGTCAGCCCAAGGACGAGTTGGCTCAGATGTAGTGACCATGATGCGACCCTGCGATACTAGGTGTAGATGACATGCAACTTGCTTCTATCGAGCTCAGCGAGCAGCCTCCTTGGTATATACATACTTGGAGGAGAGGGGATAAGTCGGGATTGTAGTAGCCGAACTGACCACTAGCATCCAGGACCGCAGCGTTCATGTCATGGAAGAAACAAGCGGCCAATCAAGCAGAAGGCGAGCTGTTTTAATCTGAAACAGGAGATTGGACAGGGTTGGTTATCGTAAGCTTCAGATGAAAACGGGATACAAATGATCACCGATCGTAGACATGCGTGGGTGGCACAGATGATTTCTGCCGGGCCGGGCTTAGCCTCATCCAGTCTTTCTCTGCTAAGTAAGCGTTAACTAACCAGTTATAAGTACACAACTTTCTACGTGACGTGGTATCTGAGCGGAAGGCCCTTGCTAGTCACTACCTATGCTGGCGTACTCACAACTACGCAGTCTGTGAGGAGCCGGCAAAGCATACCGAGCGCTTTTGATATGTGAGCATCCAGACACCTAGTGTTTCTTGAAGACAACTGCCTGAAAAACATATTACTTATAGCCCATGCTCTCCTTCAATGGCATCGCGAGCCTGGTATTCTGTATATGTGAGAATTCGTCCACCAATGTTGGCAACCCTTGGTGTTGCAGATGATCCCTGAGCTTCGAACCGGTTTCCTACAACTACCGTAGGCATTGTTGGAACGCGGAAAGAGGCATAGAAGCGCGTCAACACTGCGTTGCAACGACCGACAATCTATGAGCTCATATCCTTGCGAAGTACAGGCGCTGATAGTCTCTCCATAATGAGGGCCATGTTTTCGCGGATTGCTGCCAGTCCTGGGCCATGCGATTCGGGAAAGCGAATACCCTCGATTCAGGTAACGTTTGTGCCCGGATCTGTTGCACCAGCGAGTGACACGACCAGGTTCTGCTTATCAGAAGTAAGTGATGACGGTCGAAAATCAATGTTCACTCATTTCAGACATGAACACCCTGGCGAAATCGGTCAGTCAAAGTCGCTGTATGCGACCATGAGGATTGGAGCCCATTTTAAGGAGGTACGAAATTGCGGACGCGGAAAACTCTCAGTACAATATTTTACCAGGAGTTGCTTGAATGGCTCTGCTCAATGAGAGTGATGTTAGTTTCGACAAGAATGTGAACGAATTGGAATGAAGCGAGGGAGAAAGAGAGGAGGGAGCAGGTTACCGACTTGCGCGTTGTTAGTGTTAGCCTAGCCTATCAGGAGAAATTTCGGACCCTGGGGAGAAGCAACTCCCCGCTTTCCCCCCTCCACCTCACCACCACAACATGGGCTGATATTATCCTTGTGCGAGTCAATTTCCCTCTTTACTTCCGCTTGCCAACTCACCCTGCCACAAGTGGCAGACACCAGCCACTAACATGTGGGATTGAGAGTGGCATGCCTACCATTTGACACCCCGACCCTTCAAGTGTTGCCCTGTCTCGAGTCTTCCCTACGCCAAGCACTCAGCCCTGCAAGGCTATGGAAGGGAAGCACATATAGTAGTAGCGACATACTCGGGAGTAGTATAGCAAACAATTCCTACATCACCACTAAATGCACTCAGCCACCCGACGGACGAGCATTCCCTTCCTCTGTACGCCATTTTTCCCACACCAGTGTTATATATACACTAAGAGCTATCGTCGTCTTGGCACTCGGCCCTGAGACCAATATCATTGCCATCACCTGTGGAGATGTGGCTGTTCCGGGATCAGGAAACCCCACCATCTACGGGGACAGACAGGACAGGACCAAGGGTCTAGCCATACCAAATCATAGTCCAACTGCTATACCAAGACTTCTGCCTAAACCGGTACCCTCCCTTCCGATCTGCCCCTCTCATGCTGGAACCAACAGAGACAGACGATGAAAGCGAGAGAGCCGTCAATTCACCGAGTTGTGAGTACAGCCCGTCGGGGGGGGTGGAGAGGTCCAGAGCATGGGAAACCCTTCAGGGTCCACCGCTGAACCGTCGCCAAGAAGACTAGGCGCGCAAGTGGGGTGGAGGACCGCCGATTGCTACGGAGAGTTTCAACAGTGAAACAAAAATAGGTGGCCGATACAATGATAGCCAGTCTCCCTGAGACATGCCTCTCAACTGTTATGGGTTCCCTTTCTAAAGGGAAAAAGACCGCCATTAGGTGGGCGGGGCAAGGGGGAGGCACTGGAGGACAACAATGATGCAATCAAGATGTACACGCTTTGGATATGTCTGTTTTTCGTAGGTGGCTTGGTGGCCGAATACCGTTCGCTTATGGTTGCATTGCAGTTTCTGATACAATGTATGCGCATCGTGCATACACATTCATCCAGAAAACATACATCTAGACATCCACACCACATGGAGACGAGGAGGGGCCCCCACGGAAGATCCAACACGGCTTCTAGGCTAGCTGCTTCCCACTCAGTCGCGCGATAAAGCCCACTAATGAGACCAAGCCATATGCTGCCGGAATGCACCTGGGCGGAATGCACCTGGGTGATGGAGGGGGGACCCTAGTGAATCAGCCCCTTCCACAATCACCATAGCAAAGGTATAAGAAGGTCCCATCTTCCCTCCGTTGTTACCAACTCTTCTTCTCATCAACACTCCATCTATCAAACAAACCCACTTGAACTTTCTCCCCAGAAACCCCTCATCTTCGCCGTCACTATGAGTTTTCACTTGAGTGCCTCTGAAGTCCGCATTGATGATAACCACATCTTGGTTGCCGTCCTCAGAAACGAGGAAGGTAACGAGATTGAATCCAGACTGGATTTGAACGAGTACCTCGGAAACAATGAAGGTATGTCCATGATAGGCTATGTGACAGATAAGCAAATGATTCTAACCGCCCTCCCTACATTACCAGGCCGCTTTGAATGGGGCGGAAACGGTTTTTCCGAGACTGCTCGCCAGGTATCCTTCTCCATTGAGGGTGGTGGTGAGGTTCCAGTGCTGCGCGCGGAGCTTGCCAACTCGGAGGGCGAGTACTTCCCCGCCGACGTCAACCTGTCCGAGCACATCGAGAACGACAACGGCAACTTGGTTTACCAGTAGGCGGTTACATATCTGCCACAGTGTTTTGACTCCAAAGAGTCACAGCTATAGTGGGGAAACTGCGCAGGTGAAAGGCCAAAGAGCTTAGCTGGGCTAAGAATTTGGCATTCCTACTCGTCTCTCTGCAGGGTAGTTTGAGATGTTGTGTCTATCGTATTGTTCATATCAGTCTCACCCAATATAAGTGATTTTAATATCCTCATCGGCAGCAAAGGTTCACGTCCTTGATGATATAAGAAACGTAACTCTACAAGCGAAAGATTATCAACACACTAGCAAAGTTGGTATACCCAGCCAAATCACTCCCTAATAATTGCTGTACTGTGGTTTTCCCGAGCAGCAAAGCCAGACGCCCTGAAGTACTCCTGCCCGCCGCCAGTGTATAATATACCCTCTAAACTGAAAAAGAAAAGTGAAGCCATGTAGGAGGTAAAGTATTGCGAGCGGTGCAGTCGCAATCACTTACTAAGACGAGGAGTAAGTGGGCAAAGAATCGAAAGAAGTAACCGAGCAATATCAGAAAATAAACGGGTAAGAAAGATCAAAAGGGTGAGCAGGAAGCGTGCTTCGCACAACAAACCTTACCATGTGCTTGTTTTAGCTACCATGCATGTCTTCCGTCGTCAACGTCGATGTCATTACCATTCCAGTCTTCATCCCCACTCAATTCGTCGTCGAGGAAGTCTTCTTCGTTGAATTGAGTCTCCGTCGGACGCTGATTGTCGATCCGAATCATGACGACATCACACAAGCCTTGAATGACGAGTGGCTCTTCATTATCAGCTTCCTGAGATCCTGGCCTCTTCTTGGTGAAAGTAGCTTCATCGTCCGAAAATCGTTTTTGGGCAATGCGCGCGCTTTTCCTTTTGGATGGAGTCCAAGTTCCGCTGTGTTGTGTATCGGAGTTGTTGTTGGCGCAGTCCGCAGTCCCATCTTTCATGTTAGGTGCGGAGTGAGACAATAGTGAAGGTCGAGGGATAGAACGGAGTCTCGGGTCGGGCGGGTGACTTCGTCGCTGGAATACTTTCTGCAGCTTGCCCTTCCATTTCTCACGAAATGTTGCTCGATCTCGCCACCCGATTTTCAGAATCGCGCTGATCACCAAACGCCTCAAGTTTTGTAGACTAGAAGCAGCGTTGAGAAGTGAATTGAAAAACACTTCCGCTGTCCTATCGTCCCAATTCCGCAACTGGAGGAGCTCAATCTCACGCAAGGTGGAAGGCCAAGTCGGAATCTCAGACACTGAAAGCAGTTCCCGAAAATGAGGCTCAACGTCGTGATAACTAGACCAATCATGCATGGATATATCCATTTTAAAGACCTCCAGTTGCTCGCATGATTCAGCCAGGTTGACTATGAAAGACATGCTCAAGTGACGGTTGTGGCTGAGAATCAATTCTCGAAGATGGCGGCCGTGCGTTGCAATGAACGAGCTAAAGCTAGTGGTAGTTACTTCGTCGCAGTTATTGATCGTGAGGGAGGTGAGATTGGTTGCGAGGTTGGGCAGGAGGTGATCATTCACGATTGAGCACTCTATAAACTCTAAGCGTCGTAATTCGGGAAGGTCGGCAAGGGCGGCGGCCAGAATTATTTCTTTATCAGCGGAGCTTGGGAATACCTGTCTGCTGTGAGGAAAGTCTTCAGACATGATGTGTAACAATCGCAGTTCTTGCATTCCATGGAATGCGGGTCGGATGTGCATTTCTGACATCAACTCGAGAAGCTTCTGAGTCTCCATGAAGCGGCTGTTCCAGTCCCAGCTACGAAGTCGAATGGGGCTTGTTGATACTGCATCGAAAAGACTATCTGGATAAGTCCATTTTGAGCGCTGAATGAGCCACGACGGAAGGCCGACAACGTAGTCATGACTATGATAGAGTCGTAAGGTTTTGACTTGAGGGGTCCTTTCCAGCAACTTGGGCAATTCAAAATAACCCAGGGTCGAACCACTTTTGTAGAACAAAAGTGCTTCGACATCGACATGCAGCTCTTTGATCTTATTGGTGTAGTTTGTAGAAAGTTGGTCCTGAGGTTGAGATAATAACTGTAGCAAGCTGTGAGACTTGGCAGCGGGGATCAGTGGAGGGCAATGATACAGAGCGGCCAAGGCAGGCTCATGGAAAGCGCGGCATAGTAGAGCGACTTTCACGAGCCATTGCACCGAGCTCTTTCTATTGGTTGTCCTTTCATCAATGAGAGGATATGATGCACAAACAAAGATATCGAGTAGTATGTGATAAGGGAGCGTCTGCCACGGCGGGATCACGCCCGAACCCACGTAAGGATCAGCATCGACTTGGATCTCGCGACGCTTGGTGAGCGGCCGCCCTAATTCCATTCGCTTCCTCTTGGTCGGGCGCTTAGCCTTCATCGTTTGGGACCTTGTTCTCACGGTCCGTGTACGAGTAGACCTAGTAGAATCTCTTGCATGGTTATTTCCTTCAGAAAATGTGAGAGGTTCATGTGCGGGTGCTTCACTGGGGCTAATCGCGTCTGTGCCCTCGTCGCCGAAATCGTCAAACTCATCTTCGGTGGTTTCCTCCCGATACGATGTCGGCATGCGATTAGAATCTCGGGGCCGCAGCGAATGCGATAGTCGTTCGGCGCGTGCATGATCGGATTCAGTATCCTCATCGAGCCGATCATCGGAACTGCTATCTTCGTGGTAGGACTGGACTTGAGTTCGACTCGATCGAACAGGTCGAGACTGCCTGGAGGGGCGCTGACGCGGTGGGGTTCGTAGCGTGGGAGCCATCATGAGGCGACGTTAAAACGCTATATCTCACTGCAGGGGAAGTGAGGTAAAGTAGATAGCGTCGCATGGACAGCTAGACTTAGACTGGAAAGGCTAGCATCAGATCGAACACCCAAGGGTAGCAACGAGCTGGTTAGTCATCCCAGACGCGTTGCTAGTAATCGGATGAAGGTCTCCTTGAGGCAGTGGCTCGGTGGAGATGAATAGAGGCTGGTAGGAATCAAATTTGCGGGGTCGATGGATGAAGTCGCCTGCCATGCAGTCCCCAGTTCTGGATCAATGCTTGCTCTAACTTAACGTTAGGGGACCGGAAGGGGGGAGTGGGATGAACTTATCGATAAGAGTGACTAGTCAAGTTATAGGTCGAGTTTAGTTACGTAGTTACAGCAGTGACGACTTAACGGAGGAGTGAGCCATTGACGGAAAAGGCCTAGTGCCGGAAGGTGATGGCAGAACGAAAGGGGAGCAATGACTAGTTAAGTTACTCCGTAGTTAACTTAGTAACTAACTGATGTGCGCGTAGAAGGGGATGATCATCCGATTCTTCTGGCCTGATTGCTCAGGCCACCGGCGGCTAAGAACACTCGCCCCTCACTTCAAGTCCAATGCAGATGACTCGCGTGTACTACTGTCTAAGCACGAACGAAAAGAAAAAGTCAATGTACAGAGAAAGAACTGAAGTCCTGCAACCAATAAATCATGGATCTGCAGTAGACTCGAACAGTGCTGTGGTCCTTTATGGAATATGCGTCTCGCTGCTGTTCGATTTGAAGCAACTTGATCGATTTCCGAGGCTTGACGGAGTAACTACTTCTTCTGCATTAGGCTAACTGTGCTCGCTCCATTCAAGGTTTATAGGCCGGTGCCTGCTGGAGCGGATCCATGGTGTCGAATCTCACCAGAAGGATAGCCCTACAAATCAACCTGCGTCCCCTACGAGTTAGTGCTCACAAGTGCTTATGTCTACTAAACCACCAACGGTAGCTATTCGTTATCACTAATCCTTTCCAATCTCCTATTTTTGCCCTGAGTTTATTTTGATCGTTTCGAATTTAGATCCTCTAGATCTCTGACTTCAAGATACTCCGAATCTGAAAACAGTAACACATGCGCTCATCCCCACCAGAATTGTCTCCCTTAGAACTACTCCGTAGAGGAACCTGAAGTGACGACCTGAGACTGTCCAGGAATTGGGACAATGGAGAAACCAGTGATTCAAGCACGAAAAATGCTTGCTCTGGTTAACAGTGACATCATCCCCAAGCTTGAAGCCATAGACATAGATGACTACATCTTCAGGAAAGCTGAACGCATGTACAGACTGCGCAGTGCATATCACTTTCATGCTGAACACCTATTGGCAGAGAGCCGCGCGAGGTATGTTCATGCACGGGTCACCGGCGGCCCTTCGTAAGTTGGTAGTTGTTGCAGGGGTCTATGGGCAAAGTAGTAGGTTCCAGCTACGGAGACAAATCTCCGGCTACGAAACTAATGATCAGTCTGCGATGGCTCGGGTCTTCAAAAGATGGTCGGTCATGAAGGGAAGTTGCTGGATTGTCATGTCATCTGTAGCCAGTTGCAACATTAACTAAATAAGTAGTCACGTGGTGCGTGCACTATCTGGCCAGCGGAGCAAAAGGGGTATGGATGGATGTTGATGTGACGGGCGGGTGTGACTGCGTGACAGGCGCTGGTGGTCGTCCAGCCATCAAAACTTCTCCCCCTCCACAGACTAAGCCGGGAGGGGAATCGAGGGGAAGGCCCGAAATAGAAACCCGGGCCTCAGCTCCTCTCCAGGCTATTATCCCATCGGCCGGCCTTCCTTAAAGCGCCCACTCTCGTCCAGCCACCCTCCCTCTCCTCTTTTTCCCTCTCTTTCTTCCTTTCTTGTCGGGCGCTTCTTGCGATCAACAATGTGGATTGATTTCCTCAGTCGCGGTTGCGATGGTTCATTTGCTTTGATTGCTTCAACAATGTTGCGTTGCCATTTCTATTGAAAGTTGTGTATATATACAGTACATCATCGCAGTCGCAGTACCTTATCATCAACAGGACACCAGGTACCTTCATCCGTGTACTCGATCTCCCCACGAACCTATCACGAGGGTTCGATTCCTCCAATCGCGCATTACTGAGCTGGCCCCCGAAATACCCGTGCTTTACGCTAGGTACTCACCTACTGGACTGCTTCTAATACGACTTTATATTTTGGCGCGTTCCAGCCCTCCAGTTCTGAGACCTTCCGCTGTCTTACTAGTATACTTATGCATTCCATCTCGTTTATTCAGTTTCATCGTTACATCGCTCCTTCAGCGTTTCGGCAAAATGGAAGCCTCATTTTCGAATGTGATCAACCAGCCTGTCCAGCCTGTCCAGCCAGACCGGACGGATCTCGGGCCTCCGCCCATGATTATCCAGCAGTACGCCAGGTATCCTGCTCCAGAGCCTGGACTACACACAAGCGCATCCTCAATAGGTAGTGCTCGGAGTCAGATTGCTACCTCCAAATCGCCCCCTCTTCACCGCAAAGCTACCCCGCGCAGCTTACAGGCGTCGCCAACCGCGCCACGTCCTGGCGTGCCCCCAGCGCTAGCACCAGCACCAGTCCCTACCTCAGCACCAGCACCAGTGCGCCAAGCAGGGTCGTTGTCGCCTTCCGGTTATGACACATTGCGCCAGAGATCTACGCGAGATCAGATGGAGCAGGCCGAAGCCCGATCCCTTCCGTCTCGTGACATTACAGACGCGACCATCGACGATGCCTATATCATGTTCATTTTCTACTGTAACCCAAACGTACCTTTAACGATGGACACCACGGAACTACGAAAAACCTTTAGATGTCCTCCACGAAGCGATGGAAAGAGCTTCAGTATTTTTGCGCTCTGGGAACTGATTAAGAAGCTCGATAGCAAGGAGTTGAAGACATGGATCCAACTTGCTATCGAGCTGGGAGTGGAGCCACCCTGCATGGAAAAGAAACAAAGTACGCAGAAGGTTCAGCAATATGCAGTGCGACTTAAGGTCCGTTCGTTCTTCTATCTCTGATGCTTCGTCATATAAGAAGGCAAAGCTCAAGCGCTAACTTCTGGTAGCGCTGGATGCGCGCGATGCATGTCGATGCCTTCTTCGAATACTGTCTGGGACACTCGCATCCTTATTATACCCAGCTTCCGCCCAGCGATATCATCAGCGAAAATCGAGATGGGGTACCACTTGAAGAAGACCTTACTTTGCGAGCTCTTATTCCTCAATGGAAGCCAAAACGTGGACGGAAGCGGACCGAACTCGAGGCAATGGAGAAGGCCGCTAAACGACCACAACTCGACACTTCCTTGGGAGTGATTCATCCAGGTTCTTTTCCCGGGCAGACCTCAGCATTTCCGACCAGCGCTATTCCATTTAGCGCCTTTCCTGATGACATAGAGTCGAGTGATCCGTGGATGGGGAACGCACAGTCCTTCTCAGCGGAAGGATCGTCTATGAACCATGCTCCCCAGCAAAGTCAGGACTTACGGTGGAGGCCTATTGAACGCGATGCCTCGCCCAATGGCTATCCTCATTCAGCCATCATCCCCAGGACTAATCATCAATCGGAAATCTTCATTCAGCCTGCAGAGCCACGCTCAGCAGTAACACCATCGACCGGCGAGAAGACGCGCGCTAAAAGACGCCATGGCCCAGCTGTGTCATCCGCCTGGCCTAGCAACAACGGAAGCAATGGGAAGACGCGGGGCCGACCTCCGAATCGAGGAACGGTGTCAGGTCCATTCTCGTCCTTCCCCGTAAACCCTGTTCGCACCGAGTCTGCTCACCTACAGGGTTCCGCAGTCCGATCGTCTCCCGCTATCATACTCGATCAAGATCATGCGAGTCGCTTTAGTGACTCGTCATACCAACAATCACCTACACCGTTTCACTTGGGGCCCAAGCCGAATAGACTACAGCTCCAGGTGCCACAGCACCCTGGGGGCCCTGTGCGCCTTGCGACACCTCCGACCTTGGTTGTAAATGGAATTCATGGCGCCTCTGGCATGATGAAAACAGAGACTGTTCAGCGAAACGGGACATTAGCACCCCTCAACGATTATGCTGGTAATGTCGGCGTCACCAATCCCTCTTCGTATGCCAACCGCAATACTGTTCCACAAATAGAGATCACATTGGACGACGTTGTGCGTGTACTAGCAGGCGAGCTTCTTCGCGGCAAAGTTGTTGGTCGGTCCGCTTCTCTCAGTGCGGACGAGGGACGGGCTTTGGCCTCATCTGTTATTGCAAGCCTTACATCCACTTACGGCAAGCTACCAGGCAACTCGGCAGCTCTCATGTCTGCATTGCATCTGGGTCTAGGACATCAATTTGGCTATCCAGGTGTTACCGAAAGTGTTATGACCATCCACATCGAGACAACGCCGCTGGGTCCCTCCAATGTACCAAGCCCTGATAACAGCACGCCGAACCATGTGTATACCATCATGCATGAGTACAAATACGGCCTTCGGTTCGCAACCAAGGTGACATATGGAAATCTCAACATCGGCAAGCCCGATAGCACCAAACTTGAAGGCTCACTCAGGACGACTGACGAGCTGGAGAATAGTGTTGCGGAGCTGGACAGCATGACCGATGCCGAATACGAAGTCGACGGCGCAGAGGGGGCCGTCCCTGAAGCCACTTGGAGGCAACGGTACTTGAAGCTCCGAGCGCAGATGCAGAAGAAAGAACGCGCTCTATCTACTTATAAACGCAAAATCTTGGAGTCTGTGATGGCAGACCTCTAAGCGGACATCCCTTACTCTTCTTGGACCAGCGAGGTCTACAGTGATACCCTACAAGATGATGTGAGCCGTGGAGGCGTAAGGCCTGCACGTGCCATTTGAATTTATTTTTGTTAACCATACCCGATTCTAGGACGAAATGGCTGTTGTCCTTGTGTTTGGTCTCTCATTTTACTGATACCCTTTGAGCACACTTATCTTGATATGCCATCGACCAACTATAGATTTGATGCCTCTAATTTTCCATGCATTCTTGGTCGCAATAGAGTCTTTTCGAATTCTATGCACACCATCCTTATTCCCTGAGAAATGATAGAATCATCCTTTGCGACTCTAGAAGACCGATGACTGTATCGTAGTTACAAACCGCCCGCCTAGTAACCAGAAAGGCGAAGAGCGTTAAATAACTGAGCCAGTTCTTTCGCTAAACAACCAGTAGTCTAGAGGTCCACATTACCTAGGAGTGACTCTAGGAGTATGAAGGACCCAAAGCGCTACGAAAGCCTCACTAACCGAATCCCAAACGAAGAGTGCGGATTCCCTTCCACCACAAAGTTCTAAGTAATTGACTCCTCTTCGGAAGCAATATCACCCAAGCCAACCAGATCCAACCCAGGCTCTTCCTTGATGTTCGCCTCATCAGTCAATTGCTCTTCCCTGGCCATGTCGTCCCCATCAAGACTAGCATCATCGTCACTATCTTTCTCCAACTTGACCCGGTCATCCCCGGAATCAGTCATCTCCACCAAATTGTGCGCTCTAGCCACAGCCAGCTTCTTCTTACGCTCATGCACTGTCTTTACTTTCTTCCCCTTCTGTCCAGAGACCGAAGCAGCAGCAGCAGCAGGGCCCTTGCGCTTCCGCCCCCTGCCCCCTCCCCCTCCTCCTTTACCGTTGTTGCGTGAAGCCTCACCAATATCAGATCCATCCGCTTCATCTTCTCCGGTCTTCTCATTGTTAGTGGTACTGTTGACCGTGCTTCCGCCCGCCGGGTTGATTTGGTGAGCTTTCAGCAGACGTTCGTAGCGCTTGGCTCTGCATTGAGGTTGGGAGCCCATTCGTTAGTCTGTTTGTCTGTCTTTGTTTTTTTGTCTGCATCGTGGCCGCATGAGGATGGAGGCATGACCTACGCAGCTCCTTTGGACACGATTCCGCATTCATTAGCGACTTTGGTGAAGTCAATCTATTTGTGTCGAGTCTCGTTAGTCAAGCTCCTTGGTAACCTGGTTCTGTCCATTCCTCCGGAAGTTGGGGGGGGGGCATGACAGAGTAAGGAAATGGAACAGAGAGATTGCTTCGAGATTGGCTGGCTTAGGTATAGACCTGAGCAGTTGGGAATTGAATTGGGGAAATAATCGAGGAACTGAGACTGAGGAACTTACCTTTCCCCCGCCGGTCGCGTGGCGGATGCAACTGAGCAGGAACTGCACATGGTCGTCTGCCGTGATGCGCGCGAGTTTGGATCTCGAGGGGGTGCTTGGAGCCATTCCGTCTTGGGTTGATGGTCCTTGTGGTCTTGCTTTGAGGTGCTTGTAGTGGTTTGTTGTGGAGAGTGTTGGTGGATGGCTGGTGGTGAGGTTTTGATTGCGAGGTGGAGGTTGTGTGTAAGGAGATGAGGGAGGATGGATGAGAAAGATGGGGTAAAGAAGTCAAGTGAGAGAAAGATAGGAAGAAATGCGAGATTATATTGGGAGGGGGTGAGTCTTAACACCCGGGCTGGTGGGATGGGGGGTTTTGGCAGTGAGGTGTCGGAGGGGGGACTGGATGAGTCGACATAGACTGATCTGTTAAGGACGAAGTGATGAATGAGTTTGGATTTCCTGCTTCAGGATAATCTTGAGATCTAGAAGAGCACGTGTAAATGAGATACAGTGCTTAGAGGATTACTTCGGTGGGATAAGAGAAAGCGAAGGCAATGGCAGTCAACCCATTGTATTCCATGCAGCGACAACTTCATCTCCTCCAATCTGCTATCCAGGCTCTTTCGTGTTGAAGGCAGAAGCAACAGCAACAGAACTTTTCCCCCCAAGGATCAAAGTTGATAACTGGCTAGAATTGAAGTGCAAAGACTGCATACGTGGCAGAAAACCCCCTTCCCATGCTACAATAGCCAATCTCTGAAAAAGACAACAACATGAGATCGATTTAGAAAATCGAGAAAAACGACAGCAAATATCCCACTTGCCTGTAGTACGAATAGCCGTAAGCGAAGGAACAGATCCGCGACGTAGAAGATAGCTTTACCCAGTGTCGGCAACAGCTTGAGAAGACTTAGATCACTTCGTTGTTCGGAACAGTCTCATCCTTCTCCTCAGGCGCAACCATAGCTTCCCCTTTATCAGCAGGCTTGGTGCGGGCAGCAGCACCCTTCTTGCGGCTCTTCGTGTTTACTTTCGGATCAAGTTCGGACTCAATCTCAGCTTCATCGACGTGGTTGAGCTCATCAGTCGAAGCCGGCTTGGCCTTGGCCTTGGCCTTCTTGCGGGGGTTACCCTTCACAGACGCCTTGCGTTTAGTAGGAGTAGCTATCTCGGGAGCAACTTGAACGTCTTGACCACCAGTATCTCCAGCCGATGCGTTGTCTGTCTTGCTGGGGCTGCCGACATGAGTGGCTTCGAGCTCGAAACCGTAACGCTTGCGCAGGGTGCGGAACCGGTTTGCAGTAGATTGAACGTTGGTGTGACCAAGTGCGGCGGCAACCCCGTTCAAGTCAACCTGTAAAGAGTTAGTAATGATCAGGGTCAAGGATGAGTGTCAGAGAAAGGGAGGCGACCTGTCTCTCAGAAGTCATGTTCATGAGGCATCGGACGATGAACTGAGCATCTGCCTGAGGAATATCATCGTCGGACTTGGTCTTAGCACCAGCCATGTTGCTTGTGGTGGAGTAGAGTAGGAGCTTAGAGGTCAGTTTGCGAAGGTTAGACAGGGCTATCAGGCTGAACACGACAGGTTTACGGTAGTGATATGGTTGAAGGCGAAGGACTGTTGTGGGAGATGAGCGAGTGAGTGAGTGGAGGTGTGCAGTGCTCCGAGGAATGTTGTTGGAGGAAACATGGAGACAGAAGGTCAAAGAACAGGCCTGACCTCCTCATCTCATAGCTGGCTTCAACCTTGGAAAGAATTAGAAGATCAAAGATTGACTTACACAAGTGAACGATTTGACCGAAGTCGTGTAAGGATTATGTGGAGAGATAGGCTGTCGCATGAAGGATGCAGAAGATCGAAATGGAGTCAATACACGGTCAGAAGTAAGAATCCTCGGCCAGGGTAGACTCTATTCGATTGGGGTCACTGCCATAACACTAACTGCGAAGCACCACCTGATGTGTTTTCAAATCGGGTCATCGTTCAAAACTTGAAGAGAACACATGGTCTCTTCCGTGCATGAGGGGGAGAGAGGGTTCGGAGTCTACGCAATCATGCGATTATCAGGCTGTATATCATGAAGCAATCTTTTTGTATTGATGTCGCGTCTTCAAATTGTAGAAATATCCAAATGCGAATCTCAATAAAGCACATACCATGAACATCACTTCTTACCTCCTACAAAACTTGCCATCAGACAGGCCCGAAAGCATGCAAAAGAAGAGCCTGATTTCCACATCTGACCATCCTACTCCTTCTTAACAGCAGTGTCATCCAGCAGATGTTCCTCAGTCAGATGCTCCTTTTCCAGCGGTTCCTCCTTGATCCGATGCTCGCTCTCCGTCTTCTCTCCCGCGATCACTTGATTTGACTCAGGGTTAGACCAGTAGAGACTGGCTTGGTTGTGATATACCAAGGGCCAATCATAGTCATAGTACCTTAGCCCGTGCTGGAACTGAAGCTGGGGCTGAGGCTGATACTCAACTGCATTCCCATACCCGCTCAAGTCGATTGGGTTGTAAGCTGTAGAGCCCTGCGGCATGATCGATGTCGACATAGTTGCCATCGGAAGAGTCGACATTGAATCAGAGGTGTGGTGAGGAACATCATCCAGGGAGGGGACGTTGCAAAGCTTAGGATTGTGGTCTGGAGTGTGGTTTGGGGTCAGGTCCACGGCGTCCCTGGCAGAATGTCCCGAGGAAGATTCTTGCCAAGGAGGCATATAATAGCCCGGATACTCTTGCTTCATTCCCGGTGTAAAAGTCATGGAAGGAAACTGACTCGCACCTGGCTGATGAGTAGACGGCATTGTGGTGGGCGTGAGAGGTACGGGCTCTTTCATTAGAGAATGAGTATGCTCGCCCTGCTGTTCAGGGGATGGCTGTTCAGGGGACGGACTTGGAAGAATCTTCTGTCCAGTCTTGGAAGAACGATTCTTGTTCGACTTCTGTTTGTCCCTCTTAGATAGAGCAGGACTGGAGTCTGGATACTTATTCTCCATCTGGGATTTGAAACGAGCGTATCGCATCCGGGCGGCATGGCCATTGGAGATTCCACAATCTCGTGCCACACCCTCCCAGTCAACCTGACTCAAGTTAGACACGTCCATAACATCACTTTGAACAGGACAAACCTGTCTGAGTTCCAGCTGTCCTAGGATGGAGTATAAGAACAAGGCCGTTGGAGTATCTGTTTCAATGGCCTTGCCACGTTTGGTAACCTCCTTGGGCATGGTTGAAACTAGAATTTGGGAGACGAAAGCTTCTATGATAATAGAGAATGAAGTTTCTTGACACGGGAGGGTAGGGGTGAAAGGTCGAAGAAGGAATTGCCAGTGGAGAGGATAAGCTCCACTTTATAATGCTCATCCATCGGTGCCCAAGCCATGTTTGTAAGATCAGCAATTCACTCGCATAATAAAGAAAGGGTGAAATCATCCTCAATGACATCGCACATCCACTCTGAGATTCACCACATCTCATACGCATCACCGCATACATTACAACGAGTATTGCACCCCAGAGTTAGCTGACGATCACGTGGTCATTTATACCCTGATTAGAGACACTTTGATTTGATTGAGTTTAATTGAGAAGAAAGAAAGATCACAACTAGTCTTAGATCAGACTAACTTGCCAATCATTTGCCAAATCTGGTCGTCAAATCGAGCCTGTGGTGGAGACCGAGCCATCCATGCCACTTTGCCTTGGTCAACCCAGATGATCATATTCCAAGACTGAAGATAAAAATAGCGACTAAAAGATCAGGGAATTCATGACAGGTAGTAGTATCCAACAACTAGCTGTATAACAGAGGCCCTGAATCCTCGTTGGGTCACCACCGTACTTCCTTGAATTGCCTCAGCTAGCCCCAATAGCCCCAATCTCACCACCATCAAGCCTCAAACATATTACTCTATATGCTGGATACAGCATGTTCAGAGATAGATGCTGCCTCAGTACTATCTACATCACAATTACAATCATCAGCCCAGTAATCTCTGATTTGCCTCACATATATCGTTTGAAGCGAGGTTAATTACGGCATAGCTTCCACAGCAAGCCACAGCCTGTGATTTTCTATGGGCCTTTATAGTTGTACCTAGCTGGGAGAAGCTGCGTAAGCTTTTTTTGAATTACATCGAGCTTGCTGTGACATCGCATATCGAGGATGATAGCAGTCGTGATGACATCGTTGTGCCACATGACTCACAACTCGCCATGGCATCGACAACCTGCCATCTACTCACTTCCTGGTGCTAAGGGTTCTTTTACTCTACTTACTACGTGCCAAACTGCACTGAACGACTTAACCTACCTTAAATTTGCTGCTCCTATGCGCCTTCAAGCATTCTTGACTTGACTTTTTGTCTTTGAGCATAACCTTCACCATAAGAATCTTGGTACGAGACCACAATGAAGAGAACCAGAACCAAGGCTATATCAAGAAAGAACTCCCCAAAGAAGGAAGATAGTCAGAGGAACAAACGTCCCAGGATGAAGTGGACAGTTCCTTCACGTCTATCGCTTCTCCTGGAGATTTGCAAGGTGAAGAATGCGAGATTGTCCGAAGAGCAGTGGAAGGAAGTTGCGAAGAGAATGGGTGCCAGTTGGAACGGCATCCGGTGAGTTTCGTGTTTCCCCTGCTTGGCCAGATTCCTACTTTGTACTGCTTTTCATAGAGCTAATACGTCAGTTAAGGGAGGAGTACGGTAGGCTCATGGGCGAGCGTTTTCCTGATTGGAAACGCAAGTTCAAACCCGATGCCCCGTCATCTTCATTGCCTTCTACCACCGAAACCCCAGCAGTTCAGGCCCAAGGCAATGCTACCTCTCAGCATGACGAGTCTGAAGAGCGTGACCCTGAAATTGGGACGCTGAATTCTGATGAAGAAGAGAATGTTGCGGAGGTGGATGAAGAGAACGTTGATGCTACCGAGCAGACCTAGGTAAGCTGCTACTCCAAGCGCTCTCAGTCCATTGCAGCTGGTAACACGATAGAAAACTATTAGTAAATACTTGCAGTCTTTAGTTGATGATCATATTGTGACGCTACTGAGATCACGGCATTTACAATTCTTTCGTTCCCCTCGATTGCCTTACATATTTCCGAAGCGTAGGAGCGAATTTGACTCTATCACAAGTGGCAGGACATCATAGCCTTCGTCTATAAGCTTTGCAATTCGCGCATCAAGGTCTCTAGATGTCTCTGCTTTTCTTGTCGTTTTACTCCGTTCCACCACAGCTCTCTTGCCTTCTTTCTGTCGTTGAACCCCTGCCTCTGGTTAAGATATTGGACACAAGTTGTTGTTCACCTTACCTAGGTCACTGAGTGATCATACTACTCCGATGTTGGCATGGGAAGAGATACTAGCCATGAGATCTGAAGCAATGTTAATTCATTTGACGTTAGTATGCGCATTGAGATTGGCAATTTGAGCTTGTAGTACGAAGTATAGTTGCGATGATGTCGACAGTGGGTCATGACTAATCCCACGGCAAATCAAGGTCAAGCTCTCTTCAACGCTCACAAGGCTCATGAAGCACGTCCTGGGCTCGACTATTTGTGATTTCGAGACTCGACAGAGTATTGTTCCCGGAATATACTTTGACTGGCAGAATGTCGCTGGTCGCAATAGGCGCATGCTATTTAGACACAATCTTAACGTTGGTCAATCTAAATGTCCTTCCCGGTACGACGCAACGGTATCTAATGTCTATGTATCAGGACCCCTCATTATCCTGGCGAGGATGAGAAACTTCGAGCTTCCAACATCTGTCGTCGAAGAGGGGGTAACTGCCCGAATACACTTGAGGTTCTCCAGCAATTGGTCGCTCACGGTTCCTCCCCGGCGGAATTATCCTTGAACCTGGTAGCAGTTCTGCCCGCACGATCGTCAGCTGCTTCGCAGCAGATTCAAGCGGCATTTGAACCACACGTGCGCATGGATCATTGCATCTACCGGGATGAGCTTACAGAGCCTGCCTCAAGTTATATCTTCAAAAGTCAGGCATCGGGAAGCCGGACCATCGTGAATTACAATGAGCTTCCAGAGATGAACGTTGATGAATTCGTCAAGATTGCCGAGGCCTTGGGTTCAAATGATTCATGGTTCCATTTCGAGGTCTGTGTCTCTTCACCTGGTTGTTCATTGATATTGAGATTAATGACTCCATTGATAGGGAAGGATACCCGAGGTCACGCTGTCTTGCATACATTATCTGCGGGAACAGTTCCCCGCGGTCAAGATTAGTGTTGAAGTAGAGAAGCCAGAACGGCCGGGCTTACAGCAGCTCGCGAAGGAAGCCGATGTTGTTTTCTATTCAAAAGTTTGGGCTCAGGTATGGACTTTCCTATGAATTATGCTCCCACCACGATCAATGCTGAGCAGTCTTAGGGAAACGGATATCATTCGGCTGAGCAGTGCATTCGAGAGCAATCTTCCCTGACAGGAAAGGCGTATGCGCAGAATCCGTCAGCATCTTCTTGACTTATTTGCTAATCACGGGTAGCAGCTCGCTCCTATGCTGTACATGGGGTGAGTATGGAGCAGTAGCACTGGAAACTGCTACCAAAGAGTTAATTCACCAGCCCGCATACACCGCGGCAGATTTCAAAATCGTCGAGTAAGTAGTTACCACGTGGCTTGATGGGCATCACCATGCTAAAATTACCGCGGCAAAGACTGACGCTACTTAGTACAATTGGTGCTGGCGATAGCTTCAACGCAGGCATGCTGTACGCGCTGCTTTGCCGGAAAGATGAGTGGGACCTATCGCAGAAGCTGGAGTTTGCGAACCGGGTCGCTGGGTTGAAAGTATCCCAGGAAGGATTTGCCGGTCTTGGTCGTGCGCTGGATTGATTGGCTTGCATTCGGAAGATATTTGCATCTTCCTGCAGCTGATCGGCGGAGTGAACGGAAATCTCTCGAACTATTAACGGGCCTTCCTATGCATTGAAATAATCATAAAGATGATTTTTTAATATCGTTTCATGGAGATGCAGAGTTGGAATGGATTCGAGATATAGTCTGAGGGAAAGGATAGTTCTAATGCTGCGCCTTAGGCTTCATGCGAATGAGCTCGAAATACAAGTTGCGGATGTTGTCAGCCTCCGTCACTCTGGGTTCTTTTGAGGTCAGATTGGCAATTTACGATGTGAGAGTAAGTTTTGAGTGGTTGTAATAGGGTTTGCCATACTGGGGCATGAGTTGAAGCATTAACACTAAAGGATATGAAGCACTAGAAATACAGAGGAGAACAACTTCAATAAGTTGCAGAGAGAATGGTTCCGCGATTCCTAGGATTGTAAGAAAGTGGAGAGGGTCACGTGCAGTGAATTACCAAAGGCGGTCTGGGCCAAAAAATAATTCTGCCCGCATCTTTTGAAATTTGCGGGCGATCAACAGCTTCGGACTTTCCACAAATCACAGCATATCACATTCACCATGGCGTCCGTTTACAAGACCGTCTCGAAGAAAGCCGCTCAGCGCATTGCCCGGGAGCAGGAGCTCGATGAGGAGGAGCTCGAAATGGAGGAATTCCTTGCTAACGCCGACGATTCAAGCGACAGCGAGGACGATGAGGAAACCACCACCGAAGCGGCGAAGAAGCAGCTTGCTGCTGGTTTCATGCCTAAGACTCGCGTCCTGATGTTGACCTCAAGAGGTGTCACTTACCGGTATGTTTCCCGCTCGCCCCCCGAGTTCTGAATGATGAGGCCCAGATTTGCTAACTGGCCTTCCCAATTCTTCTCTAGCCATCGACACCTGCTTGCAGACCTTGCCTCTCTTCTCCCCCATGTTCACAAGGAAAACAAACTCGACACGAAAAAGAAGACTGCTGGTTATAACCTCCTCCTGAATTCCCTCGCCGATCTCCACTCTTGCAACGTCATCTTCTTCCTCGAGGCTCGTAAGCATGGTCAAGATTTGTACCTCTGGCTTGCGCGTCCTCCCAATGGACCTACCATCAAGTTCCACGTCAACAACCTGCACACAATGGGTGAGCTGAATGCTGGATTCAGCGGAAACTGCCTGAAGGGTGGTCGTGGTCTCGTGGTCTTCGACCGCTCGTTCGACGAGCAGGGCCCGCTCATGAGTGCTCCCGGCAGCGAATACCGGGGCTTAATCAGGGAGATGCTTCGCGGCGTCTTCTGCGTTCCCAAGCGCGGTGTGAAGGGTATGAAGCCTTTCGTCGATCGCATCATCGGTGTCTTTGGCGTGGATGGCAAGATCTGGATTCGCATTTACGAGATTCGGGAGTCGGAGGGCGATAACAAGAAGGAGGACGCCAAGGACGCCAAACCCGCTCTCAGAAAGAAGGACGGTCAACCGGAGATTTCTCTCGTCGAGATTGGACCCCGCTTTGTCTTGACGCCGATTGTGATCCTGGAGGGCAGCTTTGGCGGGCCCGTCATCTACGAGAACAAGGAATACGTGAGCCCCAACCAGGTCCGTCGTGAAATCCGCGTTGGCAAGGCTGCTCGCCACGCGAACCGCCGGGATGCCCAGACGGACCGTTTTGCGAAGCGGTCGAATTTGGGATTGGGTGAAGGCGAGAAGAAGCCGGGTGCGCTAGACACAAGGCACCTGTTCGCATGATTGGTTTTTATTTTGCATTGCTATTCTGCCATCATTTCTACGCCCTATTAGACTCTGATATCCTCAAGGGATGTATATGTATTGATGTGGGGGGAACGTTCATGGTTCTATTTCAAGGCGTCCGGTGTGACAATAATAAAAGTACTTGACGTTATTGTTGATTTGCGCTCATGCAATGGAGCTTTGGCATACCAAAAATGATTAATTGCTGATTCCGTATTTTTTGAGATAAACTTGAGAGGTGCCATATCGTATCTCTGAATGGTCTACGGTTTTCTTCAGGGGAAGATTGTGCGCATAGATGTGCGCATAGATACTCTATAAATGTCAAGACTGTCAGTTGGCTCATCCCATTCCTCTTCCCTAGTATTTGCATCGGACAGTGATGGAAGAAGAAGTTAAGGGTGGAAAGGAGGCGACTGTCAAGTGACCTGATGTCCGTCTCCTTATCGCCTCGCCGGCTTTCCCATCGCAACAACATCAACTCCTTAACAAGCATCATGGCGTCTGGTTCAGTACCCAGCCCCCTGTGGCGGCTGCGCGAAACTTATACCTTTACGGACCTTACGACGACGTTTTCTATTAGTTCTTCACTTGTTTTGATCACCCTCAGGGACGGGGTCGCGATTTAAGTCTAGATCTCTATCGCAACAGCGGCCGCAGGGTCGCGAGACGAAGACCTGTGGTTAACATCAGCATTTCACATCGACTCCTCCCCCATTTAATCTTCTGTCTGAATCTTTTCTATTGGACCCTTAACCATAGGTGATTACCTTTTCATACAGGACTACACAAATTCCAGTATCTTGCCTCACTAACACCATTGAAGATAGCGATCAGTCCAGCACCATGTCCTTCGACGTGCTAGCCGCGGAGCTCCTGCTCCATATATTTTGCTCCTGCGAAAGCGTCACCGACGTCATGAACCTCGCCTCGACATGTCGCCGATTTCACATTGTTTTTCATCAATCCAATAAACTACAGATACTTTCCGATGTGGCCGAGCTGGAGTTCGGCCCGCTGGGTGATATCATCCAGATTGTGACTCAAAATGCCAGCCAGCCAGCGCATCTTTTGCGCACCGCACCGCTGACCGAACCCCTTCTCAAACAAATCATACCTATTGGATGCGTGGCCAGGAAATGGGAGGCCATATACCCACTCAAGAAGTGGAAGTCTGATTTCGAGGACCGCCGGACACTATCCGATGACGAGCGCTTTCGGCTCCGGCGCGCGATCTACCGTCTCTGGCTGTACCATCGTGCTTTCCATACCCACGACCATAGCCGGTTCACTCGCACCCTTCCACATATCGTCAGCGAACGTGCGCAATTGCTGCACAATTGGTCCACCGCCGACTTGGCCGAGATCGAGGACGTGCGCGCAATCATCGGCGACATCGTGCAGAACCACATCTGCCCCAGCAACGGGACTATCCAGCGTCAATTCAAGAAGCGATATCCCGAGAGCACGCACCAATTGATGTTCAACATCCATCTGAATTACCCTACGACGCGGGCGTCTCCCACCGAGTCGCAAAGGTTGTTCGCAAAGCCCTCGGATCCGGCCGAGCGGTACTTCCATACTACGCACCCGGGCAATTTTGACTCCTCGGCGAAGTACAAGTCGCGGTTTCGGAACGATCTGTTCCATGACCCTGGGTTCGAGGGGTGGGGGGACGAAATCCCGCACTACTATATTGTGCAGGACATGATGAAGCTTGACCCGGGTCAAATCTTGTGGCTGCGGGATCATGCACTGCTCAAGGAACAGGTTGAGGCCTATATTTGGGACATGGGTGACTGGTTCCGGGACAACGGGGAGACATTCGGGGACACCCTGGAATGGGTGATCAAAGAGAGGGGGCAAGATGTGGAAGAGTTCCGCCGCGCCATTGCGGATCGTGAGATCGGGATTGTCCAGAATTAGAGTAGATGCTGTCTGAGTGATAGACTGTTGTTTGGGTCTCATCACATAAACAAGCTATTTTGAGACCGAATATAGAGGATTATCTCGATGTTCCGTGGGGGGCAGGCTTCCCCTGCCCAACTGTTCACTAAGCAAGACCAAAGCAGCGCCTGCACATAGCTACCAGTTAGAACTTCCAACACAGATCTAGACCGTACCTTATTGACATCAGAAAACTTGACGATTCCCTTTTCCTCAAATTTCTCATTCAGGCCTACACGCCCTTGACTCCTTCGGTTTGAGACAAGCCATAATTCCGAAGGAAGTTCGGTTCAAAGAGAGGAGATATCAAAAAAAGGCTTCTACAACAGCCGCCTCGTCCCTTAAGTATAGAGCGGTATGTATTCGAATCCCCAGCTCCTCCTCCCCTTCTCACGATCCCTGAACTCTCAAGCATTAGTAGTGGTCAATATCTTTCAAAAGCTCACACGCGACAAGAATCCAACCTTAAATTATCCGTCACAAAGAGAACCAAAATAGACCACAGAGTCACTGCACTCAGTGATCCATCTGCTCGAAATAGCCGAGATGTCTTCCAAACCATCAAAACTCTCCCCTCCCTCTGATCAGCCCACCCTGTACCATACGAGGCAAGCAGAGACAGCTCAGCAGCCTGGACCGGTCGAGTCGGAGCTAGAAATTCTCAAGTGGAGTGGAGATTGTTTGTGGACGCTGGGAGAGGGTGGAAAGCGGGCGATTGGAGACTGGGGCGGGCTTGTTTGGTTTGGAGGCATTTCTGTACACTTACAGTACAAGTTCGGGGGGGAGACAATCAGTAGAACTGGGATTGTTTGTTGGCCTTACATCTACTGTAGGGTTCATGATGTTAGGCAGATAGACAAGACTGGTGGAAAACCTGCGCAGGCATCCTACTCAGTACTAAGGTAGTCACTACTAGTAGATAGTTAACTATCTTTTCGTATTGCGTAAGAATTGCAACGGGCACTCATCGACGAGACTAGAACGTTAAAAGGATGGGCGGTGATGGATACTAATGGAGCAGGAACGGAAATGCCTCGTGGGGCTCCCGCGGTGAGGATGTGGGCCGCTTCGTCCTCATTTCGACTTCTTCCAGTGCGGTAACTGGCAGGCCTTCAGGGATAATACCAAGGCGTGATATTGGCGGGTGGTCGCGACCAGGTCAAAAAAAATCTCACCCGTCTCTCTCCTTAGTCTTTTTTTTTTCGGCCCGGGTCCTCACGATGGTGCTCACTCAAGATACGTACCTAAATGACCAACTAAATGGCAATTTGGGCATCAAGACGCTGGTTCTCTCCTCCTCCGTTTGGCGATTATCGTCACATGCCTTGAGAAAATACACGTCATGAGGGGAAAGCCATATCAAGGCTCAAAATTTGGTGGGACATATATTCATGCAAGGGACAGAGGCAAGGGAAATTCAAAAGAATGATCAATTTCGTCATCTTTAGAGTATAGAAAAAAAAGCATCAGGTCGAACCACCAAACCAAACAAAAAAAGAAAAAAAAGAAAAAAAATAATAAAAGTCGAAGACGTAAAAGGTGACAGAAACAAGGTGTCGGGAGTATTGTGATGTCCAGCAAACACCGCCATATCATGTCCATAACCCCAAGTGCCATTCAGTCTTGTGTATCATCTCCAGGAGGCTAAGAAACAGACAGAAAGAGAGCTCAAGACCGTTCAAGTATCACATCACAAAAATAAAATCGTTCCGGTTGGCATGTCACACGTTCCCCCGATATCATGGTTTCTTTAACAGCATCCCTGCTTGGTCTCGGAGGTGTCCGACTGCTCGATCTTCACCATATCGCGACGGTCGCCAAGGACAGTCTGGCCTGCGTCACCACCCTCCAGAGCCTTGCTGGAGACAATGCGGTAGATTTCTGCAAAGGGGGTCAGCATGACGAAGCAGACGTGTGGATGAGAAGCGAGATCCTACCTGTGAGGATATTCTGGAAAGCAAGCTCGACATTGCTTGCATCAAGAGCGGATGTTTCAATGAAAGAAAGGTTGTTCTCGCCTGCCGGCACATCATTAGCATACTAGTTCGCTTGACAAAGGAGAATGTCCTGCGAGAGGGACAAAGGGCATCGTCCACATACTGGCAAATTGCTTGGCTTCTTCGGTAGGCACGGCGCGCAGGTGTCTCAAATCGCTCTTGTTACCAACCAGCATGATCACGATGTTGGAGTCAGCATGGTCGCGGAGCTCTTTCAGCCACCGGTTGACATTGTCGTAAGTCTGGTGCTTGCTGATATCGTAGACGAGCAGGGCGCCAACGGCACCACGATAGTAAGCGGAGGTGATGGCACGGTAACGTTCCTGACCAGCAGTATCCCAAATTTGCGCCTTGATTGTCTTCGAATCGACCTGAATGGAGCGGGTCGCGAATTCAACGCCGATGGTGGACTTGGAGTCCAGGTTGAACTCGTTGCGGGTGAAACGACTCAAGAGGTTGGACTTTCCAACACCGGAGTCTCCAATGAGGACAACTATTCAAGGGGAAAAGACGAAGCCGTCGCACATTAGCTGTGAGCCTAACATGAAAGCGATCTGTGTGATAAACGACGGTGACGAAAGGCGACTGCGGGGAACAAGAGTGGCAACTTTACCTTTGAAGAGGAACTACCAGCGACATTCATCAGTTACCAATCCGGCGAACTGGGAGAGAGCTCAGACGAAAGGGGTTGAACTCACATCATACTCGTCGTTAGCCATAATGGGTAGATCTGGGAGCTCGCTGAGCTCTATTACAGGTAATAAGGACGGTGAAAGGTTTGGAGTGGTCGAGAGCCAGAGGGGGGTTTGGTGGTGGTGGGAAAGGTGGCAGGCAATTCGCAGGGAAAACCGAACAGCAGTCGAATCTCACTTTCTGGAATCGAGGGGCAACAATGTGCTCTGGTTAGTATTTGCACTATCTGATCTCCGCACTTCAAAGAAAAGGAAAACAAGAAGTACAGTTAGAAGCGCGGGTGATGATCTTAAATTCGCAGGACAAGCAGAGTGACATACCGGGAAAGTCTAAGGGGTGGACACCGGGGAAAGGGAGAGATTAGGAGGTTATCCAGACGGGCTTCTCAGTCTCTCTCGCTCTATTCCAGTCTCGCTCTCTACCGAATCCCGAGTGGACTGTCGCCTTTTTGGGATTAGTCTCCATACACGTGACATATTATCTTTATCGGCTCCAGCAACTCCTCGCAATCAATGCCCCCATCCCCCTCCGGCTGTTGATACCAAAACAATGAGCTGATCCAGTGTACTGCACGCGGCAGGGGGCCTCAGAAGTATCAAACCATTGGTTCAATAAAGGAGTTGTGTCAGTTTTACTTGGTGTGGTGTACCGCTCCTTTCGCGGACGAATTCTTTCCTCGACTCATTGGCCATATTCGGGAAAGGATCTATATTCCCCACAACAAACCGAACATCCACCACAGTCCCGGTAGATGCAATGTCCTAAAGCTGTTCCGACGATAGTGAATCCTGCTGTGTTCTTGCACTCATTCTAAAACCCAATCTGCACAAGGAAAAGGCAGAAAAGAAAATGCCTGACCTACAAGAAGTTGACGACGATGAGATTTCAATCACTTCGACAGCTCCTAGTGAGCAGAAATCAGAATATGAGATCGAGGAAGTATTGGCTGAAGGGCGCTTCGAGGACGGTGTCAAGTACTTGGTCCAATGGGCTGGTTACCCCCCGGAAAGGAACTCCTGGGAGCCTGCTAGCGCCTTCACCAATAAGCAGACAATTCTTGAATGGCGCCAGAAAAATAAAGACATTGCTGCCGGAAAGTGCAAAGGGTTTGACGTAGATGCCTGGCTGCAGTATATGGAAGAATTCGAAGAGAAAAGAGAGGACCGCAAGCGCAGACGTGCAGCTAAGAGACGAAGGCTAGAAGAATCAGCCGGACATGATACACGCCAAGCACAAGCTAGAACACGCAAGGTAGCGCAGAAAACCTCTTCTCTACTATCTCCACGAGAGCCGTTGCATCGGCGTTGCTCCACTGACCAGGAACTACAGACACAGAGACGTGTTGCAAACGATCCACCACCTATTCTGTTCAGCAGCGGCAAGCCATCTCATCATTCCCAGCGTCGGAACATCCTCCAATCGAGCTCTGGTACGAATGCGGGTAAATTGTTTCCGAATCTGTCATCGAAGTGGTGGCATCAGAAGGCGCAGCAGAGGGAGTTGGAACCCGACGTCAACCGGTTGAACCTGAGACGGCCCTCAGAGTGGCCTGCCAATCCTCCCGTTCTCCCAAGCCAAAATGATATCTCAAATATGGCGCCACCTCAAGAATGCAATCCAGATGCACAACCTGCACTTGCATCCGAATCAGCATCTGAGCCCTACCGAAGAAGGTCCCCTGGCAAGCTGGATGAAACCCCCACGCGGGCTCCTGAGCCAGCGGAGCTACGCAAGGATAGGCCCTACGAAGCTTCTTTGGCCAGGCCTCCACGGGGAGGGAAAACATTAATGACTCCAGCAGGCCCCCGAATTGTAGGTCCCGGTGAGCTGTTGATTCGTATTCTATACGGACCAGATAGAAGAATCATAGGCACAGCTAGGCTTTGTGGCTTGGAGGGAAGAATAAGATCTGAGCTGTTCCGGCTCAAGCAAAATCATAACCTTGACATTTGGTTTCAACATGTTTGTACGTTGAATCAATATCAAACAATAGCTCCAAATGTAAGTTGTGTTCTTTAGTCTCTAGGAACCTCAAGTCAAACTCATTTCTTGCGCCATAAGAATGAAACATTATGCTTTTAATACTAATATCTACCGACTTCCAGGCTATCGGCACGGCGTTTGATGTGGGTTGGATTGAAGGCTATGAGGATACGTTACCCGATATTCGCAACATGTCCCACGAACTGAAACGAGAGAATACCGTGGCAATATACAATTTCGAGAAAGCAGCGCTGGCATTTCTCGCCTATCCCTCAGATTCACTCGATTTCCGCTACCTTAGCAATATACGGAAAGACCTTCCTGAGACATACATCCATATTCATGTCAGAGAATCCCTGGATTCTATCGGGCAACTCTATTACAGTGCAGGTCCCCAAAATTCATTTACAAGGAACTCTAAGAACGAGCGTGGCGAAAGGATTCAGAGAATGAACACCTTCGAAAATATGCCGACCTCAGAGGTGTACGATGACACCAGGAAGGAACACACAAGACCTGCGCAGGCAGCAAACTCAACAGCAGAGACCGCTCCTAGGCAACCTAAGTCTCCCAAATATCCAGCACACGAAACTATTGTAAAAACACCTAGCCTACCAACTCCATTCCAAGAAGTCAACACCCATCCTTTGCTACCAGAACCAGCTGCAAGTGAAGCAATGGACATCGATCTTGAAGAGTCGCCGACAACATCGGCGCAGAAACCTCTGGCATCTGATGGCCAGGTCGACTTAAAGGCTATTTTCAAGACTCAGTTCGGAGTAAATTTTGAGACCTTGGTTAAGGTGAACGCGGGTTCCAAAACACAATTAGCAAAGGCACTATACCTTATGTTCCCGGAAGATCCTGAATATGCCAAAGAATTCCAGTTACTGGCTGAGTTTCTTAAAAAATACAATCCTGTTGTATACTCGAGCCAGTATGAGGGCGACTGGGAGAAATTTGCGCGCACAGTTTCTGCCGGAGTGGTGTTTGTACGTTATTCCTACCCCAGGAACATCTGAACTTCAAGCTGACTGCTCGGTAGTTTCATGAGAGCTTCACATCCTTTCACACACTTCCTTTCTTCAAAGCTCTAATCCTCAAGTCATCGGTCGGATTTTGGAGTGTCTCATTACTCAAACCGCTGCAGTTCGCCGATCATCCATCTCATTTCCAACGCATATTTCCTCATGGCTGTGTAATCTTAATGACCGAAGATTTCATGCTGCGTGAACCACACGCCACAGCCATTTTGCTGGTCTGGATGAGCGACTGGGTAAAGAGGAAAGTACCGGGGAATTGGAAGATGATGTTCCGCCCTGATGTCTTGAATTGGGTGCTCCAACAACATGACTCAACCAGCTCACAAAAAGTAAAAGAGAGGTGAGGTGATCAACTTCCAGGTCATCTTTCTTCCAACGCGCCTTCCAGTCTTAGCATTTTCCAAAGCTAACAATCTTCTCCTTCCCTAAAATAGTTGGCTAACCATGTACCGTCTGATTCTGCAACTGTGCACTCCCTCCGCCTTCGATACCCCCCCTGGCAGACTCCTCTCCGGTTCCACCGGCGAATACTTCGAAAGCAACGCTATTTCGCCTCCCGAACTTCCTGGTTACGGCTCCCGCACCGAGCAGGAACATCCCGACCTGCCCGCTGGCGCGACGCGCGAGCTGCTTGACGCCGACCACATGATCGAGTTCTTCGCTGGATGGGGTTTGGTCAACTGCCACCTATATCGCCGGTTTGTCGTGGTCACCTGCCAGAGGCTCCCGAAGTGGGCCGAGTGGAACCACATCGAGGTCAAATCCTGCGCAAAGGACTTCATGGATGCGTTCAAAATCCCGTACAAGTTTTACTGGGAGACCTTGCGTAGGAAGCCCAAATTGGAGGGTCGAGAAAGGGTTCAGGCGACGCCTTACACGCCTTACACGCCGCGCACGCCGCGCACGCCGGGAGGCGGAGGCCATCGCCCGCAACCCTTGGGCGCCGCTCTGGATGAGCATAATGCGCGCAAGGATTTCCAGGACTCTCAGTACAATTATCCTGAGCCTTACCACTAAGCCACAGGACAAGATGAGTTACGATATGGTTGCTCGATCGAATCTCTTTCGGGCGACTTAGGCCTTGGACGAATATAAATCGGAAAACACCCACAATATGCATATATTTCAGGGTTCTTGTTACATACTTCAGCGTGGAGACTGTGTGAAACAAATTGAAGAGAATAGAAAACCCCATCCTGTTTTAATGTAACATCCTCTGTCCGGAGATGTTACTCATTATTGGTTTAGTGTTTATTGCGAGTCCCAAAAGGAAGGCAGTACAAATGTTATCATGATATTCACAAGGTGCGTGTTTGCATACAATGATGAAGAACAACAGCGAGAGAACAAACTGACCAAGCCACTTGCCTCCCCCCAAAAGCGCCAACCGAGTCCAAATAAAAACAAAACGTCCAAACGCTTCATGTGCAAACAGATACGGAGAGAGACATAGGGATAGAAGGCAAAACATAATCAACGACATTCGTAGCAGAGCGGAAACCCATCAATGTCCCCTCAGAAGCCGGCTGCGCGGGTACGATACTCTTTGAAGTTCGTGATGGAAGGCATTTCCGGCGGAGACGGCGGCTTGGCCTGTTTATCTTTGGCTTTGGCTTTCTTGTCACGGCGCAGCTTCTCCTCCCACTTGCTTTCCTCGGCCGCGATGAGAGAATGGAACCGCCCGCCTTGGCCGCGAGACAAGTAGATGGGCTTCTCCTTACGCTCCGCGACCGATTCGGTGACCAGAACGAATTTGACGCTCGAGCCGGGTGTTTCGAACATTGCGTCGCTAAGGATCGTCTCTAGCTCGGTTCGGAGAGCCCGCGCACCAGTGCCCATGGTAAAGGCGTTGGCGGCGATTTTGTGCAATGCGGGCGTCGTGAAGCGGAGCTCGATGCCGGAAAGGGAGAAGAGAGTTGTATACTGGGCTAGGAGGGAGTTGCGAGGTTCCGTGAGAATGCGGACGAGTAAAGGCGTCGTTAAGGCGGATAGTGCAGCGGTGACGGGGACACGTCCCACTAATTCCGGGATAAAGCCATAATTCTGTAGATCGCTCGGATTCAGAAGATCCAAGGCATTGAAATATACTGGCTCGCCGTTGGGCGACGCGGAGGAGGCAGAGCTGAAGAAGGGGAGATGTTTTTTGTAGAGTGCTTCCTCTTCAGAGCCAGGTAGAATGGGAAGCGGCTGGTTATTGGCCGAGCCTGATTCCCTCAGCCGCTCCGATGAGCCTGACTGCGTCCGGACAGGTTGACCAAAGCCGATTGAGCCGCGCGAAATTCGATCCATGACAACCTTATTCAAACCGACGAAGGCACCGGAGAATATGAAGAGGATATTGTCGGTGCGGACATTGTAGACCTCGCCTTTCTGATGCGCATGCCCACCACCAGATGGGGCAAATGGGGAATTGCCTAGAGGGCTATTCGACGGGTATGTGTTAGGTGCGTTGTTAACGCGGGGAGCGCTCTTCTCCTGCTTCGCTTGAACCTGGACGGTTGTACCTTCAATGAGCTTCAAAAGAGCTTGCTGCACTCCTTCGCCACTGACATCTTTACCGTGGCTGATCTTCGTGGCTGCAAGCTTGTCCACTTCATCAAGTACAATTATGCCACGTTCTGCCTGCTCGACATCATAGTTGGCCGCGGCCAAAAGCCGGTGGACGCACACATCTGCATCTTCTCCAATGTAGCCAGCCTGCGTGAATGGGGTGCAATCGGAGATGCTGAATGGGACTGAGAGGATCCTCGCCAGTGTCTTTGCCATCAATGTCTTACCAACACCTGATGGCCCCAGTAACAGGATATTCGACTTTTCTAACTGAAGCGGCGAGGAATCGGGTGTATCTTCTAGTTCGACGGGAGGCGTAGTAGGCGCAACTATATCCGCATCAGGAGGGAGAGCTACTGTCCGTTGTTGACCTGGGTATTCATCTGTATAAAGTTAGAGGTTTTTCGGGACATAAATCCATGCAGGGGAGGTGAATTGCGCATACATACCTTCGACTGGATGACGCTCAAGAGCTTCTCTGCGCGCTCGCTTGGCTAGTAGTTCCGCATTTTCCTCCTCCCTTCTTCGCAATTCCTGTACTCGCTGGTAGTGATTGAACACAGCGACACTCAGAATTCTTTTAGCCCGGTCCTGTCCCACCACAAACTGGTCAAGATAATGTTTCAAAGATCTCGGCGTGACCCGCGGCGCTCCAAAGGCCGGCGTTGACCCGAGAGGCCCAGCTGTCGGCAATCCAGCTTCATAGCTGCCAGTCCATGGCTGACTGGTAAAATCTGATCGGTCAAATTGGGAGAAAGTGGGATGGCATGCTGAGGAGTCTGTAAAACCGCGACAACAGCTTCGGAGGTGCGGATTTGGCGCACGCCGATAGCGGAGGGAGTAGCGGTGCACCCTGGGGGCACCACAAGCCCGAAGTGGCGACCGCAGCATGACCGGAGAAGTAGGATTAGTTCAGCAGATCGTCCAGCACAATGAAATGAGAACAAACAGCCTGGTTGCAATAAGAGAGAAGATCAGAAAGAGGGAAGAGGTGAGCTCTCGGAGACATTGCTTCCGATGATGGTAGATAAGATACAATCAACCCGATCGATAGCTTTCCCCGCAGCACGTGATGCTTATCAACCGATGCTATCCGCAAGTGACGTGGTCGGCAGCAAGCGGTCATAAAGCCGAACAACAAGATGGCCTTTGTGCGCGAAAGATACCTTTAGTGGTGGAGAGACTAGGCTTAGGTTTCTCAAGCTCACAGCTCGGCGAGGTGCGAGAGCTGAATTAAGTTACGTGCACGCTAAAGCAGGCATTAATTCTTCTGTCACCTTCCAGAGAAACGACACAAGAAGTGACTGAACAATGAAGAACACTGAAAATGTATGAAAGATATTCAATCCTTGTCTATTGATGTGAAAGGTCAAGATGATGACCATAGGAGATGGTACAATCATTTAGGTGGAATTGAGCACATGGAAATAGCGGCTTCAGCTTATCTTGTCAGTCGCCAAGAGGTTATTCACTGGCTCACGAATGAAATGCGCCAGGCGTCTTTATTTACACCACCTTTTGTTTTCAAGCAGGTGATTTGTCTCATGGGTGTCGATTCGAAAACAGGACCCTCAAAGTAAGTTCTGCGGTTGTGGCCGATCAAGAACATCTGTCCCACGATATGTCCTGTACGAGAGTAAGTTGAGCCAAGAATCACGATGTATAGGTCCTTAGCATAAGAGCTGTAGACTGTGTCTTCCGTGGAGTAGTCACCAGCATAGCCGTTATGTTCCAAGTTAGGCATATCATCAAGTCAGACGCTATCGAGACGCCTGCGCCTCCAATGTCGTTTTCTTGCCTCATTTGTTTGTCTTGAACGCAGGTTGGTGTTCCATTGTCTGAGATATAAAGCTTCGTAGCGCTGCCCATCTATTGGAACCTGCATTGGTATCGGAAATCGCATTGACGTTTGATGTAGCGGCCGCCTCCATGCTTGACAATTGTGCCATGTTCTGTGAGAATCTATCGCGCTCCAGTTTCTCCAGCTTTTCTTTGCGCTTCATAGCACCGGGCTTATGCTTCAAAGTCTTCTGCTTGATGATATTCACCTGGTTACTCGAGTCGTTCAACTCTTCTTCGGCTTCAGGTAAAGCGTCCGCTAGGGAGTCTAGATTCGTGACAAGCTTTTTTGAGGCACGTCGACGCTTGTTGGTCTTCTTCGAGCTCTTCTCAATCTTGGAGACGAAACTGGCATGCTTGATCAGGCGTTTGTCCTTCTTTGTTGTGCGAAATTCATCGAAAAGACTGGAGTTTGTGGGTAAAGTGCCACTTCCGCCCGCAGGCTTCTTGGCGACATCCTGTTTCCTTCCTGGTCTGATGGGAGCCTAATGGGTAAAATCACTTCATGTCAGCAGATTACAGTGCAGTAATCATGATGATTGCGGGGGCTGACCATGGCGATGGAGCTGTTGCTCAGAAGAGACAGAGTGGGAAAGACTTCTCTTGCATGTGCTCGTCGAGCGCAATAACTTGTGCGAAACTGCCGACCATTTTTTGACACTAAGCCCCGTGTGGCCTAGTGGAGTCACTTCCTTGAAGACCTCCTGCACTCACCGCCCGGGTAGTCTGTCCCCGAGTTCGGGGAGAGAGAGCCTTACGGCCTCGGGCTCGAATTGGCACATGATGACTCCGTATGCGCGTGGGTTCCTTCCTTGGCTCGCGGAGGCAAATCCTGTGTCAGATTCTGTTGAACAAGCCCGTTTCTTGTTGGTCAAACACTGATACAGATCTCTCAACGGTGGGGAAGCCCTTATAGTGAACTAGTCCGCTAGACCAAAACTGGGTTGAAGTTGTACAAAGATTCCCCCAGGGAAACTCTTGATCGTCATCTTTTCATCAGTACCTTTTCCTATCTTTCTTCAAGTGGAAAGGAAAAGGAAGAGTGATCCACAATTACGGCTATCGAACCCATCTCTTTTTCTTGCTCCTACATCAGGGAGCCACACTACCACCCACACCAGCCTTCGGCAGCCCACTTCACTGCTTTCATTTGCAACCTTGCATGTGGATGCAGTCCCCAGTCCGTCTTATATCACACCCGTCTCGTCCACTTTGTTGGAAGACACTTGTGATTCTACCTCGGCCCCAGGCACACCATCGCCTCCTTCATACTTTGTTATCTACTTTATTTTCTCCGAAAGCCGCGCTGCTTTCTGCTCCTCTTAGAGACTCTACTCCCTCATTTCCCCACCCCGTTCGACACTTCTCGTACACTTCCTCTCGACCATATTTAGAACACTCAGATAATCACACGACAATGGGCTCCCTCGGACCTTATCAGCGTAAACACAAGGTTGCCGTGATCGGCTCGGGAAATTGGTACGTATCCATTAGCGCGTGCCTGTTTGTCCAGAGGAGGGAGGTAGAAGGCTAGGGGTGCTAACATATTGAAAGGGGTACCGCCATCGCTAAAATCGTCGCGGAAAACACTGCCGGCAATCCTGCCATCTTCGAGAAAGATGTTCAGATGTGGGTTTTTGAGGAGAAAGTCGAAATCGCCAAGGATTCACGTCACTACGACCCTTCTTCCCCGTTGTGCCAAGGTCCCCAGAACCTGACGGACATTGTCAATACCGTTCACGAGAACGTCAAATACCTTCCTGGAATCACTCTGCCCGATAATCTACATGCAAACCCCTCCCTGGTGGATGCTGTCAAAGACAGTACCATCCTTGTCTTCAACCTTCCCCATCAATTTATCATCAAGACCTGCGAGCAGATCAAGGGGAAGATCCTGCCCTACGCGCGCGGTATATCCTGCATCAAGGGTGTTGATGTAAATGAAGAGGGGATCAGTCTTTTCTCTGAAACAATCGGAAAAATCCTGGGGATCTATTGCGGTGCACTTTCTGGTGCCAACATTGCTAGTGAAGTCGCGCAAGAAAAATGGTCTGAGTCCAGTATCGCCTACGATCCACCGCACTTCGATTCCAAGGCTCCTTCGCCGAACCGCTCTCCTTCCGCATCATCTGAGAACCTTGTCCAGTTTGAACACAAAGACGTATCAGGCCAGCTCTCTCGGGTGAAATTGCAGGCTTTGCCGTCCGAATTCCCGCCTGTTGATCATGCTGTCCTGAAGTCACTATTCCACCGTCCTTACTTCCATATTCGTGTCGTTAACGACGTTGCTGGAGTCTCCCTTGGTGGTGCTCTGAAGAACGTCGTCGCCCTCGCTGCCGGCTGGGTAGACGGCATGGGATGGGGCGACAATGCCAAGGCTGCAATCATGCGGGTTGGGCTTCTTGAAATGGTCAAGTTTGGAGAGAAGTTCTTCGGCGCGACGATTGAGACCCGGACTTTCACCGAAGAGAGTGCAGGCGTCGCCGATCTAATCACCAGTTGCAGCGGTGGCCGTAACTTCCGTTGTGCGAAACTCAGCGTGGAAAGGAAACAGCCTATCGAGAAGGTCGAGGAGACTGAGCTGAACGGCCAAAAGCTCCAAGGCACTCTGACCGCAGTCGAGGTGAACAATTTCCTGAAGAAGCAGGGCATGGAGGATGAGTTCCCCTTGCTGACTGCAGTTTATCGTAAGTTCTATCTGCTGGATTGTGACCTTTTAATTTCTCAGTCGACTAACCCTTGTAGGTGTGCTGACGGGAGCCATGTCAGTGGAGGACATTCCATCATACATTGAGCGGTAAATGAGACCTGATGACAACTTTTCTTTGGCAGTGTTGTGTTGTTAATTCACTGGGAATTGTATTACAATGTTGAACAGAAAGCCGGACACTCCTTCATACACGGAAACGAGCGAGTCGACGAGCGTTGGCGCAAAGCAGGCAATTTTCAGCGCGCGGTTGTAAAAAAGGGAAGGATGCATGCATATACGACTTAACCATCCCTTCCTGTTGCCTTCCTGGTCTGTTTGTCGACTTCTCTGCGACTTCACGCTTCCAAGCACATAAATAGACAATTATAGACCTTTATTATGATATTGCTTGTTCCATTTTAAAATATATTACCATGGACGGAGTATAAGTGTCACCACCGAAATGAAACCGGATGATGGCGTCCGGCATCCATCATACCACGACGGTCTAGACTATCTGACCCGTAGCCGAACTAACCTACACTAATCCTCTTTTGCTCGTAAATCTCCCTCTCCCACGCTTCCCCGCTACTGCTGCCAACAACAACACTCGGTGGCCCATGTTGATGATGTCAGGGTTCCTGCGCGGGGAGGATTTCACAGGCTCCCCCCGGGGGGTGTTCAGGCGCCATCCAGGAACATGAGAGAAAACTTGGTCACTGGCAAGCCTGGGTGCGTCTTCAATGGCTCTCTGCTCAGTTTACTTAAATCCCCCTTTGAGGCCCACTACTTTTGCGCGACTCTCTTCTGACTCCTCACCCCTTCGTCCCCTCTATCCTTGTCCTTCTCCTCAGTAAACCTGGTTGGTCCAGCAGGCGCGCTTTCCCTCCCCCGCCCGGTCTTTACCACAGCGACCAAATCCTCTTACCCGACCGTGGTCTTACAAGCCCAGCGGAGGATCGCATATATCTGCTTAGGATCACACCATGTCTTCTCCTCGGCAGGTCTATCTGCTGCCTTTGAAGGATGACGGCTCTCCAGACGTTCCAGGAGGCTACATTTATCTGCCTCCGCCCTCTCCGTTCTATACCCTTCGCTTCGTGATTGAGGGAACGAGCTCGATTTGTAGGCAAGGCCAACTATGGGTCAACATCCCAGAGGAAGGTCAAACCTTCAATCGCTCGACGTTTCGCAGCTTCAGGTAAGGCAATTTGATCTCTTGTGTTGATGACAGTCCAATGGTTGAGACAATGGGTAGACTCTCTCCGGACTTTAACAAGAACATTCAAATCGACGTTCCGATCACCTCTCCTGGATCATTTGCCTTCTATGTGACCTTCTCCCCGCTTCCTGAATTTTCGCTTTCCCAGACGGCTACTCCAGAGCCGACAGAAACACCGATTTATTACATCGATGTTTCGCCTAAATTGACTCTTCGCGGTCGCGATCTGCCGCTCAATGCTCTTTCTATTTACTCGGTCATCTCCAAATTCATGGGTAAATATCCTACAGATTGGGATAAGCATCTCAACGGTATCAGTCAACGCAACTATAACATGATTCACTTCACCCCTTTGATGAAACGTGGAGACTCCAACTCGCCATACAGTATATTTGACCAGTTGCAGTTCGACGATGCTGTATTTCCCAATGGAGAGGCAGATGTCGCCCAGCTGGTCAAGAAGATGGAGGAGAAATACGGACTTTTGTCATTGACGGATGTTGTATGGAATCACACCGCTAACAACAGTAAATGGCTCGAGGAGCATCCTGAAGCTGGCTACAGCGTTGCAACTGCACCATGGCTTGAATCCGCCTTGGAATTGGACAATGCCCTATTGAAATTCGGCGCGAACCTTGCAGATCTCGGCTTGCCTACTGAATTCAAATCAGTGGATGATCTTGTCTCCGTCATGAATGCAGTTCGTGAGGACGTCATCCACAAGCTCAAGCTATGGGAGTACTACGTCGTCAATGTCGCTGCGGATGCACGGAAGATCACTCGGCAATGGCAAGCATCCAAGAACATTGACGTAACAAGCGATGAGTGGTCACAGCACAAGCTGAAAGACTTCGCGAACTGGACTCTCGAGGAACAAGCGAGCTTCATCCGTAGAGAGTCCATCCCAACATCGAAGCAACTTCTTGGCCGCTTCAGCAGATCCGTTGATTCGAACTTTGGAGCAGCGATACTGACTGCACTGCTTGGTCCCTCCGACACTGCGAATGCTGATTCCTCCGCGGCTGAAAAGGCTATCTCGAGGATACTCGACGAGGTAAATCTTCCTTTCTACAAAGAATATGATGCGGACGTTGCGGAGATCATGAACCAGCTCTTCAATCGAATCAAATACCTTCGCATTGACGGTCATGGCCCCAAACTTGGTCCTGTCACGAAGCAGAGTCCACTTATCGAGACGTACTTCACGAGGCTTCCATTAAATGCCACTACCAAGAAGCACGATAGCAGAGCTTTGGCTCTCGTGAATAACGGTTGGATTTGGAATGCTGACGCGTTACGGGACAATGCTGGGCCTTTCTCCAAGGCATACCTCCGTCGAGAGGTCATTGTTTGGGGAGACTGTGTGAAATTGAGGTATGGGTCCTCCCCAGGGGACAATCCGTTCCTCTGGGAATTCATGACCAAATACACCCGTCTCATGGCCAAATACTTCTCTGGGTTCCGCATTGACAATTGTCATTCAACGCCACTAGCAGTGGCAGAATACCTTTTGGACGAGGCACGAAAAGTTCGGCCTAACCTTACAGTTTTCGCAGAACTTTTCACTGGCTCAGAAGAGGCGGATTACATTTTCGTCAAGCGCCTCGGTATCAACGCTCTAATCCGCGAGGCAATGCAGGCGTGGAGCACCGGAGAGCTCAGCCGACTCGTGCATCGCCATGGAGGTCGTCCAATCGGAAGCTTTGATGTTGATCTCCCTTCTGCGGGGAGTAGCCACGCTATAGCTTCATCGGGCATCGACGGTGGGAAAGAGGAACTTTCTCTCATTCGCCCGACTCCTGTACAGGCTCTTTTCATGGATTGTACCCATGATAACGAAATGCCGGCCCAGAAGAGGACGGCAATAGATACTCTACCAAACGCAGCCTTAGTGGCTATGTGCGCTTCCGCGATTGGAAGTGTCATCGGCTACGACGAGATATATCCCAACCTTGTTGACCTTGTCCATGAGACCCGTCTGTACTCATCTACATTTTCGGAGTCCTCCAAGATTGACCTAAACTCACTAGAAGGCGGAATCGGTGGTATCAAGAAACTACTCAACGAGCTGCACACTGTTATGGGCTCGGAGAGCTATGATGAAACTCATATCCATCACGATGGCGAGTACATTACCGTCCACAGAGTGCACCCAAAAACGCGAAAGGGGATATTCCTGATTGCTCACACAGCGTTTCCTGGCCAAGACAGCAAGGCCATACTAGCGCCCACACGGCTTGTTGGTACTCAAGCTAAGCATATTGGGACGTGGCAACTGGAAGTTGACGCGAGCGAAAATACTAAAAAGGAGGTTTCCGGTGACAAGTCCTACCTGAAAGGGCTTCCAAGCCGAGTTCATGCTATCGAAGGCACAAAGGTCGAACAGGATGGTAACGACACAGTCATCTCGGTCCTGGAAGCGCTTGTTGCCGGATCTATCGCCCTATACGAAACGTCCATTCCCAGCGCCGAACATGCATCTGGGCTTGACGCTCATATCACGGAGGGGGTAGATGATGCTTTCGCAAACCTCAATTTAGTTGATCTCAACTTTGTGCTTTATCGCTGTGAAGCAGAAGAACGAGATTCGAGTAACGGCCAAGATGGTGTGTACAATATACCAAACCACGGTTCTTTGGTATATGCAGGTCTCCAGGGATGGTGGAGTGTCCTCGAAAATATTATCAAGTACAACGAACTCGGTCATCCCCTTTGTGATCACTTGCGAAACGGTCGGTGGGCTTTGGACTACATCGTTGCTAGACTGGAGAAGGCTGCGAAGACAGAAAGATATTCTGCACTACACAAGCCTTCGGCATGGCTGCGAGAGAAGTTTGCGGCTGTTCGTGGTCTACCGAGCTTCCTACTACCCAGATACTTTGCCATTATCGTTCAGTCTGCCTACAATGCTGCATGGAAGCGAGGTCTTCAGCTCCTCGGCGATAACATACAGAAAGGACAAGAATTTATCCATCAGCTGGGTATGGTGAGTGTTCAGATGACTGGATACGTCAACTCTGCATCATTATGGCCGACAAAAGCGGTGCCTAGCCTCGCAGCCGGTTTGCCGCATTTTGCTGTTGATTGGGCAAGATGTTGGGGTCGCGATGTTTTTATCTCCTTGCGTGGTCTTTTACTCTGCACCAGCCGATTTGATGATGCCAAAGAGCATATATTTGCATTTGCAAGCGTCCTCAAACACGGGATGATCCCGAATCTTCTCGGTAGTGGAAAGCTTCCACGCTATAACTCTCGAGACTCAGTCTGGTTCTTCCTCCAATCTATCCAGGACTACACCAAGATGGCGCCCGATGGAATCAAACTTCTGGATGAGAAGATTCCCAGAAGATTTCTTCCTTATGACGACACGTGGTTTCCGTTCGACGATCCGCGCGCCTACTCGAAATACTCAACTATATCCGAAGTGATTCAGGAAGTATTCCAGCGACACGCGCAGGGCCTATCTTTCCGAGAATACAACGCAGGACCAAACCTTGACATGCAGATGAAATCAGAGGGGTTTGACATCAATGTTCAAGTCGACTGGGACACGGGCCTGATCTTTGGCGGCAGCCAGTTCAATTGTGGCACATGGCAAGATAAGATGGGAGAGAGCGAGAAAGCCAAGAACAAGGGTGTGCCAGGAACACCGCGCGACGGGGCTGCAGTTGAGATTACGGGTCTCGTATACAGTGCATTGAACTGGGTAGCAACGCTGCACGAGCGTGGACTTCATCCGCACTCGGGGGTCGATCTTGGTGAGGGCAAGTCAATCACTTTCAAGTCATGGGCGGCAAGAATCAAGGAGAATTTCGAGCGCTGCTACTACATTCCCTTGAGCCCGGAGGAAGATGCCCAATATGTTATCGACCGCAATGTGGTCAATCGACGTGGAATCTACAAGGATCTTTACAAATCTGGGAAACCATACGAAGACTACCAGCTTCGTTCCAATTTTCCAATTGCCATGACCGTTGCACCAGAACTGTTTACACCTTCCAAAGCACTGTCGGCTCTTGCACTTGCTGATAAAGTCCTTGTCGGCCCGGTCGGTATGGCTACCTTAGATCCTTCAGATCTGAACTACCGACCATACTACAACAACTCCGAGGACTCTGATGATTTTGCAACGGCCAAGGGTAGAAATTATCACCAAGGCCCGGAATGGGTGTGGCAACGCGGATTCTTCCTTCGAGCGTTCTTGCACTTTGATCTAGCTCGTAGAACGACACTGGAGGAGCGAACCGAGGCCTACCAGCAGATTACCCGACGTCTGGAAGGCTGCAAGAAGGCTCTCAGAGAAAGTCCATGGAAGGGTCTCACGGAGCTTTCGAACAAGGATGGTGCATACTGTGCAGACTCGGTAAGTCCCAACAAATTCCTCTCGATCAATATCGCGTGGCTAACAATCCTGTTTCTGAAAGTCACCAACGCAAGCTTGGTCAGCTGGATGCCTGCTCGATCTCTATCATGATGCTTCCCGATATACTCAGGATGAATAAGCGCTTTCTATCTAGCTTGTGTCCACGCACTCGCGGTGCATACCCGGTGGACCGAATAACCTGCCTCCACATAATTATTCTTTAGCATGAATCTCATCTTAACTTCGACAGCTTATAGCATCACGTCTCATAGAAATCGATGAAGTGAAACGATGTATTATCTTTGGGTTCAATGCCAGCTGTAGATTGTGTGGTTCCGTTATACCTATATGTATGGCCTGTAGATCGAGTACACGTGAGGCATAAAATCACTGGCTGAGTCATCCGAGTGCATGAGTTGTTGATTGCCGACGGTTTGAGCTTGGATTCGCTGAGACGCCCATTGAAAGTGAAGCGATGCCCGACACGGCCATAATCGCTTTTTTAGTGCAGAGATTGCGGTGTAGGTCCCTTACTCCAATTGTCGCCTGATGTTGAATTGTTGTCTGAATCCTTCCACTTAACACTTAACTAACACCTCGAGCCTGTGACGCTGTGTACAACGTGGATTTTGCGCCCACATCCCCTGACGTCAGTCGACATCGAGCTGCGCATTCTTCCCCGGACAGAAAGAGGTCCGCGTGCCCATATGCATTGATAACCCGGGACATCCGTCAAAACGCACCCAAGCGCAATCCACGAATTGACCGGAGTCATGTCGCTCACGCAATCTGCGGCGGCAGCTATGCTGACCGCAGTAGAGGCCCCCATCGATGTACATCCGCCGACATGGGACGATCAAACGAAGACTCGCGATCTTTACACTCAGTTTGTTATCAGTTTAACTATCGGACTCGGCGCTTTCCTCGCCTTCTGTGTAGGTCCCAGACAAACCAGACAGAACATTCTTTGATTCTAATGAGCTCAATCGGTATAGGTTTTGCGACCGAAATGGACCGAGCTCTATGCCGCCCGAAGACGACAGCGCTGCGCAGCATCGCATCTACCAGAACTGCCTGACAGCTTCTTCGGTTGGATCCCTGTGCTCTATCGGATTACCGAAGAGCAGGTGCTGGAGTCGGCAGGCTTAGATGCTTTTGTCGTGAGTTTTGAGCTGTGCTCGCCAGATTCTGTGATTTGTAGCGGTGGCTGACAACCAGGGTGCACAATCTAGTTCTTGACCTTCCTTAGATTCGCCATTCGGTTCCTGTCGGCCATATTTTTCTTCGCTCTTGTCATCATTCTTCCTATGCATTACAGAAATACCGGCAAATCGGGGGTTCCGGGTTGGGATGACGATGACGAGCCTGTCGATGCGTTCGATGGCGACAAGGATAAAAAGAAGATTATATCGGATCCGAATTACTTGTGGATGTACGTGGTATTCACATATATCTTTACTGGGCTGGCCGTCTATATGCTCGTTCAGGATACGAACAAGGTCATTCGCATCAGGCAGCAATATCTCGGGAGTCAGACAAGCACGACGGATAGGACGATCCGTCTCTCCGGTATACCTCGAGATATGGGATCCGAGGAGAAAATCAGAGAATTCATGGAAGGCCTACAAATTGGAAAGGTGCAAAGCGTAACGCTGTGCAAGGATTGGCGTGAGTTAGACCGGCTGGTTGATGAGCGACTCAAGATTCTCCGGAACCTGGAGTGGGCATGGACGAAGCACGTGGGTTATAAACGCGTCAAGGCCAATGCAAACAGAATGCCATTGTTGCAGCAGCCTGCGCGTGGATCCAGCATCGTCTCCGATGAGGACAGTGAACGCATACAACTGCTTTCTGACAGTGTGCGAGACAATGTTACTGACTACGCGCACAAACGCCCAACTACCCGCATCTGGTATGGACCATTCAAGCTGCGTTATAGGAACGTGGATGCTATCGACTATTACGAAGAAAAGTTGCGGAGGATTGATGAGCAGATTCGGCTTGCACGTCAGAAGGAGTATCCGCCGACCGAGATTGCTTTCGTTACGATGGAGTCGATTGCCGCATCGCAGATGGTTGTCCAGGCTATCCTTGATCCGCAGCCCATGCAGCTTCTTGCTCGGTTGGCACCAGCTCCTGCTGATGTTGTATGGAAGAACACCTATCTCCCTCGCTCGAGACGCATGATGCAATCCTGGTCCGTTACAGTAATCATCGGCTTTTTGACGGTTTTCTGGTCTGTGCTTTTGATTCCTGTGGCCTACTTGCTTGAGTACGAGACTCTTCACAAGGTGTTCCCTCAATTAGCAGATGCTTTGTCGAGAAACCCTCTTGCCAAGTCTTTGGTTCAAACTGGTCTTCCCACTTTGGTTCTCTCGTTGTTAACTGTTGCGGTGCCATATCTCTATAGTTGTAAGTGGTTAATCTCGCTGCTGTGACTGTCGGCCACGGAAACTAACCGGTTGAACAGGGTTATCGCATCAGCAAGGCATGATGTCTCGCGGTGATATCGAGTTGTCTGTCATCTCAAAAACCTTCTTCTTCTCTTTTTTCAACCTCTTCCTTGTGTTCACCGTGTTCGGGACTGCAACAACATTCTTCGGTTTCTGGGAGAACCTTAGAGATGCGTTCAAGGACGCCACCACCATCGCATTCGCCTTGGCCAAAACTTTGGAAAACTTCGCTCCTTTCTATATCAACTTCTTGTGTCTCCAAGGCATAGGCTTGTTCCCGTTCCGACTCTTGGAATTTGGAAGTGTGGCGATGTATCCTATCAATTTCCTCGCGGCTAAGACACCGCGTGACTACGCCGAACTGAACACACCCCCTGTGTTCAGCTACGGATACTCTATCCCTCAGACAGTCCTTAGCCTCATTATCTGTGTGGTATACAGTGTCTTCCCCAGCTCGTGGTTGATTTGTCTTTTCGGCCTGATCTATTTCGTCATCGGCAAATTCATCTACAAGTACCAACTTCTTTATGCTATGGACCACCAGCAGCACTCAACTGGACGAGCATGGCCGATGATCTGCAGTCGTGTTTTGATGGGGCTGATTGTCTTTCAGCTGGCCATGATTGGTGTTCTGGCACTGCGCCGAGCTATCACTCGGTCTTTACTCATTGTTCCCCTCTTGATGGCAACTGTGTGGTTCAGTTATTTCTTCTCGCGCAATTACGAGCCCCTCATGAAATTCATTGCGTTAAAGAGTATCGACCGTGAACGCCCTGGAGGAGGTGATATCTCACCATCTCCATCATCGACCTTCTCGCCGCCATCTGGACTCGAGCGTGATGCCTTTCCAATCCGAATTGGTAATCAGGAACTTGGCCTCAGGCTCAAGAAATATGTGAACCCGAGTCTCATTCTACCTCTTCATGATGCCTGGCTTCCGGGCCGCAGCACAGCGCCAGGATACCAGGAAGACTTTAATGTCTCTGAGACGCCAAATGTCGCAGCCGACGAGTCGGTATGAGGCTCTGGGTAACACCATCCTGGTAGTGTTGTTCTCGAGATATCCTTATAAAGTGCATATACCATCTTTGTCTACCTTTGTTGCTCCTCCTCGTGTGGTTGACCCCTTATGATCTATGATGCTACGCCAACTGAACTCTGGAGGTAGCTGTTCTCTTACTACCTGAAAGCCCGTGTTATATGTATCGATTGTGCTGCTAGACTTCATGCTCCGGCGGCTTTTGCCCACAATTTATCAGCACGTTCTTCTGTTTTTGTACACTGACCTCTCGTTTCCATTGATACCAGAATCTGTTCCATCTTGGCTCATGTGCCACACTCAAGCTTGTATTATACTAATCTGTAATATAATCTATAACATAAATAGGCTAAGAAAGGTCTCATGGAGTTGTCCGTGTAATCAGTTGGAAGTAGACGGGACAGGTACGAGCAGCGCCTTCCTTGGTAGCCAATGCAATTGAGGAAAGCACCAAGTACTGCGGGATTTGGAATGTCCAGCACTTCACCTGGCACTTTCAACACGGACCAATAAACTTATCCACCGACACTGATCTGATTGCAGCTAACAGTATACTAGATGTGGGTGTTTTTCTATCCTCATCGAGTTATTTAATTATATTCTCAACCCGCTACACATAGTCCATCTGCTCCGATACTGACTCAGTGGCGGCAATCAGGACGGAGCTGGAAGAGTAGCGACACCACGCGTCCATATGTTTGTCTCCTTTCCTACGCATCACTCCTAGCGACATCCAATCACTTGCTACAGTAAATATCTTGAGGGTATGTCACAATTAAGCAGTCAAAGTACGGTGAAGAGTGTGGTCGTCACGAAGATTTCAGCCGTCCTGGTCTCCATGTATACCAGAGACGAGATTGGCAAACGCTCGTCCGATCACTTATGCAAGAGCACCAAGGAGATACATCTAGCTCAATGCCCGTTTTATCCATCGGTATCTCTATTTCTTCATCTATAAGGCCTTGACTAGAGGATCGTGTGCTAATTATTGAATCGATGACAGAGCGAAGCAGATGTGGACGCGAAGCTTGGATATCCTCAAGCGAAGCCACATTCGACTCCTAACTGCAGTTTTCCACGAGGCAATCAAACCCTTCCACGCGCTGTAGTAAAATCATTTATAGAGATGCCAAGCTTTGCGAGCTGCAAGCCGATTGACAGGCGCGTTGCAAGGTGCATCTCCGATGCTGTCAATTGGGATGAGGATCTGAGACCCAGCAACGAACCAGACGAAGGGCAGGCACGACGTGGAAGCACAGAAGCCACATCAATCCCATCGCCCTCACCTGGTGAGCCCTGCGATTTTGGTAAAAGTCACAAACCCCAGAGCGCGAAGAGCATCGCAACCGCGAAGCCGAAGGGCAGGAAACCGTCGACAAGACGTCGCACAAGGACTGCAGTCAAGAAGCCGAGTTTCCGAAGGCGTGGAAAACCTGTGTCTGATGATGTGGGCAAAGGAGAGAAGGTTGAGTCTCGGCGAAAGAGGCTAATAGAGGTCCTCCAACATGCTTGCAACCAGCGAATTGACGGCAGCGATCATCCTCTAGCCAGTCCGGCGAACAAAATCTCTCATGATGATATGTTGAGCCCAGCGAGCACGGATGAGCATTGCAACACCCTTTTGCCGGACAAGGAGAACATTGATTCGATTCTATCTATCTTTCAGATGCCGGAACTTGACGATGGGGAAGGATTAGAGCTTCGATACTTCGACCTGCAAGGCGAGATAAGTGAATTTCTGCTAGGGTCTATGCACCGCAGCCAGTCGCTCGAAAACGAGGAGTCGAGACAGAGACATTTGCCTCAAGGGTCATTGTTTGTTGAGCTACATACGGGCGCTACTATGGCAGACAGCACTACTCAACACAATGAGAGAGAACAGCCAGAAGAGTCAATGAGAGTTGACAGTGAAAGTCATTCAATCCCCGAACCAAGTATCACGTTTATGGAGAAAGACAGAAGCCTAGGAGCTCAGGAGATAGGGACTGGAACCTCTCCTCACGAAGCTGGACCTCTAGGACAAAACCATGAGGGAACACCCAGCTCAGCAGGCTTACCGCTAACCGCGACATCAAGATACGCTCTATCCAGAGAACGAAGTACGCCTGAGTCGAGCTTCCAGGAGAGTTCAGGCGCAGAGGCTCCCAGCCTCTCCCAGTTCTCTCCAAAGAAAACTCCTAAGAATACGATAGTCGATACCAACGGAAGTCCCCGTCTCCTTTCGGAGAGACTCAGAGAGTCTTGCGAGGTACAGACTCTCGTTCTTGACGACACGGCATATTCACCTGGATTCTACAAAGACCGCACCACTGTCAGAGTGCCGACATCCTTTACCAACCGGCTGAGATTATGCGCAGGTCAAAATAACCGGCCGGAAATAACCGGGCTTAGCCAAAATGAAACCGTGCAGAAGATGCTGTTGGAGACTAGCGAGGTGGGTCAAACGCTCTGCGGAAAGGATTACGGAAGATTGTTTATTGCTTGTGCTCACTGCTAACTGCAATTGTTGTGCATAGTCCCTCACCCGCCACATCGAGAGCGAGAACACTACCATAAGCGAAATTTTTGAGTCATTCCGGAAGAACTGCCATCAGATGCTTGACCAGCTGTCAGAAGCCCAGGAGGCACGGGTCAGATTATGCCAGCAACAGATGGAAGGCATTCGGAAACAGCATGCCAAAATTTGCGAGGAATTGGTCCACCGAATGAGAAGAGACGAGGAGCGGTTTCAGAAGATCCTCGGCATCACTTGAGCTCTAGTTAAAGATTTTCGCCAGCTTGTTAAGTCACCGCATGTCATACCGGCCAGTTTGCGACCAATGAGAAGCTTCTAATTTTCCCATTTGAGCTTCATGTGCCTAATGACATCTGCCAATGGAGGGCAAGGTCAATATTATTACCGCCAGAGGTTAGTACAGGCCAGTGTAAATGTTGTTGTCCATGCCATCGGCCAATTCGAGTAAGAGCTTCTTGAAGATATAGGGGGTTTTCTCGTATGGAATGCCATACCAAAGGGTACAGCTTGGTTTCTCTAATGGTAGAGAGCAACACTGCCGCTTATGACGCCAGATCTCAGAAACACATTTTCACTCCGGAGTATTGCACGATCCGCATAGGTCAGATGGCTGGACTCCGGAGCGTCGAGTCTAGGACGCGCTCTCAAGCAAACATTTCCCCAGCTGGGCTAGACTGAGCATGTCACATGTGTAGATCGTGTTTGCTTCGAGCCTAAACCAACACGGAGAGGAATGGATAAGCGAAGACCCCCAAAGCATCATGGAAGAACCACCGTAGTCACAGTACTTATGTACGTGTAAATAGGCGAGTAGGTACTACGTTGTTAAACTACTCTCGTACTGAATACCAGGGGATGCAGCCAATGAGAGCAGCAGCGTTGGGCATTTGTCCGTTCACCGAAGTCACGTGGAACCAAATTAATGGGTATGACTCGAACTGCGAGAAGCGGGCAGTGACGAGGTTTGCCCCTCTTCCCCCCAAGAAGAATAGGTCAATCAGGTTTGACAATTTCTTATAAAAAGCACAATTGCATTGCAACTGACTTGGTTCTTGCAATTGACTCCCATTCATTCCCTGTTCCTCCTTCTTTGCATACTTTTCAAACACATTCCACCCATCTCTGCCATTTCTTTTTCCCTTTTATAGTGCATCGGGCATACTATCTGCCTATCTCTCTATCAGCTTCTCTCTCATCCGCCCACCATGTCGGTGAGTCACCTGCAGTTATCCACGATGTTCTGGATTCATGCTGATCATGCTCTCTACAGTTCTTCATTGAAAACCCTAATGTCGGAGACAGAACCTCTCTGGAAGACTCGAGAAGTACGTGTGCTTTTTTTTTTTTTGGCTCTAAAGCATGTCATCGCCACTAACGTCTTCCCCTTTCCCACCACACAGTTCGAGGCTACAACCCCCTCACTCCCCCCAATCTTCTTCAACATGAGATCGCCTTGACGGACAAATCGAGACAAACGGTCCTCGAAGGTCGTGAGGAAGCCACAGCTATTGTCCAAGGCACGGATACCGATCGACACCGTCTGCTGGTCGTCATTGGGCCATGCTCGATCCACGACCCAGAGATGGCCCTCGAATACTGCGATCGGTTGATGAAGATGAAGGAGAAGTACAAGGATGAGCTGTTGATTGTCATGCGTTCTTACCTCGAAAAGCCCCGGACCACTGTAGGCTGGAAGGGCCTGATCAATGACCCCGACATCGACAACAGCTTCAGAATCAACAAGGGCTTGCGCGTTTCCCGCCAACTCTTCGTCGACCTCACCAACAAGGGCATGCCCATTGCCAGCGAGATGCTTGATACCATCTCCCCACAGTTCCTGGCGGACTGCCTGTCGGTTGGAGCAGTAGGTGCTCGCACCACCGAATCTCAGGTCCACCGGGAGCTGGCCTCAGGTCTGTCCTTCCCCGTCGGTTTCAAGAACGGCACCGACGGCTCGCTCGGCGTGGCTGTCGATGCCATCGGCTCTGTCAAGCACCCCCATCACTTCCTTTCCGTCACTAAGCCCGGTGTTGCCGCCATTGTCGGCACCGTTGGCAACCCGGATTGCTTCGTCATCCTCCGTGGTGGCACTAAAGGTCCCAACTACGATGCACAGAGCATTGCGGAAGCAAAGGCGAAGCTGGCTGCCCAAGGCCTGCCGCCCCGTCTAATGGTTGACTGCAGCCACGGCAACTCGCAGAAGAACCACAAGAACCAGCCCAAGGTTGCCGCCGTCCTGGCCGAGCAGATCGCTGCTGGCGAAACGGCTATTATGGGCGTGATGATTGAGAGTAACATCAACGAGGGTATGTTCTTGGACTCGCTGTGATTCTACGCCTTGATTTATTCGCTAACAAACTTGGCAGGCAACCAGAAGGTCCCTCCGGAGGGCAAGGCCGGATTGAAGTACGGTGTCAGTATCACCGACGCCTGCATTCACTGGGAGGACACTGAGCTTGTGCTGGAAAACCTGGCCCAGGCTGTGCGCACGCGCAAAGTGAAATTGACCGCATCTCAGTGAGCGGTTCGCCGGTCTCTTGTCTCTTAATTGACGTTCTTGTAGCCGAAGCACGATTTAATGGGTTTTCAAAAGGGGGTAAAAAAAGTGATATATGGTTCTGGTGGCATCTTTTACACTTTTGCGGCGGGTCATAAACTAGCTAATGAATATCAATGAATACCATTCTGTACCATTCGTTCACCTGCATCCTTTTCGTTCAACTGGGGATGAGTTCATCTTCCGACCAAACAGTGTCTGTGACGCCAATCAATCGTACAATGCGGGCTGCGCGGGGCGCGGTAAGCTAGTATGTCACTAGTACATACTGGATTAGCCTAATCGTCTATCGTCACCCTCGAAATTGAGGCAAAAAAGCTAACGACAACGACGCGATTTGAACGCGCGCGGGCGAACCCAACAGATTGCAGTGCCATTAGATGGTATTCGAGTCTGTCGCCTTAACCACTCGGCCACGTTGCCTTGATGAATACAAGAATACTACACTTGTACTCAAGAATAGAACGCGATTCAGGCTGCCAGCACTCTTCGAATGAAGCAATGGAGATGCAGACTGATATGCAGCTAATATCTGACAATGACGTCTTGGAGCTATTCTCTTGAGTTTAGCGAGCACTAACTACGTGCTCGTGAGGCTCAGCTCATGTCGACTACCATCCACTACACGGTGTTACATTGAGTTGCTGACTACGTCATATGTTAGCACATAATAGCTTAAGCCCGAACCATGAAAGGCGGAGATGGTGCATCAACAGATTGAAGATTACAAGCTCAACTCAATTGTCTTTTATACACAGTGGACAAAAAGTCGCCATATGACTTGTATAGCCAAGTGATCTGATCCAATAAGCTAAGCTTCTTCACGTTTGTTAATGCAGGCACCACGAGCCATGGCTGCATTCATCGGCGGGATTGCGCGATCCCCCATCCAGTCAGTATTTACTGCCTACTCGGTACCGCGACGACTAAACTGTTATATAATATGCTTATATCAGAGCCGCATACTGTGAACCAGAGAAAGATCAAAATCTCCAAACTCAACGAAGAGTCAATGACAGTCATTCACCATGCACCGGAATCAAAGAGGTATTGGTAATCAACCTCCGGCTGGTCGAGGATCCGTTCCGGTAACCCCGGCTTCGCCAACCAAAGCCCAACCGAGAGATGCAAGAGCTGAAACCTGGTTGCGAACCATCCATATAAACCTAGGATGCTTTCCCCAGCCTGGCACCAAATCATCTCCTTGGAGACTAGAACCGTGACAATTCTCACTCCTTACTGTGACTCAGTCAGTTGATTGATCCATTGGTTTCAGCAGCGTGCTTGTCGAGTTGTGACACAACCAACCTACTGTATACTGTGCAATCAACCCCGGGGTATTCCAAAAGGTGGACTATCTCCCGGCATCAAACATGACGATCGACTCTACTGAGCCGTATTCCATGCCCAGCATGGTCTCCCCGCGCCAGGAAGAACCTACAAGCCGTCAGGCTCAACAGCTCATCACTCCACAGGAGCAGCAGCACAGCTCAATGACAGGAACTCCCCTGAACAGGGACGTCCACCTCGCTGAGAAGCTCGCTGCCCTACAAGCCCACGGCGTCAGCGCGCAGTCGCTCCCTTCCTCCGACGAATCCGTCCTCTACCTCGCCTACGGCTCCAATCTGAACTCGCAAACCTTCCTCGGCATGCGCGGCATCCGACCTCTCTCCCAGACCAACGTCGTCGTCCCTAGCCTCTGGCTCACCTTCGATCTACCCGGTATACCTTATGCGGAGCCGTGTTTCGCGGCGACAAGGTACCGGTCCCAGTCTGCTGCTGCAGAGGTGTTCCAGGAAAGCAGGTATAACGAGGACGAGGGGACCGACGACGACATCCTTATAGTGTCTGCGGACACAGACGAGAAAGCTACGACGACAGTCCAGCAACGGGAGAAATCTTGCATCCCACTCCTTCACCACCAAAAACCAACATCATCCCCCGGAGAACCAGACTACAGCCCCCGCATGCCCCTCGTCGGCGTCGTCTACGAAGTCACCCTCAAAGACTACGCGCGCATCATCGCCACAGAGGGTGGAGGCCGAGGCTACATCGACACCATCATTGACTGCTACCCCTTCCCCAAGGCGTACGACCCACACATCGACCCAGTCCCCGAACATCCAGGCACCGTACCCTTCAAAGCACACACTCTCCTCTCCCCTGGCGCTGCTGCTGCTGCTGCTGCTCACCACAATCCTACCACCACCACTCAACCCTCGCAACCACCCCCTCTCCTCCCAATCACACAACCCCCAACACCATCAACAACACCACAAACAGCCCCATCCAACACTCGCCCCAACCCCTTCTACGCACAGCCCTCCGCCCGCTATCTCTCCCTCATCCGCAACGGCGCCGCGGAACACAACCTCCCGATCGCCTACCAGACGTATTTGGCCCAGATCCGACCCTACCGGATTACGACGCTGCGGCAGCGGGTCGGGCAGGTCACGTTCCTGGTGATGTGGGGCCCGCTGGTGCTGCTGCTGGTGAGCCTGTCGCGGCGGCTGGCGGGGCCGGATGGGCGCAGTCCGCCGTGGTTGGTGCACGCGCAGGATCTGGTTTTTGGCTGGATGTGGCGGTCGTATGATGCTGTTTTTGCGAGGGTGTTTGGGGATGGGGAGCGGAGTGTGGGTGCTGTTGTTGTTGGTGGTGCTGGTGTCGGTGAGGAAGTGGGAGTGGAAGGGGAGCGTGTTTGTTAGTCCTCGGCGATCGTCAGCGCATGGTTGGAGGGCATGGAGTTAGAAGTTAGAGGTGAGGTGATAACAGGCGTTGGTTGACGTAGGTGTTCACGGAGTAAGTAGGCAAGCACATAGATTATGCATAGCATATACAAGTCCGTATACATACAGAGCTACAGTCTTCAAGACAAACGATCTAAAATTGACAATTCAACATACATACAATCCGAGACAATAAACGAGCTTCTCCCACCTTTGTTTCTACAAGCAAAACGAATGGGCGCGAGAGAGAGAAGCCTATTTCCCACAGCCACAATTCAACCACATAATCATCCATAATAACTCTCAGAATCTCGAATCCAAACAAAAGAAAACTTGTGACATTGCGCAGGGGAAACCTTCAAAAGAACAACATTTTCAAAGGAGAATAAATATCTAGGATACAGATACAGGTGTCCTGGTAGTAGGAAAAAAACTTCTAACGAAAACGTGCAGAGACCACCGAATGCGTGCAGCAAACACTGTTCGCAGGAGGAAAAAACAAGAAACAGAAGGAAAAAACATGAGCGACTCTACTTGTATACAGCAGTGTATGTCAAAAAGATTTCCATCAGTCGCTTATTTGAATATGTTTTTTTTCCCTTTCTCTCTCCTTTTGTTGATTTCCCTCTGCGACTTGGTGTTTATGAGAAACATTCATTCATGGAAGTCGTCCGCTGCCAACCCAGGCTCTTTTCAGCGCCGGGAGACGGGGGGGCTGTACACGATCTTTCTCGTCTTGATCGGAGACCACTTGTAACGCTTGACCCAGACGCTCAGGGCGAAGAGACCGGTGAGAAGGGTGATAGCCTTGACACCCATCTTCTTGCGGTCGTCCATCTCGGGCTCGGCGGCCCAGTTGAGGAACTCAACAACATCCTTGGCCATCTGGGAGGTGGTGGCAGGGGTACCGTCCTCGTACTCAACGACACCGTCGAAGAGAACACGACCCATGGCAATACCTAAGAATAGCGGTCAGATTCAGAGCCTTCCTGAAAGATGAGATTGACGTGGACTGCAGGCTGCACACATACCGGTACCGGGGAAGTAGGGGTTGAAGTTCATGCCCTCGGCGAGCTGGACACCAGCTGGGGGCTCATCGGGGTAACCGGTCAACAAACTGAAGATGTAGTTGCAGCCACCGTGACGGCCCTTGACGATCAAGCTGAGATCCGGGGGCAGAGCACCACCATTGGCAGCACGGGCGGCCTCCTCGTTGGGGTAAGGGGCGGGAATGTAGTCGGACAGCTTTCCGGGGCGCTTCTCAATCTCACCCTGGTCGTTGGGCTCGGTGTCGTACTCGTACTCTTCGGCCATGGCCTTCATCTCATCGACGGTGTGGAGGACACCGACGAAAGAGCGCCAGGGCACGCGGGTCAGGGAGTGGCAGCTGGCGCAGACTTCACGGTAGACCTGGAAACCACGGCGGAGACTGGAAGTAGACAGAAAATAACATATGAGTATAATGCCGAGGTTTGGTGGGCGCCGATGAGGTATGGAAGTGGCCTCTAATATCCGGCAAACGAGAAAAGGTTACTCACGCGGCGTGATCAAATGTCTTGTTCCACTTGGCGTGCTCCCAAGGGTATGCGGTAGCGTGCAGACTGCATTTCGATACTGTTAGCTTTGTGGTGGTGTGATGGCCGGAATGGAACGACCCATCGATCCGGGGTTACGGAGCTGGTCGTTTGATGGCCAATTCTGATTTACGTTAGATGGCACTCACCCCTCCTCAGCAGGCGTCATGGCGTGAGCCTCTTGGCCATAGAGATAGGCAGCCGAACCGATAGCGACGGCGGTGGCGGCGGAGGCCGTGAGTGTGAGGTTGAAGGGGGAGCTGGCGGATTCGGAACCGGCGGCAGAGGAAGACGCACGCTGGTCAGCAAGTTAGTAAAACGGTCTTGCTGAAGCCTTGATGGTCGATTGCACATCGATTGACTCCATAGTATGGGGTCAATTGGCGTGCAAGTCGGGGGAGTAGCGTACCGAGGAGGTCTTGCTCAAGGTCTGACGTGCGACACCCCGGAAGGGCACGCTGCGCAAAACAGTACGGCCCAGCATACTGACAATATGTAATACCCTCCGAAGCGATGGGTAATTAGGACGGCACAATAGCCACAAGAAGAGGTGGGGAGGGAGGAGAGGGGAGGGGGGGGAGGGGGACAAGGCTGGAGTCGCAGTGGGAGAATGTGCTTTTGGAGGTTCAATTGAAGTCGAGGTTGGTCGAACGGGTCAAGTTTCTCTTGGGCTTGGAATTGCCTAAACCCTCCCGCTGATTGGCCGGTGGCCGGGCTGCTAACTGGCTTCGGTGAAAACCGCGACTTTTCGGAACAACCAATTTTCGACGGAGGCCGGGCTTCGACTGCTTGGGCAATGCACGGTATAGGTTACTGTACTCTCTGACATTGCTCCTTGTTGGACTTCTACAGTGACAACAGAGGTTCGACTTCATGTCCATCTCCTCTCACCCCTCCATTGCTTGATCCAGCACCCTCAATGGCTCTGGTTTCTCTCTTCCCTCACAGAATGGCTTGCAATCCGCGGCCTCTAATTGGTTAGTCAGCCTTTCCGCCGCAATCCCCTTCCGCAGCGCATGAATCGCCCTCCGGATATCGCTTCTCCCTCCCTCGCCATACATCACCAGCGACAATATCGGTAATCGACGGATTGTTCGGCCACTCAAGCCCTATACGCATTCATACCAAAGGTCCCGGATTAGCATATGGTCCACAAAGCTCGAAAACTCACTGACCAGGCTCTCCGACACTGCCTCCGCCAGCTGCGTCGGGACGGCTTCTGGAAACATCGGGTAATTGACAATCATCTCATCATATGTTGGTATCATGAGTCGCTCGGCGGGCTCTTCCACATATGACAGTGCTGCTTGTAGGTCATCTGGGTTGATCATTTTGACGTCAAACGTGCCGCCTTCAATGATGTGACTACGGCTCATCTCCTCCAGACAATCCTTGTAGATGCGATAAATTGACCGGCTGGATAAATTCGGTACATATTGCTTGAGATCGATTCGATCGAGGAATGCCGGGTCCTACTCAGACAGACGAAGTCTTAACTGCCGCTTCAGCTTCGCATATACTTGATTTCTTACCAATGCGGAAAACAAGTTGCTCGTGCAGAGCACAACTACATTCGGATGGGCTTTGACTTTGTCGAGACCTGTCAACAGGGCGTTCACCGCTCGAATAGCATCGAATGGTTCATTGCTGTTCAACGCTCGGTCTCTGCGGGCAGCTAGTGTCTCGATTTCATCGATGAAGACGCAGACGAGGGTTTCATCCTCCGCTTCGAGCAGCAGATCTATGCGCTCGAACATTTGATCCACCAACTTGGCTCCCTCGCTGAAGAACTTACTTCCCAGCGCATGTGCATTGATTTCAATTAGCTTGCTCTGGGGGTAGTCTTTCCCCAAACGTATAGCAAGTTTCTGAGCCAGGCCGCGACTGGGACAATTAGTGTTCAGCGTAACGATCTTGTGCTTGTACGCACCAGAGGCTCGTTTTCCCTGTCCCAGGCGGCCCCCATAAAAGAACCAGCTTGTTCCAGTCGATGGTCCACTTGTCGAGCTTGCAAGCAGAGAATGAGACTAGGCATCTGTCATTAGCACCTCGCCTGCGCAAATGCCTCTGATGTAGAATACGTACGCATTCTGCTTATAGCAGTAAGAATTGTCGACTGGATAGGCTCGTCGAAATGCAACCTGCCATTCACAGGTCAGATCAGCACGGGAGTATGTGGATGAAGTTCCCGTACGATTCCCAAAGCCCGTTTAGATCTGAGCTTGGCAGTGCCATGACCCTTGCCCTCGCTATGTCCGTGCCATGTTCGGTGAGGCCGTCACCTGTCTGAGCGAGCTGCGGATCTTCAGGTCCAGACTGCGTATGGAGTTGGTAAGCCTGGACATCTATTTTCACCTGGTGCAACTGGTACGCTCCAGATTCCACGGTGCCCCCCGTGCACTCGCAGACGAGCACGGAATCTAGAGCCTGGGCATGCGGATTATTCAACCCATCTAACCAGCCGTTAATATATTCGTACGGAGCCGTTCGCTGCGGGTGACTTGCCGAATGAGACAATCTCCTGTCCGAGCGATAGGATCACAAAGTTATCCGTAAGCCATTTCGTAAGCTCGTCTCGGATCTACCCTATGGTTAGATCAGTTGGTCTTCAGATCTCTTGGTTACCTACTAAGTCGGTGCGGATGATGATGCCGTCATTGTTGGTCTTAACGCGAGCTTGATATGGAGAATCGGTTGGAGTTCCATCGGACGTGAGACGCAGTAGTAGAGCCAATCTAGCTCAACCTCGTGTGCAGTTGGCGAAGCGTGTAGCAGTCTCCATTGAAGAATGAGCATGTCGCTTAGTGAAAGGAAGGACAAATGACGGAAAGAGCAGGTTGCTCACGATGCCGGGGGCCTGGGGCATCTATTGCTATCATACTACTCAATTTGTGTTACTACTTGTCTCCGGTACCTCCTAAAGTACTTCGAGCCACAGGCGCGTAATGAGCCTGCGAGACTACCATCATAACACAGGAAAGTTCAAACGGCCACCATTGTACTATCTACATACTGCCGATGCATAAATATTACTAGTATCCTGCGTCCTTCCGTGCAGTGTGGAACCACCAAAATCCACAACTTAATCGTTCGAATGTCTTCGACCGTCCATCATACTGTCTTGACGTCTCTATATTACAGAACCAACATATTTCATGAACTGCCTTGCATTTTCTCAGACATCTCTTTTGTTGTTGGTTGATGAAACCATGATTGAACCCAGCGGCCTGGTCCGGAAAGGAAAATCTTCCGGGTGATCCATCCATTGCGGTTCGTCGCTTGACACCTACTGTGGAGAGTGACAACAGGCGCTCACGGACTCATCTTCTGATGCTTTTTGGATATCCTCCCAGATGAATGCATATATACAGATGATCTACCAACATTATGATCCCAGGCTACCGTGAATCCGAGCCCAGCCCAACCTTGACCTGAAATTGGGGCCGCCCCGCGAACTAGTAGCTTCTCAGGTGGGCGCAGCGCCGCAGTGCCCACCGAGACCCTGACCGACTTGCCCGGCTGGACTCCAACTGCGCAAGAGCTCGCCGAACCCAATCTATATTCTTCTAGATGCTACTACACACTCAAGCAAAATGCAGAACGCCAGAAATGGAGCAGCAATTAAACAGAAGCCGCGCAGAGACGTGCTGGCTTCACTCAGAATGGCCTCCATGGAGGATGTGGTTTCTAGAGCGGCCCTTCCAGCAGGTATGTCCCACAAGCTGCAGCCTTAGCTAGAAGATTTGGATATCCTTACTTGATATTTGTATACTGACTGATGGGAATCCAGAGATCATGTCGTCCATCCTCGACTATCTCTCCCCAGTGGATCTGATCCGAGTCGCTCGATCGTCGAAACTCCTGCGCGAAATGGCATACGATGATACCAGATGGGTGCAGAAGCTGAAACAGATTGGGTGCTGGGATGAATTGGAGGCTCGCAAACATGTGGAAGACACCTTTGGTACTATCGCCGACATGAAAAGTGTTGAGCACAAAGAGGCGGCGGACTTGCAGGAAGCAATTGATGCGACTCGGAAACCTGACCCCACGTTGAACTCGCTCGCGGATGGCTTCGACCAGATAGAACTGTCTACCCCTGCCGTCACCAATATTAGGGATGATTCTGAGGATGACCCGGTCTTGGGCGTGTTGAAACAGGTCAAGTCGATGCGCGGAGAAGCGCGCCAAGAGTATGGAAAGATACATGCGGCGCTGGCACCATACTACAACAGTATTATTACCTCGGGGGCCTCCTCTGACTGTCTGCTCTTCCGAGACTATAGCGATCCGCGACAACAGGCACAAATACTTTCCCAATTACAAGCGTTCGCCAACAGTGACACGACAGACGGCTGGCACGAACGAACCCAACAATTGCAGTCGGCTGTGTCGGTCTTCGAGACAAATGCGGTTAAAGAGTTTCGACACGGCTACGAGACCGAGGACATAGATGGTAGGATGCGACAGTACGCTCAAGTGCTATACACGCTGAACGGCGGTAGCGCAGCGGTCGAGCTCTTCATCCATCACAACCATCTGGTGACGCGAAGAGCGGATTTTGGAAATGTAGCCGACTGCATCGATACTCTTACAGGAAGTGTGAAGCTGGAGCATACACAAGCTTTTTTCACCCGGATGAGTGTCGCTTACAATGAAGAAGTGTCAATCATAAACCGTGCCTTTCCCCAGCAGCTTGACGTCGGCACACCATTCATCGAAAAGGTTGGACAAGATGTGCTATTTCCATACCTAACAGCCATATTTGACGAACTGCATCGCACGAACATCGAATCCTACCTCACCGCAGTATCAGGAACTTTTGCGCAATGTCTCAATCTGTCGGATACACTGCTACCTATTCAAAACTCACCTGATACATTTGAAGTGTTATTGCAGCACGTCATCACAAAAACATTTGAACCTCATTTGGATCTGTACTATGCGGAGGAATTAGACCATTTTCGGAAAAAGTCCGAAGCAGTGGTAGAGGAATGGGACCGGCAGCTTTCCGAGCAGGCTGCGTCGACCGAGCTGTTTCTCATGTCCAACGTCAACAGACAGGCGGACAAGAGGGATTTTCTGACTTCGTTCAAGAAAGTCATCATGGCCCCTGTCAACATCCTCCCCAGCTTCTCAGGAAGCAAGGCAACCGAATCAAAACCAACGCCGGAACCCTCGCCTGATGATGCCTCATCTTTGAAGAGCCCCAATCGATTCTCCACAATCGGCTCACCCGGCACGCCTCCGGTAATGGAAGCACCAACCACAGAACTTGCAGCGAAGGCTGCAGTGATGAAGTCCAAGTTAGAAGGTATCCGGTCTCTCTTCAGTATTGAAATTGCCCTGAGTCTTGTGCATGCCGCGAAATCCAGCTTAGAACGAGCTGCGCAATTTGCCAGTGTAGGCGGTGAATATGGGAGCGCAGCCAAACAACAGTGCGAGGCCATCTTTGTAGCTCTCGTGCGCATTCTGGGCCACCGCCATTTAATCGGAGGGTTCGATAAGGCTGTCAGTCATCTATCAAATTATCGACCCCGCGAACAAGGAGAGCGGGACCAATCTGGGGTCGAGCCGTTGGTGACATTTCTCGAGTTGGTCAATGTCGGTGATCTTATCTTGCAAATGATTGACGTTTTCTACGAGCAAGAACTGGTTGGTGCCAAATTGACCGACCGGAACGACTTTCTTGATCCGGCCGTGAAGGAGAAGAAGAAGTTCGAGCAGAATCTTGACGAGCGAGTTGCTGCCGGACTGAACAAGGGTATTGATGTTCTGATGGAAGAAGTGGATTATATTCTCGCGACGCGACAGCTAGCGACGGATTTCAATCCCAGTATTTCCACGGACCCGTATCGAAAGACGATGGATGTGAGCGTCACTGAGGCGGCGGCTGCCGTGGTTGATGTGGTTTCTTCACACACCCAAATGCTCGTCGGCAGTACGGACAAGAGCATGCTGGATGTCTTTAACCAAGAAGTCGGACTGCGCCTCTTTGCCGCCTTATGCAAGCATCTCAAGCGACAGCGGATCAGCATCGAGGGGTCGTTGAAGCTTATCAGGTAAGCGTTCTCCCCTATTTCACATTACATGATTGAGTCCCCGCTGACAGCCTCTAGCGACATGACCCACTATGCTAAATTCATTCAAACTTTCAAGAACAACGATCTCATGATCTACTTCAAGGCCCTCCGAGAGCTGTCGCAGATATACCTGATTGACTCGTCGGATGCCAAGGAGCTCGCGACCATCATCGCTGATGCGGATCGGTTCTACGGGATCTGGCGGGTGGAGGAAGTGTACGAATTCGCCGAGCGACGAGCAGATTGGTTGCAGGTCAAACGGGATGTGGAACGTGCCATGTACGGCATTGGATGCAGTGTTATGTGAACCATGAATAGACCATGTATATAGAGAGCGTTATGAAACTATTGTCGATACGTATTTTGGGGGGCCCTGGGGTAGCATCCGGGCCGGACCGAAGGGTCGATCATCTTTCTAGATCCTACACTTAAGTCATAGACCCTTTTCTTTGGGAGACGCCGTTGCATCATCCACGCATAATGGATCGGAAATACCCTGGCAGATAACCCTTCAGGGAGTGTTTCGGGGTGTCTCTCGCGTCTGGGGGATGGACGTCTCTGTTTGAGAAGATTGGAGAAACCAATCAATTGTCGGATTGACATCTCGACCTGCATCCTTCTGGTCAGCCTGTCTCTCCCTCCTCACCAGGGCGTTTGCTCCGATGCTGCCATCATCTATTCTCGCAGCAAAATAGATGACCTAGAGAAAGCGAGCACCATGACCGTTTGGGCCGCAGAGCAATAAGAACAACAACAATAATTGTCCTCCAAGATGAACAACAACCGCCAGACCACATTCCGATGGCCATATCTCTACCATCTGCTCCTCGTCCTCCTCCATCTTACAATCCTAAGCGCCGCCTCTACCTCCCAGCAGCAACAGCAAAAGCAACAACAACAAACCACCATCATCATCGTAACCGTTACAGCCACCACCGCCCCGACACCGACCATTCCGCACCCGCCCTCCTATACCTCTCCCGACGTCTTTGAAAACACCATCCTCAACGTGACAAACACCTACCGTCAAGCCCACAACGCCAGCAATTTGGTCTGGAACAAGACGCTTAGCGAATATGCGAAGAAATGGGCTGCTGGGTGTAGATGGATGCATTCGGTGAGTTACTTTGCACATTCAAAGAAGAGCAAAAGCGCTGCATTTACTGTTCCTCAAGCGTCACAATTCCCGTCCCTCAAGCGTCACACTTCCTGTCCCCTTAAGCCTCACAGTTCCTGTCCCCCCCAAGCAATACACATAATCCTTGACTCATCTCAAACAATACACACACTACCCCTCACTGTCCCCCCTCCCAAACAACACACCCTTCCTGCTGCCCCCCTCCTCCCCGGCAACCAAAACACAAACCCTACTAAAAAAAAAAAAGCACGGCCCCTACGGCGAAAACCTCGCCTTCGGCTACCCTAACGTCACCGCCGCCGTCGCCGCCTGGGGCGACGAAGGCCTGAAATACAACTTCCGCGAGCCGACGGGGTTCACCGAGGAGACGGGCCACTTTACGCAGTTGGTGTGGCGGGCTACGATGGAGGTGGGGTGCGCGGCGGTGGATTGTGGGTATCATGAGAATAACAACGATAATGTGAATGAAGGGAAGGGGAGTGCTGCGGGCTCTGGCACTAACAATAAACAGGATGGGGAAAGTGCGAATGGCAATGGGAATGGCAACAGTGTGCAGCGGCCGCAGGGCTGGTACGTGGTGTGTGAGTATGCGCCGCCGGGGAATGTGGTCGGCGGCAATGACAAGCTGGGCGATAAGGCGTTCTTCCGCATTAATGTGCAGGCGACGAGTACGTATGCGGGGCCGTGGCAGACAGGCGACGGGAATGGGAATGGGAATGGGGGTAGTAAGACTTCGGTGGCGTCGAGTACCTCGGGGGCTGCTGGTGGGGGCTTCTGGATGTCGTGGGATTGTGGTTGGTCTCTGATGTTGCTGTTGTTGTTCGGGGGGTGGTGGCTGTCGATGATTGTTGAATATTGTTGATTTGTTCTGTATTGTCGACTGTCACTGGTTCCTCTGTATGATCTTTGCATGTTTGGAAAGCATTAATCTTAATCATCTGGCAATAACTGCTATGGTTTCATCATTGTCTGTCATCTCTCATGCTACCGAATGTCACGCATATCATTTAAACTCCCACACGCTTGGAGGGTAAGTAAAATATGCAATACAGATCTATTCACTTTTTCGTTTTCCTTTTGCTGGTTCCAGGCAAACAAGTCTGCGCCCGCTGTTTTGCAGTTGGAACCAAGCCAAAGGCGGATCATGGAAGGAAGCTCACAGGAAGAAGTGTGAATACTTCAGAAGGGAGGGGGGCGAGAGAGGGGGAAAAAAGAGGAGGATATCGACAGACAAGATGCAAGAAGAGAGCAAAGAGAAAAAAAAAAGGAAATGGGATGGAAATGGAACACATTAAATACGGGAAAAAGAGAACCCCAATCAACCAATGATCTCCTCGCTCTCCTCGATGATTTCCTCGACAATCTCCTCGACGACGGTATCGCCCTGTTCGTCGGAGACCGCAGAAGCATCCTTGGCCAGCTTGGGAGTGTCGGCCTCCTCGGGGAGACCATATGCCTCTTTCTCCTCCGCCAAGAGCTCCTTCTCCCGACGCATCCAAGCAACCCACTCGTTGAGAACGCGCTTGCGCGTCTCGACCACAGCGGTGTTGGCAATGTCGACGGCGTATTTGTCCTCCTCGTCGAATTCCTTGGAGTATTCGCGCAGGTTCTTGCGCACCTGCTTCTGCTCCTCCTTGCTGAGAAGAGTCGGGGGACGAGGGCGCCAGACGAACTGCTTGAACTTTTCGGTAGGGTTTTCGGAGAGGGTCTGACCGGCGAAGGTGTGGAGGTTCCAGCCGTTTTCCATCTAAAAAAAGAATGTCATTAATTGTGTCTTCAAATTACTGGGATAGCAAAATCAGTTTGCCTAGATGAACGTACCGAGTGAGTCCAGACACTGGCACTGGTGACAACGTAACGACCAGTGGGATCCCAATCGATATCCGTGACACCGTAGTGTTCGACCGTCTTCATCAGCTGGAGGTTGGCGGCCAGATCCTTCTCGGCTTCAGGCTTCTCACCCTCAAAGTCCATGTCCCAGAAGTCGATGTCGAAGCTAGACTGGGAGTGAACTGTGGCAACAACAACGAAGCGACCCTTGGGCGACCAGTAGATAGCATTGCTCGTCTTTTTCTCAATGGTGCGAACAAGCTTGAAGTTACCGGCCGAAACACCCTTCTTCTCAGGGGCGAAGAAAGAAACCGCCGTCTTCGGGGGAGCGGCGGCACCGCTGGCAGCCTCACCGTTCGTGATGAGGACAAAACGTCCTCCATTCGGCTCCCAAGCGAAATTGATCACAGTATCTTTGAGACTGTCAACAACCTCCACCGGAACACCCTTCTCACGCACGCGGAAAATCTCCAGGTTGGTGGCCATCGACTTCTTGGACTTAGAGTGACGATCGACCTTAACACAAACGTAGGTACCCTGTGATTGCCAGTGCAGCTTGACATCGGACACGTTGAACAAGTTACGAGTACGAACGATCTCCTTCGAAGGAACGCTCATGAGGGCGACACGAGCAGGGTTGCTGCCGATTTCGGGAGTCCAGAAGCAAAGCAGCTGTTCGTATTGCTTCACACCTTCGCGGTTAACCGTGGCAGGGGACCATTCGAAGTCCATCACACCATCGATCTTGACGGAGGTCTTGCCCAGCAAGTTCATCCGGGGAAGTTCGTAGATAGAGATCGACTGGGATTGCTGCATTCTCGCAACGTACTTCTCATCGGCAGACCACTTGAAAGCGGGCCACTGAACCTTCTTCTTGGGCTGGGCGTCACCCTCAGCACCGGGGCCGGCAGCGAGGTCGTTGGAAACGAACGAACGCAGGGGCTTTCCGGAAACGATATCCCAGATGATGATGTTCTTTCCTTCCTCTTCGTAGGTCAAAAGCGGGTGACCCTCCTCGACCTGAATGGGGCGCGCGGACCATGTGGTAAGGTAGTTCTCGCCGGGCGAGAATTCAACCAGCTGCACAAATGGGTGAGGGAACTGCTTCTGCTTCGAGAAAGCCGGGCCACCCCAGAGCTGAATACCCTGGGGATGGACAGAGGCGAGGTAGGTACCCTTAGGGGACCACTGGACGAACAGCTGCGTCCAGTGGGCGCGGTCGACGACATTCTCGGGCGGGTGATTCTTGTTGTTCCAGAAGACGCCGACCTTGTCACCGCGGTAGAGGGCGAACTGATCACGGGCGTTGGGGTCGGCGAGCCACGAGCGGAGGTGCTCCTTCTCCTTGAAAGGTTCGATAGCGGGGGGCTTGTATTCCTCGTCAACACGTCCTTCCCGACCGTAGCGATCAATATCCATGAGCTTGTTGACAGCGAGGGTGTGCTTCTTGTCGAGGGGGACACCGTGCAGGGCCTTCACGGCAGCGACGGCTTGTTCGGGGGTTTCATATTCAACGAAGGCGAAACTGCGAGCCAGAGTTAATTTTCCACGCGTCTTCGGTCCGGGTTTCCAGGACATACCCTTCGGACATGTTCTTGTCGTTGATGGGCATGAAAACAGCATCTTCGGAGGTGTTGCCGGCGGTGGTGAGCTTCCTCAACAGGAACTTAATGAGCTTTTGTCTGCTCTCCTCGGGCACGATCGGAAGCCCATCAATAACGACAAATGTATCCAAACCCTCATCAAGTTTCACTTCGAACTGCTCCTTGAGGTCTGCGAGACCCAAACCGATCGCGGTCAGTGACGAGGGGCACGGGGGGTGAACAGGACAAAGAACGCGAGTGGTCGCACTCACCGGAGAAGTCAATCTCCTCCTCCTCCTCTTCGTGGAGGTCCTGCTCGGAGAGGGTGTCAAAACTGGGCGCCATATTTGCACTCGCAGCGGACGGTGATAAAGAGGGGGGAGGGGGGTAAGGGTGGAGAGCGTTGATACGGAGGATGAAAGATCCTGTTCTGGATTTTCTGCTGGTCGACCCCGTTTTGGCTGATTTTAGGGCAAAAAGAGCAAATCCCAAACCGCAAGCGCTTCTGTGTGCGAAGCAGCTGAGTCAGCTTCAAGACATAGTCACATGATTATAGATCACCTGACCATACGTGGCTGGGGAGTGGGGGAAGTTGGGGACTGGGATCACTCACGTGATATAGCTTAGCTAAGCCGTCTCCCCCAGCTTCTCGTCTGGCTGGTGAATGATTGTCATTCGAACCGACCCGACCTGTACATCGGCTTGGCTGAACATCATAACAATCGCGATCTTCTTCCGCCCCCCTCCCCGCCTCATCTTCGCTGCTCGTGTGGGTGTATAGCTGCTGGTACCTGGACCGGTCCTCTTCCTTGTATTTTCTCTTTCTTCTTGTGCATTATCATAATTCTTCGTCTTGCGTTGCATTGCTCGGGCATTTCTCTATCCTTCTTCCTCTTATGCCCCGCCGGTCCTAAGCGCCAGCGCTACGCCCAGATCTAGACGCTTCCTCTTTCTAGAGCACCACCACCCGCGCCCTAGGCCCTGCCAGTTGCATTCGATTAGCATACGATCAACTCCGGGCTAGCAATTGACATCTTTCTGAGTCTTCTTTTACCCCAGCTGTGAATTTAACGCGGATAGCGAAGCTTCTGGGCCAAAATGTCGCGTAAGTTCGGAATCTGATGTTCCCGAGTCATGCATCAGTGCCGAGATCGCCTTTAACTGACCTCACTTTGCTTGTACACCAGTCTCACCAGAGGACCGCCTTCGGTTCACTCCGATCATTGATTCGATTCTAGCCAGAAGTGATTTGAATACCATCTCCGAGAAGCGCATTCGCAAAGGCCTTCAGGAAGAGATCGGATATGACCTTACCCCGCAAAAGGTCTGCACCCTGGACCTGGACTACTCTCGCAACGCCCCGTAATCTATACTGCCAGTTTCGGTCTAACTTGGTGCTAACCCGATATTTGTACTCAGGCTGCCGTTAAGCAGCTTATCATGGAGCGGTTTGACATCTTTGCGGCCAAAGGGAACAGTGTAGCTGCGCCTGAGCCGGCCGTGACTGCTGCTACCACCACAAATGGTCACAGCCGCGATCATGGCTCCGAAACACCCCCTGCGGAACCTTCATCTCCCACGCAGTCTTCGGTCTCTCACAAACGTCAAGCAGATAGCGAGGATGGCTCGGATATTTCGAGCAAGACCCCCCCTGCGAAGAAGAAGAAGCCCGACAATGACATTGACGCTGATGCCCTGTTCGCTGCGAAGCTACAGGCAGAGGAGAACATGCGCGTCCGCCAGACTCGCGGTGGTAGTACGCGCAGGGCCCCTCCTGTGAAGAAGAACAAGGCGAAGACATCTAAAAAGGTCAAGGCGGAAGATGATTCTGATCTTGATTCGGGGTCGGAATCAGGAAAGAAAGTCAACCGATCAGGGGGATTTCATGTGAGCCTAGATTCTCTTCCTGGTTTGCCAGCATCGTTAACAGCATATCTTAGAAACCACTCACACTATCACCCGCGCTTTCTGCTTTGTTGGGTGGCGAGGTTACTGTCTGTTCACCCCTTGACTGTTGCATGTTTTCAAACCTGCAGCTCTGTTGCTGACTATATTACAGCTCTCTCGGCCACAGACAGTCAAGCGACTCTGGCAATACATTCACGAGCATGACCTTCAGGACCCTAGCGACAGGCGACAGATTTGCTGCGACGACGCAATGCGCGCAGTCTTCAAGCAGGACCGTATACACATGTTCACAATGACCAAGATCCTGAGTCAAAACCTTTACAGTCCTGACGAATAACCTGTTACCTGCTACCAAGAGACCACATTAATTGCTGCCTTCAGGACAGGGCGGACTGTAATGGATGTCTCGCTGCACTTATGACTAACTTGTTTCCACTCATTGCACCGCATATGGAGACCCGGCGCTACATCGTTTTCTTTATTCTCTCATTACCCTCTCATAGTGTCTCATCCTTGGCCTTTGTTTCCGTCACTTGGTTTTACACACTGATATTGTCATTGGCGAAATGCTTACCCTATGTTTTCTTTTGTCGATCTGAAAGTTTCTCTCCAGCGGGAGTTGGTGCTGCCTTTGAAATAGGCGCGATGGATAATGCTAGTTAGAGATTATATTCTATTTTTATGATGGACTCGTATAGTCTGTCTTCTCACTGTGTAAACATTGGCTAATTATGGCAAAGATAAATTTTCATGTCCACAAGCACCGGTGATTATATCTTGCCCCCCTTACTCTCAATTATCGTAGGTTGTGGGGTAACTTAATCGGCAGGGGCTCACTCAGGTCGCTAGCTCTGTGAAATTACTGCCAATGAGCTATTATGAGTCTGCATGAGTCATATTCTACAGCAATCAATAGCCGCATCCGTAAAAATGATCCTACTCAAGTAGAAAGTTGCGGCGGGGGGTAAACGAGGGGAGATGCGATGGGGGGAAATGGGGGATGTCATCGATGATGCTGATGTTTGCTCACTAAGCATGCCGCAGCTCGACTTTTTTGCCCGCCGCCGCTGACACTCTGGAAATCTGGTCATAGCAACCTCAACTAACTCTTTTTACCCCTCGTCGTCGCAGTGAACGCTTGGTCGCAAAGGCTCCAAGAGCTTGAAGCTCTTTTTGTAACGCAATTTCTCCGGCTGAACATCATTGCCTGATCGCCCTCCCGCCAATATCGTTCTCATCCTTATCCCCTCCCCCACACTTCCCGATGTCTGAGACTCAACAATCTCAGGGCCCTTCCGGATCGCAAGGCTCCAACCGAGGCGGTCGCCGGCGCGGACGAGGGGGAGGTTTCGGAGCTGCTCGTCAACCTGGACAATCTGAAACCTTGCAACAAAGCAATGAAGGCCCTGGGAAAGGGTCAAGATCCAGAGGTCAAGGACTCCGCCGGGGCGGCGGCGGAGGTCGCGACAAACAGAAATCTCTTGCGAACACTGTCGCTGGAAGACCGACTCCGGCCGATGCCACAGCCACAAGCGAGAGTAAGGGAAAGCAGGCAGTTACAGAGGACTCCGACGATGCGGATGATGGGGAGATCTGCTTCATCTGTGCTTCGAAGGTTGAGCATACCTCAGTTTCACCTTGCAATCACCGGACCTGTCATATTTGCGCGCTGCGGTTACGAGCATTGTATAAGAACAAAGCTTGCGCACATTGTCGGGTATGTGTCTCTGCCTTATCATCACAGTTTGATCTCGCCATGCGCTAACATTTGTGTGTCTGTACAGACGGAATCTAGCTATGTAATCTTCACAGATGACCATGCTAAGCGCTTTGAGGACTTCACGGAAGCAGATTTCTCCCAGAAGGATGACAACCTTGGAATCAAGTATGAGAGTGGTGAGATCTTTGAGGATACTGTATTACTACTGCGGTACAATTGTCCTGAAAGAAGCTGTGATGTTGCTTGCCTGGGCTGGCCTGACCTGCACCGCCATGTCAAGAGCAAGCACGGGAGGGTGATGTGGTGAGTATTTTCACATTCCCAATAAGCATTTGTGCATATACTTATTCTCAATGTTCTATAGTGATCTGTGCACGCGCAACAAGAAGGTCTTTACTCACGAGCATGAGCTGTTCACTAATCAAGAATTGCGTCGACACGAGAAACACGGAGACGATGTTCCTGGTGCAATTGATCAAAGTGGATTCAAGGGACACCCAGAGTGTGGGTTCTGTAGGCAACGTTTCTATGGTGATGACGAACTTTATGCTCACTGTCGTGACCGTCACGAGCGGTGCCACATCTGCGATCGACGCTCTGGAAATCGCCAACAACAGTATTACATTGACTACAACGCGCTCGAGGACCATTTCCAAAAGGACCACTTTCTCTGCTTGGATAAGGAGTGTTTGGAGAAGAAATTCGTGGTCTTTGAATCCCAAATGGACCTGAAGGCGCATCAGCTGGAAAATCACCCTAACGGGCTCTCCAAAGATGCGAGACGCGACGCACGCACGGTTGATCTTTCCACCTTTGACGACTTGAGAGCTCCATACCAGCCTCAACGACAACGCCGTGGGGCAGGCCGTGGACGCGATCCCAACTCGGAGCCTCTGCCTGTCTCTAGCGCACAGCCACTGAGACGAGACGAACTCGCCTATCAACGACAGATGGCCATTCAAAGTGCACAGTCTGTATCGACCCGGAGCTTCGGCGGCCAGCTCACCCGCAACGACACCCAACCTGTGCGCGCTCCTGCTCGCTCCGCGGCTGGCACGCCTGCGCAGACGCCTCCGGCCGCATCTACTCCCGTCGCTGAAATGGAGAGTCTCACTTTGAGCGCGGACTCTGGCCCCGTCTCTCCTCAAGAACAAGCACGCCGTCTGCGCCATGCTGCCGTAGTTGAACGCGCCTCCAACCTGCTCGCTAATGATAAGAACAAGCTCAACGAGTTCCGCAGCAGAGTCTCTAGCTATAAGACTTCTTCCATCTCAGCGACCGAGCTAATCGACGCGTTCTTCTCCCTTTTCGACACCTCCAGCACCGAGCTTGGTAAACTGATCAAGGAGCTCGCAGAAATCTACGAGGATGACAACAAGCGCACTTCCTTGCTGAAGTCCTGGAACGACTGGCGGGCAATCAACGAAGATTATCCCGCTCTTCCCGGCCCCGGCGGCACAATTCCCGGCATGTCTCCAGGAACCGTCAACGGTAGCGGCGTGGGTGGCAAGCGTGTGTTACGTCTCAAATCCTCCACCGCTCAGTCCTCTCGATCCGCTGTGGGCAGGAGCGGTGCTATGCCCTCCTCGTCTTCCTCGACCAGTGCTTTCCCTCCTCTTTCCTCCGTCACTGCTCGCTCTACCCCGCTTTCCAACCCAGCTGCATCCACCCCCTGGGCCAGCTCAGCAACAACTTCCGCCGCTCCATCGCCTTCCATTACCCCTCGCACCACCTACTCGACTCGCTCGGCAGCCCCCGCCACCTCCCGCTCGGTTCAGGCAAGCAACCCCGATGCCTTCCCTGCTCTCCCGGCCGCTCCCAAGCCCAATGTTCTCATGGCAGGCCTCACCCGCGGCACCGTCCGCTGGGACAGCCGTGGCCCTCAGGTCAACGCCTGGTCCTCCTCGTCACGGAACGACTCCGGCGCCAATTCCACGGCGGAGGAAGAGGAATTCCCTGCGATCGGTGGTAAAAAGGGCAAGGGCAAAAAGGGCAAACAGACTTTGTTCCATTTCGGATAGATTGACGTCCTCGTCCTTTCCGGGTTTGATCTCGTTTGAATCTTCCTCCCGGGGCTATCTACGCATATACGAGTTCTGTATTTCTTCTGAAAAGGTCTTTGCTATGTTTGAGCATGTATTTGAGCGTGTTATTTCTTTTAGATCTGGCTCGTGGTCCTGTGAAAAATAGAACAGACAATCTGTGAGGCTTCTCCTCGCGCTTCAGTAATTGCGCTCTGTAGTAATCCTGGACATCGATAAGGTAAAATAGGGAGAGAGGGAGATTGAGCAAAATCGTTGTACATGACCGGTTCTCAGCAATGAAAGCTACTCTGTAAGGTCGCCGTATCAGGCTACGGTATGCAGGTGACCACAAGAAGCTTGATCAACGTCCAGTAAGCGCACCATTCCTTTCCTTCAAACACGGCTCCTATGTCATGTGCTGTAAGGCCAGTACGGTAGACATACAATGCTAACATTTACAAGCCGAAATTGTGTCACCATGTGTGGTGGCTTTGTTGGCAATAGGGTGAGGCAGCATCACTCTGACAAGCCCGGGCTGTCCGCAGGCGCTTCCGAATCGACCGGATCCTGGTAACTTTCGCCTTCACCAGTATCATCGTCAGTATCGGCATCTGCGTGAGCGTCATCTGTACCGTCAGCATCATCACTAGTCTCCGCCGCATCCTCATCGATCGCCGCGATGCGCAGCAGAAACTCATCCTGCAGACTCTTCAGCCACCGCCATAGAGCCTTGCCGCTCATCGTCCCAGCCCGAGCCAAGAGCAACTGTTCCCTGAGCGAGAGGATCAGATTACGCTTGCGCGTGACGGCCAACGCCCTCGTTTTCGCGTGGCGCCGCCGCGCAATATGGTCCAAGCGCTTCGAGACCTCCTGCGCCGTCTCTAGGACTCCCGGCGGAAAGTCGACCAGCTTGGCAAGAGCCAGACCGTAGAAGCGCGTGGTATCGGGTCCCTCGGCGATCTTGTAGAACATGGTCATCTTGGACGTATCGGGAGATATCTCGGCGGTCAGGTGGAGGCTAGTGACGCCGCTGCGCTCGCCCATTATCACCGCTAGGTCGCGGAAGTGCGTCACGAACCAAACCAAGGCGTGGCTCTCGATCAGCGCCTCGGCGATGGCGATGGCGATGGCCAGGCCGTCGGCTGTGCTGGTGCCGCGGCCGAGCTCGTCCACGATCACCATGCTCGTTTGCTGGGGCTGGACGTTCCGTAGGATGAATGCCATCTCGCGCATCTCTGCGGCGAAGGTGGAAATGTTGGCTTCAACATCGTCTGCAGTGGAAACCCGCGCGAACAGTTGGTGGATGATCGGGAACGATGCATACTCCGCGGGGACGAAGCAGCCGATCTGAGCCATCACGGTCATGAGGGCAATCGACCGGATGTAGGTCGATTTGCCGCTCATGTTGCAGCCCGTGACAACGTTGAATCGAGTCTGCTGTGTGGCGTAGACGTCGTTCGGGATGAACTTTTTCTTGTGGATCTTCTCGCGAATGGGATGCCGGCCGGCTTTGATGGCCAGCACGTTGGTTATCTCCGGGCGGATATACTCGTGGCTGGTGGCTAGCTGTGCGAACGAGGTCAACATGTCCAACATGGCGATGGCCTCACTAATCCTGAAGAGCACCGATATCTCAGAGCAAATGCTCGTGATCAGGTTCTGGATCGTCTCGTCGCTCATGTTGATTACCTCATTGTGCGCGTCTCGGATCTTGTGGTTCAATTTGACCAGATCGAGCGTCTGACATTCGATGCGATTGTTCTTGCGGTAAACATTAATGAAGACTTCAGGTAGTGTGTGTGTCTCTGTAGTGGGTATGCTGATGTAGTATTGGCGGGCTCTGTCATACTTCAGATCGAGCGCAAGACCGTGGCATTCTACAGACGTCAGAGCAAGTTTGGGCGCTAGTGGGTCTGGGAGAACACTTGCCTGCCAAAGCTGTGATTAGTTCTGTGGCATCTGTGTTGGCCTCCTTGTACGCTTGTCTTGCGACGTCAAGCAAACTGTTGACTTCAGCCTAAGATTCAGGTCGGAAGATAAGGAGGTCAGATCAAGTAGTGCCCGATGGGAGATGACCATTACCCTGACGCAGTATATCCTTTGGTTTCTGAGGTCGAGCGGCTTCGTCTGATAGGTAACTTGTTCGTTCAAAATTTCTTCGATCAGTTGTTCTAATGCTTGGTGACCTTGCGGAGCGCATAACTGGGATCCGTTGTCAGTGCCATTATCTAACTTGTCGGCGGAACCTACCTCTCTGATGTCCTGGAGCAAACTGCTCTGAGCTGGTGCAAGTGCCTTGTATATCGACTTGATCGACGAAAGATATGTTTTCACCATGATCACATTGTTAACCGATTGCTCAACGTCTCCGATGGCGCGTTTTGTAGGAACGAGGATAAGCTAGGCGGTCATTTCTTGTACGCGACTCCGGTCAGGTTTCCACTCACTGATGTCAGAGCCTTATCGACATCAATATAACCTTTCAGAGCTGTCTCCGCATAACTATCAGTGTATGGAAGCGTTTGTGCCACAGCTCACTGACTCTGCCTAATTGAGACAAACATATCCTCTTTTGTCGTCAGGTCTTCGACGGCTTCATAGCGTGCCGATAGCTGCGACTCATCCGTGGAAGGCTGCAGGATATTGGCTCTTAGCAGTCGAGTACCCATCGGGGTGTAGGTCTCGTTGAGCAAGCCGAAAAGACAATCCTTTGACTTGGCAATCTGTAAATTCTGGGCGAGCTCCAGAGATACTATTGTGGAGAGGTCAATCGACATGGATCCCTGAGATGGCTCGTATTGGATCCGCAAAGAATGGCAGGTAAAGGCCATGTTAAGTTCAACCTCCACGTATTTCAGAACCTAGCAAAGTTAAGCAAGTTTCCACACTGACTTCAAATACTCATGCGAGCGCTTACAGCACCAAAGCAGCAAGAAGCAAAATATTTGCTCTCCAAGACCATTTTGATGGGCTCGACATCCTCTGGGAATGCTAGTCGCTCCACATATTCAAGACCAGTAGTTTCTGACCAGAATCTTCGTTCAACCAAAGTGAAGGCGGCGCCTGGTATGTTTTCCTTGAGGATGTATACGAGCTTGGATTTCTGTGCACTGTTCATCAGGAGGATCTCGGTTGGCTCGTAGACTCCGATTTTCGTGACGGTCTTGACGTATGTCTGGTTGTCATATATCTGACATACCACTGCTTCTGCAGTAGAGAGATTAATAAAGGCCAAGCCGACAGTGGCTGAGACACCACGAGACTCGCTGACGGCGCAGACGATATCCTGCGATGCAACGCTTGTCGCCGATGTTGTTGGCCGTGTTGCGGTTCGAGGTCGTAGACTACTCGCTCTAGTCAGAGTAACGAACGAATCCGAAGTCCCCACCGGAGAAGCTCTGGAGGTCACTGAGGCCATCCTCTTGTCTGCTCATGAGCCCGTGAGTATGAAGTGTGATTGTTGAGCCAGTCGGAAGAGCAACTTCCAGGCGTATACTCCGGTTGTCCGAAAGCGGCTTAGTGCCGATCTCCCCCGCGACGATAAGTCCGCCCAGATTCTTTATCGATTTTTTTTCTGCATTTGCTGCCAAACTCTTAAGTACACAGCAAACCCAAATCACTTTCACAATGGCGACTCTTTTGCCTCCTCCGAGTAAACGTCAGAAGACGGAGATTGCTGAGAGGGCCCGTCTCCAGCAAGAGATTGAGAGCATCCCGGAAGGCCTGGGCAGCGTTCGGGTGCAGTTTTTCGACCAAGCGACAGGAGCGCCAACCGGGCCAGCAGTGTCCGTTCCAGTGGCCGATGCTAATGTGAAGAACTTGGAGACTCTTCTCAATACCCTACAAGGCAATGTAGGTACGCAACAGCCGCAAGTCGGTGACCTTGTATCAGAATTGCTAATCCTGCGCCATCCGATACATAGGAAGATGATGAGCGGGTGCCGTACCGGTTTACCTACCAGTCAGACGATAAGGACAACCAAACCCTCGACATCCTGACACACCTGTACCATTCCCTTCTCAAGCCAGGTCTCAAAACCACCGAAGATACTGTCCACCTGTACTACGCGCCGCAGGCGGTTTTCCGAGTCAAGGCGGTCTCGCGATGCTCGGCTTCCATCGCCGGACACGGCGAGGCAATCCTGGCTACATCCTTCTCCCCCGTTAATTCGTCCACCATGGTCACCGGGAGTGGTGATTCGACGGCTCGTATCTGGGACTGCGACACGGGAACTCCACTGCATACTTTGAAGGGTCACACTAGCTGGGTGCTGGCGGTCAGCTACTCTCCTAACGGCGCGATGGTTGCGACAGGAAGCATGGACAATACGGTACGGGTCTGGGACGCGAAGAAAGGCACAGCCCTGGGGGCCCCGTTGAAGGGCCATGCGAAGTGGATTACCAGTCTGGCATGGGAGCCGTATCATTTGCAGCAGCCGGGGCGCCCGCGCCTGGCTTCTGCCTCCAAGGATTCGACAGTCCGCGTCTGGGACGTGGTCAGCAAGCGCATCGACATGGTTCTTACCGGCCACAAGGGTTCCGTCACCTGCGTCAAGTGGGGCGGAACTGGCAAAATCTACACAGCCTCGCATGACAAGACGGTCAAGGTGTGGAATGCGGAGAACGGAACCCTGATCCAAACCTTGTCCGCCCACGCCCATCGGGTGAACCACCTGGCTCTGTCTACGGACTTTGTCCTCCGCACCGCTTACCACGATCACACGGGCAAGGTCCCGCAAGCCGACACCGAGAAGGTCGCCGCCGCGAAGCAGCGGTACGAGCAAGCCGCCACCATCAACAACAAAATTGTCGAGAAGCTCGTCTCCGCCAGCGACGACTTCACCATGTACCTCTGGGAACCGGAGAACTCCAGCAAGCCCGTCGCGCGTCTCCTCGGTCACCAGAAGGAGGTCAATTACGTCACGTTCTCGCCGGACATGGCCTACATCGCCTCGGCGGGATTCGACAACCACGTCAAGCTATGGAATGCCCGGGACGGAAAGTGAGTTAAGCCCTATTCTTATACCCAGTCAGGGGTCGATCGCCACAATCTCTAACCATCCACCTCCGCAGATTCATTACGACTCTGCGCGGTCACGTCGGCGCCGTCTACCAATGCTGTTTCTCCGCCGACTCCCGCATGCTGGTTTCCTCGTCGAAAGACACCACACTGAAGGTCTGGAACGTCCGGACGGGCAAGCTATCCGAGGATCTGCCGGGACACAAGGATGAAGTCTTCGCAGTAGACTGGAGCCCTGACGGACAGAAGGTGGGCAGCGGTGGTAAAGACAAGGCTGTGCGGATATGGCGTAACTAATGTGCGAAAGCTTTTCTGTTTTTCCCTGTCTGTCTTTCCTTTTCTTGGATGAATAAGTATATAGAACCAGATACCCTGCTATTACCCTGGACAAAGTATGCTACGTACTTCAGCTTGTTGTTGAGTCGCAAAGGTTGTGAAACACATAGACGACTTACACCGAGCATACGGATACTCGATTCTGGCAACGCGATGATGTCCATCGATCCAACTTGGTCTTGGACCATCAATCCCAGCCGGACGGCAATGCGTCAGTTCCCATGCGGCGTAAAGAGCACTTTTCTTCTCCGAAACCGCAAGTGCAAATCCAACAGTCGAGCAGTCGAAAAGTGATGGTACTTGAGGCCCTGTGAATGACCATTACCTTAGGTTACTAGTCCTATATACTTGTCATGTATAGTATTGAGTCACTCACACCTACACTGGGGGGTTATGACGTGCCGACAGTCTCATACCGATATTTACAGTAAATGTATGTCTCCGACACGTTCTTGCGCCCGTGGTGACAATAGATAGTACCAGAGGGCGATTGAGGATTCCAGCAGCAGAGGACACACACGCATCAGCGCAAGCAAGCGATCAAGCAAGCAATATTCGCACAGAGGGGTTTGTGATACAGACTCGGAAGCAATGGTGGTAAAATAGTAGCCACAGACAAGACGGAGAATAGGAATAGGCAAAATGAGTTAGTAAAGACTGGAAGAGATATAGAACAGGAAGTCAAGAGAGAACATAATGAAGACAGAACAGAATCAAGAAGAAAAACACCCGCGACACCGGTCCCGATACCAGTACACCCAATCCGTTCCCAGACCAGCCTTCCTTTAGAAAACACCGCATCCCAGGAACCCAGGTCGTATTACCAGAGCCATAAAACATTGCGCCAGAAGAGGTATTAGGCAAACAGCAACGGAAAGCAAGCAGCCAAAGAGAAAGAGACAGATCTCGATCGACACCAAAGCATCAGCTTTAGTCGTAGTCGTCCCCACCATCATCGTTGTCACTGTGCCGCCCACGCGACCCCTTGACGCCGTCCTTTCGGATAGGAATCTTGATACCTTGGAGCGCAAAGCATTTGCTGAGCGGCGTGCTCTCGATGACGCCAGGGAACTTCTTGGCGGAGAATACATGGAAGGGCTCAGAAAATACAGATGCCAACACAGGCGCTGACCCGTGGTTGATCACCGACACACCATTAGGGGATTCACCGGATTGGGTGCCCACGTTCACAAAACTCATTTTGAGTCTACGCCCGTTAGCTAAAACTGCATGATCAAACTTCTCAGTGGGAGCACATACCGGAAGGATCCTTCTGTCCGTACGCTCAAGTCCTGGAGAATGAACCAGACTCCAATCTTGTTCTCCGGATCGGTAAGTCGGAAGGCGCTGGCGCTCAGACTGCCGATGAGATTTCGCGTGAACATGCCCCCTGTACCGGCGGCAACAGGCTGCGACGGAGACATGGCGGCGGGCGGCATGTGACCTCCCTGGTAGTAAGGATAATATCCTTGGGCTTGCGGATTGGCAGCATAAGGGTTTTGGTATTGGAGTTGCGGGTTGCCTGGGTAGTAGTTGTTCATATGCGGATATGGAACAGGTTGGCCATAGGCATTTTGTGCGTACGGAGGATACGAGGGGGAGACGTTTTGGAGCGGAGGCGGGTATGAGGAGGACATGGCAGTAGATATCGACGGAGATGTGGCCGAATGCTTCACCAGGTTGACTTCGCTCGTTCCCTCCGCATTCCATAAGTCGACCATGAGCACATAAAAGGACGTATCAATTTCACTGATCCCAGATTGTCAGTTTTGTGGTCGCTGTAGCCACGCATGATTCCCGGGGCGGCGGCTTACTTGATATCAATTTCCTTTTCTGTTTGGGCATCGCGCACAATCAAACGGATGCATGGAGGAGGCGTAATAGGACGTCGGTCCTACGTATGGTTAGCGATTATGAAAACGACCTGCTGAAAGCAGAACAGCGCCTGGCTCGGAAAATAACATCATGTGTAGAAATCTCTTCATCTGACAGCCGGCCAACCTTGAGATTCAGATCCATGCGACTCGCAGTATCAGCAAAACAGCACTAGCGACCAGAAGCAGCCAATTGCGAGAAGACCTGGGATCATTGCGTTCGCGACTCAGCACCATCGAGCACGACGAACAGTCCGATCCATGCAGGGTAGGCAGCAGCCCAATCGGACACCGTGCTTCTGCCTGGCAGTCCTTCGCCAACGGAACTGCATCCGGACCAATACCCGAGACACATGGATCCAACATCTCGAGCTTGCCGAACCATTCGAGCACATGCGACAAACGAAATTTTCAGATCCATGCGCTGACCCCCGTTGGGGCGGGAGGGTATAGACAAGACCGACCTTGTCACCAAAGCCACACATGCGGGCGCGAACCGGCTGCTGTACTACTTGTAAGGACCAAATGCGACCCTCGTGCACGGTGGAGAGCGGAGCAAGATGACTTGCGGAGGCCATGGCGGAGGGCACAGGGCCAGCGGACCCAGGCGTGGGGTAAGATGAAGAGGGCGGAATTCGATCCATGGCGAGTGGCGGTGGAGGAATACGATCCATGAAGTGAAACGGGACGGGCGGAAGGATGTGAGTGGAAAGGGGAGCTGAGGCTCGTGGCTTGTCTTAGCGATAGCGCGGACTCAGCCAAGCGGAGGGAGGTGAAGCTGAAAATGGCGGGGTTGCATACGAGCGCGGCGCGCGTGGTGAGGCTGGCTGACGAAGGGCCAAACGTCGAAAGAGAACAAAAGCGAATGTCCAAGAGGCAGTAGAACCGCAAAGGCAGAGGGAAGAGGAAAGAAAAGGAGGGATTGTTTAATTTGGTAGTCGCGGGGAGAGTTGAGAGAGAAATGGGGTACAAGAAAGTAAGTAGCAGTGGGCAGTTCAGTTCAGTAAGTGGGCGGAGTCACGGGCAATTTTTTTTGGAGAAGTTCCAGAATTGCGCTGCATGAGCTCATCTCTCTCTTGCGCTCTTTCAGTCCGCCTTCAATTTCATGCTCGTCATTTCCGTCTCGACAAGAACCGTGCTAGGACAGGCAATTGGGGATTCTGGGGGTGGGATTGAGATGCGAAGGCAGATATCAGCTCTGATGAAGACCGAATTAATTGACAATTACTGCATCGTCCAGGGTAGAAGAATTAAGGTATTTGCTTGTGATCCATATGTTTGGGGGGGGGTTAGGGGGTTCCCGGATTACGGAGCTGTCTGTTGCTGGCTGTAATTAATGTCTAGTACAACCCACGGACTGCCCGCTAACGGCTTGGGAGGGGAGGGAACAATACCAGCAGAATACCAAGAATACCAGTAGAACAACCAGCAGACACCAGAGGAAGCCCCGTGCGGTAGGCGGTTTAGAGGACTGCCAGGAGACCAGAATACGGAGAGATGACCCCTCCGCCTCGCTAATCTCCACCCAACAATTACCGCTTGGCTGCAACACGCCCGGACCCGGCGTGATATTAGCGCATATTCGAGGGGTTTTAGTCGCGTCACGGATCAGGAGCTGATCAGCACTCAAGCCGGCGCAGGAACCTCGAACCAGACAGTCGGGTTCGGTCACTTGCCCAGTCCGGAGCTTTGCCTTTTGCCGGGTGCATCCTACTGGGAGCTTCACGGAGCATACTAGTACTCCGGAGGTCATCATCGTCATCCTCATTCCCCCTCCTCCAGTATACGAACGATCCTTTCATTTCTAATTCCTGATTTCCTCAATTCCTTCCCAACTATTTCTGCATCATTTAGACACTTTTCTCCGACCATCCCTTGAGCAGTCTGCATTGATGTTTCATCTTCAACCTCCTGCGAAACATCCCCGTGTGCGCCCGGGCCCTGTTCGTAGGACAGCAGCAGTCAACTGATGGAAGTCACAATGTAACACCGGAAGAAGAGGGGGAAGAATTCGACAAATGAGATTCTTGATTGACCGACTGCGGTTTGAATTCAGCTAGACCTGATCAGGATGCAGTGGGGTGTCAGTCTTTTCTCTCAACCAATCCCATTCCCGTTTGCCCTCCTGCAGGCGCCATCGATCCTCCGTCTTGGGTCGATTTAAGCTGACATTCGACGCTCACGAACGAACTCTCCTCCCCGTTCGAAGCAGCTGCCATCAATTTATGTCATCAGAACTCCCGTTCGCAGAGTATTAAGCCGCGACTGGACAATTGTTAATGCAGATAGACGGATCAATGGGGTGAGGTGAAAGAGTTCCCTGCCGCTTCGGGATTACTGCCTGAAAGATGCCGTTTTGTGTATATCTTCATCTGAGAAGGTATACCATGAACCGCTGTTCTTTCCTGTTTGATTTCAGCATTGATCTCCTCAAGCCACATAAATGCAGACTATCTATTATTTTGCCAGTAATCTTTTCAGTTTTGGAGAGTAGATCGATGTCGACTATAATTGATACCTCCCTACGAAGGGAGGGTCTATCATTGACCCACCTCGCAACAGAAAATAAACGAAACGAGCTGATTCATGTTCTATTTTTCTCGCTTTTACAAGCATCAACACGTGCTCAGATCTCTAGCTCGTGGCTAACTTTGGCTCAACCTATCACTTCCTATAAATATTATGCTAGCATCCAGAGTACTGTAGTCACAAACAAACAAAAATGGCAAACAGCCTTATCCCCAAGCCTTACGGAGTACCGGGACCCGGGATGGATGCATTTAGCGTCCCCGAAAGGCTGATTTATCCGCAAGAGCTAAGGACTGCTGCGCCTTGATTGGTGCCCTCCTTATGCTGGTGGCTGGTACTATTAAGTTACTTGGTTTGCATCACTGGGCTGTATGGATAAGATCGTACTAGTCATCCGTCTGCACCGTGAAGTACATGTTTTTTACCCTGCTAATTTATACATTCTTCACTGTTCCTTAGTCCTTAACTTTCATTGGCATCAGTCGAGGTTCATCATTGTTTCACCTTGTCTCTGGCAACCTTCTGAGATCTTCAAATGCAATCATTGATTCTATCCCGTCGTGACTACTCCTAATCTACATCAAAGGGGATTCTATGACCCCTCTTGCTGTCAGATCGTATGAAACGAATGAAGAAATAGCATAGCATAAGATGTCGACGACTAAACTTTCAGAGTCACAATCGAGGATTCTCTGTCTGCACAAATATTATCCCTGTGTGCATATGCATGTTTCGTCTTCAGCTGCGGTTCAGTCAAAGCAGTGGCTGTATTGCCATGACAAGCAAGGTGTGGACGGCATATGCGACCAGGCCCTCCTTTAGTAGCAGATTCCCTGCTTACTCTATCCACTGGTGGTGGTCAGTTGAAGGGTAGTAGACTGCGATCTTGTAATCTTCCGTAGTCCACCAACCAGCACTAAAAAGCTATGAACTGATTTTAGAGAATTGTAGATAGTCATAAACAATTACATATATATAAGTTTTTAGATATATGGAATTATATCATGACGAGAACTTAACTGCTAGGAAATCTCATTACTAGAAACTATCTCCAACCCTTTGGGATTTGTTGACAAATGTTAACAACTGATATATATTGTCAATCATGCTAGTAGCGATATATACCTATAAACGACTAGTTTCAAAGTGGATTCTAAGACAAGGGTTATAGTTTTCAAACAGTTGTCCATGGTTTCGATGGTTGTTAACAGTAACTGACAGTCACGAAACTGCTTGTGATGGGTTTATGACCAATGTTCTCATGTAACTACCAGTCTCATTTCCCCGCGATGCAACCTCGAACACTCGGCCATCCGCATCACTTGCGTCAAATCCTCATTGTTTCAGCCCATCTCTAAGGAGACCTCTGGAGAGCCTATTTTGGGGCTTCTGCTGGAGATAGCGCCTGTCATCGCCGACCTACTTAACTCTCACCATCACGCTTGGAACAGAGCCAGGGCTTGACGTCAGTGTTGCTCAGCGCATGCTGCATCTTAAGCAGGCCATACTGCTGTGTTGGCCCTGCCGGAGGTGCGTTTGGAGATGGTCAATTCAGGGTTGCAAGTTGCACTCATATTTCTAGTTGCTTTGCAGAATAGTTTCCTAGATGACTAACCTTGTCAGTCGCACCCGTAAAACGAGAGTTGCGCGTCAAAGCACTCAAGAGATTGGCTCTCCAGCAAAGATGGGTAGTCTGATCACACGGCAAATAAAGTGATCCTTGGTCCACAGTCCTGAACTCTGCGTCAATGGCTCGAAGGCATAGCTGGCTATATATGGCAAGCTGATACAGATGAGGAGCAGCACACGAGAGGTACGAATTCTTGTGGCATGACCAAGCCGCGCTCCTTTTCTCCCATCAGCTTTGTATTCTGACTCTGGGCTTTGGCGATTCTGAGCCGTGCCTTCTTCACCATGATGTAGAAGCACGAAATGAGGGGATGGCAAACAAGGGGACTCGCTTGACGAACAACAATCGTGAGAATCATCGTATCACGGCGAGTGTGTGCGGCTACAGCGCCTCAGGCAACTTCTTGCTTAGAGAAAAAGGGAGTCATTTCGTTGGTCCTCACCAGGTTCATCAGATGTACAATACCTGCGAATATCGATCAGTCTTTGGCCTTTCGACTGTGGAGTCTAAAACAAGTTCTCCGATAGGTAGCCACCGTGACCAGACGGGGTTACGAAGCTGCACTGAGCAAGACCAGTAAAGCCTGGAAGCAAAATGGCCCCATATCGTAGCAAGCCTAATCAACATCCGAACTCACGTTGGTAATCAGGATTGGTGGTAATCATGGTAAAACGAAGCGAAAGGATAACCCCCCATTGCCTCGCGCCAATATACCAGATCTCATCATGCGTTCAATCGCTTGACAAATCATGGCGGAGGTTATCTCGTACACTTCGAGAACACGCTCTCAGCAGACGGCAAAAGCTCGCGCGCCGATCCCAAGATACGCACATGCCTTGACACCGTTAACTCGATCCCGGCCCGCGTTGTCCGTAGTAATCGTGATCATCCGAATGGTCAGTTCGTTTGTGCATCCAAGCGTTTTCGTCGGGACAATGCCACGCCAGCCCTAGGGAGGTTTGCGATGCCCAGGCATAAGCAATGCATTTACCCGTTCGGGAATGGCTTCAACGCTCCGAAGATGACGTTGTGAAAAAGAGGCGCCGAAGAATGAGGTGTCCTTGAGGATGCTCAGTTTAGCAGGCTGAACCCCTCCCAAGTTTCAACACATCGAATCGACTGCAAAGTACTACTCCATAGTAACGAAATGGCGCGGAAAATGTTCAAACCCTACGCGCGTTTTTCTCGCTACGCTTTCCCGGATAGAGTGAATGCAGACCACACAGGCAGGCCCCGAGCGCAACGGTCTAAAGCCAAAGCAAAAAGTTTATGGAGATATCTAGATGTTGAATGAATTGGACCACACCGGCTCGATCAATCCGAAAGCAAAAAGAAAGGAAAAGAAAAGGACTGCAACCATTCACGGAACGCTAGAAGAATCTCGTGCAATGTCCTGGGGGTCGCGGCGACAATCATGACGATGACGCTGGGCACGATGTCAGATCCTTATGCCTACCGCTCTCGATGATCCTTCTCCCATCTTCCTCTCCGTCAACTTTCAAGGCCTGGACCCACCACGGCTCTTTAGCAATAAACACTTTAAAGTACGGAGTACCTAAACATAACATGATTCCAATCTCTCGGCTCTCGCTCGATCTTCTTTCCTCCGCTCCGGCCGAAACGTGCGCCCCTCCTTCCCCCGATCTCCACTCGCTTTTACGCCCCCCCACCCCCTTTAGCCACCCGCTCCAGCCTCCATCACTTTGCTGCGTTTTTCTCCGACAACCATGCTTACCTGACTTGCTGGTTGGATGGGATCATGGAAGTACACGAGCACGGCCCGCAGAGGGTAGTTAGAGGGACCGGGGATCGGGACGGTCGGGAGTCGGGACTTTAATCTCGAGTCTTCCTTTTTTTTGGTTTTTTCTTTTTGTTCTTCAATATTTACTGGGGGGGAGGGGTTCGGTGTATATGACGTCCCGTGGATGGGTCTCGATCACGATCACTGGTTGGCGGCGAGGGAACACACGTAGATACAGATGGGTACTGTAGGAGGAAAGCCATACCTATCGACGCGGAATGAACATTCGCCAGTAATAGGAAAAGTTGGTTACGAAGGGCGCTGCTGCTTTCAGCGTTGCCAGCATGCAACTCAATCGAGATGGTTGGGTGGGTGAATTCCTTTACTTGAGCTATCCTCCCTCTGTAAGTTCTATCTTCCTCGCTGGAATGAGGATCTCATCATCTCATCCAATTTCGATGCATCCCCTCCCTCTTGCGCCGAGATCAAGCCTAGTACATCAAGTGGAGTGGCAAGAGCATAGAGTAGCTACTACTAACACAGCCTGAGGGGGATCTGCTCAGTTTTCTGGAACATCTCCTCCCTCCCGCTGCATCATCTCTAAATATAGCAGCAATGCACTAAGTAGTGGTAGTACTAGCTGCCATCCGGGTGCCGGACGAACGAGGTGAGACACTCTTCTATAGTAGGTCTATGCAAATATAGCCATAAAACAAAGCCTACTCACCTCTAAATTGAGGAGAATAGAATAAGCGCACGAAGTGTTTGGGAGAGGAGAAGCAGGCACCACGCTATGGGCATGAACCAGGATTCATACCGGATGGTTGGCTGCTTGGCCAGCTTCATATCAGCCGTTTCGCAATTTAGACTTTGCGGTGTCCTGTTTGTGGTATACTTTTCAAGCATAAGCTCATGGTGGTTTCAGTGAGAAGTGCTCCGTACTATGTATAGAAATCAGAAAGAAAGGTGGAGGTTTTAATGATGTCTCGCTTGATGGAATATCCAGAGCATATCGAGGTAGCCCAGGGTTTACCGGTACAGAGTATTGGGTATCCTGTTCATTGGAGGATTATAACGACGGAAGAGTCTATTCCAACCTTACGTGACATTTGATTTAGCAATTGACGCAAGCAAATTGGAGCCCGTCAAGTGAAAAGATGTGGTTTTCGATCACAATCGTTCAGGCTTCCCCGGAGGGGGGGGGAGGGGTAGGTTGATATTCATTACCATTCGTGATGTTTGCTCAGGTCTGCCTGCACATAAATTATACACGGACCCATTAGTAAGCTGCTATGAGTCAATGACCAGCCATGACCTTCAGAGAGAACAATCGGATGTGCGTTTAGGTTACTATATCTGGGCGAGGAGCACATGTCTTACAAGTCACCCAGTCGTATTTAAAGTTAGCCTCGAGCAATACAAGGTATAACTTTCCCTAGTGTACTTTAGTAGTTAGTTCTCTACGTGCTCAATTGATCTCTGTTTCGGTCATGGCCGAGCACAACGATGGATGTTACTAGATAGGATCCGTGTGGCATCGTCAAGCTATCGAAGACGGTTACGCTCGTTCAGGAAGAGAAATCCGTCCGGGGCTCCACTGCACCGAGCCACTATTGTGAACGATCGACCAACAAGGTTTCTCTTCCCCTCCTTTTGGCTATCATTGACGGACCTTTCCATACCAATGTGAAACCTCTTCTCTGAATCCCACGTAAGCTATCAGGTTTGAAGGGAAACCCGATCTACCACCCTTCATAACCATAAGGCTAGGGATCCATCGATTACTCCGTATCAAAGTTGGCTGCGCCGTACCACGGGCCGAACTCAACCTTATGCCTGATTCGGGAGTGGACAGAAAAGTCCTGCAACAGCATGGCCAATCACACGGTGGGAAAACACCAAGAATCTTGATTACCCGAAATGGCAAAAGCAGGGTTCATCACTCAGTGGAACTAGACCGCGATAGGGAAAGGGGCGGGGAGGGCGACGGGGGGATGGGTTTGGGATTTGAGAAATACTGTTTTGGGTTTGGCCTGCAAGTGGCCGGGGGTCCACCCCGGGGTGGGCGGGCGGGCGCGGCGTGGATGGTTTTGTCCCAAGACGGCATGACGAGGAGAGGTCCATAATCCATCATGGAGAGAGAGAGGGGGGAAGAGAAGAGAAGAAAAGGGCCGCGCATAGCTACATTGGCCAGATTCATGATACGAAATCCCTCCCGAGGTTGAAGTCTTGTTGCTTCACGGTTTTTTTTTTTTTTTCCCTTTTTTCCTCTTTTGCGCGCTCTCTCTTCCCCAAATGCCGCTTGAACTGGAACCTCAAGAGTGTTCTCCAGCCCGAGTAGGGATTGTGGTCACAGAAGTCGTTGGTACCACTTGAAGTATGCGTGACTTACGTCAGTCAGGCTCTACACGGACTACAAGTCGGAGTCCCTGAGCAGAAGCAAATGCAACCTCCCTTTCTCCCACTTCGGTTTGTGTGGTCTTCCCAACAGGATGCATCTCCACCACCGATCCATGCTTCTACGCTGCACTGGGCATTTGGCGGCAAAACGAACCTGACGATGGGTCTTGCATATGTGTTCAGGGGATGGACTGTCTGATAAGTCCTGACAAGGGGCAAATATCGTCCTTTGTACATGAATGCTCCGTACTCCGCAGATTCATCGAAGTTGCGATGGAAGAAGAAGGATCACAAAGGATGAAGCCCAAGAGGAAAGTAGATCCCTTGATTGAGTGGCTCGTTCGAGATCAGGTGGAGGTCATGTCAAGGGCAATCCGGTTAGGGAAAGGTTGCGATCGATGGTTGATAGATGAACCGAACGTCTGGACGCAGTCGGTATTAATAGTAGGGTAATTCAATAGTGAAAGAGTCAAAGATCAAAAAGCATCCACAAATCACGGACTTTCCTCCCTCTCCCGGCAAGACTAACTGGAAGGAGAATGTACTCCAGCACTTGGACTGGTGCTTTTCGGTATTCACTGATGGATCGTCCAATTTTTTCGTCTATCTCAACGGTAGTGGTTCTTGGATGGACAAGAATGGATAATCTTGACTTGGAAAGGTGCGGAGATCCCGAAGCTCCGTCAATCCTTGACGAGCGTCCCTTTTTTTTTGTTATTTATTTTTTTTGGCCTGAGACCGGCAGTCTCCATGTCAATCGGTAGGGAATGATGGACTGCAATGATGGAGATCATAGTAGATAATGGTATTTGCTAAAGTCGAGGTAGTCCTGCAGGTTTAGGCAAGAGGCCACTCCGCATTTACTGGTTTGGTGTCTGCTGCACAGGCCGCGGCACTGGCAGTCAGACATTTCAGATTTGTGCATGAAGGGTGGAGCAAGCAGTTTTGGAACAGAAGAGGAGGAAAAAGGAAGGAGAAACTGGAAATGAAACAAAACTCAAGAAAGAAAATTACCCTGTTATTCTACATAGTATAGAATCTAAACAAAGACGAGACAGTCTTGGTGGCCGGTAAGCCTAAAGTCTTGCTCACAACGGCAATGCTACTCCGTTCCGTGTAGTTTGTAGCGTGTACTATCAATATGGGATAGCTATGGAATGAATATGAACCATCTTGCCCACTCTGTTATCCCAAGACCCACTCCGAACAACGATCTATCGGTTAGTTGGTTGGAAACTGTCTGCCAAAAGTGGTGTCCACTGAGGGGGGGAGGCGCCCGGAAGGGGCAAAGGGGAAAAAAAAAGAGTGTGTAGGTGTGCGGTAGGCAGGGAAATTCTAATAGATTATCCCAATATTAAAAGACCAGACCTCGAACATGGCGTGCCAGCAAGATGATCATGTTATGTGTGTGCGCGCATGTGGGTGTGTATGTCTCTGTGTTTCCTGTCTGGTGTGTGTTTGTTTTCATCAATATTTGATCATCTTTGATTATCATTATTCTTATTATTATTCTTCTTCTCCTCCTTCTGGACTGTTCTCATTATTATCAGAACTGCAGCCATCTCTCACTCGCTTTCTCCTTACTCTGTATTCCTTTTTTCTCTACAACCCTGACTTACTACGACTACTTATTACTTCTCCTATAAACACATCGACCCTCTCTCTCTCTCGTGTTCTCCCCACCCAATTGTCTCTCCTCTGGTCTCTTACCCTCCCTCCTTCCCTTTCTCTTGTCTTCTGGACTAGGCTGAACAAACAAGGTGCAATGCCTGTCGGTATGTTATGAAACATATACCCTTGCGCCAAGTTACACCAACATCCAGAGTCGAGGGTCGACAATGCCTGCACGGCGCAGTTACAGAGCCCTATCACGGACTGGCTGTTATGGATGCAGGAACCGACAGATCAAGGTAGGCCCTCGCTAAAAGATTAAGTAAAGTGGTTGTTCCTGCCTGCGGTCTTCCTTTGAATATTGGTTGTCTTCTTCTGATTCTGTTGTATCCTTCTGATCCTTCTTTTTCTTTTTTGTTTTTTTATTTCTTTTTTTCTTTTCTTCTATTTTTTTTTGTTCCATTTATTTCTTGTTCTTCCTCTATTTCTTCCGTTCGTGTCTTCCTAATCATTCTCGGTTGTGGTGGTGACCTTTTCCCATCTTCTCCCACTTGACTGTTCCCCTTTTCCCCCTTATGTTTTCTGTGGATGCCTGATGCCTGGTGATGCGCTGATCCTCAGGGTTCAGGCACCTTACCAGACTGTATCGGCGTTTGGAAACTTACTTCATTTTATGCACTTTGGACGTACCACATTGTCTTATCAATGCCGTTACTGATTGCAGATGCAGTGTCCCAGAGAACATCCTCAGTGCTCGCATTGTACCAGTGACAATATAAGATGCCAGTATAAGATCTCATCGCCTAGCTCGCTGGTCTGGCCTAGGGTCAAGTCCCGCTCCACTACGCCCACGATTCCGCCAACACGGACAGCGGTCGCTTCATCACAGCCCAGCACCCGGATTTACGCCCAATATCGCCTTGTAATGGACCATCCCATTAGTCCATGTTCGCCGCCAGGCGAGCTCAACATTAAGGACTTGGAATTAATGATGCAGTGGTGCACCACCACCTATCTTTCTGTCTCGCGCAATAGCACCGTGGAAGGCATTTGGCAGGGTGTGGTTCCGCGCGAGGCAATGCGCCACCCATTCTTGATGCATGGTATCCTGGCCCTGTCAGCCCTACATTTGGCCTCCTCCCCTTCCTCCACCACGACCAATTCTGGAACGACCAAGGAAGACTATATGCGTACCGCCAAGAGCCATCAGCAACAGGCCGTGGCAGGCCTGGCCAAAGTCGCGGAACATCTAGACCGGTCCAATTGCAACGCCGCCTTTGCCCTTTCCAGCATTATGGTCGTCTTTGCCTTCGCCTTTCAAGGAAACCCTTCTTCCACGACCACCACCAGGCAATCCAACGCCCTGGATGCGCTGATGGACATTTTCCAGTTCACCAGGGGATCCATAGATGTCCAGGGTGATATCATCAACTGGGTTGCTGACGGAGAGTTCAGCCCTTTGCTAGACTACGACAACTCGCAACCGAAGATGCCGGACACTTCACGCCTGGCTATTATGTCTCTATCGAGGCGGAATATGGATTTGGCGAATAAGGACCCGAAGCACGAAAAGGACGTCTACGATGCGACCATCCAGCAACTCGGATTCTCCCTGGACAAGCTTGCGCGAGGAGGGGAAACCATGATCATCGCCTTCCAATGGATGTTCCGAATTCCACCACGATACGTTGAGCTGGTCCGAGAGCGACAACCCTTTGCGCTGGCGATTCTAGCGCACTATGCTGTCATTATCCATTCCTTGCGGGCGCATTGGTGGATTGGCGAATGGGGCACTCGGCTGATTCGAGATATTGGTTTGCATCTAGATACTAGCTGGAGGGAGTCGATCAGCTGGGTAATTGACGCAACGGGCTGTTATATTCCTCCGGTCTGAGAAGCCTGCTCTGGGCTTCCACCACAACCACCACGATTGAGCGCCTGTACAGCAAAGCGGTGGCTACTGCACGCCATGTCTCGACACAGTATCAGGCATGACTGGCAACGTCGCGTTCACCCAAGCTGATGCGCTTCCCGCAGCTCGGAAAAGCCGCACATCGCACTGCCGACTCTATGCACCTCCACCGGGCTCATAGACCTTCAGCGAGCAGCAAAGCCCACTCTAATCAAAATGTGAACACTGCGCTCTCTGCAGCTCCGCGACTTACTTGTGCCACGTTCCACTACACATCATACACAACATGCCTCCCGGACCCAGCACCAATGTCCTGTCTGGGGAAGTGGAAGGCCACACACTACCCTCCAGGGAGCACCATCCCCACTCGTGGACATACCCTCTCTGATACTGAAGCCGTCCTGTTCAGACAATTGAACCCCAACTGTTTCCCCGCCGTGACAGCCAGTCTGTCCCCACGAGTTCCACCGACAATAGGCTCCTCCGCCGACAAAAAGTTTAGAAGACAAGGGTGCTGGACATCATTGACGGAACTGCAAACGACGCATACTCTCACACGAAGACCTCTTTTTTTTCGCTTTCTCGCAGGTTTCCATAAGGATTAGGTGGCGTTTATTCTGGCTGTATGGAAGAACTAGCTAGTCTCACCTACCATGTCTTCTCACCTTGTTTCGTCCCTTTTTTCTTTTTTCTTTTTTCTGTTTTCTTTTTTTTTTTTTTGTTTTTAGCCTCCAGATCTCATAGCGACTGCATCATCTTTCATCTCTTCTTCTTTTTTTAAGGATACAAGGGGCATTACAAGCATGTGACGAGAAACTGTTGTTCTCTTTCTTTCTTCATACGTATTCCTTTCCGATACGGTATCGCACCGGTGGTATTTCCTTAGCATCTAGACCATGGGGGCCTGCGTAATATGTACCCTCCTACTAGTGACTATATCATTTATTGTATGCAAAGAGGGGCAAGAAGCGAATCAAAAAGACATCCCGATAAGCCCGTGCATTTTCATTGGAGACCTCCTTCTTCCCTTATTTAGTGCCGCCACAAGCGACGTGCATACAAAAGGCAGGACAACTGACTCTGGGAAAGCGTAAGCACGAAGGAGGAAAAAGAATAAGAAGTAAGATTGAACGACACAACTGAAACCGCGGATTGCAGGACATTAAAGACAAAAGACCGCCCTCCATGATGAAAAAACCCTTGACCGAACCATACTCCAGCGCCTATTTCCTAGTTTGACGTAAGTCTACATGGGTATTGATTAAATAAACATAGGTGTGAAGAGAGAAGAAGAGAAGCAAGGAACGAAAGAGGCTGCTGCTGCTGCTGCCGCCGCCGCCTTGCATGGAACCTCCCACTGATTGAGAGGGAGCAGACCATGAGGAGAAAGAATAAGTGAAACCTCAGAGGCTTCAAGGATCATCATCAACACCGCCACACTAGCAGTGACACTATGCCACAACCGTCGCCTACCATCCGCAGCATCTTTTTCGAACTTCCCTTGGTGCCAAAGAAGTCGAAAGAAGCAGCCCGTTGTTGACCGAATTCAATCACGAATATGTCACCCCCAGCATTACCCACCGAGGGGTACCAAATAGATACTTTTGTTTGGAGAAGAATCACGAAACCCGACCGGACAGAAACAGGTAAAGCGAGCGAGGGAGAAGGCCCCCGAATGCCAACGCTCTGATACCTGCTGGAAGGAAAACAGCCCTGTCCGAACCCCAGACCTGCCAGTATGTGCCAAGTACCAACCGGACGAGGTGTATATCGAACTTCGACCCACTCAACTCCAAACGTGTGCTAGTCAACTGGACGACGGTTGTCGCTCTTCGCTGCCAGGGCGACTACTATCGCTGCCGAGGGCCCCCGAGCCAACAGCGGGGTTCGTCGTACCGGCCGTATGCTCTATATCCTTTCTGCGATCCTTGGACTGGGTTCTCACGCGGGCCATTTGCGCCTCTTGGGTCTTGACGCGAGCCAACTGCGCCTCGCCCTGTTCGCGCATGCGCTTCTCTTCTTCGGGGGTGGGAAAATATGCGTTTGCGACACCGCCTGCGTTTGGCAAAAGGGCCCATAAGTGAGTGGTTAGGTGTGCAAGTCTAGTATCGGATTTTATGGTTTGTATGCGAAGAACGCCATGGGCTTGGAAACCAAAAGAGAAGGGGACGGAAGAGAAATATGTGATCCGAACTCACCTCGTCCAGTATGATGCGGTGCCTCTTCTATGCGCAACGGTGGGGTCTCGACGTCTTGCAGTTCACGCGCCAGTTCGGGATGTTGCGGGTCGTTCTGCATCATGTTGCCGGAGCCGCCGCGGCCGGTGGTGAAGACATCTTGTTTGATGGTCGGGGTGACGAGGTCCTTGGGCGTGGTGCGCGACTCGCCAGTGCCGGAGAAGATGTTCCCTAGAAGAGACAACGATAAGGTTCCCACCCAGGCTGACGGAAATCCTTCAATGTGCTTGAAAGATAAAACGGACGCAGGAGATGTGGTAAGTGGGGTCGGAGTCGGGGTTGGGGAAGGGGAGGGAAATTCAGAGGCATACCCGCGCCACCGCGACCATGAGAGATATTCCTGCCCATGGCTTGCTTGTCCTTCTCACTCTCAACCTGCAATTCTCAATCTGCGACGGGGGCGACAAAATGTGGAAAGGTGTCGATTTGAGAGGGAATGTACACGAGAAAGAGACGAGGCTTCGAGTTGCCCTCGTCGCGAAAAGAAATTGCCAAGCGGGAAAAACGAAGTTGCGCTCGGCTCTGGGGGTTGCTTGCACTTCCTCGCAAAGATTTGGCAGGGGATAGAATCTGATAGCAAGAAAGCGAAGGATGAAAGTCCCACCAAGTCAGCAAGTCAATAAGTCAGTTAATCAAGTTGATGTGAGACACCCAACACGAAAGAGGGGTGAGGTGGACTTGGAAGAGAGAGCGTGAGACAAAGAAAAAAAAAAAGAAATCGGATGATGCGATGACAGCCAAGAAGGAGCAAACAGCAGCCCGTCGGGATCAAATGACGTTTTCTTTGGCTGCTAAACTGCGCCCGCAACCGCTTCTTGCCATTTCCTTTATTTATTTATTTATTTTTTTTTTTGGGTTGATTGCAGAGCATTGCAAGGGAAACATCAGATTTTTCGCATTATGGAGTTTCTCTTACCTCACGGTTCATGTCTGGGACTTTCAGCTGACCTTCTCCTCATCTAGACTATTGCTCAGAGAGGTCAGATGACTTATTCTTTCCCCGAGCAAGACTCATGAAAGAGGGAGAAGCATGGCTTTCTTCGATATTAGCTTCGCACGTCTGGCCTGCTTTGCGAGTAGTAGAAGTATGCCTGGGATAAGACTGCACAGGATTTAAATGGACACACCTACAACTATGTCACGAGATTGGGATGTTTGTGTACGCCGAGATGAGGCAGAATCACAACCGATTCCAGATTCATACAGCTCAGGTACTTTCTTCAGGTCAAGAAACAGAACAAGTTTATCCATAAACAACCATCTTGTACTCTATCTAGAAAAACTACTCTTTAACATAATTAGACCCCGTAGAACTATACCATATCATATACACAAAGTCCTAATCCACATTAACATTCGCAGTGAAATGCGAAAACAAAGTCATCCCACATGTATCATTAAGTATGGAGCGAATGCATCTCCGGAGAAACCTTCAAATTCTACCTCCTGCTCACCACAGAGCTGCAGAAATGTCATAATTGTTTGGAGGACGTGGTTGATCTTTTCACATGTCAAACCATCGGTACGACCCTTGTTGAGTATATGCAGTTTCGAAGCCCATACTCCACACCCCATGGGCTCCCTTGATGCGATACGGCCCCTCCCACTCCCATTTCTTCTTCTTTTCCTTGTAAGAGGCCGCTCCGACGTGCTGCATCTGCGACGGAGAGATGGCCAGCCGTTCCAGGCCTTCCTTGCCCGCCAACATCTCGATGACGGTATCGACGGCCTTGGTAGGGGTCTTGTCTTCGCGCTCGGCCAGAAAGCGGAGGAGTTCCGGCACGTGAGCGCGGTTGTAGAGCAGGGCCTGTGAGCAGCAGCCGTGCGAGTTCATGACGTGCACGCCGGGCTCCATGGGAAACCAGGTGACTCGGCCGGTCATGAAGAAGAGACCGATCAAAGCCGGCACACAGAGGAAGCAGAGGACCAGCAGGAAGGGGTTGGTGAGAACGGGCTGTGCGGCGCGGATCCGACGGCGAGCTGCCAGGGCGACCCAGGCGACGATGGCGACGGTCAAGGCGCTCCAGAAGAGGTAGACGGGCCAGCTCTCCGAGTTCCAGCCCAGAAACTTCTCCGTGTAAAACAGACGCACGTACAACCAGTCCTGCAGCTGGCCGTGCTGACGGGCCTCCTCAATGCGCCGCACGCTCTGCATTGTGTGCTCGTACCAATTGCGCTGGGCCACCACGTCGTCCTCCAGCATGACGATCCAAGGGGCGTCGCTCCCATCGTAGCAGGCCTGTAGGCCCAGTCGGTAGTCCAGCAGCGACTTGCGCTTTATATCCTTCTTTTTCTCGAGGCTGGCGATCGTCACGTGCGGCGCGTCTACCGTTTCATAAGTATTGACGTGGTCCACGATCGTCGAGAGCCATGTTTGATTGTAGTCCGGGTGCTCGGTGGGGTCGCTAAGCGCGAAGAGCACCTGAATGCTCAGCGCGCGCCGCTGCTCCGGCGTGAGTGTGTCCTGGATCGAAGCAACGGTTGTGGCAAGATTCTGCTGCAGCGGTCGTTTCACCGTCACGATCCCGACGCAGGCAGCCTTGTCTCTAGGTGGTTGGTATTCGATCGGTGGGTAGGGATAGGTGGCGCCACTTTGATTGTAGACGGTGAGGTAGTCTAGCGACTCCTGGATACGGGCAAGACTGTACTTGGGCCGATAGCCTTCAGTGGCTTCGAAGAAGAGGGAGCCCGGGTCGCGGAGGGACCAGAAGCGGCAAAGGAGGAGGAGGAAAAAGAAGAGAATGGCGTAGGCGATCAGCAGCAGCCTCTGCTTCCTGTTGAAATGAAAGAAGGCCATTGGTCACATGCTGGGAGAATGGAGCGAGGAGAATAATGTACTGTGTACTGTGGTAGAGTGAAGAAGGATGTGTATCAACAGCAAGGAGGAGGGGGGGGGGGGAGAGGGCTAAAAACGAGGGCGACAACAACAATCCGGGTGAAACGGAGAGAAGTGCGACGAAGGAAGAGGATGAAGAAGAAAGACGAAAAAGAGTCAGTCAGTTTCAATTAAGTCAGTCAACCATGGCCGCCGCCCAGTTGCAGATAAGCAGCAACAAGAAGTTGGAAGCAAATTGGACTAAACCGCGGTGGGCATTAGTGCTTGACGCTTCAAGGGTCCCGTCCGTCGCGTCGCTTAAGACGCCCTTCTAACTAGTCCCAGATAAGGCGATTAGTTTAGTGCTTGTCGTGTTCCACTTCGTTCAGGGAGGGCTGAGTAAGTTGTGTTATTGACAACCAAGTTATTGTTCGACCAAAAGTCCGAGTGTCTTGCGGTTCCTGACCCACACTCCCTTTTCTTTCTTTTAACTAAACCCAGCACCTCCAAGAAACGATCAGGAATTTCCTTAATAGGAATTTCCTGGCTTCTGCCGATCTCTGCTCCAGTGTGCACTTTTACGAGTCTCTGGAGCATTCATGATGGCCTTTTGCCCCCGTGATTTCAAACCTGACCAATGCTGGGGCGAGATCCGGTCGCTAAAAAAAGGGCGGGAGGAAAAGCTTAGCTCCGAAGAATAACCACAGAATCATCCCAGGTGATTGAAGCGTTTATTTTTATCGCGACACATATATTGTTCACTTACTGAGTACAGACCCAGGGTAGTCTTGTGTACTCAGGATGTCTCACATCGCAATTCGTTCTTTGTCTTCGATGATGTAATAGGTTATCAACCTCAGATTGTGTCTCGCCTTGGTAACTGGGAGGTGCAACCACATGTCAGCTCTCTTTCTAGCCTCATCCATCCAAAGCAGGTACACTGCCTCGGCTCTCGCTTTAGCATCCGTGGATATGTCGATGGACCATTCACTATGAACCTACAACACGCACAACAGTCCTACATATAGCCATCCATGAGAGTCATAACCTCGATGATTAGCATCTCATTGAACAACAAGATTGAACTGCCCGGCAGCATCCCTGCTGCGGGGTTAACTGACCTGCCGAGGAAAAATTACTATACTAGTATGGAAAAACAGCCAGAACAGACAAACGGCAACAGCAGCACTGCTGAATAGGACATCATTTACCTGCAGCATTAACCTCAAAGACTATTCTCCAAAGACTGCCGTAATGATTTCGTATGCTCTATCGAGCAAATACTACAACATGTCCATCACCGCCATCACCATCCTCACCTCCTACGAAACGCATCCCATGCAACCCATCAAGTTATCTCATCATCCCCCAGGATCCCCCACCGCAACCCCCGTCATCATCGTCACCGATAGCCGACACGAAAAGCGCAATGCGTTCACCGGCACAATGGCCACCGAGCTGGAATGGGCCTTCACGACCCTCGACCGCGACGAGCGCGTCAAAGTCATCATCGTGACCGGCGCAGGCGACACCTTCTGCGCGGGCGCCGACTTGGACATCGGGTTCCTCGAGAACAAGCAGGAAAGACCCATTGACCATCGTGATAGGTGACACCACACACTATGCCAGCGATGCTACCCACATCCCAATCCCTAGATAGCAAGAGCCCAGCGTCCTAGCGAGATATACTTAGTACTCACTCTGCCCTCCATATCCGACCCAACAGCTGCGGAAGAGTCGCCCTAGCCATCCACAGATGCCGCAAAACCACCATTGTCGCCATGCAAGGCTCCGCTGTTGGAGTCGGCATGACCATGACTCTGCTGGCGACGATCAGGTTCGTTGTGGAAGATCACAAGCTCCGTCCATACTACTACTAAGCTTTTGTGTTGGTGGATATAAATAGACTGGCACACCAAGGCAACAAATACGGCTTCGTCTTTGCCCGCCGCGGCATCACCATGGAGTCCTGCTCGGCGTATTTCCTCCCGCACCTGATCGGATACTCGCGAGCCATGTACCTCGTCTCTACGGGCCAGGTTTTGAATCCTGCTTCGATGTACTTCAACGGCCTCTTTGCCGGGGCTTTCCCGCAGCGGAAGCAGGTCCTCGTGCGGGGGTTGGAGCTGGCGGACGAGATCGCACAGAATATCAGTCCGATGGCTGCTGTCCTGAATCGCGCGCTGATGTGGCGGGGCCCGGACTCGGCGGAGGAGGCGCATTTGTTGGATTCGAGCGTGTTGGCGCATATGTTTGCTTGTGGGGGTTCGAGCCTTCATTGAGGAAAGACGAAAGGCTTTCTTCCGCGCCACCTTGGAAGAGCATGGGCCGGAAAATTATCCATGGTGGGCTGAGGTCAACGTTGACCGGAAGCCGGCCGTCGCAGAGGGTCCTAAACTGTAGGTCGTCACAGAAGATAAGACAGATGCAGGGCATAACTAGCCCGATTGAGAAAGATGGTAGCTCAGACTAGCTTTGCTAGAAGGGAGAATAATATCAAGAAATCCATTTGATTCGCTCAGCCGATACACAATATTCATACAAATCGATCCAACAGGCCCATGAAGAGTCCCATGCGAAGGTTGAAGCCAAATAAGCAATACCCACTCGTGGAAGAGATACCGTTATGCAAAGTAGAGCAACCGCGCGCGCACATTATCAGGCGATGAAGTGGCGTCTCTTGCGGTTGTACGCTCGCTGATCCTTCAGCCATTGTCGGTAGCCCTGGACGCTACCGATTTTCTCGCCATAGTAGTCAGGAACGGGGTTGGCGATGGAGTTGGACGAAGGATCGACCCGGAACCGGCGAATCCGATCGTAGAATTGTTTCTCTTTCTGCAGGTTCGGAATGCCAGTGTCAGTAGTCAATGTCGCCTCTGCCTTGACCCGATTGCAACAAAGGGAGAGTGTCAAAGGGAGAAAGACGATGGAGGACTCACTACTAGGAGAGACGGCTTGTATCTCCGGTAGATTAGACTCCAGACCGAGTTCCCAACGAAAGGGCCAAGGAGCCATCCCGCGGCACCGCACGCGGCAGTCGCCATCCCCAGCACCACAAACGGATCAAGACCCATCACCTGGGCGCCAAGAGACTCCAGATCCTGCGACGAAAGAACCTGCATACCCGCCACCGTAGTGAGCGCTGAGGTGACGATCGACGAGGCCAGCGTGTAGCGGCGCCGGCTGGCACGGAGCTTGAAGAACGAGTCCCAGTCCAGGCGGACAAGCTGCTGCCCCGAGGGAGTAGAGGAGGCGGCGTTGGAGTTTGCCCGGCGAGGAGCCGAGATTGAGAGCGAAGTGATGGTCTTCTGCGGACGACGTGCCGTGGTCTTTGGCGTACGTGCGACATTGCTGGCTGTAGCTGTGCTGGCCGTGCGGGCTGATGGAATCGCCTGATACAGTTGTCTTATGAAGTTGCTGTTGCCGTGTGTGAATGGCCTCATGGAGGAGGTGGAAAAGTTTCCGCCTAGAACGGCGGAGCGCATCCCACAAATCGAGGTTCCGTGCATTGTTGACAATGAGGGGTTGGAAGATGTTGAAGAAGAAATCAGTTGGTTGCCAATGGTCGGTAGGCGAAGTTGGATCAAGTTCGGCGGAGAAGCATGCGCGGATTAGATAAGCAGCGGCGGCCGCATGAGGTCACAGCCTCGGAAGTTTTACTGATATGCTTAAAAAGTGTGTGCAGTGCTTCGGAAAGATTAGTCGAGGAGAGAGGTGAAAGCTGCTGGAAAGAGTGTTTCTAGGTCCTGCTATACATCCAGTGACTGTTTCAATCTAGCTATGCCCAAAAATGTGATGCACTATCTGGTATATTCGTACGGTACTCGTACAAATGTTGTTCAAACTATAGAATCAGTCGAGTCTCCTAAATCTATAATGACGTCTATGGTACCATGCCTAGGATGTTGAACTACAGCTCATCTGGAGTATATGACCCAAATAAGGCCGTATTCAGTACGTGATCTCGAGCACTTTCCCAGATATATGTATCCAGTACAATCCTAGTCGGTCTTTATACCACCTAGATGCACTCTAGAAGTGGCCGTTTTGCTTGATGGCCCCCGGCCGGGACTGGGCCTTGCTCGTTCCGGAACCATTGACATGGCCGTACACCCACTTGAAGGTGCCGGTGCTCAGCGCCATTACCACCGCGCTGAGCGCGAAAATTCCAACGCGACCTTCGAAGCCGGCTACCTCGAAGATTGGGTAAGGATACCTGGAGAGATGTGAGCTGAGCGGCGAGGGTCCAGGGCCCAGGAACGAGAGGTTACATACCACCCATTGTATTGGAAGCACCGTTCTATCCAAAACCAATACCCCACCGCAATGGTACTGGATAGCCCAAGTGCGGGAAGGATAGTAATCGTCCAAGGTGGTGAAAGAAACAATAGATCGATCATGAGAATAATAGAAGGAACAGCATGGAAGCTTATGTCTGTCATTGCAGGAATGTTAAGGAGGAGGCAGCTCTTGCCGAACGAATGAATATAGTTATCGAGACTCACCAGCGTTCAATGGGATGACTGCCCAGTCAGGGATAACCAAATGCTCGTCAATCTTATAGCATCATATCAGAGAGCTGAGTAGGACAGGTCAGAGGTCTGAGCACTAACCAAGCGGAGACCCCAGTATAAAATGCTGATGAGCACTTCCAACGGCGTACAGCACATGGACAGGAGATTTTTGACGAGAAAAATGCGGGGAGATAGTGTCAGATCAGCGATCAGGCCGCAAGTAATCGTGATCAAGGAGAGTGAGAGGCCCAAGACCGTAAGGTACTGATAAGGACGGATGTCAGACATCGGTGACGATCAGGCGATCAACCACATACCTGGAAATGCCAGCCATAAGCTTCATTCCTATTGAAAGTAAAGATAAGCTTCAATATAGGCATATTCTCAGCTCCCGAGGACAGGTCCCGGGATTAAACTCACGCATGATTGGGATTCTCGTGCATACTGGAATGGTTGATTGGTTAGTTAAAAGTACTTGCAGTGGGCAGCACAGCAGTAGTAATCACTAACTATTTGAAAGACCATAAGAAACTCGCGAAACCCAGAAGCTGTTGAATGTGAGCCCATGGAACCAAGCTTTCCTGCAACGGACGATGGAAGGTACACATACATGGACCAGCGCAGAGAAACCTCTAGACGGACTGGACATCCGTTGTAGAGGGTGCTTTCTCTGCAGCGATTGAGCGACGGCAGAGTAACCCATACTGCCCCAAGGGATTGACAATAAATTATGGAGAAAGCAAAATTAGGTTAAGATCGTTGACTGGCGGTGGTTTGGAACTTCCAGTACAACCAGAAAGTTGTGACTGGTAGCCTGGAGACAATGATATCACCGCTTCTTTTCCCCGGGTTTCCCGAGACACAACACCACCACACCCAAACAGGCTAGTGGAATTTCCATTCATTACCGCTTATCGGAGAAGCCTTCCTCCCCCAATAATACTAAGTAACTTACACAGTACGGTTTGTACTCAGAAGGAATCATCGTATAGCCTTATCTGCCTTTTTCTGATTGACGGAAAGAGCCGATGACTGGAGGTTATCGGCAGGTTATCTTGCTTGTTAACTGGTCTACGTGCTCCGGTGGATATAATTTAGTACTGGAATGATTTGGTGATGGATGCTAACAATTAATGATTCTCACCTAGTCTATTCCGGACTCTGGGTTAGACTTGAACCCATTCATCTCATTCATTCACCTCCTATTTTCTCTCTTTGGCTTCCCACCCTCCCTGGTCTTCTAATCTAACCACACCTCCCTATCTCGTCACAAGCATCACAGCCCTATAGATCGTGATCCATAGACACAATCTCCAGGCATAGCTTCTAGAACAAATCTGCAGCTAGTCCGTCCCACACCTCGATGACGAAGAGCGGGTGTGGGTGTCTCCTTGATTATCGTTTCTTAGCATCCGGGGTCAAACGCCCTGCACCAACAGACAAAAAGCAACCGCATTGGGACACCTTTCCAGATTGTAGCAACAAAGTATTCTTCTACTACTTTGTCTGCATGGCGATCTTATTGTGCAGATCGATTCGAAGCTATTTCAAGATTCCGGCCATTAGCTCCCCTGGCCGTGGATTTCTTTTGCTGGAAATATTCCCTCAGCCAGATCGGACTTGAACTTCGATGCCTCGTCCGAGAAGGCCCGGGGCCCCGGAGCCGAAACGAAGATCGCGCAAGGGCTGCTGGTGAGGCTCATCGAAGTGATTCGTCTCTCTTCATTGCTGGATTAACTAATTGCGCATTTTACAGGCCTTGTAAAGCACGCAAGGTGAAATGGTCTGTGTTGCCTCAACAATTCACTCCTTCGCCCGTACTCAAGCCAGCTAATCAATCTGTGCAGTGGAGAGGAGAAACCGTCGTGTGTCAATTGCCAACGTCAAAATGAACTGTGTGACTATCGCATCCGACTGACCTGGGGAGGCAGAACCAGAAGAAAGTCGTCGGTAGATTCTCCGGTATCGCATGCAAGCAGTCCCTCGGGGACCTTTGGCTCATATTCCCTCTCTCCGGCAAATACCTATCAATCCGACTATCTGTCATCCTCACAGTCAGTCAAAGCCACATCTCCAGAGTCCGAGAACACAGCACAATGTCCAGCCACAGAGGAACTGCAATGGGATGTCGAGCTTGCAGGAGAGATGGCGATAGAGACTCCGACCGCTTATTCTAGAGGGCTACATGATATCCATGAATCTCCAATGTTTGGCCAGACTCTTTATAGTTCCAACCGTACGAATGGCGAAACTTCTGTAGACATGAGGGATTTGTCACCTCGAGAGGAGGGGACCACTCCATGGCCAGACCTGCCCAGAAATACCGCGGCCGCCTTTTCTGCCTCTGCTCCCACTTCCTTCGGCGCTATTACCTCTCATCCATCTCCGGTCGACACCAACTCCAGCATCAACATCGGGTCTTGGGGTCCATTGAGCTTCACTCCGGTCACCACTTTCTCGCGCCCAATCTCATATCTCAGACACACATCCGAATCGCATCATGCAGCTTCCACGGATAACCGCGGGCCTGACCATGGCGGCGAGCTCACCCACTATTATCCCCTCACCACCCGGAGGACAGCACATGACGATCATGTCGTCCAGGAGACAGCGGACCTCGGCAGCCAAAACTCACCTTACATGGAAGAACCAAGAGCTATGTCCTTGGAAGGAAGCGAACAAGCCTCAACTCAACAGCCACGGCCGTCTGATCATACAGAAAGCTATCTCACCAAGATTATGAATCGTCAGATAGCACCGGGCGATGACTTCGACACCACGCAACTACACGGCACAGGCACAGACTTGCATAACTACCCTGACAATTTCAGCCGTGGTATGCTCGCAGGGGACGGCGTGAGCGCGGAGAGAAAATGGCAAGCCTATCTCACGAGCGTCACAGACAATTATGGTTTGGATCGTGGTCGTCCTGATTTGGACTTAAATAAGAATGATGATCATTCCGCAATCGACATCAATTATGCTCTTGACCTGATCAACTTCCAGAAAAGTACGCCCTCAGTGCCCGGCTTTCCAAGCGCCAACTTGGGTGCAGACAAAGACACCTTTGATTGCAGCAAATACATGTATTATGCTTCGCCTGTCCCAATCAACATTCCACGCTATTTGTCCCCGCTGCCACCCTCGTTGGTAAAGACACCGATCAACCTGATGTACTTTCACCATTTCCTCAACCACACGGCTAAGATGCTCGTCCCGCATGATTGCGACGATAATCCATTCATCTCCGTACTTCCCACAAGTAAGTTCCCAAGTTGATCAAGCCATTTTGCTCTCAACTAACCCATGTATTAGTGGCGATCAGTGATTCCAATCTGCTCAACCTGACTTTGGCGTATTCAGCTAGTCATCGGGCTAGATATTTGGAGCACCCAGAGCCCACCAATCGAATTGCGCATTGGGTGAGCAATGTCTTTCCAACTCTGCGGTTAGCCCTGGAAAATCCCCACGAGAAGGTCACCGACAATCACCTTGCTGCGGCTATCATGCTTCTGTCCCTAAAGATAGTCTCGCCTAGTACATTTGAAGTTCCAATCCCATGGCAGAGTCACCTCAAGCTTGCAAGAGACCTGTTTCTCGCTCGGAAAGAACAGTTGGCCTATCCTGGCAATCTCGTGGGTGCATTCCTGACTCGGTGGTTGAGCTATCTTGACATTGTTGGAACACTATCCTGTCGCCACAGTGAACCGCCTTCCTTCGATTACGGCTCCATTTTGAGCGCTTGTAGTAGTGTCGGAGAGTATGACGAGTTTCACATCGACTGCTTCACCGGTTTCACACCAAGGACGGGACAATTCCTCACACAAGTGGGACGGTTGACTCATCAATGTGATAATGAACGATTCGACGAACTGGGCGTCTTTAACCCGAATTGGAAGCCTTCTCCCGCTGCCATCATGGCCGGTGAAGGCCTTTTGTCGGAGATTGATCTGCTGGAAACACATGCTCATGCCAACGGCACACATTTCCATCTGGGTAATATGGACAGTCTCGCTATTGACAGGGCGTTTCGCTATGCCGGACTTTTACATCTCCATCGTCGTGTGCTTGATACGTCACCTTTCTCTGAAAGGGTTAAAATTGCTTCCGAAGAGCTAATCAAGGCCATGGTTGAGATCAGAAACGGAGCTTCTGCTGAAGTTGGCGCGCTGTTCCCTTTGTTCACAGCTGGGTGTGAGACCATGGACACTCACCATAGAGCGGAGATCCAGGGGCGTTTTGAGATCTTGGAAAGAACTGGAATGAAACAGGTGAGTTAGGTAGATACTGATCCTTATACGTCTCACTAATTCTGCATCACAGATTCAAAATGCACGTAAATTAATGCAGCGTTGCTGGGACGAGGACCTTCCGTGGATTGCCCTGGCAGAAGGGGAATTCCTTGGGTGATCTTACATGTCCTTTGTATTCTCTTATCTCAATGAAGTCTGACGAATGCATGTCATGCTTTCATGCTTCGGACATGCCACTTATGGTATTATTGCTCAGTGTTTCTGTATTCTTGGCAGTAGCGGTGATTTGGGCTTCACAATTCCTGCGTTTCACCAGTCGAAATATTCTTAGTACTGTACATACATGGAAACAATCAGATTGTACTGTGCTTACTACCATCTCAAGTTGTCACATGATTGCGCACTTTCGCCGATATCTTGCTCCATATTCTTCTGCAACTTTGGCAACATATAGAATCATTCTATTCACAACAAAGCGACCTCAGTGTCACTCGGAGCTCACGGATAATTCAAAATACCAGCACTTCATGGCTATCTGTCATCTGCATCTACACTATATAGCCCTTGCCTCCCATTGAGCTGGTCGTTGTTCACCAAATCACTTTATCGCCAACCCCTGTACTAGCAAATTGCAGTACTCACTGCACTGTGCACTGTAACCACGCACTTGCCTTATTGATTACCTAACAACACTGCGCAGAAATGCAAGGCTGCAATAAGCTACCACAGCTCTGCCATCGTTCTGACCCAAACGGGATTAGCGAGTTGCTGCTGGCGCTGTTGCTCTCAGCAGTTATACTTCTGTGTTTACTTCTATGTTTACTTCTGCACCGCCTCTTGGCCCTGATAAATTCATGGTCGACAGTGAATGCGCTGTCACTCTCAGCTCCGAGTGAGCTGGGCGTCATTCACCCCCTCGTTCAAAGTATGGACCCGCCAGAACCGAGTTTGGAGGCCTTGTGTGAGCGGCCACAACACGGAGATGAGAACTGTCTCCTTGACAGCCAGCTGGACGACATCCACGTCCCAAGCCTCGTGCCACTGACACCCGTGAAGATGGCCCAGCCCAAGAGAATCGACCATCCGAACTCGCCCGTCAACTTTGAGGTCGACCGCGAGCTCACGTACAAGCTAGCTCCAGCTCACTCGGTGCGTGATTTGCTCTCGAGCAGCCCAGCAGGCTGCGCCTTCTGCGTACCGCAAGCTAACATGTTGGATGTCTCTTCAGGCGTATTCCACTGCTACTCCCGTCACCATGACCGCCAAAACCCAGCTTGTTCCGTGGGACGGGAAGATTCGCTGGGCTCTGGATGGGGCCACCGTCTTCAAGGACTCGGACGAAGAGCGCCGCGCGCGTAGCCCCTACAATCTCTTCGGACGGGATGGCACCAAGCTCTGGGTGTTCCAGTATGGTCTGCGCTACATCCCGACGGACACTGAAACCGACGTGTACCGTGCCGTCAAGGTCGATGGGCTTCCTTCCGACGCAAAACTCAGTGAGATCTTGTCTCTGACCCCGGGCGAGATTTTTTCTGCCCGCATGCTCGACACTCTTGCAATCACTGGAACCAAGACCGCTCTGATCACCTTTGTGCATCAGGTAGATGCTGTGAGCTTCTTCCAGGCCTCCAAGGACGGTCTCCGCTTGAAATCCGGACAGGCCACAGTGGCGCCGATCCCCACCCCCAGCTATCCTATCAGCGCGGATATGGCGAGATTGATCTTCGACAAGGGTTACACCCGGTGCATCCGCATCACCAACCTGCGCGAGCCACTGAAGGCGGAGATTCTTCGGGTCTTGGGGAATGCGTATCTTCTGTCCCAGATTGAGAGCATCCACGATGAGCCGGGCGTCGGTAGAAGCCGTTTGCACTTCTGCTCCATCAAAGGTGCTGCGGCGGCGTATGTTCTCCTGCGTAGCCTGGCTAAGTTCGACGAATGTCAGTGGGAGTTCGTGAAGGCTGTCCAGGCCAGCAACGCTTAGGTGGGGATTTGGGACTAGTTGGCGACGGGTGCTGATAGTATCTAGATCAAGGTGAAGATCGAGCAAAATAGTCCGAGACTCAATAGAGGGGTGAGGGACTCTGTATCTAGGTTGTAGTTGCAAATGGGACTTGTTTTCCTTGGCATCGTACCATCTTTAGTCGATCACAAGCAGCTTCGATCATCCTGTAGGTTAGAATGTGGACATGGTATGCAGCGAGAGCTGACAGGATGAGATAAATGGATGGCGACCAATTTTCATGCTCACGATTTTCTTTTTTCTTGCACATCAGTGATGGTGCGAAGGAGAGACGAAGACAACCGGGGCTTAGCCAACGAGAGTGAATGGGCTGAGGCTGCTGGTCGTTATGAATATGATAGCGGCGGCTAGAACCCTTCACACACACTCTCTCTCTATGGCGGAGTCAAGCTTATCATTGTCCGGGATCAGACAGTGCATCGAAAACACTAAAGTCAAGCCCTTTTGGCGCCTCTTTACCCCTCATGTAGTGCCCAAACCAATCTTTTCTACGCGTTAGTGACGAGTTGTATGGATCCTCTAGGTCTGACAACTATCTCGACCTAAGCCTCCCTACAGCCAGCCTCACCCCACCGAATACAGATTCACAATATCCTGATCCTTCTTCGGCCCCTTGACCACATGCCTACTAGCCCAACTAACCACCTCCCCTGTCTCCGCGCGCACCCGAAACGCATACGCCGTGCGATACATATCCTTAATGCAGAGATGATTCCCCCTCGCCGTCAACACCACTGTCGCCGCCTCTGATGGTGATAGGGACTGTGGTGCTTCTGGCGGCACCGGAGGCGTCACATATGTCTGATCGTTTGTGCCATGATCACCCTCCGCGACAGGATCCGAAGCGGTCCCACCACCAACACCATCCACCTCAAACTCAACCTCGTGAAAGAGATAGTCCGCTTCCGGGTTGACGTCCGCGTCCTTGGTGACTTTCACAAACCACACGCTGATCCGGCCTTCGGGACTCAGCCGCCAGATGTAGGATTTTGTCCAGCGGAGATTGGCGCCGAGGGTTGCGGGGAGGGTGCCGGATTCGGTGTAGAGAGTTTGGGTTGTGGTTGTTATTGTTGTTGTTGTTTCTGTGGTTGTGGTTCTGGTGGTGCTGGCTGCGGTGGTGCCGGCCGTGGCGGGGAGAGGTCTGAAGGAGGCTTCGCCGTGGAGGTCGCCGTGGAGGTCGAGCGGGTTGTCGCTTTGGAGGGTTCGGCGGAGGGTCCAGCGCGGAGTGCGGGCGAGGGAGGCGAAGAGGGTGGGGAGGAGGTGTGGGGAGATTGGAGAGCTCATGGTTGTAGATCGGTAATCAAAATTATATGAGGTGAGTAAAGGTCATGGTTTCATTGCTTGTGGGCTGTTGGTCAGAGGGGGAGTTTGAGGAATTGTCTTGTAGTCTTTGATGCCCGGAATCTATTGGCGGGTGGACCGTGCTTTGCTCGCTCCACCGGATCGGATGGTTCTACCCGCTTGTTGTTTCTTCCTTCTCTCATCAACAACTAAGATACTCCGGGTAACTGCTCAATTACTGATTTTCAGTATGTTCTGTGGGTCAGACTGAATATCTTTTTAAATAACATTAATATCTCATGCTTTGACACGGACTCGGACTCTCATAGGGTTTCTTATACATCACTATCCATGATGTGCCATGCTGATTCCTGGTTCGCCTTGGCATCCCTCTTGTCTTCTCGATAAGATGCTCTTCCAAACCCAGGTCCAGGATGATTTCTGCTTCTCACACTGTCCTTGCGGCTCCTCGCAAATTGGCTTCAGCAACAATGGCGGCGAAACAGCCCCCCGAGGACGCACGCTGGGCGGAAGGTCACCGCTGCCGTTGTCGATGCCTCTCCAGTGGAGCATAGTGCCTTCGAGTTGACCGGCCTCCCACTCACCCTGGACATCATTGGGCTTGCCCTTGCTATCTTTCTAAATGTCTTCGAACTCGTTGACCATTGCGACTGCCATCCCCCGCATCACATCCCAGTTCAATACCACCGGCGACATCGGTTGGTATGGGAGTGCATACTTTTTCGACATGTGTGCTCTGCAGCCTATCGCGGGCAAACTGTTTGCAAGATTTCCCATCTACTACATCCCCGAGTGGTTCCAAGTCATCAAGGGTGCCTCGCCAACCAAGTCAGGCTTGATGTACCTTCCCTTAGCCCTATCGGACGCCCTCTCCGCCACCCTTACGGGCGCCTCCCTCAAATTCCTGGGCTATCCGAACCCCCACCTTCTTCTCGAGACGGCCCTGATAAGCATCGCCACAGGACTTTGCTCGAGCTTCACGCCCAGCACACCCCACGAGCGCTGGATTCCCTCGCAAGTCCTTCAAGGTCTCGGCGCAGGGATGACCCTGTCTATGTCCTACGTGGCAACACAGACCGTCCTCCAGCCTGTATACATCCCCGTCAGCACCTCCCTGCTCCAGTGTTTCAGTTTTTCGGCGCGGCCGTCAACCTCGTTATTGCCGAGGCCATCTTCGACAACAAGTTGGTCGCCGCACTGGACGCGTCAGAGTCGAAGGACTTCGAGATCCAGAAAATCCTGGATGCGAGCGCTGCAGAGGTGCGCAGCGTGGTCCCGGACGCGGACCTCGATGGCGTTTTGCACGCTTGAAACCATGCGCTCACCACGACCTTCTACGGGACCGCGAGTTTTGCCGTCTTGGCTTTCGTTCTCTCCCTGGCTGGGAGTGCGGTGGAAGAGTGTCAGGCCGTCAAACCCGAGGGGTCATCTGCCGGTGCTGATGTTCAGAGATAAATGTTTCCTGTTTGACATTGAGCTGGTGGTGATGGTAATGGTGATGTATAGATTTTCCATTCTTTCTCGTGGAAACTCACCGGGGCTTTGTTCTTTAGCTTCTGTAGTGATGTCTATGTCGTTCTAGAGATTCTAGATGGCAGCTTGATACCCTTCCGCATTTATTGCCTAGACCAATCGAAAATGGCAGTACTGTACTATATGGTCTTGTACAATCCTATTGGCTCTATTTAAATTACTGAATTCTTATAATAATAGCTTGGGAGATGCTCTGCGTAGGTAGGAATTCATGAGTAGATGAGCCGAGCCCACAAATTCTGCAACTACCGACTCAGCATGACACGAAACTGTCAAAAGGTCCCCCAACAGCAAATATGTCACGTGGGCTTGGACTCTCAAATGCGTTCTTCCCTTCAGTGCTAAGAAGAGAAGCGAGGACGAAGAGTACACTCCCAGCGAGCATAGAACGAGGAGATAAAGGACTTTCCATTATGGGGTCAGTGGGCCGCATTCGTAGGGGATATAAGAGGCGAAGAGCGAGCAAGCTCTGCCGAATGATTCTAGGTTTCAGACAATCCGAGGGACTTAAACATTAGAGAGTGGTTTTTATTTTCCCCTGTATCTGAGAAATGGCTCTGGAAGTGGGGTCCGACCAGCTAAATGCAATAGCCACCCTCCATTCACAGCTTCATTCGTGTGTAAGGCAAACATCGAAGGTATGCCCCATGGTTTCATGTCTGGTCATTAATGTCCAAGTTAAGTATGTCGTCTTCCAGGCTCAGAATGCCCATGGCCCAATTCGCATTCGGCCGCTTGCTGACCGTGACAAACCGTCGTTCCGAGCTATTGTAGGGACGAACGGTGCCATTCTCTTCCTCCTCCGACGGCGGAGTCCACATGGAGACGGGCTTATTGATGGTGCGGTCGCGGCGCGTGTAGGGCGGGCCGCGGCCCTGGGCGGCGGCTACCACCCAAGCGTTCTCGCAGCCGCGGGCGATCGCGTCGGAGGTACGCCAGCCGCTCAGGCGGTTGAGGTCGAGCAACTCCGTAACCAGCCATTCCCGCTGCATCGGATCGGTGTACTGGACCCCGGCGAAGAAAAGCGGGACGGTGATTTCAATCAAGCACGAGCCCAGTGTCGGGCTCAGGCTGCCTGCTTCGAGGTGGAAGGACTGCGGGTAGTAGACGCCCGCCGCGATGCGGCCGATGATCTGCGCGTACTCGGCCGTGGTCGCGGCAGCCACGCCGGCGGCGACCATCATGGCCGGCGGCATGCATGGATGCAGTCGGTGCAGGAGGATCCGGCCCGTGTAGTAGAAGCACCAAATGGTGGCAATCGTGTGCGTGCGGTACTGCAGAGCCGGACCGAAGGGGGTCGAGATCGGGGGGACCGAGTCGGCGGGTAGGGGCAGGAAGTAGGGTCCCATGGCCTGCTGAAAGGTGTCGAAGGCTGCGACCATGCTCTCCCATTCCTTCTCGGCTTCGTGATACGACGAATCCTCCTCTTCCTCTTCGGGCGGTTGGTTAGATTCCGGGGTGTTGAGGAATACGGCAGGCGCTCGTCGAGGCCCGCTTGAGGGCGCCATGCCGTACATGGGAGGTGCGCCGGGTTTGAAACCGGGGGGAGGCTGCCGGGGAGGCCCTCCCGGGGGTCCTCCGGGCGGCCCTCCACCTCCTGGAGGTCCGGATCGGCCTCTTGCAAATCTGGCCATGAACTTGCCCAGGTTGGCATCAGGGCGCCATTCTGACCCTGTAGCCTTAGCTGTTTTCAGCTTCCGCTTCCTGTCGCGTCGGCTGAACTCCGCCAAACGGCCCAGCAGCAGCCACAGGTGGTCTGCGGAGCCGTAGATGGCGTCCATTCGGCCCATGCCTGCACGAGGAGGGCATTGACCCCATTGGGAATATGGCATGCTGGTTGAGATCAATCAGTTGGGGTCAAAGGGGAATGAAAAGTGGGTGACTTACAACAATGGGCAGCCGCTAATGATACTCTGCATGACATCTTGCTTGCAATACCACCAATACAGATCACATTGAATCCGGTAGTTCTCGATATCCTTCCGAGTGAAATGCTTGTAATGACGAGGGTTGCCACTCTCATCATTGATCTGTCCAAATTCATCGTAGTTCACGGCTCGCCCGAGTAAAGTTCCGATGAACTGCTCGTTGATACTGCTTTCCTTCTCTGCAAAGGGATCGTCGTCAGAGGCGGCGCCTCCATAAAGGTAACTGTCCGTGAGTGCCATCATCGGCGCCTGCATTTGCTGTCTTTGAGCCCACTGTCTTCGTCGCTGAGCACGAAGTCCACGGGTCATGCCGGCGAAGTCAATCTCCCGCACCAATTGCGCTGAGCCAGCAACATGACTATTCCATTTCGAATGATCGGCGCCCATGACCTCGTAGTATCCTAGGAGCAGTGTCGCCGCCAGGGTCGTGATCTGCTTGCGTCGCATGGGAAGCCCGACAGCGACGCCAACTCTTCTTAGGGCGTAGTGATAATGTTTCAAGGAAACTGTCGGTGGCGCTTGTTGGAGGAGAGAGATATGCAAACTGCTCAAGGCGAGAATCGCTTGCAACAAGACTTGGCTCTCCAGGGCTTTAAGGGGAAGGGTGTATGTCCACAGACCCTGCTGTGCTGTTGGCACAGGGGCGCCAAGCATGGTGGATGGGTCAATTGGGTGCCGCTCGAAGACGGATAGTGATGGTCCGGTCGAGTGGATGAAATGTAAGAATATTCTCGCCGTCTTTGGATTGTTCAAAGGTGACGAGCCGTAGGTTGGGATGTAAGAACCAAGCACATTCGGTTCGTTCAAATAGGTGGTGAAGGACCGCAGCTGTCGCTCGTCGCGGTTGGCAGACGCCATTATAAGACTAAGCTGGTTGTAATTCTGCACAGAAATCTGGTCTTCGCGTTCCTCCTCTGACTCGCCATTGTAATAGTCGTCTTCTTGATCTTCTTCCATATAGTCCCCAAAGGGCGATGATGATGATTGCGAGCTAGGTAATTGTGAATTGGTCCTAGCCTGCTCTTGCAGTAGATATGCATTAGACGATGCAGCGTTTGGCAGCCAAGGACCCCTTTGGGGATAAGCAACAGTGTCAGACCATGAATAGCCAGCGCCTGCGTTCGCCGACAGCTGCTGTCTCTGTTGATCTAGAAACGCGAGGGTATCCGGTGGCGTGTATTTTCCGGCATTGTCCGGCCCCGCGGGAAGGTGGACCTGACCTGATACTGCTGACTTAAGGGGGGCTCTGGCATTGCTGATTCCACGATCCTCGTTGAGCGCCGGGGTATCTATTGGGATCTGGTTCTCCACATCGGATGCCGTAGACAGCTTCGGAGCTAGAACAGGCTGATGCGGGCTGTCCTTTCTTTGCTGGGCTACTGAAGGCTCATTAGGAAGTGGCGTCGACGGTGCCTGAGCATTAAAGGTCGCTTGTTGGCCGAACCCGGAAGCTGAGATGCCTAATGGGTTCTTGAAGATCAGGCGAGGGCCATAGCCTTGGCATTCGCGTTTTGATTTCAGACAGTTATTGCACGTCGGCTTCTCTTCTCCACATTTGATGCGACGCTTGCGGCAAGCTATTTAGTAATGTCAATACGTGCAACGTGATTGACTGTCCTTGAAAATCAGTCGCACTCACTCAGGCAGCCTGTTTTGGTACGCTTTTTGGGGACTCTTTGCGCCGACGCATTGCCCGGTTCTGTCTCTGCAGGGTCCACTTGTGCGCCATTTGAGACGTCAACACCCGGCGCTGTGCCTGGCCCACTGATTGACAGATCTGGCGGAGACTGCCGGGCACGGTTGACGTTTTCCATAGCGGTCCAGTGTAAAAAGCGAGTTCAATTCCATACTCAGCATCAGCAGAGAGAAGACCGACCGGACTTGACACAGACGATTGATACTTGCGCTTCTGTAATGAAAAGTGCACGGCTTGCTATGCCATTGAAGTTTGAATGAGAAGGTGAAAGTCGTTGGAAAGATGAAATTCTGATTGGCCTGGAAATCTGTGACGGGGCGGGATTGATGCCTCAGGTGTAATTCTATGCAGTGTGATGCTGCATGCACTATACCTGCCGAACTACTTATAACTCATAGCAATTGAACATGATACAAAATCAGATACAAATGACCGAGGTATACTGCCCGTTATTTATACTATCTTCAAGCCTATTGCCTGATCATTGACCTGCTCGGTCAAAAATCTAGACATATCCACAATCGGGATGAGCCGAGGCCCGTCCTTGACAGCAGAGTCCCTCATATTGCTCTAGCCTGCACTTTGTCTCTCTGGTCTAACACACTCATGCTACACATGCTTCCGCTAAAGTCTGGATGAATCAAAGATTTCGACTTGAAATGACTTGATGAGACATTGATTAAGACACTGTGGACTTCTCGAAAGCCCCATGGAAGCAGAGAACTAAACAAACAGGACAAACACTCCCATCACCGCTTTAAAGCCGTCCGGCAGAACATCCCGAGGACTAGTCTTTTCCGCCTTTTTTTGCCCGAAAATTTTAGATATCCGCAGCCGGGCGCATCGACAATCAACCATCCTCTTCAGTACCCTATCGCAACTATGTTCGCTGTTCCGGGTTGGTCGCTTGAGAACTCTGCTCTCAAGCAGCAGAGTGAGCCTGTCGCTCAAGAAAAGTCTAACGACAAGCCTTCCAAGCCAAATGGCAAGGACCGAAAGCGCAAGCGGGATGATAACGTCCACAAAGGAAATGTGGACGCCATGTATCGCCGGCACATTGAGGGGGAGAAGATGACCCCTTGGGCTAGAAAGAAGGCTGAGAAGAACGCCATGAAGGCCGAAAAGAACCAGAGCCAAGATCAGGCGCCCAAGCAGGAGAACGTCGAAACGGACGCACCGCGACAAAGCACCGACGCCGCCGCCGAGGAAAGCGAAAAGCCCAAGAGCAAAAAGCAGAAGAAGAACAAGAACAAGAACAAGGAGGAGAAGCAAGAACAATCGCAAGACGATGCTGCCAGCAAACCCTCGACCGCCGAATCCATGCCTGTGGCACCTCCGGAGACGAAAGCCATCCTTACTCCTCTCCAACAAGCTATGCGACAGAAGCTCATCTCTTCCCGATTTCGCCATTTGAACGAGACACTCTACACCACTCCCTCGAGCAAGGCTCTCGAGCTTTTCACTTCAAATCCTGAGTTATTCGACGAATATCATGCTGGTTTCGCGCGTCAGGTCAAGGAATCATGGCCCTCGAACCCTGTGGATGGCTACATCAAGGCTCTCCGCGCCAGAGGCAGTGCTCATGCACCGAAGAGAGGCAAGCCGGACAATAAGGGTCGAAACTCGGCTGCGCCTCTCCCCCGACGACCGAACGGTCTGTGTACTGTAGCCGATCTCGGCTGTGGTGATGCTCAACTTGCCCGCGCGCTCTCGCCGTCCTCCAAGAAACTGAACCTCAAATTACTCAGCTACGATCTGCACGCCCCGGAGGGCTCGCCTATCACCAAAGCCGATATCTCCAATTTGCCGCTGCCCGATGGGTCAGTCGATGTAGCTGTTTTCTGTCTCAGTTTAATGGGTACCAACTGGGTGTCGTTCGTGGAAGAGGCATGGCGTGTGCTCCGTAGCGACGGCAAGGGCGAACTGTGGGTCAGTGAAGTGAAGAGCCGCTTCGGCAAGGTCACCCGCAAGAAGGCGCAGATCGGCGCTAAGAAGCCGCTGAGCAAGGCAGAGCAGAAGAAGCTCAAGAAGAAGCAGGCGGCTGACGACGCGGACTCGGATGTCGAAGACAACGAGATTTACGCCGAGGATGCTCGTCCTGCCGCCAACGACGATGAGACAGATATCTCCGCGTTTGTGGAAGTCTTCCGGACGCGAGGCTTTGTCCTGAAGCAGGAGTCTGTGGATAAGTCCAACAAGATGTTTGTGAAGATGGAGTTTGTGAAGGCCGGTGGCGCCCCCACCAAGGGTAAACATGCCTCTTCCACTCCGAGCGCTGGTACTGGCCCTGGCAAGAAGCGATTCATCGACAGATCATCGCTCAATGAAAAAGGCATGTCGGCTTCTGAGGAAGCTGCTGTTCTCAAGCCGTGCGTCTACAAAATTCGATAGAGGTGGTTGGAGGTGATTATGCTAATAAAAAAGTGCTTGAATTTATGATAATAAACCGAGTCATTACTGTAAATATGCATAGCTTCAGAACATCAGTGCCCCAGTAGGAAGACTTGAAGGCCGGATCATGTATATTACAACAATATTGAACCAGCATACCCCCTAAACTCCCGCAAAATGACCATACTCGCAAAAACACCAGTCATGAGTCCCTGACCGATTGTACTCCATCCAGTGCCCCAGAATCCATCATATCACATCATCATTATTATCCTTACTGAGCGTCCTTTTGCCTCACTCCCAGCTGCAGCACGTCGAATCCCCATTGTTGCATTTTGAACCGTTCAAGCCGTCCACATAGATCCAGAAACACTTTCGGACCCTGCATTCGACCGGCGACGCTCTGCCATCGCACTTGCTCATGGCTGAATTCGTCATAATCCGAGTATAGAATCAGCCCACTGCAGCCCTGACAAGCAGCATCAAATGATTCAGCTACCGCGATGCTGGCCTCAAGGGCGGCTGGGGCAGTGAGCCGCAACGTGCTCTGTAACTGATCGCCAGGGATCCGAGGATCGTAGATGGTCACTTGAACGCCAATGCTCCTCAAGTAATGCACCAACCCCAACGCCGTGGACGACCGATCCTGGGCCGATCTTGCTGTGGCTGCATAGCCTAGGATCGCCACGCGATGGTCTTTCATAGCTCCTGGAAATCGCTCCGTGACCCGCTTCGCCGTCCGACCGGTGTAAAACTCGTTCATCTGGAGCACAGCCCGCCAGTAATCGGCGACAGGCTGCAGCCCCAACTCCCGCGCGAGATAGATCAAACTGAATATCTCCGCGTGGGAGTTCGAGCCCCCGAACCCAAGGCCTACCCGCGGTGGAAACCCCAACGTCTGGGTGATGTGGGCGATATTGGCATTTGTGGATTCGCAGATCGCGCTCAAGGACTGCACATTACTGATCTGCTGTGCTAGGCAGGCGTTGGCGGCGAGCTTGCCTAGTTCAGAGGACCATGCGTCCATGGTGATCAGGCGCTCTTCGGGAATCCAGGGGAGGTATAGGCGCTTGAGCGCGGTGATGGCTTCGACCGACATATCCTCGGAGAAAATGTGGCCGATGAGGACTCGAGGTGGGTAGAGGAGGTCCTGGACGGCTGTGCCGGGGATGAGAAAGTCGGGGTTCGACAACACATCGAAGGATGCCGTGGGGGAGGCCGTTTTGCGCAACTGTGTTTGAGTTAGTGGGTCGTTTAGGAGGTTGGCTAAAGGTCGAAGCGATGAATGTGACTCACGGCTTTCTTTATTCGCTGAACGATACCACAAGGCGCTGTGCTTCTCTGTACAATGATCTTGTGGCCCGTCGAAACTTGGGCTATCGCTTGGATCGCTGCTTCAAGAGGCTCCAGGTCGATGTCATCCTTGCTCTCAGACTGCAATGCACTGTCAGTGGTCATATCCCAGCTCATCGAGTGGGAGTCTCACCGATGCATTCGCAGCACATTCTACACAAAGGAAGACTAGATCTGCGGCAACCACGCCGGCCTGGATGTTGGTGGAAAAGGTGAGATTGGTCAACTTCCTCGGTCGTCGGCTTCGGTCGAGACTGTCAACCGTCTCTGGCTGTGCCGGGCAGCTGGTCGCATCCATCGCAAAACCCGGGGGATCATCAAAGAGTAGCTCCTCCAACCCCGGCTCGAAGACGGGGGGACGATCCGAATTCCACGCATCGATGAGACTCGGATCTCTATCCACAACACAGAACTGAACGTGAGGGTTCTGCGACGCCAGAATTACGGCCGTCAGTGCACCTTTATAGTAGCATTGTAAGCCCATCCCCTGTGCGACAAGAATAGATTCTCAAGTTCATTGCTTACCCACATGACCAGCCCCGATGATACAGGCACTACGCACGTTCTCTATCTTCGTACTTGGCAACGGTCGCAGCTCGATTCCCTCGACACTGTCGGAGTACGTGTGACCCTTGACCACGACATGAGGGCTTCGAGGACTCCCTGCGCCCTCGATTGCTTTATATCGGCGTCGCGAAAGGAACAGAGTCAAACCCGCCAGAACAAACAACAAAGGGAAGAACGGCATTTCAAGAAGATCACACTCTGAACCACACTTGACTTACCAAATCCCCCTCTCCCCATCTATCGCACACAAAATGAAACCACAGGGAGAATCAATAAACGAGAAGGAAGAGCGACCGGTCTTTGAACCCGGGTTGTGCGCGAGACCCGATCAAAGGGCGGTCTGGTCGCAACTGGCCACCTCATCGCGGACTATTGTCTGGTCTAAGAATATCGTGTCGCTATTGGATGTGTTCTTCGAGCTTGACTACGTGTTCGTAGCCCCGGTCTCTCTGATCCACATTGAGGCGACGCTAAGAGGTTCTGTATGCAACTCAATTGGAACAGCATGGGTGGTCCCATCGGTCGTGTCAACTCCCGGTGCAGCTTATATTGTTTGGACAGTCTCACTCCGTTCTATTTTCGATGTACACACCGAAACCGACTCAGCGCACATGCAGTGAGAAGTGAGGGACTATTATGGGGAGCTCGTTCGGTTTTCAGATATCCGTCTGACATGGACATGTTTGCATAATGTAGTCCAACGGTCGCTCCAACTGCTAGTGCCAGTCATCTCTGTTCACTATGTGCTGCTGATCCTTTGAGGTGTACCCAGTACCCACAGATCTTGTGCATAAAGTTTTGTTGGCGTCCAACAGCATGTATGAAACCCAAGGCAGCAGCAGCACTTGGATACACAGGACTTGTGCATCAAGCATCAAGGTGCATGCATTTCTTGGATTGACATCAACAAACAGATGCCACTGTCACATGCCACACCACTGTGGCGCGGCGCACGAGCCACACACCCACTTGACGTCACTGGCCTTAATGCGCCTCTCGTTTGCCCCTCCCTCATCCATCGTCAGGGACACTGGGATCAGACCGATCGGCACTCACGAGGTTCCAGAACTTGATCCCTGTCATATGGTTGGACGGATGGTTTACAACAGGTTGAACTTACCGCGCAGCTCCACAGACGTCATGGCGTGCGTCAGCCATCGTTGACAACGTATATAACTTCACACTCTCTGGGGAGTATAAGCCGTACAAGCTCAACAGCAAAACAACCAGAACCACATTGAACGCAATCACACACAAAATGGACTCCGTCAACAAAGCCGTCGACCGCCCCAGCGCGCCGCGACAACACACCGAAGAACAACAGCGTCACATCTACAACAATCTCCCCGCTGAAGACCGTCAGAAGCAGTCATACAAAGAATGGGTGCAGGAAGTCTATAACGACCAGTACGAGAAGTGGATGCCCTGGCTGGAAGACCAGTACCTGAAGTGGTTTGGCAAGGGAGACAACAAAGCCTCCTATGTCACGAAAGGTAGATTCTCCTCAGTCTTTTCCCCCTCATAACACCACATCATACTTGATCCACAGCGTCTAACTCGATTCCGCCTCTCCCAGACAACCTGAACAAGACCAAGGTGACGGGCGTCAAGCAGGTCGACCAGATTCAGGACGACATGCACAATCTGGTGGGCAACCAGCTTGGTGAGAACGGGCTGCTGTCACCAGTGGGCAATGCGGTCTCGAAGGAAGGGATCAATCGTGCCGAACGACAAGGCAAGGATGAGAATGGCTCCTACGGGGGTCCGTTGGGGGGTGTCACCGATCCTGTGGTGGAGGGCTCCAAGAGTGCGGGCCAGGGCCTGTACTCTGGAGCCCAGTCGGCTGGCTCCTCGCTCGCCGGAGGCGTCAAGAGTGCCGCTGGTGCTATCCCAGGTGTGCAGCGCTCGAATTAGGCTGACTGATCGCGCTGGCTGTGTCTTATATGGGTAATGACTTATGAATATGCTATTTATTAAAATGAATTTTCTTGAAGTTTTGCCAGGTTGCAAAAATGCTCGTACTCCCATATATTACATTCCTGAACCAAAAACAAGCAGAGCTACAATGCGCCACATCCCGTCGCGCACTTGGAACCCTTCCCTGCATCGAGCCAGCTAACATGTGAACCTCGTGAGTAGCCATTCGGGGTCCTGGCATACGCAAACTCCGGGCGGTCGTAGAAAGACAGCAACAACCCCATCAGTACACGCAGGGCTTCTCTGCGTTCCTCGTAACTGTGGAGATTGTACTCCTTGGTTCATTCCACCTTGATCTTCCCGGACAGATACTCGGGGATACTGAGCCGTTGCGCGTCTCGCACGGGCATGGTGGCCTTGAGGAACCTGAGGTTCCAACCCTGCAGACTGAGCACATATGCGGTGAGATGTTTGAGGTGCTCAGTGCCGAGCTTGGCGTTCATGTTCGCTTGGAGGAGAAGGGCAGGGATCTCGTAGCGGGCGATCCCTACTCGACCGTCTCCATGGTTACACTGTTTTAGTGTGTTCGTGGTCAGCTGCTGCCACAGAGATTACACAGTGCTGGACTCTTCGGGGGCAGAATTTAGAGGACCTTACCGTGCAGATGGCGAAAGGAGGACTGATCAGCTCTTCACCGTTGAAGAACTTCCATCGCGCGATGTAGTACTCGAAATAGACACCTTCGTTGCGGTGAGCGTGTTCGCGCCACAGGGGGATGTAGCAGTCTCCGAGGAATGAGCTGTGCGCATAGGGCCTTCAAGTCAGATTCTGAATTACGAACGGGCTTCTGAGGAGGTCACTGGTCTGGGATGGGGAGCAAACGCACATCTCTCCATTTTGTTGGGAAGGGAATCCCCGTAGGAGAATCCACATGAACAGAAACATCCGCGCGTCGGTGTGGTTGCGGTATCGGTCACTGCGAACCGCTTCAAAGAAATCGGTCAGGTCGGCCTGCTGGGAGCTTGCCTCTTCTGCACGAGGAGAGCAATTTCCAATAGCATGCGCAATGGCTGGATCCTGCCAATCGTCTGCACGACGCTGGAATTCTGTGCACAAAGATGTTGCGGGTTAGTAGTCCTACTTCGAGACCGACAAACAGCGACTACTTTTGGAGATTCACTCACCAGGATCCTCGTCCGACGGGATATACTTCGCATCAATCATGGCCTCGATTGGCACTCTGTCGAGGACTTCTACTTCAGCATTGACAACGATGGGACCTTCCCGGTGCGGGAGGCTCTGATAGACTACTTGCTCGACATAGAACGAAGTACCGTCTCCATTCTCATTCTCATCAGCGCCGTATGGTCTGCACGCGGCGTCTGACCGTTGGGACGACGACTCCCAGGAACCGCTATTAGTACTGGTGACATCGTCCGGTCTTGCAGGTCTTCTGGGAGCCAAGCGGAGTCGAATACCTACTCGGAACGAGTAGCTTTCTCGCTTGGAGAGTCTCCTCGGTGTGAGTTTCTCGCGAGTCTGGAATGTTCCGGGGCCCACAGGGCCTTTCGAGCGGAGGTGGTACTTGTGGCGGCGTGTAGTAGCTGCGTCCTGGTGGGAATGAGGCTTTCGGCGTTGGGTGGGCATGTTATTCGCAGACACTTTTTAGAGGGTCAAATTGCGATAATAGATGACTAGTGTCTTCAGAAAGCTAGGAGCATACGGAAAGCGGCTGCATATGGGTTAAAAAGAGCGGGCATTCTTCTCTATAGGTTGTTGAGAATACAAAAGATTATTGAGGCAGAGCACGTCGTAAATTTGAAAGATAGAACTGGGTCGCTTTGATTGCGTTTGGCGCCTCAATCTATTTCCAAGGCTTTGTTACGCATAAAAGTGATTACAATCGAAAGCTGCTGAATGAAACCTAAGGTCTGAATGACGAGAGTATCATGGGAATAAGAAGTCCTTTGTTGGAATCGAGAGGTTTGAACAAAGGGATGTTGTTGAGGAAGTGGATGAAGTCCGTGGCAATTGCTCTCGCAGCTTGGGTGAAACAAACGACAAGGCTGTCGTTCTCTGATGGATGGTGTTTCCCTACCTTCCAAGTCTCAGAAAGGAAACAATATTCAGAGTATCTAGGCTGGGAAGGCCTTCACTTCACCAGCATCAATATCCGACACCCGGTATTGAAGCCGCACCTCGATTGACTTAGGGCTTGCTACCTCTTCGTAGGCGCAAGAAATGCGACGGAGGATATCAACTCGCCCAGGTTTAATTTCCTCGCCGCTAACAAGCAGTGATTCAATTCTCGAGTCAAAGTGATGGTCTCGATTCTAACCTTATCATAACATGTTTTCTACTTATACTTTACTGTAACCAAGTCACCAGGCTCATCTCTGCCTCCCATCCGCTTAGTTAACTTCAATGCTTCTCCACGATAGAACTTACTCACGCCTGACGCAGTAGTGATGCTAGTTGTCTGTCTCGCTGTATGAGGTCCGATCCACGTAATGAAACATGTGGCGGGTTATCGAACACCTATAAATAATGCTAGACTTGCTAGACTTGGTGCGAGTGTGAATATTGCGTATCGATACTACTCCATCTTACTGTGATAACTGAAGCGACAACTTTAGTATATCAAGTTCTACCGTCAGTGACCACATCACCATTGAAGAAGACCAGGAATATGTTCTTAACATCCTCTCCTCTAGAACTTATACTTTTCAATAACAACATGCCCTCCTCCAAGACCGACACGGGAATACGACTCCCTCGGAACGATGACCAAACCCAACGTCTTCGAGACACGACCCAAGATAAGAGACTCGCCTCCCGACTGCAAGACGCCTCTGACTCGGGCAGCGCAGAAAGCCGTGCAGCAGACCCGACTTCGAACTGGACCCCGGAGGAGATGTTCGAATCGACTGTTGATCAATACAGTGATCCAGTTCCCGACCGCTATGCATTCACCGATGGAGCGAGAATGGAAAGAGGAGCCTTTGGCAACGATGAGGCAGATGCATTCGTGGCAGCTAATGCCAACTTCGATTGAGTGTTGAGATCATATCAAGATAGTTCTTATGACCGTGATGGAGCTGAAGTGCGTAAAAGAATATCTGGTCTAGCTAGACCTCGAGTAACCTATTTCTTTCCAATGTATCGTCTACGCTCTTGGCAATAGCATCAATGTAATCGCCATTTTGCGAAGTAAGGGAATTAGCCGCTGTGCTTTCCGCGGAATTGGAGTGTCCTATCAGCATGTGACTTTCCCGCTTGGTTATCGACAAGCTTCTCCGCACCCGCTATCTACTCCGAGATCTATTCTTCTTTTCCCTCCTTCTTTCCCTCTTTTTTTTCCCCCTTTCCTTCTTTCAATCTCCTCAGAATTCATTGTTATAGCCCAAAATGTCCTCTGTTCGTTCTGCAAGCCGTAGTGTGCGTCTTTTGGCTGCCAATTTGGGCACTCGCAGCTCAATTCTGCTTTCACGACCCCTCACTGCTTCTCCGCGCGTTCTCCGCTCCGCCGGTGTCCCTTCTACTGGCATTGCTCGTCCTTCTGTTGCGATTGCGTCGTTGCCCGCGAGCGGAGGCTTGCGCCATGCCTCCGCTACAACTCCGGCGGGCTCTTTGAAGCAGACGCAATTGTACGATGTGCACGTCGCGAATGGCGCCAAGATGGTCCCTTTCGCGGGGTTCTCTATGCCCCTCCAATACTCCGACTTGAGCCATGTTGAGAGTCACCACTGGACCCGCGAAAAGGCCAGCTTGTTCGACGTTAGCCACATGTAAGCTCATTTCTCAACCTTCTGTTTGGATTGACACGAGCTTATACACCATCGTAGGGTTCAGCATCACCTCAGCGGGCCTGGAGCCCTCGAATTTCTCATGAAGATCACACCCTCCTCTCTTGACAAGCTGAAACCGAACACCTCGACCCTCTCTTGCCTTCTTGAGGACGGCACAGGCGGTATCCTCGATGATACTGTGATCACACGCTTGTCTTCTGATACTTTCTACTTTGTCACCAACGCTGGCCGCCGTGCCGAAGACCTTGCCTTCCTTCAAGCCGAAATCGATATCTACCGGACCAAGAACGGCACTGAGTCTATCACTTGGGAGATCCTCGATGACCGCGCTCTTGTTGCCCTGCAGGGTCCTCTGGCTGCCTCTGTTCTCCAGAATTATGTTAAAGACTCCGACCTCAGCACCCTCTATTTCGGCAACTGCCGGTCGCTTACTCTGACCTTCCCCGATGGTTCCACTAGTGCGGAACCTCTTCTCGTTTCTCGCACTGGCTACACTGGTGAAGATGGCTTTGAGATTTCTATTCCCACTGCCAAGGACTCATCTCTTCCCCGCAAGGTCACGGAACTTCTTCTGTCGAACCCGGAGCAGGTGCGTCTTGCTGGTTTAGCAGCTCGTGACTCGCTCCGCCTTGAGGCGGGCATGTGTCTCTACGGCAGCGACATCTCCACTTCCCAGACGCCTCCCTCTGCATCGCTTACCTGGCTTGTGGGCAAGGAGCGTCGCGATCCCGCCACTGCCAATTTCAACGGCGCCGCGACGATCCTTCCTCAAGTCGCCTCTCCTGCTAAGACCCTCTCCCAGCGCCGGGTGGGCTTTACAATCGAAAAGGGATCCCCTGCCCGTGAAGGTGCCGTCATTGTGGATCTGAATGACGAGTCTCGCGCGCAGATCGGAGTGATCACCTCCGGCCTGCCGAGTCCCTCCCTGGGCGGCGTCAACATCGCAATGGGATACATCAAGAATGGCCTACACAAGAAGGGAACCGAGGTCGGAGTGCTTGTCAGGAACAAAGTTAGAAAGGCCACTGTCACGGGAATGCCGTGGGTTGAGAGCAAATTCTACCGGCCCAAGGCCTAAGTTGATTGACTATGGTTCTTTGAGAAGGTCGCGATGCATGGTTAGAGATTAAGGAGTCTTCAGCGTCTGGTTATGTTTCATCTGTTCTAAATTCCCCAGTTTCTGTTTTGCGATGATGGGATGACGTCAGGTCATATCATACTGTACATACACAATGTTTCTGGTTTAGCCTTATGTTTAGCTTCAACGATGGGTTCTGGAGGCTCTCACCACTCGGTGATTCCAACTACTGCCTCTCCTTTATGAGAAATGACAAACATAGAGGAGTCCCATATGACCCCAGTATCAAACGTTGATAAGGATGGGTGAACCTATCTAATAGGTATAGTAACGCATTTTGTGCCTTATATCCCAGGCAGCATGAAACAATGTTTGCGCCATTTGCAGTACCGTCACGTGCAGATACCCTTCTGTTTACCTCCTTCACGTGCCCGTGTTTGCCTTATCCCTCCCGTTACTTTAGTGATCATATCCTTAATTTCTTGAGCAATATCAGTAAAATACCAGTGAAGTTGCAAATGAGTTCTTTATTAGCGACAAGCCGACGAAGAATGGACAATGAGTCCACCGCCGAAGACGTGAGTTGTCCGCCTCCCCCTCCCCATCAACCATCCCTTCCCATTCACAATTCACCCGCCGACCCCATCCAAAGGCAATAGTTTACTACCTTACATACATTGAATAAGAAAAACCACAAAAGTCAATTCCCTTTCCCCACCAACCCACTAACCTCCCTTCTCGACCAAAGTACAATCTAACCCTTCACACCCTCTCCCTCGAGAGAGAATACGACCAAACGGTCACGACGACAAGCCATCTCCTCGCCCAGGAAGCGCGCCGCGTGCAGCGCGTGGACCAGCTCCTTCTGCAATTCGAGAATGAGAACCTGCAGCTGCAACTCGACCAGGCCCGCCAGGAAATCGGGCGGGTGCGGTCCTCGGAGCTGGAGATTTTGGGACGGTTGAACCAGCTCGTCCAGGAGCGGGACCGCATCCAGCAGACGGTTTATGTGTTGGGGCATGAGAAGGAGAGTCTTTCTGTAAGTGGCCCCTCCGATTTTCCTTGAGGGTCTGTCTTTGGATTGGCTTCTTTTGTTTGGCAGTCTATGGGGTTGTGCATTTGCTAAGTTAAAGGGGGATGGTAGCGGGAACTGCAATCTATGTCTGATACGTCTGTTGAGATGAAATCCCTCATGACGGAGAAGATGCGGCTGACGAAGGAGTTGGCTGCGTTGCAGACGGAGGTGCAGCGGTTAAAGGCGGTGGAGAGCTCTTCGCAGGCTCTGCTGGCAGAGAAGCAAGCGCTGGTGCGGCAGGTGGGTTCGTTGGAGGTTGAGCTGGAGAATGAGAGGCGCGCGCATGAGCGGACGCGAGCGGCGAGTGGGGAGTCGGAGCTGCAGCAGCAACAGCTACAGCAGCAGAAAGAACAACAGCAGCAGAGAGAGCAACAACTCCAGAAACAGCAGCAACAGCAAGCCGCAAAGTGGAATGCGGAGAAGGCGACACTGGAAGATAAGATCGAGACGCTTACGAAAAAGCTACTCGCGACTAAGGATCAGCTCCGCAAGGCGCAGATCAACAACAACAACAACAGCAACATCACGCAGCCCCTTCCGGCTGGGACGAGTATCGTCCCCGTCAGATGGTCCCGAGAGCCGTCGGCTGATCGTTTCGCGGTCGCCGCGAGAATCAATCCCGAGCTAACGATCGCGACGCCCGGTGCGGTGCGCGCCAAGACGGCGGACAAGGAGAAGAGGACCGCCGCGGCGGCGGCGGCGGCGCTACCGGGCGAGAAGTCCGCCTTCTCCATTACTCCGTTCTTGAATCGGACGACTGGTGGTCCCTCGGTGGAGGCCGGGGGCAATAATAAGGACAACGATGTCAATCCTGACAACGACAACGACGACAACAACGACACTGACCAGGACTCCTCCGCGCTGGAGGATAGCATGATCCGCGATCCGGATCCAGAGACTGCTAAAGAGCCCCGTCAGAAGCTCCTGGGCGGCAAGTCGCGGCCGGAAAAGACCACCGGTGCCGCGACTACGAGTATAGCAGGCAATACAAGGAGGCCACGACAGCAGACCGCAAGGCGGTTGGATCCTATCGACGATGACGACGACGACATTTTTGGCGGTTCGAGTCTTACGACGCTGGCCAAGCCCCAGGTCAGGAAGCGGAAGCTGGGCGGCCAGCAGAAGAAGATCATCATGGATGAGGAGGATGATGATATGGACTTTGATTTTCGCCACGCGGGGACGGCGCGCGGCCGGGGATTCGGTGGTGTCCCCGCTTTCTCACCACTCAAGCGCGATAGGAGGTGAAAAGCTTTAAGAAGTAATTAATTTTCTGGGGTTGGCTATTTGTCTACTGGTACTAACTTAGAGGGCCGTCATGATCTAATGTTAAATGGTCTTTGAATTAGTAAGAGCTAAGCTAGCCCGGTGCACTATGCGTATGTCTTGATTTAGTACCTCGAGATGTGAATTTATGTATCTCGCCTGGACCACCTATCTGCATGAAAATGTGAGCGCTCTCACAGAAGCCAGTCATAGATAGGATAGTAAATTTCCGCCGGCCAAAGAGGACTGCTTCAAATCCCAAACATAGATCAACAACCTGTGCAGAATCCTCAGACACCATTATCATTTAGTGCACCGCACTCTGATCGCGGTACAAGTCACAAGCATGTGGGTGCTGCAGACAATACTTGGGCACCAGCGGGCTCGCCTGCACGCCATTCGCAACGAGGTACTCGCGGAAGTTCAGGATGCGCTGCGTCATCAGCGTGGTCCTCTTGCGCCCCTGCTCATCGCGGTTGCCAGACCACACGAGTTCAGCCAATGCCGCAGCGCGAGGCCAGAAGCGGCTCGAGACGGTCACGTCGTCGACCTGCTCGGACCACAGCGGCGCAGTCGCTCCGACGATATGCTTGGCCTGGGCATCGGTCAGGTTCGTAGTGAAGTCGTAGTCGTAGATGCGCTGCCAGGTTTTGTACGGGGCGCACCAGCTGCCCCCGTTGCCGCCGTAGTTGAAGTTGGGGGTGTTAGGGTCTGGGTTACTCATGACGTCGTAGCGAGGGTCGTTCGTGACGAAACCACCGAAGCCGCAGTCGAGGTACATGAAGTCTGCGGATGAGACAATGACATCGTAACCCTTGTCGGTCAGCTTGCTGATGTAGTCCAGCCCGTTATTCCACGACTGCATGACGATGTCAGTGGGGACGTCGTGCGCGTGCTCAGTTGAGAGAACAATGTCCTCCCACATTACTAGGCGACGCGAGTCGCTGTAGTTGCGGAAGATCGGAACTGCATTATCGATCCAGTGTTGCGCTAGATCGTTGTAAGTTCGTGAGGGGTCTTCCTGGAACCAGTCCGTCACGTAAGTACTGAAGTTGAAGCAATTGGGCTGGATTTCGTCTGCGCCAACGTGAAACCAATTGTCGGTGAAGATATCTGACAGCTCGTTATAGACGTCTTTGACTACATCGTACGTTCCGGGGTAAATGATGTCCAGTTGGCCTGGATTCGGCTCAACGGCTGTGTGCAGAGCCCAGTCATCGTTCGACCACCACGAGTCAATACACGTCACCATTTCTGGATCTACCTGCTTCCAGCCCGAGGAAGAGTGACTGGGCATGTCGACCTCAGGAATCACCCGGATTGCTCGCGCCCGAGCATACGCGACAACACTGCGCAGATCCGCGTGGGTGAAGATCTCGCGAGGCGAGTAGGCATCAAGGACCATCTCCGGGTGGGAATCAATCTGCACGGGCCAGGACTGAGTGTCATCCAGGTGCCAGTGCAGGACATTCAGCTTGGAAAGCGCCATCGCGTCCAACTGCTCGTAGATCTTGCCGACGGAGATAAAGTTTCGTCCCGTGTCTATCATGATACCGCGGTACGGATAGAGGGGTTCGTCTTGGATCGAGACACATTGTTCGATGATCAGCCCACCTGAGCCATCTGAGATTATCAGCTGCTGCAGGGTGGTGAAAGCGTGAAGCGCTCCCCAGACCGTTGCAGCCTTGATTTCCACCGTGCTGCTTCCCTCGGTTAGTTCGAGAGTGTAGGACTCGTCCACCCCATGTTGAAGGTCTGCGGCAATGTCCTTCACTTCCACGTCGACATATTGTACTGAGGGCGCTGAGACGCGCTTAGTCTTGTGGGCCGTCGAGCTGGGCGTCGCGGTTGGGAAAGGTTGAAAACTTGAGATTGGGGCCTCAGTGGCAGCGGGCACCCACTGGAGGTCGACTATAGTGTTCCAGGCGCGGTTCCAGGCATTGGCGAGGATATAATCGTCGGTGTCGCTGATTGCTCGCAATGTTACAAAGCCAGCCAGGTGCTTGGGTCCAGACGATCCCCAAATGATTTTACGCGGGGCAGGCAATGGGTTGACTGAGACAGATGATGCCGTAGCCAGTACAAGACATACTGGCCAAAGGCGATAAATCAACATTCTAGGCGAATATCTAATTCCCACAAAGAAGAGATCTGGCAGGTTTGAGAGGATGCACAGAAGCAAGAGAAGAAAAGAAGGTAAGGTAGATCAGAGGAAAAGAAGGGCAGGTGATCGGTGGCCAAGACACCACCAAGACGACAGGGGGTGCAGAAGAGGGGGCGGATCAACATTCCACGATGTTTGCTGCTGCATTGTTTAGTTTAGATTCGCTGCGCGAAGTATGCGAGGTGAATGAGGGTGAGTTTGGGCCAGACTAGTAGCTGGCAGGGTAGTACTGCTAGTATTGCGCGCTTCCAACCAGTAAGCGATAGAACGATAGAGTGATAGAGGGTGAGGTAGTATTGGAGTGGAGAAGATGAACATTGACAAGAAGATAAATATATGAGGGGGAGATACGGAGATACGAGTGGGTGATTGTGCAGCAGTCAAACACCACAAACAAACAAACCAGGCAATTTGATAGTTAGCCTCAGGCCGTCATCGTATGCCTGACAAGCCTGGCGTGGATGAATTTCCCGATCGGTCTGCATTCCGAGTCCATCAACTCTTATTATCCACTTCCATCAACGCAAAACACTAATCGACAGTACTTTGTCGTTTTCTGGAATAGTACTATGGATTACAGTCAGGATCGACCATGGTTGGTGGTGCAACACACTGCTGTGAGTGGGACGCCATAGCAGCTGTCATATCACGAGTGACGGCGCCCACTACGTCATTCAATGGCAACCAGGTTTAATGACGATGATTTCATACTTCCCCTCTGTCCATCATATTGTTTATTTACGGCCACTCGCCTCTTCGAAATGGAAATGCACTCCCGCTAGGATTGCCCATCTTTCATACTCGAATATCACTGCATATCCGAAAACGCGCGCTTAACCCACGTGCACTTACATCCTTGCCGACCCAACAATGTCCCTCAACGCAGTGACCAACACGGCGACCAACACGGCGACTAGCGGTCTCCAAGGCCGACCCCCGAAGTTGGCCGGGGACGTGAGATCAACTGTCCAAAATGGCCAGAAGACGGTCAACAAAACCGCTCAGAATACCACCAACTCCGTGCTACCAGGCCAGTTCCCTGGTGAAGAAGACGGGGTGAAATCTGCGCAGCGGGACCAAAACAATGACGGGCCTATCCTCACTCCTATTCGGGAATGGTGGCGTCGCTGGGTACCATCAATGTTTGACAAGATGGAGTCATACCTCATGAGCTGGCTCTCCTGGCTCTTACCGGGACCACGACAAGCACGGTTGTATGAGGCTGCAGCTAAGCGACCGGCTAGCACCACTTTCCTTGTCTGTCAACTGCTCTGCTGCGGGGTCCCATTGCTCGTTTTTCTGGCCGGCGTCTTCTTGTTTGCTGCCGTGGCAATCCTCCTCTGGTGTGTTTTGTCACTGCTTATCCTCGGCCCTGTCCTCCTGGTGGCTAGCATGATGGGAGTCACGCTCTGGGGCTGGGGTTGGTTCTTCTACAGTGTTATCAAGTGGGTCGATCAGACGTATCTGGGTGGTATGCTCTCTCGGTTCTGGTTGACGCGAAGCTCCGATGACGACGATGACGAGAAATCGGGCAAGGAGGAAGGAAAAGAGAAAGGGGGTGAACCAAAGGATGGATGAAGTGGATAATACGGTCACCAGTACTGCGGCGGGGATGGAGGGGTAGTCGTCATGGAGTCAAACTGTTTGAGGGAGATTGAGCGATTGATGTATCTTCAGCGTGCTTCGTTCAATTATTGCGATTGTTTCTGATTGGAAACCATATTGTTCTCTTGACATTTCATCATAAGATAAGTGAGTGTTGCCCATGCGGCTGATAGGAAGCCCTTGTCGGGTAGTTGGAGGCAGCAAAACTCATTCCATTCCCACATCTTATGTGCCTGAAGACTGCTGGTCATCTCTCTCCATTCATCAGGCTGGGGATAGGGAGATCTGTCGAAGGTCAGCCGTAACCCCATCTCTAGATGATCATCGCCGTATATGTCGCCAGTTCTATCATGCTGGGTGAGAAACGACCCCCGTTCCAGTCTCAGAGTAAATGCCTTAGGCTCAAAAGCTTTCTCAGTGAGCAGCGCTTCATTGATGTGACGGCCAGGCGGGATGTAGGAACCTGGATTAGGCTCTTGGACAATGTGACTCCAATCTCGGATTCGTTCAAAACATTGTTCTGGGTCCACCTTAGCTTCTTAAATCATCACAGTTGGAAAGAAGGAGAGATCATCTTACGTGGCCAGTACCATCCGGATTCAACCTGATCTCATTGCTCTGCATAGGATCCCAGAACCAGGATTGCCCGGTGAGAATCGACAAGACGGATTGACTTGACTCGTTCATGTCGCTTTCTCGTGTACACAACGCGACGGTGCCCCCAATCTAATAGAAGAATGACCCCAAAAAGAGCTGAGGTGAGTTCCTGTAATGTCTTTCCCTTTGGCTGGAAATGCAAATGCTAGAGCTGCCATGTCGCTAAGTCTGACACGAGGCGCCCACTAATTTAGCATAATGGGAGCTGGAACCGAGACAGCCTCATGATTCTGGCAGAGATAAAAATGCCTGTTTCGCATTTACAGACCGGGCCGTCGCTAGAGTGAGGATTATAAGCCAGGGCCGATGTATGGATGCTATCTGCATACTTTGACAACGATTATCTCTAGTCATCTGCTTTTATCATGGAGTAATCATGGGATTAGCAAGATCGGCGTTATCGGCCCGGACTCTCCGCATGCCCCGCCGTCATCGGCCCGACACGTGATTCTTGACCAATGAGAATCCGGCCGCAGTAAATACAGCCGACTGACGACATCCGAAGCTTATCAACAGTTCTCCAAAGTGGGATATTATTTGAACCCCAGAAATGCCCCTCGCTGCCTTCCCCTCAATCTACAACTTCCAATACACAGTACCCTGATATCACACATCCTTCTTGTCTCACTTGAGAATCCGGCAAGATGACCGGGTCTGATGACAAGATCACCATTTCCATCGACCGTGGCGGCACTTTCACTGACGTCCACGCTGTCGTGCCCGGTCGCCCGGACATCATCTTGAAGCTCCTATCCGTCGACCCCGGCCACTATCAAGATGCACCCACCGAAGGTATTCGTCAGATCCTGGAGATCGTCACAAAGGAGTCATATCCCCGGGGAGAACCTCTAAAACTCGACCGCATCAAAAGTCTGCGCATGGGAACCACCGTGGCTACCAATGCACTGCTGGAGCGCAAGGGCGCTCGCTCAGCTCTTCTCACAACTAAAGGTTTCCGCGACCTGCTCAGAATTGGGGACCAGTCACGTCCCAATATCTTCGATCTGTCAATGGCAAGGCCTGGCGTCCTGCCCGAGAGCGTTGTGGAGATCAACGAGCGCGTGGTCCCATGTCACCCTCTCGCGGACAAAGATTGCTTCTCCGGGGCTCGAATTGTTGAAGGCACGACTGGGGACAAGTTCCGGGTGGTACAAGAACTCGACATGGAAGAAGTGCGGCGAGTTCTACAAGAATTGAAAAATCAAGGCTACCAGTCATTATCAGTCGCGCTGGTCCATTCGTTCGCATATCCTGAGCATGAGCAGCGGATTGGTGAGGAAGCGGAGAAGATGGGTTTCTCTGTGACATTGTCTTCGAAGCTGCAGCCGATGATCAAGGTCGTCCCTCGAGGTATGTCTGCCGCGGCAGACGCCTACCTCACTCCGGTCATCAAGACCTACATCGACTCCATTTCGGACAGCTTTGAGGGAGGACTTGAGAAGCAGAGCGAATGTCGCTTTGAGTTTATGCAGTCAGACGGTGGCCTGGTAGATTTCCGCAGATTCAGCGGGCTCAAAGCGATTCTATCCGGTCCGGCTGCTGGCGTGGTCGGATTCGCAGCAACCAGCTGGGACCCGCAGGAGAAGACACCAGTGATTGGGTTCGATATGGGTGGTACATCCACGGACGTGTCGCGCTATGCTGGACATCTTGAGCACGTCTTCGGGTCGAAAGTGGCGGGTGTTCTCATTCAGTCTCCGCAGCTTGATATCAACACTGTAGCCGCTGGAGGTGGTTCTATCTTGTCATGGCGGAATGGTCTGTTCTATGTCGGACCCGAGTCAGCTTCGGCCCACCCCGGTCCGGCTTGCTATCGCAAAGGAGGTCCGTTGACTGTGACCGACGCGAATCTCTTCCTTGGCCGGTTGTTGCCTGAATACTTCCCCCACATCTTCGGAGAAAACGAAGATGAAGCACTTGATCTCGAGGTCACCACAAAGCTATTCCACGAGCTCACTCAGAAGATTAACTCCGAGCGTAAGGAGAAGGGGCAGTCAGAATTTACTCCTGAAGAGGTCGCGTTGGGATTCTTGAAAGTTGCAGATGAATCAATGGCTCGTCCAATTCGCAACCTCACTGAAGCCCGTGGCTTTGAGACTGCTTCTCATCACCTTGCATGCTTTGGTGGTGCAGGAGGACAGCATGCGTGCACCGTCGCCGCTTCGTTGGGAATCTCTCGCATCATTATTCACAAATTCTCTTCTGTCTTGTCGGCTTACGGTCTGGCTCTGGCAGAGGTAGTCAAGGAATCACAAGAACCTCTATCGACTGAGTACTCATCCTCCCGATCAACGTTAGACAAACGTTTTGATGACTTGACTCAGGCGGCTGTCAAGGATATGGAGAGTCAAGGATTCCCCGCTGATCAAGTTCGACATGAACTTTACCTCAACCTGCGCTATGAGGGCTCAGACACTAGCCTCATGATCTTGAAGCCTGAAGACGACTCCGACTTTCTCGAAGAGTTCCGTGCCAGACATCGCAGAGAGTTTGGATTCAATTCCGACCGACCAGTCTTGGTGGACGATGTTCGTGTCCGTACGATCGCTTGCTCCAAGGTTCGCGAGGAAACAAGCCCTCTGGTACAACTCCGTGAAGCCACCATCAAGGATGTTAGTGGTGAACCAGACACCATCTCAAAAGTCTACTTCGATGGCAAATCGGAGCGCATTGATACACCCGTGTATCAGCTCAACAAGCTGGACAAGAACACGCGAGTGCGCGGTCCGGCTATCATCATTGACGAGACACAGACCGTAGTGGTTGCACCGAATGCTGAAGCCAAGATCCTAGACACTTGCATCGTCATTGACCTCGAGGAGCGGCCGAAGACTTCTGAAGATGAAGCCGCATCTTCTTCTGGAATTGACCCTATTCGTCTCACTATCTTTGGTCACCGTTTCATGTCCATCGCCGAGCAGATGGGCCGCACATTGCAAAAGACGTCAGTTTCGACAAACATCAAGGAACGTCTGGACTTTTCTTGTGCCTTGTTCTCCCCCGATGGCGGCTTGGTGGCTAATGCCCCTCACGTGCCGGTTCACCTTGGCTCAATGCAGTTTGCTGTGCGCTATCAACATCAGAAGTGGCTGGGCAAGCTTCAGGATGGCGACGTCCTGGTGGCAAACCACCCTAGCTGCGGTGGAACTCACCTACCGGATATTACTGTATGTGGCCATCTGATAATGGGTTAACGATTGCACTAACCATCAAATAGGTGATTACTCCTGTTTTCGACAAGCCGGGCGGGAGCGAAATTATGTTTTACGTTGCTTCCCGAGGCCATCATGCCGATATTGGTGGTATCTTGCCTGGGTCCATGCCACCGAAATCGACCGAGCTGTGGCAGGAAGGTGCTGCTATCGAAGGTGACAAGATTGTCAGCAACGGTGTGTTCGACGAGGAGCGGATGATTGAGCTTCTGGTACACCAACCAGCGCAATACCCCGGCTGCTCTGGAGCTCGATGCATCACAGATAACTTGTCGGACCTCAAGGCACAGATTGCTGCCAACACGCGTGGTATCTCTTTGATCCAAGCCCTCTTTGCAGAGTACGGGGTTGAGACTGTTCAGAAGTACATGTATGCCATTCAGGCCACGGCTGAGACCGCGGTGCGGAATCTGCTGAAGGAGCTGCACAAGAAGTTTGGCGGTCAGCCGTTGGAGGCAGTCGATTACATGGATGATGGGACACCGATCAAACTGAAAGTCACTATCAACGGAGAAGATGGGTCTGCGGTATTTGACTTCGAAGGGACCGGCCCGGAGGTCTACGGAGGCTGGAACGCGCCCATTGCCATCACCCACTCGGCCATCATCTACTGTCTTCGCTGCATGATCAATGCGGACATGCCTCTGAACCAAGGATGTCTTACCCCTATCGATATTCGGGTGCCATCGCCCAGTATCCTATCGCCCACGAAGGCGGCGGCCGTCGTCGGCGGCAACGTGGTCACCTCCCAGCGCGTGACGGATGTTGTTCTCAAAGCGTTCCGTGCATGCGCAGCCTCTCAGGGATGCTGCAACAATCTGACCTTTGGCACCAACTCCAAGAAGGACCCGGACACGGGCGAGACCATCCCTGGGTTTGGCTACTACGAGACGATTGCCGGTGGCAGCGGCGCGGGTCCCACCTGGAACGGCGAGTCTGGCATTCACGTGCATATGACGAACACGCGAATCACGGATCCGGAGATTCTGGAAAAGCGCTACCCGACGCTGCTACGCCAGTTCACCCTTCGGAACGGCTCTGGCGGCAAGGGCAAGCACCCGGGTGGCGACGGTGTGGTCCGAGAGGTGGAATTCTTGTCTAACATGGAGGTTTCCATTCTCTCGGAAAGACGTGTCTATCGTCCTTATGGTCTCGAGGGAGGTGAAGACGCTCAGCCAGGAATGAACCTGTGGGTCACTACGGACCCGGATACCGGTGTGGAGAGAAAGGTCAACATCGGAGGGAAGAACACAGTTTCTATGAAGACGCATGATCGGATTGTTATTATGACCGCCGGTGGTGGCGGTTGGGGTGCTGTATCTGCGTGATCTAGTGTGGTGTTAAGTATGATTGGATCAGGGATTGGACTGTGTTGAAGACTCATCTCGGGTTAATGTGACTAGCGAGGCGTTCGGATTAAGACACATGATAAAAAGTCTAATAACGCGAATTTGTGTTGTATGTAATCCTATAAATGGCAGGTGATCGAGCGACAAGACACCCCACTTCTATTTGAGTACCGCAAGGGTCAGTAGTGAATTGAAGAGGAAAGTGTGTCGAAAATGAGCAAAACACGTTCCAAGACCATACCGGTATCATAGCCGTAATATACTCAGCCGTGTATTCTGTCACAATACTATCTTGCGACATTACCGCTAGAAGATCAGATTAGACAAAGCGGATCAGATACAGGCCTAGCGAGGTGGGTCCCCTTCCAATCAAGGATCTGATTAGATTATCAAGAAGAAAAACCGCATTCCCACTAGACTTATTCAGGGAGTGACCCACGCCGAAGAATGCCGGCAGAGCTCCAGAATTACCCAGTGCCTCGGTTGAAGAGTGTGTGCAATTTGCTAAGGGTCGGAACGGGGGGTTTCTAAGACTCTGCTTCCGACCTTCTTAGTTTTCTTGCTGAATGCTTTACAAGTTTCATTCGCGTAACTAATAATAGTGGGATTGTGGTCCGACTCGTCTTTGAGTGCCTTTAGCTTCGAGTGCATCCCAACCTCCGACCGAGGTCGTTCTGTGGGTCAAGATATTGGTTTATTTGCCGCTCTCTTCCTCACGCTGTATCAATACTCCCTCCGTACAGGTGCCCCGAAAGTAGACGTAACATACAAACCTTCACAGTAACAATCACATACAAACGCAGCGGTATCATTGTTAAACAGCTAGCTCTTTACACAATACTCCGAGTAACCAGACCGAGTAGTACTGTGTATACAGAGTACTTCTACAACTTCGAAGCCTTCCACACCGGCGACCTCTTCTCCGCAAACGCCCTCACCCCCTCCTGGAAATTCTCCCCAGCAATCAACCGCCCATACCACTCCTCCACCAACCGCTCACTCCCTTCCTCCACACTCGCCACCTCCCATCCCAAATGCAACCCTTCGAGGGTCACCCGAATACTATCGGGACTGTTACTCGCAATCTCCACCGCGATTTCCACCGCACGCGCGACTGCCCCCTCAGCAGTGTCCACCACCTCATTCACCAACCCCCACCGCTCCATCTGCGCCGCCGAGAATGGCCGCCCCGTCAGCGCGACCTGCGCCGCGCGCTGCCGGCCCAGCACGCGCACCAGCCGCGGTAGCGAGCCCGCCACGGCCGCAATCCCGCGCTGCACTTCGGGGAGTCCAAACGTGGCGTTGCGGCTGGCGATGACGATGTCGCAGTTCGTGATCATCTCGAAGCCGCCGCCGAGGCAGAAGCCGTTGACGGCCGCGAGGATGGGTTTCGAGCCGCGGCGGCGGGGGAGTCCTGCTAGGCCTGGGGCGGTCATTTTGTTTTCGATCCCGCGGCTATTGAGGTCGTTCCATTCTGTAGATTTGCGCAGAAGAGGATTAGTTTTCGGGATGGGATTGGGGAGGTGAGGAATATTGGGATCTAACCTTTGAGATCGGCGCCAGCGCAAAATGAACCCCCTGCGCCGGTGATAATGGCGACACGCAGAGCTGGATGGGCGTCAAACCATTGCCAAAGCTGTTGGATTTCGGCGCTGGTGGCTAGTGTGATGGAGTTGCGTTTCTCGGGGCGGTTGAGTGTGAGGAGGAGGATTTGCGGAGTGGGGAAGGAGATGAGGCAGCCTCGGACTGTTGGATGGGAGTCCATGTTGGTGGTGGATGTGTGGAAGTCGAGAAAGAGGTGAGTTAATAGTAGGAGCTTTCGGGGGAGTAAAGAGGTAGAGAAAGGTGAGTAAGTAGAGGGAATGGTGAAATGTACGGAATGTTGTACGGAATCACTTACGAAAGATGTTTTTCGGCGGTAAAATTGAAGCTCCACTCGGCTGCTTGGCTCTCCGCGGGAGCAATTGGTTATTTGTTGCGTTGCTGCTCTCTGCCTCCCCATCTTCTCTCTTTCTTTCATCCTCCATCTCTCTCTCTCTCTCTCTCTCTCTCTCTTCTCTTTCCTCTCTCCTCCTTCTTCACTTCGCGCTCTTCATTACCTTGTCCTTCATACTATCTCATCATGACATCCACCAAGTCGTTACCCTGGGTCAAACTCCCCCATCCTTATCTCACATCCTACAAAATCCATGTTGTCTCCGAATCCACCACTCCACGAGTATTGCAACTCCGCCTACATGACAGCCATGTGGGCCAATCGCTCCCCGAGCCCTTCCACAACGATTCCCTGCACTACACCGACCTCAGCTACAACGATTCCGCCAAAGAAATTCCCCTGAACAACAACAGCCCATGGGCCCGTAGCCAACGCGCCCCCGGCACCACCTTCGACTGGTCCAGCGCCCGCGAACCCCCAACGCTGGCCCAGATCTGGAATGTCATTCACGCGACCTTCCTCACCCACCCTGAGCAAGAGGTCGTGCGCCTCGATCTCCACGGCCCCGGACACGAGGTCGTGCGTGAGGAATGCATCCGCACGGGACTGGCTGTCCCCTTCCCCTCGCCGCGCGAACCCTTCGGCAATGAAAACCAACCCTCGAACCTTCCTACCATTGTGCTCCTGCGGTCCGCCTTCTGGCAAGGCGCCGGGTCGCCGCTGGGCCCACGTCCCATCTGGGCAGTCGACCAAGGCACGCACGGCCAGCTCCGTCGCTCGGCCGGCCAGTACCCGCCCATGGCTCAGAACTACGAGTTTACCATGAAGTTCCCCGAGGAGCGCATCTACGCGCGCCACCCGATCCGTCCCGTCAAGCCCACCCCTGGTTCGTTGGTGTACAGTCGATACATCCCGCACCTGGACCAGCATTTCTCGCTGATGGCGGTGGACTGGCAGAACGAGGAGCATCTGCAGCTCTTCCACAAGTGGCAGAATGACCCGCGCGTCGCCAAGGGGTGGAACGAGACGGGCACGATCGAGCACCACCGCAACTACCTGCGCAAATTGCACGAGGACAAGCATGTGCTGTGCCTGTTCGGACGGTTTGATGATAAGCCGTTTGCCTATTTCGAGGTGTATTGGGCGAAGGTATGTTCCTAACCTCCCTCCCGGTGCGAGATAGACATCTCATTCGACGCAATTCCACTGACTGGCGTTTTGTCTGGCTTATAGGAGGACCACTACGGCGCTCACTACGATGCCGGCGACTACGATCGTGGCCGGCACTCCCTCGTCGGTGACAACAACGTGCGCGGCGCCTTCCGCGTCAATGCATGGTGGTCCAGCGTCATTCACTACATCTTCCTCGACGAGCCGCGCACCCAGTGCGTGGTCGGCGAGCCCAAGGCCTCGGGCGGCACAGTGCTCTCCTATGAGAACGCCCAGGGACTTACGGTCCAGAAATATGTCGACCTCGGCCACAAGCGCTCGGTGCACGTCTTTTGCAGCCGCGAGAAGTGGTTCCAGCTGTGTCCGCTCTGGTGGGATGGGCGCGAGCGTCCGCTCGAGAGCTCCGACCGCATGGCTTGGGATGCGAAGTTGTAGTTCTTGGGTTTAGATCAGTAGCACAGATTGGGTATATATTGTGATGAAACATATTTTATCAGTGGTGTATAACCTTCTTCTCTAACGGGTTAATTTGGTGAATTGGATCCGGCATCATGCGATGATGAATTGTGCGGGACGGCGCTGCATTATCGTACCTTACAGAAGTGGGTCTAAAAGCGGGGATGAAGGACCGTACTGTACGCTCCACTAACGGTATTACCACAGCTTGACGAATGCGTTTTTACAGTGACAATACATTGCATTCGAGTTGAATGGTATTCAAAACGCTCCGTACTGGTGGGAACTAGGTTCGTATTGAAACTGATGGTGCCTTATTTACCGAAGAAGAAACCATGAAGAAAGCAAAATGAATAGCATCACAAGAAAGGGGAGGATCTGTCCCATATATTGCTAGAGGACGACGAATCGTCCAATGGAAGTTCTCGGGTGTGGTTCAGAACAGCGTGAAGAGCATCGCTGAGCAACATTCTAGGCTTGTGACGTACAATAGTTCAGCCACGGGAGCATCGGGATGAATGTCATACTCGTTCAGCATAAGGGGGGTTCATGTCGCGGGAGGCATAAAAAATCTGAGATTTTTCAACAGGAAATGCCAATGCGAAACCACGAAGTACCAAACTCGCGGCCACCCACACCAAACGTGACCCATGAACCACGAACGAGCAGTAGAACATACCCGCGCGAACAGAAGCAGAACAGACCAGTCAACCAGTCTGCAAAGAGCAGAGCAGACCTTATAACCGGCCTGCAAGCAGTTATTGCACTTCTGTCCGACACCGCCGGATACATATACCGCAAAGGTTGAAGATTGGATAGAAAGTCAGCTATATACTTAGGCAGTCGCGGGGAATTACTAATTTAGAAAGAAAGAGTTCTTAATCTTAATAGAGATTAAAATATCTTGTTCAGGTGATAGTATAGATATTCGGGTAAGAACTATTCTTTAAGTAGTTTGTTACTAAAGCTAGCTGCGTCATTACAGCCGAAGAACCAGGTCTCTGTTTTACCGAGGAAAGCCCGTGCCTTGTTGGTGAGTATGGTGGAAGCTTCTCATGCCATGGTGGTTGAGATATCATTCGAGCGCGGTTGCTGGCGGTCCCCATGTATGGGAGTTGGGGAGCAGGTCGCTATGCTGCACTTGGAACGCAACAGGCCTTTTCCTGCAGCGGAGGTCTTGGTGTTACGTGGGAATTGTTGAGAAAGATGACACTGGATCATACACAGATGCAGCCCAGATCCCGTCCCAGCTTTTGTCAAGGTTATATTCAGTTTCTGTAAACTCCTGAAAGCCCAAGTAGCGACGATCGCCAGCGCCGGGGATTTATAGCATTCGGAGAATGGTCGCACCAGCCTACAATATCTCAGGACTCTGCCAAATATATTCTTCAGCGTATGCAATGGCGTAGCCTAGAATAGTAGCATAGTCATTGCAAGACCTAAACAAGAGTCTGGCTATGAAATTCAGCCGCTCGGCCAGGGTGCTTTGGAACATGACAGCACATGCTTGTTCTCGAGACCATATACGTCAGACCACTGACAATGCCCAGATACGATGGGAATAGCCTCAAGCCTCTCGGGTCGCAACATGGCTCCTCTCCCTTTCCGGTGTTGCAAACCCATTCTACAATGCTCGACTGTAGCCTTGGAGATGGCTGAAGGAATGTTCCCCAAGCTGCAGCAGACATTCATTCTCGTTCTCTGCGGCAGCCATCTCATCAATAGACTCCACAGACCTCCTTCTCCCTTTGTGAGGCTGCTATAATCTGCGCGAGTCATCTCTAAGCCCGAACCGCTCGGCGCTCATCACCAGGGCAGTTGTCTTAATCAAATGTAAGAATGTAATCATCACAATGGGGCGCTTCGTTCTCGACGTTATCTCGCGAATCTCACTTGAACGATTCATTGCTGACCACTGGCTCCGAACTACCCGTGCTCGAAGCAAGATCGTCTTTGCCATCGAATCTTTCAAGGCATACATTCGCACGCTCACATGGAGAGAGCTGAAACTGGCACTCTTCTCAGAATATGGCGAGCTCCGAAAAGTTCACTACAGACCGTGGCAAATGTCAGTAGGCTCGCACCAGAGATGGATTGGTAGACTCAACTGTCTTCTTCATCTTCTTCCACCAGAACTGCTTCGCTCCTGATTGTTGACGGAGGCCCGGAGGCCTCCTTGGCTGGGTCCTGACTGCCCTCATCACTAGATCTCTTAGACAGCCTCGATAGCTTCAGTCTTACCATTATCAAAGCCTCTAGTGACCCACGTCTAAACGGATACCTGAAGGACGGATGAACACGGTACTGCACGCTCTATCGAAGGGTAAGCAAGCCTGAACACCCTCCACCGTAGATGGTTGGTGGAAGGAGTGACACCCATAAGAAGCTCTCAAGTTGAGAGGGATCAGCCACAAGGGTGTTGACAATGATGTTCTGCATGGGGTCTGCAGTTTGTCTGGATAGAAGGAAAGGTGTATCAGACGTTAAGAGTGCAGTAGGATACAGAGAATTGTGGTCATCTCCCCATCAAGTATGGTGTATAAAATGACAAATTGCACAGCTGGAGGTGGGTTGGGGAAATTGAGCAAGAATGAGGAAGGAGGGAAGAGGAGGGAGGAAGGAAGTGCTTAAGGTGTTGGTGGTTGGGATTGAAGAGGACCGGGAACACGTGGGTGAATGGTCTCGATACCTTGAATAGACAATATGGTACTAGTGAATGGGCCTCACTTAAATGCAGTCCATGAAGGTAACCTTCTGGAGAGGCAGGCTATATTTATTCAAGATAGGTAGGATGTGCGAATTGGAAGACCTCATTCACCAAGACCTCACTCTTTCAAGTCTAATCTGACTTGGAGTTGCAGAGCAGAGAGCACTGCTTGCTGGCAGTAAGATTACGACAAGATGGCGCGCGGTTTTCGAGCTAGGAGCAATGATTGCTTTGATTGCTGTTATCGACGTCCTGTACTCGATATCTTGGTTAAAAATCAGGTCAAAGATATGAAATTGTCAATGTCAAACACTACGCTGGTTCAATGCTTCTATGATTAGCCCCGTCTATATGATGCTGAAACCCAACCAACCACGCCCTGACTTAGCAGTTACGCCATGCTATACAAAATCCAACTCGTCATCTTGCTGACCAACGTAATCATACTTCGCGAGAATCTGGTCGTGGTGCACGTCATGCGCTTGCGAAGGTACCAGCCCCAGCGCGCTTTCATGGAGGGAGGCCGAGGGATCGGGATCTGTGGGATCATCGACCATCATATGATAGTCGTGGCTCGTGTGATGCCGCACTTCGTCCTCAAAACTCGTACCATGTAATGTATGTGCACCGTGCGAGTAGGGATCGGTAATCGGGTCGTGGGGGTGAAATCGGGGCAGTTGTTGGTGAATGTTCATGATCTGGGGGTCGAGTGGCAAGCCGGTGTAGTCGGTTATCGATTCCACCGTCCCTGACACTACGCCGTTATGGGTCGTTACGAAGGGGTTCTGGGCTGAATGTGCATGCATGTCGGCCGGGTGGTCCATGAGAGCATGTGCCCCCATGAGGGTGCTGGTCGGAATGGTGGGATTCACATGCATTGCAGTCTCGGGCTCCTCGTTCTCCTCCAGCTCGTTCTCTTCTTCCATGTCTTCCATGTCTTCCATTTCCGGTGTGCTATCGTTCATGAAACCGTTCACAATGGCCGGCTTCAAAGTCTCTTTGCACTCCGGGCAGTCCCGGATTACGCGACTGACCGTTTCCTTGATGCGGACCCAGTGGTATTTGACAGCAATGGCGGCTGTGGTCTTGTTGATGCCGGCGTGTTGTTGAAGATGCATCTCTCGGGCAATATCGTACTGCTGCTGGGGGTCCGACACTACTTCCTTGTCTTTGAGCATCAACTTCTCACCCGTTCCGTCCGTGTCCTCAACCAGCTTGTAGTGAGTGGCGGCGCTCCGCAACCGACTCTTTTCCGCACGATCCGCCCCGCGAGGATATTTGGAATGCTTGAGATAATACCGAATCTTGTCGAACCGATCTTGTGTCGCTGAGTCTTCTCCATCCGGACCGAGATCGCGCCCGTAGATGATGGCATCGACGTACTGGCCTGGGTTGGACATCAGTCGCCCACCGCCAGGCACTCTCCCAATACGCTTGAAGCCTAACGCGTCCCACAGACGGCAGGAGGCCACATTACTTTCGTAGACCAGGTTGAAAACAGCATAGGTGTATCCCTAGTCAAAGTTAGACTTCTACGAACGGGATAGCCGCTAAGCGACACAAGGCCACATCGTCACGGGAAGGTGAGGGGAGTGTCGCAAGGGTGACCTTCTGGAACCAGTTTCGGTGACCGTGCAATCTGCGTTGCATATACTGACCATTTTAGGAGCCCATTCGAGGTATCCTTCGCCCATCAGCCGACCTACACCTTTGTTGCGAGCCGCATCGGTAACAATGAACATGCCGTTACAGACGTGGCTACTACGGCCTGGATAGTTGGGTCTGATGTTGAAACTACCCAGGCAGAGCTTGGCCCAGTTGGCTCGCTGACGGCCCATCAACTGGACTTCCTGCACGCTCTTTATGTCCCCCAGGAGCATAATCGCTCCGAAGTTGGAGAACCAGTACGATCCGAATTGTTCCAGGGGGATGGGATCGATCATGGCATACGTGTCCCCGCCTTCGATCTCTTTGTTCAGTTGCTCGGACAGATACGCCAACAGTGATCGTGGCACCAAGGCAGCAGATGTGAAAGGCACGAGAGTTGCAATGGTGACGCGATCCCTGAGGGTTACCTGGCGCGGAACAATCTCCGGCGGCAGTTCATTATCGGTAGGAATCACCGTGCCAACTAAATCGCCATGGACAGCAGGCATGTTGATGCCCTGAGACGGGCAACAAGCCGGTCAAGAAACTGGATGCACACGGTTAGTTGACTACAAACGGGAATAGTGTGTAAAAAAGAGTGGGGAGGGATGGATTAGAGAGCTGTGGTGGTGAGTCGCGTGCTTATAGATTCTTATCTGATCAAAATCGAGATCCATGGTGGGGACGAAAAAGCGGGGGAGAGACGGAGGGGGCAAAAGGGGGGATGGGAGGCACATCATGGATAAGGGGGGAAAGAGGGAGGAAGGGAGGGAGGGTTCCAGACTTTCGAACCACATAACCATATAGAACTTAGAAAAAAAAAAAAAAGCAAGGCAGAGTAGAGAGCACTGACTTTTCAAGGTTTTTGTTTCGGAAGAACAATTGGGTAGCAGGCGACAAAACCGGGAAAAGCACATCAAGGACTGCCGAGAGTCTTTCGAGAGGCCGGAATGAAGTGAACGCAAGAATGAGAAATTGTCGTCCCGCCCGCACCCTTCGGCCCGGAAATTATTGTTGTTCCGGGACTGGGATGGTTTGCTTGGTTTGCAACTCCCATCCCGCAGACTATCCTCCGCCAGTATGTAGTGGCTTCTGTCTTTATTGCTTTCAGCCTGCATCTTATTGCCGTCTCGTGAGATGAAAGATCATCGAACGCCATTGTGCTCATATCTTTGCTCTTTGTCATCGATTCTGTGATCATCTCGATTCAAGTCGCTAGCTTTCACGACGATAACATGTAACATTAATGGTTTCATCGATATCATTGAAGCTAGCTATGACTTCTTCTGTTGTCGTCTTTGTCGACTCTGAACGGGAGTCTACTTGACGAGGTGTGTATTGAAAGATGCAAGAAGTGAGGAATGGTGTCCCCGCCGCAAATAGCCTCCCATCAGGTTCTTTTGCTATACTTGGTCACTTCCAAAACTCCGTGGCAATGCCCTTCTTTGAGCTTGCACACATCCCCTTTCGAGCGATTTCATGGACATGGTTCAGATAGTTGCGGTCTCGTGTCATAGCGTTTGTCAAGGTTGCACTGGGTGGATCAGCCAAAGAGTTAAAGCTCGGAGGATTATATCCAACACCGGTCACAATTAGTTCATGTTTAACAGCTATCTTGGTGATCAAGGCAAGACTGTAAAGCATATCCCGTCTCGAAACTGAAGCAAACGAGTATATAGTCACATGGGCCTCTGTAACACCTTCTTCGCGAGTTGAGCTTAGGGTAAAGGCCCTTCTAAGCCCCCCTCCCCTCTCCCCCTGCAGGCCAGCCCGCCTACACCCCGGCCTGCGATGGAAGATACACCGCAAAAGCCTCAACCTGGTAGCATCTCTAGCAAAGATCGCGGCCTCCACAACCTCAACATTCAGTGGCAAAACAACTGCATATGTTCCGATTGTCTGGTGATAGCATCGCGTGGCTGATATGCCAGCCATGTTACCCCGCAGCTCTCGCATATGTCATGCCGGGGCTGCAAGAAAAAGCAAGTCGGAGCCCACAGGCTTCATGCATATATGCAGTGCTCACTGGGTTGCATTGGGCTGAAAACGCGCACAACCCTGAAGCTGGGAGAAATACTCTTCGTGTGCATGGATGCGGCTTGAAAGCGTTAGAACTTAGGAGTGGCTGCCCGCAGGCTGGATGTTTCGAAGCATTAAGATCATCCGTCTGTATCACATTCGGACAATGGCAGCACCAATCAGAAACCCAAACTGGCCTGTAATTCCAGGTGGCACAGACTCAAGTTCTATCACCGCTAGTCTTGTGGTATCTCATCCGGGGAAGCAGATCACTTCTCAACGTCTTCTGAGCCATCTGAGACGTCCAAGGGCAGTCTCGGCTTCGTCTGTGGCTATTGCCTTTCTCTCCCCGTTCGATCCGTCGAGTCGACAGTGATCGCTAGATCAACTTCGATGCTCGAATCAGATGCTTACGACTCATCACACTGACGGCAACAGACCGGTGGATGCAATGCTTCTGTAGCATCGCGAAGCCCAGGATTGCCTTTTGCGGACGCGATCAGGCTCCGTCCTCGTTCCAAGCCCATACTCTTCCCAGTGCGACATTTCGGAAATCCCTTCGAAGGCAAACGACAAGGACCGTTTGATGCGATTCAGTGTAATTCTGTCTGCTACCCGTCGTCTCACAGGAGCAACGCTGTTGGGAGAGCTCTTTTGGCCCCATGATGCCTTCTTTGGGGGCCTCTGATATTATTCGCCGGGACATCATCGGCGATGACAGTATATAATGAGCTGAGTGGGAGCTCAATTTCGTTGACAGTCAATAAGGACAAGCGCAGATCATCAAAGCATCCAAGCTGACATCCGAAGGGGAGATTTTCGTCTGATAATTGGAGCATTCTTTGTTGCCAGTGGCTTGGAAGGATTCCACCCGCCGGTTCCTGAAACTCAGGGTTCAGTCGGACTATGCAGCCATTGCATCTTAGCGATAGCCCTGAATAAATACCTACAGCCTCATCGCTTGTTCTTCCTTCTTCACCTCACCTCTTGTTCTTCCTTTCTCTACCTTCTTTTCTCTTTCCATTCTCTCTTTTCCTGACGTGTATCAAGGGGTTGATCCTCTGCTCACATTCCTTTACACCAATTCTACTACAGACTGTGTCTGTTTCATTCTTGATTGCGTTTCTGTTTCTATTCATTCCTTATTCAATTTCTGACTGCTTCTGACGCCATAAGATGAAGCTCTGGAAGCTATCATTTTACGCTCTTGCCGGGCTGGCTTCCCTGGCAAGCAGCGTCCCCGTCAGCACCAACTCGACCGTCGCCGCGAGCGGCGACAAACTGGTCTTCTGTCACTTCATGGTGGGTGGAGGACCCTGTTCGAAGCTCGTCCGGGTCGGTACAGCAGACTAACCATGAGCGCTAGATCGGTATCACCAGTAATCGGAACAGCGCTGCTGATTATGACGACGACATGAAACGCGCAAAGGCGCTGGGGATTGACGCCTTTGCACTGAACATCGGCGTGGACCCTTACACCGACACGCAGCTGAACTTTGCATACGAGTCCGCTGCCCGGAACGATATGAAGGTCTTCATCTCTTTCGACTTCAACTGGTACAACACTGGACAGGCTACGACGGTCGGGCAGAAGATCGCCCAGTACGGCAACCGGCCGGCCCAGCTCAAGGTGGACGGCAAAGTATTTGTCTCCTCGTTTGCGGGTGATGGCTTGGATGTGCAGCAGATGAAATCTTCCGCGGGCATGGATGTCTATTTTGCGCCCAATTTCCACCCAGGCCAAGGGGACTTCAGCAAGATCGACGGGGCGCTTAACTGGATGGCGTGGGACAACAACGGAGATAACAAGGCCCCAAGCGCCGGCCGCAATGTCACCGTCACCGAGGGAGACCAATCATACGTCAAGGCGCTGGGAGGAAAAGGATACATCGCTCGTAAGTGTTTTCGGTCTGTCTCTGGAAGTGTGAAATTAATTCATTCATTCCTGTCGCAGCTGCCTCCGGTTGGTTCTTCACCCATTTTGGGGGAGAAGTGCCGTACAGTAAAAACTGGGTCTTCCCTGGGGATCTGCTCTGGTATAACCGCTGGCGGGAAATCCTGACTTTGAGCCCTCGCTTTGTCGAGATCATCACCTGGAATGATTATGGCGAATCACATTACATTGGTCCCTTATCGTCCCCCCACACCGACGACGGCGCCTCTAAGTGGGTGATGGATATGTGAGTTTGGACCCTTTTCCCACTATTTAGTTTCTGACCAGTCGAGTCTGTTTCACATCTTCCCTGATGGCTAACGGCATTCCAACCCGATAGGCCACACGACGGATGGCTGCAAATGTCCAAGCCTTTTATCGCTGCCTACAAGGCCGAGGCCACGACGGTTGATCCCTACATCACCGAGGAGAAGCTGATTTATTGGTACCGACCGACGCCGAAGGGGGTCAGCTGCGACAACACCGACACGACGATGGAGGGCAGCCCCAACAACGCCAGCGGCAACTTCTTCCGCGGCCGACCCAACGGCTGGGAGACGATGGAGGACGCGGTGTACGTCGTCTCGCTGCTCAAGTCGCCGGCCACGGTGCAGGTCACCTCGGGCAAGAATGGGATGCAGACCTTCACGGCCCCCGCGGGCGCCAGCGCCTTCACCGTGCCCATGGGCGTCGGCCAGCAGCAGTTCACCCTCGTGCGCAACGGCCAGACCGTCCTCAGCGACACCAGCCTCAAGGACATTGTCGACACCTGCATCTGCGGGCTGTACAATTTCAACGCCTACGTCGGCACTGTGCCCGCCCCGTCCACCATCGACAAGCTCGGCCCCGTCGGCCTGGCCTCGCTGTCGCAGGGGCTGCGCACCGCCTGTCCCACAAACACTCTGGGGGCCAACCGCGTCGGTGTCGCCAGTGTCACCGCGAGTGTCAGTCTCATCCCCAGTGTTAGCGCAACCCCAACTCCCACTCCTTCTTCCTCTTATTCCAAGTAGATGGTTTAATTATCCATTTTCTTGGACAAATTTGTGATCTACCGGGTTGGTCATTCAATTCTTCAAATTTGGTTATTCATACATTCTGTTTCTTCATTTTGATGATTTTTTTGGGTGTAGCCAACGCTACCCATGGATCTGGAATCACTTTCTTTTTCTTGAGGTATTCTTTAACTTAAGCGCTGGCGCTGATTAACCTTCCTTTTGAAACACGACCCTCTTTCCCCAGCGCTAGCCCTGTCATCTCTTCTCGCTTATCATGAGTCTTCTCGATCCTCGATACCTTTAGGAGTAACAAACCAAGAACCAAAAAATGAACCCATTTCATATCTTCAAATTGAGATTGAGATTCCGATCGTAGAGATCTTCCACACCTAGCAGCGAAACAATCATGGATGACTTGAAGATTAGTAGTCCAATGCCAGCCCACCCCCACTGCTCCGTACTGAGAGTGACATGGTGGATCTACCCTTCGGTAGTATAGTAAAGATCAGCACAAGCTACGACGAACTTTGTAGATTCTCTTCCCCATTGACCCGGGATCATCCCCACGACACTTCAAACCTCTAACAGACCATCCCAGATCATCCCCAGGATCACCCCACACCAACAACACTTCACCCCCTCGAAAAGTGTGCAAAAAAGAAGGGCCAATCCAAACCGTTCCACGATTTCAAACCGCACATCTCTTCCTCCCCTTGTCCACCGTGACGAAAGCTGATTGATCGTATTTATTTAAGCTTGACTGAAGACAATTACAGTTAACTACCAAGTGACTGTCTACTTTCCCCCTCCCCAACCCAGGGAGGTTATGGGAGACAGGCCGGCTCCATACTAGATTACCTGTTCAAGGGTGTTTACCGTTTTGCAACTGCGCCCATGCCTTGAGGTCAGTTTCTGGCTGGAAACTCGGGATTCATGTGTACTGTATCTGTACCTGGTGATTACGCGTTTATCGAAGAAGGTAATAGTATAATACGCCGACGAAGGGGGGGATTAAATAGTGGGGTTGTCTGTTCAAATTGTCTCCTTGAGGCTCCTACTGTGTAATCCCCCTCTACGTTGAAGGTACGTACTCTCTGTCTGTTGGAGTGGCGGGTGGCGTGACACGATGAGTTGAGAGGAATTGGAGAGGACTTCCAGTTCAATGGGACTACTACTCTGTTCATTCCCTATCGACCTACAGTTCATACACTGAAAGAAGAAGACGATGAAATCATCAACAGTCAAAATTCTATTCTCAAAAAGCATCAGATACTATAAATGTCGGCTCGGCTAGTAATCTGCCGTAATAAACCGGACCACTGTAGTAGGGGTCGTGAATCCTTCTTTATAAAGGACGGTACTCGATACCGTCCCGGTCATTCTCATCGTCCGTCGACACGCCTCGCCGGCGGCTGCCCGTCGTGGGCACCGGCTTCTCCAGCCGCAGCACCCACAGCAGCATGTCCTCCAGCGGGAGGAGGATGAGCCAGATGCGGTTGCAGCAGAAGGAAAAGACGACGGAGAAGGTGGCCACCACTGCGTCCAGCCAGTAGTGGTTGGCGGTGGCGACGATGACCGACAGGACGAGCATGGGGTAGACGAAGCCCAGGATGACGAGGAAAATGTCGCGGAGAGTGATGCGGGAGGATCGCTTGCCCAGCAGGCGGTGGAAGACGCCGGAGTGGTAGAAGAAGGTATTGCCGATGCAGAAGGCGTAGGTGAAGTGCAGGCTGGGCATGGCCGCCAGCTGGTTGACCATCTTACCGCCGACCCAGACGCTCTCCGCGTGCTCCTGGCGGACAGTGTCGTGGAACCCGAACGACTCGGGCAGCAGGCGCGGCGGCATGAGGGGCCAGAAGCAGAAGATGATGAAGGCCATGAAGTTGCCGAGGGTCATCGTGCGGCGAGCGATAGCGTAGCGCTCGAAGTCGGGGGCAGCGTAGTACCACCACGAAAGATAACTAGAAGCACACATTAGCCTGCCAAGTCTGATGTAAATCGTGGATTGCGAACACCTACGCGACGGTTCCGGGAATGTGAACCAACGAATAGATGCGGTTGAAGAAAGTCATCCAACCTGGGTGGCCGTTGATGAAGAAGGCCTGGAAGTCGGCCTCCTCGATGGGAAAGAAAATGCTGAAAAATGATTTGTGCTCCAGGTTGAGCACCCCAATAGCATGATCTTGGGCAAGTTGTACGACGTCGCGACCGGCGGGAGACAAGGACTGGGATACTGCCTTGGTGCACGAGTAGAAGAGATAGTTCATGACCCAGTAGAACATCTCCACCAAGAACGGAAACTTCTGAAGGATTCGACTGTGGAAGTGACGAGCGAAACGAGACGAGTTGGGCGTCTTGACCGTGAACCACAAGCAGTTGCGGCGTTTGGGAGGGTAGGTATTGTCCACCCCAGGGTTCAGCAATTGTCCATTGGCTTCTCCATCCGACAAAGAGTCGGTCGAATCGTTCGCCTCTTCATCCTTCACGTACAAGGGATGTGACGACCCTAGATCCCGATTGTTGTTCTTCCCAAAGATGTTGAAGCCCCTGCGACGATTAAAGTATAAGGAGCTAAACATGATGCTGAGGACGATCTGAAAGAGAATCGGATTAGATGCTGAAGGTAGGAGAATAAACTGTAGAGCACTTACAATCGGCTCAACCCATGAGTGCGAAGCGAACTGGGGCTTCCCTAGATCGACCGAGGTCGAGTCGTTGTTCGACACCATGGTGACTTCCAACGACTGTGTGATACGAACAATGTGCGAAGGACGAAAAAACCGTTCTTGAGGACCGGGCTCAAGCGCCTAGCATCGGCGTCCAGCTGCGTGGTGCCGATCCTGTGCGATGTTTCTTCCCGAGAAGGTGTAAGGTGGTCGGACCAAAAAAGGTGTCGCGTGGTCCGGTCCCTATTCGCAAAAAATGACCCTTGTTGCGGCTAGTCGCCGTTGTTCTATCGGAACGAAAGAGAAGTATATACAGATGTCGGAATTCGATGCAGGTGCAAAACGCCGATGCCGACCGACAAATGCTGTGAAGGAACCGGTATGTACAAAACGATTCGAGTTCACGGACGCAGAAATCTCGGAAGCAGTAAGCAATCGATACACACGACAAAAAGAAGGAGAAGACAGCGAAGACTTCCAGGAAGATCGAAGGAGGAAGAGAAAAGGAATAAGGGGGAGAGAGGGAGGAAAGGGTGGGGTTGACTAGTTCGTCGTCAGCAGCAAAGTGCCAAAGAGAAAGAGAAGGCTGAATTTGGCTGCGATTCAAGATTCAAGAGGGAAACGCAGGCGTGGCACTACTTGGGACTAGCGGGTGTGCCAAGTGGGATCCTGCAAGGATGCGAGTCTGGGAGACGGAACCCCTGGGCTGTTCCAGTAGTTCCCACTTGTTCCAGTAGTTCCAGCCTCTTTTCCCAGCGACACAGCCCTTCATTCTACTTTAAATACGAATACGTATACGTAGGGTCTCTTGCTCTCTGGATTCCTACATGGTAACGAGAACTAAGCTCACTCGAATTCGTGATAGGCACGCATCTCGTCCTGGCAGCTGGACAACATACGAGTGGCTCGGACTCTTGGTCGCGTGCCCGTCTAGTCGTGCAGCCTGGTCTCGGACGGAACAACCGTTGCAGCACCGATTGTCCTTTGGCAGGGGATCGTGGAGAATGCGACTGAGGCAAAAGTTGAGTAGTCTGGGACAGTGGAGTGAGCAGAACTCGATCATGGTAGACATGCTGCTCAACTCTGGTCACTGGAACTTTGTCTCGAACAGCCCGGTTGAGCCACTGTGAAAATCCTGGCCTGAGAACATCGGCTTGACTGACAGTATGCTCTCCCCACGGCCGTTGAGAGTACAGGCACCTTATTCCATGGGCTCGGTTATCCCTGTGGAGGCGAAACTGCCCGGGTTCAGAGGCTGCTTTGCTAGATACAGTATAGACGTATCTCATTCCTCGACATGACTGTAGTCGGCTCACCACGGCCAACGGAAGATGTGTGTACTTTTTATGCACGCCGAAGCATTCCACAACGAATGCACAAATATTATAAAATTAGTCGGATTATAATGCCAAGTTCTGTAGCTCGGATGATTCTTTTCCAGAACGCCACAACCCAAAAGTGCTCTATCTCCGCTTATTCACGAATGAGTTAGTAGCTTATACAGCTAACCTCTTAGGGTTAGTTAGTTCATCGTCTGTTACTGACCTGAAATCCATCGCAAGGTCTTCCACATTCAGCAGTGGACTCAGCTAACTAGACTACGCGCTAAAATCTCTCCACTCGACAAATCAATTGTTATCAAAGTGAGTATCCTCGGCATGCAAATGTCCAGCAATGTATTCGACAGATGCTTCGATCCGCCTTCTGATCCTAACTTAACTAGATCTTTAGTTTTTAGGTAATACTTACCACCAAGCCACATTACGCGGCAGTGGCTGTACTTGTATAAGGCTAAGTCAAGCGCAACGGGTGCAGTAGCGTGTGGTTCACGCTAGGGAACCGATAGATTGCTTATATGCCTTTGGAATGAATCCATTCCAAGCATGCATCATGAAGACTATAGGTCAATAGAGTTGCAACCGTTTGTCAGGGTCATATTGACCCTGTCAGTCCATTTGAATTGTCTACTCCCACCTTCATCCACAACCTGCAAAATTTTCTCTTCATCAACACATGCACCCCCCCCCCCAACCGTACACACTATGATAGTATCTACTCCTCCCCAGCACCAGCCTTCTCCTCCTCCCTCCAGCACAACCAAGCCCCCGTAATCCCCGCCTTCAACACCACCGCCGTCCACAGCGCTCCCTCCAACCCAACCTCACTCCTCGCCCAACCCCCTCCAACCGCGACCCCAATCAACAAGCCCACCACCGCGCCCACCCTCCGCCACTCATCCGGATTCCTCACCGCCGCCGCAGGCTGCTCCGAAGAACTAGTACTCAACAGCGGCCCCGAAAATAAATCACAGTAGACACTCGTCAACACGACCGACGTCAACGCACTAAACTGCAGCACGCGACTCGCGACCGCCTGCCCGCTACTCTGCAGCGCAACCAACGCCAACGGCACCACCGTCGTCCACCTCAACCTCCCGTTATCATCATCCTTGTGTGGGTGATATACACTCGTAATCACCGCCGCAACGGCAATACACCCCGTCTGGAGGGCGAACGACAGCGCCAGCGCGCCGCGACACCGCGGCGCGGCAAACAGTCGGCGGTGAAGCAGGGCAAAAAGAAAGCTGCCGGTGCAGAAACTGCCGATGGAGATGAGGGATTTCTGCCAGCGTGTGGTGGTGTCCAGCCCGGTTAGTCCGAGTCCCGCGTACACTGTGTTGCCGGTTTGCATGGAGACGAAGGAGCCCCAGATAAACACCGCGGAGGAGTCGAGGAGTCCGGTGATGATGTAGCAGGTGAGGAGGAGGAGGTCGGTCCAGCGTCGCGCGAGGGGTTGGGTGAAGTAATTGTGAAGGTTCGCGAGGTGGGTTCTTGGAGTTGGGGTGGGATTGTTGGGGTTGTGGCCATTGCGGACGCCGAGGAGAGGGTCTCGTTCGTGGGAGGGGAATTGGTGGTATGGCATGTTTGCTTCGGGCATTTCAAGTTAATGGTGGTCGTTGTGGTAGTGGTGAGTGGTGGTGGTATAGATGTGCTGTAACTTGTAACGGACCACGGGGAGCGGAGCCGAGGCCTGAAGTTGGTCAGTGTTCCTCAGGCAGCAGGTACTTAGTTTCACCAGGTTGGGATGTATGCAATACCCTCTTAAGAGATAGACAGTAGGGTCGGATTCAGGGGTGAGGCAGGCCCTGGTGGCTTTTTGAACATGCCTGGACTTGTTCGTGCCGAGTTGCTGGAGGTACGAAGTACTGGGTCACGGTAATCCCAATGACGTGGTGCTCCACCCTTAGGGCTGGACTAGATATGCCTCCAACAGATCCAACTCCAGCTTGACTTGCTGGATTTAAGCCGGTTCAAATGTAGTTACCCTGGCTTGCCGAGCGTTCCGGCAAGAAAAGACAAACCGGGGCGGCCTCATGGACGTAGACTGCAGATCGTGGCTGCAGGCTTGTCCAGCCCCGCCCCAAAGTAGACGCTGGTCTGCACCTCAATTGAGTGACTCCTGGCTCAGTATCTTGCCATTTGAGAATAACACTCGTAATCACAGTTAGTGATCCATGATCTGTCCATGATCTGACCAAAAGGCGGGAAAGGTAAGGTCTGACTGTGAGTGAACTGTCGGCGCCAGTGACAATCCGAAGTCTTGAAGAGATAACCCCACAAAAAGAATTCTAACTTATATATTTTACAAGTGCCTAAGATAGCCAATGTTATTTACAAGGCCCCGGGTCGACTCGACTACTGGGAGAACAACCGTTGAAACCAGCTCATTTCTTCCCGCCGCTTCTTCTCCTTTGCATTTCGAACAACCGCCCAGACGATTCCCGTGAGATAGCCACCGATATGGGCCCAGTGGTCGAGGGTCGGAGCGCGGAAGGTCATCGCTAGACGAATAGCTTCAAAACCGACAATGGCTGATAGTATAACCCATCCCTGAGCAGATGCCACCGCCTGCCAGTCTTTGGGAATCAGGTAGAAGGTGAGATTATCGCTGTTCGCACGAGACATGGTTAGAATGGAGACGCATCACACAGGCGAAAAATGAAAACATACTTGGCGTGGAGTATACACCAGCCTGCAACAATACCAGAGATCGCACCGCTGGCTCCAAGCGCAGTCACAGTCCACTGGCCCAGAAGAACATGTGCAGACAGAGAGAGAAGAGATCCAATGATACCAGATGCCATGTACAAGCTCAGGAATTCGCCGCGACCGACTTCATCGTGCACTAAGAAGGCATCGAACATCAGTACAACGAAGAAGGTATTAAATCAAACCTAGATACTCACGTCGTGTTCCAATAAACCAAAGCATTGTCATGTTGAGACCCAAGTGCAAAGGCTTCTGATGGCTGAAGACATTGCCCACAAGGCTCAGGGGACGCGGGTAGGCGGCAACGCTGATGAAATAGCGGTTGAGCATTCTCCAGGCTGGCGGGAATCTCCATAGAGCAAAGATTCCGACATTTATACCGACAATGCCGATTATTGTTGCAGCAGCACGAGGGGTGTCAGGCCATAGCCGATCCTTTCTTGCAGGGGGTTCGTAGAGCAGAGCGAAGGTATAGCAAAGACCTAGGGCGACCAGACCGAACAGGAGGGAGGGGACAATGCGACCGCTCTAAGCAGACATCGTTAGACCGGATCAGCTGCAAGTTTTGGGGCCAGAGGGCATCAATCCCGTATGAGCAGGGTCAACGTACCGTTGTCATTTTGCTCACATCAACGTCAGTATCCATGGCCCGAAGGTGGTGTTTCTGGACCCAGGCGAGAAGCGGGCGCTCTCTAGGGTCCGCGCGCTCCCGGACTATATCGCAGTCAAGAAGGTTAGCATTCATTCCTTCCTCATAGTCCATCGATGGGCAACCTTACCTTCCAGAGCTGAGGTGTCCTCGAACTTTTGCAGAGCAGTGTTTCGTTCCAGCTGACGCTTGATTTTCTCCTGGTCCTCCGCCGCACCCTCTAACCATTCCTTGCGCTTCTGTTCTTCTTCAGCCAGGATCCTAGCCTCATTGTGCTTTCGCATTTCCTGGAGGATACTCCTGCCGGAGACATCATTCTTATCGCCTAACTCAGCCTGGTAGTGACCGCTCTGGGGCTTGTAGAGACCCAACTCCTCGGCCCGGCTGATGAGCTTCTGTTCCTCTTCCAGCTCCTCGCGTTCGATGCGGGCAAGAATCGCTGCGTCCTCATCCATCGGATAGTGCTCGCGAAGATAACTCAGGGCTGCGTCGAGATTTTGCGGGCGAACCGAGCGAGCAATGTCGTCGGGAAGATCCAGGTCCAGAGTGCCATTGAGTCGTCTGCCGTGAAGCACGGCGAGAATACGGTTTCCCATGGACTGGGAGATCTTTGCGCGGGCACCGAAGATGGCATTGACATCGGCGAGCGAGAAGGACTCCGGCCGGGGCTTCACGCCATGATCCACGGGAGGAGGCTTGCTGGCTCCGCGGAGCGATGCGGAGGTCTGGAACGAACGAGTGGAAACCGGTGAGAAGACTGGAGGGATAAGACGGTCGCGGGGCGCGTATGCATTATGTAGAGAGCCGAATGCGCGTCTCGAGAAGATGCTTCTTCGGCAGGGAATCAGAGGCAGAGAGGCGGGGAGAGGACTGAAGACGGGGAGCGCCTTGGAGCTGACGGGGGGGAACAGGCTCGTGGCCCGGAGCCCCGGGCATGGAGCGCGCCATGCTATGCCCAAGACATTGCTCATAGCAAGCGACAGGGTTTGAGACCGTGCTATAACAATAGAAGTATAGTGATGAGGGTTGTCAGGCGTCAAGTGGGATTCCCAAGGGAGGTGGGATGGGTCGATTTTCTCCGGTCGCCGGAAGTTGTTCCGATGGGGATTCGTGGGTAACGGGGGCTGAAAGTATGCAGATTCCCAGACTTCAGTCAGAGAATATCACAGACAAATGGTGAATCTCTCTTCTGAATGCTTGCCCATTACTTTGAGTCTCATTCAATTTTATTGACTCGACAAGCCGTGGTCTGCACCAAGTAACACAACTATCTGGCGATACAGTGAGTTTATTTCACTATCGCAATATCATCACGTGGTGATAACATCCATTATCATCTGTCGCAAGAGAACTCACAGGAAGAACAGACATCTGACAGCAACTCAAACAATACAGAAGTGCTTTGGCATCCATCCCTATATCATCCCAGGGCTTGCCACACGATCATCATCTATCACGGCGATCACATCATCGCAACGCCTATCATGTCGGACGAATCTCTCCCGATCTCTCCCTCCGCCTTCGCTGAGGCTATCAAAGAGCTTCCCCTCCCCGTCCTCTACGCCAAAGTCTCCGAGATTCGGAACTCAATCGCTCATCTGCACCGCTCGAACGCAGAACTCGAAACCTTCATCAAGGAGTCGTGCGACAGCGAATCAGAAAAGCGCGAGCTGGAGAGTTATATTATGGAAAACAAAGATGTGGTTACAGCTATGACGGAGAGGGTTGAGTTACTGAAGACGGAGGTCGAGAACCGCGGACAGCAGTGGATCGAGCTGGGCGAGACAGATCAAGAGAGAAAGGAAACGAATGGAGACACTACGGAGGCATCCAGAGACACAGCACCTGCCACTCATCAAGGTCAGACAGATTCAGCCTCGACGAGGGGAAATGCTTCCGGAGATACACAAGGTGGAGAAGAGGAGGAAGAGGAAGGAGTTTACCTATAGGGGCAGCGATCCTTGCAGACTAGATGACAAGATATCAACTAAAAGGTATTGCGTTTTGCGACTGAGACTGATTGGCGGGAAGTGATTTCTTGTTTCATAAACTTGTATACCCAGGGCATAGTCACCTCCGCGTCTGTCTTACTATTTACTCAGTGGATTCCTCTTGTGCAGCTGACTGTCATTCTCACTCGTGATCCAGATTGTAAATGATATTCAAAAAGGCTTTAGCATGAGAGTGATTATCTCGATACGATGCTGCGTAACAGCTAGCTGTCTAGCATACCGGGCCTGCATCCCCACTCAGGCGGGGAGACAGCTATCTTCCAAACACGGCAAACCTATCGCCTAAGGCAGCAACCCATCACCTTATGTCAATCACGTGCCCTCGGAGAAGCTGCGTCATAGGAACCCTTCTACTTCCCATTCCACGGCTTATATCCGCCTGACAACCGGCGCGTCGGAGTACATAAAACCTCTTTTATAGATACGGTTTATGCCGGAATGGCAGTCAATACTCCAACTCGTCGCTCAACGCGGCGCAATCAGAATGGTCGAATCCCGCCTACTGCACCGACTGGAGATCAGCAAATCCCCCAGGTCTACCGGGAAATGCTGGCTGAAGCCGAGGCACGAGATCCTCAGGCCCCCGATAATGACCGCATACCAAAGAGACGCAAGTTGGCGGGACGAAACCATGTATCAAGCACCCAAATAGATCATCAAAAAACCTCAGCTCCAATTGAGAACAATGAACCTACTGGTCGACAAGTGCAGACCGTATATGATTCTCCCACCTCATCATCCGAGGATGATGACATGGAGTGGGAGGACGTCGACTTGCAGCCCGCAGTGTCGGAAGCGCTGTCAGATGATTCTACTATTCAAATCACCTTAGATCAACCGCAAGAAAGTTCTAGACACAAAAGAATCTCTAAGCGGCAGCCGATAACGGCCGCAGAGAAGCGGTTGAGGCTCGAGGTCCACAAGACCCATCTCCTTTGCCTTCTACGCCATGTCCAAATCCGTAATAGATGGTGCAATGATGATGAGCTTCAGGTATGTCAGGGTCTATGATCAACAGCATCTACCATCAAAGCGCACGGCAACGGCTTCAAACGTAGCCAAACCTGACTGTGATACCAGGACGCTCTCAAGAAAATGATACCAAAGCAGGTGAAATCTCTCCTCAACCCACCCGAGAGCAAACCTGAGCATGAAAGGTCCACGACATTCATGAATGGCCTGAATCAAGTCAGCGACGCATTCAGTAAGCGATTTAAAATAACAAAACCGGGTCTCAAGCGAGCAAATTGGGCTCAGGGTCCAGATGCTCTGAAGAAAAGAGTGGTAACGACATTAATTGCCATCTACCACTGTACAGCAGTTGACCTTGACACTAGGAAACTATCATCTCTAATGCCGAAGTTTTCACATCGATAGATGACTTCAAGCAGCAAGCTCGAACCATGCAAGGGTCCCGAGATTTTGGCGCACAGCTGTTCTGTGCTTTACTACGCTCTGTGGCAGTGGAGGCAAGGCTGGTCTGCTCCCTGCAGCCTTTGCCATTTTCGGGCGTCACCAAAGACATTACTTTGGAGGCGACTCCGGCAAAGACAATGATCATGGCAGATAGTCCAGAGACATCTTCGGACGAGTCAACACGTGCCAAATCACGAGCCTCAGCGCAGCGACTCACCCGGCCTGGATTTAGACCATCACGTCCGCCGGCTAGTCCTAGAGAAAGTTGGTTAAACCGCTTCTGTAATTCATATAGAAACAGCATGCTAACACACAGAAAGTCCCATACAACCGGAATCAAGAGTCGTCATACCCGGTATTCTGGGTAGAAGCTTTCAATGAGGCATTCAATAAATGGATACCTGTCGATCCATTAGTCACCAGATCTCTAGCGAAACCGTCTAAGTTTGAGCCACCTGCCACAGATCCGAATAATCTTCTGAGCTACGTAGTCGCGTTCGAGGATGATGCGTCTGCGCGAGATGTGACCCGTCGTTACAGCAAAGCCTTCAACGCCAAAACACGCAAGTTGCGCGTCGAGTCCACTACCCGCAACACAACATGGTGGGACCGTGTCCTTCGATTCTACGAGAAACCGTTCCTCGAGGATCGCGACCAGCTGGAGGTCAGTGAGCTTACCGCCAAGACAGCCGCTGAGCCCATGCCCCGGAATATCCAAGACTTCAAAGACCACCCAGTTTACGCGCTAGAACGACACCTTCGTCGTAGCGAGGTTATTCATCCAAAGCGAGTAATCGGACAGGTCAGTCTTGGTAAGTCGGGCTCCAAAAACCAAATATTAGAGCCAGTGTACCGCCGCTCAGATGTCCAAGTTGTGCGCAGCGCCGACAAGTGGTACAGGCTGGGCCGAGACATCAAGACGGGCGAGCAGCCGTTGAAGCGTGTCAAGGGCCGAAGACCCCAGTCTAGTGGACTGCTGCCCGAGGACGAGGGGAGCGATGCAGCAGCCCCGGAGACCCCTCTATACGCGCTTTTCCAGACTCAAGTCTACGTTCCGCCACCAGTGGTCAATGGGAGGGTTCCGAAGAATGTCTACGGCAACCTGGACATCTACGTACCGAGCATGATCCCGGCTGGTGGTATTCACATCGGCCACCCGGACGCCGCGCACGCAGCTAAACTTCTTGGAATTGACTTTGCAGCGGCTGTCACTGGCTTTACCTTCCAAGGACGTCACGGAACTGCCGTGTATACCGGCGTGATTGTCGCGGAGGAACATCGTGAAGCACTTCAAGAGGTCATCGATGGTCTCGAGCGCGAACGGCTGCACGAGGCATTAGAAACACGAACCGCGGAAGTTCTCAGAGCATGGAAGCATTTACTTTTGAAGCTTCGTATCGCGGAGCGGGTCAAAGGCTACGCTATCGAGGGGGATGACGAAGATGCGGATACGGGGATCGAGCCGAGTGAGGTGGGCGACGAAGCTGTAGACGATGATGGGGGCGGATTTGTGCCTGAGTCAGATACAGCAGTACCAGACCCTGTGGTTGGAGGGGGAGGCTTCATTCCGGACTCGAACACGGAAACATTGGAAGATTCGATGGGAGGCGGTGGGTTCTTACCAGAGTCAGGTACGGAGACACCAGATGACAATGTGGGAGGGGGTGGCTTCATGCCTGAATCACCAATCAAGGATTCCATGGGCGTGGATCATACATCGTCTGAGAGCCTTGATGTCAGTTTTTCCAATCCATCCGATACAACGCTTCGGTTACATATAGGAGCTCCTGGACGCAACACAACTCTAGCTCAAGACACAATCAAGCAGCCTATTCCAGCCAAGCCGTCACGCTACTCTCTTGTGGTAGTTTCAAAGAACAGGGAAAATCCTACCGACCCGTCGGCACAAGATCACATCATCGATGAAGCCTCCCGAGCAACCAAACCTGCTGCAACCGAGGAACCTGATCTTTATATTCGTTCGCGAGAGCCTGTCTCCTCCGGAACGTCGGACAACCACGAGCTCTCAATAGGCGAAGGGAATATCTCAGCCCCAGAATCCGTACAAAAGCCCCCACGATCCCCCAGCACGCAATCCTCTGATGTTCAGTCGCGCAGAGCCAGCGTAACATCGTTGTTATCACAGGATCCTGATGATGAAGACGCGATTCCGGAGTGGCTTATGTCGGATTAGAGGTCGAATCCTGTTGAGTACGGGGGAAGTGATATCCTAGCTCGATGAGAGACGATTGTTCATGATATTATATGTGATGAAGCATGAATGCTATTACGCCTTGACGAAATTTAAGAGCAAACATATCATGTGCAACAAGAGAGGAGAATAACATATGTAAATAGGCTAAGATAGACGGAGTTTTCTCCTGCACGACTGCTACGCTGATGAGCTGTTGTCTGGTGACAATTTTCATACAAATACTGAGCATGCAAGAGCTCATTAGCTTTCTTTTGCGCTAGAAGTTTGGCTACTAATAGTAGTAACAAGATCCACTCGGTTTGCATAGAGCAACGCTTTAGTTAGTCCTCTTCATGCCTGCAGGAGCATGCAGGAGCTAGCAGGAATATATACATGGTAGGTATTAAAGTACTATTAACAGCAATCCTTATGATCAAGAGTGATCATTTACTTGCAGTCACCATGAGTCTCAACGACTAAGTTTCAGTGAAGGCCAATGCGTCCATCCTGCATTCATTTTCCAGGTACGGACATAACTAGCACATTGCCTTCGCGGCTTCAATGTAGTGTGTAAGTAATACATCATGAAAGTTATTCGAGTATAAAACTACTGAATACAGTACAGTACATACAGTGTCTCGATGCCGTCATACACTCCTTACCAAACACTACAGTACATTACGGGTAATACAGAACAAGCTCCCTCTCCACCAAGTACTCCGTAAACAAACCAACAACAATATCCACCCACCCACCCACACACGCCTAAACTGCGCACAAAACCAAAAAAAAAAGCCACAAGTAGTATGAGACACACAACCCACAGTGAATTCCCACGCAAGAGGAGCCAAAAACCGTGTGTGCCAGCCACCCAGCTACTTTCCCCCTTCCTTCCCCCCACTTCATCCAAATTGGACGCGGGCGCGGCGGGGTATTCGTTTACCGCCGTTGCCGTCTCTCGTTTCTGCGACGGCGGCAGCCGTTTTTAACTTCATAATCTAATTCATGAAGTGAGGAATTGGACAGTGACGATCATTGATTGTGAGAAACCAAACGGGCTGGCTACACATACAGTATTGTCTAGTGTCTACGGGTGTGAACAATTTCTTGAATCTTAATCTTGGGAGTCCAGGAAATTGACATCTTGCCGTGTGAGGCTGTCGATAAGTGGATCGATCCCCACTTGTTGTTTTTTTCCCTTCTTTTCTCTTCGGGTTTCTGGGAGAGGGGAGCCACAGCCGGGCTGTGACCACGGGGCGGGAGTGGCCAATCAGATTAGATGATCATATCATCTAATCAGATCAATTGGGTTCAAGTTTTGAAAACCAGTGAGGATTGATGGAGTGTGTGACACCACGGTTTATCCGGTTGGGTTCCGAGGGATTTATACCAGAGGTGGATAAGTGTGTTCGAGAACGAAGTGAGTGCTAGTGCTCAAATAGGGAGTTCTGTCTGGGGTCTCGTATGACTGTGTATGATCCCAATTCTCTCAAAGGAGGACAACTAGTTAGACAGTGAAAGGTGATTAGAGGAAAGAAGCTTGAAGGCTTTACTGTGATGTAATTAAACAAGAAAAGAGAAAATGGGTATTTCAGATCCGAAGAACAACTAACCAAGCACTCATCATATCTATCAAACAAAACAGAACATCAAACTTTTCTCTCCCCGCCTCCCACCGCCCCCCCCCCTCCCACTCAGGCAGTCATCTCCCCCCGCTTTTCCAACACCTGCGCGGCAACCTTGCGCAAGTCGACCTTGCGGACCTTGCCGCTCCCCGTTACAGGGACGGTGCGGTCAATGCCCTCCTCTCCGAACACGAACAAGTACTGCGGTGCCTTGTGCCGGCCTAGCGTCTCGCGGGTCCAGCTCCGCAGGTCCTCGACCGAGGGGCGCTTGTCCTCGTGGCCGGCGGCGAGGGCGATGAATGCGCCCACTACTTCGCCGTATTTCTGGTCTGGGATGCCGATGACAGAGGCAACCTCGATGGCTGGGTGTGCAGCTAGGCGTTCTTCGATTTCGAGGGGGTAGATGTTTTCGCCGCCTGTTGCAGAGGTTGGTGAGATGTGTTAGCAAGTCGAGCTATGGGCAAAGCTTGCGTCCCTAAAAGGAATGGCGGGAAGCACGTAGGCAATGGGAAGGGCCTGCCACATACCACGAATGATGATGTCCTTGAAGCGACCAGTGATGGTGCAATAACCTTCCGGAGTAAAGATGGCCTCATCGCCGGTCTTCAGCCAGGTCGTGCCCTCCGCGTCCGTCGTGAGGGTCTCCGCCGTCTTCTCCGGGTTATTCCAGTAGCCCTTGGTCAGTTGGTAGCCGGCGATACAGAGTTCGCCGCGCTGCCCGACGGGAACGATGTTGCCCTCGGCGTCGATGATCTTGGCCCGGGCGTGGGGCATGACCTTGCCTACTGTCTTCAATCGGGTCTCGATGGTATCGGTGGTGAGCGCGTTGAAGCAGGTGGGGGATGCTTCGGTGAGACCTGTGCCCAGTAGACGGGAGCATTAGACGTCTGTTCAATGGGGCTGTGCTCCAATGCATGCTTGCTCACCGTAACTGCTGGTGTATTGCGTCATGTTCAGCTCCTCAAAGAGTCGCTTCATCAGAGGGCGAGGTACGGGCGCGCCGGCGATAATGCCAGTGCGGAGGTTGCGAGTGTCAAAGTTGGGGGGCTTGGGGAGGCTCAGGATCGCCTCGAACATGGTCGGTACGCCGTGCAGGGCGGTGCACTTCTCGTCGGAGATGGCGAGGAGGACAGCCTTGGGGTCGAATGTTTCGCTGGGAAAGACGATCTTGGACCCATGGGTGACAACAGCCAACATGCCCAGCACCAGACCGAAGCAGTGGAAGAGAGGCGGGGGGCAGCAGAGGATGTCGAAGGAGGTCAGGTCCATGCGGTCGCCAATGAAGCGCGAGTTGTTGACCAGGTTACTATAAGATGCGAGACCCGGTTATTAAAGGCACTAAGGATCAGAGGGTACTTGCGCTTGTCTTCTATCATCCCAGTGAAGAATGGGTACTTACTGATGCGTCAACATGGCCGCCTTGGGGTTTCCAGTCGAGCCACTGGTGAATTGGAGGTTGCACACGTCCGCCGGGCTGAGCTCCATCTCCCGGTTGGGCAAGGCAGAGCTGGGTAGCGATGACCCACGGTGAATCACGTCGTTGTAAGTGCTGAACCCTTGATACTCGCCTCGTAGAATGACAATCTCCTCCAGTGCGGCCGAGTTGCCGGCCTTTTTGGGCTTGGGACCCATCGTCTCCAGCACTTCTTCTAGAGAGTGCTTCCCAATCCGAGGGGTCAAGAACAACACGCGGACGTCTGAGCGAGGACAGTATTTTCAATCAGTCATTGCCGCTACGCTAGACAGAGATTGAGGATCACAAACCGGTATGATCTAGAGCATAGTACAGCTCGGAAGGAGTGTAGGTATTGTTCAAGACGACTAGGATGGCACCCACGCGCGCCGCGGCAAAGAAGACCGCAACGTACTGCTCGCAATTACCAGCCATGATGCCAATGCGGTCGCCCTTCTGAACCCCCATCGCTAACAGGCCCCGAGCCAGTCGGTCAGCCTCATCATTCAAGTTCGTATACGTCCAGCGAGCTCCCGTCCAGGGGAAGACCAAGCATTCGTAGTCGCCATAGTGAAGGCTCTGTAGCGTCAGCAGCTCGCCCAATGTGATGTCGAGCAACGCCGGCTCAGTCGGGCCCTGCACAATTGAGAGCTGTGGGGTCGTCCGCGGGGACTGGAAGTGAGACAAAGTCTGCTGAAGACGCCGTACAGTAGCCATCTTGACAGGGGAGGTGTTTTGATGATGAGAAGAACTGACAGATGACAGACAGACAGAGCAGCATGAGGGAGCCACCGGGGGTTTCTGGGATCTTATCAGATTAGAAAAACCCTACCCGGTCAAGCCCGGGGGTGGGAGGGGCGCCAATTTCATCATCCTGTCTCAAGTTGGTCGCAGAATCCACTCTGGATTATCACTCCAATGGGGTGCCCTGAATGGCGTCGTCGGGATGGAGACCTGGTCTGAACGGATTCTTGGCCACAAAAATCAGTGGCCAGCCCACTCTTGGACCGAAATCATATTAACTGCACACCAGTTCGCATACCCACATCGGTCTGAGAACAGAATTCTGCACATGGCAGCGGTGCAAGGCTTCGTTCAGGCTGTGACTCCACCTGTGAGATTCTCTCCCGAAGTGTCGAGAAGAAAGATCGGAATGATATCGGAGATAGCAGGATTTTATCCCCTCCTCGTCACGACCGTATGGAAACTCCTGGTACGTTACTTACCGGATCAGATAACGATCGATACGGCAGAGATAACGTAACGTCATAGCGGTAAATTACACAGTACATGCTTACGGGGTTTTTATCTACGGCACTCGTCCTGTTGTAAGGAAGTATCACTACTTCTCTTGACTACATTTAATGTAGACCCACACATCATGAGTGCTATGAGTGTCTCATTTCTGCATTTTTCATGTTTTGCGGCAAAAGTCTTCGCGTCTGGAACACCGCGAGTCAGCAGGACCGCTGCCCCCCTAGCGCAAGTTATACCCCTCAGTAATGCTAGTCGACGTATACGCAATGCAACCGCACAGACCAGTATGCGCGGCGAAACGTGGAGCAAACAGATGCGATTGTAGACCAGGAGGAACCCATCTCATCCGAGTCGCAAGACCACCTCATAGACAGGGATGCTGACTAGTATTACTGACGGCAGTATCCGATTTTGCCTATCCTGGTTACCTTGCCGACTGGTAGTCAAAACCCTTGGAATTGAAGAATATCGCCGGGTTTGAGCTTGAAAGATCAGCCCAGACCCCCGAGTCAGGCTTGCGGTCGGAACCGTCGGAAGTGTTCGCGCTGCACTCGGCAGTGGGTAAATTTGCCTGAAAGCGATTGTTTCGTCAGGTCACTTTGGGTCATATAAATAAGTATAGCTCCTAGTTAATGCTTCTCTCGTATTGTATCATCCAGTCATAACGGCTTTTCTGAAGTCTTCTCACCTTGTTAGGTTTGATTCAATTTGATTAAGACATCCCTGAAGGGATGGAGGCCCTTTTCCTTGTGATAGAGAAAGGATTGTAAAGCCATACGAATACAGCCACAAGAGGCAGTCAGTATCACAGATTGGCACAATGTATCTTGAGCCTGAAATACATCGACCAAAACAGCATATAGTGAGATGTTGGCTGGCGGCCTGCAAGTCCACTGACTAGGCTGAATGGCGGAAATCCCAAGCTTGCCTTGATTCATGCCTGTCAATAGCGCAAGGCCCACCGTGGCCCAATACCAGTCAGGCATTGGCTTTCGGCAGCACATACGCTGGAGAACCTGGCAAAGCATGGATTTAACTAGTCAAGAATGAAACAAAGTTGAGAAGCAAACTCGCAGCTTCCGAAAAGATTGGAGCTCGGAAATTGGCGAAAACATTTGAATCTTCCGCGCGAGATCTAATCAGATGATCTAATCAGATAATTCCGGCTGTACAGCAACTAGTGGTTCGAAATTCATTGGAGTTCCCTGTTCTCAAGAAATAACTTCTCTGTCTGGCTATTTGCAACAGTAGGGTTGGAGTCTCTATTCAATACTCCGTAGTACTACAGGAAGCCGATCCAGAATCTCGACACACTTTATGGATAGTATGGTGAAGCAAACTGTTGAATATACATATGCATTTTATTGAGCTGTTCGTCCGGGACTCAAAAAGACAAGAACAATCAGCGTGACCTAGTGGTAGTTGAACACTGCTCTAAGATACTCAATAGTGAAGCATGATACATACGATGGGACCTGCTTAGAGCATTTGTTGTGACGATAACAGCATAGCAGCTACATCTAGACACAAGTAACCAGACAATTCACGTGATGACTAATTGGCAGGCTGCAGGTCACATGACAACGCGCCACCTTCGCGTCACCAGAAAACAACCTCTCAACTTCTTATCAGACCCCAATCAATCCCAATGTTTCGGCACCCCATAGGCCGGCAGCAATGGACTGTATCCTAGATGGTCTCAATTCGTCCCAGTCCACCGCCGTGACGTCTCCGGCCTCCATCTTGCAAGTCCTTGCGCCACCGGGTTCCGGCAAGACAAAGACCCTAACAGCACGCGTCGCGTACCTGCTCGCCCACCATCACTATCGCCCTCAAGATGTCATCTGTTGCACATTCACCATCAAAGCCAGTCGGGAAATGCGAGAGAGGTTGGCCAGATTGATCGGTGAGGACTTACAGAAAAGACTGCTTCTAGGGACCTTTCATTCGATCTGTCGGCGATATCTCGTCATCTATGGCCATCTAATTGGGTTAAAGAAAGGTTTCGGGATTGCCGACTCCGGTGATAGTACGTCCATTATCAAAGTGGGTCATGCCGCTTCCTCATGGATTGTCTGGTCGAAGGTCTTCATTGTGAAGCGGTATTGACTTGAAACAAATGGTAGAAAATCATTAAACGACTGCGGGTCAGCATCGAGCCGGGGTCCGCTAGAGGACGGATATCTCGCCAAAAAGCCCAAGGCATCGGTCCAGACGAGGTAGAAGCCAGGTTGAAGACGAATACGAAGCATACGGAGCAATGGGATTTTGTTCAGGTCTACCGCGAGTACGAAAGGCACCTTGCGGAGTCTAATCTGTTAGACTACGATGATTTACTCGTGCGATGCGTCGATTTGCTGAGGCAGCACCCCAAATGTGTCTCGAATATCCAAGCCGTCCTGGTAGACGAATTTCAGGATACGAATCTCATCCAGTATGAGCTCATGAACCTCTTTGCATCCCAAAACAAGCGCATCACCATCGTCGGCGACCCCGACCAGAGTATTTACGGATTTCGCTCTGCAGAGATCAAGAACCTGGCACGCATGCAGCAACGATATAGAGATACGTCAATTGTCTTGCTGGAGAACAATTACCGCTCGTCCGGGTCGATCTTGAACTCTGCACAGGATGTCATTGAGCAAGACACATCCAGGCCGGCGAAGAAGCTGCAACCGACGCACAGCGTGGGAACAATGCCTGTGCTTCGTAAGCTTCAGGATGCTGAAGCTGAGGCTAAGTGGATTGTACTCGAAATCAAGCGGTGCATTGGGACAACAGGCAAACTTTTGAAGTACTCTGATTTCGCCATATTGCTCAGATCTGCTGCTCTTTCACGACGCATTGAGTCGGCAATGGGCAAAAATGGGATTCCCTACCGGATGGTTGGAGGCTCGAGGTTTTTCGACCGAGTTGAGATCAAGCTGCTTCTGGACTACCTTCGGGTTATTAGCCATCCTCAAAATAGTGAAGCACTTCTACGGGTCATCAATACGCCCTCGAGAAGGATCGGAGAAGAGACCATCAGGGCACTGACCGCCGGGGCTGAGAAAGCGAAGTTGCCTCTCTGGGACTATGTTAAGGCTGTAGCACAAGGCAACCGCTCCGCAGACTTCACGCTATCGAAGCTCTCGAACCAAGGCCTCTGCACGTTTGTGGGGATCATCGAGTCTGGACGAAAAAAGCTCAGTGACACCTCGGATAGTTCGTCACCACGAATTCTTCTTGACCATGTGATAAAAAAGCTCAATCTTCGAGAATACCTTAAATCCCTGCACGGGTCTAACGAGGAGAACCGCTGGGCCAATGTGGAGGAGTTGCTTACCCAAGCAGATGATACCTCTGGCTTGGACAGCAAGAACAACGAGGTCGAGAGTCTTCCTGAGATCGAGGGGCTGGAACAGCAGAAGGCCCATCCAGGGGAAGAAGCGTTGTCTCGTTTCCTTGCGAATGTGGCACTGTCCTCCGAAGTCACACCACAACAAGAAGAAGGCTTGGACGAGAATACCTCGAACGAAAAAGTCACAATCTCCACTATTCATGCGGCGAAGGGACTTGAATGGCCGGTTGTCTTTGTCCCGGCTGTGTATAATGGCAGTATTCCTCACTCACGCGCCGAAGACTCCGACGAAGAACGAAGGCTGCTATACGTAGCCATGACCCGAGCACAGGCGCTTCTTTACCTCAGCCAGCCACTTGAGCAGTCTCCTCAAGGCGAGATGACCAAGCGATCGAATTTCCTTCCGGATGAAGTAGTCGAGAATAGATTCCGCTTACTCGGACCTGTCTTCAGTGACGATGTCGTTCATGGAATTGCCGACATTCTGCATCGAGCCAAACCAGATCCGGAAGCTATACTAGAAGCCCAAAGCACACTTTGTTCCCTTTTCGATGACCGATGGACGAAGGAGGGCTATGAGCAAGTTGACCCCTCACTTCAGTATGGTGACGGAGGATCGACGGTTGTGGGGCTCAATGTAAAGAGGCCGCGATATGACAAGCCCCCAACTGATGAGAATGGGGCATGGCTATCTGCACCATCTCTAGGGTTTTCGTCAGCACGAGACTATATCACAACAAACAATGGCATGGCAGAGGACGCAACGAGCGCAAGATCAGGTGTTAAGAGGAAGGCCATGAGTGGTGGCCCGGCTCGTAAAAACGATGCGTATTCCCAGAAGACACTCTCCGGCTTCTTCGGTCTGTCTTCGTCAAGACCAACTACAAAGGAAATCGAGGTCAATAACGTTACTTCCACAGTCCAGCGAAGGAATGTGCCTGCAGTCTCATTTCAGGCTAGACCGACGAATGCCGCCGCGAAGGGATCAATCCCGAAGCCATTCACCATGCATCGACCGCAAGTGCAGCAGCTGCAACCAGCTCGACCAGTTCTCGAGCCTTCTAAGCCGAATGCATATTCATGGATGGCTGACCATGCAGACCCAGCACGTTTGTCCATGCCCTCCGTCCAGAAGGGTAACGGAAGCTCAGTTGAGCCTATGCCAACAAGCAACAAGGCTCCATGTGTGTCGGACACAAACCGAATCTCTCGGCCAGTGACTACGTTCCATACGACCACGATGTCGATGGTGCAGAAGCAGGCTCCCACAACGATGCGAAGGACATTAGGGGTGCGCCGAAGTAATATGGATGGTTGGCAGGCGCGGATGCAAAGGGAAAATCAAGGTCGGTGAGCCAAGGTCATGTACTGCTAAGGGATAGGGAATATCATGCATCTCAAACATATCTACAAATGACCCTCGTCCAGGTGCATTGGGTCATTGCACAGCCAGCAGGTACTCCAGGTTGGACAGATAATCAGACAATGTTGCCACATGTAAGCGGAAGCTAGACTTGCGGCAGCTCCAAGCCTGCATTGCACCGCACTCGAGGAACAATTCTTGGCTCCTATGATCCATCTACGCACCAAAGATGCCAACTGTTTACCTTGTAGAGGCTCAATTCTACTAGAATTGACAATGAACCAAGATGATTTCATGATCCCATCCTGATCATCATCAAGATCGGATCAGTCGTTATATTGGGATACTGCGTACGAGATCCCCCGCACAAAGCTGATATCGCCTCATAATAAGTGCTCATACACGCTCGAAATCAAACAAACACCACGGAGAGCTTTTATAGAGTACATAGGCCCAAGCACCACCCACGCTATCAAATTCATTCGATTTTGCCCTTGTTCACAACGAATCCCTCCAGGGCAGAGATAGCAGCCCACAGCCGGTTCTCCGCTTCGGGGAAGACCAAGGAGCGGTGGCTGTAGAAGACTTCATCGCTTACCTCCTCCGGGTGGCGGGGCAAGCAGTGCATGAACTTCCAGCCCTCATTGGCACCGCCGCGCTTAGCCAGCTCGGGGGTGATCTGGAAGCCCTCAAAGTCCTTGAGGCGCTTGCGGGCCTCGGCCTCCTGGCCCATGGACACCCAGGTATCGGTGACCAGCACATCGGCATCCTTGACGGCCTCCTCCGGGACATTGGTCTGGATGAGCTTTCCGGGCCGCTGGACGCCCTGGCCGGCCTGCTGGATGAGCTCGAGCATGGCGGCGGGGATCTCATAGCCCTTGGGGGTGGCGACGGCGAGATCGATGCCCATCTTGGCGGCGCTGATGGCCATATCGAAGAGGACGTTGTTGGCGTCGCCAACCCAGGCGATCTTGAGGCCCTCGAGCCCCAGGCTGGAGAGGTGGTGCGCCTTGGGCGTGAAGGTCTCGTGCAGGGTCTGGAAGTCGGCGATCGCCTGCAGCGGGTGGAAGGAGTCGCACAGCGCGTTGATGACGGGCACCGAGGAGTGCTTGGCCAGGTTGGCGACGTCCGCGTGCGGGCCCACGCGCGCCACAATCGCCGACACCATCGACGACACCACCACCGCCGTGTCGTACAGCGACTCGTTCACCCCCAGCTGGATGTCGTCCTTGCCCAGGAACATCGGGTGGCCGCCCATCTGCACCACCGCCCCCTCCGTCGAGATGCGTGTCCGTGTGCTGCGCTTGCTGAACATCATCGCCACCGTCTGGCCCGTCAGTGCGCCCAGGAGATTCTGCGGGATCGCCCCGGACTTGATGGCGCGCTTGTGGGAGGAGGCATTGCGCACGAGCGTCGCGAACTCGGTCGGCGTCAGGTCGGCGATCGAGAGGAGGTGCCGTGGGGCGAAGGGCGAGGTCGGCGGAATCGTCTGGCTGGCTTGTTGCGTCAGGAGCTGGCGGGTCGCCGAGCTGCACCGCGCAGCGGTCATTCGGAAGGCGCCCGGCATGATGGGTGTGGGTTTCTTGTTGGTGGAATTGAGCTGGGATACGATTCCCCTTGGTAACCTGACTGGCTATAAATCGACCGTCGATGGCGGTGTACTCCGTATGACTCAAGTGATGTACATAGTCACGTGAGGTAAATGACTGGTCTGGTTTGCATGGTTTGCAGTCCGGGGAGGGAAACCGATAACAAGCCCCCCTTTGACTCATATCGATTGGTGATAGTTACCATTCGGTTAACAGGATCTCTCTGGGGATTTGCGTCCGAACTTTTCACCCACTTGACGCTGGCGGAGGTGGGAACCTCAAGCCCGTACCGTGAAAGCCAGGCATTGCCTGTGTCGTCGAATGGCTTATAGAATGGTCATGTTGCCAGCTACTGGTGTGGGAGATTTGCCGTTCTTATGAATGGAGAAAGCACGCATACCACGCCATAGCCTACGGGATGCAGGGCGAGGAACTGGCCTTAATGTACCAGTTTTTCTGGTAGCTGATGGACCCGCAGCTGGGCTGTTACAGTGACTGACATTCTACGTTGGAAGGTTCTGCTGATTCCATCCATAGTTCTAGCGTCGGCCGGACAGCCCGAAAATCCACGGAGCTCCGCCGGGACGAGTGTCAAACACGTGACGGGCGTTCGAAAACTTGGCACACGTGACCTTCCAAATCGCTAAGCATTCAGGCCAGATGTGGTGGACGAACTCAACACGAACTCCATGCTTGACTTGAGCTTTTTTCTTTTCAACCACCCCTTCTGGTGTCTTCCTTTTCCAAAGAATGAATGAAATGATCAGTGTTCTCCAGCGTGCTCCTTCAATCCCGACGACAACCACAATCCATCGGTGACACTAACTAGCATTTGCCCCTCGCCCAGAGCTTTACATAATAGTCACCGCCAGTCCGCCGCGCGAGTGGGGCAAAGTCTCTGGATTTTTCCCTTTCCCGCTCTTCCCACCGATGGAACATGACGAAAAGCCGATCCAATGGCCGCAAGATGCGCCCTCGTTCCGGGTGGCAGCAGCACCCCATCCCAGATTTCGTTTGATAATGAAAAAAAAATGGAGAAAACTCTGCCTAGAGCCAAATTTGTCCCTTAACTCAACCTTCTCCCCCGACATTCTGACGTTTACCTCTGACTGTCAGCGTGACACCGCACGCTTCCCTATAACCAAGCTTCCCGACTGAACTCGCTGCCACGCGACCTTCCCCACGACGGTAGCACTCCTGCTCTCGGGCTCTGTTCGTCGATTTCCTCGCTCCGCCAACATGGGCGAACAGGACAACATCGCGCCCGCGAAGCTGGGCGTCGAGAGCATTGTCGATGACCCCAACTCCTCCGACAGCAACAGCGGGCTGCGGTCGCGGCGTCCTTTTGGATCGGCCCAGGAAAATGGAAAGGATATTGAGAGTGATCATGAGGACGAGGGAAAATTGAAGCGCAACTTGAAGAACCGCCATCTGCAGATGATTGCCATCGGTGGGTTTATCCGTTCGCTGCTAGGGCCTGTTGCGAAACTGACCATTGAGTAGGAGGAACTATCGGAACTGGTTTGTTCATCGGTAGTGGAACAGCACTGGCAGAGGCGGGTCCAGCGGGCTCACTGATCGCATACGCCTTCGTCGGTTCCATCGTGTACTCCGTCATGTGCTCCTTGGGAGAGATGGCGACCTATATCCCCGTTCCCGGTGCCTTTACATCCTACGCCGCGCGCCTCGTCGATCCGAGTTTGGGTTTTGCCATGGGCTGGATTTACTGGTTCAACTGGGCATCAACCTACGCCGTCGAACTCACTGCCTCTGGCATGATCATCAAATACTGGGACGAGAACCTATCCGTCGCTATCTTCATTGGAGTTTTCTGGGTTGTGATCTCGGCCGTCAACTTCCTTCCCGTTGGATTTTACGGCGAATTGGAATTCTGGTTCTCCTTGACCAAGGTATTGACGGTGTTAGGATTCATGATTTTTGCTATCTGCATTGATGCCGGAGTCGGAAGACAGGGTTACCTGGGGTTCAAGTATTGGCACGAGCCAGGTGCATTCGCACCCTACCTGATCACCTCGGATCTGGCCGTTGGCAAGTTTGTCGGTTTCTGGGCGGTGCTCATCCAGGCTGGTTTCTCTTACCAGGGTACCGAGCTTGTTGGTGTCGCTGCTGGTGAGACTGAGAATCCTCAGAAGACCGTCCCGTCTGCCATCCGCAAGACATTCATTCGGATTCTTGTTTTCTTCGTCTTGACCATTTTCTTCATTGGCCTGTTGGTTCCTTATGACAACCCCAACCTGGCTAGCGGCGCCAGCAACGCTTCCGCCTCTCCTATGGTCATCGCCGCCAACCTGGCCGGTGTCAAGGTCCTTCCCAGTCTGATCAATGCCGTCCTGTTGACCGTCGTCTTGTCTGCCGCCAACTCCAACGTCTACAGTGGTAGCCGAGTCCTGCTGGGCTTGGCTCAAGAAGGCTTTGCGCCGCCATGCTTCGGCTGGGTCACGCAGCGTGGTGTGCCGTATGTCAGCGTGGCTTTCACCGCCCTCTTTGGTCTTCTGGGATTCATGAACGTGTCCAGCTCCGGAACCACTGTGTTCAACTGGCTGGTCAACATTTCCAGTGTGGCTGGTTTCATTTGCTGGACGTCCATTAACGCCAGCCACATCGCCTTTATGAAGGCAATGAGTGCCCGTGATATTTCCCGCCAGACCCTCCCCTACAAGTCCTGGGGCCAGCCCTACTTGGCGTGGTATGGACTGTTCTTCAACATCCTGATTATCTTCACTCAGGGCTTCACCGCCTGGATTCCTCACTTCAATGTCTCCGACTTCTGGGTTGCCTACGTCTGCCCGATCCTCTTCATTGTGTTGTATCTTGCGCACAAGGCCTGGTATCGCACCTCGTTTGTCCGCCCTCTCGAGGCGGACCTGGACACGGGTAGACCGCAGTTCACCCACTGGGAGACCTCGGACCCCAAGGATGGGTGGGGTCGAAGACTGTGGGACAGCATCATGGGCTAGTTCATGCGTCTTATGATGAGTAGCATTTGACAAGCACGCAGGATAACGAGCGTCTGCAGCATCGAAATTATCAGCAGGGTAATTGGCACTGTCAGATGCGTCGAGTTGTAGCAGTTTCTTGTATATATTATTGGTCGGGCAGCGTTATGCTGTATTAGCATTGGTTTTGAATTTGTACCATCGACTTTGCATTTTTAATCATTTCTATTCAGTAGTTGACTTTGTAGTAAGTAATGACGTAGGAGTGGGAGTAAGTTGCTTGTCTTACTGATCGCAGTTCGATGGTTGAGCTCAAACTACGATACGATAAGATAAAGCAGGCCGCCTGCCATCATTACCGGATTATTCATCATCGATCGTTATCTCCGAATTCCCCGAGCGAATTTCTGTCCCTCATGCGACCAAAGATGCCATTCCAATTCCTTTTTTCTCAATCCTTCAACGCTGCAGCGACTCGCTATATTTCGTTCAGCCTTGCTTGAAGACCCTGTCCCTGTCCCTGTCCGAGGATTCGGCGGATATGACGCGGTCACGACACATATTCGAGCTCGCGGCCTTGAGCTGCCGACTCCCCCGCGTCGCCCCGACGAACAGCGCAAGCGTGGCAGCAAGTGTCCGCTCATTCTCGTCGACTGCCTCACGCACCAGACACGCGCGAATCCCGCTGGACATTCCTCCGCCCTTCCCTGTGACCAAGTCATGCCCGGAGCCCGGCTGCTCGTGTCCTCCCACGCCGGAACTGCCCGCCCCCATCGACCACGAGCAAGCCCTCAATGGCACCATGGCAGCCTACGCGCAGCAGCTCCTGGTGTGCACCGGGCAAAGGGACTGGACGAGCCGGATTGAAGATGACGGGCAGGGCGAAAGCTGGGGCGCGCTGGTCCGGGGCCTGAAGGGTCTCCTCGGCCGCGGCGGCCAGTTTGCCGACGTAAGTGTGTTTCTGGCAGCAGAAAGAAACCCCTGGCGCTCCCCCATCCTTCGAGGATAGCTATACAGTAACTATGGCACTGACATTTACTGGCTTCTGGGATTCGGAAACAGCCCTACAACAACATCCTCATCACGAACTCGTCCTTCGCGCCCTCGCCACCGCCGCCCACCAATCCCTCGGGGAGGGAGAAAACTATGGCGTCCGCCTTCCTCTTCCCCAGCTTCAAATACTTCCCCTCCATTCCGACTCACCCTCCATCCACACCCACGACCCCGACCACCACCACGGAGGACGCCAACCTATCCACCTTCGTGCAAGCGCATCTCCTCCCCGAGACCTCGCGATTCGGCGGCCCTACCCGCCGCCCCGAGCTGGCGGCCGCCCTGCCTGCCGACGCCATCGACTGGGTGCACTCGCCCGTGGTGCTGATCTGCGGCCATGGCGGGCGCGACATGCGCTGCGGGGTGATGGCGGGCGCCCTGGAGGCTGAGTTCCAGTCCGTCCTGCGCGAGCACGGGTTCGCCGTGCCGAGTAGCGGCGAGGTCGGCGACCGGGAAGACGAGAACGGGGCTCCCCAGATCGACCGCCCGGACCGGGCGCATGTCGGGCTGATCAGCCATATCGGCGGCCACAAGTATGCGGGGAATGTCATCGTCTATATCCCGCCGGGGATGCGGGCTGTCGGGGAGGATTCAGTCTCGATCCCGCATCCGCTGGCAGGGAAGGGGATCTGGTATGGGCGCATTGAGCCCAAGCATGTGCGGGGGGTGGTGAAGGAGACGGTGCTGGGTGGGAGGGTGATTGCTGACCATTTCCGTGGGGGGGTGGATCGAGAGAGTGGGATTTTGCGGTTGTAGGTCAACTAGAGGGTTTTGTGTACGATAGTTTTTATACATGATACATGATACACGATACATGAGATACTCAAAGATAGAGAGAGAAAGAGTAGTTACGGGAGGGAGGAAAGAGAGGAAAAGGCGGGGTGCCGCCGGAGAATTACCGTTTTGTGGTGGTGGAGCCTGTTCTTCCCCGCCAATTTCTAGAATGAATGTACTCCAAATCTCCTCAATTGGCGAGATCCCCAAGTGTTCAACTCTCAATTAACCGAGCAGGCATGCATCCAGTTAAGACTTGATCGACCTAAGACTATTGGGGTTGTCTTGTGACTGACTGACTTTTGAGATGAATCCCCCACCCCAACCTATCGATATTTAGTCCAAAAAGAGTATGACAGTCTCCTGCACGGAACAAACCCCGCCGGGTAAATACAGCCCGTGAATAACATCCCTCAGTATCAACAGTTTAGTTCCACTCTTCACAGTCCACTCACTGGTGGTGGCAATCCAGAGGGATCTCCAGCCAACGCTGTTGATCGTGGACCGAGGGGCTCAAGCCCCTCGGCTGTCCGACGACTATTAAAGCTTTCTCGCCGCCGCTGTTCTTTCAATAGCCGTCCGTCATCCTCCCTGTCCCTCTTTCTTATTCTCCCCGCTACACATTCACACCTTGATTCCTTGTCTCTCTCACCATGGCCACCGCGACCGTTACAGCCCTCGACAAGCCCAACATTGGTGTCTACACCAATACCAAACATGACCTGTGGGTCGCCGAGTCCAAGCCCACGTTGGAGGAGGTGAAGAGCGGAGAGGGCCTGCGACCTGGGGAGGTCACCATCCAAGTCCGCAGCACCGGCATTTGCGGGTACGTCATGCCTACACTGGTGCCATCTGGAGGGCCATCCTCCCATCTAGACACGCATAACTAACCACCACCCCGCGTCCACAGATCCGACGTCCACTTCTGGCACGCTGGCTGCATCGGCCCCATGATCGTCACCGGCGACCACATCCTTGGCCACGAGTCCGCCGGCCAGGTAGTAGCGGTTGCCCCCGACGTGACCTCACTGCAACCGGGCGACCGGGTGGCGATCGAGCCGAACATCATCTGCAACGCGTGCGAGCCGTGCCTGACGGGACGCTACAACGGGTGCGAGCGGGTGCAGTTCCTCTCCACCCCCCCGGTCGACGGACTGTTGCGGCGGTACGTCAACCACCCGGCGATCTGGTGCCACAAGATCGGGCCGGAGATCAGCTACGAGGACGGGGCGCTGCTGGAGCCCCTCAGTGTGTCGCTGGCGGCAATCGAGCGCAGCGGGCTGCGCCTGGGCGATCCGTGTTTGATCACGGGCGCGGGGCCGATCGGGCTGATCACCCTGCTGAGCGCGCACGCGGCGGGGGCCACCCCCATCGTCATCACGGATATCGATGAGAGTCGGCTGCGGTTCGCGCAGTCGCTGGTGCCCGGCGTGCGGCCCTATCAGGTGCAGCTCGGGCGGTCGGCGGAGGAGACGGCGCAGGGGATCGTCCGGGTGTTCAACGACGGGGATGAGGCGCAGGCAAGCAGTCCCACGGCGCTGCGGCCGCGCATCGCGCTGGAGTGCACGGGCGTCGAGAGTAGTGTGGCCTCGGCCATCTGGAGTGTGAAGTTCGGCGGCAAGGTGTTTGTGATTGGCGTCGGCAAGAATGAGATGACCATCCCCTTCATGCGGCTGAGTACGCAGGAGATCGATCTGCAGTACCAGTACCGCTACAGCAATACCTGGCCTCGCGCCATTCGGCTGGTGAAGAATGGGGTGATCCGTCTCGATAAGCTCGTGACGCATCGCTTCACGCTCGAGGATGCGCTCAAGGCGTTCGAGACGGCCGCCAATCCGAAGACGGGCGCTATCAAGGTCCAGATTATGAGCGATGAGGAGGATGTGAAGGCCGCTTCCGCTGGTCAGAAGCGCTAGGCTTGCTTTGATTGATTGATGTACATGACTGAAGAGTGTGTTTGTGTTGGGTTTGCTAGTTTTTTAGAGATGAACCGGTGTTATACCAATGAATGGGTTGAGTTATGATTTGCAGTGAGGTTCGTTCAAACGGGGCACTCTAGCGTCGAAAAGGGGAGCTTATACTCAGAAGCAGGAATCTATCTATCCAGGGTCCGTCCTCGCATACACATTGCTAAAACGGGGTAGCATTCACTGTAGGACCAATTATGATGAAGGATTCATCTTCTGTCCCTGCAACCGTAGATCAGCAAAGGAATGAGAAGAAATCCGAAAAATAGCTCAAACGCAGAATATGCTAGCGGGCGCTTCTAGTTCTAGGTATAACCACTTCTAACCAGCAATCAAATATATGTACAATATACCTACTAACCACAACACAACGCCAGACAGACAGACACCCCATACTTACCATGGAAAGTCTCCACTGTGCTAGTATCCCTATATCTTCACCACCTGCCCGCCCCTCAACTCCCCACCCACCCTCCTCCCGCGTACAAAAACCTCCACATCCCCTCGGAAGTCTCCCACAGCCCGAACCTCCACCTTCCCATCCCCAGCCTCACGATCCCACCGCACCCCTATCCTGCCTGCCGGGGTACAAAACACTCCGTCCGCCCTCCCCACCAACGAAGGATCGGGCTCGATGCGAACACTAACCCCCTCCCGAACCCCCCCCTCCCCCGCCGCAGACAGGGAATTGACCACCACCGCCCGGACCCCAAAAACCCCCTCCACAATCTCATTCACCGGACAGGCACTCCACCCATGACAATCACTGCGCGCATTGACCTCATCCTCGGCCCAGGTGGTCAGGTTCAGCGCCATCATCTGCCGCCACGGCTGTAGCAGGGTGTGGAAGACCTCTGCGTAGAGGCCGGTCTTTTCGGCTGCGCGGAAGAGGTAGAATTTCATCGCGTAGGAGGCTTGTGCTAGTCGTGGGGATGTCGTATCCGCAAGAGAAGAGGAGGAGGAGGTGGTGGTGGTGGTGTCGGTAGCACTGGGGTTGGGGGCAAGGGCAAGACACCTCCGCAGCAAGTCCTGCGCGGCCTGCCCGGTGACGGTCTCGGTCAAGATCGCAAAGATCTGCGTGTGCTGGCTGAACTGGTCCACGCCGGGGCCATCGGTATACAACACCCCTCCCTCCTCCGGGGTGGTGGCTCTTCTGCAGTGGCGGTTGACCGCGTCGCGCAACCCAGCCGTGCGGGCGCGGTACTCGGCGGCCGTGTCGCCCCGCCGTGCAAACTCACACAGTTCCGCGGCGTGCGTCAGCGCCAGCGCATACAGGAGACTGTTGATGGTGGCAGCGCCGGTTGTGTGGTAGGCGGGGGGCATGCAGCTCGCAAAGATCTGCCCGGGCACGAACCACTCCTGCACCCAGTCCACAAAGGGCCAGGTGGTGGGCTCGAAGCGTCCCACCAGCCCCGTCCCGGTCAGGTGCTGGGCGAAGTACTCCAGGATGCCATCGATCGTGCCCAGATATCGGCGCACGACGGAGCCGTCGGCGAAGTACCGCATGTGGTCGTGGACCATGAAGACGAAGTAGAGCGAGAACTGCGGGATCTGCGTGAGCGGGAGCCCCGTCGGGTACTGCGCCACGATCAAGCCGTTGGCCGTGCGGCTGGCGTGGAATTCCTCCAGGGTCTTGCGCGCGAGCCGGTCGTCGCGCGAGAGCTGATACCCGAACAGCATCTGCAGGCGCGAGTCGGAGGCGAACTGGTTCTGCTCGTAGAAGGGGCAGTCTTCGAAGGTCTCGTGGCGGCAGTTGCGCAGCGTCCGCAGACTGATCTCCCACATGCGGGTCAGCTCGGGGTCGCCGGTGTGGAGGGTCGTCTGCGTGTCGAGCGGGTAGGAGGTCTCGCGCAGGGAGATGTGCGTGAGGGTGAGGGGGTGGTTCGGACCGGTGGTGATGGCGAGCTGCACGTAGCGGAAGCAGCGGAACCAGAAGGGCTCGAAGAGGTGGCTGTCTTGTCCGCTGGTGACGGTGTAGTAGTCCCTCGGCCCGTAGAGCCGGCCGCTGGTATCGGCGCGGTTGGATTTTGCGCGGGGCATGGGGAACGGGGCAGTCTCCACCCCGAGGTCCTTCTCGTAGCATTCGGCGTAGAGGAGGGTGATGTGCGCGCCGGCGCCGCCGCTGAAGGCCAGGCTGATGAACGCGGTCAGGAGGCTGTCCACGCTGAGGTCGACCTGGACGGTCTCGCCGGCGGGGATGACCACCGGTTGGTCGTCCGAGAGGAGAGATTGCCATTCGTCCGCCGCAATGACCCCATCAGATTTGGCCACCGAGTCGAACCGGCAGGGCGTCTCCGGGAGAGGCGGGATCGGCCGCGGGCTGAGCTGCCAGTAGCTCACGATGGGCATCATCTTCACCGAGTTGGTCTGTACCACCGCAGAGTCCCAGGCCGAGTCGTCGTACCCTCCCTCCTGCCAGCCCCGTAGCCCCGGATCCTCCTCGACACGCTCATTATTGGCCATGAACGGCGGCCCGAGCAGGAAGTTCCACTCCGCATGAGGGACGATCCTCACGGACTGTTGTTCCTGACAGCGCCACGTCACGTCGGTGAAGACGGGAATGTTCTGTCGAGCGAGCTGGTCAGCGCACGGTGATCGCCAACCCATCCCCTCCGGACGGGACCTTCGAACGCAATATGGGGGTCCACTTCACACTGTGTTCCTACCTCGACCGTTGAATAGACCATAAACCCCGGCAAGGGCGAGCTAACAATTGACGATGACCCCGCCTTGATACTCGAATAGCGCAGCACGCGCGCACTGACGACGTTCTCGCCCTCCACCAGATACGGGCGAATGTCGACAGTCTCGTAGTACCACTTCCCGGGATAGGACTTGCAGGGACCGAAGCTGACACTCTGCCCGTTCACGAAGAGACGGTATCGACTGTCGGCGGAGACGTGCACGAGGCATTCTTGATGCTCGGCAGTGGAAGACGGAGGAGTCCATGGGAATGCTTTGCGGAAGAGAAAGTACCGTCCGGGCTGGTTGTCTTCTTCCAGGTAATGTGGTACCCAGACCCAAGGAGCTGAGAGAGTCCAATTATTCGTGTCTGTCATTGCTGGGTTTGGTGTTGCTGGTCCGGTAAAAGAAAAGTCGAGATGGCTTTGGATTTAGTTAAGGAAACGCCGGGGGGATGTTCGGATAACCCGCTCGGTCGACCATTACCCCGGACCGCCAAAACATCTTTCCCCGCACTCGGCTATTCCGACGAACTCCTCCCCCACCAGGTTGGGTATAGTGTGTATTCTGTAATGGTGTATGACTCTATGTCCAGCATCGCATTCTATGTGCCAAGAACTAGTATACAGTACATCTCAAAACATTGCGCTAAATCCAACTCAACCTCCTCGTGATTCTATCCTTTTGGTATGCACCCCCCAACCGGAACCTCAGACGGACTGCCACTCATACCGCTTGAAGTCCTCGCGCACCGGCTCCCCGGTTGGGGCCTGTTCCGGGTCAGCGCGCTCGGCCTCCGACTCAAAGGTCTCCCTCGAGCTCCAGATGGTCTGCCAGACCTTTCGATCATTCATCGCGCTCGTCGACCGGAGCGGGCCAAACCGGAAACCCTGTCCGGCCTCCTCGTCGGCAGACGGCAGGCGCATGTAGTAGCGCACAATGCGCGGGATCTCCGGGTAGGAATGGCTAATCATGACCAGGGCCTGCTGGTCTGTCAGACCCCGGAAGCGGCCCGCGCCATGTTCGAGGAACTCATGACACTTCTGCCGCAGACTGGGGCTCATCCCGGAGAAGGCCTCGTCCAGGATGACAATGTCCGGCCGGTGCACCAGGGCGCGCAGGAATAGAACCAGCCGCTGAAGATCTAGAGGGAGCTCGCCGAATGTGATCTTGTCGGCCCACTCATATTCCTGCCCCAGGGGTTCATAATGTTTGTGGAAGAAGTACCCATCCCGCGGAAACAAGCTCATGAGTTCCTTGGTAATGGGCCCTTTGATACCCCTCGTCGAGCGGGGGGGTTCGATGATCCCCTTGAGTTCCGCGATGCGGTAGAGCTCGGGCCGGAAGTGGTCCAACAGAGCTTCCACATCCAGATCGAGCTCGTAGCTCAACTTCGGACGCGCCAGGAAAGTGTCAGCGAAGGCGGATTCAAGGGATTCGCGCACGGTGAGTTGACGAGGGAAGAAGGCGTGGACCTCGGGCGAGGAGTGGCCGATGCGCCGCTGAAGTTCGAAGATGGAGATCCCGGGCTTGCCAGCCTCGGGTAGTCGCGAGCGGCCGAAGAGCCGGATGGGGAGCGCATAGGTCTGAGGGTGGTCGGAGGTGATGAGCGAGAGCAGCGTCGTCTTGCCGGATCCGTTGGCGCCTAAGACAGCCCAGCGCTGGCCACGGCGCACCGTCCAGTGAAGACCCTCCTTCGATTGACCGTCCACAGACTGGGACCAATTGCCCAGGACGGCCTTGTCTCCATACTGCACTCGAACACCATCCATCTCAATCAAGGGCTCGCCGCCTCTGGGCGGATCGTGCTTGACTTGAGCTGCACCTTCGGAGGACGATCTTTTCCAGCAAGCGACGAGCTCCTGAATGAATTCCCGGCTTGCAATGGTCCTTTTTCTGCCGTGTGAAAAGTCGGTCTTAACAGTGCTCATTAGCTTCGTATAACATTCCTCCACGCCCTCCTCAAACGGTTCGTCTCCCTCATTGAGAGTCGGGCCAGGGCGGTGGCCCTTGGCGACCTTTTCAAAGAAAGGGATCAACCGGTCTACGCCCGATCGACGTCCTTTGTATAAAATCTGCTGGCAGTCGGCGAGGATAACGGTATGAGTTATCCAATCGGGCAACAGATCCTGGGGGCCAAGGGCGAGGATCAACCGGGGTTCCGACTTGTCGGCCAGGCTATTGAGCAGTCCGGACATTTTCTGTGCGGCTCGGGGATCAAGGCCCACTAGAAGCGGGTGTTATGTCAGTAACGCGCCATCAGAACAGAGGCGCAGAGGAGAACTTACTGAAAGGATCGTCGAGAAGCAACACCTCAGGCTTGCTTAGCAAAGCTTTGGCGATCCGGGTGCGGCGCATCTGGCCATTGCTCAGGTTGGCTACTGGCATGTCCAGCAGCGCCTCCAGCGACAGGTCCGAAATGACCTGCCCCAGCTGCTCTTCGTCGTGAACGGTGCCGTCTTTCTCCTCGGCCAGCGGATTCAGCGAGGTCTGGCCGCGCAGGTACTGGCGCACCGTCCAGTCTGTCTCCTCCCGCAGACTCTCATACCGGGCACTCAGATAAGCACCGCGGGTACCCCCGGTGGCTCCGGAGCCTTCCCCACTGAACCCCAGGTATCGAATAGCATGTCTCACAAACCGCGCGCGGGGGTTTTTCGCGGCGAGCTCTTCGGTGAGCAGGTAAGGGTGCGAGCGGGCGTCCGGGGGCACGCTGACATGCTGGCCGTTCAGAAATTCGAGAAACTTGGTCTTGTCCGAGAGCCCGATCACCGCCCATTTCTGAGGCTGGAAGGCATCCTCCTCCAGCGGCTTGGACGGCAGGACGAAGCTGAGAGTCCGGAAAAAAGGCTGGCTGGTATCTCCGGGGGTGGGATATTGCTCATAACAGGTCGCTCTCTCGAGGCGAATCAGCGGTGGGGCGACAGTGGATTTTAAGCGGATGCGAGGTGAGACCGGTACTGACCGGAGAGGTCTAACCCTGCAGGCCAGCCGGAGCATGACGGGACTCAGATCGCAGAAACGAGGTGAGAATGAATGAAGGTGGAAAGTCGATCCAATACTGCATGCGCGCTCACACTGCGCGCCCCTCTGCCGGCTTCGGCGGTGCCGGAGATTATCAGTAGCACGTGACCGTACGAGCGATAACTGGCTTGGCTCGTTTTGCTGCCTGAGGCCGCAATATGTTTGTGCTACTTTCACTTAATAATCGCCTGTTACGCAAAACAAGGACTGATTCACCTTTCACATTCAGGCGACCCAAAAGTATGTAAGAAGAAATGAAAAAATATCTATATACAAGAAACTTCAACCAAGAAAAGAGTATTAGCAGAAAAAAGAAAGGCATGGCCAATGCAGGCTACCGCCGTTGTTCGCCTCCCTGGACATTCTTCCAGGATCCTGCATAATGATGCGAAACGAGGTACGGACCCTGATCCTCAGGATATCCGCCCTGCAGTGCTGCATATGCCGCCTGCGGCAAAACCAGCACATCCCCGAGCAGCCGCGGCTCATGCAAGTTGGTGATGTTGGCTCGGTCCACCGTCTCGCCCAGGCTGTACGAGAGACTCCGCAGCAGGGCCACCGTGATAGCCTGCGGGCCACTCGCATCCACGACGTCGGGGATCATCTCCATCGTCACACCGGGGATCGTCACATTGTTCGAATGCGCAATTCCCTCCATCTGGCGCATCACATACCCGATCGCCCTTTCGAAGTGGTTGAGCCCCGGTTTGGCCATCAGCGTCCAGCTGGCGAACTGCCATCCGTCAAACTCCAGCCCGACTACCGCGTTGACCTGCTCCTTCCCGACAACCCTGCCGTCTGGTGTGACAAGCTCCTTGGGGATCCATTCCGCGATGGGTACCTCGCAGGTGACGTCGAGGTCGCTCCAGATGCCTCCGTCGGCGTACAGAATCAGCAGGCGAAGGAGATCGGCGCGGATGATGGGGACCTGGATCTTCTGATAGAGGTCTGCGACCTCCGGCCAGTCCTCGCGGAAGATTTCTTCAACATAGGCGAGGGCACTCTCGTCGGACAGAATCTCATGGCGGAGAGATGGGTTCAAAGTATGCCAGGATTGGATGTAGGTCTGAATATCCGGGGAGACGCCTTTGGGGCCGGACTTTTGCCAGAGTTTCAACGGGAAAGCGGTTGGGGTTGGGGTCGGGGTCGAGGTTGAGGTGGCTGCGGAAATCGGGACTGTCGTCCAGGCGGGTTGAGTGGCGGTCGTTGGCTCGGGAATCGGCGTTGGAGAGGGTGAAAGAAAGGCTTGATACTGTTGATCCTGTTGTTGTTGCTGCTGCTGTTGCTGCTGTTGGACCGGGGTTGTATTGACTGAAAAAGTACTAGTCACCACGGGCTGGTGCAGGACGCGGTGGAAGAGATAGAAGTTGAGGAGAATGAGTGTGGAGAAGACCAGGGTGACCGGCCGACTGAGCGAGAGAATCATTATGGTCGATTATATCTGTCGTGCTAGGATGTGATTATATAATGGATTTCGATGACTAGTTATTCCTTTGGTAGAGCGAGAGAGTGGTGTCATAAAAATAGATGGTAACGACTGACTTCAGTATTCATCGGCTGATAGATCGGTAGGCAAAAGAGGGAAACGAGTGGAATGGTCAAACAGAGACAAAGAAATGAGCTGAAGGGATTTAGGGGATAGGGTAGGATGAAATGGATGGATTCATCTAGAGAGAAGTGAAGCGGGAGAGAAGAGCGGCGGGCGAGAGAGAATCCTTGTCTTTTCATTCGGACATGACTGCAGATGTAGTAAGATAATAAGATTACTGGGTGCCCCCCAGGGTCTGACTGGGGCGAAGGGCCAGGCTATTATTCTTTCTCCTTTAATCTACATCTTCTTCGGTGTAATTTGGATTTCCCTCGCGCATTTCCGGATCGGGGCTGGTTAGGCAGTCTGGGGCGGATTGTGTGAACGATGAGTGGAAGAGCAGTGACAGGCTAGTCGTTCCAAGTCGGCAAGATATGCTTTGCGCAGATGGGCCTGTCTTACCTGTGGTGGTGCTGAAGCACCGTATAGGTAGGGTGGGATTTCTGGATTTCTCACCCCGAGTGGATCCGCATGGGTCTGGGAGAAATTGCTTCGATCCGATGGGCTCTTGTGGTTCCGTCCCGTTCCAGTGAACCTTCCTTTTGCATCTTGTCAAGCCAGATGTGAAAAAGGAGCATTGACGAGATAATCAGGGTCTGGCGCGATGCAAGTCACAGCGGGGAGAATAGAAGGGGGAGAGGGGGGGGTCGTCTGTCTGTCTGTCCCCAGTTTCATCTCTGACATGCTAAGCATTGATGGATGGAGCATGACGGGGTCGGACCATTTGTGATTCCCACGCCATTTTAGTGGCGCTAAAAGGGAAAAGGGTCTGCGCCGAATCTGAATGCTGTGGCCATTTTGGATTGGATTGGTGGGTCCGCTTTCGGCTCACGGCGGCTTCCCTGGGTTCAGCGAATGCGACCTCGTATTTGGGATTGAGCCTGATTCCCACTGTACGTTTAATTCTCGTGGACATCACTATGGCTTAGCCAGTCTTACTCACGCTGGAGCCCACGTCTTGTCGTCACTGGTCTCGACTGGCCCAGCCCTTGCTGAGCGGCAGCAAATGACCCGCTATTTTTAGTCACCGGCAAGCCGAAGCTAGACAGAATTCTGCCACTACACGATACATCTTCCGAGGTTGGCACTTGGCAATTGCAGCCTACAAGACAATCAATACATGTTTTAGAAGGGGAAAATCATGCTAAATGAGCACCAAATATGGTGACTCTTGACTCGCGACGCGAATACTCCGCAGTCCCAATGCAAACAATCCAAATCGATTGAAGATCCCGATCGCGCCTGAAAATGACCAAACAAGACGAGCGTCGACTATTCACAATGGCCAGAACAGTATTAGAAGTCAAATAAGGCTAGAAAAACATTGGACACAGCGCTTGGGGCTGAAAATGGTATGGGTGTCGCAGCGTCTCCGCGCCGCCCCATAATTCGGCCCGCGCTGACGAGTAATTGGGGTCTTTTAATGGTGGGATTGGCGAGGGATGCCAAAGGCTGTTCTGAATCGCAACTAGATACGGCGTGGACACGCTTGCTAGCCTAGTAATTGTGGCCGTGATAGGTGGAGGCCCGGTGATGGTACATACTCCCAGCATATTCCGAGTCGGCATCGGCATAGATCGTCTGCCGGCGATCCTCTTCGGGGAGGAGTTCCTTGACCTCCCAGGTGTTTGGCTTGATTCCAACCGAGAATTCAAGATCCTCCTTGGTGATATAATCCCAGAACTATACATCCGTCCATAAGCAATGTGACCCGACAATCGACAAACAGCACGTGCTTACCTTGTACACCATCATGACCGCTAACAGATTGCAAAGGGTTGCAAAGAAGAGTCCATCCATATAGTGTTGCACATTGTCACAGATCGTGTCGCTGAAGGCATATAGAAGTACTTGACCACAAATGAACATCACCAGGCCAAAGGCGATGTGGCCCAGTGGCCAGCGATCTTCGAGGGTGTTGAGAACGAGGAGCAACTGCATAACCAGATAAATCACAATGAAAATGGCGTTCACAAGGTACAGCACGACAAACATGCCGATGGTGTTAGTAGGGCCGAGGCTCCCCCACGACTTAAAGGTAGCGAGAGACACGAGGAAGGAGACGACAAACATAGCTGCCGAGCTGAGTCGCACAAGCCAGATGGAAAGAGTGGTGCCATCCTCGTAGAGCTGAAAGCCCACGAAGCCGTTGATGAGCAATGAGGTGCAGAGTGCCGAGGCCAACCCGTTTTGCACAGCAGTAAAGTAGGGGAACGAGCTACTTCCCGGGGGTGTCACGCCCGCATCGAGAATCAACGAGCACATGGTCAGGAGCAAGTAGATGTAGAAAAATGTCAGGATTTCCTTGCGGCCTGTCATGCCATCATGGCCCTGGGATTAGTGAGTCCGCCGTGTAACCGAGGGAAACACCCAATCACTTACCAACAGCAGTGAACTTCGATCGAATATGTAAGATCATAATCACCGTCATCCCGAGGGCAATGATATGGATGAACGAAGCGGCGCCCTCGAAGATGATCGTGTTCGCCAATTCGATGTTGCGTGCATAGCAGGTGGGGATGATACCAGTTAAGCCAGAGATCGATGACGGAGGGCCCACCAAGGAGCACAGAGGCAATGGTGCCTTTTCGCAGATTGAATCAAAGTCCCCGAATCCCATTTTGTCTGCAAACTCTCCCCTTCAACAAGAAGCAACGAAAGTAATGTCACTGGGCGATCGCCTGGTCAGACGGGTGTTCCTTGTGAGGTAAATAAGATGGGCGGACCTCCGACCCGGTCTCCACAACAACAGGCGACAAAGAGATGATGACCTTCTACTGCTCCTGCTACCGGGCAGCGATTAAGTGATACCACACTGGTGTCAAAGAATCCAGAGCGAGTGAGGTGGATCGCGAAGATCCTTTTCGAGGATAGACGAACGCACGCACGAGGGAGGGGTTCAGGGTCAGTGGAAAGAGAGCGCTCGCCCACCGTCTGGATGGCGCATCACGGGGTGGGAAAAGGGTGCGCTGCTATTTTGGGAATAGCGGGGGAGATGACCACGTGATTGCGGAGGTAAACCGCTCTGACTGCCTGAGGCATCAACTTCCCTTCCGCATATCTGCTTCAATGTATATCCTTTCCATTACACAATTCCAATGCAAGACGAGGGCAATCTCCTCTCCAGTCTCATTCTAGTCTCTGTTAACAGGCTAGTATGTTATTATGCCGCTTAAACAAAGGACGAAAAATGAAAGGAGTCAGGCTCACTGGACTAAGCCTGACTATGCCTTTTGTTGTATCCGTGAAAGAACAGCCACAATAATGTTATTGTGGCCTACACCCAAGGCCCATGTACCTCCAACGACCAACTCTCTCTCTGGGCATGGAAGGTCCCGCAAGACCATGGCAGGTGGAAGATCGTCTGCGGAGATCTGCCTCCATGTGCGCTTCACGAACGAAGCTCAGTTTTAAGCAGTATAATATATCCTCCCGCATACTCCGACAGCCATGGACAAAGGGCAGCATCATATAAGTTACACTCGCTCGCCTTCAAGACGACTCGAACCCAATATTTGGTGATTTTCTATTTAAAGCAAGTACGATCAGATCAGTTCAAGTTTCTTCAGACGAACAAATTTCAGTTTACTCATTTCAAAGCCCCCCGAAGTCTGCGACTCGTGTGACACAAGCATATATCAAAGAATCTACCCTCCCCACGAAGGCCTATAATCAATTGATCAGACAAATATAAAAACATATCTCAAAATGTCGAACCGTCTGTCGTTACACGACCTTAAGGAGGACAAGAAGATCCTCGATCAACTCAACAACAAGGAGCAGTCGCCTGAAGTCACGCCCGAAATGTTCTTCAATACTCCCGAAGATAAGATGCAGCTGAGCGAAAACGAGCTGAGGGTGCTTGAACTTGATGCGGAGAACGCAAGTCTTAAATCCCAGCTGCTCGAGTTGAATAAGGCCCTAACCGACACGGAAAGGAACCTCCATAGCCATGAACGGCAGCTGCACCAGGCCAGGAAGGATCTCAGTGAGAGTAAGAAAAGAGGCAAAAGACACCAGCGCAACCTCAAAAGTGCGGAGAGGGAGGTCTCACAACTGAGAGGGAGATCTGCCAAGCAGGAAGCGCTGGTCCACGAGGCCCGCGAGATATGTCGCGAGTTCAGCCAGGATCCACAGCACCGCGAAATGACCATGGCACAGTTGCAAGCACAGGCCCTTGAATCCAGCCAAAGCGTAGAATACTTCAAGCGCCAGATCCACAGAGACATCAATACCGACAGCTATTCCACGGATGACGAGAGTTTGGAAGGATTAAAGGAGTCCCTGAAGGAAGAAAACTCGTATCTGAAAGAAAAGCTCCGCCGAGCGGTGCGGATGGCGACTGATCAGGACCAACAGATAGAACGAACCATGAAGTTCATGGCCGAGCAGGGACTCGCTAAAGACACGAAGAAGTCGCACAAAAAACACAATAAGAAGAACAATAACCTAGGAGACGAAGAAATGGTTGACATCTCAGACCCGAAGAGTCAGAGTAAAGCTCTGCAGGGATTCAGCCAAAAGCTGGCGGCCTTCACGGCCTACGCGAATTCAATCCCAGAATTCGACTCGGACATAAGAATGCACGAAGACCCAGTCTTCCAGACTGGCCCCTCGAATAAATGGTGGAAGGGGGGGATTCCTGACCACAGGACCAAGAAAATGAACGCAACGCCGCCGCATGGTTGGCACAACAGACATCTTGATTTTCGTGAGAAAAGGCCAGAGGAGGAGGACGTCAACGAGTGGCTTGATGGGGCCGGGGAACTGAAGGTCAAGGAGGTTTGCCTCCCACCGCCGACTCCCACTGAGCCCCAGTGCCAGCTAAGATCTCGCAAACGGGGCTTCGCTGCCCTGGGCCTGGACGATGTGGCCATGGTAACAGACGCCGTGGCCGAGGTGAAGGACAACTTCAAACGGCTGCGTTTGGCCGACATTGGTAGCACCCACACCTGGCCGTCTGAAAAGCCGGACAGCGGGTTCATGACACTTGCGAAGATGCTGGACGACATGGACGTCTCGCGGCGCTATCTCGAGGAGGTGACTCCGGAGACGGCGCTGGAGCACTTCCTGCTCATCATCCAGGACGCGATGAAGGCCAAGATGAATCGAACGCCATCGATCGAGGAGCTCCTCCAGCAAGTGGTCTTGTACTTGCAGGAGTCCTCCAAGGAGGCTCAGGCCTCCCAGCAAGCCCAGCAAGCCGAGGCCATGTCAGCGCAACCGCGCCCGCCACCCCTGGTCCCCAAGGCGCGCATTATCTCAATCCAGCCGCCCGCCGAGCAGGCCTCGGCGGCCCCGGCCCGGTTCCTGTCGCGCGAGAAGACGCGCTACGTCGGCCCCAGCTACCTCCCGCCCAAACACAAGCCCACCCCGCTGCGCTACAGCTTCCCCCCGACCGCCAAGGAGTGGACCAACCTCTCCGCGAACATAGACTTCAAGACGGAGCTCGACGTCCAGAACCCCAAGCTCACGGAACCCCAGGAGTACACCCTCCACCCCACAGAGCCCCCGCGCGACTTCCGGAAGTTCGGCGGCGCCCTCGACTTCAAGCCGCCCAGTCGCTCCGGTACGTTCACCTACACCTACGTCAGCGTCTTCGCGGCTGTCTGCGCTTTAACCTACATCTGCGCGAGCCGGTTGCTCAGCGGCACTCTGGGTCCCGGTGAGAGCTCGCTCTGGATCCACTCCAACGAGGTGCCCCTGGAGCTCTTACGCCTCATGCGCAGCAGCCAGATCCCGCACGACAGTTACATGCAGCTCGTGCAGTATGGGGCGGCGAAGCTGGCGGATATTAATCCAGGGATGTTGGGCTGAGATAAACAAGGTAAGTAACTAACAAAATCAGCAAGAGTAAGTATCGGGCAAGAGTAGCGGCATGGGGTTTGGTCAGTGTGGGTTGGACCTTGGAAAAACGGTTGATCCTGGGTTTCAATAGAGGAACCACGTAAAGAGGCGTAGCCCATGAGTCTGTGAGACTCCACCCATGGCTAACGGTGAATGTGTCGTAGTGCACCCGACCATCACAAATACCGTAGTGTATATCAGGACCACTGGCCGCTCAGCACGCAGGATGAAAAGTATCCACCATGTGCGACACCTGAGTACCCATTACAAGGACACCACAAGGGCACCCACAAGGGCCTCAGCTCACGCCCCTTATATATACACAATCAGTCTTTGAGACAAGCATCCCAGTAAACGGAGGCAAGGAAAACATCAAGCATTAATCAGTAATATCTTTATTCTCCTAATCTTGAAGAAGCTAAACTTTTCGAATCATCTCCTAACGCGTCTATTCATACATTTACTCATTAACCACATGTGTAAAATTACCATCGTCATGTTTTCATCCCCCAGAGTCAACAAACATTAAGCAATTGTGACTATCATCTCTTCGCATACTCCGGCTTCAACGTCCACTTGCCGCGTCGGCTCCGGCCGCCCTTCTCCAACACCGCAATGGTGTTGAGCATCTCCTTGAACTCCGCCGTCTTCTGCGGCGTCGTGCAGTGATGATTAAACTGGTCGATGAGCATCTGCGTGTATACGGAGCCGCCATGCGCGGTGATGAAATCCCGGAGGAGGGTGATGAAGTCGATGCCACTGGGCGCACGCGAGGGGGCAGGACTATTCGTGTTGCTCCGCGAGGAGGGGGAGGGCCGCTGCGCAGCAGAGGAAGAAGCAGCCAGGTTAGCGAGAATGCTGGCGGAGGAAGGGCCTGCGCCGGCGCGGCGGGCACTGCTGCCGCCTCGCGCGAAGAGGGAGGCCGATGCTGTGGCTGCTGACGGGGCTGGCGGATCATCTGACGGTCGGCCGGCCACACCGAACTGGCCGGTCCAGGTGGGCGTGCCGATGGGAACGGAGCGGGCGGCTTCGCCGGCGCGGCGGAGCTCCTCGGCGGCTTCGGCGGCGACGCGCTTGGCTTCCGCCTCGATGATCTTGGGGTCCGCCCGGACGACGCGTTTGCCGTTGAGAATCTGGTCGTGTTCCAGCGCGGAGTGCACGCCGGAGCGCGCGAAGATCTTCTCCATGATGCGGGCTTCTTGGTGGGCTGAGCCCGGGTTGCTGCCGGGGGTTGGTTCGGATTGGGGGTTTGGGTGTTGTTGTTGTTGTTGTTGCTCCTGTTCGCCTTGATACTCTTCAATGGAGGCAACACCCGCCGCTTTGCGAATGTCTCGCTTTTCGTCTTCGACGTCGGCGGGGGCTGTGGGTTGGCTCTCTCCGTTCTTGAAGGTCGTGGCGGCGGTGTCTTTGAAGATCTTGCTGGTTTCGGTGGCGCCTTGGTTGTCTTCGCCGAGGGAGAAGAGATCGTGGAGGTCGCTCATCTGGAAGGTCTGTCGCTGGTTCGGGTCCTTCAGGATCTTGTTGGTGAGGAATTGTTTGAAGATCTGGCGGTGATAGATCTTCTCCTCGATCGTGCCCGCTGTCATCAGTCGATATATCGTGACGTCCCTCTTTTGTCCAAGACGCCACGCGCGCTCGCGTGCTTGCATGTCAGTAGAAGGGTTCCAGTCTGGGTCGTAGATGATGACACGATCTGCTCCGGTCAGATTCACGCCCAATCCGCCAACCTTGGTCGTAAGCAGGAACACGTGGAGGTCGGGGTCGTTGTTGAATTCGTCGACCATCGTCTGCCGATGCTGAATCGGAGTGGTGCCATCCATTCGGCGGTAGTTGAACCCGGACATCGAGCGCACGAACTTTTCCAAAATATCTAGCATAATGCGATGTTGGCAGAAAAGCAGAGTCTTATGCCCAGTATCCTTCCATAGCTCTAATAGTGATTTGACCACCTGCATCTTGCCGGATTTGCTACCGCTACCGTATTCCTTCGCCGAGGACTGGATTTTATGATTTGGGAGGTCGGGATGGTTGCAGATCTTACGCAAGATGTCGACACCGTACAGGACTTGTCGGCGTTTGTTGAGGATGGCTTGCATCTCGGATGATGCGAGGAATGCCTCGTACGCCTCTCGCTGGATCTTGGTCAATTTGCAGAAGAGAACCTGCTCACTCTTTTTGGGGAGGTCGGATGCCACATCGATCTTGAAGCGCTGCAGAAGGTAGGGGCTGATCGCGTCTTTCAGTGTCTCGGCACACTTGACGGCCGTCTGAACCTGGAGGTTCGAGGCATTCGCGTAGCCACCTTGGCGGATGGGGAACTCGAATTGATTTCGAAAGTTGACCAGAGTCCCCAGTCGCATGGGGAAGACAAAGTCGAATAATGACCACAGTTCTGTGAGATTATTCTGCATGGGGGTTCCTGAGAGAATGATGCGGTGAGGAGTCCGAAGCTCTTTGCAGTGAATTGTGATTGAGGTATTCGGATTGCGGATTTTGTGGCCCTCGTCCAGAACAGCGCAACCCCACTCGATTGGGATCACAAGGGAGGCGTAAGTTTGGAGGCCGGAGTAAGTCGTCACCAGCACATGGCCTTCTTCAACGACGCGCTTGACAACCTTGCGCGCCGCTTTCAACCCGTTAGGCATACGGCGAGAAGTAGCTGCATTCCAGGCCTGGGACAGCAATGCGTCCTCTCTGCTGCTTTCACTTCGGAGATTCACCATGCCACTGCCAGAGGTGTGCAAGATGGAAACACGAAGAGGCGGCCACCAACGGTGAAATTCATTGACCCATTGTTTCATGACCGTTGCCGGGCACACAATAACCACGGGCTGTGTGAGCTTCTTGCTATAGTGCAGACCCGCGATGAATGCGATGACTTGGATCGTCTTGCCCAAGCCCATCTCGTCACCGATGATACCACCCACTTGTTGCTGCTGCAACTCCCATAGCCACTGAACTCCAGTCTTTTGGTAGTCGAACAACAAGGCATGGATATCGCCGGGAAGACGATATCCATTGTCATAATGCATATCGGGAACGGTCGGGTGAGGATTGAACCACTCGTCCTGTTCATGATCTTCTTCAACTGGAATCTCATTCATTACAGAATCACCACCTTCTTCTGTATGCTGAGCCTTACGCGCACGCTGTCTTGCAGCGCTCCTGCGACTGACCCATGATTGCAGTCTACTTTGATAGACCGTCTCTTTACCATCGTCCAGGCCGGTGAAATCTTCCATTTCGTCCGCAGAAGTTTTATTCTTCTCCTGCCGGGACGCTGCTCGCTCTGACAGCTCATCAGAACATGAATAGCTCTCCTCGAGCTCGGGCTGTGATTCTTCATCTTCTGACGCCACGTAATTCGAGTCATCATCGCCTTTCTCCGACTGACTTTCATCAGGCGCTTCTGAGCTGTCGCCCCACGCCTCCTGCTTTTGGCGATCACTTTTCGGAGGCCGCGCATGCGTCACCTTTCGACGCTTCGCACTCCGAGTATCAGCAGACAGATCCGTACTGTCCGGACCACTGGACACATCGAAATCAAACCCCGGACGCACGAGGTTCCGGTGGGAGACTGCCGATTGCACTTTGAAGCGCTCCAAAGCCTCAGCTTCATTATGCTCATCTTCAGCGTCGATGAGCGCATCCTGCAAGCTAGCAAGAGGGCCATGGTCCGGACCATGGCTCATGTTCATGAAGGGGGTGATCTTGCCCGTGCGAATCAGGTAGTCCCGACGCGACTCGTTCGGCAGGCGTCCGATCCGGGAGGTCTCGCCGTCGCCCTCTTGCGCTCGGGTTCTATCAACCATCCGCTGCTGAATGTCCACGAGGTCATTGGCCAAGGCGGTGTTACGCGACTCGAGGTTTTGGAGTTCATTCTGCGCGCGGACCCTGGCGGCGGTCCCAACGGGCTGGGACAGACGCTGATGCAGTTTCAAGATTTGCGACTCCACCTTCCTGTGCAAAACATGTGTGAGTGCGGTTCTAGGAGCCTAGCGCGGAGAAGATACCAGGAGTCACGTACTGTTTCTCGCGCTGAGTCCGCTCCAGCCTCTTGGTGTCCCGCTCGTCGGCCTGTTCCAGGAGCAGCTTGTCTGCCTGCGCGCGTGATCAGCAAAAGTTCGAGCGGTAAGAGCATGTAGGGTGAGGCGGGCTGCATACCTGGCGGGCGATATCTCTCTCTAGATCATCTTGGTCACGGATATCGGCCTGCAGGTCCTTCAATCGGCTAGCCTCGTTGGTCGCCACTGAAGGCTTGGAGACTTGTGCAGGTAATGCATCTGGTTCGGACAATTCCGTGAATTCTTGTTTAACGGATTCTCCGCCCTCATGACCTTCTTCCGTCTCTTGTTTCATACTTGTGTCGTCATCCATGGTTGGGTGCGGTGTTGCGGCGTTTGGTCATATCCCTCGAGACCTGGTATTTGGTGCTTTCCTCTGGGCTTACGAGATATGCTGAGAGAAGCAGAGTCTATCACCTTGCAGTAGTCTTTGAAGCACAGACCATTCATCTGAGCTGGGATATTGGTGGAACAGGAGGTGAGTTGCTGTAAAGCAAGACTCACTGGGCGATGACCTAGGCGGTGATCATACATGCCTGAGATCTCAGGCTGTGAGCGGGAGTTGAAGCTTGGATCAGGTCACGTGGTGGTGTCTGTGCTGTACGTCATTCTCTCTCTACAAGCTGTGCAGACACATCCAAGTCATTGCAACGATCACATAGTGCTATCGGCAAATTGCCAACCTGCAGCATCACTATATACACAGGAATTGTAGATCGATGTATGGCCTACTGGCTGTGGTGTAATTGTACTCGTCTACAGTGGCTATTCCGACAACTCCTCTCCGTACTGTACCGAGTATTAGGGAAAAGCACCATGTTCTCGCGCCGAATTAAACTTGTTCTTGTGACACCTCTCACCTCAGCCCCTGAGGTGCAGATGATCGGAGCCAGTCTTGATTCGAGACGGTGAATGCTTATTATCGGACTCAGTGAGCTGACGATCACATAGTGGGGACAAGTTGCACTGTCAGACTCTATCGGACGGGGACTACTTATCCACTGCTGTGCCTAATCCTATACAGTATAGTCCATTCATCTCGACCCACGATCCACACCAACTCACCTGCGATAAACACTACCCTCTACTTACCTCCGGCAAGCAAGCAAGCAAGCATCCTCTACAATGACGGCAGCCCTAGTAGTTGTCGACATGCAGGAGGACTTTTGTCCTCCCGTACGTTCCCCTCCCCCTTCCCTTTCCCCCAAGCACCACGAACGATCACCCCCCACCACCCCCTCAACACCAACACCAACACCTACCTAACCTACAGTTGCATCTACTAACCACCCATCCCTACAAACAGAACGGCTCCCTCGCCGTAACCGGCGCCCGCGACCTCGCCCCCACTATCAACGCCCTCCTCGCACACCCCGGCTTCACCTTCCGCGTCTCCTCGCAAGACTACCACCCGCGCACGCACATCTCCTTCGCCAGCAACCACCCCGCCCCCAACAATCAGCCCTTCAGTAGCACCATCACGCTCACCAACCCCGCGCCGGGCAAACACGGCGAAACCAAACCCCAACGCCTCTGGCCCGTGCACTGCGTGGCCGACACGCCCGGGGCGGCGCTGATCCCGGAACTCGACGCGTCGCGGATCGATCTCTTCGTCAAGAAAGGCATGGATGAGCGCGTCGAGATGTACTCGGTGTTTGCGGACGCGTTCGGCAACCGCCCCGACCCCGCGCTGCACGCCCGTTCGGTGGACTACGATCTCGAGGGCGAGCTGCGGGCGCGGGGCGTCACCAAGGTGTTTGCCGTGGGTGTGGCGGGGGATTACTGTGTTAAGTGCACGGCGGTGGATGCGGCGAGGGCGGGGTTTGAAAGCTTTTTGGTGGAGGATGCGACGAGGTGTGTTGATCCGGGCGAGGGGTGGGAGGAGGCGAAGAGGGAGTTGAGGCAGGCGGGGGTTCGGATAGTGAAGTCGGATGGGCCGGAGGTGAGAGGGTTGATGGAGGGGGTTTAGGTGGTTAGAAGGGGGGAAAGGGACATTGAAGTATATATGCTTGAGGAGGAGCAGAAATGGGTGGCACTGGCAGTGGTGGATGGGACTGGGCTGGCGCTAGAATATGCCTGGAATGCTTGGGATTGTCTTGCCAAGTACTCGTTACCGGTTGTTTTTGTGGGGAATCCTCACTTGGCATCATGTCTATCACTCCAAAGATTGCTTACTGTATATACAACAGGTGTTTATGAAAGACTACGAGAGAAGAGTGTGTGGTGTGTTCTCTGATTGATCCTGATGATGTAGTTGAAGCACGGTGCAGCACTGTATCATCCTCACTGCGCATCACAGTAACTAATGCCTGCTGGTGACAGCTGGACTCCGGATGCGGGCGACGATCTCCACAGGGAGTTGTCGGACCCAGAAAGATAACCTCTTCACCGCAGGTTCAGCCACATACTGTGGAGACAGACATGTCGAATTGGCACATCCTACGCCGAATAGTAGACTTGTGAGAGTCAGCCACCGCCACCACACCAACCACAAAGAAAAGACGACAATTGCCTACTGCATCCTCAGTACGCATCCATAATACCGACGCCTCCACCAGGAATGGCCAGCGGGGCAAAGCCTTAGTTCAAAGCCTCACCTGCGTTGCGTGCAGTGTGTGGTTTCGCTCCCCTTTCCCCATACAGTAGCATTTTTTCATACTTCATGCTTCCAATGATCGCCCATTGTCGCCACAATGCGGACCCGCCGCAATCCCTAATCCCCATGAAGGCCATAACTTACCAACAGTGCCAGATGATTAAGGTTGACAAGTGGAAAGCTACGGGGGTTGACTGATTCCTACCACTGACTTCCCTCCACCTCCCACTCACCTGTTCAACCCGTACTCAGTAGCTTCTGTTTCTCGTTTTTGTTTTCTCGCTGTGTTACTCTCCTCGTATATTCGTCCCTAGACCTGCGCCCAGAAATAACCCCCCCCCCAGCAATAAACAAGACCTTGGCAGATGGAAACCATGTCCCCCACGGTCGCAAGGTCGACCACCACCCTCCCTCCCAGACAGAGCGACCACTTCCTGGGACTGGGATTGGGGTTCAAAGGACCTCTCACAACCGTGACTGACGCCGAAACCATCCCCCCGACCAAGCAGACCGACAGGAAACTCCCCTACTGGCTCGTCAACGTGCCCCCCTCGCACTGGCCCGCCTCCTGCCCCAGTTACCTCCGCGACATCTCGCAAAAGAACAAGGACATCCTGTCCACCCCGGACCACACATATCAGAGACAAGGGTGGGACCTCGTCCAAGAGCTCGTCCGTATGTCCCTCCCCCCGTCGCCCCCCCCTGCGCAGCCAAACCCAAACCGTTCACTAACACACACCCATCACTGTACATCGGCAGACACGAACCGCATCGACCGCTTCCAACGCCTTCCCAGCGACCTCCGTCGGTATCTCGAGTACAAAGAGCGAATCATCGCGGAGTATGGCTCGATCATGCGGTTTGTCGTGAAGGAGCGCTTGCAATGGGGGGAAGGGGTGCAGAGTGATTTGCAGGCGAGGGGGAGGCCGTTTGAGTTTGATGGTGTGTCTGAGCTTCATTTACCCCCCTTCCCTTCCTTTCTCCCAGTAAATCAATCAAACGAAAAGGGATCACTCATCAAGGAAACAAAAAAAAAAACCAGACGACATCCGCATCCTCTACAATGACTGGCCCTACGGCCTCGAACCAGACATTGTGCACCTCGTCGTGTGGACCAAGTTCCCGCTCGAGGAGGACCCTGTTGTGGATGATTTGACGCCGCGTGCACGCCGGGAGGTGGAGGCGTTTGTGAGGAGGACGTTTTGCGGGAGGGTGCCGGCGGAGCAGGTATGTCACCTCTTTTTTTTTTTTTTTTTTTTTTTTTTTTTTTTTTTTTTTTTTTTTTTTTTTTTTTTTTTTTTTTTTTTTTTTTTTTTTTTTATGAGGAGGCTAGTGGGATAAGTTGAGGTTTGCTGATTGGGTTTTTGGGGGGTTTCTTTGCTCCGAGCAGGTGGTCTGGTTTCGAAATTGGAGGTCGCTCAAGTCGGTTCATGCTGTTGAGCATTTCCATGTCATGCTGTTTCGGCCCGATGGGGCGTTTGTGGAGGAAATTACCCGCGGGGATCGCCCGCCTCACGTGGTGGGGTAAGGGCCCGTTGACGACAAACTTGACTTGTGCTTACTTAGCGAGGGGTTTGGGACATAGACCGGGAATATGCGCATAGAAGGACGGATTTCACAGGGTAGTAGAATTAGAGGTTGAGCATCTGAGAGAGGAGTTTAGTGTTGGCCGATCTAGGATGATATTTGACCGTAGAACGCAGGCGTTTAGTTCATTAAAATGAGAAGTTCAAACTAATCACTGCACTGCCTATTATCGGTGACAGTATAGTATCGTATCTTCCAAGAGATAAAGCTACTACTCTTGTGAGTCAGTGCTAGTACTGTCTTCGCTAGCTAGAACTGTTTGGATTAACTGAATTTTGAATTACTAAAGTATATACCGCAAACCTATCTGTTCGTTTGCCCAAATGGGTTCCCCAAACCCGAATAGTATGCAAGTTCAAATTGACTCTACAAGCCTGAGACCACCGTCTACACAATCCCGACAAGATGAAGGCGCCGAAGTAAGAACAGTCAAGCTGAACCAGAGGGGGAAAGAATCCGCCCAAAGCCGGGCTAGCTGCTGATTGGAAAGCCAGACAGCGCTACCACCCGAAGATATCGCCAACGCTGAGGATGCTCCACCGCACACCAGCCACCGAGAACAAGATGAGAACGAGATCGACCACGCCCAGGACAGCCGCTCCCAGCATGAAGCGGGGACTGAAAATCCGGTACAGCATAAGGTGCCGGCGCAGATGGCCGGCCCACATCGTGGTGGCCAGATTGATCGTCGCAAAGTACAGGATATAGGTGCTCGTGGCCTGAATCGCGTCCGACAGAACACGGATCGCCGGGTTGCTGGCCTTGCTGGTGGAGGTGGCCTCCTCGCTGAGCTGCAAGGGCCGCTTCCAGAGGACGGTCAGGGGCACCGCGATGGCCGTCAGGATCTGAGGCCCGAAGGTGTTGAGGACGACGAAGATCGGGGACCAGGGGTACTGCACCGAAGACAGCGGGATGAAGGCGGATTCCCATTGGATGCTGCTCAACGTGGCCTGGTGGCCCGTCTTGAAATAGTAGAAGGAGCCCAGAACGCCCAGCACGATCGGCCCGATCGACGAGTTGCTGCTCACCAGGGCATTGGTGTCGAGGATCTCGAGGAGAGACAGAATCTGCCAGAGCAAGAGTCCCATCGCGCCCTGGCCCATGGGCTTCTGCATGAGGATGATGCCCAGGCAGAAGTTGACGACAAGGAGGAAGTACCGCGTGCCGTAGACGTTGCCGAAGCCCAGAATCGTGACTGTCGTTCGGCCCGCTGACGAGGAAGGGGATGGCTTGCCCTTTGCATCGGGCTCGTTATTGCCGCCCTGGCTCACGTCGATGCTGATGCACGGCTTCGAGTAGATAAACGCCGTCGTGCCAGCAATGAAAGCCAGCGCGAGGACGAGCTGGGCAAGGAACACCCGACTCGACTTCAACGTTTCCTTGCTCAAGGGCAGCCATTCGCCATCGTCGGCACTGTCAAGCATCCAAAAGACAGCGACCAAAAATAGCCCCAGTCGAAATGCGGACCCTATCCACAGAGGAGCAGCGCCCTCATAGGATTTCGAGCCTGCGTAGAAAGACTTCACGACGGTAGGGAGAACAAGTGCCAGAATCAAGGGAATGATGAGTTGCCAAGGGGCGGAAGTCGAGGATGTCGCCGAAGCATAGTATGTGGACCGGCAAAAGGGCATCTGCTCTTCGCGACACAGGCGCGACATAGACGCCACTCTACCCAAGATGACAAACAGAATCGAGTGGTAAACGCCCAAGACCCGGTCGGCGGTCAGTTTCTGACGCATCGAAGAAATGCCAGCCAGAACACCGAAAGTTGAGATGAAGAATAGCAGGATTTCATCTTCCCAGATGGTGTAGGAGTTGGAGGCGAAGCCCACAGACTGTGCGACGGTGAAGAGCACAGCCAGCCAACCCCATAATGTCTTGGGTAGAGGCACGGTCAGCTGCCTGGGCTGGGAGAATAATGACCATGAGGCGCTCAGAATGCCTCCGGTGGCCGCCAGCAAGACGGATTTCTCGACCAGCGGACCGGCTACCACTCCGAGAAGCACCGGCAACGCGCCAGCAATAGCACCCAAGCCGGTGCCTGCTGCAATGGCAGTAAGCAGAATGGTGTTTAGCTCTGTCTGCTGGGTCCTGATGCCACGTGCATAGAACACCAGCAAGACGATGGCGGAAAACAAAATGGCGATTCCCTGGGCCATGCTCCACTCGTCAAATTTAGCCCATAGGCTGCGACAGACCTGGAGGGTATTCCGCTGGTATTGTCGATACGAGTCATAGACCGGACGCAGGGTGGCAGGATTGGAACTGCCGACCCATGGGATATTCTGCCAGTCATTTTCTGCTGCCTCCCACAACTCGATCGACTGAAGGCCATTTCCTTCCTCCGCTCCGCGTACTGTTGCGTACTCCTGCTGGTAACGTTTGATCTGAGCCGAAGCCAGACGGTTGACCGTCACTAGGTTCTTCCAATCCTTGCCAGTGGAGCCAACAAATGCTTCCTCGATGGGGGAACCGAGATTGTTGAAAGGAATCGGTATGCCGAGAAGAAGAGACAGTGTAGGCACAAGGTCCACTTGTGGAATAGACCGGTCGCTGGCCGTGGCAGGCGGCTTCCTACTGTCTTCGCTGGTACGGCCAAAGACGCCCTTCTTAGAATACATCCACAAAGCAGCGTTCACCTCATCATCCGACTCGCCGCCGTGGTCGCCCTTGGAATCCATGCCGTGGTCTCCCATGACTACCAGAAGCGTCTTGTCGTCCAGTTTTGCGATCACATCGCGGATCAGCCTGTCCATCTGTTGAAGCTTCGCGGCCATTGCGGGGTGATTGGGTCCATAGCGGTGGCCCGCATGGTCGACTCCAAGGTAGTGCCCGAATACGACGTCCCATTTCGTAGCATTTGCCGGATGCAGAAGAGGTAGAAGATGCTCCGTCACCCCATTGTCCACAGTGTGCAGATCCCACACATTGAACGAATCATAGGGACGTGTCATATTCACATCGAAGTAGTCAGGAAAAAGTGACTGCCATGTATTGTCACCCAAATGCACCAGAGTCTTCCCGGCGGCGCGCAGCTGAGCGACAACATTATCTTCATCAATGGCCGTACCGGCAAAGTTGGAGCCAGCATCCACGAAGGTAGGTAGTGTTCCAGTGGTCAAGCCTTTCAGCCGTTGTAGCGTGGTTGTCGGCGGGTCGGCGATGAAGGGCAGCAGAAATGCATTTTCCGGCGTATTCACCGCTGTCTCGTATAGAACGGGTAAATTGTTATAGAACAGAGGCTCTGATCCGGAGTCTACATCCGAGGGGAAGGGAACTGTGAAATCATATCTCAAGGCGTCGATGATGAGGACCACAGCTTTGTCAAACGACTTCTTATGCCAACACCCGTCGACTTTCTTAGTGTTTGTATCGGCGAAGGGAAGCACATCGCAGGAAGACTTGTTTTCCAGAACCATTCGAGTCAGCAAGAATCCCTTGGTGAAGTAGAATATCCCCACGACGTGCAGGAACCTATGGGCGGAGGAGAATGAGCGGCGCGTTTTTCGTAATACATCAGAATTCTGGGTGTGAAAAATGCGAGCTTACAGAAACCACACCAGCACTCCAAGAAGACCCAAGTGTTTGAGCTTGAAGTCCGCTTCCAAGCCATTGAGAAAAATTTGCGCATTGTTGTTGGATACTTTCGGCACCGTTGTTTTGCGATCGGGGCGGTCTGAGGCTTGCGCCGAAGAGCCTGTGAAAGCAGCCGCTGCGTTCTCCCTCCGAATGCTCTCATGGCCAGAGCCTGGATCGGTTGAGGACAGCATCATAGTATCTGATGCTTAGCTATGTTGGGATGTGTGACAAACGTGGAGCCGAAAGAGCGGGGTTTGTAGCATTAGAACCGGGAGGGCAATGGCTTCTAGAACGAAAAGCGAATTAGCTACATGGAGGCAGGATTTTGGAAATTGAGTGCTTCGGAGGAATTGCAAAACTCACAGGAACTCATTGACACAAACAGGAGGTGATTGGTTTCCTGTTATTTGTTTTTTTGTGTTTTTTTTTTCTTTTTGGCGATGCGCTCCTCCCAGTCGCTGGACTCTTCGACGAAGTAATTGGGGATCTTAGTACGGCGCAAGCATGTTTCGTAGAGGGAATAGTCGATCTGGTCAAGGTGCCAAAGCTTCCGCGAGGGAGATTGGCGCAGCGGAAGAAAAGAATTGAGGCATTGGGTAAAGGAGAACCAGCGAGTGGAGGACTGGATGCGCAACCCCCGTGACGTCGGGAAATCGGCGCTTTCGGCATCCCCTCCTTTCCTTTGATTCCGCCTTCATTGGCCGGAGCGGCTCGGAACATTCTCAGAACCCTGTGCGGGTAACAAAAGTGGATCGCTCTATTGCCCACCGCCGCCTATTTCGGTCATGCTGTCATTACACTGCATTATCCCTCATCCCTCGGATTATTCACTCATACTGTACATAACTAGTACTAGGCTGAGTACTCAATATGCAATTCAAGCTTGAATCTAGGTGATCTTGCAACATGACTTCTGCTGTATTGTTCTTTTTGTCTGTTTCGCCAATTCTATAATTCCTCCTGTCCGACAATACTTATAAACATAGTTATAATGATTCACGCGACAGGTTTTGCCCCAGAACATGCGGAGTGTTTATGAATGATATATCTTGGTGACAATAGGAGATTGCGAGTATTTCGCATGAAATATTACTACGTAGCGGTGTTTGACAATGTTATCTTAGTGTTGATTGACTTCCCACTAAGCTTATCGGACACATGATGCAGACATACTGGTAGTACTCCTCAAATGATCGCTAGGCCCCTCACTTGAATCCCATCTCTACTCGACTCTGCCAGCTTCCAATTCTGGAATCAAACACCATGTCAGGTTCATAGTCTTCATCAAAGTGTGACTTTGACAAGGTACCTGTCATCGACTTGACGGACCTGCGCAGTCCGTGTCTTGACGCACGTCGAGCGTTAGCCAGAGAGGTCCACGATGCATGTTTGCAAGTCGGATTCTTCTACATCACGGTCAGATCTCCCAGCATCTACAGGTAAGACAGCAACTGAGTTACGCGACAGAACCATGGCATTCCTCAAGCAACTGTCGCTGCAATCCACGATATAGCCCGCCAATTCTTCGCCCTACCAGAAGATCGCAAGATGCAGTATTCGATCGCCAAATCCCAGGTCTGCATGATAAGAGCCCCTCTCTTCTGGTACGTCGCTCAACCATGTAACAGAAATTCCGCGGCTTCATGCCTCTCTACGCTGAGCAAATGATCGGACATGAGCTCGACGAGTCCGGCTCTCAAACGACTAGCACACCTGGCGCATATTCCGAGTCATTTGATGTGGGGTATGAGATTGCGGCGGATCCTCGTAGAGAGCCGCACGATCCACTACCACCAGACCACTTTGACCTCTACGGCGACAATCAATGGCCCACTGAGGACGATTTGCCCGGCTTCCGACAGACCTACCTGGAGTACTTTGCGGAAGCATTGACTCTTTGTCGGTCTCTGATGCGGATCTTTGCTTTGGCACTTGACCTGCCAGAAGAATTCTTCGACCCAATAATGGAACATCCAGGTGCGACATCAAGGATGCTACATTACCCACCGCAATCGGTCAATGATACGTTTAAGATTGGTCTAGGAGCTCATACGGTATGTCTATGGTCATATGGACGAGCATAACATAATACCACTCCGCGACTCCGGAGACTGACTGTGAGGATAGGATTATGAGTGTATAACTATCCCTTCTCAGGACCTGGTGCCGGCTTTGCAAGTGCGCAACTCGAGCGACGAGTGGATCACTGTTGAACCACTTCCCAACACGCTGGTAGTTAACATCGCAGATTGTCTGTCAATGTGGTGAATACGAGCTCGAAACCTCCAAGGTGATACTTAGAAGCTTACTTGAACAGGACCAACGCCAAGTTCAAATCTACTGTACATCGTGTCATCAATATCACGGGGGAGGAACGGTATACGATCCCTTTCTTTTTTGGGGTGGACTACAACACAAATGTATCAGTCTTGCCTACCTGCACCTCGGAGGACAATCCACCGCGTCACAAGCCTTTCAAAGCAGGTGAGGTGAGTAGAAATTCGATTGCACTTCCAGTCTACTCGGTACAATACAGCTGACCAATTTTTCCTACGTGCAAGTGGGTGCGTCGTCAATTGGCGGCCACGTATGTTGGCTACAATCAGGAGTCACCTACCGAAGAATTTTGATATGGGGTGCCGGTGGAGAACAGCTGAGGGGTGATTGTTGAGGATACAAGTAGAAACGATCACTAGCACTGGTGGCAGATAGGCTGCCATCGTACGTATGGCCTCACCAAATCACCACTTATGCAGAATTGATGTCGACGCATCTCTTTGGTAATTCCAGCTTTCACCCAAGACTAGATCTTACTAACAGTGCCATGCAAGATCATGATACTCATGCAATCTTCAATTATTGAAAAAGAATCCTCCTTCCCCTGCTGATCATCGCTCGACCTGCTCCGTTAATAGTGAAAGGACCCTTTTGACTCATGGCAACCTGCACAGCACAATGGCTACAAAAGCTGACAGTGAAGCCCTGGCATGATGGTTGTTTGATCGAGTACCGGTTATGGATAACCCAGCTATTTTTGCTTAGGGACAAAGGATCTCAGGCCCTCGCATGTCGGACATTGTGCAGCTGACTGTAGCTCTCGACCCCAGGAGACCATGAACATCAATGGATGTGTAGCTCTGAATAGATGCGTGATCATCAGCAGTTCAGAAATTGATGCATTGAACAAAGCCTGTGGTGCACCGATAGGAGAGTAGTTGAGAGTGTTCCATTGTCTGTCCTAACCTGGAATCAAGCTGGAAGAAGGTTGGGTGGTGCAAACCGTCGCCCGGTGGCACCCCCTTCCGTCCCCAGAAAACCATCCCGCTGCACCACGCCGTCACTTACACTCTTCCCCAGATCACACCAGATACCCCCCCACACCCACCCGACTCAGATACCTCAACAAGTGCTAGTTCTTCTCAATGCTATCTGCATCATAACCTGACTCGAATGGTTCTCATTTCCTCGTTCACATACCGGGTGCAGAAGATTCCTTCTTATGATTCTCGTGATGTCATCGACTCTCGCTCGCCCATGACGCAGCCCAACCGTCGTTGACTGGCAAAAGCAGCGCTTATGACACCACGACTACGCTGGTCTCACGTGGCTTATACGCTCTAGTGCTATATCGACCATAGAAACAGACTTCGCGCCGGGCCTCCCGACCCATGGTTAACGCACAGTCCATAACTGTCTGTGACCACCATGAAAGATCTCGGTGGGCGCGGTATGAGAAGGAGCATACTCGTGATGTCAGGATTGCTCAGAACTCGGGACTCCGGGACTCCCTTAACATCATTGACCCTGATGGTGGGAACAAAGTTCATATATTGCCTAGCAACCACATCCGAGTAGAATTCCAACAACGTTTGATAGGTTATGTTGCCTTGATTTCTCCTTTCGCTCATCTGATTGCAGCTGGCTTCCAACAAGATGGAGCCTATCGCTGTGAATGGGGGCGTCACATCCCTTCCAATCTTGCGGGAGACGGTCAACACTGTCTCCGAAGATTGTCCCACTCGCCTGGGATTAACGGCTGAGGAGATCGAGAACAAAGCCCCAAGTCTCGATGTCTTTTTCGACACAATCGCCGCAGAACGTCTCCGACGCATGCCTGCGGATGGTAGTCGATTAGATGGCGTCCTTAGACGGGCTTCGCGCCTCGCCGTTGCCGTGGGCTCTTTGCGCGACGCAGTTTCAAGTTATATGGACGGGGCGGATGAAGCCACCGCGCTTGTCTGGGGAACCACACTGCTGCTGCTCGAGGTAAGAGTGTGCCTCGTTTTGTTCCGAGACGTCGCTTCTAATCCTTACTCCAGATGGGCATTGATCAACTCGACGTGATTGAGAGCCTATTCGGTCGCTATGGTCGTATCACCATGGGTATATCGCTCCTCCTTCAGCAGGAAACATACTTCCCAACATCCCGACCTCTGCAGCAGCAGGTTGCCGAGATTTACGCTCATATATTACAACTTGTCGTCCATGTAGCTTGGGAGTATCGCCAAGGCGTGAAGACCCAGAATTGGCCGTCTATGAATGCTGCGATTGATATGGCCTTCTTCCGCTATTTCAACCGCTTTTCCGCTCACTGGCGTCGTGTGTCCGAGCTGGTGTTGGAAATCGGAATGGCAAAACACCAGACAACAGTGAACCTGTCGGCGATTTACCAATTTCTCGAGCTACAAGACAGGCCATTGCAGATGCTACTTGAGGGCCACAGCCATTCCTTGGCAGATGGATCTTTTTCCTGGTTCGAGCCGCACCTGACCACCTTCGCAATGAGTCGGCGAAGCCTTATGATGATCCGCGGAAATCCCGGTTCAGGAAAAAGCGCGCTCGCACAATGGACTGTTGAGCGACTTCAGGCCTCCTCGGAGTATGATATCTGGAATGTCATTCCAATTATCATCAGATCGGATGTCCCTATCACGACGCTCACGCTTAGCATTCTCAAAGGAATCTTGATACAAATCCTCGACCATTCTGTGACCAGCCGCAAGACACAGGATGCCATCTTGACTGCCGTGACCGGTGCCATTGAGATGGCCATAGATGGTGCGTCGGATCCTCAGGTGGAAGGACAGCTCTGGACCGCCATCCGCGCCGCTGTACAGTCCAACTTGCACTTTATGTTGGTGATCGACGGGTTTGACCAAATGAAACACGCCGAGACAACTGTAAGCGCGTTTCTAGGCTTGCTACAAGATACAGTGGCCGACACTCCTTCCAAGTTGATCATCTTCAGCCGACCTATGTCTAAAGATCTACTGCCCATTCGTGAGACCTCAAAAATACACCAAATTGCGATGAATGCTGCTACCACTCAGCATGACATGCAAGTGGCTGTGAACGATATGATGACGGCCGAATCCTCCTTCTCAGGTCTGGAACCTTCTCAGCGGGAATCCCTGGGACAGGCCATCGTGTCTCGCTCTCAAGGCTGCTTCATATGGGCACAACTAGCCGTAGAAGCGGCCCAGCAGCGAACAACCGTCAGCGATATGACCTCAGCTGTAGCAAAGATGCCCAACACGCTGGGTGATTTGATTGACCATCATCTGCGCACTACCAATATCAAACGTGAAGGTGCGCAGAATCTCATAGGATGGCTGGCGGCCAGTGAGCGTCCCCTACGCATTCCAGAGGTGGAACAGCTCTTAGCAGTCGATATCAAGACACTCAAAGTGGCGTCCCGTACAGTGAATATCGGGCGCGACCTCTTCCAGCCCCTCAAGCGTCTGATCGCGGTTCGCGATGGCTTTGTTTCGTTCCGCCATCCGATGATTCGAGAGCATTTGCAAGCCCGGGCTCAGATGCGCCAGGAATTGCCTTTTTCACTTGCAGAGGCTCACTTCGACCTTCTGATCCGCTGCCTGGCTTGGGTTCGCCGCACGGTCACCGACGAGGTCTCTCTCTCATGGGACAAGATGAGTGTGTTTGTGCGCGATCGCTACCTGGACGCTTATGTTCTGCTTGAGTACACCGCACGATACTGGCTATCCCACATGCTGGCATCGCCAATGGCGTCATCGGATCGAGAGCTCTCTTTTGATAGCACATTCCGTCGTGCCTTGCCAGATACTGTTCTCTTCGCTCAACTGGAGCTGACCAACCGGGAGTCTCAGTTTAGCCGTTCGAGCATTGTCGAACTATATCGTTTGTCGGTCGGTGTCAGGCGTGTGGTCCTTGGTAATGAGTCTCTTGCCTTTCTGCAGAGCTTGCTTCTCAGCGCCCGGGCGGCTGAGCAGACGCATGCAAGCTGGGCCAACGACCATCTGTATGAGGCATGGATGCGCAGTCGTTCGCAGCTCGGACCTTCCAACCAGATCACGCGCGACTTGGAACACATGCTTGTAGCTAACGGACAAGCCGATCGTACTGCCGGAATGAAGACTGATGCCCTCAAAGACATGGCATTGTCAGGATGGGGCTCGTCTGATATTGGCTTTGCGCAGAGACTTCAGTACCTCGACAAGCTGGTGACCTCATACAAGGCTAATAACCAAAATGATGCCGCATACTCTTCCGCTAAGCAGTTCTACCGCCAGACAGTGCAAGCATACGGGCTTCATTCTCCAGAGACTATGGCAGCAGCTGAATACCTCACCAAGCACTTCGACATTGCGCCCCCCGACGAGATGGCGTTAGAGCTTGCGCGTACTAAATATGAGACAATGCTTCATACTATGGATGCGACCGACCCACGACGAGTGTCTTATTCCCTCTACCTTGCGAAGCTGTACGAGGAGAACAACCAGGTCGGCAAAGCTGATGCAGTGCTGTCTCGACTTTGGGCGGGTCTATCTGCTCGTGGCCCCAGCAATACCGATTCCTGGGACCAGAAAACAAGGGTTGCATTCTACTATTCCCACTTCCTACGTCGCCAGGGTCGTCCCGACCAGGCCACAGGCATACTTCGTGATCTTGAGACTGATCTGGAGGAAGGAGGCGGCGTCAATTCACCTGAAATGGTTAAACGTGCCGAGGACCTTCGTGGGGAAGCCCGACAGATGAATCTGAAAGATATGGATCGCGCCCTTGCTCTCCAAATGTGGAAGTATTACAAGTCATCGGGCCAACAGTACACCCCTCAGGCCGTTTCTCTGGCCGAGTCATTGACCGAAGGTATTTTACCCACGAAGAGCGCCACTGACTCAGCTGGGTCGCGCTTGTCGACGCTTTCTGCAGAAGACAATGAACTGCTACCCGGCTGGATTGATACTGTCGCTTCAGCTGGCAGCGAGCGCGATTTGATGTCAATCTTGGCTCTATCTCACCAGCTGGCAAGTCAACGGATGGCAGCTGAAAAGTGGCGCGAGGGTAGTGAATGTGCTTGGGCAGTGCTCAAGCACATCTGGCCTACTGTCGAGGATCCGCATTCCAAGGCCAGGTTCCCTTCGGAGCAGGCACCTTTGATGGCTAGTCTTGCCCTTGACCACGCATATTGTCTGTTCCGTCGTTTGGACATCGCGATGGCCACTATTGTGTATGGTAATGCTTTCAAGGCATCCATCACCGCAGACCAAGTGGCTGTCCCTTCGGTCACAAACGTGGTCAAAACTGTCGTCGAGTTCTATGAAACCACTTTCCAGTTTGATAAAGCTATGGTTCTGTTGCACCAGGTTAGCGACTTCTTCTCTTCGAGACTGGGGAGCAACGATAAGCACACGCTCGATAGTCGCTATTATGAGGCCGACCTAGCCCTCCGACTTGACCGTCGATCCGAAGCGGAAGATAGCTACAGTAAGATTTACAAAGCCTGCATTCCCAATGGTAGGGTGACCTCATCTGGCGTCCGTGCTGCTGTCGCTTTGGTCACTCTATACGAACAGGACAAAAAGTGGGAAGACGCCCTTGATGTGTACCGGCATTTGTGGCCCACCCTTGTGCATTTTGACGAAAAAGACGGGTATGACAGGGCTCTTCTGGAAGGTCTACTGCCTAAGACCTACAGTGGGTATATGTCCATACTAGAAAACACGCCTTCGGAGGTCGGCTACAACGAACGGTACCAGGTCGCATCTCAGCATTACCAGCTTTGCAGAAAGCTATACGGGCCCACAAGCCCTCGCACCCGTGACGCGACCATGGCCCTTGCCGGTATTTGTGCCGGTCATGAGCAGCATCGAAGCGAGGCACTTGAGCTTTACACCCAAGCACTCAAGACCAGTGACTGGGTCCCCTCAGCTGAGGCTTCACGATCGCTTCCGGACATGACACAGCCGCTACCTATGGATATCAAGCATCGCATGGCCCAGTTGTACATGCTCCAGAAGGACACATCTCCGTCAGCTCGGGCATTCTACAAAGAGGAACTTGCGTTGTCAAAGCAGCAGCAAGGGCTATCTGCCCCGACGACGCACTTGTGGCTACGTGAGATAGCACGATTGCATGCGCTGCAGAACAATTCCGAGGCCCGCCGCCAAGGAGCCGACCTACTTCATGAGCATGTGGATGAGGTCGTTCATGTCACTGCCAGCCACGATGCACTGATCGAACGTGCCCATGGTCTGGCGCAGATCTACCTCGAGTGCGGCTATATCGATGAAGGGTGGGAGCTCATCCACGAGTTGCATCAGCAGGTTATCCATGACACACCGGCCACCCACCGTCAGAACCTGGCCGAGTACCGGCCTGCCGCATTTGTGGCAGCATTCGAGGAGGTGTTTGGTCGAACACGCTCTGCGCGCCAGATCTTAGATGATCTGTCTCGGGAAGGACGAGTATACAGTGTCTTCCAGCAGCATCTTTCCAGCCATGACCTTATGCCGACCCTGGCAGCAGGTGACAAACTGCATCGGCTGCAGCTGGAACAGAAACGCAGCGCCGCAGCCCAAGATACCCAGGACAAGCTCTACGAATACTTTTGCAACACGCTCTCCGTGGCGTCACCGCTACGAAAAAAGGACGTGGTGCATCAGTTTTACGTCATGTGCCGTCGCGAGTCGCCCAACGAAGATTACAACATCAACATAGTGACTCAGACGACTGGATTGGTGCGAGACTTGTGCAACCGCTCGCGCTTCCAGGATGCGGCTGATGTAACGGGTGTTTTCCACTCGTTCGTCCACTTGACCGACGGTCTTCGGCTGTCGGAAACCATTTTCACCGCGATCAAGCTTTGTCTGTACCTTAGTGGTTACCAGGTGAACAAGTGTACCGAACCCACCACTGCGAAGAATATGTCGTTGGAGTCGCAAATGCTGTTGCAGGAAATCATGGCCAACGCGCGGGACCTCCCGATGGAGTATGCAGAGCTCCCCTTCTCCGAGCTCAACGACCTAGTGACTGTGTTGGGAGAACATGAGATGTTTGAAGACTTGGAGGTAAGTTATCGTCTTGTCTTGTCTATGGTGAGGACCGCACTGACCCATCTAGTCAATTCTCACCGACCTATGGACATCCCGGATTGTGCAGAAGACCTGGTCTCTGCCTGCTGTGGTTTGGATCGGCCGTCGGCTGGTCGAGACTCGGTTCTGCCGCGGCCAGGTCAACGCCGCGACCACACTTGGCAAGGATATCTGTTACAATCTGCGCCAGGTCTGGGGCAACGCTGACCCGGTGACGCTGGAGATGAACAAGCTGCTGTCTGGCCTCTACACAGCCTCGGGAAACCATCTTGCTGCCGCCGCCTTGCACGAGACGGCGCTTGCTGAGCTGTTGAATAGCGAGACCAGCGACCACAATGCAGCTGTGAACGCGGTCACGCAGCACCTGGAGCTGTTGCAGCGCGCCCAGGGGCGACTGGCCAAGGAAGGCCAGAGCGCCGCGATAGACGCCACGGCTGCCCAGGAACGGGTGCAGGACATAGCCACCAAGTTCGGGCTCTCCCCCGCCAAGCTGGAAGCTGGCAAGTCGGACGAGTCGATGGGCATCTGGCAGCGGCCGCGGCGGTTCAGCCTGGACGTGGAGGAGCTGGAGACTCATCAGAACCACCTCCGACAATCCAGTGGGTCAGCACTACTGACAGGCAACGGAGGAGCGAAACGGTTGTCGATTACTGCGTTGTAGTAGGGCTAAATGATGGTTTGTTGCTACAGAATGCCTGAATACTTGTGTACTGTACCTGTGACTTGTTGTACGAGATGTTGTATATCCATGTTACTTGATACTGGAAGAATAATTGGGTGGACATAGGGTTTTGTATAGGATGGAGTCAATGGAGTTCAATGAAGTTGTTTTTTGTATGTGCCGAGTAATTATTTCGTACATACTCTGGGATACTCAAAGGTTACTCACAGAGTATATATATATCTAGAGAATTCTTATAGCTACGTATTCCTTAATACTTATAACTTAGATTCTGATCATTGCTCGGGAATTGGGCTTGTTTGCGTGTACGATAGATGTATAAGACCAACCCGCCTCGCTCTTGCGCAATGCCCTCCTCAAGCGAGTGTGAATGAATGTAGTTGTAAGTTTACCAGAAACCCTACAAAGTCACGAGGTCTGAGAAGCGCGTCCCATGGCTCCATTAGCACAAAATCCGGCATCTGATTCTCATTCCCAGACGAAATGAAGTTCATTGGCCATGATATCTGATCAGCAATGATGGCCCGCTGACAAGTCTTCACCCCCCGGGGGTTATGAGAGTGCCCTCTGAAACGATTCAAGAAATGGCGCAAACGCCTCCTTCCGTGAGTCGCCGTCTCCAATCGCCCGGTGTTCTCTGTGAAGATCACTTCCCTACGACTACTATGAGGAACCATGGAGACAGCGGGACTCGCCCGGCGTTGACGAGCTGATGACAACAATACGTCGTCGCATCTTGGATAGCGAGGCTCGTCTTGCCCCTGGTTTTGAGGCAATGGGAATGCTGGTGGAGTTTCAGTCTCGTCTCATTGCCGACCCGGAGGAGAAGAAGAAGAAGAAGGCAGAAGCCGCTTGCGGCCAGTCCTCGTGCAATGTATTCAGCATTATGTTTCAGGGGTGTATTCGGATTGAACTGAACCCCGAAAATCGGCTGCTGAGGGTGCTCTGGGCACGAGGGGTCCTCGCGATAGACGTACGCATACTCTGTTTTATTTGGTAGTAAGTGGTCCTCGCGCCGGATCTTTCCGTGTGTTTGATGTGGCTACTGGCGGGGAAGAGCGTGGATTAGATGGTGGATATACAGTGGGAAGACATTGGAGAAGAAGTGGAAGAAGAGCTGGCTAGAGTAGTAAGAGTTACTATGTAATGTCTGCTCCCTAATAATAGAGGTATCTCGTTAAATCTGATCTTGGAGTCTATCGCGCACACGGTGGATGCAGATGTATTCACTAGGAGATATACCATGATTAAAGATGGACTGGAAGTCGTCTTTCTCTGCTGCTATCTATGGTCTCTTCTATAAAAGAGGGTACTGAGCTGGTAGAGTATACAAAGAAGATATTAGGATCTTTAGTTAGTAGCTATGTGGAGTCAAACTTAAATATAGAAAGTCTTATATTCTAAAGATATCTCAGGTTGTAGAGCTCAAGGAGATTTCTGTTCTAGAAGATATTTTAGACTGTCTGTATCAGGAACTGGAGATAAATCTGGATAGATATAGTGGCTAGATTAGAGAGTCTTATTTTACTCAGCAAGATAAATATCTATTTCTTGCTCTAATAGGACATAGATTTTTTGATATCCTAGTAATTGAACTTGCTAATGCAATAGACAAAGAAAGAAGTTGGAGAAACTTCCAATCTTCCAAGTAAAGAATACAGTATAGATATAGAAACAATAGCGGGCTTTATAGTAGATGTAACGATAGATAAGAAGAAAAGAAGGATTCATAGAATTGCAGTCAAGGTCTTGCGGACAAGAATAGTCTTGGGATGCGATGCAAGGTGCGAGACTGGTATACAGATCAGATTAGAGAATCTTTTGCTGTCTTATCGCGCATTCGGGGTGGTTGCAGGCTTGTTGTTGTAGTATGGATGAGGGATACGGCATGGGGTCTGGCTGGATCAGTAGGGAGGACTCCGAAATCTTACACGGAACAGCAATCGGCTTTCGTTGAATAGGCAGACATGATGGTCGAATACGGCTTAATAAATCAGAAGGCGGCTTTCTGCAGGTAACAAGAAAAGATGATTTTGTTTTGCACATCTTGAATCACACATCACAACGGGGGCTGGCGGCGATACTCTCGCACTTCAGGTGGAACAGAGAAAAAGAGCAGGCCACTGGCAAAGATCAGCCTTTACACTCGAGATAAGAAAGACCGACAGGTAAAGAATCTAAACCTCCATACTCCAACGGACTCCGTACTGTGGGAATTACCCTCACAGCGCCTGTAGATACAGTAGCTCTACAGAGGGGTAGTAGCCGCCAGTTCAGGCGCATGTCGTGGAAGTGCGGAAGCTAGATCTTGCCTCGTTTTCGTCAATTCCTGGCGTTTGCAAATTGGTATTGGTAGAAACAGTGATTCCCGATGCGGAGTTTGCTGTGAAATACGCCGTCGTTAGTGCGTTGATCTTGTTGCACTGTCGCCGCTCATGTATACAAATCTCTGAACAATCTCATGCTTGCTTCTATTTTAACATGATGCTATCATCACTCATGCTGGCTATGTGCTTCCTAGCATATATACAATGACCCAAGTGGTCCAGTTAGGTAGTTGCTTGCGCTTTGCCCAGTGACACTTGCCCGATAACACTTGCTCAGTAGTAGCACTTCCTCAAGTTCGTCTTGAAGCATGATTCCTAAGACGTCCCATTCCGGGAAGTTCGAGACGGCGGCCATCTCTCCTCTTTGCCCACACTCAAGCGCTCGTATCGCTCGAGCATATCATGCATGCCCGTTGCCGCCGACGACTGCACCTTGCTGCCCATTCCGTCAATATAACTCGAGTCTGCGTCCGTCTTAGTCAATCCCTCCGCGTAGTGGTCCCATCGGTCCGGCTCCTGGGATCCAGTCTCTTGCCGGAACAACTCCTTAATCCCCGGCGGCACATCCGTGGACTGGGCCACTCTCGAGCCCTGGTTGCGAGAGCGCACAGACAGCTTGAACAAATGAAACAAATTGCGTCCCACCTGCGACCGACACGCAATGATGGAAAACGAACTGGTCAATGTCAAAAAGTCTTGATCAAGGATGTCAAAGCTTTTCTGCTCGAGAAGAGCGAACAGCGCAAGATTTACTGCATACATGGCGAACTGGTGGGCGTGTTCCATCCCATACTCAGTCCGCTGTTGCCGAGCTAAAGACGCTATGGATCGAGCAGATGCAATGGCAATCTCAAACGGGTTGAATTGTTGATTCGCATCGTGGGTCTGGTTCTGAGACGACAGCCGTGCATTGGGACCGAGAGCATCAAAGCAGAGATTGATCACCAGCGTGTGATATCGCATCCTGTCACCCGAATCAGCTTATGCCGCACACTGAAGAGTCGAGAAGACCCACCTGAGGAGGAGAATATGCGGGGCCGGCTTTTCAGCTGGATCGAAGCATGGTGGGAGCCCCCGCTCCCATTTCCGTAGGCGCATATAAAGCTCTTGTTTGCGTTTTTTATACCCCGGATCGGAGTTTCCGGACTTACTCAAGCTTCGGGAGATGTCACGAGCAATATCAGAAAGTTGGCAAGCATCATCAAAGTACTGACTCAGATACGACAGTCGGGCTGGGCGAGGGAGTGGGTAGGGCGTCCACATATCCCCTGCGCCTGCGTCATCCCGCGCGATCCGTTCGATACTCACCGAATTCACCCGGCTAGGCTTGAGAAAGTTTGTGTGAACAACCCTGCAGCAGATCGAGATGAGTTAGTCCGAAGAGACCTGTTAACCTCTGATAAACTTACGTATCGATCTGATAGAGTCCCCAAGCGGTTCGCTTGATAGAGAGAATCATGTCTTCTGACATTTGCGACGTCTTCAGCTCTCGCTTTTTATGATTGACAATTCCGAGGGACTCTGCCATTTCAATGGCACGATGCAACATGGCATAACCATGATCCCCATTTCCGGAAACAGAATATCTAGAATTGGACGATCAGGCACCCGAAGAATTCGTAAACGCCGTTAGCCGACTATGCCAGGAGCTTACCTCTCGTACAGCAGAAGAATCGCCTGCAGGGTCGGCAGTCGAATATCGTTGCCCCGTTCAAATTGATGTCTTTTCATGTGACGTTCCGCTTCCGCCAGGAAGTCCGCGCCTTTCGTCCGCACGTCCCCGGGAATTGAATACGCCTCGGAATAGGGTGAGTAGTACTGTCGTCCGTGCCATCGCACCACCTCAGCCACAGAACAAAGGTAGTACACAGTTCTCAGTACTTACGCATGCGTTGGCAAGCAGGGCATTGACGAGAAATGGGCTGCAGAAGTCCGACTCCACATTCCCCATCGCCATATGCTTCAGAAATGATTTGCGGTCCAGGAACGCGAAGAATGGGTAGTCCCATGTCAGATAGAGTGAAACTAAGTGAGATACAAGGTCGTCGTCATCCGTGACACTGGTCCAGGGTTTTGCCGGCACCCGATAAGGGGCATTTCCCGTCAAGTACCGGATATCCATCATCATGGGCCGAAATTTAGGTGCTTCGCTTTCCACCTCAATGAACTGCCAAATGCCGTACAGCTGTTGTAGCGCATGGTCATCTTTTCCGGCCGCATGCATCTCAGCCAGCGTCTGGTCCAGATAGGCACGGACTTCCTCTATGGAAGCGTGTCTGCGGATGAGTTGGAGCAGGGTGTCTGCATGGTTGGGGACCGTCGATCGCACGACCTCGAAGAGATCGTAAAGCAGATCATGATGATAGTTGGACGTATCCGTCAGATACTCGGCCACTGATTGACAAGCATCGGACTCATCGAATGCGTCCTGACCGGATTGTGCTTGGGCAGACGGCGATAAAGGGCCGTTTCTCTACGGGGCAGGATGTGATCGGTCAACAACCCAGTGTTACAGATTTCAAGGTTGGGATTGAGTGAGGAGATCAGGGATTCACCTACCATCGGCTCATCCGACTGATGATGGGAGTTGGTTGGCTGAATTGGTGCAGGGTTACTAGGCGACATGGATGATGGCTAATCATAGAAGACTAAGTAGGGGGGATGAGTAGAGAATAACGCAATGTCCGTCCAGCAGCGGCAGCAGCAGCAGCAGCAGCAGTAGCGTCAGGCCTTCACACATATAGACAAAGGGGGTTAGATCAACCCGAATATAGAAAGCCACATGGATAATCCGGTCAAGGTGGATGATGCAGGGTTTAAACGAGTAGGAGATCAGGATAAGATAGAGAATAGGATCGTAAGTGGGAAAGGTTGAATTGATGGTGTGACTGTCTTGGAGTTGATGATTGAGAAAGGGAGAAAGAGAACTTGGGTGGTGGGTGGTGCCTGAGAGCCAGAACTGACTACACCATGACATCAGTTTCCGTTGCCGCTTTTTTTCTTCCCATTTCTTTTCTCTCTCCTTCTTCTGACCACCACCCACACTCGTTTACCGTCTGGTCCTGCTGCTGCTGCTGCTGCTGTTGCTGCTACTCCTCTCCTGTTGTTGCAGGCTATTGTTCTCGCCACCGACAATCATTGCCTGCAGTCCATCTGTCCATCGTCACAGATGACAATATTTCACCTGCCTTGCGGCCTTGATGCCTCAATGCCTCAATCTCCTCGGAAATGAATTCCCCACCTGACTCGAAGAGACCTTCACCTAACCTCGGGGACGCTGCAAGGAATTGCAAGGAGAGGAGAAGAGACAAGACCATGCCGATCTTTTCCCCAACTCCAGACCGACAGACGCTAACATGAAGCTATTCCAAGTTGGATCCAACTAAGTGCCTCCCACCATTTTAAAGTGTGGCTGGGTGGGTCACACCCAAATCTGCCTCGGCTATTTCGGGTCCAGGGGATGCTTGCCGACCGTGTGACTCGGGGGTATTTTTCAAAATTCCCAGACCCGGAGTTAGTGTTTGTCTTCAGCTCCAGGCAACATCATTTCCACTGTCCTGATTCGCAACGATCCCATCATCCAACTTCTGTTCAGCCCTATGGCCCTAGCACCTTCATGGCTAGGAAACCCGAACAAAGGCGCCCCCTCCCCACAGATCGGTACAGAGGGTAAACAATAAAGCGGAATCAGCAGGCTTTCCCGGCCTAGTTGAGAATATGCCACCACCATGTCATCATCTTGATCAGCCAGCGTTCTCCGAGAGGCAGCGGTCGGCGGAATGCCCAGCCCAGCCCTTCCCGCAGCTGCATCTCCACCACTCGTCGCCAATCGACCTGGTGAGCGAAATGGACCGGAAAGTGGAGTCGGCTGATTGACTTGATTGTACAGTCCATCTTTGGCTGCTCTTGCAGCTCAATGTGCGGCTGCAGCAGCGCGGGCTGCTCGCCCTCTAGGTCCACCTCGATTCGAAGCGACCCTTGACTGGTGAACTGCCGCACCTGCACTGCCAGATTGTGCTGGTGGTGGCTATGGTAACGGGTCCGGTTGTTGTCGTTCACATCTCGAATGATAGCGAGATCGATGAGCGGATGCTCAAATACCCCCAGCAGATCATGGTGCTCGGTGCCATGCGGGGCTAGATTTATCCAGAACTTTCCTTCAAAGATCAGATTCGGTGAGCACGGTTTGTGATGCACCCGGACTCGGGTCATGCGCAGAGGCAACTCGATCAGGGCCAGCGAATGAAGGATCACTTTCTGCGGCGGCGTGTCGGGCTCGGTCAAGGTGCGCCGGGCGAGGCCATCGTTCACGTAGCGGATAACTTGTGCACAAAAATGATCTTGGTTCATGTGCCAGAGCCGGCGTAGTATCCCGTTCATCCATTCGATGGACTCGCCGTGAGCCAGGATTTTGCTAGCGTGATACCGCTGGCATTCATCGCGAATAACTCTCTTCATACGCGTCATGCTCAGGTTGGTGTAGGTGCGGCTGAACGCAAGGATGAATAGGAGCCAGGCGAAACTGAATCGGAGGCGGCCCACAATCCATGAGGCGAGGCAAACAATGATAATCACTCGTGCCTCTTTGTAGATCTGCTCGATGGATGCAGCGATATCGGCTGGCTCGCGAACACGCCGATGCTTACCCATTGTGTAGAATTGTCGTTCCGTGAGATCCCTCACGTGGAGAAACAACCGCCTACCGTGGCTGATCCAAGGCGATGTTGGTTGAGTATGTGTAGGTATATCAAGTCACGATCGAAGCAAACTGTGAGCAAGACTCCATAGTCAGGCAGTCAAGCACCATGGCGGGACAAGTGTTGATGATAATTGACGATAAAGGCTCAGGGTTCGGACAACAGAGCAGCTGGCCGCAGATTTTATACTGTCACGGCCAGGCAACGAAGGAAAACAAGAATGAACCCAGTGCCTCCATGTGGACCAGTGATTCTGCAGATCGAAGCAGGGCTGAGACTTGTAGGGCTGATGGGTCTCGAAAAACATGAACGGTGTATTGCAAATACGGCGGCGGCAGGCTGGGTTGCCCCGCACCAGGTGGAGGCGCCGGCAAATTCATTTGCCCTCAACTTGTGGCTGGCGGCACGGATTCATTTTCAACTGTCTCATTGTCTTCGCTTCCTGGCAGTCGCAATTGCTCACCTTGTCCCAAACACTTGGAGATAGATCGATCCAGATCCAACTTTCAGTGAATTAGAGACCAACTGCTTACCTCGCGATCGAACTACGTAATCTCTTCTCACTAGTTAGTTTTTTATATATAGTACTTGCTTGACGGTTTTCCCACCGGTTAACATTATTGAATACTACTCGCTTCATCGCTCTCGCTGCCAATTATACCTTCAAGCACAGGACAATGACACTCCCTTTAGCATAAAGATACTCGTTCATCAGAACAGGCTCGCGACTTGACGTTCTGATGTGGAATCATCCACCTTGTCTGGATGCCCAGGAAGCTCTCAGGAAGCCGCCTGCTGAAGATCTGAGTGATTACCCTGTGATTACTCATAATTGCCATGCCCTACTCGAGTCTGGCTGAGGACACGCGCCAAAAAGTGAAAATCGACTATGTTAGTGCCGTTTGCATCGTTTGTGGACCCGTTCTCACGATCTTCGCCACCACTCAATCCGCACATGCTTCCTCGGGATAGAGGGAGCTACTGGGAATTCATCTTCCCGTCAGCCAATCTCAGTACTATTGGTATCGACCTGTCGACAATCTTGATGCCAGTTTTCATTACGACTGTCGTCCCGTCTTCGCAGCAGGGGCTGGCAGGGGGGGTGCTGGTTCCCGCGCTGCAGCTTGGCATTGCCTTAGTCCTCGGGCTAACAGACATTGTTCGGGCGGCCATGATCAAGAATAGGGTTTGGAGACAAGTTATACGGCGACTTTTGGGTTTGGTATCGGCGTCGCTAGTGTCAGCTTAATGATTCTGGTGATTTGGGGGAGGATACCCAAAGCTGTCAGCTGACTGACTCACTTGCATCAACGGCACCAGCTGCCAGTGTATCACGATGCTCTTCACCATAAATAGCAAATTCTCAGATTCTTGAGAAATGAGCATATGCGGGATGCTTCAGTAATCCGGACGGTGTCATTGCATGCATGATAATGTCCATATGGTTCGAGCTGACGGACTCTGGACGAGATACTTGGAGATATCATCTCCGTGGACTGAGAGAAGTGATGCGCAAAGGCGACTTAGCCCTCGCGCTCTTCAGGAATGGCCAATTGGCAGCCGAATTGCCTCAAATGAGCGAACACCTTGACACGAGCTACGTGCCTAAGCAGGTCCCCGTCCGAGTCTCATACAGCAAGGGTCACTAAAATGTTGTTACAGCTTTGACATCATAGGGTCGACATTTGAACAGCCCAAACAGCCTTATCAGCCGCTCTTCTCGACGTCCCCCAGACTCGACATCTTCAAGCATTCCGAGTCCCAAACATGGACCGGGCGCCCCTCAATTCTTCTCTACGTGCTTTCTCTGGCGAATGCGGCTGCTTCAAGCTCTCTGGCCATGTTACCGGATTTGATTGACCACATTTCCGCCCATCTACGGCACTTCTCTGCGATGCAGTGGGCAGTTGCGGGTGCGGTAAGTCTATTTCTGTAAAGCCAAGTTATCAGCGTGTCTGTAACTGGCAAGCAGCGGTTGTAATATACGTGCTGCAAGTTCTCCCAGTTCCTTTCGAGCGCGGTGTCTCCAACGGAGGGCGAATCGGCACCTTGCTGGATTCGGTCCTTCACCATTTCAAACCCATGGAACCTGCTGATATCCATCTGAAAGGCATTCTATGGCCTGCATTTGTCATTGGCGCTGAGGCACAAACAACATCTCAAAGAGCACTCCTCAGTAATGTCTCCGGAGATCTGTGGACACTATGGCGCTGTCACAATGTGACAAATGCCTTGAAGGTGCTTAAGAAGATTTGGGTTCGTCAGGCTATGGAAGGGTCGTCTCGACGATGGATTGAGTATGACTATGAGTGGGGGTGACGATTGAATGTTCAAACAGTCCTTTTATCCTTCGGTTATACGCAGACTTCAAGTGTTCTATGATTGCCAGCTGGTACTGGGCCGGATAACTGTTAGTGTCAAGCTGAGGAGGACATGATAAACGATCTTGGGCTAGTAGATCTCACTGAAACCTTCGATCGCTCCCTGCAGCGGCTAATTCTAGTGCTTTGCCAGACATTAGAGCTTGCTCGATTAGAGGTAGACAAACCATTCAATCCTGGATAAGGTGTTTCTTTTTCCTCAGTCAATGCCGATCTCTCGTGGCATCGTGTACTGCAAAAGAACAATGGGCAGGTTCCATAGCTTGAATCCTTGGATGTAAGAGATGTTTGCATGTTTGCCTGGCGATCAAACGAGGAAAGCGAGCGAATGCGCACTTCTTCTGTCCGCAGCAACTGCCTCCCTCCCGCTAAAACTTCACAAGTGTTCCGCATGGCGAAACCTGACTGCAATTGGCGGTAGGTATGCTTGTTGTGCATATAGTGCCACGCTATAACTGACTGGGTCTAGTCCCTGCAGCAAAGTCGAGTGAATTCCAGGAATTGACTGATAGGGATGATCTTCAACGCCGCGGCGTTCGTCTCCCTTGCCTGCCGCAACGATCCTCGGCCCCCCTTTTTCGGTGAGGAAAGACAACTATAACTGGAGCTCATCCTCGATATCCATCATGCTGCTCAGTTAATGGCCTTTTGGAGTCGGGACAAGACAGGTCACAATCATATGAGCGAACACGCTGCGTAGCTTCCTTGGATCTAACAGAGCCATCGCAATGGACCAAGAGCAATGATCTCTGCATCATGCTCGACTGTCCAAAAGCAGTCAATCGCCTCCCTTGGCACCCCCTGGATTTTCGATCACCTCCTTGGCTAATCAACTCCGGTCCGACGGCAAATAACCATAGATCGCGCTTATGGAAAGCCCCATCGCCGGTTCGTCCGCAGTCAAGCGACGGAAACAGATTCCAGGTCTTTTGCGTTGCGAACTACAACTCGCATCGACAATTGAGCCCTTGGGACACCCTCACTGGATAGTCCATGTTGTCGTAGCTGATCCTGCAAGCTTGACCGGAGGGCGCCTGTCTGCCGCCCTTTATTCAACTGGTCGAATCACTGCGGCGCCACCAGATCGCTGCGAGCAAGGTGGGGGAAGGTCGGGTCCGGCCTACACAGCACATTTCTAATAGTCGATCGATCGCGCCGATATGATTTGGAAGCTTACAAGCATCTCCTCCTCTGGAACCACGGCTTGAGCCCGTCCACGGAACCAGTGAACCCCACGATCACCTTGCAAAATCGGGGGTGTCGTCGTCATTTCTCCTGGTGTAAGCCACCACTGACGGTGTTCATGATCCTTACTACTAATCCTTAGCTGGTCTCTGCATGTTGAACATTGAACGTTCCCCTTTTCTCGCCCCATGATCTTAACATAGACTTTGTTCGCCATCAGTCCAGACTCCAGCCTGTTTCGCTTTCGTCTTAAAACCAAGCCCCTAGCTGGCCGGACACGACTTGTCGACGACAAGATTCCCCCGAAACCACAGGTGGCGAACCGAATAATATCTTATCTTTTCGACAAGAATGAGCAACGTTTCCTTAGAAAATCATCCGAAAAATGATCACGTTGATCCTTCTGCCACTGGCAAAGCGGCTGCGCGAAGGAAGATCCGACCCACTTATTCATGCTTAAACTGTCATAAACGCAAAGTCAAGGTATGCACCCCACGATTGCACCGAACATCTCCGCAAACCCGCCATCCATACCTTAGTCCAGGCACAACCTTCTCTTTCAACATGCTGGGCTAATGCATATCTTGCTAGTGCAACCGAGTCAAACCGTGCGGTGCTTGCTGTCTACGGGGAACGCCCTCAGAATGTGACTATGGCACCAGCAAGCGAGATCGACAATATATTCAACAGGCTACGCTCATTGATAATCTGCTACGCTCCTGTGAGACTCTCAAACAGCAATTAGCCGAGGCTCGCCAGCTAGCCAATGTTTCTGTCCCCAAGGCCGAGGAAGGGTCTAAATTGCACCAAATATCACTTGATAGGGGACGGGGTTGGCCAAGTTCTGATGACGATGATCTTGTTGAGGGTGTGGATGTGTCTTTGGGTGATAGTGAGCAACCATCTTGGGTTCGCCTTGCTGCTAAGGTATTCGGTGAAGATCTTGATGGCAAAGGAGGACGACGAAGTATGCTCTTTCCTCCTTCCCTCCATTCTACACCTGTTCGGCCGCTCACGACGGTCTAGTTCGAGATTCTTCAACAATCCTGAGAGAAAAACATGTCTTGAGCGACCCTCTGGAAGCTCGAGTTACTCTAGAGTTCTTCATCGAACGCTTGGTCGACAATTTCAGTCCGATCAATGTCAGCGGGACAATCGCCCTACGTGAGGCCAAGGAAATGCGAATACTCTCGCCCATTCTCTCTAAAGCTTTTGAAGCAGCATCCTTGACATTCGCCGGGCAACAATATTCTAACAAGGCTCTTGAGGTAGCGGGTCATGTCAGGTATATAAAAGTACTACACCTTTTACAGGCTGCATTGAATGACCCTGAGGGCAATCAATCGACCGAGGTCTTACTGGTTGTCTTACTGTCTACTATCATTGAGGTAAACTCCTACCCACACGAGTCAACCTGTATCTCATGCTCATGGAATGGCAAGGCTTTCAAACAAACCTCTGTCACTTCTATATTTCGACACCAGCTGGGGGGCTTGGCGCTGATGAGGGCACGAACCCCTTATCGCCACCGGCATGGGATCGAGAGATCCCTATTTGTAGACTTGCGTCTATACTGGGTACGTAGCTGTTATTGATCTGCCTTCTGCCGTCTTTGTATTAACCTCAGACTACTAGGTTACTGCTGCGTTGGTCAACCGGCAGCCAACATTTTTATCCTCAAGTGAATGGCTAACCGTGCCCTGGTCGGGCGACGGACCATCGAAGGATATCCTTCAAAGACTGCTAGACGTTGCGGTTCATATACCAGGCTATCTCGCGCAGATCGACGACTTTCAACTGGCGTTGAGGGAATCAGCTGTCCCGACATCTGAGCTAGTCCGCATGCAGTCCGCCATTCGGGTGCGGGCTCTTCAATTGCAAGACATGCTCCAGGAGTGGAAGCACACCTATGCCGATACCTACGAAGGAGGTGGGCCGCACGAGGAGCCCAGCTTCGGGTCCGGTCGTGACAGACTCAACGGCGAGCACAGTTTCCCCGTGTTCCGATATCGTGATCCCAGCACGATGCAGATCACCGCGGCCACCAACCTGGTCTACCCGGACTTGTTGCTTGCCACCTTGATGTGCTACTACTGGGCCTTGAACCTCGTGATCTCTGCGACCGACACGGGACTGGTCGGCGTGCTTGGCCTGCAGGAGCGCTACCAGTACGCCTGCAACATCTGCCGCAGCATGAAGTACTATGCGGAGACGGTCCCAGGATGCTTAGTGTCGCGGATCATGTTCGTGCTCCGCACGGCGTTTGACAGTTTCCCCGACGGCATGGTGGAGAAAGAGTCGATGTCGGAACTGTTTGCATACATCGGCCGCCGATTCGCATTCCCCGTCTTTTCAAACCAGTGCACCTCATCGTCGGTGAGGGCGGAAGGGAAGTAATTGACGAATGTGCAAGCTGGGTTTAAGGACCCTGATTCAATTCCCCTTTTTCTCTTGCGGGCGTTCCATACCACATTCTTCCCGATCAATTTCCGGATCGAACATGGAACTATGCGGGCGTTCTGTTGTCGAGGTTTCCTTTTTCTCTTATCGTGCTCTTTCCATTTAGCGGGTTAATTGTCGGAAGCGGGCGGCGCTCCGGAGCGTATGTTAGTCTAATGTGTATTTGCCGAATCCAAAGCTCTGGAGGCGCAGGAATTGAACTCCACGAAACTTGTGGGTGGACACACCTGTGAGATGCTACTATTGTAAACCAGAGCGATGTTCAGACGGACGGAGCGCGCGTCTTGTCCGATACTATTCTCCAGATACGGAGTACTCTACTTGATGAATGGAACTTTGTGAAAGTCAGAGCAGAGGGAAAATCTATCACTTGACCCACAGATGTTGTGTTTGCAAATCGCCAAACCAACAGCCGTCCTGTCTGCCCTCTGCTTAGAAGCCGATCGCATGGTCGAATGTGCCATTAGCACATGGCGATCAGCATGTACTAGTCAATTTAATACTCTCTCCGTAGCCTTGGGGCAGTCTGCGAAGACTGGTTCATGCCAGATACCAAGATTCGGAAGATTGGTGGCATTTCTTGAGCTCCATCAGTTTGGTATATGCGAGGTTGGATCTTTGTGGTTTGATTCGTTTCGTGTGCTTTTTGAGTATGTACAATACTGAACTATGAGGATGGTTTTTTTTTTCTCTTCGTGATGTACGAGCGTGATCTCTGCTATATACATGTAGATATATACCTATATATACTATTCAACTTTTTCCGAGGGGATGGATGGAGGTCAGTGTAGCTTGTAGCGCCCCGCTCAGACCAAACAACATGAGCCTCGCTTGCTAAGACGATGGTGCAGTCCAGTCCGATTTCGTCCTCCCCGCAATCGCAGTTTCCCAGTAACTATGTAGTCATTCGAGGGAATGTGGATATGAGCAGGGGCGCCTTTCTTCCCACTCGTGCTCCTTTCACTCTTGTTCGACAAAATACAAGGGAGGGAGGGAGAGAGAGGAAGTTCGATGCAAAAACCACAACATTGTAGAGCTCGACGCCTCTGGCTTTGATTGTGGTGGGAGGTCATCGAAAAAGCGGGGGAGGATTAATTAGTTGAAGACTGAGGGTGCGCAGAGCAACCTGTGCTAGACGCAGCGCGACAGCCTCGTAGTGCGTAAGTCTGAGTTGACGACCAGCCAGTGAATAGCCGAGTCACATCTCGGACAAGTGGCTAGACGCTGGATTGGCTCTGCTGCACTCTTCATTTTAATTAATGAAGTGTGCTCCGGTGTGGTGTGTTGCGGTGCGGTGACCAGGCAAGAGCAAATCTAGTGTAGTCAAGGAGGTGGAAAGGGAGCTCGTCGGCAAGTTGTTGGGCTGTTGGTCGGGGTAGCGCGGGGGCGGCGGTGACGGCGGGCGGGAAATTGGATATTATCCGTGGGAGAAGAAGGCATCAACCATACTGTTCTTGTTTTGTTCGGTCACATGCGCCTTGACCCCCGAAGCCAGATGTGGAGAACATCCCGGGAGGGGCTTCGTTAGGGGCAGGAAGCAAGCAAGCAAGCAAGCAAGCGAGCGGCGTGCGGTCGCTTCTCTCGGTCGACTAATTCACTTGATCGGGGAGGCCGTTGAGACACTTCGTCCGCTGGTTCGATTGGAACCGTAGCCTGGCCTATGACAAGGACGCCGTAGCCCACTGAGGCCCCGATTGCGTGAGTCCGGTCCCCAGCACCGGTCCAGGGTCGCCTAGACTTTGCTAGGAACTAGGCTAGTCAAGGCTAGTGAGCACAAGCTAGCGTCGTGTGTGGTGTGTGTGGCCCCCCCAGTGCTCCGGAGGTCATACCGTCATTCGTCCCCTCGATCTGCAATCGTTTTCTTCGGGTCGGGATTTCTGGGTTATTTTCTTGTAATTATTCTCGACGGCGGCGGCCCGAACTTCAAGGGAAGCCAACATCGGTGGGCACCGAGATGAATGCATTCTGCGCATAGCAACCCATCATTGAGTCCATATCTAGAGGGTCGTCGTGAAGATGACTGAAGGGGCCGACAGAAGGGTCTCGGATCGTGAAGCCCGCTTCAGGGTCCACGGGAAGCCAATTCGCGGTGAATCGGGTGCTGCCGTCAGGCATCTCCAGCGGGGTCAGCCCATCCATCGCGTTGCCAGTCATGGTTTTGAGACCATTCGTGCCAGCGTGTGGTGGTGCTGCTGCTCTGCCCTTGCCTTGGCTGGCTGCTCCGCTGCTGCATTTCTGCGGCGAAGCTGCTGGAAACGCAGCAGGTAGGTGTGGGTCGCTGAATGGGGGCTCGGCCATCATCATCCCGTCGATGGGATACGAAGGCAGCGGCAGCGTGTCCGACCTCCCCAGATCTGGCAGCCGATAGTATTGTGCGGGTTCCCTCACGTTGTACTCCCGGTCCCAGTCTCCCTCACTTCCACTGTATGATTGATGGCTCATTCCGGGCGAGCTGCAGGATTCTTGCGCAACGGGCGATTGGCCGAACTGCGGCAGGACGCTGACGGTATCGTGCGACGACGACCGCGGGGACGAGATAGCGCCACGGATGTTCATGTACAGGGCGCGCTCAGTGGCCAGTTGGGAGGTCGACCGGAGAAGGTCGTTGAGGGAAAGGTTGGCGGGGAAGACTTTCGAATCGGGAGTGGTGTTGAAAGTGGACTCCTCAAATCTAGTGAGGGGTTTCCAGCGTCAGCGCATGTGCATGGCAGATTTCCTAGCTTGGCTGCAAGCCCGCCCTAGAATGATTTCGGCAGAGTGACTTACATTGAAGTGAGTTTATCCACGAATCCTGAGGACGCTGGTGTCTCTGGCATCCCTGATGGCTGGGGTGTCCGGAATTGGTCCGAAGCGGCTTGGACCATTGCCGACTCATATTCGGCGCAGAGTTCAGGGCTCAGCAGATGGGCAGCGCAAGGGTCGGAATCGCTGACGCCCAGCTGATTCCCGTACACGTCCTCGCTGAGAAGCTCCGAGTCCAGGACCAGCGCCGGGTCGTCCAATAGGTCCAATGGGTACCACATCGGCATGTCTGGGGTGTAATGGGTGTCGAGCATGGTGTTGGCCGCGACGTCGGGAAGAGGTGGGAAGACGGTGACTCGTGGTGTATAGAGTGTATTCAAGGTCTCGCAATCATTGCCAGGCGAGTATAGACACAGTCACTAAGAAGCTTCAGTCAAATGCTTCGAGGGTCTCTGCCAAATTGTCTGGGGAACAATACGGCGCGGGCAAGCAAGCTTATAACCTGCGCAAGGCAGGATAAACCCGGACGAACTAGTCGAGTGAAAGATGATTCAAATGCGGTGGTGGAGATGCAGCTTAAACAAGTACAGATGCAAATCCGACCGGTAAAATGGACCAGGAGTGAAGGGTAAAAGTGATCATAAGGAAGCATCAACCCGGGGAAGCCTTTTTAACCGAACAAGCACATTTCTCCCCCGGATTTTGAGTCAAGCCTGCCGAGCTTGCAGCGGAGAAAAGTGTCTGGCACCATCAGGCACCGTGCACTTGCATGATGGTTCGGTCCTTTTTCCATGAAATTAACCGAGACCTTTGAAGAGCTCGGACCGAGAGAGATGAAGGCGAACAGGCGGGCCGTTCGGATCGAGTCTGGGGATTGCGGGGAAGAAATTCACTCTGAGCCAACAAACAAAACTGGTCAACTGATCTGCTCCAGTCCTCCATATTTGCCGACCGCCATTTTGTTGGCACGTTCCAAATGGCATCGGTTAAACGTCAGCTAATTTACTCTCGCACTGATTCTATCGCCTGGTCATATTCACTCAAAGTTTAATTACTACTAGTTATAGAAATCTTTGGTCACTCTACGATGCCGCCGTCAAACACAATCATCCCACAGAAGCCGACAATATGTGTTCCGATCAGAATATCTTATATATACCTGATGATTGATAGAACTAACTTATATACAGAGCACCGATCGTCGCCACGGTCAAAGTCGTCAGGTACCACCGTCTGGATAGTGCATTCGGAATAGATGTTTCCCCACTCCTCCTAGTCGGAGAGCCACGACCATGCAGCATGTGCCTGCATATCACTCCGGGGTAAGGGGAAGGGGAAAACGGGGCTAGATCCGACCCCCGGCAAGTCGTTTCAGATCCTTGCCACTTGGTAATGTATGTAGAGCCAGGAGGGTCGTCGCCTAATCCTCACAGAGCCAGCCCCGTGCCCTTCCGCGTCCATCGGTACAGCGCTAGCACAGCTTTGCGTCGGTGTCGAATCTCGCTGTAATTAACTGGCCGCCCACGCGCCTGGGCCACCGCACTCCGCATGACCTGGCGGAAATTTCGCTGGTACTCAGTGTTCAGTGTGACAACACAGGATTCCGTGGCACGGATCATCACCTCGCACGCATTCAGAATCCCGTCCCCCGCCTCCTTTTGCAACCGCTCCACAATCAGCAGGAGAAGAAAACTCCCTTGGAGGAGCTGGATTCCGAAGAAATACGGGATAAAACTGATATCGGGGTCATAACGTAGGATGTGATCCACCGAATCCGCAGCCTCTAATGCGTGCGAGATGGTGGACGCAAATGCAGGGGAAGAAGTCCAAAAGTCCTTGTCTTCAATAAGCGACACCGGGTCCCATTTGCCTACAAGCAAAATATGGAGCACATGAACCAGATACGAGGCGTAGGAAATCACCGTCTGCGTATGCCACGAATAGGCCTGCGCAAGCGAGGCTTCGGCTGGTTGCGGGTCGGGCTTGGGAGGAAAAGCTCCAGGCAAGGGACCGTCCGGATCGGAGGCGATAGCCGCAAAGGTCGTCAGGCTCGCTTTGTAGACATCAAGCTGCCGTAGAACCTCATTGACATGGCTATCCCAGGCATCTTTCCCATTAAACCGCGTTCCAAGCATTGGATGATTCCGCGCTTGATTCAAATCTATTAATTCCCCAGTGATAGTCATTAGGGGAAGGAAAAAGCCGAAGATGGAGTGATCGTGGCAAACAAAATTGGGGAATACGCGACGCTTGCTCTTCTCACCCGACGAAAGGCACTGTGGTCCGTCGGCCTTGGGGCTGTTGCTGTGAATATTGCCTGCTTGCCACGACCCTTCATCCAATGGCAAAAGTAAATCCTCGCTCTCCGCGTCAAGCAATGCTAGCGGACGGTTGTAGCAGAGGGCAAGGTGACGGTCCATGATGTATAGTAGCCACCATGTCCGTCGCCGCTCTTCGCGATGCTCCTCGGTAATTGCGGTGCGTACATCATGGCTACGATCGCATACGCAATTCAGGCTTGGCCGAGTAGGGTTGGAGTAATCGAAAAAGGGGCCCGTGTCGACGCCACTCCAACCCGCTAATGAATAATCGAACGACGGACTGGAACCGTCCGTATGATGGCTATCCTCATTGGGGACTATCTCGATCTCCTGATTCAGCTTGAGCTCTCGCGCTAACGTAAATGCGGCATGCCACCTGAAAAGAGATTAGCACGGGCATCAGCGGAACATAATGAAGGGCAGACCAACCATCTCATGCTCGCTGCTTTCTGCTCACTGGATGAAATTATTGAAGCCACATGAATGTAGGTAATAACATCGTCTAGTGAACCTGCCGGACCAACAAGGCCCCTATCATCTCCTCCGACTTCGAACGGATGATGCACGGTCGTTGGCGGACCCTCCGGTCCAAGACCGGCATATGCGGACTCACTCGCGGTTGCGCCGTCTGCATCCTTGAAAGAAACGTGGATCAGGGGACGGAGTAGTCTGATAGTCAGAGCGCACAGAAACTGGCATATTTTCTTGCGCTGGGGCGGAGATATAGGCAACGCAAAGGCACGATCATCCAGCGCAGCAACCCAGAGCATGCTGGCCAACAGAGCAGGACTGCTCGGGCGAGGTGCCTCCCGACTGAAAAAGGAGGCCTTGCGTAGAACATAGCAATGGATGTGATGGCAGACCGGATGCATATGGGTGGAGAAAGCGCTGGTGAAATACAATTCAAGAAGATCGAACACGAGTTTGCGAGGCAGATTTCCCTCGAGGAAGGGTATGAGAGGCATAAGGACTGGATATTTCAACGCTGCGACGGAGTTCCCCGGCGGCTGCCCGATCCCGGTGGCTTTGGAAGCCGTCGAAGTTGGGTCGCTATAGCCGGCTAGCTCGACCCCGTGCCAAATGTCAAACATCCGTGGGAAAGGCCCCTCACCCAGCCCCAGCCCTCCCAAAGGTTCGTACGACCCAGGCGAAACATGTGTCGCAGACAGCCATTCTTCCATCGGATTTTCACCAGGTCTTGATCTGCGGGACGGGAGCGGAGCATCTGTCTGGGAGCGTCGCTCGTCGATACTCGGAGCTGAGGCAGCGTTTGTGGAAGGGGATTTGTGTTGTGAGAGTGAGACATGAGAGTCTCTTCGGGCTGAAGAGGCAGCTGTCTCCGATACCACCGGAAGCGCAGGTTGTTCATCGGCAGGTCGAGTCGGTCGCTCCGCCACCAGCTTGGTCTCTGTCAGTCGGGATCGGGCGATGCGGCCTCTCTTCCTACGTTCGCGCGTGAATTCGCAGCGAATATCGCTGCGCAAACAGCGTGAACATGGGAAGGCGCGGTCGCAACGAACGCGGCGCAAATGGCAGGAGTCGCATGCGATGCGATTCCGTCTCCAACGACGTTTGGTGATAATCCCGTTCGTCGACTCTTCGACGGCGGTTGCTGGAGCGTTGGATGCCTGGGCGTCCCCCGACTGATCCATTTCAATCCGACATTGGTGGGTTGGGAAGGCGAGAGGATTCAAGATGGGGTGGTTGACTGCAAGTCCCTGAAGAAAATGAGGTCGGCTAGATCACTAAGAAGCACAGGCAAGAAAGGAATTAGCAATTTAGCCAAGACGAAAGGAAGCGAGAGCGAGGACACTAGTCTCAGACTTGTCCAGACCAGCCGGTTCGGAGCGGGGAAGCACAGTCACATTTGGCTGATCACGGGTCTTGAAATACGATGCTGCTGACGACGAGTTCTTGATTGAAGCGGAGACTGAAAGAGGGATATGCTAGAGTCAAAAGGACACTGCACAATATGGTTCTTGGTAAGGACTGATGGGTGAGAATTTAGTTCGAGGGTCCGAAGAACAGTCAGTCAGTCAACGCGGAGGATATCCAGTGGATGGTGGGGAAACGAGCGAGTCTACAAGCCAAGGTACGGTTCGGTGGGAACGGGAGTCGGAAATATTGGAGACGCTCCTCCGCACTCTGCATTTCTGCACGCACCACCCACCCGCGCGACCAAGGATCATCTACAGTTTAATTTTCGATGGCACGTGTGAGGCTTCTGTGTCAAGTGACTAGTTATCAGCCCATTGAAGTTCTTTCAGACTGGCAATCCCATCATCACAGTACTCACTCCGTTTGGGTAGGGTGAGTTTCCACTGTACAGTACCAGTGCTAGGTCATAGGCCTCGGCTACTTTGCCCGGGTCTTTTCAATCGATTGGTTGGAAATTATTATTCTATAGTCCTGCCCGGAATATACCTATGGAGGTAATAGTCTGGCTCTGGCTTCAATGACCCTGAGCTGCTTTATAACGCGCCAACGCGCGATCTCGACTCTTTGCGTGATCCACAATCGGTCGCGGATATCCGTTTTTCTTGGCGATCTCGCCCGCTCCGCGTCCATACGGATCATGAATCGCAATTCCCTCCACCTCCCGAAGCTCCGGCACCCATTTCCGAATATATTCTCCCTCCGGGTCAAACCGTTCACTCTGTCGGATGGGGTTGAATATCCGGAAGTATGGTTGAGGGTCGACACCAGTACTCGATCCAAAGCCCCAGCCGCCGTGGTTAGAGGCAAAATCGCCATCTATTAGATGTTCCATGAAATAGCGCTCTCCACGCCGCCAATCGATCAGCAGGTCCTTGGAGAGGAAGGATGAAACCACCATGCGGCCCCGATTGTGCATCCATGCAGCATGATTCAGCTGTCGCATCGCAGCATCGACGATCGGGAATCCAGTCTTGCCCTGACTCCAAGCGCCGAACTGTTCTTCGTTGTATTCCCATTCCAGGTTTGTGAATTCCGGCTTGAAACATTTGTTCATACTAGTACGTAGTTATTGTCAGCTAAATCACTCGCAACACATCAAATGAGCGGACCAACCAAATGAAAGGCCAATTGACCAGGACATGCTTGTAAAAGTCCCGCCAGGCTACCTCACTGATCCATGACATGTAGCCCGATTGATTACGGTCGAGGAAGCCTTTGTTTAGTTTGCGCGCCTGGTCTATAGCCGTTCGTGCACTGAGACAGCCAGATGAAAGATAAGGACTGAGAACAGACGTGGTTTCCCCGCTCAAACTGTTGCGCTGGTCACCATAAGCCTTCGCTTTTTCTTCCAGGAAAGCCTCGAGCCGACGCAGGGCTTCATGTTCGCCTTCCGGGTATAAATGACGGAAGCGTTCTTTTTCTTCCTCGGAAAGAAGCTTATTCTTCGGCGCATTGGGGACCTCGCTACCAAACAGTTCCTTGAAATGCTTCCGAGCATCACCCGGGTTAGATCCCGGCTCCTCCGCCACTTCGAGATATTCCGGATTCTCTCTGAGAAACGCACACCAGGCGCGGAACCATGGACTATAGACAGCATACTGCTTGCCCTGCTGACTGTGAAGCTTTTCAGGTGTGACAACACAAGCATCGTGGGCGGCCTCGAATCGCACACCGTTGTCGGCGCACATGCGGACCAACTTCGCCTCGCGGCGCAGCTCGTCGACCTCGTACTCCATGTTCGCAAAGAGATGGTTCGCGCCCCAATCCTTGCACAGATCCACAATACGCTGGGGGATGTCCTTGCGCTTCTCTTGCGTTTCCATATAGAGGGGGATGTCCAGCTCATTCAGATCTCGCTTCAGAACGCCCAGCGTACGTAACGTGAAGTCAACACGCGCCGGACTGGATAGATGTGCAGTCAAATCCTGAGGAGACAAGATGTACAGGCATATCAGGGGGAGTTTGTGCTCGCGCGCCACTTGATACGCCATCTGCAAGCCGCGGTTATCGTGCAGTCGCAGGTCAGATTTGAACCAGTGTACAACCGCCGAACCAGGCTGGACGGCTTCGCGCGCGTTCAATGTGTCTTGGTAGGAGTGCTGCAGCTCCTCGATAGGTCGCTCTAATGTCCCATCATTGTATGCGTGCACCCGCTCATTGCACATCTCCGGTGGGTAGTATTCTCGTAACACGATGCCGAAATCCTCGGTGTCCTTCGCGTGGGGATGCGGCCGCGACAGGTCGGGTTTGCCACGCTTGGTCGCGGGTGCGGTGCCGTTTGCGAACTCGGATCGAGCATCTGAGCTGCTAAATGTCTTGCGCTTTTGGCGTGGCATTGTAGGATAAGGCGATAGAGAAGAGTTGACAAGGTAACGGATTCGCGTAGCGCGACAGTGAAGCAAAGTGGACAATTGCGTGGGAGGGAGTAACGCGCTTTTCCGCAGCATGTCCTCAGCAAACACAAAGCATTTTTTTCCCACGGCAAGATCTGGGCGGAGACACAGGGGCTTGAAGGAATTGAGATCGAGGCCGATCGGATCGAGCGCGATCTGAAATGCCCTCGGTCCGATGACGTCAAACACCCTGCGCATACCCTCTCGCGTCTTCAGGTTGAGTTAAAGAATTGAGCCATAGTTGACGGACAAAAAGTCCACCGTCTGAGAGCAGAATCATTTGAGAGGGTGTTGGGTGAGGTCTCACAGTAAATCTTGTCTGCATTTTCTTAGAAGCCAGCATGGTGAGTGGCATTTATGTCGATCTTCTCCATCCCAAGGTCACTATTAGTCAACTTGGCACTGCCGGCAGGACCCTGACCGCTCCGCCGAGGTTTTTCACCGCCTGCTGACTATCGATTGCTTTTGTGGAGCAAAACCAGAATTGTCAATCATTTGACATATACCTCGAACATCCATGTGGCTCAATCCGGGAAGTAGGATTCTGTCATATAAGGGAGCCAAGGGGCTTCACATCATTGACCATGCTCACATTGACCATGCATCATATCACACCATGGGGCCAACGGTCAACCTTTTCTTCACCCGGACTTTCCCCACAAAATGCGGGGAAATCGAACCTCCCGGGGTTTCTTTGGCTACCTCCCATGGCGTCACCTTTCTCCTATCCCCACGAGTCCTCAATTCAGTCGGTATTTGGATCTCCAGTTCGGGAGAGATTCAATTCTCCTCTACTTGAGCTTTGACTATCACCAGAATGATATTCCTTTGTTATATTAGTTCTAAGTCCAGTATACATCCTGGGAGAGCTGCCGCTTCAACTGCCGCATTAACCCCACACGGATTTCTATAGTATCAGCTGCATAGTCTCCACTTATCTGCCAAGATCTGACTCTGAGGGGTTTTGATGTAGTGAGCTTCAACTCGGTTGGAGTTTTCCCCGAGTCTGCTTGCATTCGGGTGTCGATTGCCCGATGGACTGCCATCTCTGTCCAGATGTCAAGCCAGGGGCGCTCGTGCGACACTTATATAGACCCCGATCTGGCTCGGGAAAGGGCAAGCGAATCTCTATAATTCCAGACACATCACAGCCTCAAGATGCTGTGGTCATCGTGGATATTGAGTCCGGCTCTGGTGGCCATTGTCGCGCGCGCCATCCCTTTCGAAGAATATATTCTTGCCCCTCACTCCAGGACTTTGATTCCCTCTACGGTGTGTCAAGTGGAGGGAACCGTTGACAACCCGGACGCTCTCACTGATTCAACGTTGGATCAGACCACTCTGCATGGCAAGTCATCCGTGACATATGATTTTGGTCGCAACATTGCCGGTCTTGTCTCTCTGCATGTCGCTTCGAGCTCCGCAGAAGCAGCCCAAGTTGGAGTCACTTTTACAGAGTCCAATCTCTGGATCAGCAGTGAGGCGTGTGATGCTACCGCTGATTCCGGCCTTGACTCGCCACTCTGGTTCTCTGTAGGAGGCCCGGGCATATATACTGCGGACAAGAAGCACCAGCGGGGCGCATTCCGATATCTCACCCTCGTCAATAATTCTACCGCTACTGTGTCTTTCGAAGCTCTCACCATCAACTACACGGCTGCTCCGACTCAGGATCTTCGCGGATACAAAGGTTACTTTCACAGCAATGATGAGCTTATCAACCGGATCTGGTATGCAGGCGCTTATACCTTGCAGCTCTGTACCATTGATCCCACCGCCGGAGACTCTTTGGTCTGGCTAAGTGCCATCTCTTCCTCTGACAACATCACCCTTCCGCAAACTGATCTGTGGTGGAACAATTATACTATCACAAACGGCAGTAGTACTTTGGTTGACGGAGCGAAGCGTGATCGCTTGGTCTGGCCGGGTGACATGTCGATTGCTATCGGAAGTGCAGCAGTCAGCACTGCAGATCTGGGAAGTGTTCGAACGGCTCTGGAGTCTTTGTTTGTGCTTCAAAAAGCTGATGGCCGACTTCCATATGCGGGAAGGCCATTTTTGGACATAACAAGCTACACGTACCACCTCCACAGTTTGATTGGCGCCTCGTCCTATTATCTATACACTGGAGACCGAAGCTGGATCACCCGTTACTGGGGACAATACAGAAAAGGCCTGCAATGGGCTCTATCGAGCGTTGATGATTCTGGTCTGGCCAATATCACTGCCAGTGCCGACTGGCTACGATCTGGTATGGGAGGACATGTAAGTATTCATAGTCAAAGCAGGATGTACCCCACCGTTGACCAGGGGGCGGTGCTAACTTCGGGCAGAACATTGAGGCCAATGCGATTCTCTACTACGTCCTCAATGATGCCATCGCTTTGGCAATTTCTCTCAACGATCGCACCAGTGTGGGCAACTGGACCATCGTCGCATCGAGAATCAAAGCGGCTGCCAATACTCGCCTATGGGATGCACAGAATAATCTGTACCGTGACAATGAGACTACGACTCTTCATCCGCAAGATGGCAATGCTTGGGCCGTCAAAGCGAATCTCACTCTCTCTTCCAATCAATCTGCTGCGATTTCCTCTGCTCTAGCGGCACGCTGGGGATCTTATGGGGCACCCGCACCTGAAGCAGGATCCACGGTATCTCCCTTCATCGGCGGATTCGAACTACAGGCGCATTATATGGCCAATCAGCCGAACCGAGCCCTTGACCTCCTGCGTCTGCAATGGGGATTCATGCTGGATGATCCTCGCATGACCAATTCTACTTTCATTGAAGGCTACTCCACCGATGGATCCCTGGTCTATGCACCTTATCGGAACGCGCCGCGAGTGTCTCATGCCCACGGGTGGTCTACGGGTCCCACCTCTGCCCTCACAGACTACACGGCGGGATTGCGTCTGACCGGCCCCGCTGGCTTGACCTGGTTATTCAAGCCACAACCTGGTAACCTTACTCGAGTCGAAGCAGGGTTGGAAACACCGTTGGGACTATTCGCGACACAGTTCCAGAAGTCGGCAGCCGGCACGTTTCAGCAGTTGACGTTGACTACGCCTAATGGTACCTCGGGGTCGGTGGAGATTGCGGGTATCACTGGACAGTTAGTGTCTACCCAGGGACAAGTTATAAGATTGATCAATGGCAAGGCGAAGGGACTGCAAGGGGGTACCTGGACCCTGAAGAATCTCTAGGCAGAGTGCCTCGACTGTCTTTGAGTGGAAAGCTTGAGTGATATCTGTCTATTTGTGAGAAAGCAGCATTCTGCGTCACATCAGTGTCATGCAGGTTGCCTTGACAGTATCTCATGTGCGCCCTTACAGATATTTCACTGCTGAATGGAAAGAAAAAGTCACTCCATGTCACACGGTGTCTGACAATGTAATCCGCCCATCTTTGCCAAATCCATGTGCCTCAGAGCATGTCTTCATTTTGTCTCGCGACATCAGCTCAGGAAGTCTCTGTACAACCGACGTCATGGTGAGTCGTAAAAGCCTTGATGACCATTTGACTGTTTGGGGCCAACGGAACATTTGAGTCATCGCAGCAGCAGCAGCACTGCAGCCCATCCCACCTCCGTTGCCATCTCCTTCGCTCCTTCTCTGCTCCTCTACCTTCCTCACCAACTTGACCATTAAGAGGTGAACGCGATTTGCTTCTGTCTACACCAACCCAAACAATGTACCCTTCATGCTCGTTTTGTCTCCTCGGCTTCCTCACGCTGGTATCTGGATTTGCGTTAAACCCTGGTGACTCGGTGACGATTCCAGGCTGGTACCTTCAGTCTTCAGTTCAAGCCAGAGAAGATGCACGCAAGCTTTCGCAGCCTGATGTCAAGACCGACTCATGGCACCGCATCGGTCCACGCAGCACTGTGATGGCTGGCTTGCTTCAAGCTGGAGTTTACAACGAGTCGGAACTTTTCTACTCGGACCATATGAATGGCGTGGTACTATCCGACTTCCTGTCTCCATGGCTCTATCGTGAAGAGTTTGGCCTACAGGTTCCACCCCGAGGCGATCACATCTTTCTTGTCACACATGGTATCTCATCCAAGGCTGATCTCTACCTCAACGGCGCACAAGTTGCCTCCAGCGACTATCAACAAGGAAGCTTTGGCGGCCACCAGTATGACGTTACGGCACACGTTCGCTCTGGAAAGAACGCCCTTGTCGTCCAGGCTTACCCGACAGACTACCACGCTGATTTTAGCCAGGGATTTGCAGACTGGAATCCTGCTCCACCAGATAACGGCACGGGTGTTTGGCGAGATATTGAGCTGAAGCAGACCGGGCCTACCTCATTGTCTCCAGTTCGGATCGTCACCGACTTCAAGACCGCACCCAACGAGCGAGCCACGGTGTGGGTGATCACGGATGTCACCAACCACAACAACGTGCCTTTTCAGGGAGCTCTTCAAGGTATCATCGAGACGGACCAGGATGTTGGCATGCAACAGCGGATTCCTTTCTCTGGTAATGTTCGACTGAAGCCAAATGAACATGCCACCGTCTCGCTTCCCGTGGTTATTCCCAACCCACAGATCTGGTGGCCTGCCACCTGGGGCCGTCAGTCGCTCTACGCTGTTCAGCTCAACGTAACCACTCTCCAGGGGACAGTCTCAGATCGGTCCCGACGCTCAACCTTTGGAATTCGCCACGTCAAATCTCAGCTCAACTCCAACAAAGATCGCTCATTCAGTATTAACGGCCAGTCATTCCACGTGCGCGGCGCGGGCTATGCACCCGACCTCTTTCTCCGCTTTGACATCAACCGCATTCGCGCCATCTTCCGCTACGTGCTTGATATGGGTCTCAACACGATTCGACTCGAAGGCAAGCTCGAGCATCCAGAGTTTTATGATCTAGCAGACCGAATGGGAATCATGGTTTTGGCTGGTTGGGAATGTTGCGACAAATGGGAGGCATGGGAGGTATGAACCCCCTTTGTCTCACCTTCACGCGCGTAGATGTTTCACGCCCCCTGCTGACCTTCACGTGTATCTAGTACAACCCCGACAGTGAAGCCCGCCAGTGGACTTCAACCGACTACACCACTGCCTATCACCAAATGTACCACGAATCAGCCTACCTCCAAACCCACCCATCCCTCCTTGGCTTTATCTTGGGATCCGACTACTGGCCGAATGAGCACGCTACCGCCCAATTCCTCAGCGCCCTTGAACAGACCAATTGGACCAATCCAATCATTGCCTCTGCCTCCGGCCGTGGAAGCCCCCCGGCGTTAGGACCCTCGGGAATGAAGATGCTAGGGCCCTACGACTGGGTGCCTCCGAACTATTGGACTGCGAACCCGCAGGACCAAGACATCACAGAATGGGGTACCGCCTACGGCTTCGGATCCGAACAAGGTCCCGGCGTCGGGACGCCCACTTTCCCGTCCTTAACACGATTCCTGAGTCCAGCCGACCTGCATAATCTTTGGAGCCATCCATCGGCGGGATCATATCATCTGTCACCACCAAGAGCTGGGGAATTTCATACCCGCAAGCTCTACAACACTGCGCTTTTCCGCCGATATGGGACGCCCACATCGTTGGAGGACTATCTCCAGAAAAGCCAGATGATGGACTACGAGGCCACACGGGCAGAGTTTGAGGGGTTCACAATGAACCAAAATTCCAGTAGGAATGGGGGCCGCCCCGCCATGGGGGTAATCTATTGGATGCTGAATAGTGCGTGGCCGAGTCTGCATTGGCAGCTGTTCGATTACTACCTTCGTCCTGCTGGGGCGTATTTCGGGACCAAGGCGGCCGCAGCGCAGGGGGAACATGTGGCTTATGACTACGTGAGCCAGGACATTCGTGTGGTGAACAATCACCACCAGCCGACAAGTGGCAGACACAGAGACAAGAGGAGGGTAGAGGTCGAGTTGATCACGGCCGCTGATGGAAAGACAGTGGACAGGCAGGTGGTGGTTGGAGTGGATGAGACGGAGCCGGGAGCTTCCATCCCTATAGCCAACGTGGCAGATGCCGTGAATCAGCTTTCCGGAGTGGGCTTTCTGAAGTTGCTGCTCAAGGACTCGGCCAACGGGTCCGTGCTCAGTCGCAATGTGTACTGGGTGACCAAGAAGAACGATATCTTGGACTGGGAGAAGACGAATTGGTATACCACTCCGGTCTCGCGGTACGCGGACTTTACCGGGCTGAGCACTCTGCGAATGGCCAGTGTGTTGGCGCATGTGAACCGAAAGCAGACCACGGAAGATGGGTCAACATTGGAAGTGGCATTGGAGAATAAGGCCGACATTCCAGCTTTCTTCATTCGTTTGACGGCCGTTGACGCGGCAAATCGACAGGAAGACGAGGTGGACGGAGAAATGGCTCCGGTTATCTGGTCGGATAACTACGTGACGCTTTTTCCGCGAGAGAGTCTCAAACTGACGGTGCAGATTCCGCGGAAAGATGGATGGAGGATGGTCATGACTGGGGTGAATGTGAAGAAGAGCGTGGTTGGTCGAGGATGAGTGATGGGGCTTGCTTTGCTATGCTGCTATACCTGAGCGATTATTGCTTGATTTATGGCTTTGGGAGTTCACTTTGCAATTTGATTGGATGATTGTCCACCAGTGTATACCCTGGCAGTAAGCGAGTCGAGATGCGTAGAGTAAACCCTATGCTTGTCGCAGTCGGAGATTGCAAGGCATCGTGTGGTCGGATTGCTTCATAACTAAAAGTTAACGTTATAGATTGTCTGGCCTGAAACGTGTACTGTACTGTACTGTACTGTACTGGCCAAGACATCGATCTTGGTGTGGAACCCTCGCTACGCTGTGGCAACCTGAGACTATGTACAGTGGATAATGTACAGTGGAGTACATACAGTACACGTCTACAATCCCCCAAGACCTCATAACTCATGGAAACCGCAACGAGAATGGAGTCAGAAAAGAATTTCTGGGAGATGGATGTGTTTATGCAGTCAGTACATGCAGCTCTTCCGAACCTCTGCATGTCCCACTTCCATTTCCACTTACTTGGAATGTTACAAATGCAAAGCCAAAGAACGTGCGGAATCTCGCTGCGGAGCTCCCACCTTCAATGTCAACATATGAGGATCAAACTATTCTAGCCTGGAATTCTGTTTTAAATGATCGTGAGTTGGCTCCAACACCTTCAGCAGTGGGTTGTCACCACATCCAGAATTCACTCCTTTCACTGGACGCCATGACGCCCTTGATGCTCTTATCACTGTCTCTCATTCTCATTCTCCCCGTCCTTGCTCATGCTGGCGACGACTATTTTACAGTCGGGGATCTCAACCAGTACGCATCTCATATGCATGGCCTGGCGGTGGGAGCCTTCGCCGTCTCCTGGCTGTTCTTCGCCAACGAGGCCATCACGACCGATAACATGATCCCATCCGCCGCGCGACAAGGGGGTGCAAATGCCACAGCATGTCAATCACAGAGCACGAATGCAAGTGTCATCCCATGGGCACCCCAGGCCGCATGCAACACCATTTGCTCGACCGTGACACCGTGCGACGCGCAAAACATCACCACCGCAACAATCACGGGGCGCGGTGCCAATCCGACAAGGGATCCACCAGCCGCACAAGGGCAGCAAATTGCCGTGGCATCATACATCAATCCCCTCAGTGACCCGGCTGCATGGGATCGGTTGATCCAGTACGATGCGCACAAGATGCCTATCTTGGTTGCCAACGTCGTAGACGGTCCGGGTTCAGCGGTGGATGTCCACTGGCAGGATGTGATTCAACGCGCTGCGGATGCCAACAAAACCGTGCTTGGCTATGTGCGAACGGGATATCTGGGCATCAGCGATCAAAAGTTCCAGACGCGGCTGGGATTGGGCGGACTCGCGGATTGGGCCGCCCAGATCGAAGAGGATGTCGATATGTGGTACGCGCTCTATGGCGACCGGATTGGCGGCATCTTCTTCGACGAAGGCTGGCCCAACTGCGGTGACGAGAACGAGCACGTGAACCTGTACAAGTATATCAACGCCTATACCAAACGTGCGCATCCCGGTGCCTATACCGTGCTCAACCCCGGGTCACCGATGGCGGCTTGCTTCGAGGATAGCATGGATACCCTGCTCACATTCGAGCAGGGCTACAACGCGTATCTCAACCACTACGTACCCAACAATTGGACTCCCCAGGACCCGCGGAAGCTGTGGCACATCGTCTACAACGTTACCGAGTCCGCGATCGGCGACGTGCTCACGTTGGCCAACGAGCGCGGCGCGGGCTTCCTGCAACTCACCAATGACGACCTACCTAATCCTTACGACACGCTGCCGGAGGACTCGTACGTCCAGAGCATGTTGAATGCAATTCGCGGTGGCTCACTGCTGATTGCCGACGCCGTCGATTGGGGGTCGGGTGGTGCGGCAGGAGGGGTCGCTGACCTGACGGTGGTAAGCTCCGACGATACTTCCGCAACGCTGTCCTGGACCGCGGCCACCAATGCTCAGGGATATTATGTGTACATGGATGATCGTCTTGTTGCCAGCATTCCCAGCTCGATGACCGAGATCACGATTGGGAGCTTAGTGTCTGGAAGCAGATTCACGGGGTACGTCTGCGCTGTGGGAGAAGGGGGAAAGGAAGGCTCGGCTTCGAACCAGGTCACCGTCATCACCAAGTCTTTAGTCCCTGACGGGCAGACTGTCATACAAGCATGAGACCGCTCGAACTGCGTGCGATATCGTCACCCAGGCCGGCTACTCTTTCGTGCGCCTTGACCAACGTCGCCGCCGCGTTCTCCAAGACCCTCCGTGACGCGGTCTTTACCGCGACCAGCCGGGGCTCGAGTTCGGTGCTCGGCAACCAGACAGCGGGGCACACCATGATTGAGGTTCCCCTTCGTCCAGGTGCACTGGGAGTGGATCGCGCTTCCGGCTCTGGGTTTGGCTCCTGAGCTGCACCGTCTGGATCGGACACGGCTGTTCAGACGCGGCGGTCGCGTCTGCATACGTGGGGGGACGAACCCGCTGCCATTACTGATTTTGTACCGCGAGGAGAGCACGGGAGGGCAAGCAGAGGATGGGGGTGGAGCCGAGTGCGTTCCGCAGCCGTTCCCGCCCCCGTTCATCCGACGAACTGGACAACAAGTGCGCTTGACCACGCGGCGGAGAATATCCGGGTGAGACTGGTCGCCACGGGGAGATGATGTACGGTTGTGCGATGATTGATGTATCCTTCCATTCATTCATTTGTCTGGCAGTGTGGTATAGTTGTCGGTACTGTCCGTATCCTAGCGCGCTTTCCCCTCAGGAACGCCAGTGAGGAGTCTCCATCGTCTCTCTTCCCGTCAGTTACTTGCACATGGAGCCAGTCCGACAGTAAGGAGACTTGGAGTCTTGCGGGGGTGGTTAGATCGACCCTTGAAGAGTTACCGGTCGGTAGAGAATGGAGAAAGCCCAGCGATACGGGCTGTTTCCGCTTCTACCTACCTAGATGTCAATGGCCATCAAACAGGTTGTAGGCTACAATGGGGGGTGATGATCCCCTAGCGGTTATAGTTCTATGCGTACAGTATCCGTATTGAAGTAATAGTTATTGAAATGAAAGTAAGAAAACAACACCTCTGAATTTGATGATACTCTGAACTTTCTGAGAGAATACCTGTTATAGCACTAGTGTTTCAGAAAAGGAGTAGTTTACGCACTGTTTAGGGAGCCTACTCAGGTTAGATCATTAACCCTAGTAAGTAAAAGTTGCAGAAAGATCACTGCATTGACTCAGTGAGTTAGGAATCCAGGAGCAAATATGTAACCAGGGTATATCAAGTCTGAACGTGATATATACACACCTCCTACCACTCAACATCTCGCTAAAACTGCTTCACCACGCGCTGGAACCGCGGCGGCTTCCGCATGAACCGCTCGGGCTCGTCCCTCGCCCCCTTCTTCCAGTAATCATACTCCATCCAGGCATTCTCGGGCATCTGGGCCTCGGTCGCCTCGAGGAACTCGCCCAGCTCCGGACTGAGCGGGATGACCCCGGTCTCGAGGACATACTGATCCCAGAGCTTGAGGAGCTGCTGCAGCCGCTCGGGGAAGGTCTCGGCCAGGTCGTGGATCTCGCCGGGGTCCTGGGCCAAATCATACAACTGCCAGCGGCCCGGCCCCTGCGGCTTGGGGATATACACGATCTTCCAGTCGGCGAAGCGCAGGGCGGCGCGCCCGCACGTCTCCCAGCCCTGGATGAACTCCTTCTCGTGGATGCGGTCGCGGGTGCCGGTCGCCCAGGGGTAGAACGAGCGGCCGCGCAGGGGCACCACCTCGCGTCCCCGGTACCGCGGCGCCGGATGGGCGACGCCCGCCATCTCGAGGATGGTCGGGGCGAGATCCATGACGGTGGCGAACTGGTCGGTGATCCCGCCGGCGCGCACATGCGCCTGCACCGCGGGGTCCGCCGCGGGGAACCGCGCCAGGAAGGGCACATGCACGCCGCCCTCGGTGGTGTACGCCTTGTACAGCCGGGAGGGGGCGGTGGCCGCCTGCGCCCAGCGCGGCCCGTACCAGATGAACGAGTTCCCATTGCCCAGATTCTCCAGACGGTTGTCGTAGTACTTCTGCAGGTGCGGCATCACCCCGCTCTGCACCATCGGGTAGGCCTCGTAGGCGGCGCCCTCGGCCCCGTTGTCCGACATGAAGCAGACAAAGGTGTTGTCCAGTTCCCCGATCGCGCGGAGGTAGTCGACCACCCGCCCGACGTTGGCGTCGATGCACTCCACCATGCCGGCGAAGACCTCCATGGCGCGGGCCGAGAGGGCCTGTTCGTGCGGGGTGAGCTCCTCCCAGGGTTTGGTCTCGTCGGCGACGACGGGGTGGGCTTCGACGTCGGGGCGCACCAGCCCCAGGGTTTTGAGGTTCTGCAGGCGCTGCTGGCGGAGGGCGTCGGGGCCGGCGGCGTAGACCCCCTCGTAGTGGGCGATGTATTCCCTCGGGGCTTGGAGGGGCCAGTGCGGCGCCGTGAAGGGGAGGTAGGCGAAGAAGGGCGGCCGTTGCCCTTGCCCCTGCCCCTCCTTATCTTCTTCTTTATCTGTCTTCCCCGGTGTCCCCTCAAACCAATCTCTCAGATACTCACACATCTTCTCCCCATACCCATTGGAACTATACCACCCCTCCGGCAACCGCCGCACATACTCCCCATCCTCCATGTGGAGGGCAATGAAACTCGCCTCCAGAAACTCCGGCGTCTCATCGTCCCCCTGCAGCTGGGGCTCGAAAGCGTAGTGGTTCGAACAGGCCGGGAGGTGGGCCAGACTGCGCGCGAAGCCGCGGTTGTGGGGGGCGCGGTCGGGGGTCAGGCCGAGATGCCACTTGCCGGCCATGAGGGTGTGGTAGCCGGCATCCCGCAGGAGTTCGGGGAGGGCGACGACCCGCTCGTTGAGGTACCCCTCGTAGCCGGGCATGCCGCGCTGCGGGGCGGTGGAGTGGCCTGCGTTGTTCTGGCCGGTGATGTTGGTCCATTCGATGAGGTTGCCCAGGCCGGCGATGTGGTGGTCTGTTCCTGTCATTATCATGGCCCGCGTGGGTCTGCGATTGTTAGTATGGGGGTTGAGTTTGTGGCCAGGAAGCTGAAAGAAAAGGGGGGTCCGGGGGTTCTCCCCCGGAAAGCCTTATATTGAGAGAATATAAGATGAAGTGGGCTCCAGGAAGCTGAAAGAAAGGGGGGTCCCGGGGTTCTCCCCCGGGAAGCCCGTTGTGGAGAGATTGAATATATAGTATCAGGCGGAGTGAAGGTAGGACCTACGAGCAAGCCGCCGCAGCATGAAAATCGGTAAATCGCACCCCCTCCGCCGCCAGACGATCCAAGTTCGGGGTGCGGATCTCGCCCCCGTAGCAGCCAATGTCCGAGTAGCCCAGGTCGTCGGCGACGATGACGAGGAAGTTGGGGCGTTTGGCTGTAGATGCCATGGCTGTCTGGGGATGATATTTGGGGAGAAGAAGGGTAACGTTATGTTAGCTGGATGAGAGGTGGATTCTGGTTGTGTTGGTGAGGAGGCATAGTATACGTATTTAAGTGCTATGCACCCCGCACGCAACGCGGAGGTCTACTAACACACCGTACACCGTACACAGTATACAGGAAGTATACCTCCGTCGTCTATCGGGCATCGGCTGAGAAGCACTGGATGATGGCAGCAGATCAGCGGGGATGGCGACATAGTGGCTCTATCCGGCCAATCACTGGTCCAACATAACCCCCGCCGATTGCGAATTCGGCTATCGGCTATTTGACTGGATGTGGTTGTCAGTCAGTATGTCCTGCAGTGCATTGACATGAAGGGTGGTCTGATCAAGAGGAGGAAAGTGGAGGTGGCTACGACAGGTCGACGCTACAAATAACAATCACAATCAAGCAAAGACATCCATTGGCAGAAAAGCTCCTCCTGTTCAACCGTAGATCCAGTAAAATCGAAGACGCCCTTTTCCCACCAGATCCCAGTAAATCATTCAAATAGTCAACGCCATCGTATCAGTCATTCAGAATCATGCAGCGTGCACCCGCTCCGAGACATCGCCCACCGGACTCCCCCTTGCGCTGCTGGGAATGCTGTCGCGACTGCCCGGACCCCCAACCCCCGTACCACTCGACACATTCCCCTCGCCCGCCATGTAGAACCGCTTCAGCGGACTCTCCCCCCGGGCCGTCGATCCCAGCGCATCCAGCTCCGTCATCCCCAGCTGGCTCTGCGACTTGATGAACGAGCCGCGGTCGTCGCGCATCGGCTGGTATCGCAGATCCGGGTTCTTCGAGAAGATGGCGAACCCCGAGGTGACCAGAACCAGCACCAACAGAACCAACACAAAGGCCGCGTTGTACACGAAGAAGATCACCCCCATGACGCCCGTCACCAGTCCCGGCTGGTCGAACACCTGCGAGAAGAACAGCAGGAAGATCGCATTCAGAAAATTGATCGCGCCGATCGCCACGTTGTATCCGTTGGTTTTTCGGTCCATCCACGGGCGCAAAATGCTAATCGCAATTAGCATCGACGTCTCGATGATCACCAGGGCGACCGTCTGCACAATCGGCGCCGGCTGGCTCAGGCCGATGAACAGCGCTTTGACCAGGACATACAGCATGGCGGGGACGAGGAAGTAATAGGCGGTGGCGCGGTACTGGACGTACAGAAACCCCAGCTTGTTCAGACACGTCTCGTCCGAGTACAGGATAAACGCGGGGTTCCGATGCATTCCCACCGAGTTGCGCGCGATGATGATCACTTGGACCGCCGCCCAGCCCAAGGCACCCACCACGGACAGCAACATGACCGCCGCCAGAAGCACTTCCGCCGCGGAATCATGCTGGGTGAACTCCCACAAGCACAGAACACACATCTGGGGGAACCCAATCTGCATCATCCGATACAAGATCCCCTTGGACACATGAAAGTCGGCGAACTGGTCCCGTTTGATCTTTCCGTGTCGCGCCAGCAGCTGGGACACAGCCTTCAAAAGCCCGACGATGATCATCACCACCGCGACGCCAAACACAAAGAAGATCAGCCCGGTCAGGAAAATGTTGGTCCCCTCAATCCCCGCCGTAAACCCGACCCGCTTGATCCCACGGACGACGACGGTCCCGGTCTTGGCCGTGTTGCCCTGGCTGTCCCGCTTGAAGAGGCCGAGGGCCGCGCGCTCGATCGATCGCTTCTTGCGCCGCATGACCTCCACCGACACTGTCGACAGCTCCGAAAGCACCGTGCCGGGAGTGCCGCCCGTGGCCCGTTGATACCAGGTACAGATCCGCTCCACAAAAGTCACTCGGATGATCCCCATGCTCCACTGGAAATTCTGCGTCCAGGCGGTGACGATGGGCGGCATGTGAACCGAAATCATGCCGAACATCGCCTGCGCTTGCATGAAACCGAAGAAGGCCAGCACGTTGGCGGCGACGTGGGCGGCGGTGTTGGAATTGCCCAGACTGGCCGTGACGGCGGACGCGATCAGGCCAACTCCCGAGATGACGGCCGTGGCCCATCCCACGCCTTTCTGATAGACGGTCTTCCCATTCGACAAGGTCGCTTCGAGGCAGGCGATGCTTTCTCCGCCGGCATCGGTGGAGTTGATGTACACGCGGACGGAGGCATCCAGATCGGGAACGGTATATGCGATTCCTAATTAACTGCCCAGTCAGCCCGGGCACAGCTCAACCCAGCACCACTATGTGTTATGACTGTGGATTGAGGCACCCACCTGGGATCCTTTTGACGACGTCGTCAGGAATCACAAGGTTGGCATTCGCAACGTTGATGTCCCCCGCATTCATGGGGCAGAGACCGGGCAGGTTCATCGTGCACGGATTCAGGGTCTCGATGGTCATCTCATAGCCATAGACATAGATGACCACATCGGCGGTGACATAGCCGGAAATGGCCGCGACCCCATCGAAGCTGAGGGTCAGAGACTGGTTGTTGGGGGTGAAGCGGACGTTGAAATACGTGGCTGTGAAGTTCGGGCTGTTCTGGCAGAGGCTCAGCGCATTGGATTCGATCAGCCGGGTGGCCGACACCAACGTTGCGGTCGTGCAGGCGATCAGAAGACTGAGAAAACGGGATGACCACCACATTGTCGAAGAAGTGGCGCATCGGTAAGGGATTTGGTGATGAAAGAAGCGAAGGGGGGATGTGGGGGATGAGTGAATCGGATAAAAGAGCGAATGAGTGAGAAACGAGAGACGTGTGAGCGAGAGTGAGGGAGGGAGAGACTTCGACGCCTGATGATCTCGCAATCAATGATCAAGCGGTTTAGCGCCCGTCTGTCTTTAGTATTATATGTCTAAGAATAGCGACATGTAAGTAGCGTTGTGAATTTACTAGTCTACTGAGGATACGGAGGGGGGGGCTAGACTCTGGTTTATGAGTTTATTAGTTTCTCAGTACTCCATAGTCGGTGACAGATGACACCAGCGGCAGTCGAAAGCGAGTGGCTGTCGGTCGCATTATCCTAATATTGATGCTGGGGCGCTGACAAGACCACATGTAACATTGGAATATCCCCTTTCTGACCGATCTTTGTTCCGGTCCAATGTAATGTTGCAGCTAATAATATCGTCATCATCGGTGGGAAGAACACAGGGGGTACAATGACCCAGAAACAGAACACGGATAGACACGGGTCTGATCTTTTCAACCCATCAATGCTTCTGAATTAAGGACTAAGGGTACCCCTACTGGGCTGAATTACTGTTGGTCGGTGGTTCCAGACTGCCAATAATCATCCATCATCCATCAATCACCCAGTGGATCTGCTGCCAGTCCCTGAGCCACGTGATTCGTCTTGTTGGGGCAAGCCTGACTGACAGGCAGTCACGTGCATTCCCCACGGGGTCTGAGCCAGTCCCATTAGGAATTTCCTCAGTCTGCCTCTGCCAGTTGGTCGAGAATAGTTATGCTTATTCATTCATTAGATGCTACTTTTATATCCTTTTTGTAATACCCCCATGGAATCCCTTTCAAATCGTACAAAATTCATATCACGCCTAAGCACGGCTCAGGCTCTCACCCTCCTCGGCCTTCTGGAGACCGTACTTCTTCAGGCTGGGGTAACAGGTCAGCTCAAGCATTAGAAAGTTCAGAGGAATCAGCAGCATACCGGATGGACTGGATGGCAATGAAGCCGGTGGTGTCGGTGGGCTCGAAGTCCTCGAGAGAGTCCATCGAGGCCTCCTCAGCAGAGTAGAGCTTCTCGGTGCTGCTGGAGCGACCAAGGATGTAAGTGTGGCCCTTGTACAGGCGGACGCGGACCTCGCCGTTCACGCGCTGGGAAAATGTTAGCACCGAATTTCGTAAGTTCGGGCGGCATCCCGGATTGCCAGTACTGACCTTCTGGCTGAACTTAATGCTGTTCTCAATGAACTCACGCTCGGCACTGAAGTACCTATAAAAGAGTCAGTATCGTCAGTCGCCACAGTACCCATCCGGCGATACTTACAGGCCGTTGTAGAGCTGAATGGACCAGTTGTGGGTAACGAATTGGTCACGAAGAGCACGGACCTGACCGTCCAAGACAAGACCTAGTGACAATTAGCAAATCTCAGATAAGGCACCGACATCAAACATACCCTCGAGGTCCAGGTGGGCTTCACGCAGGATAGTCATAGCAGGAGCTAAGTGGCATGTCAGCAATAGTCCCTGATTTATGGTAACGAGTGCACGCCGTACAGTCGTAGCAGCCACGGCTCTTGAGACCGATGAAACGGTTCTCGACAATATCGATACGGCCAACACCGTGGGTGTAGCCGAGCTTGTTGAGAGCATAGAAAAGCTCGACGGGGTCGGTGTATTCCTTGCCGGGGGCAATGAGCTTAGTGGGAACACCCTGCTCGAAGTGGATGGTGAGGTCAACAGGCTCGTTGGGAGCAGTGAGAGGATCGGCGGTCATGGTCCACATGTCAGAGGGAGGGGTGATGTTGGGGTCTTCCAGAATGCCTATAGCAGAAACGTCGTTAGTCGAGTCCCACACATCTTGGTCCGCAGTGTACCTACCGGCCTCGTAACTGCAGTGGGCAGAGTTGGAGTCTAAGTTGCACGGTTAGCAATGTCCGGACAACCAGACAAAATTTCACGAACCCATGGACCAGGGCTTGGCCTATTGTAGTATGTTAGCATGATGCTCGGATCCACTATCAACGATGGCGGGTGCTCACCTTGGTAGAGGTGACAGGAATGCCGGTCTGAGCGGCGTAGTCAAGGAGATCGTTACGGCCAGCGAAACGCTTGAAGAACTTGGGATCACGCCAAGGGGCAATGATCTTGATGGAGGGCTGGATGGCATAAAAGGCCAACTCGAAGCGGACCTGGTCGTTACCCTTGCCGGTAGCACCGTGGCTGACGTATTGGCAGCCTTCGCGCTGGGCAGCGCGCATCTGAGCGCGGGCGATCACGGGGCGAGCCAAGCTGGTACCGAGAAGGTAGCGACCCTCGTAGATGGCATTGCACTCTGCTGAGAGTTAGCCGTGTCCACCACACAAGAAGCCGAGCATCGTACGAATGGCGGGGAAGCAGAGCTCAGTGATGAACTCGCGCTGGAGATCTTCAATAATCATCTTCTTGGCACCAATCTTCAACGCCTTGGCCTCGACAGCGGCCCAGTCCTCCTCCTGACCGACATTGGCGAGGAAGCAGACGACGTCGTAACCCTCCTCTGAAACAGTTGTTAGTCGGTCTTGAGGTGAAGCAAGTCATGGTGAGATATACCGATGAGCCAGCGCAGAATGCAGCTGGTGTCAAGACCACCTAGAATGGAAAACCGATCGTTAGCAGAGATCACCTTCGTCCTGGATCACTGGGCGCAAAGTGCGGGGTTGAAAGACGGGGAGACATACCGGAGTAGGCCAGACAGACACGGGGCTTTTCAGAGGCCATTTTGTGAGTGTGTGAAGAGGATGCGAGGTGAGAGATGAGATGTAGATTGGATTCGGAAGAAGAAGAGAAGCAACGGAGTGTGAAGCCGACTAATATAGGAATGCTAGATTCAATGGGCTGGAGTGACGGTCGGGAAGGGAAAGCTGGTGACTAACAGTCATTGACTCATCCCGGAGTCGGAGCTCTGGGGCCTTACGTAACTCAAACCCCAATTGTGGGCCAATGACCGGGCATAAGCGAGCACGTCCCTATCTATACTCCCCGCCGATATCTATGCCATAATTCGTCCAGATAATCGCCGATCTATGCTGCACCCGGTGGTTATCGCGAGGCTTGAGGGCAACGATCGCCGTCGCTAGCCATTGCAGTGGGCAAATCCTGCTTCAATAGTACGTTTGCCTCTACTGCGTTTTATGATATGTCTTATCCACCACACACTCACATTCAACAAGAACCTACATCCATCGAGCGTCGGCTCTACGTAATGATCCTAGTATAACTATAGGTGCGTCATATTGCTGGAACATCCGTCCCATCCATGCTTAATAGGTGGAAATATTCGTTGTCATAGTGAGAAACGAGGCCAATTCTAACCCGAAGGATTGCGCTCTAGATATTAAATGATATAGAAACCCCATGCTTTTGTTCGCCCCGAAACAGAAATCCCATAGCCAAGCCCAATGATATCTTACAACAACCCCTTAAGAACGCCAGTCTGCTCCAACACAGCCCGACGACTCGTCCCGCCGACTGCATCCTTGAGCTCAACAGCACGCTCATAATCCAGGCAAGCTTGTACGTCGTCGTCGAAGCGAGCGTCCACGGTCTTGAGCTGTTCCAAGGACAGCGTATCCATGGGCACTTGGTACTTCTCAGCCAGGGCAACGACCCGACCAGAGATGTGGTGACCCTCACGGAACGGCACGCCCTTGCGGACGAGGTAGTCGGCAATCTCCGTGGCCAGCATCTCGGGAGCAAGAGCGGCAATCATCTTTTCGGGGATCACCGTGAGGGTGGAGAGAACGCCGGTGGCAATCTGAATGCTGTCGCCAACGGTCTTGATGTGATCGAGGAGAGGCTCAACACTCTCCTGCAAATCCTTGTTGTAGGTGGTGGGAAGGCCCTTGATGGTACACATCAAGCCAGCCATCTGGCCGAAAGCACGGCCTGACTTCCCACGCAGAAGCTCCAGGCTGTCTGTAATAGTGCATTAGCATCTTTCGCATGGAACTACCGATAGCTAAAATGCCAACATACCTGCGTTCTTCTTCTGAGGCATCAACGACGAACCAGTCGAGTAAGCGTCCGACAAGCGGACAAAGCCGAACTCCAAGCTGCTGTAGATGATGAGATCCTCGGCCCAGCGAGAGATCTTCAGCATGAACGAGCTGCCCCATTGCATGGTCTCCATGGCAAAGTCACGGTCGGCCACAGCATTCATCGAGTTGTACAAAAGGCCTTCGAAGCCCAGCTCCTTGGCCATAGCCTCACGGTCAATGTGGAAGGGGTTTCCAGCGAGGGCGCCGGTACCGAGAGGGCTTCGGTTGACCCGCTTGGTCACCTCCCGCAAACGCTGCAACTCGCTAGCAAATGCGGTGGCATGCGAGAGGATCCAGTGACTCCAGCGGACGGGCTGGGCTTTCTGCAAGTGAGTGTAGCCAGGCATGAGGTAGTCGATTTCCGACTCGGCACGCGCAATGGAGACCTTGATGAGATCGCACAGGAATTGGTCAAGCTTGCGCAGTTCATCGCGGAGCCAAAGCCGCATGTCCGTGGCAACCTGCTCATTACGAGACCGACCGGTGTGCAATTTGCCTCCAATATCCTTGCCAATGATTTCCGACAAGCGGCGCTCGTTGGCAGTGTGGATATCCTCGTCATTTTCCTTCACAACGAAGCTGTTTGTGCTCCATTCCTCGGCAATCTGTTTGAACCCGCGTTCGATTTCGGCAAATTCCTGTTGGGATAGGATGCCGGTCTTGATGTTGGCACGGGCAAAGGCAATGGAGCCAGCAATATCCTGTCTCCAGAAGATGCGATCATAAGGCAGGGACTCGTTGTACTGGACCATTAGGGGGTCGAGACCCTCTGTAACGAGCAAAAAGGTACGTGTTAGTTGCAGACAAAGCCATTGAGCAAGGCAGGGGAGACAAACGGGTGAATCGACCACCCCAGAGCATATTCTCTGCAACAGCTTTAGGCGCGCTCATGTTGGCAAACAGATGTGAAGATGGAACGTGTTGTGAAGAAGAAGTTGAGTTGAGAGCTGAGGACAGAAGATAATAAAGGACGGCCGGGGGAAGTGGGGAAAGCAGGTATGACTCCTTCGGCTGAAATAGGCAAGTCTGATTCATCGCCTTAGCTTCCGGCTTGCGGGAGCGATATCGGCCCGAGGAGGAGACACCAGACCTAATGCGGCAAGGGCTCTTATCTTTGTCACGTGTAGTGAGCGGTCCTTGTTAGGGCTTGACAGAGTCAGTGACATACTGTAGGTTGAGAATGAAGGATGTCTGAGTCCACAACTGGTGGAGTCGACTAGTAGCTAGCTAGTATAAGTGACGATGAGAGAGATGTATCTATTGAAGTATAGATCCCTCGCACGCCAATCTCCAATACGAACCTCAACACTCCTGGACATTTGCTTACTAGTCGAGCGAAAGTCTGAAGGTACAACTCCGACTACGCAACCGTCCATCAACCACTTTGAATCCAATCTAGCCCGTATGCGTTGACACCGACTCGAGGTAAGAAGACTCACCGCCCTCGGCAGCCTTCAAAATCATGGCTCAATTCTCAATCTCACCTTCCCTTGGAAAGTGAGAAACTGAGAATCGACGCCCAATATGACCGACTCAGCTTCTACTCTCAGCTTCTACCCGCCATTCAAGCATTTAGTACGTGAGTCGCACCAGCACTGAATAGGACGAAAAGAGCCATTATGTCATGAATCCCTTCAGTATATTCTAGTGTATATTTTATAGAAGCACATGTCGAGTCGATTAATCTATATACAACTTTCAAGCAAGTAGGAAGCCTTTATGTATCAGATAACTTTTCTACCCTGGACAATAATAACAATCAAAATCGTGGTAAGATACAGGGTCCCTTTATATAAGCACTTGCTATAAAGGGTTAAACCATCCTAATGATACGATATCTACAGACCCAGAGCTTCAACTGTTCTCATTGCTTATTCAGTCTCCTATGAAGAAAACCAAGAGTAAAAGTCATGCAGAGCTGCACCTGTAAAGTGATGTACTGTCTTAGCCAATCTAGAAGGATTGCTGGCAGGATAGCTCAGTTAGAGCGAATATTCAGAGTTGATAATTTGATACAGGCGGACATGGCATGAGAGTCATATATCCTATTTTGGTAGCACTTGCTATGCACGTGACTCCGCGATTCTCCTCCGCGGAGTCAAGGCGGTGAGACGCGTGGATTCCTGCCCCGCCAACCAATGATGGGTCCCTGTCATAAATTATTTTGCTACAGATCGTTAAATCCGAGCACAACACTGAGGGGGGCTTCACTGTCCAAAATCATTGCAAATCTTGATCTCATTCACCTTGTAACACACCTCTCCGTGTTATGATTCTAGTCACCTGCTTTCTTCTCAGCTCCCCTCCTCATTCTCTCGCTCTTCCCGTCGACCTCGAAACCTTCCCCTCACCTTTCCTCTTGTCTTGAATCAACAACAACTCCTCCATGCACGAACAAGCCATCTGCCAGTCACTGGTGTAGTAGAAAGCCTTTCACAACCATCATCTTCGATACCCTTGGCGTATCGCGCTCGACACGTCCCGCCTGCGAGATGGTCTTTCTGCGACTCGGAGTTAAAATCTTTGCCCGCGAGCCGCTGTCCGGCTATGCTCGCGGAAAGCATGAATTCCGAGATCGTGAGCTGGACAGTTACTTGATGGTACTCGAAAACCCGGAGGAAATCAATCTGGGTGAATTGGCACAAAGGATTCGCAATAAATGGAAGAAGCGAAGACCAGAAGCTGAGTGAGTACATGTACTATTTTGGGGACGGAACACAAGCACCGGAAGGGTTCTTTGGCTCCAGCTTACCATCAGGTGCTCCGATGGATCACAAGAGGGCATAGCTGATTTTTTCCTTGCTTTCGTTGCGCTAACAGATGCTGATTTCTTAGGCCTATTGAAATAAAAAAGCTGCTCGACGACGCGAACGATAATTACGACCTCGATGCTGAGTTGACCGTGGCTGAGGTTTTTGTCAATCAAGGCAAGGCTCGCCAGGATGCCTCGGATCAGCGCGCCACAGTGCGTGTTATAACCAAACCGAGCCAGCACATGCCTGAGCGATTGCCCTCCGTCACTCATGACTGGGATGCCCTTGCGGCAGACGCTGAGCGCATCAGGAAGGAAAACATTCGGATTAAGAAGGAGAACATACGGCAGGAGATGAGCCGGTTTCCGACGATTGAGGAAGACCCGGGAGATGTCTTCATGGCTGACTCGAGTAATAATCACGCGACCTCTTCAGCTTGGAGTGATCATGGATTGTTATCGCGTGCGAGCGATATCCCTGTCTCCTCCGTGGAGACTAATGAGATTCATCTGGCATCTCCGCACTCGACTAAGAAGGCAATCACGCAAGTAGATCACACACATTCCGTCGTGCCAACCACTCCGCGCAAGAGAGCGGAAAGCCAGGAACTCGGTGATTTGCACGGTAGCTCGAGCGCTTCGAATGGACGCCCCGCGGCCGTACGCAGCAGCTCGAGACAAGTGAATGCGCCGCAGCCTATCGCTGAGGAAGGACTGAATCTCATGCATGACTCACCGCAACGCATGAAGGCGGAGCAAAATGGCTACAAGGCAAGAGAAGTCGTGGAAGTCATTGACGAGAGTGAACATGAGCATATCGATGAAGTTGTGACTCAGCCAGAAGGAATAACCATCGCGATCGAGGCTGAGACTCAAGTAGCGCCGATGGAGAAGCCCTCTGTCTTGACACCTGTCAAGATCAATGAATTGAATGCCAACGGCGTCGTTAGTACAAATGGCGACATTGAACAATCCGGTGGATTGCGCAAGCGCAAGCTGAGCCCCGAAAGCCCGAAGCCAAACAAAGAGCCGCGACGAGAGGAGCCCAAAATTCTACCGGCGATGGAGGAGGACGACGATGTAGTAATGTTGACCCAAGCCGAACTCAGTCCGTCGACGCCACGCCGCCGCGATCGCCTCCCGAGTTCCTCTGGTACAGGTCGGCGCCTAAGCTTCGCGGAGTGCTCGCCCCGAGCGCCACCTAAAGCTGGCCTTGGGCTCGGCATCTCAAGTAGCCCTTCCGGCAAGCCATCAGCAACGCGCTTTGTCCCGTCTGGATCGCCGTCGCGTACTCAGAGAACCCCAATTAAGCCTACAACACCAGCCAAACCGGAGCATCTGACTTTGGGCAAAGACGAATCCGCTCACGAATTGCCCAAATGTCGCTCAGTCTCGTTCGCCGATGAATCTGATCTGATTGTGACTAAGTCTGGACCAGCACCAGCGTCAGCCCAGAAAGAATCGAGCAATGGCATTGTCAAGAAAAAGGATGCGGACCGTGGAATCAAAGCTTCCGAGAAACCTCCTGCGATAGCGGTGTCTACTTCAAAGGAGAACCCCAAGCAATCTTCTGGCCCAGTGACATTCGACGAAGCCGACGCCAAACGCTGGGTGACCGAGGCGCGCCAGACGCTCGAAAAAGCCACCAAGCAGCGCTGTGAGCACAACGGCATTCGCCTGCTCAAGACAGCTATAGAAACCTGGGACGCCCTTGAGAAGTCCGGCAAACGCAAGCCTAACACGTCCGCTAAGAAAGCCCAACAGAACAGGTTCCGGGATCTGCGCCAGCAAGTCGATAACTTGGGGCCGCTCAAAAGTCTGCTCACGACACCTTCCAAGGCCAAGCCAATTCAGCCAGTCAACCAAGCTGACAAACTACGATCGACACCACTCGGCTCTCACAGCGCAACAAAGCCGAACAGTGCAGCGATCATATCCCCAGCGCAAGGAGATTCCGCCCAACGAGTCTCGCAGCTTGCGCAAACGGCTCTATCGCGTGCTTTGCTTGGAAAACCGAGTCCAGCCACAGCGAAGCTCGACTTGACCGCATCTAGTTCGGAATCGGAGTCAGAATCGGATTCGAACTCAAGCTCAAGCTCGGAATCGGAAGAGGAAGAGGAAGAGGAGGAGGATACTCCGCCACCTTCAAAACAAACCGTCTCGCAGATATCCAATATGCCATCGCCTATTAAGTTCCCGTCTACAACTCTCTCATGGTCCCACGCCCGTGGGGTGCCTCAAGCGACCCGTTGCTCGCTGAAAGAGCTCAAGGAGAGACGCAAGCAGGAACTAGAAGAAGAGAAGAAGAGCCGCGAGAGGGAGGCCATAAAGACCCTTCAGTCGAAGACAGCTGTGATACCCGGCGCCGGGGAGGATAGTGAGAGCGACGATGACAGCGAGAGCGAGAGTGAAAGCGAAAGCGAAAGCGAGAGCGACAGTGATTGAACCAGGGGAAATGATGTCATGTATGATAATGTAAAAATCTCGGGAACAAATAGTCCATGTTTCTTGATGTGATTGATGGAGTAAAAAAGCCCACGATGCTACAATAACCAATAACTTTTATTGTCTGCATTTCCTTTCTCGTATGTCTGTGCAAACTACCTAAACTACGCTCCAGACTTCTTCACGGTACATTGACACCGTTCGACTCTGCCTCCTCGGGGGCACCCACACCCTCGAACAACTCCTGCGGCGGTTTCTGGACCGTCAAGTTCCAGCCGAAGGTATCCTCGACCTTGCCATTCTGGATCCCCTTGAGGGTCTGCAAGAGCTGCCGGCAGACGTCACCGCCATGGTTCGCCTCGCCCCCACTCTGAAACACGAACTTGTCGTTCTTCGACCGCATCGTGATACTGCGGATAGGCACCAACGCCGCCGCCGTGCCGCAGGCGATGACCTCGTCAAACTCCTTGATCTCCTCGTACGGCACGCGGCGCCGCTCGGACTTGTACCCAAGCAAGCGCTGCCCAATCTCCAGCACGGAGGCCGCCGTGACGGAGTCAATGGCGTTCGTGCTGTCCGGCTGCACGAGGGTGACGGAGCCGTCGGCGGCATCCTTCTTGACGCCGATGAACGCGGAGGTAGAGAACTCATCAACCTCAGACCGCGTGCGGCTGTCCAGGTGCAGGGTGATCCCGAATCCCTCGCGGTACGCCTTGGCGCTGTGCCGCAGCACCGGCGCATAGTTGCCGCCCACTTTCGCGGACCCGGTGCCCGCGGGGGCGCTGCGGTCGTACTCCTCCAGGATGAGGGCGTCGACGGCGCTGACCCCGTGGTAGACGCCCGTGGGCATGACGAACACGACGAACGTGTACTCCTCCGGCGCGGTCAGGGCCAGCTGCGGCGACGACCCGAACACCAGCGGCCGGATGTACATGGCCGCCCCGGTTTCATGGGGCGGGACGAACTCGGCGTTGGCGGCGACGGCCAGCTGCACCGCCTCGACAAACAGGGATTCCGGCACGGGCGGGATGGAGATGAACTCGGCGGAGTGGCGCATGCGGATTGCGTTGCGGTCCGGCCGGAACACCGTGATCTTGTTGCTGTCGGCCGGGTGACGGAAGGCCTTGAGGCCCTCGTAGGCTTGTTGCCCGTAGTTGAGGCCGGGGGCCATCCCGTGGATGCTGAGGTGAGGGGTCGCGACGAATTTCGGGGCTGACCAGCTCGACGTGCTTGCGTTGTAGTGGCATTCAATGTGGCCGTTCACTTTGGCAGGGTGGGGGAGATTAGTCTGAGGGATCGATGTGTGGTGGGAAAGGGGAGCGATGCATTGGTGCATTGTCACATACCATCGCGGACTTTGAAACCGACATTGTTCCAGTCAATGGAACTGACGGGGGGAGGGGGAAATGCAGATGCCATGGTGTGCTATGAAAATTGAGGATGTTGAGTAAGGATCGATGATCTGCAGCTAATGCGCCGATGAAGGCAAATGTCAATTACCCCACACTATCCTTGCCACGTGACTGTTGCTATCTTATCTGGCATCAGGATACGAGGTTTCGCTGTCCTTCCACTTGTCTCCGCCAATGCATGTTGTGGGAATTGTATATGACACAGAAGAAGACAGGGGAGGCGCATGCAGCACAACCCTCTCCCGCGGGGAGTTCGTCAATTCGGACAAGGAATTGTTGTTCGTTCTGGTCGTCGCCCCGTCGTACAGTCACGGCTCGGTGGCCTCTTTTTGTCACCGCCCCTCAGTGCGCTACATCACCAGCTGGCCTGTAGGACATATTCGCTATGGAATAAGGTGCTCTTGTCTGGGTTAATCCCCCACCTGGTCTCGTACGCCATGGCGGAGGCCGTGCGGCAGTTGACTCCGCATATTCGTGGCCTGTATCTTCAGCTTGGAAAGCCAAGCAATCGTCTGATCCGACGATGCTTAAGCTTCCGGCTCAACGCATCTCGATTCTAATGGCTTTCCGGCACTCTGGATCCTGTTCGATTGTGGCTTTCGGGGTGGATGTCGGTCAACCCATCGTCCTGACTGTGTATGACTCGCGACATTGGTTAACTCAGCTCGAGTCTTCTCCTTCATCGAGAGAATAATTCTTCATCGCGAGAATAACAGTGCAGGAATGCTTAGACGTCCGCATGCCTCATGATCAATTTCTGCTGTGCACTGCTCACAAGCCTAAGATACCCAATCGCTCTGCGTTAGTGTCGGATCAAAAAAAGGGGAGGCAGGGAGCCATCGGCATGCGCCAGTACTTACCACTCTCACAGAGGACGGTGCTGGCCACCGTCCAGAGATTGATGTGTGAACATGACTTCAGGTCAAATGTAACGTGCTCTGAGCGATATGCTGCATGCAGAATGCAACCCCAACGACAGGCTACTAGAGATAATAGTCTCGGAGAAAGGTTTCCTGATCGGCGTAACGGCAGCGGGACTTTCGGCCGGCTGCAAGGCTGCCAAGAGCGTTTAGACAAGATACTTACGGTCAGGCGGCCTCTTTGTTCTGGAACCATTATGGGACGACCGTTGCAAATGGCCCCCACGGTTAGTCTCTTTTCAAGCTACAAACAACCCAGTAGTTAAGTTACCTTCGTATTAACTTATTAATATCTATTCTGCAGCTGCAGGGATTGCTCCCCCTGTGGCCTCATAATAGGTTAGCGTATTTTATCCCCGTACAAGGCCCAAATCACGTCACTGTAGATGCTCATTGAGCCTTTTTTTTTTTTTTTTTTTTTTTTTTTTTTTTTTTTTTTTTTTTTTTTTTTTTTTTTTTTCTCTTTTTGGCATTTCATGATCCAGTGCTTCAGAGGCTTAGCACACGATAAAAAACCAGTATTTCCCATATTTCCTTGATCTAAGAGACAGTGTATATTTGATCTAACATGGATGCGTACTAGTCGACCCAAACGGATTATGCATTTTCGCAATTAAGCAACTCTTCTCCCCACTGGGTAGCGCACCCAGTATTTCCCACCTGAAGTCAATTCCATCCTATGGATGAACCATGAATTTCTGATTGCTTAAGGACACGGCAGTGCGTCTGGGGACCGCGCATCGTAAGTCTCGCTCGGCGTTCCGGGACTCCGAGTGGTTGAACTAAAGACACCCTCCCTCCGGGCTGCCATGCGTGACTGGCCCAATATTTGTCTGATATTAGCCTTATCATTACAAGCCCCCAGTCTTCCCCCCTCACTCAATATGGGGCAGTGTCTCAGTGGCTCGCTGCTGGGGATGCCGGGAGTGAGAGGCCATATGGAAAGCAACTATAGCGTCATTTTGTTGGCTCGACCCACTTGGAGAGTCGGCCATCACTGGTAGAAGATTACCTGTGATGATCACGGCTCGTAACGCTAACCGTGTCTCCTGCACTAAGCACCACAGTGACTCCACCAGACAGTGAGTCTAGTGATGGAAGTCGTATGCCGTTCGTTCCTCTCTCCCGTGCTATCGGTGCAGGGGACGAGTATGTCACGAAATCCCCAGGGCAAAGGAACGATATCCTTTCGGGAAGGACCAAATAACTTGTGAAAAGGGAGCCAACATTGGGGGCCAAAGGTCCATATAACAGTCTGCTTCTATAACCGAGAGGGGTGATCAATTCGTATCTACTGCTATTATATCGTTCCTTTCACTGAGACACGTACTCGTAAGCGTACTGCCCGCACCGCCCGCACTGCCCTCTTGATAGACGAAGATCCACACATGGTCGCACGCTGTACCGGAGGTGGCGATGTGATTAGGCGAACCCATCGCTGGACACTGGCTAATCGGAGTACATAGTGTGTACATGTGAGCGTTGAGGCTCTGCGAATCGTCCAGTTGCGTCCTTATAAGGACGGTAGTGTCAAACCGGCCGGACACTCCAACGAACGCTATCACTTTCATCATTCTGCATACATAACCCACATACACAGAGAAGATTGACATCATGCGCGGTATTGAAAGCATCAGCAGCCCCCCTTCACTGGGTCAGAATGGACACTCAGTGAATGAAACGAGTCCGAAAGAAAATGGTGTCCCACAGCAGCAGCCCACAGCGAACAGCTGGAATGGGACAACTGTGAAAGCCAAAGACCCGTATGCACTGATGCGCGACTGCAACGCAAACTCGCGGTGAGTCAAGGCCTACAACCACATTACCATTGCTGGGGACACCTCACCTAACATCACCGCCAGACTCACGGCGCAGCATTATCTCTGGAAAGAACTACTCGGGTTCTTGGTTCACCCCGACATCGACACTCGGGCTGCAGACTTGCGAGTCGCTGATGTCGCTACTGGCAATGGGTAGAGTGATCATCCCTCCTTTCGGAAGTCCTCTGTAACCGCACCACCGTTCATCTAACTCCTCGGTTCAGCATCTGGCTTCACGATTTCGCTCGCGGAAAACCCCCATCCGTGGATCTTCACGGCTTCGATATCAGTCTGGACCAAGTCGGCCCGAAGCCCTGGCTGCCCGCCAACATCCACATGCATATCTGGAATATCTTTGAAGATGTGCCGGACGAGTTCGTGGGCTACTTCGACATTGTACACGTGCGGTTGATCACGGTTGTGGTCAAGAACAACGATCCCCGGCCAATTTTAGCAAACCTGCACAAGCTACTGAGTAAGCCACGATTTTTTTGGGGGGGGAAGGTAGGAGGTGAATGATTCAGCTGACCGTTCATTGTTCAATGAAGGACCCGGGGGCTACCTGCAATGGGACGAGGTGGATACCATTGGATGTTCGATCAAGACTGTACCGGGGGTTTCGGCGCAGAATCTTGATACCCTCTTCTCGCAGCTGAAGGGTCATGATACGTAAGTATTGCAAGGGAGGAAAATGTTGAAAGGTTTGGGGGGAAGCTAACGAGGTATTGTTCTACTTACAGGTGGAAATACGAGCTCACGCAAACCATGGATGCAAACGGATATACTGGCTCAAGGCTGTATACCTACGAGTACGGACTCGGCACGGCCCGGTTCTGGAGTGACGTGTAAGGTTCCCTCCCCGTGACCAACACGAGCTGGAGTGGCTAACTTGTGTATAGATATGTGAGCACGTGGAAAGAATTTGCAGACAACGCACTCAAGACTCCGGAGGCTTCCAAACAGTTGGAGCGGAATGCGATGATGGAGACTTTGAATGGTGCTTCGATCATGGTCCCGAAATTGGTATGGGTGACGAGAAAACTTTGATGCAATTGAGTGGTTGGTGGTGTAGAAGCGGGAAATTTCTTGATGTGTATAGGTTACGATCTGAGTACGTAGTAGATGCAGGCAAAAATTCTTTGGCTTAGTTTATCTCAACCTTTCTTCTCGTTTCAGCAAATACGTTCAGCTCGCAACAGGTCGTCGATAGCTGAGAATCTACCCTCGACGTAACCACCACGAAAAGACACTCGAGGTTGACCAATACGTCTCATAACGAAAGAGAAACCCGCTGACCATAATTCCTAAATCAAGTCAAATTGACGGGGGTGTATTCCTCACCCTTCTGCAGACACTGGATACAACACTATCTACTTCGCAACGAACCCCTCAACAAACTTGATAATCTGCTCCGCCAAAGCCTGCGGCTGACTGACAAACGGCATGTGGCCCGTCTTGAAATCCACCACCTCCCACTCGACCTTCGACTTCGCCAGCCACAGATCCTGCAATGAGGCCGGGTTACAGCAGTCGTCCAAGGTCCGCACATACGCTCTCCTCCCATCAAACGCACTCTCCGCCCAGGCGGGGGCCGTGGCGGGAGTCTCAAACGCCCGGAGTGCGTGGGGCTGCATCATCGGATCCAATTCCGGCGCAAGAGCACGGTCGCAGTCATTGTACAGGACCTCCATCGCCGGTTCGATGACCGCAAGGCCCTGCGATGGCTGTTCAACCAAACCAACATTAACATACCCCTCTCTCGTTCGCCGATTTTTGTTCCGGGGTAGTAGAAACGTACCGTGTCAACTTTGATAAAAGGGGGATACGCGCCGCCTACAGCGATGAAGAGCGATTCTCCTTCGAGTGTGATATTGCCTGCCACGTAGATCAGGCCGAGGACGCCGGTAGATTTCCCCTCCGCGCTTCGGGTCCCCTTCGCGAGGCCTCTGGCTGCGCCACCGCCAACCACACCTCCGTAGGAATGCGCGAGGATGACGATATCTTTCCCCTCTTGGTCCAGAAGTGGGAGTAATACGTTGTCGCGCAGGAACGCGATATCCTGGGCAGCGGACACTGTGGCCGGATCAGAGGGATTGCAGCTCGGATATGCCCCGGGGTGTGTGGTATATCCCGCTTGGCTCAGGTCCGGGAACAGCTTCTCGAAGCCTTGAGGGGTGCCGAAGGCACCGGGAACAATCACGATCACGGGGCGGTTGGTTGAAGACATCGTGGAGGGGAATTGTAACTCGAGAATAGGTTGCGACCTTGGTATGATGGATGCTATGGCGGGGGAAGAAAAGAAAAAGCTGGGAAAAGTCCGGATTGCTACGGAGTAACTACTAGGAGGAGTAACTTAACTACTAGGAGGAGTAACTTAACTACTAGGAGGAGTAACTAAGCTAAAGAAGGCGGAATTGCGGATTCGCTGATATGTTTAGCTAGGCATCTGCTAACTAGGTAAGTTAATTCACTAACTTATAACTTTAGTAGTTAGTTAACTAGTTGGAATTACTAATTTGGCCAGGATAATTAACTATCGCCTCCCTGCAGCTTTAAGGTGTGGGTGGCCTGAGGTCTTACAATCAGTCCCTCTGGAATCAGCCGCCTGTCAGATACAATAAGTCCATTAGGCAACTACATACAACCAGTTGCATGCCTGGTTGCAACGGCTTACCTGCCAGTAAGCTATAGAGGGTGGAGTAGCAGAGGTGGTAGTAGGTTGCAGCTATTACTTAAAAAACTTCAAAGCTTGGTTAACCAACGTCGCCTGTTTCAAATGTACGTCGGACAGTCGAACGGCCCCTGAAGATCTGCGGTCTGAACTGAACCGGGCCAAGATCAAGCCACCCACTACACCCGGCCACCCGGCGACCCATGCTCCTCGTACGACTGGTCCTTGGAAATCAGCCATATGTCACCTAGCAGGATAGTACTGAGACATAGACATAAATCGCCAGTCAGTCCAGGTTGGTAAAGTCGGTATTCGTGTACTGGAACATGTGTTTAGACATGTAACACATTGTGTACCTGCAGATGGGGGCCAAATACAATTTGCACACACTATACTAGTCATGTCACAACCATTCAATATTTATTACAGCTTGCATGGAAGAACGTGGGAAGGGGGATTTTAGTCAGTCTACAGATTGATCATGGGCATCCCATCGATTGGAAACATCCAAAAGATTAATCCAAGACATTAGGCGATCAATGGTCTAAGACAAGAGGCTTGGAACCTTCAAACCTTAGAACAAGAACAGTATATGGTCTTGATCAACGTAGAGACGGGACCGAGACGGGAGCGGATGAGGGCAGCCATTATAGAACTGCGAAGTTAGAAATCCTAGTACCCGGGTGCCGATCCTTGAAGACTCAGTCACTACGGGAGCAAACAGTGGAGGGTCACTTCGTCAGGCGCCAGTGACAGATGTTGCTCTGTTCTCGTGGGGGCGGAAACGATACACAACTCGCCGTAACTCTGCATGAAGTCGGGTCCGATAGTGGGGTTTTCTTTGCCGCTAATGCGGGCCGAAACCTACTTCGGAGTAGGAAGGAACCTTGGGGATCCATGATAAATAAATTAATTCGACCAAACTTTTGACCCCCGAGGCAGCGCTCAAACTACCTATTACATTACCCTGTTCTGTCTCAGTGAAAGATCCACCACATTGCTATCAGGGTGGCGGGGATATGGACAGGACCGCAGATCCGCTGCGTAGAGGGCAGAATCAAACGTGCATCCTGTACGGAGTATATGAGCAATCCAAAGCAGGCAAGCACCCCCTGCACGTGCAGCCAATCCAATCTTTTGCCGACATGAAGAATCCACCAAGAGCCGGACCAAATCCAGAGCGAATCAAAAAAGGTCACTGATATGAGGTGGTGATAATTTGGAAACATGGAGCCCAGACCGGTGCGGGAGCAGCGGGGGCACGTGCTGTACCGCGCAGGTTCCAGAATAAGAGGGTGTATTAGATACTAGTCACTAATTCAGCTCTCCTCTGTCAAGCCGTCAGAAAATTGATGAAGATGCATGAGGAAGACCGTGTTAACATATTCAACCATTCTGGCAGGCAAAAGTGGACGCAGGCACCAGTCGAGGATAACACCACAGTCGGAGGGCAGGCAGAGGCGATGCTGGTGCTCAGGGGATAATCCTGGGTGAAGCTCACCAGTAAGAGGCATCCAGAGAAATTATGCTACTGCCGTATGCTACTGGATCATGAAGGGCCAACCAGCGAAGGCACCCAGCGAGGTCACATGAGAGGATTTGCCTGCTATAGGCTGCTAAGTTACAGGAGTACCTGGTCAACTAGCAGCTATACTACGTACCCAGTATAGCCTGATTCACTCTCAATCCCCTGTTGTTTTTCCCTTATGCCAATCATTCATCCACCCCACTCTCTGAGGGGGGCGGAAGGAAACTGAAGCACTGGCCCACCCGAAGTTGGTCCAGTCACTCAATAGGTCTTTATATTACTTGGGGTTCTCAGTATTTACTTAACACTTACACATGATGGATAAGTCTTTCTTTCTCACTGTGACCACGCTCAACAATCTCGTCTCCACGGGGAGGGCTATTTGCTCCTCACAGACTTAGAACTCCCTGTAGTTAATCATTATGTCTCAATCCACGTCCTCTGTGGACCTGGCCGCAACACGTCAACCCAACTTGTATGCCTCTTCAATTTTACCTTTCTGCATCGCATTCATCTGTGTCGCTCTTCGATTTTGGTGCCGCTGGAGAAACACAGCAGGTGTCTGGATTGATGACTGGCTGATTCTAGCCTCACTGGTACTTCCTCGTGTCGCTTCTGCTACTTGTGGATATTGTCTAATCTCGTCAATCAGGCGTGCGGCGCTGGCCTGACCGCTTCGTTATTGTGGTGTAAGGCAAAGATCCAAACTCCTATGAGGCGAATATTGAGGGCTGACAGATTTAGGGATACCTCGCGCTCTTGGAAGGCACATTCAGACGTTCGGACCCAATGCGACGGAGGATGCATATATCGGGCTATTCTCTTGTGAACTGACCTACACCGGAGTTATTGTCCTGGTCAAGTTCTCGATTCTGGCCTTGTACTGGCGTCTATTCAACAGATCGAACATCAAGATTCCTATCGGCATCATCGCCTCAGCGGTCTGTATGTGGGGTATCGCGGTAGTAAGTGTCGTTCTCCCCCCCGCCTCAGGCAGAAAACATCATCGCTCACACTCCCAGTTCCTGCTCACCTTGCTGCAATGTGTACCAACCCGAGGCTTATGGGATCAATCGATTGATGCCTCCTGCAATGTCGACAGCCAAAAGTTCCTGTTCGCAATCTCAATCCCCAACATCATCATCGACGTTACTCTTCTCACGCTACCTATCCCGTACATCTTGAAACTCAACACCTCGAGCAGCCACAAAAAAGCTATCATGTCAATGTTTCTGCTCGGCAGCTTGTGAGTCGGCCCCTCATTCTTAGTCTCAGGGACAGCAGTCTGACCGACCAGTGTGTGCATCGCATCAATCATGCGACTCGTCTCAGTCATGCGTCAGGGGACCAATGCGGATATCACCTGGGAATGGGTCGATCAGGCCATTTGGGCCACCGTCGAAGCCGACTTGGCAATTGTCTCAGGTACGTGCTGATCTTCTTGCTGGACAGGGGTGACTTCGGGTGTACTATTGACTGCATCAACAGCTTGCCTCCCCACCTTGCGACCTGTCTGGGTCGCAGTGCGACACAAGCTCTTGGGTTCTCAACCAGCCAACCAACCAGCCGACCAACCCTCTTGGGCTACGCCACAGCAACGCTCTCAGGCCTCATCATGGGCCACAAGGATCCTCAAATCGGACCCCGACGATATCGAAGACATGCAGCCTTTCACGACTGTGAGTAGCCCTGCGGAAGAAGGACTGCACCGCTATTCGCAAGCACATACGAAAACAACCGTCGCGATCCCGTTACCCACTCTCAAGGGACAGACCACTTCTGACAAGGACGGCATCACCGTGAATAAAGCTTGGAATGTGGAGTATAATCAGTACAGTCGCTCGAATGAATCGTAAAAGCACATTTCTTGGGGTCTTGCGATAAAAATCCATCCTCCTGTGTAATTTCAAAGCTTGCCAGACCAGTAGCAGCTGGCATCAAAAGACCAGCCAGGATGGATATAGCACAGAACCCAATGTGGAACCCAGCTTAATGCAGTCGTCGGCCCCACCTGTACAGTTCACTCCGAATCGCCCTCCACTTCCATTCCAAGTCATCCCTGACCTAGACTTTCAGGGGGCCTGAGGTTGCAGCTACCCTTGGATCCACCTCTACAGACTACAAGCTGGTCGTGGCTTCTACCTTTCACAGCATTCAGCGTCCGTACAGTGAGTATGGAAAACCGGTCATACTTCTACTTACCGTTCGAGCAAAAGGGAAACGAAGACATCGGAATCAAGGATTCGTTGGTCTTGCACCACAGTCCAAAAATCATGAATCTTTGCAAAGGATACATACCTGCAAACCTGCATTTCTGCTCGTCTACTGCTGAAACTCCCCGGTGCGGAGCAAACTAGTGGGCCGTCTTCAATGAGTACAACAGAGGGCATCAAAAATAGTTAACTGTGTGCCAGGCGCTTTCCGGGCCGCGACCATAGACATGTGCATATAATATCAAGACATGGAAACAAATTACTTTTACTGCTTAGGATTTACCGAACCGACGGTCGATCAGAACTGTGTTCTTTGGCTCGTTTCCTCTGATTTATGTACTCGTCCTGCGCAAGCAAGAAATGCCGACATATGCAATGAGACCTCGATCTCCCATGAGAATTAATGTACATGTATGGATGATGAATCCGATTCACCTGCCTTCCGCCGCTACTGCAAGAACCGTTCCACAGCACCTCCGATATTCTTAAGGTCAAGTAGGAATGTGTCGTGTCCAAAGTGTGACACATCCTCTCCCAGCTCGATGTGCTCCACAGTCTGGTTCCCTGTGGCGCGAAGCGTCTCGGCAATCTCGCGCTGTTGCCATGCCGGGAAAAGGATATCACTGGCAACACCAATGACGAGGACCGGGTGATCCTTGAGTGGTGCGAGTCCACGCACCAAATCCTGTGGGGGTGCGTCCGGTCCCTTTCCGCCTTCAGTAACAGACTGGTCCATCGAAGGCGTGGACGCGGTTTGAGACGGCTGCTCTTCATAGGGCTTGGCGGGGAGGGTCAAGCTGCAGGACATGTTGTTCTGCTGGGCGTCACTAGCACCCTCGGCAAGCTTGGCTTCGTTGGCCGCTCTTCGCTCCTGGGTCTCCACCTGATGGGCATAACCTAAATCGAACAGATCCATGGCTTTGGATACATAAAGAAGACTGTTCGGGTCATACTCCAGGCAGAATTTCTCTCCGGCATGATCAAGGTACGTCTCGATCAAGAAGTCCGGACACAGGGCGGGCTGCTTGCTGGGATCCGCACGCTTGCGCCCAAATCGCATCTCCCACTCGGGACCACTGCGGTAGGTCACGGTTGCGATCTCTCGAGCAAGCTTCATTCCCGAGTGTGGTGGAACCGAGTCGTAGTAAAAGCCTCGGGCCCACTTGGGATCCATCATCAGCACCTGGCGCTGCGTGTGTCTCATGGCGATACTGTAGGGGTGGCTCCGTGCGCATCCGCTGATACTGACGACCCTGCCAATGCGCTCGGGGAACAAAACACCGGCAGCGAGACTCTGCATCCCGCCCATACTCGATCCAACAGACGCGTACAGCTTTTGAATGCCCAACGAGTCAAGAAGGCGGAATTGTGCCCGTACCATATCCTCGATTGTGAGAATGGGAAATCGCGTCGCATATCTCTTGCCGTCGGAGGGATCGATTGTCGAAGGTCCAGTACTGCCATAGCACCCCCCGATGACATTTGTGCAAATCACAAAGTGCTTGTTTGTGTCGATGGGTTTTCCGGGACCGATGAACTTCTCCCACCAGCCTGGCTTAGGGTTGGCTTCAGTGCTGTGTGCGTGACTCGATGCTGAAAGACCAGTGTGGAGAAGAATCGCATTACTCCTGTCGGCATTCAATTGGCCCCACGTTTCGTATGCAATGTCGAACTCGCGAAGCACACCACCCCAGTCGAGGAGAATTGGGTCTTCGCAGTGAAATCGTTCGTGGTGACCGGTAGTATACGAGGGCTCGGGTCCGGATTCCAGCGACCGGGCAGATAGCTGGGCGGATTTGGCATCTTGTGCGTCGAGGCAGGGGAAGGAGAGAGCAGGATTGGACGAGTCTCGTGCGCCGGCCGATTGCGCGGCCACCGGCTGTGATCTGCGTTGAGGAGCTTGGTGTAGAGCACGGGATTGCAGTAGTGGGCTAACTTGCCGAACCGGACGCTTCGTAGTCAGGTTGGAGAGGCTTCTGCGTTGGGTCACTGATTGTACCACTCTCGAGACTCGGGGAACCGAGTAGACCATGCCTGACGGATTCATTGTGACCCAAGCCGAAGCTCTATACCACTGAATGGCGAAAGTGGAAAATGATAGCGAGGGGAATGTCGCGGGATGATCGGTGACTCGGCCGGGTGTTTAAACGAATGTCACATGCGGGTGGTGGCGGCCTGAGGCCGTAATTGTCAGCCATACATTCATGGCGTCATCTGCTAGGCTCTTGATTGGCTCAACTGAAGAGCTTGAATGAATCACATGGAGTATGTAATCAATGTACATCCACCGCGATAACGGCGATAAGCATTTCTACCAGAACTGAAGTGCCCTTTGAGTATACCAGTACTCATCCCCAGCTTCACACAACCAGCTGATACTCCCCGGATGATTCTTGCACAATTAGGCTGCAAGTCGCTACCGGCAGTCTGGGTGTGACAAGATCCCGCATCCTCCATTCTTGAGTTTATATTCCAACCTGTTACTGAACGGGTCTCTTGGATCCACAACCGTTTAGCCTACTCTCTCGCAGAAGCCGACAGCACCACCCGGCATAATGACAGAGATCAGTCACTCACTCCTGAGATGCATTCAGTGGTGCGCACTCTCATCTACTCTACGTTCTTGATCCTTATCTCATCTGAGCCTTGCCATTTTAAGCAACATTTCCTCGCAATGCCTATAATCGGTTCCCAGCGCATATGGCTGATTTTCATACACGCCGATGACCGTTCAAGCTGATATGCGTGTGACAAGTTCATTCGTAAAGACACATGGTACAGGTTACCTTAGCAGCTGAGCACGATGACTTTGGCCTTTAGACATTCCTGGCGCGTCGTCCAGGACTAGCGGCAAGGCTCCAAGGAGACGAAGTACGGGTTGGCACCAAGAAGCGTGTGACGCTTAGTGCGCCCGCTGTTGATACAGACGCTCGAATGGACTCTCAGTTGCGACTAGAAAGCTCCTTATTCACTGCAGTGTCGCTTGCAGCTGCTGAGCGCATAAGCTAGGGCTGGAATGTTGGTTGCGTCGCTTGGCAGGTGAGGAATGTGAAACATCGGGATGCCTGCCCTCATCACTTGCTGTCTTCGGCCTCGACCATTCGAAAAGTGACCATGCTCACTGATCAGGCTGCTTTTCCGGCAACCACTTGCTTGCGCTCTTATGCCCTTGCACTGGAGACCCAAGCGAGGACTATCTTAGGCTTCTACCGGCGTTGATATGGGCAATCAACCCACATTCTCAGACTCACATCCTCAGGTTCTGACATCATTGTCAGCCTAAACCTTGCTGGACGAAAGGTTAAAACTGACATGATACCGCATGCTGACAGAAATGATCATCACCTGATGCTTCCAGCGAGGTCCTCTGCCACGCCTGCTCAGGCGAGCTTACCCTGTTTCGAGCGTCCTTGAAAGCCTAGTTCCTGGCATGACTTGACTTAACCCCTTTGGGGTGACATACGCACGACCATGAGCTCAACGCAGGTGATAAGATCGCGGGGAACATGATTATCCTAATTCAGGTATGGACGAGATGAGGCTGTCCGCATGCGATCACGACCAGTCTCTAAGCAGAATATAAGATTATCAGCATGTCTCTTCCAGTCGGAAGTGCGCCTAGCGTCTGTCTCAACCTAGTCTTTGAAAATACCTCTCTGTCATAACGACATAAGTCCAGTTCACCATGAAGTTCCTGGCCTCGATTTTGACCACCACATGTCTGGCGGGCAGTGTCCTGGCTGCCCCCCGCGGCGGCCTGGCAGAACGCATCCAGGCCCGGTCTGCGGCTCGTGGCTCGCGACCTTTCCAGCCACACTCCTCAGAAACAGACTCCAACCACCGAGAAGCAGTAGCTTCATCGCCCAACACATCCCACATCACATACAGCAGCAACTGGGCCGGCATCGTTCGGGAGGAACCGCTCAGCTCAGGGCCCTACACAGCTGTGAGCGCGACTTTCCAAGTCCCACAACCCACCGCTGCAGGCAATAGTCGTGGGACGCAGGCCGGCTCTGCCTGGGTCGGCATTGACGGCGACACATACAATGCCGCTATCCTTCAAACCGGTGTGGACTTTTACGTTCAGAACGGCAAGGTCACGGGCGACGCCTGGTACGAATGGTACCCAGACTATGCATATGACTTCGATCTCTCCGTGAGTCCTGGAGACACCATCGTGGCCAAGGTCCAGGCTCTCTCGCCCAGTCAGGGCGTAGCCACCATCGAAAACAAGTCAACCGGCCAGAAGGCGTCGCAAACAATCACCGCCCCCGAAGCGACTGCTACCTTGGCGGGAGAGAACGCCGACTGGATTGTGGAGGACTTCCAGGCAGGCGATGAGCAAGTTGCGCTCACGGATTTTGGCACGGTCACGTTCACCGGCGCGGGGGCTAAGGCTGGGGGCCAGACTGTGGGTGTTCAAGACGGAACAATCATTAAGCTGAAGCAGAACGATCAGGTGTTGACGGAGGTGGATGTGCAGAGTGACACGAAGTTCAGTGTTACCTACACTGGATGATCTCCACGGTAGTCCGCATGCTACCTAGGCTTGCTTTACTTGGGCGTTCTATCTCTGATGAATTTGTTGTACTTATGAGCGTAGCTTACGTTTCTATTTAAGCTCAAACCCATGCTCGCCAAAGAGCCAATACACATGTCACATCCTATATTGACGTCCTGCCGACCGGAAATTGAAGCCAACAGGCATATACTCTATGCAGTGGGACTGCATGCATCACTAAGGACAATCCCAACGCCCCAGGATCTTCTTTAAGCAATACTCTTGATCGCCTCCTCCAACTCCCGCACATTCCCACCGACGACGCGCTTATCCAGCAATTTCCCATCCTTGTACAGGACAAAAGTCGGCATCGCGCGGACCTGCAGCTCCTGCGCCACGGAGCGCACCTTGTCGACGTCGACCTGGATAAACCGAACGTTGGTGTAGGTCTCGCTCAGCTTGCCAATCTGGGGGGCAACAGCCTTGCAGGGTCCGCACCAGGTTGCGAAGAAATCGACGACGACGGGTCCGGACGAGGTCAGGGCCTTGTAGATGACCGGGCTGGTGGGGGGAGAAAAGTTAGTGTCTTCATTGTAGACTTTTAAACCATCTCAAGTATCCTGCTTCGGGGAAGAAGGAATGGAGTGAGGGAGCAGCGCATACTTGTCAACCTCGATGACTTTTCCGTGGGCCATGATGGGGGTTTTGTCGGCGGGAAAGCGGCTTTTGATGAGGCGGAAAACTGCAAGCGTTTGGGGTTAGTGGAATTTTCTTGGTGGGCGGGTCTGGCAAAAAAGGTCTCGGTGGTACTTACCAACCCAGACGGTGAGGAGGATGATAATACGAGTGAAATCCATGGCCGGGTGAGGGAGGAGAGAAGGGAAGAGAGCGGGCGCGGATTAGATGGCGCGGCGAGGAAGGATAAGACGTGATCCAGTCCCTTCCGCCTCGGCTGTCTGGGACTGGGGTATCCCACGGTGGAGGAGAAGTGCTGTGATGGGGTGCACAGAATGAGCTGACACGCAATCAATTATTCTGAGAAGACTGGTCAACGTAGACAGCTAGAGAATATGGTAATAAGATAATGACACGATTTTCGCGAGAAATAAGGCAGGTGATGCATCTGTCCTTGGTGCAGTCAAGGTATCTTTGTGCTACCTATGGCAAGCGGTAAGGCTGCCTGCTGATGGCAGAAAGATAAAGCAGTCTTCCGGCGGTGAGAGCCACTCCGCACGATTTATGCCGGCACAGCTGACAAAGCCATCACATGCCCGCTCGCCGTCTTCCCCATGCATTGCATAACAACCATCACTCACTTTCCACGCAATCCCTTAGAATTCATTTCTCTCGAGAAGTGTTATACTTGCGCAGCGGAAGCAATGCCATCAGACCCACCCTAACATCTCCAGCAGAGTTTAGAAGCCATCATGGCCATCAGAAAGGTGCCAATTCTCCCCTACCGTCGAGGCTCGGACGCCTCCGAGGCGGACTTCTTCGACATTCCCGACGAACCCTGCTGGGCCATCATCAAGCGCCAGCTGCGACACCTTCGGACCTGGGTGGTCTTCATCTTCTTCGTTCTATTTATTCTGTTCCTCCGTCGGGAGAAACCCCCACCGCCCAAGGTGACCCATATCGACTACAGCAAAGTGGACTGGACCCGTTACGCCTACAGCCAATATGCCACCTCGAGTCCCTACCTCTGCAACGCCCTCCTGACGTTCGACGCCCTGGAGCGCCTCGGAAGCAAAGCTCAGCGCGTGCTCTTCTACCCTGAGAACTGGGATGTGGTGGTCGAAAGTGATCGGGATCGGGACAGTCAGATGCTGGCGCTGGCGCATGAGAAGTACCGGGCGCTGCTGGTGCCGATTGATGTCCAGATGGTCAAGGCTGGAGACGGTACGTCTTTCCCCAAGACAACCAAGCACACACACGAATGCATGCATGCGTACATACATACAAACGCCTTGCCTAAATCCTCCCCGCGCTGCGTTGCGTTGCATCACGCCAGCAAATCACCGTAACATACTAACCCCGTGAATCTAATACCTATCGACCAGGCCCGAGCGAGTCCTGGGACAAAAGCACCTCCAAGTTCCTCGCCTTCGGCGAAACCGAATTCGACCGGGTTATCCACATCGACTCCGACGCCACCATCCTCCAGAACATGGACGAGCTATTCTTCCTACCGCCGGCGCAGGTGGCCATGCCGCGCGCCTACTGGCAACTCCCGGACACGCGGCAGCTGTCGTCGCTGCTGATCGTGCTCGAACCGTCGTTTAAGGAATACTACGCGCTGACGGCGGCCGGCGAGGCGGTGACGTACGGCCAGGTCAACTCGACGGGGGCGACGACCGGGGCCCGCTACGACATGGAGCTGATGAACGAGCGGTACGGCGACTCGGCGCTGGTGCTGCCGCACCGCCAGTACGGGCTGATCACGGGCGAGTTCCGCCGCGACGACCACCGCGCGTTCCTGGGCAACGAGTGGGAGGCCTGGGACCCTGAGCGCGTCCTCAGCGAGGCCAAGCTCGTCCATTTCTCCGACTGGCCGCTTCCCAAGCCCTGGATCATGTGGCCGCAGGAGCTGCTGGCGGACATGCTGCCCAAGTGCAAGGTCAAGCCTGGTACGCTTCAGGAGAGTGGCTGCAAGGACCGCGAGATTTGGAAGAAACTCTATGATGACTACCGGCGCAGACGGAGGGTAAGTTCCAGGGTGCTTGCCCAGCTATTCAAATATACATTTCCTTACTGACTTCTTTTGCTAACAATTTCGGTCTGCTTGGATTAGAACGTTTGCAAGCTTCTCAGCTACCCGGCCCCAAATTGGCCTCCGAGGGAAGGGCCCGAGCAGCCCCTTTCCCAGGACCAAGAATCTCAACCACTTTCATAATCATTGGATATATATCATACCATATTGCAAACATGCGCGGCGTCATCCGATGTTTTCTTCTTTCTAGATCGGGGGGTTTCGGGTTTGTCATGTGTAATAGATTGTTGTAAACTTAACTTATTTCGCACTCTGTACTTTCCGTCCTGGCCATGGTTTTGGTGTCAGACAAAAAGCTTCAATATGATGAGCATTGTATATAAAGATGATAAGTTTGGATATGCACCCATTCTTGAAGTGGGCTTCTATGCTATACCACTTTCAGCCTGTTCATTCGGCCGTGGTCTGTTACCAGATCGGACAGGAGCTTGATTAAATTAAACACATCTTGATTTTTGTTTGTCTGCTCTTTGATCATAACGGCGCCTCGTCACCTCGCCAGCGACTGGATCATTCCAGGGTAAAATGCTCTAAGTCTATAACGCCTAATCCGCCCAAATCATCTATCGTCATGTTGAATTGCATCGTAACCGTATGGCACAACCACAATGCGGAAGGTGTAATCCGAGGTAGGATCAAGTGTTGAAGTTGACAGCGTCACCCCACTACCAAAGGAACATTAAGAAGAATAAGAAAAAGCATGCATGGGTATCATCAAATCTAAGCAGAATCCTCCACAGGACCGCAAGTACAGAACAGGTTCTGGTCACCGTAGGCTAGAACAGAAAGAAGCGAGTTAGCACGTCAAGATTCAGATTGAGGTGTTCTTGGAAGAAGAATAGGGGGATGAGCTTACCATCGTCCACGCGCGTCACCGAGGGCCAGAACTTCTTCTCCACCAAGTAAGGGAGAGGGTAGGCTGCAGTCTCGCGAGTGTAGGGGCGGGTCCATTCGGTGGAGAGAAGGTCGCGCTGCGTGTGCGGGGCCATCTTCAGGACGTTGCCGTCACGGGGCTGAGCGCCGCTCTCGACCGCCGCGATCTCCTGGCGAATAGAGATGAGGGCATCGCAGAACCGGTCGAGCTCGGCCTTGCTCTCCGACTCGGTCGGCTCGATCATGAGGGTGTTGGACACGGGCCACGACATGGTCGGAGCGTGGAAGCCGTAGTCCTGAAGACGCTTGGCGATGTCGATAGCCTCGATGCCACAGGTGTCCTTGAACTTGCGGGCATCGAGAATGAACTCGTGCGCGCAGCGTCCATTCTCGTTGGTGTACAGGATAGGATAGTGCTCCTTGAGACGCGCGAGTATGTAGTTGGCGTTAAGCAACGTGATCTTGGTCGCGTGCGTGAGACCCTTAGCCCCCATCATGTTGATGTAATTGAAAGTGATGGGCAGGATGCTGGCGCTGCCCCAGGGAGCAGCGCTGATCGGGGGAGACGCAGTCTCAGCGCGCTTAGACTGAAGGTATTCGCTAACGGGGTGAGAGGGGAGGAAGGGGCGCAGGTGCTCGGCAACACCGATAGGACCGACACCTGGACCACCACCACCGTGGGGAATACAGAAAGTCTTGTGAAGGTTCAGGTGGCACACATCAGCACCAATCTCTCCGGGGGAGCACAGACCAATCTGAGCGTTCATGTTGGCTCCGTCCATGTAGACCTGGCCTCCGTACTGGTGCACGATGTTGCAGGCTTCCTTGACACCAGGCTCGTAGACACCGAAGGTGCTAGGATACGTGACCATGAAAGCAGCCAGGTTCTCCTGGTGCTTCTCACACTTAGCCTTGAGGTCCTCGAGGTCGAGGTTGCCGGTCTTAGTGTCACACTTCACAGTGACGACGCGCATACCAGCCATGGCCGCACTAGCAGGGTTGGTGCCATGGGCAGAAACAGGGATCAGGCAGATGTCGCGCTTAGAGCCCTCGTGGGCTTCTTGGTACTTCTTGATCACACGCAGACCAGCAAATTCGCCTTGAGCGCCGGAGTTCGGCTGCACGGTGACCTCGGCCATACCAGTAATGTCGGCAAGCTGCTGCTCAAGGTCGTCAATCATTTGAGTATATCCCTTGGCGGTGTCGGCTGGCATGAAAGGATGAATTTGAGAGAACTCGGGCCACGAGACAGGGATCATCTCGGTGGTTGCATTAAGCTTCATGGTGCAAGAACCAAGAGGGATCATGGAATGAGCCAAAGACAGATCCTTAGACTCAAGGTGGTGAATGTAACGGAGCATCTCAGTCTCTGAGTGGTGGGAGTTGAATACGGGGTGCGTCAGGTATTCCGACTTCCGCTCCAGGCTGGCAGGGACGGTGGCCACGGCAAGTCTGTCCTCCAAGACAACCTCACCCTTAGAAGCATGGTCAGCGAAGATCTGAAGGACAGATCTCACTTCTTCGCGGCCAGCAGTCTCGTCCAGAGAAATTCCAATCTTGGTCTCGTTGACCCGACGGAGGAAGAAGTGCTTCTGACGTGCGGCAGACATGAGAGCGTCGGCTTCCTGGCTGTTGGCCAACTCGACAACGACCGTGTCAAAGAGAGCACCACCGTCAGCGGAGTTAGACTGGACCGGCACGTTGTATCCCAGGGCGGAAAGCTGCGCCTGTAGTGTAGCGGTCATGGACATGATGCGCTGAGCGATGGCCTTCAAGCCGGTCGGACCGTGGTAGACCGCATACATGGCGCTCATATTAGCCAGCAGAGCCTGGGCCGTGCAGATATTGCTGGTGGCCTTTTCACGACGAATGTGCTGCTCTCTGGTTTGAAGAGCCAGTCTCAAGGCACGGTTGCCCAGACGATCTTTAGAGACACCTACGACACGACCGGGGATCTTGCGCTTGAACTTGTCGATGCAAGCAAAGAAGGCAGCATGGGGTCCACCGAAACCCATGGGGACACCCAGCCTCTGGGCGCTTCCGAAGGCAATATCAGCACCGAACTCACCGGGCGCCTTGAGCATGGTCAAGGCCAGGAGATCCGTGGCCACGCTGAAGGTACCCCCGGCGCCGTGAATCGTGTCGCTGAGGGCCTGGAAGTCATAGATTCCACCCTCTGTGTCGGGATATTGTGCCAAAACACCAATCAAGTTGTCACCCTGCTCCTTCACGAGCTTGAAGTTATCCGCGAGAATGTCTCCAACAACCAGGTTGATGCCAAAGCCCTCAGCACGGGAGCGCATCACAGCAATAGTCTGAGGGTGACAGAGGCTAGAAACCACGTAGGACTTTCCAGGCTTCTTCTGCTTGGCCATGGACACGGTAGCCAGGGACATGGTCATTGCCTCAGCTGCGGCAGTAGCTTCGTCCAGCACGGAGGCATTGGCGAAGGGCAGGCCAGTGAAATCGGCAGTCAAAGTCTGGAAGTTCAAGAGGGACTCCAAGCGACCTTGACTGATTTCAGGCTGGTAGGGGGTGTAGCTGGTGTACCAAGCAGGGTTCTCGAGGACGTTGCGCAAGATGACTGGGGGCACGATAGTACCGTAGTAGCCAGCGCCGATGTATGTTTTGCCCGAGACATCGATTTGTTTGCGGTAGGTGTCGAGCAGCTTCAGCATGTCTGTCTCACCCAAGCCACCGTGCACACTGTCACGGTACAACTTCGCGTTGGAGCTCGGAGGTGATACGGTCAGATCCTTCTTGGAGAGAATGTCGGCAGGGAGGACCTGCTTCACAAATTCGTCGAGCGATGCTACCGGAGGATCTAGCGTGGCCAGCATCTCCTGAGCCGCATCTGGAGCAGGGCCAATGTGACGTCTGGGGAAAGTGTCGAGGGGCTGGAAGAGATCGCGGGGATGAGGATCACCGTGGTCGCCAATGGAGCTGGTATAGACATGACGACGCGGAGACGAGGACTGTTCGGAGGTGGTGTGGAGAGAACGAAGGAGGGGTGTAGATACTCGGCGAGTAGCAATTGAGGAAGGAATTGAGCGTACTCGCGTGCGCAGAGCAAGCTGGCGAGAGCCACGCAGGGCGCACCAGGACGCAGCCATGGCTACGATGGTGATTGTGTGAGGGAAGTATGGAAGAAGTATGCGGGCGAGGAAAGGGAGGAGGAAGGGAGGGAGGGAAGTAGAGAATGATTTCGACTTTGATCAGACTCAACACATGAGACGGTACGAGAAATGGGCAAGAGAGGAGAGTATGAGAAAGGAAGAGAAGAAAAAGAAGAAGGATTGAGATTGTAAAAAATTAAATACACGGCGTTCAAAGATAACTAAAGTTAATGAATACCTCAGTCTCTCTCCAGAATACCGCGGACGATTCGGGACCGCGACGGGAAACTCGCATCGCACCCGATATCGCCCTTTGCTCCCTCCCCGCAATCCGCGATAAGCTAATCCTGTCCCGATAAGCCTAGGTTTCCCGCGGGGAAAGCTGCCCCCCGTATCTTCCCTTCTTCTTCTCTCGTTGTTCCAGCATTGATGCTGAAGTTTCAGAAACAATGTTTGATCATTGATTGGAGAGAACATGGCGTTAAAAAACCTTTGTAATGCACGTAGCTATGAGAATATCCGCCAAAACCTCGAATTAATTTTGCCCGCTATATGATGCAATTCTCTGGACTACTCCGTGCGGTGGCCAATTTGTATAGTCCCACCTCACTGTTCGAAACTCCCAGCTTAGGATACGATCATCATCCATGAGGAGCTTGGTGGCAATGGCGACTTTTTGAAACAGCTACTCAGTACAGGTAGTCCGCGGTTGTAATCTACTCCGTGCTTTGTACACAATCATTTGCTAACTAGTTGAAAGTATGCAAGACTGTCTTAGCTTTTCGGCCTCAGGCAGTAAGCAGGCGCTTACCACGTGCCGTCACATGATAGTCGCTTATCATTTGCAAGGTTTGCATTCCCCACGGAATGCCTTCCTGATTTAGAGGATCTAAGGAAGATTTTCTCCCTCTCGATAAGGGAGAGTTGATTGCGGTCGAACACGCCTCAACCCATCAGTCTCTCATTTCTTTCACAAATCTGCTCTTTACTGGGGCCACGTATCGTCATCATGTCTCCTGTTCCCATCCCCGCCGCGTCCGATGACATCGCGACCATTCTGCAGGCCGTCACGCCGCCGACGATGCCCCCGCACCGGTCGCACGACCCCTCCAACAATATGAAGCGCAGTGACCCCTTCCAATTCGGCTCTCGATATTTGGAACAAGGCGACGATGTTTTCGAGTTCAATGCTTGGGACCACGTGGAGCCTGATGACGAGTTCAAGGCGTTCGCTGAGGAGCAGTATGCGAAGCAGCGCGACGCCCCAGTATCGGAGTTCGATCGGAATCGCTTCAACGCCGACCCGGCCAAGTGGTGGAACCTCTTTTACAAAAACAACACGTCCAACTTCTTCAAGAATCGCAAATGGCTGCGCCAGGAGTTCCCGATCCTCGATGAAGTGACTCGGGCAGGAGCGGGCAAGCAGGTCGTGTTGGAGGTCGGTGCAGGCGCCGGTAACACCGCGTTCCCGCTGCTGGAAAACAACGAAAATGAAGAGTTGATGGTGCATGCCTGCGACTTCTCCAAGACTGCGGTTCAGGTCATTCGTGACAGCCCCCAGTACAACACCAAGCACATTACGGCGGATGTGTGGGATGTCAGCGCGACCGGGGAAGAATCACTGCCCCCCAACGTGGCGGAAGGATCCGTTGATGTCGTTGTTCTGATTTTCATCTTCTCTGCCTTGGCTCCTAACCAGTGGGAACAGGCCATCCGTAACATCTATCGGGTTCTGAAGCCAGGTGGCAAGATTCTGTTCCGTGATTACGGGCGTGGTGACCTCGCTCAGGTTCGATTCAAGAAGGGCCGGTACATGGGAGAAAACTTTTACATCCGCGGAGACGGCACGCGCGTATACTTTTTTGACCGGGACGAGCTGGAGAAAATGTGGGGCCAATGGACTCCGGAGAAGGGACTGCCCGAAGGCCTGGTGGCTGAGGCCACTGCCAAGGACGAAACCGCTATCACTGAAGAGGCGACTGTCAGCGAGCAGTCGGGCGCTTTCGAGGTTATGAAGTTGGCTGTCGACAACCGACTGATTGTCAATCGACAACGCAAGATCAAGATGTATCGTTCTTGGATTCAGGGTCACTTTGTCAAGACCGATCACGTTGCTGCTGCCGCTAGTGAGAAGCAGGAATCGTGATTGTAAATGACAATGAACTAAGAGTGTTACTTCCGCAATACCAGCGTGCTGGTGGCTACGTGAAGCGATCACAACGCGCGCTACATCGGCGTTCAACATAGACTCGGATCGTCAGCAGAGCTCATCGATACATTCTACGTCGTGACTATGGGACTCCGTCAGAAGCTATTATCTCTCGTCAGATGTGATGCACGACTTCGGTGCTTACCGTATCAGCCTCCCTCACGACTTTTACTGGCTCTCGAACACCAGGGCCGTTGATGAGGAGATCTCGATATCCATTCTCTCCAAGAACACCTTCTACAAGATGATTTGACCCCGAGACGGGACTTTAAATCTTAGAAGCATACGACGACATGAACGACATGATCAATCATTAGATCTGGATTAACTGATAGAGACGATTAGAGCATCAACCTGATATTGACTCAGCATTTATCGTGTTTATTGATATAAGATACCAATTCATTCTAGACTTGATGAAGGATTATGTGATATTGCTCTTACTAGTCAAGTATGAACTATTTTCGTGATATGTAGATGAATTGAGACCATCATTTGCAATTGATCGAACTACTTGTAGACTCCAAGACACCACAGGGGTTGGCAGCCGGCAAAGTAAAGTACTATATATATTTTCGGCCACTGGCAGGTGAACATTACTTCTGACAGCCGGGAAATATCACCACGCATGTCTCATCCCAAATCTTATGACATGTGTAACGAGTGAGATTCTCCTGAGACGGATCACAGCTGGGTGAGGCTTTAAACCAAACAGACAGAATGCGACGTGGTTGAGAGGGCGACTCTATTTCGGCTATATGGAAGGAAGAAAGAAGGCTATTTGGAGGTGGCGGGTATTTGTATCATATGTCAGACATAAAGCAGGTAAGACTCCCTCAATTCACACCATCTGTGTCCCTTGACTTACTTCAATGTGCTAACAATCTTATACAGTGATTTTTCCAAATCAAACTCACAATGTCTCGTACTATGTACGGGTTAGCCCGGCGACTCTACCATGGCCGTTCAGGCCACCTGCGCGCATCGCTGCTCCGACGTTCAGCCCGCTGCGGTTTCTCCACAACCACCCCACGCCCGTTGATGGAATTGACCGGCTTTACCGAGAATCAATTGACCGTCCGCGAGGCCGTATCCGCTGTCTGCGCCAAATTTCCCAACACATACTGGCAAGAGTGTGACCAAAATGAGCGCGACCCGAAGGAGTTCCACGCCGCACTCGCCCAGGATGGATGGCTAGGCATTGCGCTGCCGGAGGAACTTGGGGGGGCCGGCCTCGGTATAGATTGCTTAATTTCCTACCTCAGGTTGTGATTGGATCTACTAACAAAACACTGGCCAGGTATTTCGGAAGCCACAATGATGATGCAGACCATTACTCAATCTGGCGCAGGGATGGCCGGAGCCCAGGCCATCCACGCTAACGTGTATGCTACACAACCGTTGGCTCGGTTCGGTACGCGCGAGCAGCTCGAAGAGACCATTCCTAAGATCATCAATGGCACGTGGCGGACGTGTTTCGGTGTCACTGAGCCTGACGCCGGGCTGGAGACGCTGAAGCTGAAGACGCTGGCGACCAAGACGCCCTCCGGCGATGCCTATTCCGTGACCGGGCAGAAGATCTGGATTACCTGCGCGCAGGTGGCTTCGAAGATGATCCTTCTGGCGCGGACCACCCCGCTGGAGGAGGTAACCAAACCCACCCAGGGTCTGTCACTATTCTGCATCGATCTGGACCGCGAGCAGTCCGGTCTGGACATGCGCAAGATCAAGAAGATGGGCGGTCGGGCGGTGGACGCCAACGAGGTGTTCTTCGACCAGTACAAGATCCCGGCGAAGACGCTGATCGGGCAGGAGAACGACGGGTTCCGCATCATCCTGCACGGGATGAACGCGGAGCGGTGTCTGCTGGCCGGCGAGGCCCTCGGCTTGGGCTACGCGGCGCTGGAGCGAGCAGCCCAGTACGCGCAGGAACGAGTCGTCTTTGGCCGACCGATCGGACAGAACCAGGGCATCGCGCATCCGCTGGCGGATGCGTACATGAAGCTCGAGGCGGCCAAGCTGGCCACCTACCACGCGGCGCGGCTCTACGATGCCTCGTGCCAGGACGACAGCATCCCCGCGCAGTCGGTGGGTGTGGCCTGCAATAGTGCGAAATACCTCGCAGCCGAGGCGGCCTTTACCGCGTGTGAGCGGGCGGTGCTCAGCCACGGTGGGATGGGTTACGCGATGGAGTACGACGTGGAGCGCTATCTACGCGAATGTCTAGTTCCCCGCATTGCACCAGTCAGTCGTGAGATGATTCTCAACTACGTGAGTGAGAAGGTTCTGCAGCTGCCTCGGAGTTATTAAAGGTGATGGATAGGGAGGGGTCATTTTGGTTACATATCATAAATCGATAAACACGAAAGGCTCGGAGCATCTTGCGGTGACAGGGCCTAGATTCCGAAGATGCATGCTCTGGCCAAGAGATCGTCGTGTTTTTTTCTCTTCAGTTGCTCTTGCGCAGTGGTTTGCTGTTGGCTGTTCTCGGACGCGGCGCATTGCATGGAATACTCCGTAGGCATTGGGGTTGTTTCCGGCGATTGGTGCAGATTGAAAGAAAAGAAAAAAAACAAGCAAAAGAAAATGGCGCAAAGAAAATTCTAGCTCTCCACTTTCTAGAAACTAGATTCGAAGAAACTGTCAGGGCGTTCAGGGAATCTCGAACTAAACTCAGGGACGCACGGCAGTGAAAAAAGTTGAGGGCGTTGAAGAACCAGGGAATTGGCCTGCCATTTGCGGCATTTTCTCTCTCTCTCTCTCCGGAGTACAGCCTGGAGGGCCTTTCCGTTTGCCCCTGTCTTTTTGTTTTTTTTTTTCTTTTTTTCTTTTTTTTTTTTGTTTTCGCAACGGATCTTGTCTGTGTCTGTCGACGATCTCATCTATCTATTTTCCCTACCATATTATTTCCTTTTTCTTTCCGTCTTTCCTACTACTCGTCTCCAGTTCTGTTTAAGCCTGCATGCATTAGAGAGATGAGAAAAGAAAAAAGCAAACATACTGCGCTACGCTAAAAGTTGACAACTGTACCGCGAGGCAGTGATTCGTCAATGGCGGTTGAGGATTGATCCACGACGGCGGCGACCTTTATTTTATTTGACTTGGATCTTTGATTTGATGTAATTTAGTTTTTTCGTTTAGTATCGGCTGTTCCGTCGGGCTTCTTTTCTTCCATGTCATCGATACTTACTTAGCATAGGTTGTTTCAACTGACTTCTTCAACACTAACTACAAACATCCCTCCCTCCACCTCCCCCCCCATTTTCTATTCTTCCCACTTACTTCTCGGCTTGACTAAAAAATGCTTAACTTGCTCCATTTGCCCCGACTAGCTGCTATCGTGGGTCTTTGACCTACAGCAGTTCCGCTCTGGGCCTTGCGCCTTTTTCTTCCTCCCCTCCTTCTTTTGTCGTCACCGATCGGCAGGCAACCCGCAGATTCCCTGACTGTGAATTCCATCCCCTCCATCCCCCATCCACACCCCCCCGGGGCTGTCATCCTTCCCCCTTGTCTAGTTGTCCCTTGAATTCTCTGGATACCCTTTCTCCCGAGAGTTTGGACATCTCGACTGACGATCCCCCTTCCCCTTTGTTCCGATCTACTGCCTTTGTGACGGAGCGAGCTCCGTGCGCGTAACATCGCAGGATGTTTTCCTCCATCTTGCGATGGGCGAATACCGTCACCTCGCGCATCCCCTGGACAAAGGGTTTGCGGGTGAACTATATCACTATCCACTATACTTACATCATTACGATGACAATCCTGACCTCCGTCATCATCTTCCCCGGTTCCAGTCTCTCTTATATCAATGCTATCTTTCTCTCGACCAGTGCAACTACACAGAGCGGCTTGAACACCGTTGACTTGAACACCTTGAACACCTATCAGCAGGTCTTCTTGTACGTGGCGTCTATGCTGACCACCCCCATCTTTATCAACACCGTTCTCGTCTTTGTGCGCCTTTACTGGTTCGAAAAACGCTTCCAACACGTCGTCCGCGATGCTCGAGCTCTCCGCTACACTCGCTCTCGCCAACGCACTGTTACCGAAGACAAGAACGGCACAAGTTATGATCGGGAGGAGGCTGGCGTCGGGAACCGTCCTATCGTGGTGCTGCGGAATACGCTAGGGAAGGTGCGCTCGCGCGGTCAAAGTGTCAAGTCACCCCAGGAGAACAGTTCGCCACCGGCATCACCAACAACTCGACGGACCGATGAGAACAATGCGGAGGATCCGGAGGCGGCCTTTGCTCGGAAGCTGGCGTTCGGATTGGGGAATGGGGTGGGGAGTCTGCGCGTTCCCGCGCAACTCAGCCCGGAACATCACATCGCATTCTTGGAGAACCAGCGAAGGAACAAAGGAGCCTTGCGGATCCCCAGTCCTCGGGAGTATGATCGGGGCGGTGTACCGCAGGTGTTGGAAGAAGACGAGGATGCCGCACCGCCCGCCAAACCCGCAGAGATGGAGTCCGACGCAGAGCGCAGTCCGGGTGACACCAGGGCTGGATCCGGTAACGAGGATGAAGCGGATAGGAACAACGCGGAGGATGACGAGGAGGAGGATGCTCAGTCTCGCCGACTGGATGGACCCCACATCACTATCAACGAACCCGAGATGTTTCGCTCGCGCACGAGGAATGAGACGTTTCCCCGCATGGACTCTCGTCCCACATTCAAAGAGACGAAGGACGAGACGGATAATTCTCCGCTAGCCCGATCTACAACACGGCGGCCCACGTTCAGCAGCGTGTTTCGATCCCTCACACAAGAGCGCGAACGGCCCACGCAGCCTTACCTGAGTTGGAATGCCACCGTTGCTCGTAACTCCAACTTCGTTGATTTGACCGAGGAACAGCGAGACGAACTAGGCGGAATCGAGTACCGTGCGCTCAAAACCCTGGCGGTGGTCTTGATTTCCTACTATGTTTTGTTTCATCTCTTGGGAATCATCTGCATGGTCCCGTGGATTATGACCACCCATTGGGGGTCGGTCGTCGAGCAGGCCGGACAGGGTCGTCCTTGGTGGGCCATTTTCACCGCCCAGTCGGCCTTCAATGACGTGGGATTCACCCTCACCCCAAACTCGATGATGTCCTTCCAAGATGCCATTTTCCCCCTTTTGCTCCTGGGATTCCTGGTTGTCATTGGGAATACAGGTTTCCCGTGTATGTTGCGGTTCATCATCTGGGTTTCCTCCAAGTTCGTTCGTGCAGAGACCCCTCTGTGGGAGGAACTGCGGTTTCTCCTCGATCACCCTCGTCGGTGCTTTACCCTTCTCTTTCCCCGAAACGCTACTTGGTGGCTCTTTGCAATTCTGGTGTTGCTGAATGGAATTGACCTGATTTTCTTCATCATTCTTGATGTGAGTCTTTACCTCCCTTCCCCAGCCTATCCCAAACTGTGAACCGGAGTTGACATACGGTCTAGCTGAATGACTCAACCGTCACATCCTTGTCGCCCGGTATTCGGGTCCTGGATGGCTTGTTCCAGGCTATCTGCACACGAACTGCTGGCTTGACAGTTGTCTCCATCTCAGACCTTCATCCCGCGGTCCAAGTATCATACTTGGTTATGATGTATATATCCGTGTTTCCTATCGCCATCTCCCTACGACGCACCAACGTCTACGAGGAGAAGAGCTTAGGAATCTACGCCGGCGAGGAAGAGGATGGGGATGATACCCAGACCCCGCCCAGCTACATCGGCGCTCACTTGCGCAAACAGCTGAGTTTTGATCTGTGGTACGTGTTCCTGGGGCTCTTCGTCATCACCATCGTCGAAGGCGCGCGCCTCCAAGCCCAGGACGACTACTCGTTCCAGATCTGGTCCGTGCTGTTCGAGGTCGTCTCGGCCTACGGCACCGTGGGCATGTCCCTGGGCTATCCCGGGATCAACGCCTCGTTCTCCGCCGAATTCCACGTACTCTCCAAACTGGTCATCATGGCCATGCAGATCCGCGGCCGGCACAGAGGTCTGCCGTACGCTCTGGACCGTGCCATTCTGCTGCCCTCGGAGGCGCTCAATCAAAACGAGATTGCCGACGCGGAGCGCCGCATGCGCCGCCGTGCATCGAGTCTGAGTCAGATGTCCATCGACCGTGACCGCGACCAGACCCAGCCCCAGAACCCGCCGGAGCAGAGTGCCACCACAGGCCATGACCCTCGGGACCACTACCCTCGGCACTCGATGCAAGGAGACGGAATCATCCGTCGTCACTCAACTCTGCGCTCTCAGCGATCTCAGCGTGTTTAATAGCATTTTTTTTGGAAGGGGAGGTGGCTGGGGAGCTTCCATTTCTGGCGAAATTCCAGTGGTACCTATATCTATTACACTGCGTTGGGAGAGACCCATCAGACCTTTTTTTTCCTTCTCTCAAAGCCTCTCATTCTTAGCGTGTTCGTTTTCGTTCTCTATACCTTTTCGAGAGCATGTCGGGGTGTCGATATGCATACAGTTATATTCTCTGTCGCTTACGATGTTTATAAAGCTCATGGCGGGATCTCTGATATTATTTGTACATACACCAACACGTATACAGGATATTTCCGGGACAGGGTCAGGAGGAGGTGTGGGGGGGGGGGTATGGGGGGACACAGCAGGCTGTGTTTGGATTTGACTGTTTTCTAGATGGAAACCCATGTATCCGCTCATGGGCTCTGCTTTGCACCATATCACGTTGGCCATCTTGGAAACCGAAGATTTATTTGGATATCATGCATACACTATCGTGAAAAAACCTGCATATGTGGCATGTGTATCAAAGTTCTAAACCCACCCACACATCCATTCCAGCTCATGCTCTATAGTATACACAAACTCGACCATATGACCCTCTTTTGACGGATTTACCGCAAAGTCACCAACTCCTCGGCACTGGTGGGGTGAATCGCGACACAGCTATCAAAGTCCTTCTTGGTAGCGCCCATCTTGACGGCCACACCAAAGCCCTGGAGCATCTCGCCGCAGCCCAGGCCCAAAATGTGCAGACCCACGACCTTCTCCTCGGGGCCGGCGCAGATGAGCTTGAACTCGGTGGGGTTCTGCTTCTTCTCCTCGGCCGGGTACAGGTCGTAGTACATGGCGGTGAAGCGGGTGTGGTAGACTTTGATGTTCTCGTCGCCGAACTTCTGGCGGGCCTCGGGCTCGGTGAGACCCACGGTGCCGACCTCCGGGTGCGAGAAGACCACCGTGGGGATGTTGTCGTAGGAGAGCTTGGCGGTCTTGAATTCGGGGCCACCGAAGAGGCGGTTGCCGAGTTGGCGACCGGCGGCGATGGCGACTGCAAAGGGTTAGTTTGAGGGGGTTTTTGCTTGAGGACAGGGAAAGGAGAAGAATAGGAAAAAAAAAAAAAAAAAAAAAAAAGACATACCAGGAGTCAACTCAGCTTGGCCGGTGACATCACCAATAGCATAAATCCCCTCGACGCTGGAGTTCTGGAACTCGTCGACAACGACGTGACCCTTCTCGTTGAGCTTGACGCCGGGGACATCCAAATTCAGATCCTCGACCTCGGGCACGCGGCCGACCGCCCACAGCAGCTCGTTGACCTCCGTCTCGGAACCGTCGTGGTGGATCAGCTTGAGCAGCTTGTCCTTGCCCTTTCCGTCGCGGAGCAGCTGGACCTCCTTGAAGCCCTGGTGGCCCTTGTGGACGTGGATGCCGACGGCCTCGTAGCGCTCGGTCATGGTCTTGGAGATCATCGGGTCGAACTTGCGCAGGAACTCCTGGCCGCGGATGTACATGTGAGTCTCCACGCCGACGGCGCCCATCACGCCCGCCAGCTCCACGGCGATGTAGCCCGCGCCCACGACGGCGATCTTGGGCGGCAGCTCCTCAATCTCAAAGAACCCGTCGCTCGTGATCCCGTGCTCCGCACCCTTGATGTCCGGGATGCTGGGCCGGCCGCCCGTCGCGATCAGGATGTGCGGCGCCGTGTACCGCGCCTTACTGCCGTCCTCCAGCGTCACCTCGATCACCCGCGGCTCCACGAACCCGGCCCGTCCGTGCACCAGATCAATCCCCTCCTTGCCCCAGTTGCGCTCGTAGATCCCGTTCAGTCGCTGAATTGTTGCGTCCCGTCGCTCCTTGAAGTACTTGTAGTCAATCTTGACGTCGTCTGGCACCGTGTAGCCGTAGTGCTGGGCTGCGTGCAGGTTCTCGTTGATGGAGGCGAAGTTCCAGGTCATTTTCTTGGGGACACAGCTGGAATGAAACAGAAAAAAGGTTTTAGCTCTCGTATGCTCGATTGCAATACAGAGTGTGAGGGTGATTTTGACTTACCCCACGTTGACACAAGTACCGCCCGAACGACCGCTCTCGACGATCAGCGTCTTCGCGCCATACCAGCCCGCGGCGCGGCGGCCGCTGCCACTGCCACCACTTCCGCCGCCGAGGACGATGTAGTCGTACTGCTGGACCTCAACGGGAGCCATGTTGTTCGAGTCGGCCGTAGCGGCGGTGGAGGAGAATTGCCGTGTAAAAGAGGTGATTCGTGCGACGGTGGTCGAGGTCGGTCGTGGAAAGGTAGTAGCCAGGACGTTCCGGTGATTGTGAGTGACGGTGCTTGGGTGGGAGGCTGTAGCTAGTGTGCGGTGGCCTGTAGCGGTTCGGGATGAACGGACAAGAGGGGAACGGCCGTGAGAAAGGCGGTTCTTAAGTACCTGCGCTGGGAGGGAACGGAGAGAAGAACAGGTGCGCATTTGGGAGGAAGGGAAGGAAAGCAAAAAGGAGAAGGAAAGAAGAACAAGGAAGAAGTGGGAGGAGGGGGGGAGGATGGAGGTCAGACGCCGAGGTGGAGGGGCAGAAATGGCTGAACTGAGTGGGGAGAGGAGCCGGTAGATGATCACCAATCAGCAAAAGACAAACTGAGTTATCGCGATGGATAACAAGTACTCCGGAATTATACCGTTAGTGATACGAAGGGCTGCTGCTTTTCTAGGAGCATAATTGGACCATTCACAATTGTTCTGACGCCATCTGGCTCACTGCATTCGTTTCCTTCTGGAGAACTTCTTCAATTGCCCCGATTATCTAAGCTGTGATTTCACCTGCTTATCAATCCACAATGACTAAAACTGGTCTGGATCCTGGTTGACCATGATCTTGACTAATGCTGGCAGTCAATTTGCAGCATCTAGACACAGTTCATCCAATATCTGCCTACGTACGTATGTACAGTAACTGAATCCATACACACACAAAATTGAAGGGCAATTGTCGGTTTTCTTTGGATAGTATTGATAGTATATTGAATCCGCTTACCGCCCCGGCCTGTTGATTCTGCCGGGTGCTGCCGTCATCGCCCACTGGCCAGCCTCATCTCATCAGTCACTTACTTTTCTCTCCTCCACCTGTTTGGTCTCCGAGGTGCTCAAAGCTCATTACTAACCTACAATCGATCAAAATGGATGGTACTGGCTCCGTTGAGTCACAGTGGCTGACCCAGCTGGCAGCCATGCGTCAGGCCATCGCCGATCTAAAGCTTCCAGCAGACCCCGCCAAGGAACCTGTTTACGGAAGTGACCTGGAGTTGGATTTTGATGAGGACTACTCATCCCCCGGAACTATAGACGACGACATTTGGGATATTATCAGCTCGGATGATGAGTCCAGTGGGGCCGATGATGACTTTGACGACCTCCCTTCCGCTCCAGTAACATTCGCTTATGACCAGATATGGCTCGAGCAGAAGTGCGCCAGCCTCGCCTCCGGTAAGTCTGGCATGGAGGCACATGACATCGCGCAGCAGATCACCGCTGCTCTGGCCACGGATAGTGGAGATAATGAACTGCAGATGTCGCTGGCTGAGATAGTCGGCTTTGAGGATCTGGATTTCGTGATCGACTTGATCGCGCATAGGTCGGAAATCATCGCGAATGTCCATGCTCACACACGCACCGAGGCCCAGACGGATGGCCTGTTCTCGGGGAGATTGCAGACAAGGGCCGAGCGCGAGCAAGCTCTGCGGCAGCAGGACTACGAGCACAAGAATGCGCCATTGTTGGAGGCCCAGACAAGGGCTGAACCGCACTACCCTCATGTCTTCAAGATGCACGAGTCCAGAAACGTTCTTTCCCTCGGAGGCAAACGGTATGGGCTACCCATGGGGAGTAAGCAGATCGAAGAGAAGAAGTATACCGAGATCGAAGTCCCCGCGTCCAAGACCGGCGGTATGATGCCCGGTCAGAAGCTGGTGCCCATCGCGTCCATGGATGGTCTATGTCAAGGCACATTCAGAGGGTACAAAACCCTGAATCGCATGCAGAGCCTGCTGTATGAGGTAGCCTATAGGACCAATGAGAACATGCTCATTTGTGCACCCACTGGTGCTGGTAAAACAGACGCCGCCATGCTAACGATCCTGAATGCGATCGGCAAGAACACTATTCCCAACCCCATTGAGCAGCCAGACGCTACGGAATTCGCAGTGCAGTTGGAGGACTTCAAGATCATCTATGTCGCTCCAATGAAGGCCCTGGCAGCGGAAGTCACTGAGAAGCTGGGGAAGAGACTCGCTTGGCTCAATATCAAAGTTCGTGAGTTGACGGGTGATATGCAGTTGACCAAGCGGGAGATTGTGGAAACCCAGATCATCGTCACTACCCCTGAGAAATGGGATGTAGTCACTCGAAAGAGCACGGGAGATACGGAGCTTGTACAGAAGGTGCGCCTGCTCATTATTGACGAGGTGCACATGCTCCATGATGAGCGTGGTGCCGTCATCGAATCCTTGGTGGCACGTACCCAGCGTCAGGTCGAAAGTACGCAGTCTCTTATTCGCATTGTTGGCTTGTCGGCCACACTGCCAAACTATATCGATGTCGCCGATTTCCTTAAAGTTAATAAGATGGCGGGTCTGTTCTATTTCGACGGATCGTTCCGTCCCGTACCACTCGAGCAGCACTTCATTGGCGTCAAAGGAAAGCCTGGGTCCAAGCAGTCGCGCGAGAACATCGATGTTGTGGCGTTTGAAAAGGTCCGCGACATGCTCGAGAGAGGACACCAAGTCATGGTGTTTGTCCATTCACGGAAGGATACTGTTATGACTGCTCGGATGCTCCGGCAAATGGCCACCGAAGATGGTTGCGAGAGTCTGTTCAGCTGTCAAGACGAGGAAGGATACTCCAATGGTTTGGCAGATGTGAAACGCAGTCGTGCTCGTGAGCTGCGAGAACTTTTCGGCAGTGGACTCGGAACCCATCATGCTGGAATGAGTCGGAGCGACCGTAACCTGATGGAGCGACTGTTTTCCGAGGGGCTAATCAAGGTCCTCTGTTGTACTGCGACACTGGCATGGGGTGTCAACCTTCCCGCGGCCGCAGTTGTCATTAAGGGAACTCAGCTCTACAATCCGCAGGAGGGTAAATTTGTCGACTTGGGCATCCTTGATGTGCTGCAGATCTTTGGTCGTGCCGGTCGTCCTCAGTTCCAGGACACTGGTATTGGTTTCATCTGTACCACTCATGATAAGTTGAACCACTATATCTCGGCAGTAACGTCTCAGCAGCCGATTGAATCCAGGTTCTCTAGTCGACTGGTGGACAACCTGAATGCGGAAATCTCACTGGGCACGGTCACTTCGGTCGCAGAAGCCGTGCAATGGCTGGGATATTCGTATCTATTTGTACGCATGCTGCGCGAGCCTCGGAACTATGGCATTGACTGGGCCGAGATTCGTGATGACCCGATGTTGGTCCAGAGACGGCGTCAACTCATCATTCAAGCAGCGCTGGTCCTTCAGAAGAGCCAGATGATCATATACAACGAGAAAACGGAAGACCTCAGGGCCAAGGACGTCGGCCGTATCGCGAGTCAATACTATGTTCTACAAACCAGTATTGAAATCTTCAACAACATGATGCGACCACGTGCAACTGAAGCTGATGTGCTGAGCATGATTAGCATGAGCGGTGAGTTTGATAACATACAAGCGCGCGAAAGCGAGTCGAAAGAACTCAACAGACTACGAGACGAGGCCACCCAGACAGAAGTAGAGGGCGGCAACGACTCACCACATGCAAAAACCAACATTCTGCTTCAGTCGTACATCTCCCGTGCTAGGATTGAGGACTTTGCATTGGTCTCGGATACCGGCTATGTGGCGCAAAATGCCGCTCGTATTTGTCGTGCTTTATTTATGATAGCCTTGAATCGACGCTGGGGCTACCAATGCCAGGTCCTTTTGTCGATGTGTAAATCGATTGAAAAGCAGATGTGGCCCTTCGACCATCCATTCCATCAGTTTGATCTTCCTCAGCCAGTTCTCAGAAATCTAGATGAAAAGCTTCCAACGTCGGCGATTGAGTCGTTGAGAGACATGGAAACGGCAGAGATTGGACAGCTGGTCCACAATCACCGGATGGGCAAGACACTGGCCAAGTTACTGGACAATTTCCCTACCTTGGCCGTCGAAGCCGAGATTGCCCCTCTGAACCGGGATGTTTTGCGGATCCGTCTTCTGCTCTACCCAGAATTTAGCTGGAATGACAGACATCATGGTGCGTCAGAATCGTATTGGATCTGGGTTGAGAACTCGGAAACGTCTGAGATTTATCACCATGAGTACTTCATCCTGAGCCGGAAGAAGTTGAACGACGAACATGAGCTGAACTTCACCATCCCACTCTCAGATCCTTTGCCCAGTCAGATCTACGTTCGAGCAATCTCGGACCGTTGGCTGGGTGCTGAGACAGTCACCCCGGTGTCGTTCCAGCATCTGATCCGTCCAGACACGGAGAGTGTGTATACCGATCTGCTCAATCTCCAGCCGTTGCCCATCTCTGCCTTGAAGAATCCGATCTTGGAGGAACTATACGGACAACGCTTCCAGTTTTTCAATCCCATGCAGACTCAAATTTTCCATCTTCTATACCATACACCAGCCAATGTACTCTTGGGCTCTCCGACAGGTAGTGGAAAGACTGTGGCCGCTGAGCTGGCTATGTGGTGGGCTTTTAGAGAAAAGCCCGGCTCCAAGGTCGTGTACATCGCGCCCATGAAAGCCCTTGTGCGAGAGCGCGTCCAAGACTGGAAAAAGCGTCTGACAGCGCCAATGGGTCTCAAATTGGTCGAGCTGACCGGAGACAACACGCCTGACACTCGGACGATTCGAGACGCGGATATCATCATCACTACTCCTGAGAAATGGGACGGTATCTCGCGTAGTTGGCAAACCCGAGACTATGTGCGTAAAGTGAGCTTGGTGATCATCGATGAGATTCACTTGCTTGGTGGTGACCGAGGACCGATTCTCGAGATCATCGTCTCCCGCATGAACTACATCGCTTCTCAATCTAAAGGCTCTGTGCGCTTGATGGGCATGTCCACTGCTTGCGCAAACGCCAGCGACCTGGCGAACTGGCTAGGTGTCAAGGAAGGTTTGTACAATTTCCGCCATTCAGTGCGTCCTGTGCCGCTCGAGATCTATATCGATGGATTTCCCGAGCAGCGCGGCTTCTGTCCCCTTATGCAGTCGATGAACAGACCAACATTCCTGGCCATTAAGAATCATTCCCCTGACAAGCCGGTTATCGTGTTCGTTGCTTCGCGCCGACAAACCCGTCTTACCGCCAAAGACTTGATCAATTACTGTGGTATGGAAGACAATCCTCGGCGGTTTGTCCGTATGTCGGAGGAAGACCTGCAGTTGAACCTTACTAGGGTCAAGGATGACGCCTTACGAGAAGCCCTTAGCTTCGGAATTGGTCTTCACCATGCCGGTTTGGTGGAATCCGACAGACAACTGGCCGAAGAGCTTTTCGCGAATAACAAGATTCAGATACTGGTGGCGACAAGTACACTTGCATGGGGTGTCAACCTTCCCGCCCATTTAGTCGTCGTAAAAGGCACCCAATTCTTCGATGCTAAGATAGAAGGCTATCGGGACATGGACTTGACCGATGTCCTGCAAATGTTAGGCCGTGCGGGACGTCCGCAGTTCGACAACTCTGGCATTGCACGCATCTTCACGCAGGACGCAAAGAAGGCCTTTTACAAGCACTTCCTGCACACTGGGTTCCCTGTCGAGTCGACTCTGCATAAGGTCTTGGACAACCATTTGGGCGCCGAGGTGTCTGCAGGAACCATCACCACGAAGCAGGATGCTCTCGACTATCTGACATGGACGTTCTTCTTCCGACGCCTTCACAAGAACCCATCCTACTACGGCCTTGAGATTTCGGCCGAAGAGCACAACACCATGGCCGCGCAATCTATAGCGCAGGAATTCATGATTGACCTGGTCGACCGATCTCTCGGTGAGCTCGCCGAATCATCTTGTGTAGCCTTCGACTCGGCCACCGGCGATGTTGACCCTACCCCCTTCGGCAAGATCATGAGTTACTACTACCTCTCACACAAGACTATCCGTTTCCTGATGTCGCATGCCAAACCTAACCCGACCTTCCACGACGTCCTGAGTTGGATGTGCTCCGCCAGTGAATTCGACGAGCTTCCCGTGCGGCACAATGAGGACTTGATCAACGCCGAACTGGCGAACCACCTACCCTTGTCCGTTGACTCGATGGGTGATCTTCCCCTGTGGGACCCCCACGTCAAAGCTTTCCTCCTATTGCAGGCGTACATGTCGCGCATCGATCTTCCAATCTCTGACTACGTCGGTGATCAGACCTCCGTCCTGGACCAAGGCATCCGTATCATTCAGGCCTCCATCGACGTCATGGCCGAACTGGGCTACCCCCACGCTTGCCAGATGTTCATGAGCCTCCTCCAGAGCATTAAGTCCGCTCGCTGGCCCGAGGACTCGGCCCTGTCGATACTGCCCGGCATCGACGTCACCACCGCCCCGAAGGGCAGCAAGAACAGCAGCCTCCTTCCACCCTCTCTTGCCGCCCTTGCCGCGCTTCCCAACGACGCCATCTCCTCACTCACGAGGAAACTCCCCCTCTCCTCATCGCAGGCTCAATTCGTCAAGGCCACAGGCTACCTCCCCAATCTCGCAGTCTCCATCTCCGCCATCACCTCCCGCGGCATCACAGTCTCCATCGTACGGAAGAACGCCCCCTTGGACCGCGAATGCCGCATCTACGCCCCGCGCTTCCCCAAACCTCAGACGGAGGGATACTTCCTGCTCATCTACAACGCCAAGCCCGACGGCCAGGACGGCGATCTCCTGGCTCTGAAACGTGTTTCATGGCAGACCGGCCCGCGCGGAAAGAAGAACGGAGACAAGAACCACTACTACACTGGCCGTGGTGGCCCCACCTCTTCCCACAGTAGCGGCAGTGCCACCACCACCACCGCCAAGAAACCCAATGAGCGGCCGCAGCAACAACAACTGTCAGTCCGCTCCTCGGTCAAATTCCCCGACGCGGCATCCTCGGCACCAGTCATCGCGCGGGTCAATGTGCGCGTGATTAGTGATTCGTATCCAGGCATGGAATGGACAGTAACCGGCGTCGAGGTCCCGAGTGGTGGTGCTGCCGCGGGAGCTGAAACGCAGACTGTTTCGGAATCTACTATCCCTGACAAGGCTTGAACAGGAGAAGAACACTTTCTTGGTACCGTACATGCATATTCGATCTACGGGGTGGGATGGCTTTGCTCGCGGAGTCAGGGGAAAGCTCCGTTGTTGATACAGTAGATTCCCAAGAAAATAGATCGAACTAGATTTTCATGTGCGTATGTTCAAAGTTCATTTGTTTCCGAATGAGACGTGATTCCTGGTTTATAGATTAAAAGTCTAAATGGAGAGGGTCAGGGCTTAGAGCCGTGCCTCTAGCTCGAAACCATGGGGGGTATTTTGTTTCAAGATGAGGACAAATATAGATACATGCAGAAGAGGGACTGATGAGGTCATCAAGACTGTAGTAGTGGTGACTGTCCATACCGAAGGGGCAAAAGAACAATTTACATGCATGAAGAGATAAGCTATCGAAGCATAGAAGTATATGCTACCTGCGCTTGTAAAGGAGGGCCGGCTGAGAAGTAGACAAAGGAAGAGGGAACAAAAGCACGACTGAGCCAGAGGTGCGAAGGAAAAGTAAATAGAAAGATGTGACGTAGGATCTCATGAGGATGAATCATGTAACGCTTCAAATGAAATTGCCCACACGCACAGTCCGTGTGCTTCCAGGCCGAGGGCTGAACTCCCCGCCGTCTTGGAGCCGAGGACGCGGACGGGTGATCTTGGTCTCCACCACGCGGTCCGTGGCAGTGGTGTTGGCACGATCCAGCCGGGGTCGAATGGGGACAATCACTTGTTTCTTACCCCGGGAGACGGAGACGGATCGGGCAATGGAGATCTCAACAGTCGGGAGGGGTTTGTTAAGGTCTGACGTACTAGCGTTTTTCCTTTCGTCGCCGAGGGGAAATCGCCGAACGGCGATGGGGGTGGTGGTGGCGCTGGCCCTCGAGGTACTGGCTTGGCTGACTGTGGGAGACCGCGCCGGGAGGTTGGTTCGGTTGCGAGGCGTGTTGGGTGACTTCGCGGATGAGACGAAAGAAAGGGGCGAAGAGGTTCCGCTTCGTGGGTCAGCAGCTGCAGCAGCCCTGGTCGGCGGTACTTGCGTGTTGATCGTCAGGGTTGCGGGAGCCTTTGGTCTGGGAATAGCCGGAGGAGTCGGGGGAGGAAGGGGTAATAAAGGCTGGCTGTTCGTGGGGGACTTCTTGTTGATGATCTCCCATTCGGGCTCTCGCTCGTCGACGTAGCTTCGCACAGGTTTGAGCTTCTGCAGGAGAAGTCTTTCGTCCTCGGAGTCTATGGACGTGGCTGAAAGGAACGAGGATAGTGAGTCTTGCGGTTTGTGCGCGGACGGTGCACTGTGCACCATGAGAACGAGATGGCTCTTGTCTTTGGATACGTCCCGGTGAGACTCGGTTACTGATGTCTGAGTCTTGTGTAGGGGACTGGGGCCGCGGGGTATGTTCTGCGATCCAAGAACCTTCGAGGCCTTGCTGACTTGCGTGGCGGGGAACAGTGTGAAGCTTGGCGAATTGGACCGTGACCGTGATGGTGAGGTCGCCCTTCGTCGAGGAGGAACCACTTCTGGCGACGGTGGCGATGATTGCTGGACCGAAGATGTTAGACAATCACGATTAGCAAGGGTGCATAGCGTACCTTCGTCTCTCCCACGTCCGCGTCATTCAACGTCATGCTCCGTCTGTTCATTGATGGAGGTCTATTCTTTTGCAAGACTCCCCCGAACATGACGCTGTATCGTTCCAATTGGATGTCGGGAATGTCAATCTGGAGCAAGGGCGTGAAATTGGACGAAGCATTAGCAGTTTGGGGCGATTTATTAATGGCCGCAGATGCCGGTTCCAGGGCTGCCGGTTCCGGGGCTGGTTTCAGTTCTAGAGACGGCCAAGCTTCAACGGGACTGGATTGATCATCGGGCTTGATATTGGCCTCGATCCCATGATTATCCCTGGGCTTGAGCTCTTCGATGCTCGACCCTTCGTCGATTTTAGGGCTTTCCTCAAGTACGGGCTGACGTCGGTTGATGGAGACTGCAGAGGCTGGCATTGGCCAATCAGTGGTCGGCTGGACACGATAGAAAGGCTCCATGGGAACAGGTGCACTCAATGCACTCTTCGCTTTGAACAATCCTCCGATTTTCTTCCATTTGCTCGGCTTGCGCTGCAGCGATGGCCGCAACGGGACGTCCGCAGGCTTAGCGGGCTGTTGCTCCTGTGACATTGCGATAGGGACCTCTACCATCCGGGGGCTTCCTAATGCGACACCAATCCAGCCGTCTGTGGGCGAGGTAATTGGACTCGTTGGACAAGGCACGGCGTGCGGGGGAGGTGTTGCGATCTGGAAATCAAATTCAGGGTCGCCATCCTGTAAACGCTTTTGATGCTGCTGCTCTGCTGTTTTCGGGCGTGTTGGGCCCTGAGGAGGATCCAGACTGGGTTCCTGATGTCCAGAATTCTTACGTGGTCGCGTGTCTGGGTGCTTCTGAGCAGGCGATGTGCTGGTCTCCGGCTGGCGCAAGGTGCGTGACCTTCCGCGAAACGTGCCTAAAGCCATGGTGAACACTTATGTCGTAATACTTGTTCCTAATAGTCAAGGAAATGCCGCTTAGTGATAGTTCTGAGTACTTGGAATGGTCCGTGGGCGTCCGTCAGATGGACGCAGCAAAGATAAATGAGTGGAGGTGGTAATATCGACCGGCAAAAGAGTGACAGTTTAAAGAACGTCGGGAATGGAAAACTTCAAGCACCAGTCATGAAGTATAGCAAGGAAAAGGAATGGACGGCCTTCCAGAGGGCCCGAAACAGAACCACGAAACAGTCACGAAGCTGAAGAATCAATCATGGTCGAGGAGAAAAGGAGGGAGGAGAGATGGAGCAGAAGCACTCGAGGCGAGGGAAAGAAGCACCGGACAATAGCCGTTGTTAACTAGAGTGGAGCCTGAGGCCGAGTACGCAACAACTAAATGAGAATCGCGGCAGGGGCTGGTTAGTGTCAGACTGTTTCTTGTGTTGTGTTGGACCCAAGGATATATCTCGAGTGAGTAAGGCATGACGAAGCGCTAGAATCTAGTAACCAACGAAAAGGTTAGAAGTAAATTATCCAGGAGGCGTTACAGGAGCTACGCGGGCGGAAAATGTGCGAAAAGGTGGGAGGGCCTCTGGGTTGCTTATCGCGGGATCTGATTGATTGCGTGTTTGATTACAGCTTCAGATCATGGGCAAAAGCGCTCAAAGAAATGCGCTTGGCAGACGCAGGGTTAGGTTCGTCGCTGGACATTGCATCCTGAAACTGAAATCTTTGACCCAATTACAGTACTATAAACCAAGCAGATCTGAGAAGCTGATACCCGCAGTAAGGGAGGGGGTGTCACAGATGCGCGTGGATGCGACAAGCGAAGGGAGACCGTTTCAGACCACTTTTTGAGCTCGATCGCACGTGCTGTTTGCTTCCTGCGCAACGGTGGGGATGACATGTCAATCTTGAATGTGTCATGCCCACGGAAATCCTATAACTTAAGCACTGTGAGCGTGACAGGATTTTCCGATGCACAGTCTGCAGTTGTCAAAATAACTGGCCGACTGACCAACGAACGGTTGCTCCCAAGGCTAATTTCCCCTGTTTTTTCATCTGACGTGGCCCCATTTAATGACTAAGGCGATCCAATATGAAGGTCCGTTACGGAAAGGAGATCGAATACTGTGTGGTATGGAGTAACCCGCGAAGAGTAGAGTTGCCGGATGGCTGCAGAGTGCAGACTTAAGAGTGCAGCTGGTTTTTGACACATGACTGGATCTCATGCACTCGGTCGCTGCACAGCTAACTATATGCCTGCGCTAAGTGGAAAAGACTCAGGTTTTCACCTCCGAAGTAGAGACAGAAGAGGCGGTAAGAGCATTGGTGGGACTGAACAGGGTCTAGCATTCGCAACGGTAGGGAGGCTATTCCGAATACACTCCGATTATGGGGACTAGTTGTTGGCCCCTCCACTGCCCAAAACCTCTTTCTTGCGACTTTGGCTGCTTATGATATTCTCATAACCACAGCTTAGTTAGTCGGATTGGAGGAAGCAGACAGCTCCCAAACCACGGGTCAGTTGCGGGTGCAGGGAAGGATGACGTAGAGAGAGAGAAAGAAAGAGAGAGAGAGATCGACATTCACACTATTGGCACAGATGTGACTGGAGAGAGGGAGAAAGAAGCAGTCGGTCGTCGAACAAAGGTTCTATAGAGAACTAACTAAAGAAAACCAGAATGAAGAAGCCGTCAATACTCAGGCAGGCAGTCCAAGTTAGTCTGATGGAGCTCGGCGGGGCACAATCAGAGCAAGAAAGTCCGTAGAAAGTAGACACAGAAAGCGACCAACGACCAACAGAAACCCCCACCTCATCATCTTCTCTCTGACTAAACCTCACCCCCCCCTCTTCTCTCTCTCTCCCTCTCCAGTATCTCCTTTCCCCTCCTTTCCCTCAACCACCTTCTTGTCCTTCTACTACGACATACCTTAGTAGGTAGTTAATATCCCTGCCCCTCTGGTCCGACTTTTTTCCTCTTTGACGACCGCCTTCTCTTCCCCTAACATTTTCTGCCTTGTGGAAACTTACCTCCTTTCCTCCTCTTCCGTTCTTCTCCCCGACAGTCTCCGTCGTTTGTTTATCCCACCACCACCCACCAACCACCCTTAACCACCGTCACCATGGGTCAGCACTCCGCTATCTGGCAAGGTATGTGCACTCCACCGTCTGGAGCCTCTCTTCTATCGTGTTTATTCTCTTGGTTTTATCATCACTAATGTGACTTGCTGTTTTGAACAGGCTATGTCGATTCCAGGTATATAAGCCATCCCGCCCCTACCCCGCTTCCCACACATATACGGCAGTATACCTTTCCAGCTCAGCATGTATCCTGACAACCATCGCCTTCTAGCTTGATGGGATCTGGTCAATTCGACAAGGCTGCCATTCTTGCCTATGACTTCTCCGACGTCGAGGCTTCTTCCCCGGGCATCACGGTATGATCCCACCGCCAGTCTAGTCGGCGCAGTGGCTTATCAGGCACCCCGCGCCCCTCTCGTCCATCCTGAACCTAGAGCTGACTCCTCTCCCAGATCGCTCCTCAGGAGCTGAGCGGCCTGGCTGCCATCTTCAAGGACCCCAGCAGCGCCTTCGCCAACGGTATCATCGTCGGCGGCGAGAAGTTCGTTACCATCAAGGCCGACGACCGCAGTGTGTACGGCAAGAAGGTATACTTTCGGCTCTCCTTTACTACCACTTATAATCTATCTTCAATATTCCATGTTGTCAGTCATTGTGCGGGTCGATCAACTAATCATACTCCAAATCTGCTACAGGGTAAGGAGGGTATCGTCATCGTCAAGGCCAACTCCTGCGTCTTTGTCGCCCACCACGGCGAGACCGTTCAGACCACCAACGCCGCCACCGTCGTCGAGAACCTCGCTGACTACATCAACAACCCCCGGTAGATGGCCGGTTCCACACCTGATCAAAAAGTCCGTTGTTAGGGAGGGGGCTTGACGAATCAAAGTGAGAGCAGCGGTGATACTCTCATGTAGGAACACGGGTGGTCTCCTGCTTGATTTGTCTGTTCATATTCTTGTGTCTCTTTTTTTCTCCTGTTGTTATATGATATCAGCCACAACGCGTAGATATGTGCAATATGTGCCAACCTTTGATTCTTCTGGGATTTCGGCTTTCAAGTTTATTTTGTGGATCAGTCCAGCAGGGTGGGTGATGCGCCCGGGCGGAAGTCTCGTGACAGTGCTGAGCCATCATTACTCGGTATATCTAATCATGGTGGCACTACATGAAATAATGATTATCTATATATCCAATTCTATCTGCAAGGAATTTCGGGAAAGACCAAAGAGAATATTAACAATTATAACATCTAATACAATCCAATAAGAGTAGCATATATACCCCATATGAAATAAGCCCTTTTTCCCTCTTAAGCACAAAGCCAATCCTCGTCCACTCACAATAGAAAGTACATAAACCCTCGTGGACCCCCTCCCCTTTGGAATCCCATGCGCATCATACAGTAAGAGATAGTCGTAAAACAGTAGTCGGTAAGGTCGTGTAATCGATTCGTTTCACACGTTAACATTATTCACGCGCTCGCATGTAGAGTCGGTCTCCCCATCGCTGCTACACCCAGCAAAAGCCCAAGGTAAGTAGCCAAGGCGCCCAAGAACCCAAACCGTGCTTTCCACAGCGTCAAAGCGCGGAAGACCGGGGGTGATAAAGAAAAGTTCTCATATTTAGCCTTGCTTTTTTCCCGTTATACCGGCAACTCAGCATTCCGCCTTCCACCAGCTAGCGCCTCCAACGCCGTCCTAATATACGGCCCCACCACGGGAATATTCCCCGCGAACTGGCCGATAGTAACCAAGAAGTCGCCGAAGAGGATGAACAGCCCGTAGAGCTCGATGATGAAGCCTGTCAGCGGCCAGCGGAAGAGAATGAGCAGGATGCCCGCGGTGAAGGCGGCGGTGCCCTTGAGTTTCTGGCGACGCGAGAAGAAGGCGAAGGTCTTTTCAACGCCGATGATGAGGGTGAGGCCGATCAGGAAGAGGATCTGTTTTGTTCGGGTGTTTAGTATGCGGTGGGCGGCCTGGGGCATGGAGCGCCTGGGGCAGGGTGGGAATGGGAACGTACATTGCCCATAGCAAGTCTGTTTGTTGCGTGGGGAAACGGTTAGCTGATAGGTCTTGTGTGGATGATGGTGCTATGCTGTGGGGGATAGGACGCACAATGAGCGGTCGAAGAACATGAGGACTCCGCCGAAGAGGAAGAGAGCTCCTGTGCGAATTGGGTCAATTGCTTTATTCGGATGAAGCTGGTTGGTCGCGTGAGGCTGGGGAACGTACCGGCGGAGCAGAAGATGACGCCTATCTCTGTTGTTGGGGGAGACTGTGTTAGCTCATTGTATAGTATGCTTCAGGGAGCTCAATACCCGAGGTGGTGGATCTGAGCTGTGTTGGTTGCGCTTACTCTGATTGTCGGACAGCCACATGGTTGGCATCTTGATTTTTCTTACACGCAGGCACGGTGAGGTGGTGTTTGAAGATTTTTCGGGGTGGTTGATCTCAAGTCGACACAAGGTTGAAGGAATTGGTGCTGGTTGCGCGATGAGGGTCTCGAGATAGTAGGCCGATAGACAAATGCCTGCGAAGTGAATTGCCGTGTTTTGGCGGAAAAGATCGCTTGCGCACGGAGGCGTGGGTCACTCAAGCAGTAGAAGCTGAGCGCTTGCAGGCAGACACGGATCCAAATCAGAGACTGGAAAAAAGAGCTCGATGCTGTTCGCCTTGACCTTCTAAGTTAAGCACAATCAAACAATTTCCCCCAACGAGTTGAATAAACATTGATGATAGTCGCGCAAAATTGCCCAATTCTGCCACGTTCCTTTCTTGGCGAGGTGAGAGCTAGTCCGTATTGGGATGGCGGTCGACTGGCTTCCGCACTCCCACAAAAGCCGCTTTTCTGCTCTCTGAATCTTTTCTTCTCGTCAACAGTACCAGTGCTGAGTGTCGCCGAGATGTTTTATGTCTCTTACTCCTACAATGCTTACGGAGTAGCAACAATGACAATAGCAGTTTATTACCTACTATTGAGGGGCCGGACTATTGATTGATCTATCATACAACACTGATGACATTGGTTAGACCTCACAATGATAACGACACGTGGATACCAACAGTGCAAGTATAACGCGTGCCTGAACCGAAGAGGTCCTCTCGAGAAACCATATGTATTACACTTCATTGCCAGCTGACAGCTGAGCTCACGCCGCGGCGACAGCATCCCCAGCGATGCTGTAACTGATGTTTCCCTCCAGTGGATCGTCGGTACTAGTCGAGTGCTGGTTTACCCAGCACAGAGGCGAAGATCAACCCGTATTATTGAAATACAAGATCACGAATAAGCCGGAGCAGTTCCTTGAACCTGTCTCGAGAGGGGCAGGTGGGTGGAATCGCTTGACTGTGTTGGTCGTACATTATTATATCCCATACTAGAAGAGAACCATTGCGCCTAGCTAGAATCACAAATCATTAGACCTGACTACCAATCACTTTTCGTCTTGCGTAGACCATGTTTGACTTACAATCGAACATTTCGTAACCATCGTAAGTTGTCACCTCATTTGAGCACGACGTGCGCGGCCCTCAGTTCCAGATAACTCTCTGGGACCCCCTGGCCCAGCGTGCGGACCACGCCGAAAACTTCCTTGTCATGGTAGCGTAATCTCGTCTTGGGATCCGTGTATGGGGCCGGCAGCCCGGTGATGTCGCAGTATCGGGTCTGCTGGGAGGGGTTCAGCGAAGGGGCCGACTCGATGTTGGTGTAGGTCACGGTTGGACCCGAAAAGGCTGCGCGAGCGTTCTTTTCCAGCACCAGCGTGGAGAGGTTCTGCGCGGCTTGCGCGATATTGGTTCGTGAACCGCCCTCGGCAGGGGTCTGGCTGCCATCGGTGCTGGCGGGGAGCGGCGTGGAGGCCCCGGAGTTGGTCTGCGTGGCCATCACTGAGGCCTCCTTTCGTGAGCTTTCAGAAATAAGCTGCTTGACGTTCTTGTTGCGGCGTTGGGAGGGCTTCCAGTGTGGGTTGCGGAATGGGCGTTGGACGTGCGCGATGTCGAGGCGGTCCAGAAGCTGCTGGTGTTTCTCGCTGTCTGCCGGCGTCAGAGGAGCCATGATGAATGCTGTATTCAGTTCGCTCGGTCTGTTGATGGTATCGAGAAGCTGTCGTAAGCCAGGAGCAGATTGCGTGGTTGCGAAGGTTGGAGATGGTTCTGAAGGAAAGTGTAGAAGTTTGGTCCGGAAGCATGTGCGGATTGACTAAGGCCCCTGTATGATGGCACTGATAGAACTGCACCACTAAACCAATACCAAAAATAACTGTAGGAGGAAAGTGAGGAGCAGAGAATCTTTCCAAAGTTCAAGCTGAAACCATGAAATAGATCTGATCATGATCCTCACTGCCTCCTCTACACTAACTACACAGTGGTGACCTTTGTCATCACGTGATCATTGCCTGGCTTCATTCACAAACGGACAGCAACACATAAACATCACAATCAAACAATCAAGTCACCGCAAAGAGCCTACCTTGCAGTACTTCATTATGGTAATAACACCCAAAATTAAATCCCTTGTTTGATTGAAGCAGAAATGTTTAAAAAGTCATGCAGGAAAGTCCACACGAGCACCAGCAAGCCTTGCTGCTGTCCCGCATCATTGGCAACATCGTATGTTCATCAATATCAATAGGCTAGAAGATGTAACTAACTGCGCGCAGGAGAAACTAAATGAATCAATCATGGTGATGAATCGGAACCTTCAGGTACCTTTTAATATCGCTGGTATCTGTTGCCTCATTGACCTTTACATACAGGAGATCAACATTCAAAACATGAACGTTGAGCTTGTGGCGCAAATGTTCAAGAACTACCAGTCGAACGTCCTTTTCCACTTGGAAGGTACTGAGATCACCGAGATGGTCCCGGCGCTGGTCAACAATGCTAACATGTACTAGCGACGGAGAACTTGAAGGAGCCATCTTGATCTTCTGCCCGTGTATTACTGCCGTACTTACGACGAGATGATGTCCATTTCAAGCAACCATTATTTTAGTACTTTCCATTTATCAGGTGAATGAATCTTGTGTTCCTGAGTAGACCATGTAATCTGGATAGACTCCTTCGCTTGTCTTGTATAGAGAGGTCCAGAGGGTGTATCCCAAAGATCTTGGCATCATCCGGCGCCGGTGGCCGGAACCTGCAGCGAACCCAACACAACCCCGGGACTTTCAAAGCTCTTGACTAAGGTATCCGTTGATCACCACCTCCGTTCGCCGCCGCCGCCTCCAGAATTTCTCCCTCCTTCAAGAAACACTCGCGGAGGAAGGCATTTGACGTTCACCATTCTCCAACCCCACCATCCTCTTGGCTATACATAATTACCATCTGCGACGAAGTGCAATGCAATGAACTATTCTGTCGCCGGAAGCTCTTGAATCGCTACTCCCACTGAACCGGGCCCGGTTGGCCCCAATAGACCACCATGGCTATCACTTCAGTTTCCACCGTCCTTCCCACTCGTTTTGCGATCAACTCGTCAGAAAGGACCGCCGCAAAGCCCCCACCTCCTCCGGGCTACAATGTCCAGGACCACCCGTTCAAGGGGTACCACGCACCCCAGCCTGAGGGCTATGCGAAGAGCACCGGCACCAGCGCCATCGTCATTGACAATGGTGAGTAAATACCACCGCTTTCTTCCCGCCTATTGTACCATTCTAACTCTGTATAATGTGATATTCAGGCTCAAATCTGGTCAAAGCCGGCTGGTCCTTCGACAAGAAGCCCCGCTTCATCATCCCTCCCGTTATGAGTCGGTATCGCGATCGGAAGCTGAATAAAGCCTGCCAATTCATCGGAAACGACGCCTATGTCGACGCCACGACGCGCGGTCAGCTACGATATGCGTTCGATCCCGGCACGAGCGTGGTGGGCAACTGGGACGTGATGGAGGGCGTGCTGGACTACCTGTTCATCAAGCTTGGGGTGGACGGGGGCGCCGACGGGGGCGTGGACCGACCCATCGTTATGACTGAGCCGATCGCCAACTTGAACTATGCTCGACGCAGTAAGTCCTATACCAGTCGTCTTGCGCCTCTAGCGAATAGGGCCCGACGCAGGGAGACTTTGTTCTTTGCTAATGGGGTGGCAGTGATGAACGAGATCCTCTTCGAATGCTACTCCGCACCGTCGGTAGCCTACGGCATTGACTCCCTGTTTTCCTACCGATACAACCGTGGCACGGACGGCCTCATTGTCTCATCTTCACACACGGCCACGCATGTCATTCCCGTGTTGAACAACAAGGCTCTGCTGTCGAATTGCTCGCGCTTAAATTGGGGCGGTCTCCACGCGTCGGAGTACCTTCTGAAGCTCATGCGCTTGAAGTACCCAACGTTTCCGGCCCGCATGACGGAGCACCAGATGGAGGATTTGGTGCACAAGCATTGCTATGTCTCCAAGGACTACGACCAGGAATTGAGCCGGTACCTGGACTGGACGGGATTGGAGGACCGGGACCACATTGTCCAATACCCCTATACGGAGCATGTCATTCCCGAGAAGACGGAGGAGGAACTGGCACGCATTGCGGAGAGGAAGAAGGAAAGCGGGCGGAGATTGCAAGAGCAGGCCGCCAAGATGCGACTGGAGAAGCTGATGAAGAAGGAGCAGGAACTGGAGTACTACAAAGATCTACAGAACGGACTCGCGTCTGAGTCGAAGAAGGAAGCACGACGCATCTTGGAAGCCGAAGATCTCAAAGATGAGGCGCACTTGGACCGCTTAATTCGTGACCTCGAACGATCAATCAAGCGGTCGAGGAACCGCGATCTTGGTATCGAGGAGACGGAAGAACCACAGGAGGAAATGACATTCCCGCTGCTGGATGTACCCGACGAGGAATTGGATGAGGCTGGGCTCAAGGAGAAGCGCCACCAACGGTTGATGAAGTCCAACATCGAGGCTCGCCAACGCGCTAAGGCCGAGAAGGAACGCGAGAAGGCCCGTCAGGAGGAGGAAGAAAGGCTTGATCGCGAGAGGCGGGAGAATGACTTCGACAAATGGGTGGCTGAGCGTAGGGCTAACCTTCAAGTAAGCCATATCTCTAGCTCTCTCCGCAGAGTGCCGCTAACCCTGTCTTACAGAGTATACTACAACGCATCAAAGAACGCGACAGGATGAAGGCCGACTTGGGCAACCGCAAGTCACTCGCCAGCCAAATTCGCATGAAGACCCTCGCCAACCTGGCTGCGGACGGTCCGAAGAAGAGACGGAGAGGCGGCGATGACGACACCTTTGGTGCCAACGACGAAGACTGGGGTGTCTACCGTACAGTGGCCACTGGCGACCAGAGTGACGAGGAAGAGGAAGAGGATCTAGACGGCATGCTGAACGCTGCCGAGAAGGAGCTTCTGGAACACGACCCGGAATTCACGGAGAACCACACGCTGGCGGCGCAGTCCGACTGGACCAAGAGCCTGGTGCACGTGTTCCTGCGGGGCCCTTGGCCGTTCGATCCTGAGAGTCAGCGTGAGGCGCATCAGATCCACCTGAACGTGGAGCGCATCCGGGTGCCCGAGGTCGTCTTCAAGCCGTCCATTGCCGGCATTGACCAGGCGGGACTGGTCGAGATTGCCGCCGATATCGTCAACCAGCGCTTTTCGAACCCGGAGGAGCAGGCCCGTCTGCTACGCGACGTCTTCTTTACCGGTGGCAACACGCTCTTCCAGAACTTTGACGAGCGGTTCCGTCAAGATTTCCGAGCGTGTCTGCCCGCCAACAGCGTCTTGAACGTGCGCCGCGCGGCGGATCCGGTTCTGGATGCCTGGAAGGGCGCCGCTCAGTGGGCCTCAAGCTCGGAACTCCGCAAGTCGTCCATTACACGACAGGAGTACCTGGAGAAGGGCAGCGAATACCTCAAGGTAAGTTTGTGGAGCCGTCCCGGCGGGATTGAGACGACTGCAGGTGTGCTGTGGATGTACCATGTACCGGACTGACCACGGTTTACAATAGGAACATGATTTGGGTAATGTCACCACGTGGTAAGATGATTCAACAATCGCCGGGTGTCTATTCACCCGATGGACCCTGTCGATCTAGGTATCCGCTCTGATCCGCCGGTGTTTTATCTATTCCTCCATGATGTCATTGAGGAACCTTCCGTTCGGATCTCCGGATATCGCAGAAAAACCACTGCATCTCATCGAAAGCCGAATTATCTCCGCCTTGTTAACCTTGCTGCATCAATTCCCCATACTATTGCTGTTACTTGAGATGTTTATTTTGCGGTCTTTACGCCCAAGCCCGTGGAGGGGACGAAAATTTTCAGCTAGTATACACTTCCAAACAACAAGGAGTCCGGCGTCCAAGCGAGTGGGGGAGGGAGTGGATGAACAAACCTAGATTCTCAAGAAGGAACCTGCTTTTTTTTTTCTTGGAATTTATCCTTTCTGTAGAGAGCTTCTGTTGTCCTTGCACTTAGGTTTTAACCTTTTTTTTTGTCGAATATTGAACCTTGTTCGGTGTTCTGCGGACTTCTCTTCCACCGGTGAGTAGATGGCTGGATCGATCGGCGTGGTTGCCCAGATGATATTCCTCCGCGTGAGTTTGTTCATTCAACTAGCCTGGTCTTGTCTTCGTTGAATCTTGTCTTGGGTTTGAGGACAGCACCCCCAGAGGTTCGAAAAACAAGCAAGAAGTACGCCCGGGCGGGAGAGTTCGATAGTCCTGCTGGGATTTCCTGAAGTATGGTTCAGATGATTAGTACAGTAGCCCTGTGTCTGTTTAGAGACCGAATCCATTGAAGTAACACAGCCAATCACCGCAAATCACCGACAATCACCACAAAAACCCCACAACAACAACAACAACATCATGAAGCCACCAGTAAGAATCCCCCAAGATCCCCGAAGCAATGTAAGGGGGAGGAGCGATGGTGCACGAAAGTTCTGGGGAACAAATCGACGTGGTCCCTGTTCTGTCCTGTCCTGTTCAATTCGAACTCGAACTCGATTGGCCCACTGTGTAGGTACATTCAGTACTGTCCGACGGTTTCCCTGTATCCCATCCGAGGGACACGATAGGGGAAAACCTGGACTTGGAGTGACGATGCATACTGGTTTTACCAGTTACTGTGTCATCCTATGAAGCTGCGAAGCTGGGAAGGACAAGTCACGGGGAGGATGTGGATGGGTGGTTTTGTATCACGTTTGTATTGTTGTTGTAATTGTTTTTGATCTTGCCGACCCACCCTCAATTTTATCTAGTATATGGCATGGATTGCAGGTGGTCTTTTTTCCTTTTTTCTTTTTTTTTTTT